GCTATCTTTGTGCACAAAACCTCACCTCTCCATCTGAGCCTCAGCTCCCTCCCCCCCTATGCCTAAAAGCAGCTACCTACGATATGGTAGAGATATGTTTTTGTGCACAAAGCTAACTTAGAAGTACATTCAATCATCTTTCATTTGATCTTTTTTAATTAATGTTTCATCTATTTCATCTATTCCATCTATTTAATCCGCTTGCTAACTACTCTACTAGCTAGCCTTTTTACAAAGACTACTTTCTTTGTCTACTTTCTTTGTTATTTCCTAGTCTCTTCTCCCCCTCACCCCTCATCCCTTCTTTTTCTTTTCATCCTCCTTAACTACTCAGTTTCCATCACTTATCATTCAACATTTATCATATTAATCGTGTCTGCTGTGTCTATCATAATGGACACCCTAGCTGAGGGAACTGGGACCCTCCAAGTCTCATTCAAGAGCACACTTGATCTTTGTGGACAGCCAGTAAGGTCTATGGAAGAAGCTCTTGAGGTAATGAAGACGCTTGCCCCAGAAGAGGTCTATCCAGCTGCGCTTAGAATCCAGGACCACGCCCACTCATTCCTTAGCGAAGCAGTTAAGTCTCTAGAGAAGCTGCACGATTTCATCGAACAAGGCGAGTTTTGGAGAGAGCATGAAGAGAATGTGGAGGCATTCCACGACTCATGGAAAATCACGCGTGACGCGGTTAGAAGCCAGCAGGGTGTGGCCCGATTCAACGACAACCTCCTGCTACGTGCGAAGACACAGTGGGGTGAGGGCCAGGCGAATGCTCTTTTTCTCCGCATCAAAGGTGACACAATGAAGCGAAAAATCAGCAAATTCCTCACAAGCGGCATATCCTATGAGCATACACGAGCATCCATCAACAATGCATATGTGGCACGGAGGTCTACTCGCAAACGTGGAATTCGGCAAGAAAGCCGAATCATGCAGGCTGATCTAACCAATGCCTTCTTAAGCCAAGACACTACGCCCTTAGACCATAGTGTCTTACAAGGCTTGGAGCTAGGAATTGACATAGATGGGTTTGTGTGTCCAAGTATAGGTATGTATTCTTACCTATGAGCCTAGTCTAAAAGATGTGGTTTTAACCTTTAACCTTTAATCTTTACTAGGCTTGGTCTCTGAGGCGCCTACTACCCAGCCACCTACTCCTAAGAAACAACAAAAGAATAGCTGCCAAGAAGAAGATGATGATGATGATGATGAAGAAGAAGAAGGCCATTCTAGCAGCCAGGCTAAGGATAAGGAAGATCACAACAACAGCAGCAGTGGCAACAGCAATGATGAAAATGGCGACAGCGACAGCAATAGCAATAGTGATAGCAATAGCAATAGTGATAGCAACAGCGATGGTGATAGTGAAGGTAGTGGTGATGCCGATGATGATTTTCAACCTCACCCACGGAAACGAGCTAAGCACACAACACCACCTATGTCTACATGTGGCTGTCCTCTCACAAAGGCTGCTCTCCAGCGTTTAATACCAGCTAAGAAAAATGTTGTACTTCCCACAGATACATTGAAGAAACAGGCTCTCAGAAAAATTGGCCGAGAAACTAGCAGCCCTAACGAATCCCACACCTTACGCTTATGCCCCGAACACACACATGCTCTCTGCAGGCAGCTAGGTATCTACCATCGTTTTGCTATTACTCAGGCTCATAGACGGCTTCTCTACCTTTACAAGAAGCTAGATTCATGGGACTCCGTGAGGCAGCAGCACCCTTCTTGGTTCAAAGGCAGCATTGGAAATCTTCAGTCTGGCTGGCGCTTTGAGGCCACTGCCCTACCACTAAGGCCAAAGGTTTCCAAACCAACCCAGATGTCATCCTTTACCTTTATGAAGCTATATAAACGATGCTTTGGCAAGGCCCCGCCCCCTGAAGCTATGCATATGGACCAGCAAATGAAGAAGGATGGTAGTGTGGTAGTCACTGGGCTCTTTAGTTGGCTAACAGAAGACCTTGACGGCCAGCATCCTGGTGGTATCCTGCCTATGATCTTACAGGAGTTTGATATGTATGACTGGCATTACCGTGCCCGTCCTGGAAAACCTCGAATTGGCTGGGCCCGGAACATGTGGTTTAGCTTGGTCCAGCAGCTTGTCCGGCAAGACCCTGCTTATTATGCATTCTATGTGTTCTTTCGGCCAGACCATGCTTGGCGACTAATCTCCTTTCCTTATTACACCAAGAGCACCTATCCTGGGGAATCTACGTTTTTTCGTCATATTGATGTGAATATCGCTGATTTCGTACGTACTGGACGTGGTCAGAATGCTTTACAAGGTAGTCTTGCACTATCTGTGGAGGATGACAACAACTGTACAGAGATGCTCCTTGGTATGCATCGGGATATCAGAGAATGGAATGACCGCCTTCGTCTCCGAGGCTATACAAAAGATGGCTATGTACAACAGATTCAGCCTACAATGTGGACTAAAGATGATGAGGACCACTTTGGCTACACGTGGTCTAAACAGAAGTGTACTATTGGAGATGTGCGCCTTAGCCTACCTGGCCTGCCACACGGCTCTACTGGCCCTGCTACTTCACGTCGCCTCAATATCCTACCTTGGTTTGTGGGTATTGGAGAAGACCACCAGACATTAGATGTGGCTGAGTCAGGAACTTGGGGTGACCTATCTCACTGCCACCGCAGTTTTTACTCTGGCACTAAGACCCCTTCAGGCTTGCCCAATAGCACTTTTGGAGGGCGTATGGACCAGATTTTCCCAGCAACTGTACGCCTTGGGCGGCTGGGTGCAATTTCAGATGCACTAGTTGGGCAGGTGCGCTGGGACGAGGTGGATGTACGAGAAGAGCTTGACATTTTATTTGGAGATGACGATGTGGCTGCTTGGGGTTTTATACAGAGGTGGCGGAAACACGCTCAGCAGCTATACATTGCTGCCTTTGAGAAGCTAGTTCTAACAGAACGTGCTGCGTTTGGGGCTAACTCCTTCTTCGAGCGTACCCAGCTTGGCCTTGATGTTACCCCTGTGTTTATTAAGGGTGGTTTTTACTGGTCTAGGTTTCAGGATGAGCACGAGCACGAGCACGAGCATGAGCATGAAGAATGAGGGTGAGCATGAAGAGTGAGGAATGAGGATGAGGGTCAGATGCTACAGAGGTAAATTTTGTGCACAAAAGCCTGTTAGTTTTTAATAGGAGCCTAGGAGACAGCTAGTATTGGCAGCCCACAAACTATTTTTTGTGCACAAAACCCTATGCTTCAGACGAATCCTACCTTACTTTGTAGGAGGTAGAAGAGAAAGGACAGACCAGGCAGGACGAGAAAATGGATAGAATGGTAGATTAAGGAGATTGAGTTAAGAATTGATTGAGCTAGTTAAAAAACGCTTTTCTTTGCTAGTTTCTAAAAAGCTGTAGCCGCAGTACCCAAAGGTCTGTAAGGGGAATACCCAAAAATACAACGCCAAGATGCATAATTTATGCTACAGCAAAATCTTGGCATGTTTGCTATGTTTGGGACCCAATTGGGTACCTATGGGTTGGGTTGGGTCCAAGGAAAAAACCCAAAACCCAGGCTTGGGTCTAAGTTTTGGAGCCAAACCCAACCCAATGTTGGGTTGGGTTGGGTTGGGTCTTGGGTCCATTGGGTTTTGGAGAAGTCTACCCCGTAGTAGTAGGTTCTAAGGTTTCAAGTGTTAAAAGCCTGAGTAAGATTGACATATAGGTAGTTCTCCACTGTGGAGACTCTCTGAACATTGAGTCTGACTATCTGAGGGGCTGTTCTTATCACCTAATTTGAATAAATGCCTTCAAATGTTCAAAGGTTGGCCTCGGTGTGCCCCGAGTTCTCCGTATTGTTTTCTTTATATTCACAATATCTTGACGCCACAAAACCTGCAGTGTGTATAAGTTCCTGAATATCATTTCTACATTGGATGGCTATTCTTGCCATACTATTCTCTATGCAGGATCTTGGTTGGACTGCAATCAAACACAGTCAGCATGGATCCCGTATGTCGGAGATAGGCACCCGTGGACGGAATCACGCACGGAGCAATTGAATCTCTTCCAAAGTGATATTAACTTGAACTCTCTTACTCGGCCCGCCCGGCTTGGCCTGCAGAACCAAGCCAATCTTGACACTAAGCGAAGAACGCTTATGCTGCTAATTTATTTATCTTTCTGTCGATTCGACACTCTCTCACTTGCCAAGGTTCCTTCACTCCGCCTGCTTACCCGCCTCAGCAGCTTCACAAGTCCGCCCCACTCCACCATGACGCCATGGTCGATCTGAGCCAACGAAAATTAAATCTTGGCCGGATATATCTGCCTAACAGGTCGTTAATCAACTTGTTGAAAGATGTTGATCACTTTACTAACAAAGTAGGAGGGACCGTGGTGGTACACCATGCATGTACCCATGATTTTTTCCCCCGATGATTTCAGACTTCTGGTTCGTCATCTCATCTCTCAAGTGCTGTCAAGGAAAGAAGATATTGAAAGGGTCCTGCAGACTGCATCGTGGCGAGGACCCTTATAGTCTGTGCCCCTATTAGTAGGGATATATTATGCCAGGGACCCCTGCTTCTGACCTACCGGACCTTTAGCAGGCTGGCTGCAAAAAGGACTAAGTGGAGACAGCAGACACTAGTGCCTTTCCACTGAAACTACCGTACATCACGTACCAAAGGATGCTACCCTAACGAGGCACTACCTATGTTGATCACAAGCAATAATCGCGGAGATTCGGACGGAGTCAGGCGAACGAGAACTTGAATTCATCGACCGAGCGACGCTCCTTCCCCCATGTGGAATCGCATTGCGAATATGCAACAATTGACTGGGTCATGATGGCCCACCGATTATCCGCAGTTGATAGCATACGCGGAGAAAGGAAATCCTCCACATAATTGTGGAAATTTTTGCAAGTGGGAAGCAAGAGAGAAAGACTCAAATAATGCCCGAATCCCCCAGATTCTGGGTCAGTGGAAACAGTGCGATTCGCAATTCTTTACCATGAGGCTTTCCTCCATTATTGCACCGCTCTTTTGCGGTCTTGCTGCGGCTGGGGCATGCCCTTATGCTGCGAAGGCTCAAACTGGTAGCGCCTGTCCATATGCAGGAAAGGCACGCTCTGATGACTCGAGTTCGGGCTATGTGCCCCGTGATATGCCAGTTGCAGACAAGAAGGGTGTGATGCTGATGAATCGCATTGCGCCGGGCGTTTCTAAGCTCTACGTTGCCGACGCCGACGGCTCCAATTCACAACTGCTCCTTGGTAACGAGACTACCTTCGACTACCACGGCCAATGGTCACCCGACGGCCAGTGGATTGTCTTCACCAGTGAGCGTGCTGGTGATGGTCAGTCTGATCTGTACCGCGTTCGTCCCAATGGCACAGACTTGCAAGCCATCTCTACTACAGCCCATGTTGAGGACGCTGGTTCGATCTCCCCCAACGGTAGCCTTGTCGCCTTTGCTGGTACTCTGGGCAACCATAAGAGCAACATCTGGGTCAAGAACCTGGAGACCGGCGGACTGTGGAATGTTACAAACACCACCGACAATGCTGGTGACTGGACTCTTCCCGATGGTCACTTCCGGCCAGCTTGGTCCCCTGATGGCAACTGGTTGCTCTTTACATCTGATCGCAACACACCTTGGAGGGGTCACAATAACATTAGCGGTTGGGAACACGTGCAGGAGCTGTCCATCTATGCAGTTCGACCTGATGGTAGCGGCTTCCACCGTGTTGCTAACAAGACTGGCTACTGCTTGGGATCGCCAAAGTTCTCGCCTGATGGCAGCCGTGTCGTCTTCTACGAGATCGAAACCGAACTCACTTATTACGCCCGTGTCGCGGAGTCTGCTTTCTACGAGGTCAACACCGCGATTGTTTCAGTCGATTTCGCCACAGGAACAGACCGCATCGTGCACGCTTCAGCTGACTCTGGTGGTATCAAGACTTTCCCTCAGTACATTGACAACAGCACTATTGGCTACCTGGTCAAGAGTCTTCTCACCAATGATACCTACCCTGGTTCTATCAACTACACCTCAGCGAAATCTGGTGGCACGGTCGAGTCCAAGTACTCAAGCATCTCCTTGGTTGGCCGTTACCGTTCCCCGGCTTGGTCGCCCGATGGTAGCAAGATGATCTATGAGGAGGTTGAGTGGGACCCCGTCCGATCCATCGACAAGGAGCTCTACAGCTGGAACTCTGAGTGGGAGTACCGCTTCACTGATGTATTCCCTCAACTGTCCAAGAGTGGCCGAGTGGCCTACACAGGGCAGCAGACCCAGAACTCATCACTGTTTCTCATGAACCCTGATGGCTCTAGCAATACAGAGATCTTCGATGGATCTCGATTCCCAGGTCTCACTACTGCCACCAACACCAACGGCACATTCCAGCCATCGTGGCGCGGAGATGGTGAAGTTCTAGCTGTTGGTCTCGGAGACTGGTTCGAGTACCGTTACTACAGCCCCGGCTGGGTCTACCTCGTCTCTGCCAATGGTACCTGGACCAAGAAGATTACCAATGGTACTACGAACGCAGGTTTCCCAACCATCTCCCCTGATGGACGTTGGTTGGTCTGGCGTGAGTTTGACTATGTGGCTACCGAACTTGAAGTAAAGCCATTGGGTCTGCGACGCATGGACCTCAAGACCGGTGAGGTTAAGGCCTTGACCTGGGAATGGGATAACACACCCATGTTCGCGCCTGACGGAACCAACCGTCTTGTTTTCACACGTCGTACTAGCTGGCCCATCTCTGGACCCCTTGACGACAACTACGATGTTATGACTATGGATGTTGATGGCAGCAACCTCAAGCGACTGACCACTCTGGCCTGTAACGATGCTCACGCTACCTGGACTGCCGAGGGAAAGATTACCTGGGCAAGTAGCATGTACGGTTTCCAGGATGAGGCTATTATTTACGACAACAACCAACAGCCCTACCCCTTCATCATGGAGATGGAGGCTGATGGTTCCGACATGACCATTCTGACTGAGAGCAGATGGGAGGACACCATGCCTCTTTATGTTCCCAACAGCATTTGGTCTGCAGACAACTAAAGATTGATGAACTTGAATGTAACGGTTTTCAGATGAGGCTAGATTTTGTGAATATTTATGGATTCCTGTATATACTATCCAATTCTGAATGAAGTATTACCTCTGACCGATTATTATGGTCATGAATCATTGCACATGCGTCTTAATGTTTCCCGCTTCCGTGCGTGTATAGAAGCAATATGTTGTATGAATGAAACGGCAATCCGAAGATTTTAAAAAGACAGATATCGTGAAGTGATCCAGGGATCGCGTCGAGGATCGTATGCGTTGCAGTGGGAAGACGGGTTTGATTCTACCAATGCTGCCAGTCAGGTTGGTACTACCAATCGACCATTGAAGATCGACTTCCTGCTGAAGTGAGTCGTAGCATCTTGAATAGCATAACCCCATTCTTTTCTGATGAATCTACCGAGTGGTCTCAAAGTCAGTGACTATACAAGGCTCCGAGTTGTGCAGATGTCTCACGATCACAGTCTCGCCCTCTCATACCATAAGACACCAAATTTGACACCCCCTGAGATAATAAACATAATAGCCGCGAATGCAAGCGAGTAGTTGCGACATATGACACTGGTTTCAAGTGACCACCATCCTGGTGAGGGTTGTTTGGCACCGGAGCCAGGCATGGGCTTATTGGAGGCGGATGATATTCAGATGCGAGAATGAAATATAAAAAAAACGCTGCAACGGAACTCGAACGGTATTGATCTTCTGGACTCGACTTTATCAATGACTTGGATTGCTGCCTTGCAGAGAAACAGAAACTTGGAGTGGGGGTCCAGGGCGCAGTAGGGCGCAGTAATAGGCGCTATTACGCGGCCTGTAGAATCAGTCAACTGGCACATGTGCATCGCGGAACCCCATAGAACTAGATACAATGTCACTTTTTGGATCAAAAATCAATGGTGAAAAGCTCAAAATTTTTAATAAGCTCTGAATTCATGTTGGACTCGACGACTAAACATCATTCATGATTTCCCCCCATGGGATAAGTGATTGAATAGGAATATTCCCACTGTGATATCGCTGTAGATACTTGCATATAGCCGGAAGTTCAAATCTAGCACGAAAATCAATCCACCATCTCACCCGACGAGCTTTAGCATACCATAGACACAGTAGTAGGAGCGCGACCGGGTCCTTATTCCGCAAGCGATCCTCAAATTTGTTGTGCATGCAGTTGGAAACCATAAGAGCGTCACCTAGTGCGATTTTCTCTTGTGGTATGACGAGAACCCGAGACAAGCTATGCACAACAGTAAAATAGACATTATTTGCCTGGGTTGAAGTCTCATTCAATTCACAAAGCTGGGCTAGATCTTTTGATGCACCCTCGGTACCTCTGATAGGCAAGGGCGTGCGCATGCGTATCAACGTCTCAATCATGACGCGAAACGCACTTTCTGGTCTTAACGGATCCACAAGATTCCATAACGAGATTTTTCCGCTTCCGAGTCGTAACCATTCTAGATCAGATGAGTCTGGTGAGCCTAGAGGCCATGCGTCATCTGTAGAAACGGCATTGATTGATGCAAAGGCGAGGATACTTAGAGTACCGGTCGTAGTCCAGATAGGATCCTTGTGCTCTTCTTCAATCTTTTGGGTGAGCCATGTTTTGAAGAGTGTTGTGCATTGGGACCAGTGGTATGATTCTCGCAATGAGCGGCGGGTTGGAGACAGCGTCAGGTAGCGATCATGGACAGCTGCTACGGCTAATGTGCCGTGGAACAGAAAGGGGCACTATATATAGTGTTAGTGAGATAATCAAGATTTTTAATGGGACTAGGTAGTATTATGGCAATATGAAGGCAAACTGACTGTAAAGGAGGCTTTTAGCATATGGTCTTCATAGATTTGCACAATGTCGGACCCTCCAAGGGAATAAAGGGTCCGATGACGAAATCGGTTAAAAAGATCCCAGTCATACTGATCCAGTTTGAAAAAGCTCATTCCATCACTCGCCCAGATTGCATTATCAATGGTAGGACGCAGGGGCGTGCAGTGAGGCTGTATCTGTTTCCTTGACCGATCGCATCTTTCTTTGAGTGGTTGGAGATCACTCGTATCTAAATTAAAATTACATTGGACCCCGTAGGTCCGACATCTCAAGCAATGCGGCCTGGCTTCATCACACTATGAAAGTCGTTACCATCGTAGTCTATTACAAGTGGGTACGAACTTACCTTGACCTTCCTCAGTTTGCAGTTGCGGCAGCCATATCGAGATTTGCGAACACAGTTGGGCCTTTTGATTTCATTAATTCCCATGACAATCTCAATTTTCAGAACTATGTGATCTGCATTAGTGTAGGTAAAGAGTCAACGTCAGGATGGATGGATGCTGCGTTTCGCCTCGTAATGTCCGTCTCCTTGTTATCTCCGACGATGGGTGAAATGTGGCCACCCCACTCTTTACCTCTACTCGGGTAAGAAGGCCCATGATTGGGCTTATATTTGACCCACTCATGATTTTTCTTGTCTTGAATCTTGGATTTATATAGTGCACATGCGAATTTGATGCAAGCTCTTGAGGTGTGCCATTCAACGTGGTTCGCGGTTTTTTGATTGCCAATGAGACCCTAGAAAATCGCTCATGTTGACGAGATGAGTCGTTAACTCCGAGGGACCTTGCTTACAGGACCTCGATGGAGCGACATAAATAGGAGGCCATTTCCTACTTCAAGAATGAATCAATAACGATCAAAGCCTTGGTGATTCAACCATATTGTGTTCAAGTCAAAGGACCTAACTTTTCCCCTTCTCTTCCTTCTATTGTACACCTCAACTTGATTCCATAATGCGTGTCTTTGTCACAGGAGCTACTGGCTTTGTCGGCACTGCCGTGGTCAAAGAGCTTCTCTCTGCCGGACATCAGGTCCTAGGCCTAGCTCGGAGCAACGAGAAAGCCGAGCAGCTGCGTAGACAAGGCGCCGAATCTTTGTTTGGAACAATTGAAGATCTTGAGATCCTCAAACAAGGTGCATCGCAATGTGAGGCAGTCATTCATCTCGCCTTCAATGCGAACTTTTCCGATTTCGCAGGCTCTTGTGCCACTGATCGGGCTGCGATCACTGCACTGGGCTCAACCCTTGCCGCAGCCGGTGGAGACCGCGCATTTGTCATAACTTCAGGCACGATGGTGTTGGTTGGAGACGATCTGGCTGATGAGGATGAGAAGCCGAGAATGACCAATCCGATGGCTGCTATGCGTGGTCCATCAGAGGCACTTTGTCTTGATTTCGCAAAGCAGGGTGTCCGCACCAGTGTCGTTCGTCTGCCACCCACTACCCATGGCCCTGGAATCTCAGGATTTACTGGGCCACTTGTCATGACTGCGGCGGAGAAGGGTATATCGGCATATGTTGGCGATGGTGAGAATCGCTGGGCTGCTGGCCACCGTGACGATGCGGCAAAGATTTATCGATTGGCGATGGAAAAGGCAGAACCCAGGTCTGTGTTTCATGCGGTTGGAGAGGAAGGCGTCACTGTGAAGGATATCGCTACCGAGATTGGTAATAAGCTTGGTATTCCTGTTGTCAGTATTTGGCCAGAGAAGTTGGAGGAACATTTTGGGCGGTTTGCTTTTGGGCCTATGGCGAACAACCCAGCTTCTAGCAAGAAGACACAAGAGAGACTTGGCTGGACTCCTGCAGGTCCGACAGTCCTCGAGGATGTGCCTGGTGTTATCGAGTTTGTTAAGAGTCAAGCTCCAGGCGCTCAGTAGACTAGCAAATCGTGACTTCGGGCGGATGCCACTCGTATGAGGAATTTTGCGGAGTTGGTGACATTCTCCGATTTTTGTTGGTAGTTTTTGAGAATTTCAATTCAATTACATTATGTTCAAGTCACGGTTCAAATATTTTCTGTCATAGATCTACCGAGTACTGGTACATACTTGTCAACTATGCCGAGCATTCTCCACTTTCCCCGCACAATCTCCCAATTTCCAACCAACCTTGGAAGTCAACAAATATACATACTACCCTAACTCCTCATTGTCAGCCGTTAATTCTCCACCGCTTGCCAAATTCAATGCCAGACCCTGACACAAGACGCGCACTGAGAGCTTGTGATCCATGCAAGAGGCGTAAAGTGCGATGTAATGGCCAGACCAAATGCCAGCAATGTACCCACTCTGGCTTGCCATGCACTTATACTACAACCCAAACAGATCGGCCACGAAGAAAGAATTCACGTCGAGGTGCTGTCATCGCGGAATGTCGCACATTTATTCCACAAAGAGCACAGAAATCATATATACTGGTTCCCCAAGACTCCCCTCCATCCATCCCTCACTCAATACCCTCATATCTGAATCCAGCATTCTTCATTGACTTGTTGGGTGATTACGAGAAATATGTTTTCCCGATGAGTCCGGTAGTCCCTGCAGCCGAAATCCGTGAGATGATCGAGCGCATGAGTGATGTTCCTGAAGCCGCGTCTTTCGTCTACATCTATGCAGCTGTGACGCTTGACCTGACGCGTAGGGAGCCAGTCCAAGAAACATCTGCCACACGCGACCGCATCGCAATGCTGTTGACACGATCCCTTGAGCTACGTCCTCGACGAGATCTTACCTGGCAAGTAGGGATCGAGGATGTGATGGGCTGTGTATTCACGGAAATGGCATGCATCACATTACGACGTCCGGATCTGGGCTTCGTTTATCTTCGCGAGGCAATCTCATTACTATACATGCTGAACGCTGATTCAGAAGAAGCATTGGCAAATATGACTCAAATTCGACGGGCCCGACTCCAGCGCGCATATTGGGAATGCTTTGTCCATGAAAGATTCACTGCGCTGACATATAACCGTCCATCGTGTCTGGGTCCATTAAACACACTACCCGATCACGATCCCACACTCCCAGACGATGTTGAAACCAGTTTCAATTATTGTATCGAGAGCTTCTGTTTAGTTGATAGACAGTTTCTTGACTTTTGGCTTGGAGACCGATCGCAGGTTACGGCGGAGTGGATCGAGGATAAGCAGCGCCAGTTGGAAGATATTGATTGGCATCGAGAAGTCTCACAGCTGCCCCAGATGCAGCAGGCTGATCTTGTTATAACGAGGCATTGGTTGCGGACCCTAACGTGGCAAATTGCACTTTCTAATACGCTCCTATCTTCATCTCCGGCCTCGTTACTACTTTCGCTCTCTTTTCCGCTGCGATTATCGAACTCACTCCGCCATTTCCTTGTGACGATTCCGCGAGATCTGGTGGAGATTCATGGATCTGGGATTTTGAAAAAATTATTTGAGATTGCGAGTACTATTACAGATGTTGTGCTCCATATGACGCATGCGCCGGGGGATGAAACGGTGGAGCGCATTCATGATATTTTGTTCTTGAAGAGGTTTGTATATTCGTTTGCGGGCTTACAGAACTTATGGCCCGAGATCTTGACGCAGAAATTTGAGATAATTCGTGAGAAGTATCCAGATATCAAAGAGATAAATCTTCTTCGATAATGATGGAATTAATAACGATTCAAATATCCTGGTAGAGACCTGTCTAACATTGATGTAAAGGAACTAAATAGTATTAAGATTGATCTATTTCAATTTTCTTTTCAAATATCTACAGATCGGCTGATGTTCCATAACTACATGGAATTCATATTTCAACGGCTTTAAATTTAGCAGTAGTAAAATAAAAGTATTATATGTGGGTTGTAGTTAGAAAATCTCCAAGAAGTGAACTGGTGGTGGGTGCCTGCAAATCCTGGCGTTGATATGGTTTCTCAGTTATAGGGGTAAATTTGGGAGTCCAGATAACCATTCGCATCGTAGTAGCTCAGCGGGCTATCGTGTCTGTCCCAATGTGATATGACACTATGATACCATAAGACTAGAATGCTGGGACTGAGGGTTGCTCAGTAGCATCAGCGAGCGTGAGACTTGCCTAAGTGGAACACCACCGTGAGAAAGCATGCAGCGGACTATGTGAAAGACTTCTGCGGAGCTTTTTTCTTTTTGCTCTTTCTTTTGATATTATTTTTATATTTTTATCTATTTTATTGGATTTGTTATGATTTTTTGAAAGTTGAAGCTGTCATCGTCTTGCTCATATTGATGCCTCACTTGGCACAAACATCGCGAAATCTAGAAGTCCCTGGTTCGATTCCTGCTACTCTATTTCTTTTTTCTTTTTGGCTAAAATTCTTTTTAATGATAAAGACTACTCACTCACTTAGAACAAGACCCTGAGAGGAGATTAATTGAACTAGATCATGACAAGTTATAAATATAGTTATATGTAGCCTAAGGCTATTAAAGAAAATATAACACACTCTATTTGCCTACCAGGTAAACTCGGCCTTCATGAGGCTGCAGTGCATCCAATGACTCTTCCTCGTAGTTCTTCAACAGCGTCTGTTGAGATCCGCTTCCCAATAACTTGCCTAATTCAACCGATTGCTTCTCGCCAGTGAAGTTCAAGGCAACGATCAGCTTCTCCGAGCCATCTGCAGAGCCCTTCTCGAAGATAAAGACTAACTCATTGGACGGATCGGTATCGACAAACACTCCCTGTGCAAAGACCTTCGGGTTCGCACGACGAGTACGTAGCAGTTCACGCCAGAATGACAGCACAGAAGTTGGGTCATTGGTCTGTCGCTTCACATTCAACGTAGGGTAATTGTCATGAACACGCATCCAAGTCTTAGCACCCTCAGGAGAGAATCCAGCATTTGGTGTATCGTCCCATTGCATTGGGATCCGAGCATGATCACGAGCAAGATGAGCAAGAGCTGCCTTAACCGCTTTCATTGCGACGGGATCATTCCCTGTCTGTTCCTTTACGTAGTTGTAGTAGTTCAGACTGTCGAGATCTTTGTATTCTGAGATAGGCCACTCCTCAGGTGTGTTCACCATACCAATCTCCTGACCTTGGTAGACGTAAAGCGTTCCGGAAAGAGTACCAACAAGCATTGCGAGCATCTTTGCGCTAAGAGCCCACAGCTCGGGTGTCTTCTCGCTGCCCCATCGCGAAACGGATCGGGCTTGGTCGTGGTTTTCCAGGAATGTGGTGCTCCAGCCATCAGTGGAACCATCGCTGAGCTTCTGGGTACGTTTCACACGCTCACGTAGATCAGAGAGTGTCCAGTTTCGTGGGGTGGTTTGGAAAGGGAAATCCTTGCCCTTGCCCACGTCAACGATATCAAATTGGAATACCATGCTCAGCTGTTCCTCTTTCGCGGAGACGTATTTCAGCACGTCGGTGATCTCTGGGGTAGATGGGAGCTCGCCGACCGTGACGGCATTATATTTTAAAAGGATTTGACCCATCTCCCGCAGGTAGTCGTGGATGCGAGGACCATTGCAGAAAAGGGAAGGGTCAAGTTGGTACTCGTTCTTTGGATCGATGATGGGCGCATCGCGGTAGGATTGATCCTTGCTGTACATGTTCACTGTATCAACGCGGAACCCATCAATCCCCTTGCGAAGCCAGAACTCCATGGCAGACTTATAAACTGCAGCTCTTGTCTCCGCATTCTCCCAGTTGACATCGGGTTGCTGCACTGCGAACAGGTGTAGGTAGTATTCCTGTGTTGGCTCGTCCCATTCCCAGGCGCTGCCACCGAAAATACTGCGCCAGTTATTTGGCGGGCGGCGAGTACCGTCCGCGTCGTACTTGGCTGGACGCCAGATGTACCAGTCACGCTTGGGGTTTGTTTTGGAAGAACGCGACTCCTTGAACCAGGCGTGCTCATGCGATGTGTGGTTGATGACGAGGTCAAAAAGAATTCTCAATCCGCGCTCGTGACACGCTGCGATAATGTCTTCTGCGTCTTTGACTGTGCCATAGGGAGCATAGATGTCTTCATAGTTGGCGACATCATAGCCCATGTCGTATTGTGGGGAATCATAATGAGGACAAATCCATACGGCATCAACGCCCAGGGACTTAACATAGTCCAACTGGCCCAGGATGCCTTTCAGATCGCCGATTCCATCGCCATTAGAATCCTTGTAACTAGCGGGATAGATTTGGTAAATGGTGGCGTTTTTCCACCAAGGAGCTTCCCGCGTCATACTGTAAACAAGGATACAGCGTTAAATCAAACTCGAAATATTGGGATAAGATAGCCGAGAAAAGATGCAGTTTCTCAACCAAGTTCAGTGCAAGTAAAAAAAGATGAAGAATCATGAACAAGATGAAGAAGAAAAATCCCAGTTTCGTTCAATCGTCCATCTTTTATCTTGAGCATTCTCTCCACCGCAACACAACAATTGGCTTCTTGTCGGCCCGACATGGAATTACCCCTCGCGAGAAGTAGATGCATGTCAATATCATTTAATTGGCCCAATATCGGACCGAACTTGTTTGTATACGAAGCTTGGCTGAGTTAACCTCTGAGATTTAGTTTAGTGAAAGCCCGATTGCGCCCAGATACCTCAATTCTTGGTTCAAGTTTCCCCATGGGGAAATCAGTTTCTCCATGGGGTATTCCCGCTTTAAACACCCATCATTCCCAATCATTCCCGACTGGTCTCTTTGCCCCCTCACATGATCATTCGCCCATTCTCGGTCCGAGACCAGCATCTACCCCAGATCTACCCTACTAGTTGGATTGAACTAGAGAAAAAAATCCGGGGAATCTGTATACGCAAGCCTGGTATGATTATTGCCTCATGGCTCACCGAGAGAACATAAAGGGGCACACATTCCACCCCTTTTCAAGATGATTTGGTTTGTATAGTATCATTGACTCATTTCTACTCCTTCATTGAGATTCAAAGCATCAGCAGCATCAGATACAATGTCTGAGATTTCTCCTCAACATGATGCTAAGAATTCCCCTCCTCGGGTGCCAGATGATATGGCGGCTGAGGCCAATCGTGCCACTGCGGCAGAACAAAACATGGGTCTGTGGCAAGGGCTACGCACCTATCCACATGCTGTAGGGTGGTCGATTCTTTTCTCGAGTGCGTTGATCATGGAGGGCTATGACAGTGGACTCATCTCCAATCTATTTGCCTATAAGCCCTTTGCGAAAACGTTCGGTGATGAACAGCCTGGTGGCTCGTACCAAGTGACAGCAGCTTGGCAGTCTGGTCTCACCAATGGAGCGCTCGTCGGTGAACTGCTAGGCTTGCTGATCAATGGTATTGTCGCTGAAAGATTCGGATACCGCAAAAGCATCATTGGGTCCTTAATCGCTTGTGTGGCCTTTGTGTTCATTGTCTTCTTCGCCAAAAGCCTACCTGTACTACTTGTGGGCGAGATCCTTCTCGGAATCCCTTGGGGTCTTTTTCAAACTATCACGACGACCTACGCCTCTGAAGTCTGCCCCGTCGTGCTCCGACCTTATCTCACGACATACGTGAACCTATGCTGGGTTATTGGACAAATCATTGCATCAGTATGTTACTCCTTCCATCCTTATACCAGTATGCAAGCTGACCGCTTAGGGTGCTCTCAAAGCAATGGAAACTCGAACCGACGAATGGGGCTACAGAATTCCATTCGCAATCCAATGGATATGGCCTGTCCCGATCATGATCGGCGTTTGTTTCGCTCCAGAGTCCCCTTGGTGGCTCATTCGCAAAGGACGTATCGAAGAAGCCCGTCAATCCTTACTACGCCTCACGAAGCCCGATCAAGATCCCAACTTCAACCCAGATGAGACGATCGCCATGATCCAAAGCACCAATGAGCTAGAGAAGACAATGTCTGAAGGAACTTCCTATCTAGACTGCTTCACTGGCACTGATCTTCGACGCACAGAGATTGTCTGTCTTACCTGGGCTGCGCAGAACTGCTCCGGCAGTGCATTCATGGGATACTCGACTTATTTCTATGAGCAAGCAGGGTTGGCCGATAGTAGTGCCTTTACCATGACGATGGTGCAGTACATTATCGGTGCGATTGGTACGGTCCTCTCCTGGGTATTTATGGGAAAATTCGGCCGTCGTACACTTTTTACCCGCGGACTTGCTGGAATGATGACAGTTTTGTTTATTATTGGCTGTGTGGGAATTATTTCCAGGGGCAATACAGCAGCCCAGTGGGCGGTTGGTAGCCTTTTACTAGTTTATACATTTATGTACGATGCGACAGTTGGACCAACGACGTACAGTCTTGTTTCGGAGCTCAGCTCAACACGACTTCGAGCGAAATCGATTGTCCTGGCCCGGTTTCTTTACAATCTCAGTGGTATTGTTGTCAATATTATTACGCCAAGAATGCTGAATCCTTCCAGCTGGAACTGGGGAGCAAAGTCCGGGTTTTTCTATGCGGGAACCTCGGCAATTTGTCTGTTATGGGCTTGGTTTCGTCTGCCAGAGCCGAAGGGACGCACATATGCTGAGTTGGATTTGCTGTTTGAGCATGGGGTTTCAGCGCGCAATTTCAGTTCCACGTATGTGGATCCTTTTGCAGTTCATGGGGATAGTCAGGTGGAGAAGAGGGATGGGGAGCCTTCTGTGGAGATCGTGGAGCATATTTAGTTCTTCAGAGTACTAGGCTCATCTGTATGTTGATGTCGAAGGATTACTAGTATATGATAACGTTAGGATGAATCAACATTTGAATATTGAATTTACGCAGATCCACAGGTATCAACATACCGCTGCTAGTCGCACTTCAACTAGTAATTCTCGGGTTCCTATGATGCGACCATAAAAATCTGCACATGTGGATTAGACCTCTCAAATACTAGCACGTAGTTGATTTCATTTTTGACTGTGCATATACCGGATGTGTTGTACACTACCTATATTTAGGATTGATATCTGAACTGGCCTTTAATGGTTCGTAATAGTACGTACACATGTTAATGCACCCAACCATGTGTTTGATTTACAGATTCTGAAGGCAATAGCCAAATCCTTCTCGTATTTCGTCGGCTATTGAAATCACTGTAGAAGCGGGTTTCGGCTTAGTGTCCGGCGCCGAGCTAAACCTCGGACATCTCACCTCTACCTGGAACTATCAATGTTTGAAACTAGAAGACCTCCGAGTGATACTGAACTTTATCATCTCCGAGTTTTATATGCCTCAAAGTCGATCTTATCTCCATCTAGGGCTGCACGAGGCAGACATGCATGAACATGGTGGGTCTCCGGCCGAGTCCGGTAATTATTCGGAAAACCGTTGCAGTTTGGGGCGTTAAGGCAGATCGTTTGCCCGCAATCGGGGTTCATTTCTCCCCTAAAAAGAATTCTGATTCGTTCAGTATCATCTCAATCAAAGGAAAAGGGCCATAGTGGATGCTGGATAATTACGACGCTACCTAATGCGAGAATCGGAGCTCTGATGGTGGGGACTCCACCTTGGAATACCAACACGTATAAAGAGGAAGGAGGGAAGACTTCTAACTAAGGCGAATTTCATCGAATACTTTTCTTTTCTTCCTCTTCACCTCTCCTTCAGATACTTCCACCAAGGTTTTTATCCTCCATGATTCACTCGAGGAAACTCTAAAGCCTTCATGACATCACTCGCGCTTGCATCGCGAAATCTTCTTTCTTCCTTCCGGGCTAAACCTACTTGCTCCACCAACCTCATTAAGGCTGCATCTTGCTCTACTCAGACAATGGGCAAATCACGCTTTGGCAGATACGAGGCCGCGCCTCTAAGCCCAGACTTTATTCCTAGTTTGCAAGAACCTACACAACAGATTCTCTGGATTGGATGCTCTGATAGTGGCTTTCAAGAAACAACTATCCTTGATCTCCTTCCAGATGAGATGATGGTTCACAGGAATATTGGAAACATGCTTATCGAGGGTGATTTATCATCGGAGACCGCAATCAAATATGCTGTCACAGTTCTGGGGGTAAGTGCTATCAGAAGAATAAACATTTCCAACATTGGTCACAGTGGCATTAGCTAACTTTTTTATTATTTAGGTGAGACACATTGTTGTCTGTGGTCATTATGGATGTCAAATAGTGAAGGCCGCATCAAGAGATGGTCTTCAGGGACCCTGGCAAAGGTAATTTCATCTTACTGAACAAAGTAAACAATCAAAACTAACAACTCTACAGCAAGCTCGATTCTCTACACTCAACGCATAAGGACACAATTGATCAGCTCCCAGAAGCAGAGCACGATCGCACTTTCGTCAAGTTGAATGTTCTCGACCAGTTGCGCTCTTTGCGACAGTTCCCCGAGGTGGTAGATGCTGCCAAATCGGGTAGCTTGCAGTTGCACGGCATTGTGTATGATACGCACACTGGGGAGGCGTCACGTCTAGTGGAAGAACCTGAGTGTCGTATTTAATGCATAATTTATTTATCAATAGATTCCATGGGATGTGGGATCTGAATGTACATATTAGTATTCACTATAGACAAAACATATGGGAACTTGAACTTAAAGGATTCTTTTCGGCATAGTATGTGCAGTGTGCAGTGTGCAGTGCTTCCACATGCAAGGTTACCAGATAGGAGTATCAAAATTTGCAGCATATCACACTAAGCCTTGGGAATTGTTGAAGAATTTGAAAGAGCCGCAAAGAACTTCTTCTCTAAATTAACCCATCTATTACATCATGATTATACACTAGCTGGACGAACTGATGTACGTTGATCGATGCCCAAGCGGAGTTTATGAAGACGGAATCCATGTACCTGAGCATTCAAACCTTCCAATTTTTCAATCTTTTTCAGGCTATGAAAATGGAAGCTATGTCAAACAGGCATTATATTTACTGTACCAGACTCATTCAAGCTCCGTCCTAATTAGGCTTAGTTGGTGCCGCTATACTGATAGTATCTGACCTCGGAACCTTGGAAGTCTCTATCAAACTATTCATATCATATTCAGGTTCGCTTTTTTCTATGTATGAAGATCGCAATGTCATTCGATTTGAAGAGACCGGAGACAAGATAAATTTAAGACTATGAGATGGGTTTCAAGCTGAGTCAAGTTTCATTCTAACAGAATTTTAGAACCTTGGAAGAGAGAACTGTTTGAAAGAGTGTTGATCTTAAGGGCTAGTTTCATTATTTCAAGAGCGATACTTGCCTCTGCCGCCTCTCAGAAACGCAAATCTACTTTGAATTCATACTGCAACACCAAGATACTCACTAATGTCACAGGCTAAATATGGCGCGCATCTTGTTCTGGTTTCAGCAACGTGAACCCATGAAACACTGTCTTCCAGAAGGATTCGGATTCACTTTTTCGGTGAAGAAACATACGGAGAACAGCGTGACGCGATATCCGAATGCTAATATCCATAACGGAATACAATCTTTTCACCTGAAGTCAGATTCTTTGAATTCAATTCAAATCAGGTCAAGTCAAGTCAACGCTCATTGGCCCGAAATTGTCTATATACACTCTCAGTCAAGAACCAAATGACTCAAAAACAAGCCTCAGTCTCCATGCCGCGATCCATGCCGTGTCTTGCATTGATTCAGCGTGTCAACCCCTGCCCCAACCCCTCGAGATAAGGCAGTGGATCCGCCCAGTCCATAAATAGACATTGAGAGATTCAATAAACCCCTCGTGCAGATGATCCTTTTACGGAGTCCATGACAACAACCGAGCAACTCAACGAATCAACAACTGTAGGTGGAGATGCCTCGTGGGAATTCCAAATTGCACAAGCACCCCATCGAGCAACAGAGTCCATTTTCCGATCTGGAGGAGCCGCGAGAGTCAGATCCGATGGTGCAATTGGTTGTTGACCCAGGGGACGACGGGGTGGGTTCGTCTCCACCGATCGCGTCTCAGCTGGAGGCCTGTCCACATTTGAATCACAAATGTTCCTGATCAGGAGAACCACCATGCCACGCCGAGTAAGGTGTGCCGAGCTGAGAGAGCCGTAATTCCGAAGGTCACAATTTTAAAAGAGGAGCCCCCATGATGCTTATGATGATGTGGCACGGTGCTCGTCCGCTTGGACTTAGCTGCTTACTTGGGTATTATCAACCGGGGTTGGCGAACCAATCTGTGGTCGTAGATCTCCATGTAATTTCAGGAGATTGTTGCTGCTATGGCATAGCCCCATTTATTCCCTAATCCCTGTCTGTTCATGGTTCACGTTTTTGAGTCTGGGTGGCAAGGTCTTCCTGTTCTCTTACCCCTGGAGCTATATTCTATAGCATGGATGAAATTTCCGATTATGATCATTTCGAGGGTCCTGATCCCTGCCACTTCCCTGCTTTCTAGGCTTTTCCGTATGGACATGGGTCCAACGCCACTCACTTGCCCAGATCTCTGATTCGATAGAAGCATCAAATGTTTCACATATGTGCACGCTTGGGCGGCCGTTCATGTCGGAGATAAAAAAAAAATCCGGGAAAAACTCTACCTAAGCATAACGGTATACCAGTACTTCGTATATCTCGTATAGGCATAGGTAGTTTTCAAATGTTTAAGAAGGGTCCTGGTTCCTCCCCTGTGAAACAAACTACTGCAAGTTGTAGTCATCGTGTACTTGTATTCGTACTACAATCTACGGAGAACTACTCAAATAAGTATGGTGCATTAAAAAAGTACTCAAATTGAATAAATTTGAATAAAAAAAGGGGTAATGATCCACTTTTAGGCCCACCATACTATCCCTAGCATGGATTAGGGCTGCAGTTCACGAACCGCGTAGGATTAAATGCAAGTGTGTTTTGCTGGAAAAATAAGAAAAATAAGAAAAATAAGAAAACATATGTAATAATAAATTCTCCTATGCTAGGTTCATGCATATACCCTTGTGTTATGTATCATAAACCTGACAGATCAACCATGATGATGAAGCTCTATATACTGAAATTCTTGGAAATAACCTTGGAAATAGTCTAATAGTGTCATATAGAAACTTTGAATTGACGATAGTGTTAAAGTATTGAAGTTTCACTATGAATTGATCGCTATTAAATGCCTCAAAAAGGGAATTCGGTTTTTATTATAGTGGAATTTTTATGACCGTTTCTTACCCCTGAGCCCCCTGTCAACAAGGTTCTCCGCTTAGCACGCTTAGCACGAGCAGAACACATGCCTGATGTGGGGGTAGATCGACCAATGCTTTTTTTCCCGGACCCTCAATGGGATTGAACTCTTCGTCCACTGGCAGTTTGAGTCTTTCTCTCTCTCACTGATTATTGCTTCAAAGGATACTACTGAAGTATCAAGAAAATTTAAGCATAAAGGATCACTAATGGTGATCTAAACATACTGAACTGGAAATCCGTGGAAACCGTCGATCTCTATTCCTCCCTATTACGACACTCCCGTCTATCCGTGAAACGCAAATCCCCCCTACATTCCTGGACCCCCCGCCCTCCCGCGCCCTCCATATTCGTCTTTCTGGACCTTTTGTCTTGAGTGGCTTCGTTTTCTCTTTCTATCGGCTAGACTTGCGCGCTCTGGACGCCTCCAATGCCAGGCGGTTCAATTCACCATGAGTGTCGTTGCCAGTAGACCGGAGACACCTTCTGTGCCCTATAATATCCCACAGGATGCCGATTGCAAGGAATGGGCCGTGACGGTGCAGCCAGTGGCGTCGCGAACCTCCTCCTTTTCCTCCTACAAATCCAATTATACAACATCAACTGCACCAACCTCGAATCCGCCGACATCTCCGACATCCCCGACGCTCTCTTCGCGTCAATTCGACTCCGTGGGTTCCATTGCAAAGGAGATTGAGCCAGTTCAACGTCGTTTGCCTCAAGAAGTTTACGATGGCATCCTTGACAACCTGGAGAATTTACATAAAGCTCCCAACCAGGCCGGCTGCACAACATGCTTTCAGCGTGACCTTCATGCCTTGTCCTTGACTTGTCGGTCATGGGAGAAGGCAGTACGCGCACGACTGTGCGTAGAGACCCGAGAACATACTATATCAGATGAAAGCGAGAGATGCTAATACCCCAGCCTTTACAGGTACAATCAAATACATATCGTTGGAACTGACTCGCCGGCTCAATTGAAGAAATACCGTCTCAAGAGAGGCAGTCGTTTGAAGTTGCTAAGACGTACCTTACGTGAACGGAAGTTGCTGGCCAATCTCGTCTACGAGCTCCGGGTTCCCCAAATGGATCTGCTTTTCACCACCACAAAGCACAGTACACAATGGCAAGAATACCGTGACCTGGTTGCGTCGGTTGTCATGTGTTGTCCGAATTTGGAACGATTACTCGGCTTGGCCATCACCTATCACCACGAGTTCGACCGCCTAACTCACGCCTTGTCGACACGAAAGAAGCTGAAGGAGCATATTTGGGTTCTTGGAGAAGCAACTGAGGTGACCGAAATGTCACCGCGTAGCGATTCTCACCCTGGTAGTCTGGGTCCCGATCAGATGTTCGAGTTCCTAGATTATCATGCTTCCTGGAGCAACCTGGAGACCTTAATGCTTTATGGGCTGAACGGAAATGGCGCTTTGGAGCCCAGTCTCCTTTTACGCATGCTTGATATTCTGCCTCGCTCAAGAATCTTTGTATCTCCTCCTTCAACGAAGATGCCTTTGCTGATAGCACCTTACTTTGTCTACCAGAATTGGAATCTGTGCGATTGGAGAATTTACCTGGTATTACAGAAGGTGGTCTCGTCCAATACACCTCACGCCCTGAGTGCCACTCGATGAAGACATTTGTTTTGGTAGAACCAAACATTGAGTGTCTGTTGGTCATCTCGAAGATCCTTTCTTCCCTTCAACAACTTGAACGATTCAAATTTGTACAAACTGGCAAAACCCCCACCCTGCCAAACGAAAACATGGTGTTCCAACCTATTTTCGCCTCCTCATCCCTCCAATACATTCACTGGGACGTTGCTTGTCCAGACCCCGGCACCGCTCTCACCCAACTCGACTCCCTCCCCTTCCACACCTCTCAAAAGACCTCCGATACTCCAAACGCTCATCTCGCCCAAAGCATTCTTTCAGCCGGTTTTCCGAACCTCCAAGCCCTTCGTGCACCGAATGATGTTGAACCTCCGGGTGCCTTGCAGGCTGTTTGCCGACCCATTACTAAAGGTCAAGCCCTGTTACGACCAGACCGCTACAGCTTGCCTCGCAGCTCCCACGGCTCTGTCAGTATCCGGCCACTAGCCTTACCTTCAGGAAACAATTTGACTTCTGCTCGAATCCGCGCTCAGACTTTCATCGATATGGCAGTCAAGAACACCGAAGCTGGTATGCGGGTTCTGATCCAGGATTATTCCGACGAGTTTGTCCCCGACAACGCGCTTGCAGCATCATTCGACGACGATCCAGAGGCAGAGATGGACGACTATGGTATCTGGGCCGCCTACGAGCGGTACAAGAACCGACCTGCCGACGAAGATCACCAAGGCCCGAGGACGGTATACGAGTTCCGAATGCCTGCTTACATGGGCCGGACTGGCATGGTAGACCCGTTGACTGGTGCATCCATCCCTCGCTTCATTCTACGACCTGATATCATGAGCCAAGAATCAGACGGTGGTCTTATTGGATGGAAACAAATTCTCGCATCAAATCAGTCTCTATCCTATGCTGCTGGTATGGGTGTTCACTGTTTCGACAGTCGAAGTACAGTTATTCTACCTCCGTTGGAGGAACTCACTTCACCATCATCAACTACTTCACGTTTCGCCTGGGGTAGCTTAGGTGGTCGATCATCTAGCACCCCTGCAACCCCGACTACCCCTATCACAAGCATAAGCAGCGGATCCAACTGTGCTCTTCCTTGGGACAAAGATTGTTGTACCGGATCATGGAACCATAAGATGGGCCGCGACTGGTGGTTCCATATGGAACGCGATCGCCCCGGAAACTCCGAACTCATTGACGCCAAACAACTCTTTTAAATGATACACACCCACCCCTCTTTCCACCATCATCCTCTCATTTCTCTACTTTCTCGATTCCCACGCCATATACCCCGCATTTTGGTCGATTTCTTTGTTACGGTGCTTTATGGATTGATTTTTACTTCATTCTCTTCTGGTGATACATACATGTCGGGATACTTGATAATTGGCGTTCTTGCTTTGATTTAATGGGCTTATCCGACGGTCCGTCTGCTTTGAACATATGGCGATGTACTAACATGTCCGCCCTTTTCTTCTTCTCTTGTCTATATGTACTATGCGCATGTGGATCTTTGGTCGGCGTTAAGTCTTTGGCTACCCCATCCATGGTGTCATGATATGGATGGAGCCTTGGAAACTGGGCAAAGCTATGTGACTTCTGGTCTTTGATCAGACATGCTGTACAGTTCTTGTACCATCATTTTGTACAATTTTGATTATTCTACCATGTACATTATCTTTGATAATATGAGATATATCATACTACTAGCACGTTGCCTAAGCTTCTCGGCTTATCTTAGACTCATTTGGAAAGTTTCAATTGCCTGTAAGGTGTACCTTGCTCATAAATTGACTTCTATCACTCTATTGAATCTTAATCCCTGTACTTCATACTTTGTACTATTTTTATGATCAATCAAATCTATCATGTTTATCTTTTGCCCCTTCAATAGATATATGACTCATCCGGGGTTTCATCGGCCCGATAAGCGAATGGGGACTGATAAGGCCGTCGCAGCCCCTCCATAAAAAAAACATCTCCCCGCCATTGATCGCGTGTCGCACTTCGAAGAGCATTCAATCATGGATCCGGCAAAGCCCGTTGACCTGCCCGAGCGGCCCAAGGAGGAGGCTGCCCCCGCTGACCCCAACAAGAAGTCCAAGAGCCAGCTTAAGAAGGAGCAGAAAGAGCGGGAGAAGCAAGCCAGGAAAGAACAGCAGAAAAATGCGCCTAAGCCTGCTAAGGATACCCAGCCCAAGGCCCCGAAGCCTAAGGAGGTCGCTACACCTTACGACCCCGATGCCATGTTCAAGGTTGGCTTCCTCTCCGATGTGTACCAGGAGAAGCCCCTCTCGGAAGCCGTCCCTAAGATTCGCACCCGATTCCCTCCCGAGCCCAACGGATACCTCCACATCGGACACAGCAAGGCTATTGCCATTAATTTTGGATTTTCGAGATTCCACGGTGGAGAATGCATTCTGCGCTTCGACGATACCAACCCCGCAGGCGAGGAGGAGCGATACTACGAGGCTATTCGGGATATCGTCAACTGGTTAGGCTTCAAGCCCGTGCGCGAGACTTGCGCAAGTGATAATTTCGAGAAGCTCCGCGAGCTTGCCATTGAGCTCATCAAGCGCGATGGTGCTTACGTCTGCCATTGTACTCCTGCTGAGGTTAGGGCCCAGCGTGGTGAGCGGGGTGAGGGCAAGGAGAAGACCCTCGGTGGAGAGCGTTTCGCCTGTAGCCATCGCACACGGCCAATTGAGGAGTCCCTGGCGGAGTTCAAGGCTATGCGCGAGGGCAAGTACAAGGCCGGTGAGGCTGCTCTGCGTATGAAGCAGGATATCACAGACCCCAACCCCCAGATGTGGGATCTGTTCGCTTGGCGTATCCCTGAAGGTGATAAGCAGCACCACCGGTCTACTGAGACATGTCTGCCAACCTATGATTTCGCTCACGGTAATTTGGTCTCATCATTTCTTGGAAGCTGAGAATAATCACTAATGATCCAATTTTTGCACTATGTAGCTCTCTGTGATAGCATTGAGGGAATCACTCACTCTCTGTGCACAACCGAGTTCGAGCTCTCGCGTGTCTCCTACGAATGGCTTTGCGATAAGCTCGAGGTCTACCGCCCCAACCAGCGCGAGTACGGCCGTCTCAACCTCACCGGAACCGTTCTCTCCAAGCGCAAGATTATTAAGCTTGTCAACGATGGCTACGTCCGTGACTGGGATGATCCCCGTCTGTACACCCTGATTGCTCTGCGCCGCCGCGGTATTCCTCCCGGTGCTATTCTGAACTTCGTCAACGACCTCGGTGTCACCAAGTCCGGTTCGAACGTGCAGACCGCGAAGTTCGAGTTCTCCGTTCGCCAGTTCCTCGAAACCACCGTCCCCGTTTGATGGTCGTTACCGAACCTCTCAAGATTATCATCGACGACCTCCCAGATGACCACGAAGAACTCCTCGAGATGCCTTTCTCCAAGGACCCTGCTTTCGGCACTCACACCATCCCCTTCACCAAGACCGTGTACATTGAGCGTTCCGATTTCCGCGAAGTCGACTCCCCAGATTACTTCCGTCTCGCTCCAGGCAAGACAGTCGGTCTTCTTAAGGTTCCCTACCCTATTACCGCTACAACTTTCGAAAAAGATCCTACCACCGGTGTCATTACCTGTGTGCACGCTAAGTACGAGAAGCCCGAGGAAGGCGCCCCGGCTAAGAAACCCAAGTCCTTCATCCACTGGGTCGCCGAGTCCCCTCGTCATAATAGTCCTATTCGCGCTGAGATCCGTGCTTTCAACCCGCTTTTCAAGTCCGATGATCCCAACTCCCACCCTGATGGCTTCCTTGCCGATATCAACCCGGACTCTGAGCAGATCTTCCCTGATGCCATGGTTGAGACTGGATTCGATGAGATTCGGGCTTCGGCGCCTTGGCCTAAGCAGGCTGCTGAGGAGGGTGATATCGAGGCTAATAAGCACTCTATTCGTTTCCAGGGTATGCGTGTTGCTTACTTCGCTGTTGATCGGGAGACTACAGCTGAGAAGTTGATTCTCAACCGTATTGTTACACTGAAGGATACCCAGGGTAAGAATTAAATGGACTTTGAGCATGGGATTGGGGGTTTTTTTGAGAGAGGTGCCTTGTCGTGATGAGGTGTTGGATATGGAGATATGGATTATGACCATTGCATTTTGGCTTGTTTTTGGCAATAGCAAGAACTTTTTATGAAACTGAATATAAAGAAAAACATATTATAAACTTCAGCTGTGCCAAATTGATATCTAATGAATATAAAAGTACTAGTATCATGGACATTGATCGGATGAGAATCTTCACTCTGAAGAGGTTGGTAATAATTCGGCTATACTACAAAGGTGGATATCTACTGGTTTCAGGAGACCCTACTGATTCAGTCTAATCGTCATGTTATTTGATTTAAAGGCATAATCACCCGCATGCATAGCGAATTACCAGCCCAGTTCATCGAGCAGAGCATACATACATGACATGGCGAATAACAAAGGAGATATAAGAGATAAACGGACCACCCAGTTCAAGACAAAAGTATACCCAACTCTAGACATAGATGCCCATGTTGGTATCCTTTTTCTTGGCCTGGACCTCGGCAATAGCATCAACGTAGTTCTCATGACCCACCTTGCTCATACCCTTTCGCAAGGCAATCATACCAGCCTCAACGCAAACAGCCTTAAGCTGAGCACCACCGAACTCATCAGTACTACGAGCCAACTCAGCCCAGTTAACACTATCCTCGACTGACATCTTACGCGAGTGAATCTGCAAGATGTTCGCACGAGCCTCCTCGTTTGGAAGAGGGAACTCGATCTTACGATCCAGACGACCGGAACGGAGCAAAGCGGGATCAAGAACATCGACACGGTTGGTCGCGGCCAGAACCTTGATACGGTCGTCTGAGGCAAATCCATCAAGCTGGTTCAGAAGTTCCAGCATGGTACGTTGGACTTCACGGTCACCGGACTTCTCGGAATCGAAACGCTTTGTGCCGACGGCGTCCAGCTCGTCAATGAAGATAATTGAGGGGGCCTTCTCCTTGGCCAGGGCGAAGCAGTCACGAACAAGCTTGGCTCCATCACCGATGAACATCTGTACCAGTTGTGGACCGGCAAGCTTGAGGAATGTGGCGTTTGTCTCGGCGGCACAGGCTCGTGCCAGGAGGGTCTTACCGGTTCCTGGGGGACCGTACATCAGAGCACCTGTAGAAGAAGAGAAATGTTAGTTATATGAGTTGATAAGAGGGGACAAGAAATGAGTAGCTTGGATTAGTCGCGCGGAAGGGAACAAAACACGTACCCTTTGGAGCCTTGATACCGATCTTCTTGAACTTCTCCGCCTCCTTCATCGGCCATACAATAGCCTCGACAATCTCCTCAATCTGCTTGTCCAGACCACCGATATCAGTGTACTTCTCCGTCGGCTTCTCGTCGACCTCCATAGCCTTGACACGGTTGTCATACTCCGCTGGTAGTGTGTCCAGGATGAGATATGAGTCCTTATTGACACCGATCAAATCACCGGGCTTCAGCTTCTCGTGATCGACCAAGCCGATAAGCGGGAGGAAGATAGTTTGACGGGTGGAGGTCTTAATGACAGCGGATTTGCCTACGCGGGTGGCATCCAAGTCGATGTTGGCCCCTTCCTCCGCGGCCTCAGCCTCAACATCAAGATCCAATAACTCGACGACGTTTCCAACGAGGTATGGTAGTTGTCTATTCAACAATGGGAGATCAGTGTCGTGAATCAAAAAAAGCATGATGTATAGCATTTGTCATCGTATCCATTGGATATGACTAGACTCCGCTCCGCAGGGTCCTAGAATCCCGTAGATAATCCATCCAACCCATTTGGGGGTCCGTACCTGTTGTTCTCAATCTTTTCTTGGTTATCCTTGACCTTCTCTCTCATTGTACTTTGCTCGTGTGTCAAACGCTGGAACTCGCTCTTCATAATCCGCATTTCGTTCTCCAGCATTCGCCGCCGCTTGACGATGTCCGCGGTGCTTGAGTGCAGAATTTCGTCATCTAGCAGCTCCTCTTCGTCATCCTTCTTGTCGACATCGTCCATCTCGGCATCCTCATCGCCGCCAGGCTTCTTGCCGTCATCTTGCTTCTTGTCTCTGGTTTCGCGCTCAAGGTCGTCGAGGTCCTCAAGAGTCGACATGATGGATGGTGAATTATCAAAGAGTTAGGTGAAAAAAAAACAATCGGACCGTAGAATAATTAGGCTATTAAATGACGAGGTGGACAATTCAAAAAGGATATGTGGAAGATGGAATTCGGGAGGTAGAAGGTTGGAGAAGAGCTCAGGTGTGGCCGAGCTCCAACAACGTCAGCCAATCACGTGATTATCAACACTACGCTCTACGAAAGGGTCTAGCTAGTTCATCCCATTTTTATGAACTTCCTGTACATTTATTACCCGTGGACCTTCTTTTACTACTTGGATACTAGGGGTTTTTCGATCGTCTAGCATTATTCCAGTTAAACTCTTCAGCTGCACAGTTAGTCGATATCTCTATTTTTCTTCCATATCCACATGTGCAACTTTCAAACTTGAAGATATACTACGGCAGTTAGCCTACCTCCGAGTCTTCAGGTATTCCGGGCACTGTAGGTAGTACTTACATACTCAGAGGAGTAGGTAGTCATTCCGAGGTCGCATAGTACAAGTACGACTAACAATCCAGCGGAGTATACATATAAACATGGGTGCTTGTATAAATGTCAGGCTCATTAGTACGATATGGCTTTCTATTTAACAGAGCTTCGTAGCCAAGTACATCCATGGATAATTTTTCCAAATTCACTTGCTTCGCACGGCGCTAGGTAGGACTTGTCTAGATTTAAATGGAAACCTGTCGACGAGGCACCTAATTAATAAATGGAGCCGGGGTGTGCAAAAGGCCCCCCCCTTGAATGTGGGCACAGTTCCCAAGCTGTTCAAAACCTTCTCTCGGCCATACTTGAGAAGTCGAAGTCGTGAGATGAAATCGTCATTATTGACTATTGTTGATAGTTAGCAAGGTGAGCTTTCTGTAAGAGCTGAATCACTGAGGACAACCCAGTATCGCATTTCGAAGACATACTGTAACCACCACACATTCTTCGCTTCCCAGTGAATTCAGAGCGGCCGTGTAACATTCTCCAATTGTCAAAAACTGGATAAATATCTAGGTTAGCCGATTCTTTTTATATTTATCTCATTTCATACTCACTTAGGGCTGTTCCCGGCTCCAATTGGGTCCAAATTTGGCGAGATTCCTCATTAAGAATCTCATTAAATCGTCTGGCCGCATTATACCAACTCTTTTGGACTCGTAGATTCCAATCACTCTTCGGCGCCCGATCGTAGTTGTTCCAGCGGACCTGGTACACCCTACCTGTGTCGGGATGGACAGATAGCACAGGAGCACGTGCTGAGGGCTGAATGCAGACATCTTCGTTGCCGCTTGAATGCCACGAATGTCTCTGCTCAATTAAAGACGTGAACAACTTCTTATTATCCAATCTAAGCTTGTTAGCAGCGCTAAGGGCATCCACGAGAAGACTCTCTCCTCCACTGCCATCGGTGTGTGATAGTAGATGGAATAGTTGAAGCCTTGCTGGGTCGGTGAAATAGGCGTTGTCGGTATGTCCACCGAGGAACTCGTTGGTGTACGCAGTATCCTTGAAGGTAAGGTCTGCAGTAAAGTCCCAGAATCCACCTGAGGCTTGTTAGTTCGGATTGAGAAAAATTGATGTAGGATTTAATACCATAGTGAGTATGCCGAATGAACGAGATGCGCTCGATCAACGTCTTTGTGGCTTCAGGGGTGACTGGAACTCCCTTGATAAAACAGAATCCATTGAGCCACTGAGAATTTCGGAGTTAGTCTTAGATTTTCGGAGAAAGGTATACAAGATGAACACATACTATTTTCCATAACCAATCCAGCACTGCACTCTCATCAGACACCACCTCTCCAAACTGGACTTCCGGATATTTTCCATCTTTGACGTATGGGGTGTAGATGGGCCTGTGATGCTCATTAGCATGTATAAATTCCCCCCCCCCCCCTCAAGAGGAATCCACAATGTTACGTACCTGACTTGTGGGAGCTTCTTGTAATTTAGAGGCACAGACCATGGAGTTATCCGGTGTGCGTCCAGCCAATCCCATGGATGAGTTGATTCGTGTCCATCGGTCCCTTTGTTTGAGTTAGATCAAAATTAGTTCAGTCATCTTTTGGAGGAGGTAACTAACAGGAGATCTTGACATCTTTATCGTTAGTTTCAAAGTTTGTCACGTCAACATCGTGAGAAATCTATAGACGGAGTGTGAGCCCATAACTTGAGCACTAGGATTGCTCTCAACAAAGACACAAACCAAAAAAGTATCAGAAATTCTTTGCTTCGTCTCAGGGTGAATGCATTTTGGGCACTGGCAGTTTTCTCTGAAATCTTTCTGTTAATGGGGTCCCAATTTCGAAGAATTTCATGTATGGCTATGTAGCCTCACCTAAGGAAGAATTTCCCGCTATTGTGGAGAGTTAGTATCGCTCCAGACAGATTCAATTTGAAGCATGCTTACAGCTTAAGCTCGTCCCATACTGCGCTATTGTCCCTTTTCAATGGAACATATCCTCTTTCAAATGCATTATAAGCTGCCTTCAATTCCTCCTCCTTGTTAAACTGCTGGAGAATAGGTATTTGCTTTGCGTTTTCGGGGATAGTGAATTCAGGCGACCGCCATGGAGGTGACCTCTTAAACTTGGCTGTTTCTCCTTTGGATTTCCTGTTCTTCTCATTGTAAGAAACACCCCCTGAGATCGTTCTCGACCCAGCTGCATATTGGATGTTCTGGGAGATACTGATCAGTCCGGTGTGTGAATCTTATGGAATTCCTTGTTTTGGAGTAAGAAATGGCTGTGGTCAATGGTCATAACATACCAAGCTAACTTGCTGAGGGGTATGCGCCCTGCTATTGTTAGTCTGGGTCAAAGGACAACTTCTGCGTAAATTCGCATACCGATTGACCTGCAGGGGGACCTTGGGGCGAATCAAGGCCGCTCGTGTGGTATTCATGGCGTGATGGGCTTTAATGCAGTTGAAAGTGAAGCTGGACTGCTCGGGTATGTAACTTGTAAGTAGATGTACTCCATGATATCTTCCGAGGTCCACGGGTCCTGAAAAGCGGGGCTTACCTAATAGGGTCAACGCTGCGGGCCCACGCGGGCGCGTTATACGATCAGGCTCAGGCTCCCGAGGTCATACTTAACTAAGCTACAGCTCGAAGCCTCGAACCACCCACTGTTAGTTGTATCCATAGGCGAATGGTCACCGACCCCTCCATATATATACAAGTCACGGTGCCTACAGGGGTACATAACTAGGGGGGGTAGGCTAGCCGCTGTATAGTTGGATGAGGAACAAAATAGGTATGTAGTACAGTATACCGATTGGATAAATGTAGACTTCCAAGGTTGAAGATGTCAACTCAAATAATGCTAGACGGTCAAAAACCTCCAGGGCTCCAGTACCCAAGTAGCGAAAAGTAGGAACCCGCCTTTCAAGTCCCAAGGTTATGGAGGACCGCCCCGAAGTTGGAACTATGGACCCTCGTCGAATTCATTGCATCATCCATGGACCCTCTCATTCTTTTCTTCACTGCCAGACACATATGGGTTTCTTTGGACTCCTATTGTTATTATCAGGCCCAGTCCACGGGTTCCGCAGAAAATGAACGTTTCTTCAAATAAGGCTATTAAGGCTTTACTCCTACCGGACTTTTCATCATTAATACGATCATATCACAGTCAACTGATCTTTTATGATGGAGCACAAAGCTCCCAGTTGGTTACTCAATTTCACAGACCTTCCAGCTGAGCTGGTGCTTTTTATCTGTGATTTTCTATCGCCAGCTCAGATGACATGTCTAGCCCTCTGCAACCACGGCTTGATGGATTTATTTGCTCCAAATGGTCCGAGGGCTCTGAGTAAACGACTTCTCCGAGGGCGACCTGGAAATATGACAAGTGAATGGAGCACTTTTTTGGCTATGCTTTCAAACGATCTTCCACAATACTACCTCTGCTGCATCTGCTTGCGACTCCATCTCTGGTGTACTGTCAACCCGCCAGGAATGGATCACTTGCAGCACATCGATTGGAAGGGCAGGCCCCAAAAATGTTTCCCGCGGCTTGAAAACGAAAAGGAATACGTCTGGCTGTGTGGATATTTCAAAGTAGACTGTTATGTGTCTAGCACCTGGTATCATTTCCATTTTGTTCACCTCCAACTGATGATGCGGTGGTTCCGCTATGGGCCGGCATACGGCCTGTCTCCTGATACAGCTTTCTTCACTCAGGTGAACGTACACCCTTTATCGAAATTTAAAGGGTCCCGTCTCGCATCGTTTTCGCCTGGCCCGGTCAACGAAATGTTCTACAAAGGCTATCTGACGCATATTTTCTCGGTTGAGGCACGAGCGTATCCAACAACCCCAAGTTTAGTCCTGGGACTTCAGGACATAGGCGTGGTATCGCGAGACTTTGCGCCCATGCTGATACCGAAAGAAGAAGTCGTCAGCATCTCGATATGCCGCCATTTTCACACCGTGAACCAAGAACCTTTCAATCTTTTCAAGTCCCACATTGAGGCATACTGTGCTAATCGAAGTCAGGGTATTTCCCGAGGCAACTGCAAAGAATGCAATACGGAATATGAGATTCGGGTTCAAGAAGCTGATACACACGATGTAACCCTCACAATTACACGTTGGATTGACTTGGGATCTGGGCTGAGTCTAGAAGATATACGGTGGAGATGCTATGTTTTCTTTGAGCCAGGCATAGTCCATACTTCGGACATCGTCTCTGATCCTCGTCAACGGTTTGAACAGGCCCCAGTCAGCTACGGAAGTTCCAGGAATGTATCGTTCGAGGAGCGGTATCGCGGGAATATGTCTTTGATGCATGCGCAGAGGTATAAGAATAGGATGAGGCAGGTTAGGGATTACTCCTGGGCCACCAACTATGATTTTGACTTACAAAGTCGCGACAAGGATCGGGGTTGCTGTATTGCTTAGCTGCGCTTGAATTACCTGAGCCCTGGAGGTGACAAAAATGGCATTTGGGTGCTGGAAGACTTTCTACTCGTTATTGCGGCCATTGATAGTCACAGTGTTCCATTTCCTATTACCAGCGAAATTGATTGCAATTTATTATCTAGGAGAAATTCAAGTCCAAGATTTTTTATAGGGTAGGCTTTACTGTCAAGCATGTAGCCTGAGGCATTCTCTTGCACTCAACGTGCCTTCCCATTTAGGAAGGAACACGACTTGACGAGGAAGGCACGACAGCGACGGCGACCCAACAAAAAATGGCGAGTCTGATTTGATCTTCTTCTTTTCCCCTTCCTTCTTCACCCCAAAGCATCGCGATTATAAGGTGTATTCAGTTTCCCTTGATTATACCATGATGTCCGGGTTAGAGTGCAAAGGAGTGTCTTTCAACGAGGCCATGCTGACAGTGGGGACGTGGGTTGCTACCTCCCTGGCAACTATTTTAGCTGGTCTCTGGAACCGATACTACATAGTACGTCAAAAGTCTGGTTACACCCCTATGCCTAAAATCTTCAAAGTTCAATATCTTAACCAAATCTTTTTAAAATTTATTTTAAATCCCTATCTAGATCTTTTATTCTATGTAGATGATATATATATTTCTGGTAAAAATTTATGACTCTATTTATGTGAGAAATTAGAGCTTTCTTATATTAAAGATAAAAATTTTACTGGCGTTTTAATGTAAAATATTATAAAAGATGATATATTATAAATTGCCTTGATCTATAGGAAAATGGTAGATAAATTGAATTTGGTTTATTCTAAGATAATTAAAAGTCTTTGTGTAGTATTATAAGTGCTTGAATAGGAACCTTGTAAAAAGAATAGATTTTGTGGTTTTTTTACTATGGGCGCTCATAGTAAAATGGTATTTTTCTACTTTGACTTAACTTTCGGAATCTATAGCTTATTTTTCGTAAATGAATCGTAAATGAAAACAAAGAACTTCTGGTATAAAGGTTATAGACTGATCAAATTTCTACAAGATCATGATTTCATCATAAGATATAAACTTTGTGGAAGGTAGATAATGGTGGTGGAAAATGGTGGAAAATGGCGATTTTGTATGGTAGGTATAAGTATGCAACCAGACTTTTGAACAGGCATGTACAACAAGCGTACGAGCCAGCCCGAGTCTGAGCAGACAGCTCCAATTCGTGTGCAAGTTGAGGTTGCGGATCCTAGGATCCCCCGTCTCGAGGAGCTCATGAAAACATTGGAGTTAAGGGTCAGATTGACTCTGTCTGTCGGGAAAAGGGCAAGAAAAAACCCGCTGGCCATCCTGAGGCTACGTCTGGTTAATGGGCTCTAGGGCTCATTGCTGGATGTGGACTCCGGTGGTTACGTGCATATAGTATGCATGGCGGTACATCCCAGAGGTGTCTTCGGATGCTTCTGCGCACCATCCTTGATTCAACACCTGGGTGGTGCGTCAGCGACGGGTTTGCACTTCTGCGCAGTGCTGACGACTAGTACCTTATGTGGTATCCATACTGGAGCTCATAAGAGAAGCTAAGACAAACCCATCTGTAGAATTTACTGACCATCCACCTGCCATCTTCTCAAGTACTCTCTTCAAATGTTTGGTATCTGTAATCTTCATGGCATGTTATTAATCTCAACCTACACATGGATGGGTATATGAATAGTGCATATGGTAGATCACAGCTTGCTCTTCGCCACAGTAACCTTCAACAAACACCGCCCATTACTCAAAACAACCTTGTCGTTTTGGTTCTTAGTGACGAATCGAATTTCCTCGAATCCATCAGGTCCAGCATTACCCAAGCGCCAGATCTCAGTGGTGAGCTTATCACCCGGTCGAACAGGCGAGGCAAAACGAGCCTGGAACTCTTTCAGGTTGGCCGGATCGCCCCCGCCAAGAAGACGCAGGATTCCGTGTGCGGCTGAGTTCCAGCTAAACAGACCGTGGATGATAATGCCGCCGAAGCCCATCTTTTGGCCTGGTTCAGGGGTAGCGTGAAGAGGGTTGTAGTCTCCATTGAGGCTGTATCGGTGTTAGTATATCACTTTGGGAATTTGATGTATAAAGGAACTTAGTAGGCGGGCTCATACCGGTACAGGTGTGCGGTCTCCATGTTGCTCTGGACGACGTGCACGGCATCAGGAGCCTTACCATGAGGGGGAGGGAAGTTGACAGTAGTAGGACCTGAGATTTGCATAAGCGACCGGATTATTATGTTTGAATTTAGAGCCAGTGGCTCACTCACCCTTAGGGCCACCCCAGCCGCCCTGTCCAACCAAGAAACCGCTAGACAGAACCTTTGAGTAGACATCGCCTGTTGCCTTGTCGACAATGGACTGCTCGGTTTCCACCACGGTACCGGGCTTGCCCTTGTCGTATACACCGATGACCTTGTTACGTAGCTCGAATGTACGTCCAGCACTGGTAGGAGGCAGGGGCTTCAGAACAGTCAGCTTGCGCTGGCCGTCAACACCATGGCGGTGATCCAGGGCCGGAACCCCAGGAATATGGGTTGCCTTTTGGCGGGCATAGAAATCAGTGACCTCCTGGTCAGTGAGCTTAAAAGCTGTATTGTTGGATGTCAGTGTCAGCTGCAAGGCATATTTAATTTCTCGTTGAGGCACATACGGAGAATAAGGGGGTAGGTCGGGAACACAGCAAAGTTGGGGTGCAACTCCTATTTTGTACCGTTAGAGAACATTTCGGTAGATCAATCGCTTTTTGTGGACCTACATAGAGGAACTGCAATTCATCGGCCTTACAGCCGATGCTGTTGGCGAAGAGTAAGACATCGCGCTTCTGCCAGGAGACCTCCTGGGCCGGGAATTCGTGACCAGCTCCGGGGGCAGGCATGATTATAATTGATATGAAACAAAGGTATTGAAAAAAGGAGGAAGAGAGAATCTTAAAAACTTGAAGAGCGGAGACTAGGAAGCTAGCTGTTAAAGTAGGTGAGCGCCAACTGCGGGGCGTCCCTGGAACCGAGGATCTGATAATGATTTGTTCCCATAATAAATTATAATTACCGAAGACGCGGCAGCTGCTTGGCACCGGCATATCTACCAGACTGGTTTATGTTGGCGCGTCAAACAATTCACCTGCCCAGGTCAATTGGTGACTTAGTAAGTCTGCTTATGGAGACCTCCGAGGTCGGGATGACCAGATACCTAGTAGATACTAGACACAAATTGTAAGAATATCTGGCCCATACTTACCCGACTGGTTCAAAAATGTTGATTAAGCACTCAAGTGCGTGGGCCCTGGAGGTGGATACTACTAGTTCCGAAGCAACCAGCTTCAAACTGTCTTACATACTGTCTATATACTAACATTGGAAGCGCTTGAGATTAATTTCGCCCTACTAGGCCAAGTTTGTCAAGTTTGTCGACTTTTACGTGTATTGCCGTCGCCTCCGTTCTCTAAACAGGACGTGAACGTTGGAAGATTATCTACTTACCGGAATAAGACGCGGGTAGATTCCAACATTTGAACCTTGGAAGGTTTTAAGGGCTTTTCATCGTTGATCTGAATGTTATCTTCCAAGGTTTTCAACTTCTTAATTTTGTTTCCGGCAATATTTGAACCGTCCTCAGCACAGGAAAAACTTCAGAATCCATCCACACTCGATATGGCACATTTCCTTAAGCCACCAGGGAAAAAAGAGAGAAAGTTGGAGAAAAAGGGGGAAATATATGCATTGCAATATCACCGCTTGGAAAAATTACTTCGCTTTGAAGGACCGTTCCATGGCGCGAATGGAATCCCATTTCTTCTTGAAACAGAACATGAGCTTCGGGAGATTACTCAGGAGGAGATATTCCTGGAAAAACAGATGAAGCAAGCTCCAGAGAAAAGAAAAGATTATGAAGCGAATCTCCGAAGTCTTAAAGAAAAATACTTCCTAGCTGATCAGACAAGAGCTCGACTAAACGTTCATATTGCCTGTGGGCCCCTGAAAGATTGTGCTAATAGGGGTGGATGTTGTGGCCGAGCCTGTGGATGTTGTCAAATTCGCCATCTTCAAGTTGGAGCGACTCGACAGTCGGGAGTAGGGCATTGTACGGTTGAATGTGGATGCTGCCAGGAGGATCGGAGGTTTGCACTTTCAGATAGTGCAAAAGAGCATATGAAAGTCTTATATTCATTAGATCAATCATATGATCGTCGATATTTTCGGAAAATAATGATGGCGTCGGTGTTTGGTCTTGCTTCTGATAGCACCGAGAATCCATTTGATCTGATTGATACGCCACCGAAATATGAAGAGAAAAACAGCTTGGCAACAACTTGAAGTGATCTGCCTATAAGGGTAGCTCAATACCTATCAGTGAAGAATGCTTCTTTGGTTTTATTTGTTTCCAGGCTTTAGTCTACATATGTCTTCTAACCTTGGAAGGTTATACCTATACTAGGTAGTATTGCTTAAGATCAAATGAACTTGAGCTCTAGACATTCAAATGTTCAAGCTGTTTCGCAGGCTGTTCTGTACTAGGCCACTCTGTAGTAGGCTGTTTTGCGCAATTTTAATAATATCTGGCCAATATTTACCAGACCGGTTATTCAGGGTGATTAAGATCGATACTACTAAATAGTTTAGAAAAAGAGATATGAAGATTAACCATTGAAGAAGTTTAATTCCTTTTGGACATAAAGAGCGTCGGAGTTGCTAAACTAAGCATCGACTCGGGGTATATCCATATCCACTTGGAATTCGAGGAGCTTCAGAAAATCTCTCCGTATCGCGCCATGAAGTAATGCCTTTTTCCCTGCCACCCAGATGATAAACGCCAGTGAAATAAACGGGCCGGAACCATGTTAAATAGCCCTGTGCAGATCCTTGCCCATGCTATGCTGCATTGCATTGGTGACGAAAAACTTTCCCGGAGAACGTGAAACTGCGTCGAAATGATCATAGAAGAGAAAAAAAAGAAATGAACAAAATAAAAGCAAAAAAAAATTATCGAAGCAAATTCCGAGAAATGTCAAAGAAGAAAAAAAAATTAGCACCTACAAAAAAGGATTAGCATGGGAAAGTTCAACGCTTCTAAAAAAAAGGGCCTGGTAGAAACTTACATGCGGTAGAAGCAGCTGCCCTGAGCAACACGGTTGGGGTCCTCAACAGCAAAGTTGTACGCGATGTTGATGTCAAGGTCACGCTTGTTCTTGTCGTTGGGTCGGTTCTCGAGTTGACCAGTAACAGTCTCGCCCTCCTCAATAGTAAGAACATCCTGGAGGTAGAAGACAGTCTGCTTCCAGTGAGTGTACTTGGCGTGGGGGCCAGTAGAGAAGTGAATAGGCTTGTGGCAAGCACTGAACTCAATATCGAACCAGGAGATCAGAGCGTGAATGAAGTCACTACGCTGAGCAGTCAGCTTGTAGGGCACACTGAACGCAAGGTCAGCGGCGGTGACGGTGTTCAGGTCGAAGGTGATGATGGGGCAGGGATCGGTAACGAGGGCCTTCATCTCAACGGTGTCGACGAGGGGCTCCTTCAGAGCGATGTCCTTCATGGGGCTGTAGTCGAAGCCGTAGACATTGTCCCAGACTAAAAGAAAAAGTTAGTAAGTTAAGACAAAATGATCCAAGTGGATCTACTTACAGCCAATCTTGTCGTCCTTGTAGTCACCATCCTCAATGGCAGCAACATACATGGTGGCCTTATCAGGGAAGATCTTGCCACCCTCGGCAAGGTAGGTGTCACGAGCGTACAAAACAGTGTCGAGCATGGACTCGTAGAGAAGGAAGTAACCCATCCACTCAGAGATGATGATATCAACCTTGGGGAATGGGAGAACAACCTCCTCCATCTTACCCTGGAGGAGAGTGATCTTGTCGGAGAGGCCGTTGACAGCGACAATCTCCTTGGCCTTCTCGATGATAGAGGACATATCCACACCGATGACATGCTTGGCACCAGCGCGAGCAGCGAACCTGCGCGGGGAATATTGGTCAGTACCATAGATCGACACATTGGGTGAAATTGAGATGCATACATGCTCAGAATACCAGTACCACAGCCAACATCCAGGACGACCTTGTCCTTGAAGATGTGGCGGTTCTGGTAGATCGAATCACGGTAGGAGCGAGTGCGGACATCATCCTTCTATAAAGGAAAAGATTGTTAGAAGATTGTCACAAACAAGATAAGACTAATCTTTCAACTGAGTATTGACTTACCAGCATCTCCTCGTGAATCCCTGAAACAAGATAAAAGCAATCATGTCAGTCAAACCCCGCACTACATTCCCGTTGAAAGCTTTGAGTGTAATTACCGTGGTGGTCGTAGCTGGATATCAATTAGCATCAGTGATCGAAGCTTATATTGTCAGAGGGACCTCATAATCACTTACCTGGTAAAGTAACGAACCTCAGCATGCTCCATGCCAACCATGCGATCGGCGCTGCTGGTGATAGCGCCAGGGGCGGCGGTCTCGGATCCACTCATCCTGGTAACTTAATAAGATTGGAAAAGGGGAAATAATAATTGTTATGAGGGTCGTGAAGATTGGGAAGAAGATGGATCGAAAAGAAAGATCCAGCAAGTAACGCCTCAACTTTTTTTTTTCGAAGGCGGAAGGCGCCAAGCTTCTCCCCAAAAAATCTCCCCGCCTGGATCACGCCAAACTACTTTGGGTAATCATCACGTGAAGGTGAAGCCCCTTCTCCACGTGATAGACTTAGGGCTAATTCCGACCAACTGGTCAACCATCACAGTAGTACTCTGTACGGAGTACGGAGTACATTATACTATTTTACTTGAAGATGGTTAACATTATTGGATAAAATGGAGCCAAAAAAAGAAAAAGAAAAAAAAAAAACCGGATTCGTCTTAAAGAAAAAAAAGACTTGCAAGAAAGATAGCAATTTTTTTTTTTTTTGATTTCCGAGTCTTTTCTTTTGCAAACCTAATCCATGGATCTTTTATACGTAGTCCAAACTTGCCCATGTAGTAAACATCTATTTGAATAGGTATCTGACCTTGAAAATATTGATGTCCTGTCTGGTAGTAGAACCATGATGATAGTAGTTGATAACTACTCCGTACCTAGGCAGGTACTAAAGCTTCAATGTTTAATCTTCAAGTTCGAGTGGAGAACATTTCATATTTGAATACTAGTATTTACTGATATATACAGTAGATATCTTCAAAAGTTCCTAGTTCAAGTTTAATCAAGCATTTGAAGCACTTGAGGCAACATAACAAAGTTTAATTGGATTATTGACCACGACTCGGAGTTGACCATACATACACTGCCAGTGGCATACCTAGGTATACACGTGTGGATAGATGTATAGATCTAGTGGCATTAAAGCCCAATTTGAATCTTCAAATTCAATCATGATATTTTGACCACATCTGCAAGTATACAGGCAACTTGAATTTAGTATTACTAGTAGTGACTCCGAGTTCAGAATTGTAAGCCATAATATACCCAGCCGCACTGGCAGCTCTCACATCATGATGCACTGCACCTAGTAACCTCAGTGCACATGCTTAGAACATGTACTCCGCTCTGGTATACTACTTAGTACTACATGCCATAACAGCCAGTGCTCAAGTGCTGGAGAGCCCGTGATATTGGTGAATGGCAATTAAAAAAATACAATATATAATTTTCTTGCCAGATTGATATTGGGAGCATTCAACGAGTTATAATATTAATATTTACTATTTATATCCAATTTATTGATCATCTCATGGAAATAATCCTAGCCAAGGCGGAATTCAAGTCATTGCCAAGACACCCCTAATCTCCGAGCTTCCGCCCCCAAATTGTGTCCCAGTGTCCAAGGTCGATTCCTCCTAACGCGTGTCCCGAAAAAAGCTACAGACCACCATGAATTTGGGCGCGTATCGAGTGACCTTGTCCACTCTTTTCACCATTCTTCTTGTAGCATGTCTTGTCGGTCAATCATCTGCTTCTCTAGGTGACCATCTCCCAGACTTTCGAGAATGTGTCCAGGTATTCCCTTTCCGCTTTCCTCAACCCCGAACCTTACACACAGCTAACGCATTTCCCCAGGTTTGTAAAACCGAGAATTGTCAGAACGGCAATTCGGTGCTACGTACGATTTTACCCCATCTATGATCATTTTCCTATTTCGCCTTCTGACCCGCCGCAGCTTTCCACCATCGCTTGTTATTATGGACCTGTCCGTCGGAGTGCGACTATACCTGCCAACATGTCATTACCGATCGCCGAGTTTCGCGTGACCCTCCCATGCTGGCCCCTGTGGTCCAATTCCATGGCAAATGGCCCTTCCGTCGCCTGCTAGGCATGCAGGAGCCCTTCTCCGTACTATTCTCCTTCTTCAACTTCCTCGCCCACTGGCACGGCATGTCCCGGATCCAGGAGGCCATCCCCGCCTGGCATTCGCTCCGACCATACTACATGATGTTTGGATATATTGGACTGGCGAGTTGGACATTTAGCATGCTGTTTCACACCAGAGATTTCCCTATTACAGAGAAACTGGATTACTGGGCAGCTGGAGCCAGTGTCCTGTTCGGTCTTTACCTTGCCGTGATCCGAATCCTGCGTCTCGACTTGGAACAGCCGCAGTACCGCCCCGCCTTGCGTCGGATGTGGACAGCCATTTGTATTCTACTATACACCATCCACGTTTGTTACCTGACCTTTTGGTCTTGGGACTATACTTACAACATGGTGGCCAATGTCATAGTTGGTATCATCCAGAACCTACTATGGACTGGGTTCAGTATTGTTCGTTACCAGAAACACCTCGAATCCTGGACGGCTTGGCCTGGTATGATTGTGGCATGGATCATCCTGGCTATGAGTCTGGAACTGCTCGATTTCCCTCCTTGGCATGGATTGATTGATGCCCATAGTCTTTGGCATCTGGGCACCGTGGTCCCTACAGCATGGTGGTATTCGTAAGTCTCTCGCTTGATCTTGCAGTTTTTTTTAAACTTTGCAATTTTCTTTTTTGCCCTTTTCCCTTTTCCCTTTTCCCTTTTCCCTTTTTTGCTTTTCCCTTTTTTGCTTTTTGCCCCTACTGTGTGTTTTCGTTGTGCAGTGACTAATGCATTGCTTCTGCAGGTTCCTTATCAAGGACACACAGGACGATATTGCCGGGCACCGATTGAAGGCGTGAGATAAAGCATAATGCAATGCAATCCGTCAGTTTATACCCATTCAAAAATTCGGTGAGGAACTTGTATAGGTCTGAGGATTCTTTTGTCCCTGCTTGTAGTTGTATAACAGCCGATGAAGGTCCTGGTGACCCATTGCTCCCCCATAATAATATCAAGGCAACTTGAATTCCTTATTCACATCTATCCTAACATTAAAAATGAAAATTAAAAAGCAATAGATCATTTTGCCATGGCCTTACTACTGTAGTATACGTAACATTATATATAATAGATTAAAGGGAAAATGCAAGAATCTATGGAACGTGTTTATGTTCCCCGCTCACCGCTAAGACCCGTCGCATTAAGCCGTGTCTCACTCTAAGCCCCTCGTTCCTTGTTTCTTTTTTTGGTTTCAGAAAAAGTCATCTCTTCCACTTCTCTCAAATAAAAATCAAGATTCTACTGTGTCCTGATCCTTGATCATCAACCTCATCATCTTTCAATTTGAGTTCAACCTTGTGTCACAATGGCCTCTCCGGCTGTCAAGGAAGCTATCACCAAGGCGGCGCTGCAGTATACAAAGCCCCAGGGAAAGGTTTTTGAATATGGTACTGCAGGTGTAAGTGGCTCTGCTCCATTGAAAATTTGACAGGACCTCAAGCTAACTATATATCTTGCGATAGTTCCGCATGAAGGCGTAAGTCTTCCCTATAATCAGACGTGCCCCCACATAACCCCGCGATCATCCTTTTTTTGTTGATGTCGGTTGGCGCTGATTACCCGAACCTCACAGGGACCTTCTCAACACCGTCATCTTCGCTGTGGGTTTGCTTGCTAGTTTGCGTTCGAAGAAGCTCAGTGGCCAATGGATTGGTATTATGGTAACTGCGAGTCACAACCCCGCAGAGGACAATGGAGTTAAGCTGGTTGACCCGATGGTAAGCAACGGACGCCCAAGTCTCGCACCAAATTAATGGGATTCTTCTCTCTAACACCTTTGGAACATCTAGGGCGAGATGCTTGAAGTAAGATCGATATTTCCGACAAAAAACATTCTTGTTCAAAGCTCATTATCCTTTCTAGGCTGAATGGGAGGCATACGCGACAAAGCTTGCCAATGCCCCGCTGGAATCTATCGCTGATGTCTATGACGAACTCGCGAGCAAGATCGATGTGAAGATGACCAACCCTGCCCGCGTCGTCTTTGCCCGCGACACTCGTGCCTCTGGTTCCCGCCTCGTGGGAGTCTTGAACGCCGCCCTGACTGCTACCGAGGTCGAGTTCATCGATTTCAAATACATGACCACCCCCCAGCTCCACTACATTGTGCGCTGCAAGAACACCCTTGGAACACAATACGAGTACGGAGAGCCTTCTGAGCAGGGTTATTACGAGAAGCTTGCAACATCTTTCAAGAAGGTCATGCGGGGAGTCAAGGTCCAGGGATCCTTGACCGTTGATTGCGCCAACGGTGTCGGAGGTCCTAAGCTGCGGGAACTTATCAAGGTCTTGGATACTGCTGGTGGCCTTGACATCAAGGTTGTTAACGATGACGTGATCAACCCTGATGCTCTGAACTTCGATGTAAGCAGACTTCCCTAGAACTATTAATCAACAGCGATCAAGCCTACTAACTACATTCAGTGCGGTGCCGACTACGTCAAGACAAAGCAACGCGCTCCTCCTTCTTCCAAGGCTGGTGCCCTTGACCGATGCGCTTCGCTGGATGGTGATGCTGACCGCTTGGTTTACTACTTTGTGGATGAGACTAACACTTTCCGCCTGCTGGATGGTGACCGTATTGCTACCCTGGCCGCTTCATTCATCGGCTACCTTGCCCAGAACGCTGGCATTTCCCAGAAGTTGAATATTGGTGTTATTCAGACTGCATACGCCAACGGCGCCTCCACCGAATACATTAAGAAGGTGCTGAAGCTCCCTACTGAGTACACCAAAACTGGTGTTAAGCACCTCCACCACGCCGCTCTCCGTTATGATGTTGGCGTCTACTTTGAGGCTAACGGCCACGGCACTGTCACATTCAATGAGAACGCCATGAAGGTCATCCGGAACACCGAGCCTCAATCGCCTGCTCAGAAACACGCTCTGGAGTCCCTCCAGGCTCTGACTGACCTGATCAACCAGGCCGTTGGTGATGCGCTCTCTGATATGTTGCTTGTCGAGGTTATCCTCGCTCACAAGGGCTGGAGCCCCAAGGAATGGCTGGGCACCTACACCGATTTGCCTTCCTTCCTTGAGCGTGTCGAGGTCGACGACCGCTCCATCTTCCGGACTGTCGAAGGGAGTGCCGAGCGTGAGCTCGAGTCCCCTTTCGGTCTGCAGGAGGAGATTAACTCACATCAGTCACAATTCAACCAGGCCCGCAGCTTTGTTCGTGCTAGTGGTACTGAGGATGCCGTCCGTGTCTACGCCGAGGCTGCTACTCGCTCTGAGGCTGATAGCCTCGTTAAACGTGTTAGAGCTGCGGTCGGGAAGGTCGGGAAACCTAAAGCTCAGCAGTGATGACCAAATAACAATATTGGTAAACCCTTTCGCAACCAATAATTACGACAACCTGTTTTTTTTTCTGCTTTTCTTGCAACTGGGGACCCTGCATATGACAGGGAGGCTATGGCCCCAGTAAAAATACTCTCCATATCATTTTGATGCAGTAATGAAACTCATTTAGCATGACTATTAGCGCATGACTATCAGCCTAGCAGTGAATCTTCCATAAATCAGCCTTAGAAAGCCACGATGTATTCAATGTTTAGAATCATTCCCATGGTTTGCTCATCACGTAGAGTATTAGATTCTTGAAGTTCATGGTGCTTGGCTAAACCACGCATGTACTCTTGTTGCATAGAAATCAGAAAATAATGAGAAGTAAATTCAATAAAAAGAAGAGGTACTAACTAAACATCGTGGAAACCAAGGATAAGAACTCTTCCGTCACGATACCCAAGAGCAAGATTACTGCCCTGAATAGCTGAGCAGCAGAAGGTGCGATAATCCGCAGGGAGCCATATAAGATTTTCTTTCCTGAAGGCAACCCACCCCTCCGCTATAGAAACATTTTGAAATAGAAGGTCAAGCTCAGATGAACTTTGATCGAAAATGGTCGCCGTTGAATCAGTGTCCACATCAGGGGTCTGTACCCGTTTGCCTGTCTCAACATCCCAGAACTGGATTGCATTGAACTTTTTGCCTGCCACTGTGCATGAGGTTCTTACTATTTTGCTATCTGGGGAGAACGCTAGAGACCGAACTTTATCGGATTAGTCATGAAGAGTATGAAGGTCTTGGCCTGTCTTAGCGTCCCAGAGCTTGATAGTTCTATCAACTGAGCCTGAGGCTACTAATTGGCCATCTAGGGAGAATGCCACAGATTGGACCGAATAAGAATGGCCATGGAGGGTCTGTAGCTCTCGGCCTGTTCTAGTATCCCAGAGCTTGATCGTATTATCATCTGAGCCTGAGACTATGGTTTGACCGTCTGGAGAGAAAGCCACAGATTTAAGAATCATAATGGCCCTGAAGGGTCTGCAAATCCGCACTCCAGGATTTCTCCACACGTGGCAGGACATGCAGCTTCTCTAGTCGCGTCTCTTCAAAGTGCTTCCTGACGATACTCTGCTTGGGTGAAAAAATCAGTCCAGAACAGTAAAGCTGCAATGGAGCAGTCTCAGCCATATAGATGTTTCTGAGGATAAATCGCTTAGCGTCGAAGAAAAACAGTGAAGCTCAGAACGCGGGTTGCGCTGTATAATCCATATTAGCCTCATTCAACCACTATTTGTGTAATTACTCACTTGCTTCAATGACTGTAGCTTGTCCACTATCTCAACAGTCTCTGATATTATCCCCATAAGGCTCATCGCTTCCAGCCAGTGCAGAAAATTCCGTTGGAGGAATTCTAGGATATCACTCTCGGAAATCTCTGCCTCTGTGGTAAAGAATCTGCTCCGCTCTAGATGATACACCCAGTAGCGACACGATTACTGGAGTTCTGATGGAAGAAACTGCCTGATGGTTTCATTTTTGATGTCCGCGCGCTGGATTCCGTAGTGCTGCAGATTACAGACATCGCGCTTCAAATACTGGTTCATAACATGAAGGCCATGCGACACTATATTCCCATGAATTTCCTGTATATCCAGAAAGAATCTTGTACCCGAGCACAGAAGAAATTCGCGAAACGATTCGTGCAGAACGGAAACTGGAGAATGATCATCTGCTGGTACACTTAGAACTGAACGGAGTTTGTTCAAGAGATATCCGACATCTGCAACTGAAATTGCAGGTGGCAGGAGGCTTCCAAGCGCATGAACTGATAGAGGTGCAGCAAGAAGAATAACTACTCCCACAATATCTTTGAACTCTTGCTCAAGTCTCTTTGACTCGGTTTCGTCTTCTGGGTCAAGGAGCTGCTCCAATACTGCTTGATACATGATCTTCATTTGGGGACCAGGATAGGGCGCGTGTGATTGAAGAATTGTGTCAAGGCGCTTTTGTGGGAGCTGCTTTCCATCTCCAATAAATCGGCACACGGTGGCGGCGTAAATGAATAGCGGAACATATTTTCTTACCAGCTTTTCTATAGCGTCATCTGCAGGCCAGGCCGTCGAGCGGACTGAAAGATTCTTTTTCCGAATACTCTCAAGGCCGTTTCTAAAAAAAAAAGTCGTATGTCATGCTCAATTATAGATTCTGCAACCTGATGAAGGGCCAGTTCTTGAATATCCTGCCGACCCTGATCAGACATGATTCCTTCGATGCCTTGAAAGATTTCAAGTTCAGGTCTGCCAGTGAGAAATATTTTCAGTCGTATGTTCTTGATCCTCTGCAGTTCTGGCAACAGTTTAAAGATGATCTGCAAATCTGTTTCTGTGCATTCATCTAACGCATCAACCACAATGACTATGACTCTGGTTGGATCTTGTGTCATGTCTTGTAGTGGTTTGAAGAGAAGCTTCCGAAATTGCTCCGAGAGAGCTTTGGGTGCGATCTGTGAGTCCTTGTTGACTACATCAGAGATTTGAGATGCAAGTTGATGAGTTGATATGAATCTTTTTGCATTGCCACGTTCAGCGTCATCTTTCTTAAAGAAGAAAACGGCTCCCAATTGCCTCTTGTTTTGGAACGAATTTGCAACAGTTCGAGCTAGAGTGGACTTCCTGTTCCAGCCATGCCGTTCAACCAAAAGAATCTGTTTTCGGAAGATTCAGCCCATGCCGAGATTTCCAGGAGAACATCAACTCTGGTATCCTCCAAACAGGTGGACACGCAGTCACGTTCATTTTCATAAAAGCCTAAAACTGCACCCTCTGCGAATGGGATACCAAAAGTAGAACAAGATTGTTAAGAGACTTTAGCAACTTGTCATCAATTGCAGTCAAGATTTTCTCTGCGGCTGCATCGTGCCTCTGGAAATTATCCAATTGAACTAATTGGTACAATTCTTGCTCAGCCTTCTCAATAGAGGATTGATTCTGTCCAAGCCATTGACTAGTGATTGCCGTGATACTGTCCAGCATTTTCTTTCCAGCGTGTTGTTTTTGAGCCATCTTCACATTTGCTGTGTATTGGAGGATTTCTTTGTAGACTCGGACTAATGCAGATCGCACCATCTCATTATCTGAACACTTGTGTTGAAAGAAGTTGACTTCATAATATGTGCACCGGGCGAGAACCTCCACAAGGTACTTCGCAACATTGAACAGGGCATTTTGACGATCCTTGTGATTTTGAGTCATCTATATCGGATATGAAATTGTATATTAGCCATCACGGCCTGAGACCTCGGGAATCTTTGGCAACATACCTTCAGTCCCAATGACACTACTGCCCATGCACTTGCAGCATAACCGGTAGAATCCCAAGCCACTCCCTTGCTGATCACATCTTGAACAGAAAGTGCCACCTTGATGCTTTTCCCTGCAACTTTTCGAAGATCAACATCTCCCCCCGTCGGGTTCTTAATTCTGAGACCGCCGGTTTTTTGATATTCCTTGTACGTGTCCTTGGTGGTCTCGATCACCTGTCCAACCATGTTCTTTGGCTGGGTATCATTTCTGACCTGTTCATCAGAACTAGATTCAGAATGAAATTGCAAATCGTCCTGGTCTTTCTGTTCTAGCTGTTCAAAAGCACATTGCCATAGATCCTGGGGCGAGGGAGAGTCACTGGGTTGGGACTGAGCGGTGATGGTTTCGCCGCGGTTGACTGGCTCTTGAGCATCGGATTCTTGAGTAATGGATGTATGGTCGAGACGAGTCTTATGTTTGTTGAATTGGGCTTCCGTAACCTGTCGTTTCCCAGATTTTGGAAGGACCCGGTCCTTGAACTTGGTAAAATGGCCCATCTTCATAAATTTCCAAGAGGAAGAAAACCAGTCCAGCTACCTCTAGATTTCCAAGTTCAGGAAACGAGAATCATGGGAATGATGGGGCCCTCTCTCAAGGCCGGCAAAATCGGGGGACAACGCAATCCATTCTAGTACAGTGTCTGGCATGCATGCATCCATATTTTGGAGGACCCGCTCACTTGTGCTGAATGGCTATAGTCTCCAGGGCTAGCTGTATTATGTACCAATTTCAGGGGAGAATCTCCAAGGTGATAAATGTGAGTTATCACATATGAATTGTGGTGTTCTATATCTGTATAAGTTACCACAAAACGCAAGGGCGATAGCGCGGGTCCTCCAAAATACGGATGGATGCTAGACACTATACGGACTACTAGTAGTAATCTCGGGCACCTGCATTAATTAACAAAACACAACTAACCAAATCAATGAACACGTCACCTTGGCGGAAACATGCTGCTACTCAGTGGATAACTCTGAGCTGTACACATTATTGGTTCAAATCTCTCCTCAAAACCCGGGAGATCTTGAATACTCATTGCTGCACTGAATGTTGAAATAAGAGGCGTTTTGTTTTGAGCACCCGTGGACGTTCGTTCTGATCGCATCTCTTTAGCCTTATCCATCAGGTGTCAAAGTCCCTATTTAGGTTAGCGTAAGAAATCAGGTCCATCGAAAGAGGCTAAGCCTATATTAGTAAATTAACACCTGATTCTCCAGGGCCACAAGAATGTTATCAAATTTGATATGGGCCCGCAACATAGTTGATCCGTAATCCTTCTCCGCCTGCAATTTTTGGAGACAAAAAAAAACTTCGGACTAGGAGATCAAAGCTCCAGCTTTCCTTAATCCTCATTCTTTGAGGCTATCACTTTTTCCATTTTTTATTGCAAAATCTAAAACAATTTTACAATGGCCAAAGCCCGCGTCAAGAAGCGCACCCACCTTCGGCCCCAAAATGCCTCTGCGGCGGCCAACAAGGCTGGCGCTGCCTCCATGAACAAACCCCCAAAGTCTATGGTTCTTCGTGTAGGCGGCTCACAAGTCGGTACAAGTGTGTCCCAACTTGTCAAGGATGTTCGTCGGATGATGGAGCCCGATACAGCCGTTCGATTGAAGGTATGGCAATTGTCCAATATTTTTATCCTTTTAAATATGCTAATCGCATATATCTAGGAACGCAAATCTAACCGACTGCGCGATTACACCGTCATGGCCGGTCCTCTCGGTGTCACACATTTAATGCTTTTCTCCAAGTCAAAGACTGGTAACACCAACATGCGTCTGGCTGTTACACCTCGTGGCCCTACCATGCATTTCCAAGTTGAGAATTACTCGCTCTGCCGCGATGTGGAGCGCGCTTTGAAGCGCCCTCAGAGTGGAGGCCAGGATCATAAGACACCACCCCTTCTGGTTATGAACAATTTCAACAGCCCAGATGCGACAGAGAATTCTAAAGTGCCGAAGCGTCTCGAGACCCTTACTACAACGATCTTTCAATCCCTCTTTCCCCCTATCAACCCTCAGGCCACCCCTCTTCATTCCATTCGTCGTGTCATGTTGTTGAACCGAGAGCCCTCCGAGTCCGAAGACGGTTCCTATGTCCTGAGTCTACGACACTACGCTATCGCTACAAAGAAGACAGGTGTATCAAAACGCATCCGCCGCTTGGATCCTAAGGAAGTCCGAAACCGTGAGAAGAAGAAGTCCGCTGTTCCAAATCTTGGAAAATTAGAGGATGCCGCCGACTACCTGCTTGACCCTTCTGCCGGTGGTTACACATCTGCCAGTGAGACCGAGCTGGACACAGACGCTGAAGTCGAGATCCAAGAGAGCACAACCCGACGAGTCCTCAACAAGCGCGAGCAGCAACGCCAGAAAGCCGCTGAGAAGGGCGAGAAGAAACCTGCTGCTACGCCAGGTGTGGAGAAGCGAGCAGTTAAGCTCGTCGAATTGGGACCCCGTTTGAAGCTCCGATTGATGAAGGTTGAAGACGGTGTCTGCGAGGGTAGAATTATGTGGCATGACTTTATCACCAAGAGTGAGAAGGAAATCAGGGCATTGGATCAGAATTGGGCTGTTAAGCGCAAGGAGAAGGCACAGAGAAAGAAGCAGCAGAGAGAGAATATTGAGAAGAAGAAGCAGGAGAAGGCTAAGGCTAGAGCCCGTGGCGAGAAGGTGGAAGATGATGATGAGGATGAGGATGTTGATATGGATGATGATGAAGCCGATTGGCTTAGTGACGATTTTGGTGAGGAGGACGAGGGTGGAGAAGATGACTCTGATGAGTCTATGGAGGATGAAGAGTAACACTGCGGGCTGCTGTCCACTCTTCCACAAAATTATCCCGATTTATACCCACGAGCCTTATGTTGGTTTCCGGTGTACATGTATGGAGTATTGCGAATCAATGGTTAAAATAGGAAAATGTGCATAATGCTTTTTTTGATTTCAAATCTTTCATCCTAAGGAATCTCATTGAAAATCAAGTCTTAGATATTGTAGATCTAGGGAATCCAAGGTTTCTAGCTAGGTAGTAAGTACCCTAGGTAATAGACCTCTTTTACTACTTGGATTCCTGCACTTTTATTTACCGCCGGTCTTGCCCAGGTGGTACCCGACTCGGAGGACAGCCTACAGCTTATCTCTATACCAGTTGCCCATATCCAACAATATAACAGCTAACTTCCCTTCCAGATAAACCTCCAGGTAACCCTGTAGGTAACCCTGTAGGTACCTACATACAAAGAGGGGTCGGACATCAGTCACATGTAGATGCTACTGACTCGGACTGAGCCCTGTACTTCAAGTAAGTATGTGAACACACCTGGCCGAGCACTTGAGTGCTGGGGACATATCCGAGTCTTTCCCAATTTCAAATGCTCGGTGCTATGTACACTGGCAGTGCCGCGCGAACCTCCAAGTTGGAAGCGCGGCGTGAGGACTTGTAGTTTCCAACATTAGTACTCCCGTACTAGTAGTACGTAGTACGCTGCAAATATTATTTCCCAACATTTGAAGGTTAGGTACTTCCACCACTATATAAATGTCAACACATCTGCCTCTTTGAACCTTTTTCCAATAATTTCTCGGTGGACTAAGTTTGAATGCCTTCAGAAAAACGGCTGCATAGATTCAACCTTGAAACCCTAGATTTAATGCCTTAGAAACATGGCATAAAAATCGGTCGACCTCGGCTTCAGGCTCAGCGCCGAGCGGTGTCGGCGTTTCAGCGGCGGTTTCGATCTACCCCAGCTATTCTTTAACCTCAGATCAGATTGTGGGAGTATTGTATATTTGTTGTTTACTTTCTTACATTGGCTGCATTCTGATAGTAATTACCTGTCATTTTATGAAAGCCTTCAGTATATCCTCACTTACATTTCTCCGAGTCTACGCTCCTTTCCTCACTCACACTCCTTGAGCCTCCAGCAATAATGACGCTCGCTCTTCGTTTCACACCACTGACTAGACGGTCAACTCTAAACGTCAATGCTCTGCGACGCATCCCGTTCGGGCGATATTATTCCAATGCAGCTTCAAGTATGGATGGCACGCTACCATTAGCCGGTATTCGTGTACTGGATATGACTCGAGTATTGGCAGGCGTGAGTATTGATCTCCATATAGCCTTCATTGTGTTATTTTCCGCTGACAATGACCATAGCCATACTGTACTCAAATCCTGGGAGATCTAGGGTATGCAATAATATTGAGCCTCCAATTTGTGGTTAATGCCCTTAAATATGTTCTGACTCGTTCAATTGCAGAGCAGATGTTATTAAAGTCGAGCACCCAGTGCGGGGTGATGACACCCGTGCCTGGGGCCCACCCTACGCGAAATATGAGGATGAGACTAGAGAAGGCCCTGGCGAGAGCGCTTACTATTTAGCTGTATGTGTTGCAAGAATACTGTGGATGCAAAACAACATATTAATGAGAGCAGGTCAATCGAAACAAAAAGTCCCTTGGATTATCGTTCCAACACAAGTCTGGCGTTGAGATTCTTCACAAACTCGCCAAGGAATGTGACGTCTTAGTTGAGAACTATCTCCCAGGAGCTCTCGCCAAATATGGCATGGATTATGAGACGCTCCACAAGATCAACCCCAAGTTGATCTACGCCAGTATCACAGGCTATGGTCAAACGGGACCATACAGCAACCGTGCTGGCTACGATGTCATGGTTGAAGCAGAGATGGGCCTTATGCACATTACCGGAGCGCGGGATGGGGCTCCTGTTAAGGTTGGAGTTGCAGTGACCGACTTGACGACAGGCTTATATACTTCCAATGCCATCATGGCGGCTTTGCTTGCACGAGCCCGTACAGGCAAGGGTCAGCATATTGATGCTTGCTTGAGTGATTGTCAAGTTGCCACCTTGTCAAATCTGGCTAGCTCTGCGTTGATTAGTGGTAAGAAGGATTCTGGTCGCTGGGGTACAGCACACCGTAAGTGGATCATGCATTGAATTCCTGGAAATGTTCTAATGGCGGGTTGCTAAACTTTACTTCTAGCGTCAATTGTACCATATCGAAGCTACAAGACCCTCGACGGAGACATCCTTTTTGGTGGTGGGAATGACAGACTATTTGGCGTTCTTTGCGATAGACTCGGATTTCCAGAGTGGAAGGCCGATGTACGCTTTCTTACAAACAGCGACCGCGTGAAACATCGGGCGGATATCGATAGCATGATTGAAGATATTACTCAGACAAAGACCACGCAGGAATGGCTAGAGATCTTCGAGGGCAGCGGAATGCCCTACGCAGCCGTGAATGACATTCAAGGAACCCTGAATCACAAACATGGTATGTTTCTGGAGGATACTATGGTATTGCCTGCTCATGTACTAACTATATGATAGTGTTGGCACGAAACATGGTCACTGAAGTCGAACACCCAGCCTGTGGCCCTATCAAGTTGGTCAATACTCCAATCAAGTACTCAGATGCAACACCGGGTATCCGATCACCTCCACCTACCCTCGGTCAACATACAAATGAGATTTTGGGTCGTATTCTAGACTATGAAGAAGCTGATATCGCTCGACTGAAGGAAGAGGGTGTGATCTCATGAGATACATGGGAACTGAGTGTTTTCTGAGGCGCAGAATAGAATATTTCCGCTGAGCTGATTATAAAGAGATGAGACTCGAATGAATTGATGACATAGTAAATGATAAAAACATGCATACAGATTTTCATGATGCTTGATTGAGGACATGTACATAGGAGAATATCTCCGGAGAGCTGGTTGATTGAGCTAATTTATCTAAATGATCTGTGGATGCAAATTCAAAGTGACTGAAGCTTCAATTATGACTAGTTTATTCATTACATAATTCCATGAATTAAAGCTACTTATAACTTAGAATGATCAATTATCATCTTCAAGTCATGATGAAGAGTATAGATGCCCCAGTTCTTTTATCATCCTTGATTGGCGGGGATGATCCACTGTGGAGAAGGTCACGTGAATTTATAGAGATATTTCTCGACATCATTTCAATGTTGCATTTGGTAGCCTGTCAAGACAATGTGTTATTAAGGAATTGTTTGCTCACTGTAAGTAAGAGATGGCTGCCTTGCTAGGTAGAATCTGAGAGTCGCTGCTCGCGTCAGTGAATCACGCGTTCCCCCACGTAAACATAAATAGACCTCCATCTCTCACTTCCTTCCTTCTTTCTTCTTCTCTTCCACAACACTTCCACAACTCTTCCTGCTCCCGCCATTTGTTTTCTGCTGCCTTTGAAAACACAAAACTCTTCTTCTTCCTCGTGTTCCTTCTTTACCGACAAGATGAACACCACAGGCCCAGCTGACAACAAGGGCCCCGTCGAGACTCGTACCAGCCGGGCTGGGCGAGCTCTCAAGGCCCCCAAAGCTTACGCTCCGGTTCCGACAGCCTCCACCACCGGTAAGCGTCCGACCCGAAAGAAGGCAATTGTTTGTGTCAAGTGCCACCGGGGTCATTCCCCGAACACAAACATGATCGTCTTCTGTGACGGTTGCGACGCCACCTGGCACCAACTGTGCCATGATCCGCCTATCGACGATCAGGTGGTCCTGGAGAAGGACACCGCGTGGCTCTGCCGAAGCTGCTCGCCTGTGCGGCGTTCAACCCCGGCCCGTCCGGCAAAAGTGAAGAAGGCAAAGCGCATTCACCCGCGCTTGCAGAAAGGACCGCGACTCGAGGTCCCTGGGGGCGAACTTCCCGTAGATGAGCGCCGCGCATACCTGTCCCGGCTTTCACATGCTGAGTTGGTCGAGCTTGCTGTGAAAGTTTCGGAGAACAACCCACAGGTACCCATGTTTCCCACCAACATGGCCGGGCTCCCTACCTCTCAGTTCGTCGCGACCCAGACCAGTCCCGACCCCTCTGCCGCCAAGTCGAAGAAGAGAAAGCTCGAACAGACGGAAACCAGCCGCGCCACCAAGAGATCCCGCACCACAGCCGGAACGTCAAAGGGAAAGGCGCCTCGTGCTCGTTCAGCACCGGCCTCAGCAACAGTGTCGGCCCCAGGTCTTCCTTCCAAGAGAGATCTGGCCTACCGACAGGCTCTGCTCCGGTACTCCACCGCGTACGATGTACCTTTCCGGGGGAACCCTCTCAAGGAACCCTCCACCGTTGACGGCTCCGAAGCCCCGTCTGTAACGGACCGTGAAACCTCACCAGCGCTCTCCGAGCCTCGTGACATCTCTCCGCCAGCTGAATTTTCCGAGCAAGAATTGCCAGAAGTCGAATCTTCGTCCGATGCCTTTGAACCAGCCATCGACCCTCGCTATGAGCACCGTGTCTACCCCAAATCCGGTCATGGATTTACTATCTCCTCAAACCCCGCCGACCTTGACATTCTTCGAGAACGTGCCGACTACGAAACCTTCAGCCATAGCCTTCATGGGCCAGCCAAGGATCCAGAGAGTTTCCAGGCCGCTCAGAATGCTGCAGCTGCTACCAAAGAGTCTGTACCCCCTAAGTCTTCAAAATCGCGTTCTTCGAAATCTGCTCCCCCCAAACCCCAATCTGGTTCTTCAAAACCTGGTTCTTCCAAATCTACATCTTACAATCCTGCTCCCCCCCCAAATCCCGTTCTTCCAAATCCGCCCCCTCTAACCCTGCATTTTCCGATTCTGCTCTCAAACCTGCTGCTTCTAAATCTCGTTCTTTGAAATCTGGTGCTTCCAAGTCTCGCGTTTCCAAATCTACCCCTACCAACCCAGGCCCCCCCACGACGTTCACAGCGTCTTCGGAAGTGATTTCTTTATTTCGCTGATTTTGAAACCCTGCAAAGAATTTCAGAATGAACTGACTCGACCCAGTCCATTCCTTTGACGAAGCAACCACCGAAGCTCAACAACAGATTTATCTCCTACCCTCGAATACAACAAACAGCTCTGCATAATGGAGTTCTGTTGAACCAGTCAGCAAATTGACAGTTCTCTGTGTGTCCAACCCGCGAATCGACCGTTCAACATGCTATTGTCTCTACCAGTTTAGAAGGAAGTTACCGCCGCGATTTGATGATCTCATGCTATTTCTACGAGTTCAGAAGGAAGTTCCCGCCGTGATATGAGAATTTTATGCTCTTGTCTCTACGAGTTCAGAAGGAAGTTACCGCCGCAATTTGATGATCTCATGCTATTTCTACGAGTTCAGAAGGAAGCTACTGCCGCGATTGGCCGTCTTACGCTATTGTCTCTACGAGTGCAGAAGGAAGCTACCGCTGCGATTTCATTATCCGTGTTATTGTCTCCATGGGTTTGGTGACTATGGCCGCTGCCATTTGACTGTCCATACTATATATCTGAGAGTTTGGAAGCTACTTCCACGATTGATCGTCTTATGCTATGTCTCAAGGAGTTTGGAACTATCACTGCGGCTTGACTGTCTATGTCATCGTTTCAAAGAGTTTAGAAGTCTTCGCCGCAATTTAATCATCTGGGTTACTGTCTCTGGGTTTGGAGACTACGACCGCCGCGAGTGACTGTCTTACACTATTGTCTCTACGAGATTCAGAGAGCTTGCAAGTACCGCCGCAATTGACTTCTTATGCTATTTTCTCGACGACTTTGGAACTGTTGCCGCGATTTCATCATCTGTGCTATTGTCTCTGTGGGTTTGGAGACTATGACCGCCGCGACTGACCGTCTTATGCTACGTCTCAAGAGTTCAGAAGTTTTCACCGCGATTTTATCATATATATTATACATCATTGTCTCTGTGGGTTTGGAGACTATATGACCGCTGAAATTCAACCATTCACATTCTTGCCTCGGAAATTTCGGAACTGACCACCACCGTTTGACCGTTGACTGTCTCTGTTATATGACTCAACTGTGATTCGACCATCGTATGTGCTACTATCTCTACGGGCATGTCCGCTTCCAGGATCAAAATTTTTAGATCCCATCGGTTCTTCATGAAGGCTGTAGGTTTTTCCAGCCTTCCGAGCTCACTTCCGAGGTTATACCTACTCTTCGCCTTGGAGCTGTGGCCAAGCTTCTTTTCCATTTCATGCCCATCTTCGAGGCCAAACGCCTCAGGCCGTGGTCGTATCTAGCGACCATAATTTCCAAATGAACAATCTATCCACAATCCAAATGAATTAATTTCTACTTCGTTCTATGAAATTCTTGTAACATTAATTCTCATCAATCATGCCCAGGTGCTCACTTGGCTGGTTTCGAAGCGATCAAGCCCTTAGAGCTGATAGTGGTCTTATCGGCCCCGCCCGCGCTTCACTTCCGCGACAGCTTACCCCATGACATCCACCGATCACCTTGATCCTCACAGCTATTCTACGGGCTGTTCTCCTTCCTTGCCTGGCGGGCTACCTGATAATGGGAATTCTCTCATGATATCCAGAAAGAAGTACTGGATTCAACACTACAACCACACGTTCACAAACTGCCTATCGCCCTACCTCAAAACAACCCCCAAGATCAGCAGAGGAGAACAAAGAGCACCGATAGACTATCCTCTTCAGGGGGAATAAGAAGATTTGATGTCTTCACCACCAATAATAACCACAAGGAGCGTTCTTCCTTCCCCAAAGCCTGCCAAGCCATGGACTCACCATTTGACACTCGACACTGTGGTCAAAGTCCTCCACCGAACAATCCTCAACCCGTTCCTTGCTTGGATCATTGTCCTCTGTCTCCGTGCCCAGGTTACACCACCCACACACCCAGCTTGGATTAGTGGCGTCAGCTATGCTATCTTTGTAACGCTGCTCTTCGTGGCGGGCACGATCAACCACCGCGTCGCGCATGGCCTCCCGCGAACTGTGGATCCCGAACATGAAGTCGTCCTTGTTACCGGTGGTGCTAGCGGGCTGGGCTTGCTTATTGCGCAACTATATGGTATGAGAGCAGCTAGCGTTGCTGTTCTAGATGTGAGGGAAATTGGAGAAAAGGAAATTGAAGAAGTATTTGGTGAGGGGGTTGATGTCAGATGTTATCAGGTTGATGTTGGCGATAGAAGCCAGTTGGAGAGTGCTAAAGAAAAGATTTTGGAAGAGGTATGTCTACAATATTCGAGTTTGAATTTATATGAATACCTTTTATCAATTGATTTTCATTTCCGCTAATTATGTATGCAATGCTATTGTACAGCTTGGGACACCGACTATCGTGATCAATTGTGCCGCTGCGAGAATTAATGGCCAATCGCTACTGGAACTGTCCGCAAATGCATTCGAGAAGACAATCCGCACGAATCTCACAGCCGCGTTTCATCTGTACCAGATTTTTCTTCCAGGTATTCTAGCAGCAGAAAGTGGAGGCACACTTGTGACTGTCAGCTCCGTCCTAGGCCAATTATCTCCAGCTGGATTGTCGGATTACTCTGCCAGTAAGGCCGGACTCAGTGCGCTACACCGAACAATGGAAGCAGAATTGCGTGGTTATGAGCATATCAAAACTTTGTTGGTGGAGACGGGCCAGATGTCAACACCGCTATTCAACTGGGTTCGCACCCCGAGTCATTTCTTTGCGCCAGTTCTAGAACCAGTTGAAGTCGCTCGAGAGATTGTGGCTGCGGTTGATAGTGGCCAGGGCGGTGTACTCAGGTTACCCGCATTTGGGAAACTGGTGAATTGGTATGCTGTGTTCCCGGGTGCATTGCAAGTTGTAGCACGGTACCTGAGTGGCATTGATGCTGCTGTATCTTCCGGTCTCCCGAGTCGTGAAACACCCAGCAGTAGCGGTGGACGGGTCCTCAGGAGCTCAAAGCGACGGACCGATTGATGGAGCATTTGACGTGTAATCAAGATCAATCTTTGTAAATATCAATGAATCCATGATACAGCGGATCTGGAACAGAGCCATGACTTCAGAGACGAATCCCATTTATTGCTCCCGAGTTAGAATCATCTTCTCACGTTCACTCTGTCTTGGCTTCAGATTCTTCTTGCTTGTATGCTTCCGTACATTCTCTTCACGTCTCTTAATAGCAGACAGCTCCTCACGCTTGATCTCACCAGCCTTCTTAATAGACTTAGGCACATGACGCTGTCTCTTGATGCGACGGATTTCGGGCATGTGCGAGTATCGCTTGATAAGAGCCTGATCGTACTCCAATTTGCTGCGCTGGCGAGCAGTCTTGATTCCACTTCGGTCAGATGCCTTGGCACGCCACAAACGGATGTTACCATCATCAGATCCAGACAAAACGTATTTGTTATCGGGGGTGAACATGGAAGAGAAGACTCGTTGCTGTCGCTTTCCGAAGTAGATGTCGAGACTGGCACCCTTGGATCTTGACCATAGACGCACTGTACGATCATATGATGCTGTCACCAGTTCCTCACCGGTAGGACTGAACTCAACATCCATAACAGCAGCAACGTGATCCTTGAGGACGTTCAAGGCCCGGTCGGTCTTTCTCATGTCAAACAAGTATGCATTGTGATCCTCGTTGGCCACGGCGAAGTTCATCGGCTCCATCATGTTGAAACACAACTTGTTCGAGGCCAATTTGAGAATCAGCTTGTGCACTGGTGTCGAAGTACGCAGGTCATACAGAATGACTGAGCGGTCAAGAGCAGTGGATCCAAGGACAGAGGTCTCGGAGGGGTTGAAAGCAATAGAAGTAATAGTATCGACGCTGGTTGGCCACTGCAGAGTCTGCGTGGGAGTCGAGGAGGAACGGGAAAGATCATAGATGGAAATCTGGGAAGAAGAAGCGGCAAACGCAGGTTGAGTGTAATGATGCGCAACGCTAGTAAAAGCACCTGTGCCCAGCCAGCTTGCCGTAGGAGGAGCATCGGCGCTCGAGTTGTATGGATCCCACAACTTGATAGTTTTGTCGCTAGCGCAGGACAAAAGTTTTCGATCATGAGTCCAAGACAATCCCTTCACAATACCTTCGTGTGCTTGAGTTTGAAAGACCTCTCCTCGAGTTGCCAAGTCCCAGACCTTGACCACACCGTCGCCACTGCCACTGGCAAAGCGTTCAAGCGAACCAGGATCCTTGGCCATGCTGTAAACACCATCCACGTGGCCGTCACCCATTTGACCCAGAAAGGGCGCAGCAAACATGCGCTCCATCTTGATAGCATTGAGAGCTCGAGTATATTCTCTAGCTCGCTCGAAAGGATGCTGGGCAGGATCGAGGTTACGGGATTGGCGAACAACAGCAGACCCAGGGGCCTGTTGTGACGCCACTGGGCGAGAAAGGGCTTTGATTTTCTACATAGAATTAGCATCAATTTCCGAATAATATCATTTTCGTCGGTAACACAGAAAAACTCACCATGGCGAAAGTATGATAGGCGTAGTAGAAAAGAAGAGACCAAGGCGGAGTGAACTTTTTTTTTTCTGTTGACGGGATGATTTGCTAAGCAGGCGGTGAGCCCGCAGCTGCCAGCTTCAAGCTCCCCGACTCACGCTTCAACAGTCTATCAACCTTCCATTCAAACATCCCCTACTTACGGTCCCATTTCATTCTTCAAATCCCTTTCTTTCCATTCTTATATCACTCCTTGATCTCCAGACTCGTCCACAATGGCCACTCCCTCCCAGGTCTCGCCTCGGATACAGGAAGTCCGGGACCTGGCGAAGCAGGACCCTTCGAAAGCCGTCAGCAGCTACCAGAACATCCTCTCTGAGGGCCCGGGATCCACAGAGGCTTCGTCGCGAGACTATGAGCATGCATTGATTGGATTGGGCGAGCTGCACCGTGATGCCAAGAAGCCGCAGGACATTGCAGAGCTCATCAAGACAAGCCGAGACACCTTTTCGTCATTTGCGAAGGCAAAGACCGCCAAGTTGGGTCAGTAACAGCCATCGATGCCCATTTGATGCATTTCTAACGGTCTCATTTTAGTCCGTCAACTCTTGGATCTAATCAGCGAAATTCCCAATACTCTCGACCTCCAAATCGCCGTCATCCAGTCATGCATAGAGTGGGCTATTGCCGAGCGACGGTCCTTCCTCCGACAAAACCTCCAAGCTAGATTGGTCGCTATTTACATGCAGAAGCAGACCTACTACGATGCCCTTACTCTTATCAACTCCCTCCTCCGCGAGCTGAAGCGTCTGGATGACAAACTCATGCTAGTGGAGGTGCAGCTGCTCGAGTCTCGTGTGTACCATGCTTTGGGCAACCAGGCCAAGGCACGAGCTGCTCTGACCGCAGCTCGAACATCAGCCGCCTCTGTCTACACACCTCCCAACCTGCAGGCCGGACTCGATATGCAGAGTGGTATGCTCCACGCAGAGGACAAGGACTTCAACACATCTTTCTCGTATTTCATTGAGGCATTGGAGGGTTATAGCTCTCTTGATGAAGGAGAGCTCGCTACCGCAACTTTGCAATACATGCTGCTGTGCAAGATTATGCTGAACTTGGTTGATGATGTCACACAATTGTTGGGCTCCAAGCAAGCCCAAAAGTATGCCAGCCCACGCCTGGAGGCCATGAAGGCTGTAGCCCGGGCTCATTCAAACCGCTCCCTGGAGGAATATGAAAAGGCTTTGTCTGACTACCGATATGAGCTTGGCAGTGACACCTTTATCCGGAATCACCTGCGCCGCTTGTACGATGCCATGTTGGAACAGAACTTAATCAAGGTGATCGAGCCCTTCAGCCGGGTGGAATTGGACCACATCGCCAAGATGGTTGGTCTTGATACCCAGCAAGTGGAGCGTAAGCTGTCGCAGATGATTCTGGACAAGGTGATCATTGGTGTTTTGGACCAAGGCTCAGGATGCTTGATTGTTTACGAAGAGACTCAACGTGATCAAGCTTATGATGCTGCACTAGACACTATCGAGAAGTTGAGCAATGTGGTGGAGGGTCTGTATACTAACCAGGCATCGCTCCTGGAGTAGACGGATGGATTATGGCAATGCAATTATGTTGATTCTTAGGAAATCATTCACGGTACACAAGGGTCACTGTATGACAATCGGCTAGAGTTCGAATATTCTACTTTATGCGCAATTCGGAATGGCAGCAACATGTACACCTCATCTGGCCAGGACATTTTTTATAACATCCCTGGATCTGAGTAGTAAATATCTATCATTCAAGTCCAGTGTGTGCAGTCACGTGGAATTGCATGTTCGTAGCAGAATTGTTTCAAATGTTCCCTTTCAACTCAATCTTGAGCTTGAACTTGAAGGATTCTAGTTTCATCTGATGGTGCATATTGGCCCCTTTGAGATGACTTATTTACGTTATCAATTATCAATTTCACCTCGCTAATTCCTTCTACTTCGGTCCTTCTTTGTTTCAGGTGCCACATGGTACTAGCAGTCGGATCCTGATGACGATCAAAGCCCTGAAGGTAGGTCGATATTTCATGATTCAAACGCAAATGAAGTACATATGAACTCGTACTAAAGTGCTACACTCCACTGTCTCTATTCTTGGGGTTTATGGCTGCAGTTAAGTCAACTCCAGAGCTCCGAGTCCTTTCTTAATACATACTCAAACACTACTACTTGAACATATGAAGCATCCAAATCTCTGAGAGAGTAGAATAAAAGAAATTCATTATATATCTATGGGACATATATGCAAAACACCTTTATAATCCATGAACCCGTAACCCGTAAGATAAAAGAAAAATATGGACCGCGAATTGATTCATGCAAGTCCATGATGCAAAAGAACAATCACTCGGCCTCCAGGGCCGAATTATTGAACCCTAATATCCGTCATCACGCGAATATTTCCCAATGCAATTTCAACATCTCGATCCGCCTCATTAACGAGTTTCTGCTTATCACTCTCACTCAGATTCGTCTCACCCTCCTGAGTGGAAGTGTAATTTTCACTCGAGTTCCTCTCAAACATCGCTGACTTGTTGCTTTCCCTGTGGCTCTTTCCACGGCTCCAAAGCGCCTTGGCAAGCGAGATAGCGTTGGGAACTGAGATGCAGATGATGGATAAGGAACCCTCGAGTCCGGCCCAGTACATATAGGGTGTCATACGCCACGTCTCGTCCTTTTTAACCGATGGAATAATCTGTGTCGTGGCTATTAATCGGCCGATGGCAATGATAATAACGATATAGGACAGGCAGAAGGTAACCAGCAAGTAGATTCGTCGGCGTAGACTGGTATTGAGGGACCAGATGTGGGGAATGGGAATAGCCAGGATCCAGATATCGATTGCGAAATCCGTGGCCGACTCAGCGGTATACCAACCGAATTGGTTAATACATGTCCCTGGGATTTCAGGATCCCAAACTTTCGCAATGGGATCACATTGGAAAATGGCGACGAAGCAAGCGGAGATAAGCCAACCAACAACCAGAGCACCGAGGACCCATAACTGATAGCGGAAAGATCGGTTGCTGATGTTGAAGACGCGGGCATAGAAGAAGAGGACGGATAATTTTGGAAGACATATACAAATGTCGAAGAAAATTATCGAGATTTCGAAAAGTTTGGCGCCTTGGAAGAGGTCTTTTTCGTTTTGAGCTCCAACAAAGTCTTCATGAAGTCCTAACCCAAGACGGATCCAGGTAATTAATAACCCTAAGACGATGATTGCGGATGGCTTCAAGGGTTGATGATAGTATGTTAGTTCTGATGTCCTTAAGTCCTTTTGGTACTCTACCATGGTGAGAATGAGAGAGTAACTTGAACTTACCCATGATGCCAGTGCAAGATAATCATCCCACCACCATTTTTGTTTTGTGATGATTTTTGATGCGATTCGAATAGCACTCGTTATCGTCGTCGCAACCAACAGAACAATCAAAAAGGCCTCTAGTGCTTTCCCACGGTCTGGGGTACCAGCGGGGATTTCCAAACCCATGTCCCTATAGTGTGATGCACCTTGTATGCACCTTGACAGGGAATAAGAAAACAGGGCTTGCCAGATCAAAAGTACAAGCATTTGAGAGGCGCGGGGCGCTCATAATACATATGAACTACACGCGGCCCAGGTCAAGCCACCAACCTAACCCGTGTTTGCAGCTTTAGAATCCACTCTGCACAAATATAGGCTGATGGCCCTAGCCCCAAAACCTGATGTCATTTTAACTTGATTAACTTCACAGTATGTAGATCTCTCCTATCTTGATTATCAGAAAGATGAACTATTAATCTCTGAACTTCATTGATCAATAGTATTCTTCACATCCAACTGAAATTTCTTTCATATATTCACCATATGAAATCATCTAGTTGTGATGAAAACACCACTCTTCAGTTGAATGAATTGATGATGAATCTCCACTGCATCCACTTACATTCCGTACCCACATGTTTATATTTCCATTACAGGTTAGTCTTTGCATTGGAAGGATTGTGACCGCCCCTCTCTAGATTGGGGGCCGCAAGCTTCAAGTTTAGCTGAGGGAGGCTGCACGGAGTACTCCGTTCTGATTACCCACATGTGCAAGACAACAGGGTAGGATCTACAATCACCCAATATCAGGTGGTATTGGTCGGTCATCATCCTTGAGTGATGAATTTCCCGAAGGATTTGCCAAGTCAGTGTGTTTTCAACTCCGTATATGCGGAGTTTACTGCGGACATGGTTGTTTCAGATGTCCCTTGTCAAATTCCCCGCTTTAATTCACTCACAGTGCGAGACTTGATGCTGATATTATGCAGTATCTCATAGAGAAGAACCTGTTTTACAGACATCTGGAGATCTCAGGCTGCCAGTGGATACAGAATAATGTACATCCAATTCTCATGATTGGTTTACATCACTCAGTGTTCAAATTCTATCGATCGGGGCTGATCTTTATCTCACGGCTTCTTTCAATCGAATCTTCTGTGTACTCAATGTTCTTTAAACAGCTTGAATATGGGTCTTCCAGAGATATCTGCGTCATTTAATCTATACAACCACATCTTGCTCCGGAGGAAATGATCAGAGAACACCGGAAGCCCCTCGATGCCTCATTCATAACCTCAGTTCACGAATAATCACAAGCGAATATTCTTAGCGAAGGAATTTTCAATGCTGCGTACCACACCAAAGCGGCTCATAGAGCTACCAAGAGATTGAAGCCCCTGCAATTAGCATAGTGTGCTCCATAGCATCACGGTACATGAGCTAGAGCTATACGGGGTACGGCCGAGGAAGATAGGGCAAAGCTTAAAGTTCTTAACTGTAATATCCATTTTTAGATTGATCGGTCCTTTATCCAGATTGGTAAGCTTGGCGACGCTTGAGGCGAGAGCGGCATAGACACCTGAGTAGTCACAGTAAAACGATTCCTGTTCTTTTACTCAGACAGGAACAGTGGCCTCAGTTATCCGTTCTTGAGAGATGAACCCGCGTTTCTGCGTGGGCCGCGCGGAAATAGTGCCTATTCGATTAGCGGGGCCGAGTTCGAATCCATAACGTCTGCGAGCATGTGCTGGTTTCTGGAACACCAAGATGGCTCGATGCTATCTGTGGCAAAGGGGCGGGATAACTAACTCTCACTCATGAACTGGGTAGAGCAGTAAGTAAGATATGCATACCAAACCATAATGAGGAGCAGTAATGGTTTTTAGCTTGTATGCCGTTGAGAGACACATGGTATAATGTGGCTTATTGAATAAGCCTTTATTCCCCGACTGCCACCTGTCTTGTTGCATATAACAAGCGTTTGAAGAGCCAAGACTCCAGTTTGCCTCATCTGTGTCTACTCCGTCTCTATAAGGGGTAGATCTTGTTCAACCCATCCGCAGTCTGAGGTTTTCTCCATAATAATGAATCTCAATATCTGTATCAGGACTCTACCGAGGCTGGGAGGGTGTAGCCAAGACAAAATTGATCGCGTCCCCTTGTCAACGGTATGTGAAGATGGAAAGGATGAGAGACGGGAAGTTCTGGGGGCGGTTTATCCTCATTAATAATATGGGATGATTAACTTGGCTCAATCAGTGTGTACACGGACCAAAGGGAGAGATCGTGCAGAAATAACATCCACTATGAAGATGAAGAAGTTAAGCGGAAGCCCCTTTCAAAACCTTTTCCTTGCAGAACTCTGGGGCAATTCCAAGAAACGATTATATTATCTACGTAACCTATTGTGGAAAGTGGAGATAGAAGATGACTTTTAGTGGGTCAATTGGACCATCAGGACTCTTCTAATAGGAGAGGTCGGGTATCAATTTGGGGGCCGACACTTTTTGCTCTATTTCCTCGATTTTCTCTATACGCGATACGCTGAGGTGAAAGTGGCCCCCAACAACAATGCTCCATGCACTCTGACACTAATAAATGGTCAATTGACACGTGAAATTTCAAGTTTCTGGTAATGTACTTCTAATGTCATCGAATATTTGAGTCTCCAGATGATTTGAAACAGCAGTTCTCAACCCGAATATCCTTTATGGTCCTAATCTACGCCGATGAGCCTAACGCGTGGATCTCAATGACTAGAGCCCAAGACGCAGATCAGAGATCAGACTTTCCTAGTTCATGCACATGTGTTTTACGTTACATCCTTCCCTACACTCACTCAGTATGGAGTAGATCGACAACTGGAACAATATGTTTCTAAAAACAGCAGCGTTTGGGTTTCCAGCATTGAACCATTCCTCGAGAGATCTCCATGACTAGGTAGCTCTGGGAGAATTCTACTAAGCCGCGCGATTTTTCCATCTAGACTCATGAAACAGTGTCTATGAATTCTCCCCAGGTCTTCTGCCACCACTCTGGCAGTGGCTACATAGTTGTAGCTATCGGTGATATTTGCTTTGGCGACTTTGGTATTGGTAAAGTATTCATCCCAGGCCTCGATAGAAGCATGAAATCCAAGATGACATGTCTTCAAGTCTCTATCAAGTTCTGACCACAAAAATGATCCTCATAATGAATGATGTCATGCCCGATTTACTCCAGGGCTGCTGCGTTAGTGTTCCTTCATAGTCGGGAGCCACTTCAACAACCTACAGTGTACGAGTCAGAGCAGTACCTCATTGTGGTCACTTTTGAATACCCAGATCTCAACTCAGGTGATCCACAGAGCTGATCTTTTTGCATGCTAAACCCTATGGGGTTTGTTTTATATCCGGATGCCTTGACGTTTGGCCACAAGCTTTCTCAGTAATCGATGTGTCTTGGAGTGTGGTGTCTCATCGTTCTCGAACTAGCGGTAGCGGTAGCAGGACTTAGAGGCCTGCTGTGCTTTGTTTTGGCGGCTTGAGAGGTGGAAGCATCATTTAACGATATCTATGGAGTAACTCATGTTACTAATGATGTGGTTGAACTCCACTAGACACTCCTTCCTGACCACACTTGAGGCCTACTTACTGAACTAAAACCCAGAGTATCAAGGCCCTGGATTCAGAAAATGCCCTTACATTTTAAATGAAGGTTTTTGCCCGCCTGGTCCGTCGGCAGAGAGCTGGGAATGGCCACAGAGAGTAACCACGTCGGCCCACAGTTTCTTGTGTTCAACTGCTGGCGTCCTTGATCCGACTTCCATTTCACTTGGCTTGAAAATCTATCTCGAAGGTCAACTGTTTGACAGAATCCCAGCTGAAAAAAGCTCGTGTCTTACCACTGATACTGATATATTGCAAATCTAGGTCTCGGTCTCTTACCTCCTAACAGTCCCTACCTCTATCCACGTCTCGAGTACCAAGAACAGTGGTTGTCCTATATAAATTGGGATTATACCTACAACAGTGTCAATCGCAAGGATAAGAGAGTTTTCGCGGTGGTTCTACAAATTGTCATCGGCATTCTAAAGAGACTCTTTCTGACTTCGGCATGACAACATCTTTGCTGAGCTGGGATAGGACTTCTTTTACCACAGCTGAGGTCAATCTCAGTGCAGATTTCATATCACCGAATCATCAAATTACTGCCATGGATTTTTGGCCTGGTCGCCATCATTTCCTCCCTCTTGAGGAGACAACCTCCTACTCATGATACGGGCTTTGTCAAAGGGAACAAGACTGACCCAAGGCAAAGCCAAAGAAAAATGATAGATTGCGACAAACATAGTATGCATATGCTGATCACTAACATTCATCCTCGGTCACCCGGAATTGATCTCTAGTCATTACGATACAAATGATAGCTGGAGCGTCAAGTCAGCAGTCGATACTCTCAGCGGTATCAATGTCATGAAATGCCAAGGAGATTGTTTGACAAGATGTTACAGACTTGAGTTAAATGTTACGGCATGGAATCTGAAGAGACATGGTATTTCAAGTGCGAAGGTCCAAAGGGTCACGATCAAGCTAAAGGCCGGGTGTGATATGCCGGCAAGTATGTGGATCATGAGATTCATGGCCCATAGGCTGTATTCCTCAGCACACAGTGATTCAAAGTTGTCTCACAAAGACATTTATTCTTGATTGAGCCCATATACTGCCTGGGGATAGTTAATGTCATCTACGGGCTATGTTAGACATTCTAGGCAGTGGCAGTATAACGTTCATTGTCTCCTATAGTCTAGGATGGCCTTGGCATTTAGCACCCACTCATCAATATTTTGCAAATAATGTGTGATAATTTATTGAATCTTCTTTGATTTAATATCTATCACAATGTGTATTCTACTATATTCATAGTATTTTGTGTCATAGTCTGTAGTACACATAATGTATGTATAAATGTTGCTGTCGCGACTTCCGAATCGGGTAAAGCGCGGCGGCAAAAGAATCGCGACTTCGCTCGTTCTCATCATCCACTCACTCCATCCCGACTGGAGCCCCTACTTCCCACTGGATCCGCAATGAACGCTCCAATGCAGCCCAATTTTGCCCGGGGTTTTCCCCCGACCGCCCAACGGTCTCCAGCCACTCCCCGTCGTCCACCTGGTCCAGGTTTGTTCCCTTTCCCGTCCCCAAGCTCCCTGCGCCAATCCTAACTAGTAACTCCAACAGGCCATATGCCCGTCGCAATGCCCCAGCACGCTGTGCCTGCTCAATACATGCCCGCTCAACGCGTCGTTCAGCATGTCGCAGAGGTTCCTCGTCGCGCCCGCAAACCCACCGATAAGAATATGCCCGATGGCATTGAAGATGTGGTCATCGGCGAGAGCGTCCAACAATACAAGAACCTTCACGAGCTAGAGAAGCGTCTCGATGCTGCTGTTGTGCGGAAACGCCTGGATATCCAGGACTCAATCAGCAGAACCAGCAAAAAATATCGGACCATGCGCATTTGGATCACCAACACCGTCGAGAACCAGCCTTGGCAGGGCCCTGGCAACAACCCAGGCTCTGGCCGATACAAGGTACGAATCGAAGGACGGCTCTTGGATGACAACACCGACTCTGCTTCCGAGGACGAGGATGAGGGCCCCGCGAATAAGGACGATGCGATGGACGAGGACAAGGACGAGGCCGATGAGAGCAAGGAATCTGCTTCAAAGAAATCCGCTCAGCGTTTCTCCCACTTTTTCAAGTCTGTCACGGTTGATTTCGATAAGCCCGCCAACGCCATTCCAGATGAGGTGAAGCCGGTCGCGTGGACCAAGCCACAGGTGCCGCCCAATACGACATCAGCGCCTCCGAACGCTGAGTTTGACAGCATCCAATTCACGCGTGCCTCTCAGGAGAACCTCAATGTTACTGTCAGTCTGGTGCAAGATGAGTCTCAAGAGCGATTCAAGCTGAGCAAGGAATTGGCTGAGGTGCTGGATGTTGAGGAGGAGACCCGAAGTGGCATCGTGCTTGGAATTTGGGATTACATCCGTGCCATGGAGTTGCAAGAAGATGAAGAGAAGCGGACAGTGCGCTGCGATCACCGCTTGCGCTCGGTAAGCTAAACTTGTACCTGATTTTCTATCCTTGTTTACTAATGAGTGGTCCTATTCTAGATCTTTGGCCGCGAGCAAATGTTCTTCCCCCAGATTCCCGAAAGCATCGCACCACACACCAGCCCCATTGACCCGATCAAGCTCCCATACACCATCCGGGTTGACGAGGACTTCCACAAAGACCCTACACCAACCATCTACGATATTCAGGTCGCCGTTGAAGATCCTCTGCGCGCCAAGATGATGGCTCTGATGCAAAACCCGCAGTACACAACCGGCATGCGTCAAATCTCCGCTTTGGACGACCAGGTCGCTCTCATTGTTCAGGCTCTTACTCACTCCCGTGCTCGCCACTCCTTCTTTACTTCTCTGAGCAATGACCCCGCAAACTTCGTCAACCGTTGGGTCAGCTCTCAGCGCCGTGATCTGGAGACAATCCTGGGTGATGTCAACACCGGAGGCGATGCGAGTGGAGCGGAGTTCCGCCGTGGTGGTGATGCTAGTGTTTGGGATTCGACTGTGGCAAGAGAAGCTGTTCGATACATGCTCGCTAAGCCCGATGCAGCTGCGCGATGAGCTCGCTTCGAGGAGTTATGATGATATTGAAGAGTCGTTTCTACTTAGTATTGTGCTTTATCTTCGGGGCGCTTTTCTGGTGTTTGGTTTGGTGTAGCTAGGGCATCTAAGGCTACTAATTAAGTTCAAAATTTATTCTTTTACCTTTTTTATCAGTATGATCATGCAGCTATATCTACCGTAGCTTGTCCGGGTCAGAACTCAAGTGCTTGAAGCAGATGCACCCTAGCATTCAAGTATTTGACTGTCAGTGCCCAGGTGCCACCGAGGCCACCAACTTGAACTTGAAACAGGTGTATCAACCATTCAACATTTGAAGTCCAACTTGATCAGCCGCCTGCATTATGTGACTCGGAGTACTACCTGCTAGTGCATACCACTGAGTGCACAAGACCCGTCACGGTGGACCAGCTCTGACTCGGAGGTCGTAGAAGAAAATATTGATTACATATGATCAATTAGTACTTCCAAGGCTGAACATTTGAACTTCTCTGAATCACTCTAGATCAATGTCGGAACTTGAATCATCATATGCTCGAGTTCTTCAACTACTATGGAAAATTGAAGTTCAAGTTATTAGTAGCACATACTACTAGCACTTGAGTACTCCAGGTCTATAAATTAAACATACTCTATTATGTAGGTAGTATTAGCACTTACTATGTAGTAGTAATATTGATGTGCCTCTGAGAGCACTTGAGCCCTGGAGCACCGTGACCGCCGCGGCTAGAGCAATATATATCAATTGATACTACATACTCAGGCTCCAGGCCCGACTCGGAGCTACCACTTCCAAGGTTCCAACTTCAAGTTGAAGTATAAAGAGCACTGGCACCATCCATCTACTACATATATATACTAGTATTAGTAGAACTCTGAGTCTCACAAAATCTTTACCTACTACTAGTAGTAGAGACTACCTAGGTACCTAGGTAGGAGAGCATTCAATTAAATACGGTACGTGGGTACCATGTATAAGGATGAACTACTAGCCCTAAAATCGTCCCGAGCCGCATGTATCTCTCGGGATTCTCTCCACTTGATACAGCTTTTGATATCCAACCTTGGAAGGCCCCTGGTTCTTTGAAGAGTCATTTGCACGGATTTAATTTGTTTGCTCTGGTGATCTTGGTGATCTCGCTGATCCTGATCCTGACGTTCTATTGGCTCGCTTAAGTTGGGATGGCAGGTGAGAGAAGTTGAAGCAAGCAAACATCCTTCAATATAAGGATTTGGCTGTGATGGTATTGATTGCGCAAGATCAAACTCTCACTATGCCTTTTTTCGCCTACCTTTCCTAATTTGGAATGCGTGATCTTGGAAGCTGTGTGATCTTGTTGCCTTCCCCCAGGGTATAAATTTATGGGATCTCTCCCTCTTCCAACTTCTTCCTTCCTCCATCTCTCTTCTTCAATCCACTTTCCATCATCCATCATCCATCATCATGATAATTCATCCTCATCAATCCTGATCCATCGTCATCATGACCTGTTATGGGCTTCCCATGTAAACTCCATTCCTTCAGGCCCTGTCAGCACTATGTCTCACCACGCGTTGTCTGATCAGCAACACGTCGTTGGATATAATGTTGTCACTCAACCCCATTTGTTTATATTTTGTTGACGCGACTTGACCTCGACCTTGCTGAAGCAACAACACAACATCCATCCACACATTATGTTGTTGACATGTCCCTGCCTTGACATGACTTTATCTTGTTGACACATCCGTTCACACAACATGACACGACCTTCAAGTGACATCCACTCACTTGGTCTTCCATCAACATGGCGGTGCTTTTTCAGTCGTCTTCTCAAGAGCTTCTATGTTCTTTTCCACACATCACATCCACTCACACATCTGTTGTTGATATGTCTTTACAATGACAAGATCCTGACCATCTTGGTTTGAACCTCCACTTTCCCTTTTCTTGTTTTCTCGACTTACTCTTGCTCCTAGGACTCACTTCAACTCAACCCCTGCTTGGTCTGTTCAACCTTTGAACGATATTCCACATTTCAATCTGCCACAGGTCATTCCACTCATATCTCAATACCTACAAACAGGTTGTCCACCCCACCCTCCAGGGTCTTGTCTTTTCAATCCTCTCTCCTGTCGACTTTGTCCTCCTTCCAAAGTTTGTCTTCACAAAGAAACAAACTTCATCCACTCAAATTCAATCTGCACTTTGCAATCTTTATCCACATCCACCGCAGACTCGAAGAGCCATGGACAGGTCACAGGAGAAAACAAACTTCCACTTCCTCTCTGCTGTTCTGTTTACGCCTGATCACCGTGAACAGACAGCCCAAGCTGCTATGACTGTGGCGGGTCTCCTTGAGCTTCAGGACAATCAGCCTTGCTCTGACAACACTTCGACCTCGAGCTTGATCGCTGTGGCGGGCTTCACTGAGACTTCAGGACAATCGGCCCAGTTGGTTTCCGAGAATTACTTGCTTGTATCACTTGCTACACTGGTAGTATCTGACCGCACGATCTGAGAATTAGGATGCTGTGTGCGTGGCGGGTTTCGGCGCAAACTTCAGGACAATCGTCACAGCGGGTTAGGGGTTATTGGATAGGGGAGTCCTGGAGGCTGGATGCATCATTGGCAAGGTGAGCAATAACGTAGATCACTCTCCTCGTGCGTACCTGCGCGACTCCACACTTTTGGCGAACGTACTTAAGGTGCAGTCATGAAATACCCGGGCTGACGTAGATCGCGCAACCCACAGATCTCACTCTCACTCTCTCATCTATCCGGTCAACGCTGGTATCCTTCCTCCAGGACAGCCTAGGACACAACTTCACCGATCTTGACAGTCTTTACATGTTACCTGTTTCCATCAGGCTTTTTGTTCGTCAAGGTCTTTCTACTTTCCACATCATCTTTGTACTTTCCACTTGCCATGCCAGGATATCAAGGACCATGATCACTCGGTCACATTGACTTGAGATTCAATCCACAACTCGGTCTCTTCTTGTCATTCCACTCCATCAAAACAATCCTCAATTGAAATGACCTTTCATCCACTCACAATATTTCATGTTGTCATATCTTCAACTTGACAAGGGTCCTGGGGCATCAATCAGCCCCGGCCACTCTGACACTTGATATCCAATAACAAACTACTCTTTCTCAATTTTTTTCATAAGTCCTCACCACTTGTAGCCGTAGAAAGATCCTTAAGGTAATATAGTATATTCTTTCATAGATCTTTAGGGCGCCGTCGATCATATGGAGATCACTCGGAACCTACTCCGAATTATCATCCGCGGAGCCAAAACTACCCCGCAAAGAACATTTCAAGAGCAATTGACCACGCCTCTCACACAGAAACCACAATGACGACTCCTAAAATCTCCAAAAATAAACAAAAGATGGCCAGCGGCGAGCTCTACCACGCCTTTACACCGGAGCTCGTCGCTGAGCGCGCAAGATGCAAAACAGCTTTACTAGCCTACAACGCAGCCGTAGGCGTGAAACCACGACGAGAGCTTGTTCGTTTATGGCGAGAGTGAGTCACCTCAAAATTACTATACTGAATCCATATCCAATATTCAAGCATTTCTAACATAATAACAGACTAATTCAAGACCCAACACCCCTCCCACCCCAACTGGAAGATACACTCCTAGACGAAGCGCAATTCGAAGACGAGCCCATTGTTGAAGGAAACGTGTACATGGATTATGGTACACAGGTCAAACTTGGTAAAGGTGTCTTTATAAACGCGTACTCTACCTGGATCGATACATGTGGAATTACCGTTGGCGCGAGGACGTTATTCGGTCCTTATGTCTCCCTGTATAGTGGAACTCATCCACTTGATCCCGAGATTCGGAATGGAACTAAGGGTCCTGAGACAGGAAAACCGATTGTCATTGGGGAGGATTGTTGGATTGGAGGAAATGTGGTTATTTTGCCTGGTATTACCATTGGCAGGGGGTCTACTGTTGGTGCTGGAAGTGTTGTTACTAAGGTATGTACAAGCCCTGGAGATCCATGTGGATGTGGATGGCTGGGTTGAGTTAACGAGTATAGGATGTACCACCTTTTCATGTTGTTGCAGGAAATCCAGCGAGGATCATTCGGAAGATTAAGACGAATATGGATCCTGAACAAAAAGCTGATGAGGAATAGAGGGTTAGATTTATGTGGAGTATGAAGTAGTACTAATAGAGAATTTGATGCTCCCTCATACAAGTGATCAATGTAAGAAACAGTTCAAAAAGTTCCATAAATCATGAATTATGACAACAGTACGGAGTATGTAAACAAGTATAAAAAATCAAGGCGAGAACACCTAATGTGCATGCTACCAATCAGCAGCGAACTAGAAGCAGATTATCCTCACAGAGGATTCATCCCACCATGCAATCCACAATTTCTCAACAGTGCAAAGTAACAAGGCAGAGCAGGGGATCTGTCTACTGTACGATGTACAACATCTCTACCAGGTATAAGAAGAATCTACTCATGATCCAGGAAGAGGAACCTTGGATGCAAGGTCTGCCCTCCGCCTCCTCACCTCCTCGGTGGCAACCACATCAGCTGCCGAGGTCTCAGCCTCACACATAGAAGAACCCTCAGCCTCCAACTTCGCAGCAGCCTCAAGAATAACCTCCTGCGCGAGGTCCTCCAGACTAGGAGCGGCAGTCTTCTCGGATGATTTACCGGTCTTTTCCTCCGGAACACGGAACCGTTTCATAACTGTCTCTACCATCTTGAAGAACCAGAAATAGTTCAGGAAGTTCAGAATCAGGTTAGAGGTCACATATGTGACAACCAGCCATGTTGGCACACCACCAGCCGTGTAATCCTTGAATCGGGCAATCTCTGCGTTAGCGCGCGCGCAAGTCTCATCGATACACATGCTACCGTCACGGGCTGGGTGGAAGACCTGGGCGTTGACATTGACGGGTTCTGTGAGTGGGTTCGAGGATGCGGACCAGGTTTGTTGCAGAGCTGTCCACATGTCACCGTAGACGATGGTGGATTGCCAGGTACCCCAGACAAGACGACAGGAGAAGAATACCGAGAGTAGGAGCATTCCATTGTACCATTGAGCTTTGCTGCCGGTCATGTTGACTTTATCGAGGAACCAGTGGATGTTGAGGAAGGGGGTTGAGAGCTCGTAGAGGATGAATACCGGGGCATAGTAGTTGAGGAAAGGTCTCTGAAGTCATCAAATTGGTAATGTTAGTCTTCAAATGTTTGCTGAGGATCCCGGGGGCGGGTGGAGAGGACAAGAATGTATGAGATCAACTTACGAAACCAAGACTAAAGACCCACAACGCACTGACAGCGTGGAAGAGCGTACCAATACCAAACATATCGATATAAAATGTGCTCACAATCAGATCATAGATGAAATATCCGACAGCTAGTGCCTGAATGAATCCGCAGGCACCTGTATATCCAAAGACCCGCTCGAGAGGAGACATAGAGTTCCGCTCATCATCGACAAACATAATCCACAATGCGAGTGCGTTGATAAGAACACTTTGTACTAGAGAGACAACATGGATATCCCAGTTCAGTTTCGTCCGGGCACTCAGCTTCGGGTAGGATTTCGGGAAGAAGATCGGCGATAGCCATGGCGAGAGGACTGAATGGATGAGCTGGTAAAAAGCAAAAGCCAGGATAACCTCATGAACGTGCTCAGTAAGAGTCGGACTATTAAGCCATAAGGCGTAGGGCTCGGCGATCTCTCCCAGCCATGCTGGAGGGGGGCCGAGAGGGTCCAACATAGTTGAATACCCTGAGCGGACAGCTAATATCCGGGTGTGGGGAGAGCTTCAAAGACCGCCGAAAATTAGGGGAAGAAAACGATGAAGTCTAGGAGATAGAGGAAAATTCCTCAGAAATCTACCACTTAGAAAAGAACCACGGACAAAGCCCTTTCTTTACAGTCGAGCGCCATGCAGAGCCATTGAAGAGAAGCGTTGGGGGTTTCAAGTTACCGGAGCACGCGGCCTCTGTGTTGCCTGAGGCACAATAATCACCCATCACATGACCACCTGCCTTATCAGGCAGCTGACCTACTATAACTGAATGACTTGATCATACATTGCAAGGTTGAATACTAGAGAGTAGATAAAGTGTATATATACTATGAGAATTTACTAAGAGAGAATCAATTTGATAATGGTAACATGTAACATTGGAAAGACTGTCATTAATCAACACATAAGGAATTCATACAGGCCCATAAAAAATAATAATCAAGACAAGAGTGGTATATGAAGCACGGACAAAAGAAAACACAAAGGGAATCCGTAACTCCAAAACCGATGCATGAAAAAAAGTTAGACCGTCATTGTTCACGAGACAGTCATTTCAGTCCCTAATCCACCATCAGGAGGAGCCTCCAGAAGTTTCATCCCCTCTGCTTCCACCGCCGAAGCAGTGTCAGAGAACTGGTCATCCCCATTCTCCTCTTTTTCTCCACCTTCGGTAGTAGCATCATCTCCATCATCGTTCTCACGAGCTGTCTCAGTATCATCGCCTGACTGAGATGATGCTTCAGACCCTTCATGGTCAGATTCTTGGTCGTGGTCATCATCCGCAATGGAACTCTCGACATATTCAGTTCGACCATCAGAAGTACCGCTCATACCGCTGGTACGACGGTCCTCGGAGATAACACTCTCAGTGACCCCAGTCACCACGCTGTCGGTGCAGGTCTCTGCGTAGCTAGCTTTGCGTTCCGTGCCCGCGTAACTAGAACGTCTATCCGTACCCGCGTAGCTAGTGTTGCGCTCTGTGCCAGCATCGCTTTCAACGTCACTCTGAAGCTCGTCTTCTTCGTGGAATGCTTCGTTCTCCTTGTTTGAAGTAGACTTGGGTCCTGCCCATGATGCCTTGCGGAGAGAGAAGTTCGATTTGACTGAGTGACTGCGCTTGAGGCTGGGCATGCCGGTATTGGGTCCAATCTGACGCCCTGCATCACGGTTTCCCGTGACATGGCTGAGGCTGAGAATGCGGCGCTCTTTGCCGATATTAGGCTGGACTGCGGTTGTTGCGGGTTGGTGACCGTGGACTGTGCGACGCTTGAGGGCCATGCCGACACCATTTCCGAGAAGACTGCGAGCATCTTTGGGCTCTCGAGCAGTGCTGACAGTGGTTGTACTCATCATACTAGGGCTTCGAGCACCAGTGCGGGAGGTACGGACGCTTCGATTGCGCTTGAGATTCATGGTGCTGATGCTACCGGATCGGCTCAGGAGTACGCTGCGGGCATGGTCGAGGACACCTTCCAAGATACGCTTCTCGAGACCATCGGCACGCTCCTCCATCTGCTGCATCTCTTCATGACGAATCTCGAGGGCAGTCTCAAGACCAGAAAGTTCCTTGCTCATCTTGGCGTTCTGCTTGGTGAGCTCATCCTTCTCAGTCTTCAAGGTGTGAAGCATCTTCAACAGAGAATCCTTCTCCTCGTGTAGACCAACGATCTCAGACTCAACTTGCTCTCGCTGGGCGACTCTGCGCTCCAGGGCAATCGCCACCTCTTCTGCCTCGCGACGCTTGCGCTCGGTGTCTTCAGCCACGAGGATTGACTGAGCAGCGAACATCTCATTCATTTTGCGAGTATTCTCCATGATGTCCTTATGCATTTCATCCAATTTCATCATCTGGGTGACAGTTTGATCAGGATCAACAGCATTGACTGGACGTTCAAGGAGGGCATCGAGCTTTTCATGGACGGAACCACTGCCACTGGTAGCTTGGTCGAGGATCAAATTGAGCTTCTCGTAGATGTCGCTGTTGGACGCAGCACTGGCCTCTAGGACACGATCAAGCTTGCTGTGAAGCTGGTCGTTCTTCGAATGTTCCACGAGCGTATTGAGCACTTCTTGAATGGGATTGTTCTTGGCGTGCTCCAGCAAATCATTCAATTTATTGTGTACAGGGTCGTCCTCAATTTCTCGAGAGGATTCTGGGGGAGGCAAGGCAGGGAGCATGGTCGGAATGGTTGATGGAAGTGCAGAGAGCTCCAACTTGACCTCCTCTGTTGACTTCTGGGAGTGATCGTAGTGGTCGCTGACAACTGTCAGGATCTCCTGAACAGTCTGCAAGATCTGAGGGTGGAATTCGAGTAGCTTGCTCTCGACACGCTCTGTGGCTGCAACAGCTCGCTCATTCTCGCCACGCGATTGCTCCTGATGGGACTTCGCCTCATTGTGCATCTCCTCCATTCGGGTGTAAGACTCGCCAACCTTTTCGGCTAGAGCTTTGGTATCTTCAGCCATGCGCTCGCATGTCTCCGTAACTGTAGTACCCATAGAACCAATCACAAGCTTGATGTCTTCTGCCAGGGATTTGGTGCTAGTGACCATCTCAGCGTGAGCCATATCTCGCTCTTCGGTCTCGGAAAATTTGGAGTGCAACGAGTTGTGCGCATCGTCGTATTTGGACAGGATTTCGCCAATCTTCTCATCGATCTTGGTACCAATTTCGTTGATGATGGCAGCTCGAGTCTCATCATGCTTGACTAGGGCAGCGGCATCTCTCTCCTCATTGTCAAGCTTGGTGGCATCATCCTCGCCACGAGCACGCTCAAATTCACGGTTGATGAGATCAGTAAGCTCCTTCACGTTCTCGACAGTAGTGAAGCTCTCTGCAGAGACCGCGAGACCTTCAAGAAGCTGCTTGAGTTCATTGAGGCCCTCGCTGCTACCATCGAGCTTGCTCTTGAGTTCCTCTCCAAGTTCTCCAACAACGTACTTGGCTTCATCGATCTTCTCGTCTATTTTCTCTGCAAGACCACCATGTTCAATTTTGCGAGCCTCAAAGCCTTGGGCGGTGAGGTCGTTGGCGGATTCCATCTTATCACGGAAGTCTGTGACGAGAGACGAGAGTTCGTTGATTTCATCCTTTGTAGGCAAAGATTCCACGTCAGGCAATTTCAGCTCATCGATTTGGGTTTTGACTTCGAAGATCATGGCCTCGACGGTCTGAAGATCAGACTTGAGTAGTTTTCCATTGTCGTCCCCTTCGTCTCCCTCCTCTGTCTCCTCGCCATCCTGACTCTTGCCCTTCAGTTCATCAACGGAGATCCAGACATCCTTGATGAGACCTTCAAGCGTACCGATATCAGCCTTGGTAGAGCCTTCGGCCTCAAGACGAGCAGAGAACTCAGCAATAGCGTCCTTTGCCTCTCGCACCATTGTCTCAAGAGCGGCGATTTGCTCGGCGCTGGCAAGCTCCTCGGGAGCTGGGAAGTTGATCTCGTCAAGCTGAGCCTTGGTGCTCAATATCAGGTTTTCAAGAGCATCAGTGTCTTCCTTGCGAGCAACACCCTCAGGCAGTTCTTTATTGGCACTCATCTCGCCCATGGCAAGCTGAACTTCTTGCAAAGCAACCATGATTTCATCCAAGTGACCACGATTCAGTGCACCCTCAGCTGGTTCCGAGACTTCAGATTGTTCCTCGGTTGGTGAGGCAGAGTCAATAGCATCAACTTTGTCGGTGAGTTGAGTAATCAGAGACTTCAAGCCCTCGATATCCGGTCCAAGGGTAGATTCACTAGCGAGTACCATCTCACCACCGCGAGTAGTTTCAGCATCGTCAATCTCCCTGGTGGCCTCCTCCTCCTCAGGCTGGCGCAGGGACTCCAGCTCAAGCCGGAGCTCAGCAAAGCCATCCTTGACAGTTTCCAGAATCTCAGAAGCATCGAATTCAGCGGGCTTGTCGAGGACCTTCTGAACATCCTCACGGATTGATTCAATTCCACCATTGAAAGCAACAAGGATCTCGCTTGTGTTAGATAACATGTTCTCGGTGCCATCTTTGTTGTGTTGGATTGTTTCCGCGCGCAAGGAGTCGAAATGTCCACGAAGGGCATCAATGATGTCTTCCTTGTCTGAAGGAGGCTCGGCGCGCACGACACTCATTTCCATTCGCTCCCGCATGGTCTCGAAATGCTCCTTCATCGAGTCAAGAACCTGCTCAATGCCAGGCTGACTGTTTTGCTGAGCTGCTTGCTCCTTCAAACCATCAAAATGCTCACGAAGAGCGGTGATGACATCTTCTTTGTTGGATGCAGGGGGTTCTACGGGAACCATGCTCATCTCCATACGCTCGCGGAGGCTTTCAAAGTGCTGCTTCATGGAATTGAGAATTTGCTCTTCCCCAGGCTGGGCACTCAACTTAGCATGCAGAGTGTCGAAGTTTGGTTGGAGAGCAGCAACAATGTCTTCCTTCTCCGATACGGGTTCAGCGGGAACAACACTCATTTCCATACGCTCGCGGATGGCCTCAAATTGCTCTGTAATAGAGTTGATGATCTGCTCTTCGGCAGGTTGAGCACCTAGCTGAGCATGGAGAGCATCAAAATTTTCCTGTAAAGCAGCAACAATATCTTCCTTCTCTGATATAGGTTCAGCAGCAACAAGACTTGTCGCCATAAGCTCACGCATAGCATCAAACTGTTCCTTCATGGAATTGAGAATTTGCTCTTCCGCGGGTTGAGCTCCGAGTTGAGCCTGTAGAGCATCGAAGTTTACCTGTAGGGCGGCAAGAATGTCTTCCTTCTCGGAGGCAGGGGGTTCAGCGGGAACAACGCTCATCTCCATACGCTCGCGCAGAGCGTCGAACTGCTCCTTGATCGAGTTAATGATCTGCTCTTCTGCGGGTTGAGCACCAAGTTGAGCATGTAGAGCATCGAAGTTTTCCTGTAGCGCGGCAACAATGTCGTCCTTCTCCGACACGGGCTCAGCGGGAACAGCGATTGTCTCCATACGCTCACGTATCACCTCAAGCTGCTCCTTCACAGAGTTGATTATCTCTTCTGTAGGTTGAGCACTAAGCTGAGCGTGGAGAGCATCGAAGTTTTCTTGCAAAGCAGTAACGATTTCTTCCTTTTCAGAACGGATAAGACTCATCTCCACAAGCTCACGCATGCCATCAAACTGTTCCTTCATAGAGCTCAAAATCTGCTCTTCTGCAGGTTGGGCGCTGAAGTGAGCATGTAAAGCATCGAAATTTTCCTGGAGGGCTGCAACAATGTCTTCCTTCTCAGATGCAGGTGGCTCAGAATGGACAAGGCTGGTCTCCATGCGCTCACGGATAGCCTCGAACTGCTCCTTGATAGAGTTGATGATTTGCTCCTCGGCAGGTTGGGCGCTGAGCTGGGCATGCAAGGCGTCGAAGTTGTCTTGCAAAGCGGCAACGATATCCTCCTTTTCTGAGGGTGGTGGTTCAGAGCGAACAACACTCGTTTCCATACGCTCATGCATACTTTCGAACTGTTCTTTGATGGAGTTGAGAATCTGTTCCTCGCCAGGCTGAGCATTGAGCTGCATGGTTTCCTCACGAAGAGCATCGATACTTTCACGCAGGGCAGCAATGATGTCCTCTTTGTCGGTTGATTCAGGCTCAGAGCGGACGACGCTCATCTCCGTGCGCTCGCGCATAGACTCAAGGTGTTCCTTGATTGAATTGAGGAGCTGTTCATCGCCGGGCTGGGATTTGAGCTGTATGGTTTCCTCACGAAGGGCATCAAGACTCTCTCGGAGAGCAGCGATGATATCTTCTTTATCCGAGGATGGTGGCTCGGCGCGGACAACACTCATCTCCATGCGCTCACGCATGGCTTCAAACTCTTCCTTAATCGAACTGAGAATCTGTGCATCGCCCGAGTTAGATTTGTGCTGCTCGCCAACCTCACGGATGGCATCGAGAATCTCGTCCTTTTCGCTCCCTGTGCGATGATTGTCGGTGAGAAGGTTGCTGATGGTTCCTCGAAGGTGCTCGAATTCCTTCTCCATTGCATCCAACAGCTCAGGGGTATCGGGATTGCTGCGAGGCGCATGTGATACGGCTGTGTCGGTGATCGTTTTCTCCATGTCGGCTTGGAGTAATCGGAATCCATCCTTGACGGTGTCGATGATCTCGTGTCTGCCAGAAACATCTTGAGCAGTGGCAACGTAGGACTCGATCTCCTGCCGTACAACAGCAAGCTCATCCTTGATGGTTTCCAGGACTTGTTCAGTATCTTGGCTATTGGGCGCAGAATACTGTTTCAATTCTTCTTTCATGCCCCCAATGACCTCTTGCAAGCGCTCAAGCACTTGATCGCCAACATTGAGGTTCGCAGCACTGGTAGCTTCTTGGAGGCCAGCGGTAATAGCTTCCATGAGATCCTCCTTGTTGAGTTCGATCTCCCGGGTCATAGTGTTGGCACTTTCGAACCCATCCACGATGGCATTGAAAACCTCCTCGCGAGTGAGGACCGGCTGTTGGACCTCCGTGCTAAGCGCAGACTTCTCAGACTCATGGTATCTGTGCAGGCCCTCTGAGATGGCTTCGAATATCTCGTCTGCGGAGAGGCTTTGGCTGTGAACATCAGCGCTCAGTGCTGTTTCCTTGGTTTGATTGGCGATCTCAATGCCTTCGGCGATGGCATCCATGATCTCTTCACGCGAAATGCTAGGGGGATTGGCAGGTGTTAAAGCAGACTGCTGAGCGTTGAATGCATCATTAATGGCATTCACAACATCTTCGCGAGAGACACGGCTGTCGTCCATTTCCTTCGCTGTAGTAAAGTGAGCCTCGAGACCGTCAGAGATGGCACTAACGATATCATCGCGGCCCAGGCCAGAGTCAAAGGACTCCTTGCTAACGACGCTCTGGGTAGCGATGGAGCGGGTCACGGCATCGAGAATCTCGTCTCGAAGATTGTTCATGTGCTCGAACTGCTCATCGTCGAGGGTTCTAGGAGCAGCAAATTGAGATCGCTCAGTGACAGCATGGAGAATATCATCGCGCACTGAATTGAGGTAGTGGATATGCTCATCGTCCAGAGAACGTTGAGATGGCTCTTGCCTCTCGGTCACGGCGTGAAGAATCTGATCTCGGATATTGTTGAGGTAGTTGACCTGATCCTCATCCAATCCGCGGGGCTGAGATTGGGCAATCTGGGACAGTCCATGGAGAATCTCGTCACGCATTGAGTACAAGTGGCTGACATGCTCCTCATCCAGGCCTCTGGATTGGGGCTGCAGCTTCTCTGATACAGCATGAAGAATATCATCTCGCATAGAGTTCAGGTGAGTGACATGTTCCTGGTCCAATCCACGAGAAGCAGACTCGGGCTTTTCCAGGCATTCCCGGATGGTGAGAATGATCTCGTCTCGTGTGATGGTTGGACTGTGCTCCACTGGTGGTGGTGTGAAGTTCTGCATGCCAGTCTGCACAGCAGCTAGCACTTCTTCATAGGTGATAGCCTGTTGGTGCTGAGGCTGATAGGACTTCAGACCCTCAGCTAGACACTCCAGAATCTCGTCACGCTCCAGGCCGATCGTCTGCAGCTCAATCTCTGGCTTATATGTCTCCCATGCTTCGCGCACGGTATCCAGGATGTCGTCTTTTTCCATTTGAGAACCTTGTGACTCTTGCTGAGGTTGAGGAAACTCGATCTCGTCCAAAGCCTTCTTCACGATGGAATAAATTTCGGCGCTGTTCATGGTGGACTGGAATTCTGATAGAGCAGTGGAGTGATTGCGGCTTTCATTAACAGTCGCAGCCAGCTGCTCCTGCAGATCGCGAAGGCTCTCATTGATTATGGCAGAAATTTCGTCTGCACTGAGGGGTTGAGACTGATCCTTGGGCTCTGCATCACTAACGATATTTGACTCGACAGTTTCCAGCTTTCGAGCAAGATCACGGCCCATGCCAAGAACCTCGCCTCGAAGCTCACGTACCAAGGCTTTCACACCATTGGTCATACCACCACTTTCAACGACGCTGTTTTTGACACTTCGTAAAATCGTCAAAACCTCGTCGCCACTGGCTGAGGCACGTTGAAGTTGGTTGTTTGAGGATGGTACATTCAAGGCTCGCACAGTCGCCGATCCATCAATCGATCCAAGAGAAGCAGATCGAGTACCTTCCACATTGGCACTGTCCGGTGGGCGAAGGTTCTGAGTCGTCATAGAGCGAACAAGAGCTTTACTGGAAGGATCTTCTTTGACAAGGTTCAAGATTTCTTCTAGCATATTGGTGATCTTCGTATCGGCATCTTTGTCGGATGGCGTAGCTGCGGGACGTGACTTGATTTCATCGACGAGTTCCAGAAGCCTCTCCTCACCTTCCTTCGTGGCCATTTCACGCAAAACTTTTTCGAGCAAGGCAATACTAGCGGATCCATCGGATATTGGTGCAGGCGATCCACATATATCACGATCGAAAGCGAAGGGGTTAGGGCTGGGCATTCGTGGCACAGAGTAGCTTCTCTTGGAATTGGGAGAACTATCCGATTCAGTGGGGTTAGGCCCGTTTTCAGGCTTCAGGAATGCACCGAGATCAAACCTTGAAAATTCACCATCCAAATACTTCGACGTGAGGCTGGAGGACAAATCCTTCAGGCTCTTTCGAATATCTTCATCTCGAGCATTGGTTGCAGCCTTCAAGCTGACCAAGTCAGTTGCATTATCTTTACTTCGTCGACTCAGATTTGACATTTCGCGCTGAAGGTTGCTGGCAATATCGGTGAGGCTGTGAATCTGGGACGCGAGGGTATCCATGGTGTGGGCGCGATCCTCGGATTTGGGCGCCGGGAGCATCTTGGGAGGTTTTGAGGGAGATGGCGGGTCATTATCAATTGGAAGTTGCATATTCTGTAAAGCCAGCATAGTGGCAGAGGGAGGTGTGCTTTCGCCAAAGAGGGGTTTTGACAGATAACGGCTAGACACATAGCTAGGGATTTCGCGCTCAGCTGCGCGGGCTGGTGGTGATTCTGGACCTTTGCTCGAATCCTGCGGCTTGGTCGTCGGATCAACAATGGTAGCTCGGAGAGGTCGTTCTGGGGATCGGCTTTCCAAGTAATTCAGGAATTCAGAACGTGCGTCGCCCTTGGTGTCACTAGGCTGTAAAGATTGCATGCGCTTATGATAATGGCCCTTGACCAGTGAGCGTTCTGGAGAACCAGACTTGGGAGGCATAGGATTTGTTGTGTAAGAGCTTAGCGCATTCTCACTCGACCTGTCTTGAAACTTGGCTGCCACGGCCTGGATGTTGGGAGAGACGTTGTTCTTGGTAGCAGGGCTCATGGAGCGAGGATTCAAAGGCAATGGAGGAGGCGCGCGCTCTGGGTCGGAGCTGTCCCACCTGCGTGAACGACGACGCTTTAGTATTTTTGTCCAGTCATACATGGTATGTTGTTGATGTCTGTGTAATCCAAATTCAAAACGAAGAGACCTACATTGGAACTAAATGCCGACTGGACTCGCTATGAGTCGGTTGATGCCGGACCAGTTCCCGATCGCGGGCAGAAGCGTCCCGATCTTGAGACGGCATGATGATTTTGTGTGTAGAGGAAGGAGATGAGATGTCTCAGAGTGGTATTGACAATCAAGTGGGTATTGGAATGTAGGGGAATTGCGTTTGTTGTAAGGCTCAGAAAACAAGGGTCGTCAAGGCGTAACAAAACCACAGATCGCTAGAAAACAAAGCAGTGGGAAAAGACGGTGTAACCAAGCATCAAACTCCAGGAGATCAGCTTGATAAGAAGGGAAGTCTGGAAGTGGAGATGGGGAAACAAGAACCACTACGCGGCGTACACATCACACATGGCGACCATAGCAACGGGAGTAGTCACGTCGTCATGTAAACAAACCCCAAGGCGGTGAGACCCAGTTGCGATCGCCTTGGAACAGCCCAATTTTCAAGGTTGGAACCTAGATCGCTTACATAAGGCAAAATACAAATTTTCGGATTAATTGATCCGGGGATTGACCGAGGCTATGCCGAATGGGGTAATGCACCAAGTTTGGTTTAGTCGTTTGTAGTCGGTAAGTCAACCAATCATACAGTCGCACACAAATCTCATTTGCCCTTAACCCTCTCTACCCAAGCGAAAACCTGAACACTTCGATCTTGACTGTTCCGTACTCCGACAACCAACCCGACAATCTCGCCGCTTACCGGGACCTCCACAATGAAGTGTGCGTATACGATGAATCTACGACTCTGTTATTCGATTCCATGCTGACGAGAATTCCGCGATATAGTCATGAAAGTGGGCCGTGTGGCCATTATCACCCGTGGCCGTTTCGCCGGAAAGAAGGTACGACAACCGAACGCTCCTCCCCCCGAAAGACAAGAGAATACACAGAGATACGGGAATCAATGGCGATTTGCAAGAGGAGGACCATGCCAGTTGCGTTTATCGAATTGCAGCAACAGTTACAAGATTATCGATCGAAGGAATCAAAAATCTGGAGAAATCGCTAGATGATGGAAAACGCACCCACGATAAAAGGAATCAAACATAACTGACAGCGCGATTCGTTTTCAGGTCGTCATTGTCCAGCCTCAGGACTCTGGCTCCAAGGCGCACCCCTTCCCCTTCGCCATCGTCGCCGGTATCGAGCGCTACCCCTCGAAGGTTACCCGCCGCATGGGTAAGAAGCTCGTCGACCGCCGCAGCAAGGTCAAGCCTTTCATCAAGGTCGTCAACTACAACCACCTGATGCCCACTCGTTACACCCTTGAGCTCGAGGGTCTTAAGGGTGCCGTCACTGCCGACACTTTCAAGGAGGTCTCTCAGCGCGAGGACGCCAAGAAGACTGTCAAGAAGGCCCTTGAGGACCGCTACACCAGCGGAAAGAACCGCTGGTTCTTCACTCCTCTGCGTACGTTCCAAGTCCACTCCACGATTTTACGACAACTTTACTCATACTCTACTAGGTTTCTAAACGGTTACTTCGGCGTTTTGTCGTTTTGAGCGCTCGGTTGGGGAAAGCGGAGAAAAAAGCATCGAGCACATTCGGTCCCTGTGATGGGATGGAAAGACATATACCAGAGCTGGAAACAGAAGCGGGAATGTATCGATGTCCAGTTTGAAAGAATGGGGGTTGCCTTTAAGAACTGGTGCCTCTAAATGAAATGGAAAATATGAACAACTATTCTTTTCATTGTTTGATCTGTCGTTTTTCCACTATTACTCAATCTGTACAACACCTAGGAAGAATCTCGTTCCGATTCCCATGCGACAACGACGGTTAAGAATTCTTTTGTGTTCCTTGGAGGTTTGCTTCATGTACATCCTCTACTTTCCCGTTTTTCCGTGAATGGACCTCAAGATTCATAAGGAGAGTATCATCAATCTTTCCCGATCTTCCAAGTCACATGTAGTTTCAGTACTCACGTTACCTTGAACTGAAAAAAGGCGTTAATAAGAAAAGTGGCTCCGAGTCCATGTGATCAATCTTATCTCAACTACATCGAGATGTTGAGTTTAACTGGACCTACCTCTATCATCACCATCACCGTCGCATGTGAATCGCCACCGGTAACGAGATTTTCGGCACCCGCGGTTCAACAGAACTAGAAGCATTGACCATACCGAAATCAATTTTCGCCATAGCAGGATCAGCTACTAATAAGAAGGTTCAAGATCTAAGGTTATTGGACTCCCGATCTACTTCCTCGTATACTATTCAAGCAGGTGGTTATGCTAGTTCTCCACCTCTGCAAACGAATCACTCAAGACAATCTGGCGCAATCTAACAGATATCTGACAGCTCAGTGGCGCACCTCGCTAAGTTCTTCGGAAACAATAATCCTTCACAGGAGGGTTGCGACGCATCTTGGACCCGGGGCTCGACCTGGAGATACATGCGACAGAGCAGGGGGGGGGGGGGTCCGAGTCGCCCCATAACTCGGAGAATAAGGCCATTTGCGTACCAGTACAACGGTGTACTTTTGTACTGCATATCGGCTACAGGATAGACATGTGTTTGCTCCTGCCTAAGCCCCGGGGTTTCGGCATGAGTCGATGTCTCATCCCGTTAGACTAGTTATCCCTACTCCGTATGGTTAAGTGATCTACCAGACGGACCTGGCCGTGGAGAATTGCCACCAAGATCGACAATCATATTTCCTGTTTTTATTTTAGGGCCAGCTGGGACAGTACCTTAGTTCATGAGGCGGTTCATCGAAATAGGTGCGCCGAGGATAGGAACAGGACTCATGGATTCAAATCAGGACGAAGAAGAAGAAAGGAAGAAGCGGTGTCCTTCTACTGCAGTCTCATTTTCCAACTGATATGACCTAAATACTAATCTGACACAAGGGCTTACACCAATTCAGAGAAGCTTCCTAGTAATTCCGATTCCCACTAAAAAAGTAGTACAAACGGCCAACGCATTACATGCATCAAATGCACGCTACGCACGGGGTACTTTCCCTCGCCCGTTTTGAAAATGGAGTAACCCGAGTAAGGGTCAGAGAGAGAAGAATGATTGACCAATAATACTACACGCGCATGGAAAAGAAGTCCCCCAAAAACAGAAACGTACAATTGTCTCCCTGTTTCACATTCGTCGTGACTGCATCTCCTACTAGCACTGGTAATCGCCGAATACCGGGTGATAACATTCAACGAATCACTCTAAGAGCTAGTTGCACGACGGCCGGGACACATAGAGCCGAGCGGCGATCGTGAACACGACTAAACTGAACCTTGCGCGCCGCGCCGCGCCATTGAAATGAGTCTCAGGCTTGGGGGAGACGCAGGACAGTAATTCGGTTCAGTGTGAGCCGGATATATTAGAAGGCGCTAGCATTGCGATGCCTGCGACGAGTATGAGTAGGTCAAACACTAAAAATGAATTGTTGAATCGGAATCGTGATTGAATGGGTGAGTGAGATGGGAGGGGCCATGCATAGCTAGGTTCGGGCGGCGCTCAGGCCAGGATGTGTGGATCCGATGGTGCAGACGGGCGAGGCTGGACTCGCGGGTTATGAGCAAGTCAAACCCGGGCGTGCAGGTGTTACGGCCTAGATGCTGGAAGGAAGCTAAGGGTTATGCGAGTTGATAAGGAGGCGCTTTGGTGAGGTCAATTTGGGGGTGGGGTATCATTGAAGAGCGGGGGTGAATTCGAGTATTCGTATTCGAGTCCTGTTTTTGGATCTTATTCTGAGATATTTTCTGATTGAATTATTTCCCAATGATAAAGCAGACTATCCCTATGATCCGGATAAGTGTAGTTGACTTGGACTCGGAGGTGGTCAATTACTAGTGAGTAGTAGTGACCAGTAACAAGTATAACAAGTTCCCAGTGGATCCGAATGCGTTAACGTTAGACCCGCAATCACATGTAAAAACGCCTTATCAAGTTTGTAAAATTGTCGAGATTTTCATTTCTTAGAGCAATTTTATATCCAAGTACTCTTTCTCTTAAGAGAATATCCCATTTCTACCTAGGTACCAATATCAACACTATTATACAATAAATTCAAGTCATATACAAATCTGCAGTCAACCGTCAAAGTCAAATCACTATGGCGTCAGGGCCGTCTGCATGGCAAGTAATAGATCCATAGAAAGTCCGATTTAAAAGAAATATTTGAAAATATAATTCATAGAAAAAAATAAATTAGACATTTGAAAATTCAAATATTAGAAAAGAACTAGAATCAAGCTAAATAAGTACCAAACTATTGTGCACAGATGATGCCATTGCATGTGCGCTCTGACCCCAATTGCATAATCACATGTGAATTGACCTATATACAGCCCACTTCTTCTCTGGAACCTTTTCTACTTCATTCTCCTCCTTTTTTTCCCTTTACTTTCATTCCATATGCCACACGCAAACTCTGACAATATGGGTGAACCCATCGTTAATGGCGAGAAGGCCCATTCTCAGTTCCTGGATGTATGTTCCTTCCATCTTCCACTTTGGGCACCCATTCCAATGTACTAATCCGGCAACTTCCAGCACCTTGTCTCCTATCCCTTCATCTCAGACTCTATCAGTCTCTTCAAGAGCAATCCATATGGTGCCAAGTCACTCGAGTATGCTGATCAAGGCTATGCTCGTTTCGCCAAGCCTGTCTTGCCCTACTTCTCTACACCTTACAGCTACATCGCCCCATACGTGACTCGTGCCGATTCCTTGGGTGACCAGGGTCTGAGTCAAATTGATAACCATTTCCCTCTTATCCGTGAAGAGACCCAGAAGATCCGTGGCACTATCTATAACCACGCCTCGTACCCAGTTCGCGTTGCTGGCGATGTCAAGGACCACGTCTTCGATACCTATGGCACCGAGTACAAGAAGGCTGGCGGGTCTGGTATTATGAACACTGGAAAGGCAGCTTTCACTACAAGCTTGTTGTTATCGCAGGAGTCTCTGGGCTGGGTCTATGGACTTGTCCAGAAGACTAAGGAGGAGGTTAAGGAAGCCGTACACGAGAAGACCAACCACTAATAGATTTGTCCTTTTTACTTCCTGTTGATTTGTTCTTTGCTTGTTTTGAATCAGCGTTGCTTCTTGATAATCCCACTGTTGTTTAGAGAAAACTTTTGAATAATTTTGTGATTGGTCCTCGGCTTGTACTATGTATGTTAGTGACACTGAGATAGTTGCTTCACCAGAATGTACTTGAACCATCAGCCCTAAGATCTACTCCATTCGCACAAACTATTCTGATAATACCCATTTCAAGATGCAAATTTAGTCAAAAAGGTAAGCCAAACCAACATGGTGATATTCATTATTCTTTTCTTTTTTTTTTCTTCTAAAAAAAAAAAGATAGAGTCGCGCACCAGACTATTCCCGATCGGGTAAAATCAATGTAGCTCGTTGATCTTTGATCATCGCGTCGCGTCCCCGAACACCACATCTATTCTAATCCCACTTCAGCAACTGAACACAACCATAACCAACGTCATGCCTCCTCTACGCAAACGCGCGGCGGTAAGAATTAAATCCCACATACATCTCAATACAGGCCCAAACAACTAACAAGTATTCAGCAGCCCGACCCCTCCGACTCAGACTCTTCCCAAACCCAAAACCCTCGTCGCCAGCGCCCACGTCAATCAAACTCAGCCGAAATGTCAGATAACGATGGCAACGGTGAAGGAACTAGCGCCCCATCTTCTCTCGACGCGATGGTCAAGAAGATGGTGCGCATGGCTATGGCTTGTGAATACGCGCGCTTACCGATTCGACGAACGGATATTAGTGCCAAAGTTCTAGGCGAGCAAGGTTCCAGACAATTTAAGACGGTTTTCGAACAGGCGCAGAGGGAGCTGAGGGGAAAGTTCGGAATGGAAATGACTGAGCTACCGGCGAAGGAGAAAACTACTCTTACTCAACGAAGAGGTGAGTTTATGGTTTCCTCTGATGAACTTCCATTCATATCTATCTATGGAGGCTATATTGATTGACCGAGCTTGAGGGAGGAGTGAGAATGAGGGAAGAAGAACCCAATGCTAACAGTATTCTTATAGCTGCCCAGAGAGCCGAGAAGCCATCTTCCTCGAATAAATCGTGGGTTTTGACTACGACACTCCCACCGAAATATCGTGTTCCTTCAATCCTCACGCCCACTAAAGCTCCCTCCACGTACCTTGAGAGTACTTACACGGCGATCTACACTTTTATCATATCAGTCATTTCATTAAACGGCGGTACACTACCAGAACAAAAGCTGGAACGATACCTTGGTCGCGTAAACGCAGACCAACAAACCCCTCTTGAAAAGACCGATAAATTGATCCAACGACTATGCAAGGACGGGTATATCGTTCGAACGAAAGAGGTAGATGGTGGTGAGGAAATCATCGAGTTCATGGTTGGGCCTCGTGGAAAGATCGAGGTTGGATCTGGAGGTGTAGCAGCTTTGGCCAGAGAGGTTTATGGATACGGACCTGGGTCTGACCAGACTCGTGGACGGAATGCGGATGGGGATGATGATTCCGGCGAGGCAGAGACCTTCAACCAGATGCAGCGGGAGGATCGCCAGCAATTCGAGGTGCGCTTGAAGAGGACACTGGGCTTACCGGAGTTGAGAGCAGCGACGGAGCAAAATTATGGAGATCAAGCGGGTGATGAATCGCGTCGGTCGTCCAGGAGAGCAGCTGCCGAGAAGTCTGAGGACGAAAGTGACTAGTACTTCGAAGTTACGGTTGTTTTTCGCGTCTGAGTGTGCATTGTGCAGGGGCTGTATCTATACTAGGTACAGTGTGTTGATTATTGATACCCAGAATCTGAATTCTCACCGCAATTGAGCTCATTCCTGCATATACTTCAAATGTTTCAAGCTACGGAGTATTCAAAGCAACTTAGTTCCCATCCCATCATGGTGTCAATCTTGTAAGCATCCAGATGTCTGAGGCCTTCAAACACGCAAGTCAAAACATTTGAATACCCAGGCTATATGTGGTAGAATACTTCAACCTTAGAATGTTCCACATGTGCAGGTTAGTAGTAAAAAAAAAATTCAAGAAAACATTGAATGTCCTAACTTGAAACTTGAACTCAATTACTCCGAGCCGGGCTGCATCCGAGCCCTGGCCCTGGGAGGTCTATGCCCAGCCTGAGGTGGGTGGATGATATCCGAGTCTGACCTCAACCTTCAATCATGCCAGTGCCCAGATGACTCGGATGTTGGGAGCACTCAAGCTGCACATGTGACTCGGAGTGCTTGCATCGATTGATTGATTGAACTATATACATAGTATTCAAATCATGTTATGTATGTAGGTAAACTTGAAACTTGAATCCTTGGACATCTGGAATATATAGGACCACCTACTACGTACCAGCGGACACTCCGGGTCACGGTGCTCATAATTAAACACTGATGCCACTAAACATTGAAGTGCTTATGCCAGTGCAATCATGTCCATACTAGTTTACAAGGACTACTAGTTGCGAAGTTGGGGCTAGACCGAATACACAAACATTCAAAACAAAAATTCAATCGATGGAGTTCTTCATTAGTATGAATCATGTAGTTGAGCACGTGAAGTTCAAGTTAGCATAAAACCCCACATGTGCAAGCTTCAATGTACAAGCACACTTGAACTCAAGATTTAGATCCGAGTTCACAATATTGAGAATATACGAGCAAACCCCGAGAACCCAATCATATAGTACAAAACAAGCCCAATTCAACCTTGGAAATGCAAAGTTCGCGCTGAGTGATGAACCAATGGGACAAACCAATGGGGCAAAACGTGCTTATCAGGACCAACGGTTATAGTTCTCAGAGAAGTTTGGAACGATCGTGAATCAATGGGAAGTAAACGTCATGAGTATGACAGAAAATAGACTTGATACCATCCAAGGTTGAAGTGTGATTTCGTTTTCTTGTTGATGGACCTGGGTTCAATTAGTGAGAGACAAAGGCTGGAGATTCTGATGGTTCAAGTCGGAGGGGCAGTATCGATGTCTTATCTGCCTCAGATAATAGATTTGTATGTTAGATAGTGCAGCGGTGCTGAATACATTCAAGTCCATGAGGATGGCCTAGAATATATGAACATTTTGAAGGGTGTGTCTAATGGAGTATACGGTGTAGTGAAAAATCAAAAATCAAAAAATAAAATAAACAGAATATTGACTTGTTGCTCATGAATGTCAACTGGTCAGATCCGGGATAACCTTCGACGCCTAATGCCTACCTAGTAGTGGCAGTCGCCGACTGAGCGTAGGCATCGTCGCTGGGGACACTTGCGAGAGGGACAGGCAAGGAATTTTCACTACGTGGACGGAGACTACTAGGATCTACTCTACTGGACATACAGTACACTCTACTAGGAAATAGACACAATGGAAAAAATAGAATTGACTTGGGTCAAGAACATGTAGGTAGCCATTTTCAGGCTACACAGCAAAGTCTAGCTCCATCCATAAAAATCGTTTTTTTAAGAAAAAAATTCATCACGGCATCTCTTGAATCATCCGCAAATCGCTTATTTCTTACCGGCCTTCTGGGCGGCCTTGGTGACCTTACCGGCACCACCAGCGGACTTGTCGACGGACTTGATGACACCGACGGCAACGGTCTGACGCATGTCACGGACGGCGAAACGACCAAGGGGAGGGTAGTCGGTGAAAGCCTCAACACACATGGGCTTGGAGGGAATCATCTTGACGATGGCGGCATCACCGGACTTGATGAACTTGGGGTGGTCCTCAACGGACTTACCGGTACGGCGGTCAATCTTCTCAAGCAGCTCGGAGAACTTGCAAGCAATGTGGGCAGTGTGGCAGTCCAGAACGGGAGCGTATCCAGCACCGACCTGACCGGGGTGGTTCAGGACGATAACCTGGGCGTTGAAGGAAGCAGCAGCCATGGGAGGGTCCTGCTTGGAGTCACCAGCGACGTTACCACGGCGAACCTCCTTGACGGAGACGTTCTTGACGTTGAAGCCGACGTTGTCACCGGGGACACCCTCCTTGAGCTGCTGGTGGTGCATCTCAACGGACTTGACCTCAGTGGTGACGTTGGCAGGGGCGAAGGTAACGACCATACCGGGGATGATCTTACCGGTCTCGACACGACCGACGGGAACCGTTCCAATACCGGAGATCTTGTAGACATCCTGGAGGGGAAGACGGAGGGGCTTGTTGGAGGGACGGACGGGAGTCTCAATGGCGTCAATGGCCTCGAGGAGGGTCTTACCGGTAACCTTGTTACCCTTGACCTCCTTCTCCCAACCCTTGTACCAGGGGCAGTTGGGGGAAGGCTCGAGCATGTTGTCACCGTTGAAACCGGAGATAGGAACGAAAGGAACGTTCTTGGGGTTGTAGCCGACCTTCTTGATGAAGTTGGAGGTCTCCTTGACAATCTCGTTGTAACGGTCCTCGGACCACTTGCAAGTGTCCATCTTGTTCAGGGCAACGATGAGCTGGCGGACACCGAGGGTGAAGGCAAGCAGAGCGTGCTCACGGGTCTGGCCATCCTTGGAGATACCAGCCTCGAACTCACCAGTACCGGAGGCAATGATGAGAATAGCGCAATCGGCCTGGGAGGTACCAGTGATCATGTTCTTGATGAAATCACGGTGACCGGGGGCATCGATGACGGTGACCTCATACTTGGCGGTCTGGAACTTCCAGAGAGCGATATCGATGGTGATACCACGCTCACGCTCGGCCTTGAGTTTGTCAAGAACCCAGGCGTACTTGAAAGAACCCTTACCGAGCTCAGCAGCCTCCTTCTCGAACTTCTCGATGGTACGAGTGTCAATACCACCACACTTGTAGATCAAGTGACCTGTTTTGATTGTTAGCGACCATGACTACCCAATCGAGAAGGTGCGAGGGAGAAACTTACCAGTGGTGGTAGACTTGCCGGAATCGACGTGGCCGATAACGACGATGTTGATGTGGGAACGCTCTTCCTTACTGTGAGAGTTGTTAGTTTCAAGTTGAGTAGATGAAAAACAAGTAGGGAGGTTTGAGTCATCCAGATCAGGGAACCCCTCATCTGATGAGGGATTCTCTGACGCGACACATGAGAGATTTTAGATACTGATGATCTGTGATCCCTCATGTGTTTGGATGGTGAGGGATCGATGAATTCGATGGAATGAGGCCTGGCAAGGTGAGGGAGGGATGACACGTACCCCATGATGGCGGTTGAGTTGAATGAATTCTTGTAGTTCTTTGGAAGATACTAGAAGGATCCTGTAGGATATGCTCAGATTTTACGGCGTGCGTAAAGGTACTGAGCAAGGAGTGTTAGATGAAGAAGGAAAAAGAGGAAGAGTAGGGGGGAGGGCAAGATATACGTACTGATGCGGACGAGGGAAGAAGAAAAAAAATCTGTGGGAGGGGGAGGGGAAAAGTCTTATATGGAGGGGCAAGCGAGAGAGGCGACTAGTGGGCGGGTTCAAGCCCTTTCCAATTCCGTCACCTGATTGGGCACCGCTCTAGTCACCGCCCCCACCTTAGCGGGACCAACGCAAAGTCTTCATGGTGGGATGGTAATGTACCGTCTACATCTTTTTCTGATACTCCTTCCATATTAAACAAATGTACCCTCTACTTCTATTCCCTTCCAGCTCTCGCCGTTTCCCTGGTTCTTTCCTCCGGCTGTCTCCACTTCAGTTGAAATTTTTTCTCATCTGCCCTCTTTCCAGCCCACTCTCTACGTTACCACTGGGCCGACTGGGCAGCAACGCAGTTAGTCGGGCCCTATGAATTTATTTTGATCCTCAAACTGTCTACTTTTTCTGAGATTAGTGTGTTTTGGGTTGTTTTTTTTTCTCTCGCTCGTGACAATCCCACCTGTGGGCTCAACCCAAAACGAAATCTTTTATATTGGGCTGTCTCTAATCGTAATACATCCCACCATGCCCCTCCGCCGCGGGGCACACTCTCACCGCCAAACATACGGACCCACCAAACGTATCCAGACATGTCATGCAGTGCAAGGATTTTTTTTTTTGCCACACAAAGTGTATGTAAATGATTCAATTGGGAAGGCTGAAACATTATGCGTTTCTTCTTACATCGGGGTCCCTAATAGGTATAGTAATCTTGTAGCTCAGAGGAAATTCTATCATAATATGGGAATTTACCATGAGTCAAAAGTAAGATTTTTTTTTTCTTTCTCTAGTATTTACGGAGTCTGGAACTGCCAGTAGTCGGACCCGTAGACCCATGGATTCTTTATCAAACCCAAAAAAATTTCCTCGATCCTCTCTAACCTATCCCGGGCCGCTAATTAATCTGTGCGTCTGACGTCGATCAAATTTTGGGTATCTATTTCGCTTTGTTATGATCCATAACGCCAATCCCTAGTAGATGCGCCATTTTTGGTACACAAATCAAAAGACATAATCATAAACCCCCTCCACATGCATCATGTAGGAAGAACTCTGTTGGTAGAAGGAAGAAAAAAAGAAAAATGCAAGTAAATCAAATCCAGAAATCCTGCAATTGCAAGTTGCGAATTCGAGAGCTCCCTGGTCGGGCACTACTCTCTCCACTGTGTCGCACAGGTTGTACACTGCCCACAGCTGTCAGCTTCCGTATTATGCAAGGGTAGTAGAGGGGCTATCGGGAGAAGAGGGAAAGACCTACCCGTAAAAATGTAGTCATCGGCTCATCCGCACTGCGAATCTGTAGCTGATAAAAGTATGCACGGTCGCCGTTGCAACCCTCGTTTGGACATTGTGCTGTACAGCATCCTGTCAGCTAATCTCGATCCAAGATTTCAACACCCGAAGAGATAACTCACTGCCCATGCTGTCTGCATTCTTCCACTCGTCCTTGCCGCCAAGTGCTTGTTCAACCTCTTTCTCTTTGAGGTCTGTTCGCTCATACCACTTCTTTTCCAAGGCCCACTCATAAGGACAAGCTCGACACTCAAATCGGTTTACACCCATCGGGTGGGCGTTGGTGGAATCCGCACGGGTGATAGTCAGCGCATTGCTGCAGTTAGGACAGACTAGAAGGATCGAAAAGAGTCAGTCGCTATCATCAAAGTTTTTTCTCCAACGGGTGCGGGGTGAGAAGGATGTCATACAAACAAGCGGCATCTTCGTAGATTCGATCTATCTAGATGAAGAAAAAGAATCTCTGTAGGCCACTGAGCAAGTCGGAGTCGTAAATACAATTGCTCAGGTCCAAAAAACACCCTCGTAGCAGGACCCTTTCATCAATCGCGGATCTTGAGGTTAACAGTTGGCGGGCAGATTTAGACGCGCGCCTAGATTGCGGCGGGGGGTTCGGAAAATCACATGATCCGGCGTGAGATGTCCCTGGGGAAAGCAGTTCCATTCCAAGATCAACAACACTCCACTGAATCTCCTTTCTCATTTTCGATTTCTTAAATTTTGAGCCTCAGACTGTATATAATACTTTTCGAATCCCCTTCCACAAACCTCACCTCCATTCCAACTTCGGATTCCCTCTACCGCGTCACTAGGCTGTCCATATTTCAGCTCAGCTCCTATCATCCCCGCTAGGCCCGCGACAAAGGAAACAATCTCAGCTTTCACCAATACCAGAACAACCTACACAACATTAATCATGGCTGATGACGAGGTGACTACGAAGAACATCGTTGTGACTTGAATTGCTCCGCTGACTCATGAATTTACAGGGCGCTTCTCCCCGCGAGTTGATCGTGGAGGCTTGCCGACGTGACCAACCCCACCTGATCGAGCAGGTTCTGGATAGCATGAGCGAGAAATCAAATGAAGATGTAGCGCAATTTTTCAATGGCGTGACAGATGCCTTGGGGAACCACGCATTACACATCTGTGCTCTGTATGGAAGCTGTACGTCTCCGAGTTAACCCCCCCAGACTATGACCAACGTGAAAGTCTAACCAATATTCGGTGCAGATGATGTTATGGATTCCCTATTTGATATTCAATACTTCGAGTGTGATCCCTTGACTCGCATGGATAAGGACACACCCCTTCACATTGCCGTACGATTCGCCAACGAGAAGGATGCCGAGTTGGGTGAAGAGATGGTCAAGATGATGTGTGAGGCGGGCTGTGACCCTCGGGTTCGGAATAAGCATGGCCAAAAACCTGCTGATCTGGTCTTCAATAAGCCTGAGATTAAGCAGGCACTTCAAAAGGCGGAGTACATCCTCGCTGAGGGTATTCAAGACAACGACAATGGTTCTGAGCACGATAGTGCCAGCGATAGTGAATAGACATGCAGCCATTGGTAGTTTGATCGGTTTTTTTATGCAGTTTTGGCGGTCTCCCTGACTAGAGGCCCAGGTGGTCTGGGGAGAATATATCTTTTAAGCGCGGTGTTGACTATTCAAATTTCTTATATACAAGCTTTAAGACTTGGCCATATCCATACTAGGTACTGCTACGATTCTTATATGAACACGAAAATCTTTCTCACATGGATGCATCCATAACATTGAATGGGGTAGTCGGCTGCTCAATGATGAAAATACTAGTAGTAACATTTGAAAATTTGAATGCAGTAACTGCCCCAGGTGGTATCCACGGATGTATATAATAGCTTCAAGTTGCACTCCGGGCTTGAGATGGAGTGACGACACCTGGGCATTAGTACTATCTCAACTCTCTTAGCCTCATTCATCCGAGTTCGAGTCCGAGTCCTCATTCCCATAGTATTTTTCTATTAAAATCATATGATAATAGTTGGCTCTCAAGATTACAACAAGAATGCTTACCCAAGAGACGCGTCGGCGGCTAATATCTGAACATTGAACCAATAAGATGCAAGCGCGGGAAACCGATATTTGTGTCCTCGAAAAAGTACTTGGGTTTGACCTGAACTACCTCGTCAAAATACTAGTTGTTATATCAGCCAATAATCATATCAATGGATTTCTCAAACTCGGGACAGAAGAAACCCTGGATTGAGACGCCGCTCGTGGAATCGGCGACCCTGTCCCAGCAAGCAGAATGGTACGTGACCCCTCAGTCCCTGGAACAACACAACAAAAAGCCAACAAAAAGGAATCAAATAATGAAGCTAACTTCATTACAGTAGAATCTTCCTCAAACTTGAACTTCTGCAACCATCTGGATCATTCAAGTCACGGTAAGTCAAACAATTCAATAAATGAGAAGAAATTATACGCTTATACCACGAATCAAAAGCGGAATCGGCAACTTCATTCTTTCAGCGCTGAAGAATCCAGCTCAGAAAGACAAGAAAAAACACTTCTACATTTCTTCAGGCGGAAATGCCGGTCTCGCAGCCGTTCGAGCTGCTCGCGACCTGAACTGCCCCTGCAGCGTCGTAGTGCCACACAGCACGAAGGCATTCGTGATCACGAAGCTTCGAGAGCTCGGCGCCGCAGACGTAATCCAGCATGGTGCAAGCTGGTTTGAGGCGGATACATATCTGCGTGGGACTTTCACCGATAACCAGGATACTGCACAGGAGACAGTTAACATCTACATTCCACCATTCGACCACCCGGATGTCTGGGCGGGTGCAGCAAGCATGATTGATGAAATTGCCTTGCAACTACCTGCGCGAAGCCGGGAACGCTTCATGGATGTCGCGGGTGGGTTCCCTGCTGATGCGATAGTTTGCAGTGTTGGTGGTGGAGGTCTTTTCAATGGTGTTGTATCTGGATTGGAGAAGTACTTGGATGAGTTTGGGTGTGGAGCTGATACAGCCAGTACGAAGAGTGTGCAGGTTATTGCAGCAGAAACGAGTGGTGCGGATTCGTTGGCTCATTCTCTCCGGTGTGGAGAGTTGAGTTCTTTGGACGCTATTACCTCTCAAGCTACATCGCTTGGCGCTTTGCGTGTCGCGTCGAAGGCGTTTTCGAATGCGAAATTCCCACCGCGTGGTGTGCAGGTTACTAGTGTTGTTGCGTCGGATGCGGAGGCTGCGAGGGGTATTGTGCGACTTGCGGATGAAATGCGGTTGCAGGTTGAGTTGGCTTGTGGAGTTAGTGTGGATGTTGCTGTTGCTGGGAAGTTAAAGGAAGTGATGCCTGATCTCACGCCCGAGAGCCGAGTCGTGGTGGTTGTTTGTGGTGGAAGTAATATCACGGCTGAGATGATTGCGGAGTACAGACAGCTACTGAAAGATGGTTGGGAGTGAGCTGCACTATATTGATAAACATGTCATTATTATACATATATATGAACTAAATGAAATAGATTCGACTGTGTTCATTCTAAGAAGAAAAGTAGTAGTATAAACCAAAAGATGTCATCAATAGTAAACGACGTAGTATGTCAAACTCCGTACGTATAATCGTGGGAGGGTTTACGAATCATGCTTCTTCGTTGAAAGAGGCCGGAACATTGAAACATTGAAGCTAGGACGATACTGGACATCGCGATCAAACTTAAACATAGAATACAGATCACATTGGATATCATCTAGCCCGCAAAAATACAAGAATCTAAGTTCTCCACAGATATAAAAGAGAAATGGCAGTGCTATAAATGGATCCCACAGCCCGGGTCGTCAACTCCTGATCGAAACCGACTTTTGTTGTTCCTTTCCGAACTTTTAAATCACCTTCATCTTAGTTACCCTGGGCCTTCTTGGCCAGCAAGTTCAAGGCACTACCAGCAAGAATGAATCCACACTGGTCCTTGCTAAGAGTGTGGTTGGTGGGGATGACGAAAGTCTCACCAGTCTTGCGCTTGGTAACACGCAGCTGGATATCACCCTGGCCACCGGCCTTCAGAACATCGTACAGACCAACAGTGTCGACGACATCACAGGCATCGATACGGTCGTAATCCTCACGGTTGGCAAATGTGAGAGGGACAACACCCTGCTTCTTCAGGTTGGTCTCGTGGATACGGGCAAAGCTCTTGGAAACAATGATACGACCACCGAGGAAACGAGGCTGCAGAGCGGCGTGCTCGCGGGCGGAACCCTCACCGTAGTTGTCCTCAGCGACAACGAGCCATTCGACACCCTTGTTCTTCCACTGCTCGGCAAGCTCGGGGATACCGTGCTGGCTGCCATCCTCATCGTAGGCAACGTTGGTCTCGCCGGTGGCGGCGTTGACAGCACCAATGAGAGTGTTAGCGGAGATGTTGGGCAGGTGACCCTTGTACTTGAGCCAAGGTCCAGCAGCAGAGATGGTGTCAGTTGTGCACTGGCCCTGAACCTTGTACAGGACCTTCAGGCCAGAGATATCACCCTCGGGGAAGGGGGCGAATGGCTCGAGCAGAGCCAGACGGTCTGAGGTGGGGGAGACAACGACATCAACGCTGGCATCGGGCACAGCGGCGGTAGGCTGGAAGTCGGGGTTACCGGCTTCGAAACCGGCGCTGGGCAGGTCAAAGCCAGAGGGAGGCTGGAACTTGAAGGTCTCGCCGCTGGGGGTGGTCAGGGAATCAGTCATGGGGTTGAAAGTGGTGGTGCCGGAGTAGGCGAGGGCAGTGACCACCTCAGGAGAAGCGAGGAAGTTCATGGTACGGCGGTTACCATCGTTACGACCAGGGAAGTTACGGTTGTAAGAGGTGAAGATAGCGTTGTCCTCGCCCTTGGGAGTCTCGTCAGTACGGTTCCACTGGCCAATGCAGGGACCGCAGGCGTTGGCAAGAACAATACCACCGGCCTCGGAGAAAGTAGACAGAGTCTGGTCACGGTCAAGAGTGGCCCGGATCTGTTCACTACCAGGGGTGATGAAGAAGTCCGCCTTGGGCTTCAGTCCAGCGGCGGCGGCCTGCTTAACCAGGTCCTCCGCGCGGGTCATATCCTCGTAAGAGGAATTGGTGCAGCTACCAATCAGACCAGCACCGAAAGTCTTAGGCCAGTTTTTCTCCTGGACAGTATCGGCGAACTTGGAGAGAGGAACTGAGAAGTCAGGAGTGAATGGACCGTTGATGTGTGGCTCCAGCTCAGACAGGTTGATAGTGATGAGCTGATCGTATTCAGCACCATCATCAGCCCGCAGCAGGTTCTTAGGACCGGAAGCGGCAATCTCAGCAGCAGCCTTAGCGACATGACCACGGTGAGTGGCCTCCAGGTAAGGAATCATGCTAGGAGAGAAGGGGAAGAGCGAAGTAGTAGCACCCACTTCAGCACCCATGTTACAGCAGGTAGCCATACCAGTGCAAGACAGGGTCTCAACACCAGGGCCGTGGTATTCAACCACATAGCCAGTACCACCACGCACGGTAAGCTTACCCGCAAGGTGCAAGATGATATCCTTAGGAGAGGCCCAGCCGCTCAGCTTGCCCTCGAGACGGACACCCAAAATCTTAGGCGCCTTCAACTCCCAGGGAGCATCAACCAGGGCATCGACAGCATCGGCACCACCAACACCAATGGCAATGGCACCCAGACCACCACCGTTGGGGGTGTGGCTGTCAGTACCAAGCATCATGAGACCAGGAGCGGCGTAGTTCTCCAACACGCTCTGGTGGATGATACCAGCACCCGGAGGCCAGAACTCAATACCGTATCGCTTAGCAGCGCTCTCCAGGAAGTCGAAGACCTCGCTGTTACCCTTGATGGAGGCCGGCAGATCAGTATCGGCACCACGCTCACCAACAATCATGTGGTCACAGTGGATACTAGCAGGCACAGCGGTGGATGGAAGACCACAGGACATGAACTGAAGCAGAGCCATCTGGGCTGAAGCATCCTGCATGGCCACACGATCGGGCTTCAGCTTCAGGTTGGCATTACCCCGGATATCACGGCCATTGTTGGTACCGGTGAGCAATGACTCCTCAGGGTTGGCCAAATGGGCGTACAAAATCTTCTCGGCCAGGGTCAGGGCACGATCGGAAGCCAGAACCTTACGGACTTGCTCGAGGTTTCGGACAATCTTGGGATATGGCGGCATACGCGAGGAGGAGGCTTCTGTGGCCAGACCACGGGTAAAGGGTTGTGGGGACAGGCGCGCGGCCAGCTGTTCGAGGAGTCAGTTTAAGAGAGATTCAATTCCAAACGATGCTCGACACCAATAACTCGAAACATACCCTGCGGGAGGCAGCAGCCCTCTGCCAAACTAGCTGGCTCACCATCTTCAATTGTGGAGGGTGAAAACTGGGGAATGAGTCAGGGTTGAGGTTCCAAGGGCTTTTTTTCACCGCAGGAGGCGTCGTTATTTAGCTTGGTGCTGATTGGGTAGGAGTTACGCCGATACCGGGTGTTTAAAAAGAAATTGTGGGGAAATCGGATGTATACGATCCACGCTCTATTCGGTATATCGGGATCCAGTTGAACAACAATATTATATATCTGATTGAGAAATCTAGGGTAGTTTTGACTAAAGATAATTCAAGGGTACTTCCAGAGATCCCAAAAAAAGAAAAAAAAGAAGTCCAGCAAGGTCAGGGATCGAACTCAGGACCTTCAAAATCAGAAATGCGTGAATAGCCTCAACAGCCTCATTTGATACATCCATCCCCATCGCATAATCTCTTCCATCTCTCTCAATTATTTTTATTTTGAGAATCTAAATAGTGAAATGGAAAGAGAAAAGCTAGAAGTATAATGGGTAAAAAAAATAAAAAATCTAAAAAAAGATTGATACCCTGACCGCAGCCAGATCCCTCCCACCCACCAGTATTATCTCTGCCACCGAAACTGGGCCTGGCACACCACAATTTCAATACCTTTGTCCCGCAAATGGGTCGCTGACCGCTACCTAGGTACCTACCTAGACTAGCAGCGCAAATTCGATACCGGGGAAGCTCGTCACTCAAATTTATGGGAGCGCTAGTTCCTTGAATGGTGTTTAACCAGTTAACTCCGAGTCTCTACTATTTGCTGTAGTTCTTGCATTCCGATATAAAAAAACTAAAATAAAAAAAATGAAAAAACTTCAAGTTCTAAATAATCCGTTCCAAATGATTTTGTTGTTACTATTGTACTCCGTATCTCTGTAGGATACACCTTGGCAGCACCTGAGTGTTAAACCAAAATAGGAAAGGACACCTGGGCAAACATGGTTCTTTCTGTTTTGAGCGATTCCGAGTCCCTGTTGATCTTCGGCTCAATCAAGTGCTCCGAGTCTTCTATGTCACTTTCACCACTACGATTCATCTTGTTCTCTTCACACAATAACCATACCAATCATCCTGATACTCCTCAACAAGTCAAAACCAATATGGGCAACAAGCTTTCACGGAAGACTGACGAAAACGCTATTCATGCTTCCGATATTTATCAAAAAGTTCGAACCAACATGAATAGCACAATTTCGCGACTGCCCAAACAGCCCAAGTGCCCATCGTTACAGTTCGCAAATGAGCCCGCAGCAGATAAAATTATAAAGTCAATCACCAAGGCTAATGACTCAAATGTCCTGTTGAATGCTTTGAAATCAGAAGAGCTTTCATTTAAGCAAAAAAGAGAAGTCATGTGGTGGTTGCCTAATTATTTTCATCGTACAAAGATGTCAGCCAAGGATATGTACTGGGTTGAAGACCAACTTGAAGAAGGAATCCATTTGAACGTGGCTCAGTATCTACGATGGATACATTACAATACATCAAGTCTGTGTGGTAGTTGGGAATCCAAGCCGGTGCAATAATTGATAGAAGCAGATATCAAAACTCGGTGGCTTGTCCAGCGAGAGATCTGTGTTAATCAACGCAAACAGACCTTGCAACAACAACTTGATTCCCCCCCCCCTCCCCCCGACGTATAACGAAACAAACCAAAGCATCCAGCCTGACCCTTCTTTAAGAGAAAGACTAACTCAGCAGCTAGATAGCTGCAACCAAGAGGTCAAGGATATCAATAAACTTTATTGGGAGCACCAAAACATGCTGTACCAGATCAACTCAGAATGTAACAATGGAGTAGCAAAAAAAAGCGTTCAATCTTCTCCATAAAACCAACGATTCTTATTTGAACGAATGGCATATCCAGGATTGCAAAGGGCGAAAAGGATGCTGCAGTAGGTCCTGCGGTTGTTGCAAAAGAGATCGTGAAACCGAGCGTAAGGAGAAAAGGGGACACTGTACATCAGCGTGTACATGTTGCCTCAAGTTCAAAGGTCTACCAGAAAATCCTGAAATGACAGAGTTGAGTGATGTCCCTTTCGACGTTTCAACTGGAAATCGAAAAGGATTGAATGCAATAATGCAGAGAGCTTACTTTTTCGCTTATGACATTGAGGAACGCCAAAAGAAAGATCAGGAATCTCAAGGTGGGGAGAACCGAGTTTCTGACAAGTCCGGGGCTCATCAGAATGATTAACTAACGCAGAACTTCAAATATCTGCTCGGCACATTTACTCTAATTGGGTACGTGCTGCATACTTGCTATTTTTGCATGCGTTGCTCGTCTCTTCTTCTTTGCAATTTAACTTGTGCACATGCGGCATTCAATTATAAAAACATGAAGATGATATTATTTCAAGAAATAGTTTCCAGATTCCTCATCCTCCCACTACCTCATGCCCATACCCAAGTGGGATTAAGAATTTCCATAAATCAAACGCCTCGTGAAATCAAGAAAATGGTGGGAAAAAAATCATTAGGGCGAGGCCCAGAAAAATACAATGGCATAGCATCCAGGGAGTTTCCAATCCACCGGTGGACATAGCTGGATGGGTGGAAATAACACATATCGAAACGAAGATAAGAAAAAAATCTACTGGCTGTCGTCATCTGCCACGGCGGCCCTAAGTTCCCAGACGAAGTCGTAGCATTCGGCCAACAGCGCGTTCACGCTACCTTGTCCTTCGGGAATATCAGGGCCTACGTAGAACTTTCCGTCCACGCGCATGTTGTCAATTGAGTTCAGCTGTTTGAGTTAGCAAAAGTCTAAATTGAGTGGGTCACTCAGTGATGGATGCATACCTTCATGCTGTATGGGTACAGTTCTCTTGAGTTTGATACGCCACCAGACTCCTTAACCTCAATCAAGCAGCGACGGAGAGTTTGCAACTGATTGTAGACCGGGAGCAAAGCCTCAGACACAGGCTCCGACGAGATCAAAAGGGCGTAGATGTAGGCGTAGCTCCGTCGAATGAGATACAGAAGAGTCTAAAGGAGTTAGCGGGAATGCTTGTAGGGGCCCAAGTAAGAAGTGCATACCCTCTGTGCGTGGAGGTCAGCAGCCTGTCCTTCGGCATCAACAAAGTTGCCGTTAACACGAGCCTCGTCAATTCGGTCAAGTTTGCGCTGATAACCGAAAAGATCTGTTTCGCGTAATGACCAGGCCTGTGTAACGGACAAGCGATCCAGCTGATTTCGAATCTCGAGCAGTCGCTCATACTGGTCCTGGAACCCTTCCTTGATTTTTCCTTGGCTACTTGGAGTCAGTAATGAGAACAGTATACAGTATGACCATATTGCAAAACATACCGCTCCAGAACAATCTCGGTCCAGCGCCAGCATCGTTCCATCAAAGATTTGAGCTCATCTTGGCCGGCAAGGGTGTTCCCGTCAGCATCCACAAAGTTGCCATCTTTCATTTGATTTTCGATCTTCTTCAATTGATCCCTAAGGCTATTCACCTCCGTGGATGAAAACTAAATGGAAACTTGATTAGTATAGCTGGTTATATGGAAATTAAAATGCGATAGAAACCCACCTTTGAGCGGGTGTTGGCTGCAGATGTGGAGCGCAGAATAGAAACAAGTGTCTCGTGCGTCTGGGCCAAGGGTGGGGCAAAAACGGCAAGCCCTTTCTGCAGCTTGTCCAAAGAGACCTGGCATTGTTCCAAGCGACTCTCAAGAAGAGTAAGAAGAGCTGGGGAGTATGTGTTACGGCCGCGATCGAGGGTGTCCCTTGTCGTCTCAAGGGTCTTGGTGATAGAGTTTAGATCTTTCGAGCTGTAGAAACCGGCTTCTTCGAGATGGTCGAGTAGTCGCTAAATGAAGTCAGATCTAAATCGTTAAAAAAGTCTCAGCAAAATCAATCGCACCTGAATGGTCGTCGCGAGTGAGTACCTAGAAGGAGTCAGCATTGATAAGATCGCGGGGTAATCGGGGTACATAATCGACCACTTACACTGCGGGAGCCTCATTGTTCTTGCCAACCGTTAAGAACAGCAGAGAAATCAATTGAAAGCAGTCGTCCAGAACATAGTCCACTATCAACCATGGTGGTGTGGTCAGTCAGGCTGCACATCAGTCATGCGCGACGTACGGCGACGCACGGCCCATCTCGGCACTTATTACTTACATCGATTGTGTATCAAGCGGCGATCCAATTGCTTTCGAGCCGCATTGAGCTTCTCCACTTCTCCAATAACCTCCTCATAAAGTGGAAGAACATCGCGAGACTTGATGTATGACGATTTATCTTGTTTCAGAAGCAACAGGGCGTCACGAGTTCGAAGTAAGCGCTCGAGGATGGGTTGTTCCCGCGGGTCCAGCGGGACCGGGATGGCGGGGGAGTCCATACTGGGAGGAGTGGGAACAGTCGGAGGGATACGGAATCAAGATGAGAAAGGGATCTTTCAGTAGAGAGGATCTAAAAGTTGATCAGAGAACACAAAACACAAAAAAAGAAATGAGCTCGTAGGAAACCCCACAAGGTGTGATGTCAGTTCGGGGCCGATTGATATGGACGACGATAACGTACGGGCTGATTACTCCGGGATTATGTCATCCATTACTGTTTTTGGTATAGCGTGATTGTTATCGAAGTCACGGGAAGAGGGGCCGCACTAGTCCTGATTAAGCCAAGCCCTAAGCGAGGGCTAATTCCCACACACGCCAAGCAGTTGCCATGTTCGGATAGGCTTTTGATACCCTTCTCTCTTTCCTTCTCCCCCCATCTCCAACTTCCCACCAAGTCACGATCACCAGTCGACATAATGTCTGTCCCCGAGCTCGCCTGCTCTTACGCCGCTTTGATCCTGGCCGACGAGGGCCTTGAGATCTCTGTACGTATTTTCCTGGATTTCGACATCAATTTGAAGATGTGAAGTGAAGGTCGCGCCAAGATGTTCTTTTACGTGGATTTCTGCAAATCGCGAAGGGAAACAGCAACGGCAGATGCTGAATTCACCGCTGTACAACAATTTCGAATAGCGACTAATTGGAAATTTCATTTCAATAGGCCGAGAAGATCCAGACCCTTGTCGCTGCCGCCAAGGTTCCCGAGGTTGAGCCCATCTGGGCCACCATCTTCGCCAAGGTAAATTTCTGAATCCGCCCAGTTCGACCTGCAACATCCTCCGCCGTTCGATTTGTCTACAGACTTTGTGGAGGAAATTGCGCAACTACAACACGAATTTAAAGATCAAGGGCTTACACGATTTTTCTTTCTTTCATCAGGCTCTTGAGGGCAAGGACATCAAGGACCTCCTGACCAACGTCGGCTCCGGTGGCCCTGCTGCCCCCGCTGCTGGTGGTGCCGCCGCTGGTGGTGCCGCTGCCCCCGCCGAGGCTGCCGCTGAGGAGAAGGTTGAGGGTAAGTTTTCACATGACAAGGCTGCAGTCACCTTGAACGAGTTACTAACTCCCATACAGAGAAGGAGGAGTCCGACGACGACATGGGCTTCGGTCTGTTCGACTAAGCGGTTTATCCGTCACGAATTTGAAGTCGTTTCCTTTTTGCTCTTTCCCTTACCTTTTATCCCGCTGCCGCCTTGCGGCTCCCTCGACGATTCTCTCTTGTACTCGATACACCACGACCCCTGCTATGAAGACCTAGATCACGGGGAAGAAAAAAAGAAAATAGCAAAAGATTCAAACGAAATTGGACATTCAATGGAGACTGGCTGCTCGACCTGCCTTCGCTTCGAGTGCCGGAGGTTGGATCGATCGGATGCCGTTGTGATTCCGAGACTTTTTTTGTTGCTTCCAGATTATTAGGGAAATTGAAGAAAGACGTTTGGCACACCTTTTTATGCGCATTTGTCCCATGGCACATGCGTCAATGGACAGGTAGATGTATGATGTTTTCTTCACTTCTCCATGGAACTGCTTCGTTTATGGTTGAATTCTATATGCTTCACCTTATGAAATGCTGTTCACCTTGGTCTTGTTGAGAGCATACTGTAGACTGTCACACATGTGACTGTAGGGTATCAAACTAATCTCCAGGGTGTGTACATGAGTTCTAGAACGCGGTATACATTTTGAATCTCTTTGCCTCGGGGGATAATTTTGATCAGGTAAATGGGTTTGATGCGCTTATACTCGGTATATTCGATAACATTGAAAGATAACAAAAACGCCATGCTCGCTCCTAACGATCCCGGCTCCACCTGCTAACCGTTCATGGAGTATGAACTTCCAACAACATGTCCAGGGCTATATACAACAGTACAGCATATGCTAGTACAGGAAAACTTTTGACGTCGATTCAAACAACAAAATCAAGCCACAGCCAGAACAGGTTCTTGCGCAGCGTATATGCGGAATTGAGCAAAGATGACCACATCTTCCACCATAGTCCCCAAAGACCCAATTAGCCAGGGTAGATTGGTCATCACATAATCCGGGTCGGTCGAGTGGGCCAGAATCTGGGGAAATCGTTAGCAACGAGTTTGGCCAGTGAAGATAGCTGGAATGTCACATACCCCCGCACCATAGGTCAAATTGCCAAGAAGAGACAGGATAAAGAAGAGAAGAGACAAGCCTAGTCCAAAACATTAGTATTCATTTGTACGAAAACGCAGCAACTCCATAGGTCTCACCTTCACAAGACTTGTCGCAGTAGTTCTTGTAGATCTGAGGCAATCTCGCTCTATGCCAAAGTCAGTACCGATTCAACATCACAATGAAACCCTCAGTACTTACCCCAGGTAGCACACAGCACTGAAGTATCCCAGGACCTGTCCACTAGTAGCTCCATCCGGAGTATTGGAATTCTCCTGCGGCGCCGGCGCCCACATGCCCGTCTGCCAAGCCATAGTCCAACCAGCCATCCCTACAACAAAGATCCCCAGTACACTAATGAAGTTCTTAATCCATGCCTTCCGCCCAAACTCACTCTCCTCAACAATCTTCGCCAATGGATCCTCGACCTGGCTATCCCGTCGTCCAGCGTTCTGGTACCCGCGCAAAGACCCCGACGACCGGCGCCGACGGCCATTCGGCGTTTCTAGTGAATCGCTGAATCGGCGACCCAGTAGCGGGGTCGTGGGGTCGGGTGTCTCAACCGAGGAACGTCGACGACGATGCAAGGACTCGGGGCGGGAATTACGCGCTTTGTAGTATAGACATTGCGCGATCAGCACACCGTCTGCTATACAGAAGTACACGGCGATTGCGACGATCACAGGTACCAGACCTGCTAGGAGCCCGCCTAGGAGATTGGTGATATCGCCGATGAACCAGACGAAGACGAATAGGAGGGAGATGGCTTCCGCGTTTCCGTTGCGGTAATTCTCGATTAATTGGGGGACCTGGCGCGTGGGTGTTTGATTAGTTTGGTAGTTCAGAGATTCGGGTCTTGTGAAGCTATTTGTAGATAGTTCTCTGTATACAATCGATGCATTTTGAATGAATGCGATCGAGGTGGAGGCGAGATGTAATTCGGAAGAGATAATAGGTGCGCACGTACCAGGAGGAATATCCAGCAAGTCATCGATACAGAACCCAGTAATCCTGACGCCGCTTCACGTGGCGTGAGTGGTACCGACTCCATAGTCATCCTGCTGACAAGCTGTGCCAACGGCATGGCACTTAGTATCTGCGCGTAAGAACAGATTCTGAAAGGTGGTTATCGCGTAAGTCAAGAATCTAAAGATTTTTCGGGGCGGGGGCCACGGCTGAAAATTGCGGGTGCGGCTGGGCTATGACACAATTGATGTTGGGGCCACTTTTTTCTTGTCAAGGTCGCGGGGGGGACTTGGAGGGAGGGAACAAAACCAAAGGTCATAGGTTTCTTTGAAAATGTAGAAGTTCAAAATGGAAATATTGGGAATAAAGGGAATAAAGAGAATAAAAATTCTGCTTGGTCCGTGTCTATCATAGCGCAAAAGATAAGTTCAATGCAGTGTTACATCACCGATATGGAATGAGTCAGCTTGTCATTGGTCCGACGGGAGATTGCAGCGGTTATGCAGGTCAGACATGCATTATAGAATATTTGATAAGGGTATTTGAAAGGAGGTATAAGTGGTGTTTGATGAGATCTAGACTATTCTATTACTAGTATGCCCTTAAATTTTATTAATATTAAAAGTTGGGATCAAAACAGTGGTGGTGGATTCATCCAATTTCTACTAGTATATATATCATGATCCTTGCCCTAACTCGGACAACTCCGACTCCATTCCAAGTACTACCACTACCTATCTACCTACTAGGCAGAACATAGTACCGCTACAGTGGCACTAGCCCCGGGCTGTTACAGTCCTACTAGTACATCGTATGTGTCACACTTCAAGTTGAAATTTTAGACCGTACTTGTACAATAGTGTTTATTGATGCCAAGGGATACTAGACTAGTCTAGGTCACTTCCAATCGTGACATCCTCCGCCATCATCTCAAGTTCATCTTCCAGCATGATGACCGCAAATTCTCCAATAAGGGCTCGGAGCTGAACACGTAGCAGACGTCCTCGAGATTCTTCCGGAAGTTCTGCGAGAGCCTCCAAGTAATCAGTCAATGGGGCATAATCCATCACATCGCCCCAGTTGCCTCTGTCCACACCATACTGAACCAGGAACCCCTGGAGCGTCTCCAGACCTTCACCCAACAGCCACTGCTCAAGACTTTCCGGTGATGATGTGAACTGACGTGGCCGACTGCTCTCATACTGCTCGGAATCACTACCAGGGGTGGTATCGTCAACTACCTCGGCTCCATCTAGCCCGTCTCCTAAGTCACCCAGCGGGAGACCACGCTCCTGCATCTGACCAAGAAGATCGCGAAGCCACTGTGGGCGTCCAGCTTCGGGAATTCGCGAGATGTAGGAAGGTGTAGGGTGGGACTGTTCAAGAAAAGCCTCTGAATCATATGGAGGAAGGGGATCTGAAGCGGAAAGTCGGCCGGATACAAAGCGGTTAGGGAGATGAGTAGTGACGCTCGGGGTGTCAGACAGAATCACATGGCGAGCAACATTCAAGGTGATCTCTGGTGGCTCAATGGGTTCCGGTTCTCCAGTGAGGGAATCGGCAACCTCCATGATCAACGAGACTGCTTCCGGGGTATTCCAAAGATCCTTAGCACGGAGGATGTAGAGTTCTGTCAGAAGTTCATGAGATCCAGTTGGAGGCATCTTGCCCCAAATATGCTTGGGAATGTGCTGGAGGTCCAATTCCTTGGCCAGCCTGCTAAACACCCACGGGTAGCGAGACATAGCATGGCGAAGTTGTTGGCGACATTCTTGAGGCTTCTTGAGGCGAATATATGCCATGACCAAAGAGCACTGAATATTAGGAAGATCAGCCCAATCGCGGCTGAAGCGGGTCTGGGTACACAGCTCTACGAACTGCGCATACTCCCTTCCTCGTAGAGCGAGAGAGTCGATCATTAATTTCATGCAGTAAGGATCCGAATCGTCCAGGCTTAGAAGCAATTTAGCCCACTCATAAGCGGTTCGCCATGTTCCCTTCATGCCGAGATTCGCAATGTATCTCCATCCCACAAGCCACAACTCTCGGTTCTCTGCATAAGTGAAGTCAAGCCTGGCTTGGCCTTCCTTGAGCCGACTACCAAAGGACGAGTGCGCTGAACGTCCAATATTGAAAAGAGCTCTCTCCAATAAATCAGCAGCGACGGCATGATCACTTTGATGCTTGGCAATTTCAGAGACTTGAAGAAGAGTAGAAATATGATAGGGATTGTATTGGAGATGATGGATGAGCCTTTGTGGATCCATCGATTCAACGCACAGATCAAACTGGTTTTGGACGTCCTTGTACGCTGTATTGTGAAGGATTTTGTACATTATAGGACCTGAAGAAGACTTTTCAACAAGCTCCATTCCAAGTCCTCCGCTGGGAGCCCGAGGCCATTCATCCTTTCCTTGCATAAGGGAATTTCGTCTTAAAGTGACACCGGCTAGACTCTGACCTCTGCTGGCGGGACTGTATTGCCCAGTCAAAGCGCGGCCTAAATCGACGGTCTCGTCCCGATTGCGATCTCGACGGCGGCTTGACCCTGAATCCTGGTCGAAATTTTCTAGCGCCACATTTCCAAACAGCCGGCGCATCTCATTTGTTGGGTTCAGAAACTTGGAATCGATTGATAACAGCTCATCGGTGCTTTTTGGGAAGGTCGCATTTGGGTTGGAATTCACCAAGGCCGATGAGTCGCTCTCGCCTGCAGATTGTCCTTTGACGGCCAGATCTTTCAATGCACGATCAATCTCATCCATTTCAGCATTACAATCTTCCTCTTTTGCTGGTTTGGCAGAGGACTGTGACTTCTTAGCCTTCTTCTTCTTCTTCTTCTTGTTCGCGCTCTTGGGTTTTGTGGTCTCAGGCTCAGGCTCTGGGGCTTGAGCTACTGGCTCCTCCATATCCTCTTCTGGTTTTTCATCTTCATCTTCGTCGTTATCGTCATCGTCGTCACCGCTGGCGTTTAGGAGATCGAAGGCATTGAACTTGGGCTTCACGGGGCGCGGGGTATCATCGTCGCTTGACTCATCCTGGAGTTCAGCTTCTTGCAGTTCCTTCTCACGCAGCTTTTGGAGCTTACGAATTGCTCGTGAAGACATTTTGACAAGCAAGGCACAAGCACCAAGGGCCTTCTTTTCAGAAAGCAGAAGTGTGAATTTCAAGGTTGAAAGGCATGGGAGTTTCAAAGATAAATTCCGCGGGGAATGACGACACTTCCAATTTCGGCTAGCGCGGTCCATATATACACGTGATGTTGCTTATCATTTATCGCCGCGCCGCTCAATTGTTGTCTCCCTCTCTATCCTAGAGAGTCGCAGCACGAAACATTGCGAAATATCATACTCCAGCATCGCAGTGACCTCTACAACATCTCAAATCTCTGCAAGAATCAATGCGTCGGGCATTTGTCCAGGCTTTCCATACTGCTCGGCGTGCCCCAGTATGGAAAATTGCCGGTAAACGGCCGAGTCCGCTCCGTTTCAGCCACAACCAGGTACGAGGCCTCAGGCCATACTCTGGAGGCCGACACTCGTCCTACCTCCCTGCAGCTCTGCAATCCCCCATGCATTTCCGCAACTTCGGCCTAGCCGTAATTTCGACCGTGGTCGCCTCCGGGGCGTGGTATGCGTATCAGAGTGACGGTAGCGCTCAGTCATTAGCAACACAGGTTCGAGGGTTCGCCGCGAGTGCAATCACAACTGCCCATGCCGAAGGGCCTTCCGACTCGACGCGCCGAGCTTTGTTGGTCAACAACGACCAATTCTACATCCAGACACTCTCCGAAGACCAGCCGCTATCGAAAAAGGCCGACGATTCAGACCGACGCATGGTGAACATGCTTACCCCGGAACAAGCGACCGAGAAATTGCGAAAGAGTGAAGAATCCTACTTTGTGAACCGTGGCAAGGGTGTTGTTCGATACGATATTGTTCAGGTTCCCAGCAACTCGCCGATCGAGGATGACCATGCCGAGCTGATTGTTGAAGTGCCATCGTCCGTGGCTGCTAATCAGAATGGGGAGCCCAGTAGTGATTGGTCGTTTTGGGCAGTCTTTGATGGCCACTCGTGAGTGCTAACGAAATGATTGATTTTTTTTGGCAGGCAAGCATCATGCTGATAAGATAACAGGGGCTGGACTACATCTGCCAAGCTTCGAAACGTGCTTATCTCATATGTCGCCAGAGAGCTCAACGCTACATACAAAGCTGCCGCAACTGACCCGACAGTTCTGCTTCCTTCATCCGAGGCCATTGACGCCGCTATCAAGCAGGGATTCCTTCGTCTTGACCATGATATTGTGAACGAGAGTGTCAACAAGGTTCTCAAGTCGAACTCGCGACGTATGGCCGCAGAGCTGCTCGCACCTGCTCTTTCAGGATCTTGTGCTCTTCTTAGCTTTTACGATTCCCAATCAAAGGACCTCAAGGTTGCAGTTGCTGGCGACTCCCGTGCTGTTCTCGGTCGCCGTGGATCTAATGGAAAGTGGACTGCCACGGCACTGTCAGAGGATCTCACTGGCGGGACTCCCTCTGAGATCAAGCGTCTTCAAGCCGAGCACCCCGGTGAGCCCTACGTGACCCGCAACGGACGAATTCTGGGTGGCCTTGAACCCAGCCGTGCCTTTGGCGACGCTGTCTACAAATGGACCAAGGACGTCCAGGACAAGATCAAGGGCCAGTTCTTTGGTCGTAGCCCTTCTCCACTTCTCAAGACCCCTCCATATGTCACTGCCGAGCCTGTTATCACCACCACCAAGATTGATCCGTCCAAGGGAGACTTCGTTGTTATGGCCACCGATGGTCTGTGGGAGATGCTGACCAACGATGAAGTCGTCGGCTTGGTTGGCCAATGGCTTGAGCAGCAGTCTGGTGCTGGATCCAGCAAGTCCTGGCTCCAGAGTTGGTTTTCATTTGGCAGCCAGAAACAGCTCCCTGTGAAGGGAACTGGCACCACCTCCGAAGGGCAGCGACGTCCATTCCGCCAGGAGCAGTACGCTATTCCCGAGGGCGAGAGCCGCTTCGTAGTTGAGGATAAGAATGCCGCTACGCACATTGTGCGTAATGCCATGGGAGGCAAGGACAAGGAAATGATTTGTGCTTTGTTGACCCTTCCCAGCCCATACTCCCGTCGTTACCGGTATGTCCTTCTCACTAGCTATACGGGGTATTTGTAACCGGAGTGCAGAATGCTAACTTTTCTTAGTGACGATATTACCGTTGAGGTTATCTTCTTCGGCAATGGCCCAGACTCTCGCACCGTCGAGACGAACGAAGAAGCCACCGCCCCAGAAGAGCCAATTAAGGCTAAGATTTAAGGTTAGATCTTATTAGATTCTCCTCTTTTCGATTTAACCTACCGCTGCTCTTCGGAAGTTGCCATATTTTGAATATGACGCTGCAATCATGGGCCGAGGCCATCATGGAAATCCAATTACTGTCGACCGCCAGGTGTTTCATTTGCTGAATTAGGGATATGGAGCGTTGTCCTATTTTTGATATCCTACAAACAGCGATCCTTAATATGAAAAAAAATTCAACTAAATCAGTCCACCGTAGACAGGATTCCCCCGAGTTCTACTATTAAAATATCGAGTTTCACTTGCCTAAATTCCCTTGAAGTAACAAGCTCACTACCTACAGTATGTAGACCACGGCTACACTGGGAGTGGTCTCGTTTCTTCAGTGGACTTCTTATGGTTTCAACTTGAAGCCCCGAGTCTTTATTGAACATTGGAAAGGAAATATTATTGACAAAATAGTAGATGCCACTGGCAGTGGTCCGGCCAGTCTTGAATTTTGTGCTAACGGAATCATGATGTTATACAAGTGAGTATCGCTAAAAAAAATGTCTCAAATCACAAAATCGTTCAAATTCTTCGAGATAAACCATTCCAATGACCAGGTAGTATGTGGTGAAAGGGTCGTAGGATATTGCAGCACCGAATATGGATTTGAGGGTAAACATCGTGATCTTCCTATTTCAAATTCATATTGAAAGGGTCACCTCCCTTGATGAATTTCATGTGCGTAGCCTTGTAAGCCGGAATAGATGGCTTCAAATACATGTATTTACCCAGCCACCACGTCTGCAGAGTCGCAATATTGGAACTGGCAATCCAGTAAACCATCAAAGCAGCGGGCATCTCGTAGAACCATCCAGAGATACCAACATTGACAGCGAGGACCTGAATAAAGATCCGCAAACCACTGAAAAAGAAATTTTGATACATCTGGAGCTTCGGCATTTCAGCCATGTCCTTGAAAGAGACACTCTTCCAGCCCATATTCACATTCAGCAAAATCGATGCTGCGAGAAGGGCAGGCAATGCTCCACTTGGATCTCCCACTAAGAGATCAGGAAACCAAAGCGCACCTTCATTCGCAAGTGTGGGTTCCACTGTTAGATTGAGCGATTGGATAGCTTCATCCGCAGACTCCTTGTTTGGTCGAACCAGTGAAAGTAGCCACGGCACTAGACCACTTGTATTTCCGCACATTCCACGGATACTCTCCATCAGGGAAATCCAGACCGGTATTTGTAAGAGCGACGCTCCCTTAACCCAGGGATTTACGTGCCATTTCTCTCGTAAGATCTTCGCCCTGGAATTTAAAATTTCTGTGATCTGTTTTGTGGTTCTTCCTCCTCGTCGACCTTCGTTCTCCGCTGCAATTTTCCAGGAGTACAGTAATGGCGCAAGGTCTCGTTCTCGTCGGGCGTGTAGGCGTGTATAGTATTGTATGGGCAATCCGACGACCGTTCGGACAAGTAGAGCTGTAAGGGGGATAGATAAGACCCATGGTAGACAGGTGACATCGTGAACACCATGGATCAAGCTTGTAGAGGCATCTAATGCGGCACTGATGAGGTTCGGAGTGTTTCCATGGAGGTATCGGACATGGGTATGCGACGGGGTAGCTGTTGCTCGAGGCCAACTTCTTTGAGAAGTCCTCAGGACTCGTAAAGGAGAATATCGAACGGAATTCATAGTCAGCGAAGCCCAATGGGTCTTTCAATCTTCACCAAGTACTGGCTTTCAAATTGTATCATCGGTTGAGGGGAAATCGAAAAGGAAAAACAGTCTCCACGTCATGTGACACGTATGTAAGTTACGCATTCTAGCAACACGTCAACTTCTTTGAACCTGACCGATGGAACATTTTCCTTCTTTTCTTTCTCGTCCTTACTCCTAGTAGCATGCCAGAACATTGGTGTCAACAGTGACCATGGCCTTCTTGTCAAATGCCATCCTGGCTCTTGTGGTCCTCGCCACTTCCGTTCTCCTTCTTCCACGGTTAGCGGGGACTCTGCTTGGATTAGTGTTTCGCAGCGCGGGTTGGCTGATCCGTCGGCGAACACGTTCTCGTCGGGAATATGTGATCGCGCGGGCGCGGTTGGAGGAGGAGGAGCATCGAGTTCCGCGACCAAAGTCTTCTACAAACTCCTTGGCTCGGAGCCAAGCCGAAGATGAGGATTGGGAGAAGGTTGATAGCTCTAGTGGGGCGAAGACTGTAAGTAGCAATGATAACGGAGATGGTTCTAAGAATGAGGGAACTACTCCAGATGATTGGGATGGTATTATTGGTTTCTTTCACCCCTTCTGGTATGATTTGTTCCCCCGCTGCTATACTACTTGACCGCTTGTTTACTGACGTCTCTGTAGTAACGCTGGTGGGGGTGGAGAACGTGTACTTTGGGAAGCTATTCGCGCAACACAGCAGCGCTGGCCCAAGGCTATTTGTGCTATCTACACTGGCGATCATGAAGTTAACAAGACTACAATGCTGGAGCGCGTGGAGAACCGATTCAACATTCATTTACACTCTCCGACAATCGTCCTACTCTACTTGACTACGCGGAAATATGTGGTCAGCAGTTCGTACCCTTACATGACGCTGCTTGGCCAGTCCCTCGGATCCCTGGTTGTTGCGTATGATGCCTTCACGTTACTCGTCCCAGATGTTTTTGTTGATACCATGGGATACGCCTTTGCATTGGCTCTATGCAAGTGGCTGTTCCCTACAGTTCCCACTGGGGCGTACGTTCACTACCCGACAATTTCAACCGATATGCTCTCCTCCCTTGACGACGAGACTGGTGTACAAGGTATCAACTCTGGTGCTGGAAAGGGACTCAAGGGTACACTCAAGCGGCGGTACTGGCAACTCTTCGCCCAGTTATACGGCTGGGTTGGACGCCACGTGGACGTAGTCATGTGCAACTCGTCCTGGACATCGGCCCACATCCGCAAATTATGGGGCACAAGCAAAGCCATTGAGAGCACTGAAGAAGGCACGGGATCCTCATCATCACCCGCAGTGGTCTTCCCACCGACTGCAGTCTCCGAGCTCCAATCAACAATCACCGTCGACGCAGAGAGTGAACGAACTCGGCAACCAGTCATCCTGTACATCGCACAGTTCCGACCCGAAAAGAACCACCCTCTAGTTTTGCGCTCGTTCGCGCGCTTTCTCCAGGAACGTAACCGTAATCCCGTTTTCGCGGATAACCCGCCCCCACGACTCGTTCTCATCGGTTCAGTGCGGCACTCGAGTCCCGATGAAACACACATCTACAACCTGCGACTCCTAGCACACGAACTGAAGATCCGCGATCATACCACTTTCCTCTGCGACGCTAGTTGGCCCGCTGTACTGTCCCACCTCGGAACAGCCTCTGTCGGCGTGAATGGCATGTGGAATGAACATTTCGGTATCTGTGTCGTGGAGTACCAGGCTGCGGGTTTGATCTGCGTTACCCATGACTCGGGCGGGCCCCGAGAGGATATCGTGATTGATCTCGGAGACGGTGCGACCGGGTTCCGTGCTGAAACGGAGGAGCAATTCGCGGCTGCGTTTGAGGCGGCGCTTGCTCTTCCTGTCGAGGAGAAGATCGCTATGCGGCTGAGGGCGAGACGATCCGCGTTGCGCTTTACTGAGGAGGAATTCGCTAAGAAGTGGCTGGCTCAGGTGCAGAAGTTGGTGAAGGCTTCGCGGTAAATTTGAGATTTCTAGCGCTTGCGCTTGTTTTTCTATCGTTTAACCCTTCTGTACTTTGACCATAGATGAATTCCTATAGTCGCTCGTTTGATCGTCTTTGTAAATATTTCATATGATGGTGTGGTGTTGTCTTATTGTTCTTTGCATCATATACCCTTTTTCTACTAGTATAATTCTATTCTTTAAGTTCCTTTTGTATGTGTATTTGTATTTCAGAATTGGGCTGTCATTAACTTGAAACACTGGTGTGCTTTTCTGAGTATCAGACCAAAGTAGCGCACAATCTACTGGTAAGAAGCATAGCATGCATGAAAAAACTGGTTGAAATGGGTCATGCGGTATAATACTCCATGGAGGGTATATCCAAGAAAATATGAGATTTAAAGACAGAACAGACGGGTATGATAAGAGGAAAGGTCAGCTGCGAGGATAGACTTGATGAGCCTGAAACGGTCCAGGGGATGAAACAAGGGAAAGAGACAATCGGATGTAACGAATGTCATTATATCAAGAAAAAAAAACCCTCGTTGCCACTGGCATGAAAAGATAAACAGGGGTAACAAGAAGAGAGAAGAAAAAGGAAACTATCCACCAGGATCTCCAGACCTATATCTCAACGCCAAAATTTCTATATAGGCACCAATCCCACAGACACCGATAAAATCATAACCAAGCACAACATGCGAGTATCCAAATTGTGCTGCTTTTGCCTTCCAGGTTTGATGGAATGAATGAAGATGAAGGAGAGTATCACAGTCCTCTCTCCCGCTATCATCCACTCCATTTTTGATCATATCCAGGATCTCCTCCCATCATTTGACCTCCGTACATCCCAGGCTGGTTATTCACATAACCACCACTCATACCAGACACACTGCTGATGCCTGACTCGTCTTCATCGAAGCCGAACTCGCCTCCAGAGCTGGCATCGAAGCTGCTGCGACCGCCAATGTCTCCTAGATCATCACCACCAGCACCTATAGTATCCCATTGAAGAGTCTGGAGAGCAGGGTATTGCGCAAGCAATGCTGCAGGGAGGACAAAGTTACCCGACTGTCCATCCATTCCAGGGACACCAGGCATGACCAGCGGCTGTGGGACAGGTTGCAGATGACCGGATGGTTGCTGGTGTTGATGGTGTTGTTGCTGTTCCATGAGGATTCTCTCGCGTTCTTGGGATTCCTCATCGAGTAAAGGCTTGATACAGATTCTTCCGGCTTCAGATCGGAAATGGCGTCCCAAGGCATCAGCACGCGCGAATCGGCGACCACAGCCCCAATTTCCTCCTCTTGAAAGATCACCTCGACAAACGAATTTCTTTTCTCCGGAATGCAGTCCTTCGTGGCGTTTTCGATCATGTTGTCGCGCAAAGGCTTTCCCACAAACTGTACAAACGAATGGTCGTTCATCTGTATGAGTTCGAAGGTGCGAGCGCAGGTTATAGGCACGGGTAAATCGTTTGGGGCAGAGGGTGCATTGGAAAGTGGCTGGGTGCTTTTGAACACGCTTTGAATCTCCAGATATCGCGCCGGGACGCTGAGGATCGGCCAAATCAAGGATATAATTGCGACTTTCGATCGAAGATGTCGAGAGACGTCGGTTTGATCGGGACGGTGATGCGTCTCGTGAGCTAGGGCTACTTCGCGAGTGGGGGGACAATGAGCGTGGTGAACTCGGTGCGCGAGCCTCTAGACTGGTTGCCGAGGTAGCGGGCGAACGTGAACGAGAAGCGGGGTGTGCATAGGGGTCAGATTTACTGCGCACTCGTGATCCTGTGATGGAGTTGAGAAATGAATATATTAACTGAAATATCAGGGAACTCACGCATTGCTGGGGGACTCAAAGAATCAAAGTCATCGGCCGGCTTCGAAGGTCCGAAACTAGGAATTCGAGATGGAGGAGCAAACTCGACATTAATAGATGGTGGTGCCATTTGCGAGGCTTGTCCAATGTCGGTAGAGCCATTATTCATTGAGTTCATCATGTCGTCCGAGGTCATCCCATACATTTCTGTGGGCGCCGAGGGGAACTGGTTATTGAGGGTAGGAGGAGACAGGTATGGTGCGTTCGGAACCATTTCCAAGCCTTGCTGAGGCATGAGTTGTGGCGAAATATATGGGCTATGAAGTGGGCTTATTCCCTGGTGTTGGTGATGTTGTTGTTGTTGCTGCTGTTGCTGCTCCGAAAGCGTGAACGACTCGATTCCTAGAGCATTGTCATATAGTGAAGGATCATTTTGCGGTGCCAATGAGGGCGAGGCACTGTTCTCAATGCCATCATAATCGTGCTGAGACAAGTATGGTGAGTGGTTGGCCGATGATACCTCGGATACTTCAGATGGTGCTCTGCGATGGCCTTGAAAGGCGGTATGGTTCATCACCGACTGCCAGTCCTGGTTGGATTGCGCGCTTAGGTATGCAGCAGTGGCTGGATCCAATGAAGTATGCCGTGAATGCTGTGGAGTATAGTACGGGGTGGAACCAGGGGGAGACATAGGGCCTGGCGAGGACTGCTGTGGATCTTGCGATGATGGGTGGGAGGAAGGATTGGAGATGGGGCTGACGAGGTCCGCCGGGTTGATGCCTTGGTGCATCGATTGTGGTCTCTGGTGCATTTGGGGATCCAGCAGCAGCGAGGAATCGTACTCTGGAGAAGTCACACTATTCGGACTGTGGTTCGAGTAGGCAGAGTAGTCCATGTCGGCGGTTGAGGTGTTCAGCAAGTTATAGTTATCCTCCGGCTGTAGCGGCCTCAAACCCCCAGCTGTATGATCCAGTTGACTGACCAAGCTTGCTTCGAATGACTGCGAACTGGGCACACTTCCGGTGTTGATATTTGAAAAAGATGGGTCGACTGGCGGCGCCAAACCTTGTGTTGGCGGGGCAGCAGAGAGATACGCCGAAGCGTAGTTGTATGCATCAGGACCACCCATTCCCATATCTGGGTTGGTATTCGCGTATACAGGATTGGTCGCAAATGCACCTGACATGGATGGGTCGAGACCAAGGCCAGCAGTCGTCGGATCCAGGTACTGTTGAGAGTGGGGTGATGGGCTCACGCTACGGTGCTTGGAGCCCGCAGGAGAAGCGCCAGCACCCTGAGAAGGGTCATGAGACGCCATAACCGGGTTGGCAAAGATGATGCCCAACCTAGCGATTCAAGCGCCGGAATAGAAAGATGGTTTGAGGCGAAGGGATGAGGAAGCGCGAAGTCGGTGTGATCTTTCAGAGCGGCGGGCGGCGAACAGGGAGCGCAAGAAGCGGGGACGGGGACGATCGGGACATTCGCAAGGGACGGAAGAAGAGCAACAAGAGCAACACGCGGGGGCGCAATAAGAAGCGAGGATGTTATTCACTAGGATACTTTGTGATAACCCTTGGAAATTGTCGCATGCAACTTGGAATCTGGAAATAATTTCACGTGCACAAGGCGGTCTAGAGATTTGGGACCAAAATGGGGTTCTCTATTGTTTTTTCATTGTTTGGCCCTAATAGTGTGATATAATGGCCCACTAGTATGTTTCGAGATTTTGAGAGCTGTCATGTATCAGATTTAAATAATTCTAAATTGACTCGTATTATAGATGGATCAAGTCTGCTTAGGTGTGATCTTAGAGGTCAATGGGGGTTCATTTCTCCTTGTTCATCTACTCCGTAAACCCCCACATCTTCCGATAACAGATAGGAATAAGCTATTTATAAACCTCAAGCATTACGACACATTTTAGGCAGAGCTCAACTGAAAAGATCATGTTAAAATATGCTTGAGAAGGGGAAGTAGAGGAGATCATCATAATCTCCGTTGGGTATCAAGGAATAGCTTGTCTGAATTGGTGGGTTTAACGGGTAAGTGCTTGCACAGCCACGCAGCTGAGATTGATTGATACCCATTGGACCAGATCTATACCCGATGGAGTTAGTGACTGGAGAAGGGGGTCAACTTTGGTTAGGGCAAGGCAGACTGAGACAGATTCTCAGTCTGCCTTGCCAAAAAATATCGGGGAAGAATATGTCTGCCTCCGTGAAGAAGGACGTGCATAAGTGGGAAGTGCATGCCCTTCTAGATCTAGATGTCATTAGTACTCGTTACTAGTAATTTGCACATCATGATATAGTTAGTTATGAGTGATATATGAAGCCTGAATTTCCAGGTGTCTTAACGGCAAGATTTCTATAACGTGATTCCCAAGCGAGCGGATCACCCAAGCGAGCGGATCACCCAACCAAAAACTCGCGTCGCGACCGCGTCTAGCCATCTTCAACCACCTACCATGCCACCAATACGTTCTAAAACCTCTCGAAATTCAATCGAACAGGAGGGAAGGATCTTACTTGCTATCCAAGCTATTAAAAACAATGAAATTAGCTCTATCCGTGAGGCAGTACGTCAGTTTAACGTGCCTTTTACTTCCCTCCACCGCCGACTAAATGGTCATACCAATCGATTCGAAACTCGCGCGAATAACCACAAATTAAACGAAAATGAAGAGAATTCACTTCTCCAATGGGTGATCTCTATGGATATACGTGGAGCTGCCCCCCGCCCGGCTACTGTCCAAGAAATGGCCAATATTCTACTCGCAGCGCGTGGCCAGACCCCCCCCTCAAACTGTTGGCAAAAATTGGGTTACAAACTTCGTAAGACGACATTCAGAGCTTACTACCCGTTTCTCTCGTCGATATAATTACGAGCGTGCGAAAATGGAGGATCCAAAAGTGGTTCAAGCATGGTTTAATCTTGTGTTTCAGACAATTCAAGAGAATGGTATTCTATCAGAGGATATCTATAACTTTGATGAGACTGGATTTGCAATGGGACTTACAGCAACTGCTAAGGTTGTTACTCGTTCTTGATATTATGGTCGACGATCACTTTTACAGCCTGGAAATCGTGAATGGGTAACAGCTATTGAAACAATTAATGTATCTGGATGGGCCCTTCCACCAGTGATTATTTTCAAAGGTAAAGTTTTGATTGAAGGATGGTTTAAGAACCTTCCACTTGACTGGCGATTTGAAACTAGTCCAAATGGATGGACAACTGATGAAATTGGACTTCGATGGCTTCAAAAACACTTTATTCCAGCAACAACTGAACGTACACTTGGAAAATATCGACTTTTAATTCTCGATGGTCATGGGAGTCATTTAACTCCCCAATTTGACCAGATTTGCAAAGAGAATAATATTATTCCAATTTGTATGCCAGCTCATTCTTCACATTTACATCAACCGCTTGATGTTGGATGTTTTTCACCTCTTAAGCGTGCATATGGTCGGCTTGTTGAGAATCAAATGCGGCTTGGTTTTAACCATGTTGATAAATTTGATTTTCTTGAAGCCTACCCAATCGCTCGTAAAGAGGCTTTTCAAACCCAAACTATTCAAAACAGCTTTGCAGCAGCTGGTTTAGTACCATTCAACCCAGATCGAGTGCTTTCTAAGTTGAATATTCTTCTTCGAACACCTACACCCCCAGGTAGCCGCCCTACCAGTCGATCAAGCCAATTTTCACCTAAGACACCTCAAAACATTATCCAGCTTCAGCGGCAAGCTAGTTCAATCAAATCTCTTCTAAAACAACGCTCAAGAAGCCCTCCAAGTCCACTCAAACAGCAAATCGATCAAGTTCTTAAGGCCTGTGAAATTCAGATGTATTCAACAGCTTTATTAGAGGTTGAAACACGTAAATTACGTGCCGCACACGAGAAGCAGAAGCAAAAGCGCCAACGGTCTACTAGACAGATACCTAATGAGGGTGGAATGACGGTTCAAGAGGGCCAGGAAGCTATACAGCGTGCTATACAGGTGGTTGAAGCGCCAATTGCCCCTCCCGTACCACCGCGGAGAGCGCCTGTTTTACAGCCTCAGCCAACGAGGAGAAAGCTGCCGACATGTAAAAAGTGTGGAGAAGAAGGACATAGGTCAGATCATTGTGATATTTAGATAAATATTTTAATAAATTGGCGTTATGGTGGTTAATAATTTATCTAAAGTAGTATAATAGGTGGTAGGTGATCCGCTCGCTTGGGTGATCCGCTCGCTTGGGAATCACGTTAACTATTGGGTCACCTCAAGTATATACTCGGTACTTGCAGACATCTGGATGCCGATACATTGATATTCTTCTTACTACTATGTATATGTACTCAAGAGAGGGAATATCAACTTGAAATACCAACATTGATTCAAGTTGAAGTTAGACCCTGAAACAAGATCTCAAGTTCCATAGTTATAGCCAAGCATTGCAGGATTGATGCTCGGGGGCCCCTAATCTCCCATTCCAACTATTGTGGATTGACTAGAAATGAAAATAAAAATTTTAAACGTGGATTTATAGATCGGAGATGAGTTTACCCCCAAAAGCTGGTGGTGTTATGGGATTGAATAGTGAGTTGGACTCAAAGTAGTCAACACAAGTGCATATGTTGTAACCTTGGATTTCTACAGGACTACAGTATACACTGGTATGTAGAGTCAGAGTCCTTTGCCCCAATATTCGATATGAATCTTAGTTGACTGAAATGGATGTTTCAGAGTTAGCTAGGTAGGCATATAGGTAAACTGGTCGTTGGGGCTTTCATAACTACTGCAGTTGGATTCCATTGTTCTTCAAGTTTTTCCTGCCCTTCAAGTTCAAGTTGGCACCTGTGAACCGGAATCTTTGGTAAACGGGACTTGATTTGGAATACGATCCTGCGCTCATATGAACCCTCATTTTAATAAGATGATTAAATCATAATTGTGATCATCTGAATCACCAAACTTAGCACACCAAGCATTAAGATTCAACGCGGAGAATCCTCGGAATTCTAATCCCAGTCACGAATAAGACCATGACATAGATTCTCATAAATTGGTCACGCTTAGCTTCAATGAAACAAGATACCCCTAACTGATCCCGCGACTCCAATACTGGTCCTCTATATCACCATCATGGGATAGATAATCTTTCTTCACGTTCAAGGCGGGCACCAATCGTCATGGCTGATCGCTGCAGTCTGCAGAATCCTCCGTGCGGTTACATGGCCCATATTTACTCCACATTACCTCCGGCCTTTCATAACCCATCCAATAATGCTTCTTCTCAAGAGTTGCATCGATTGCGCATGCATGTCTTAGCAATATCTCAATTTCAAGGAATCTCCATTTAACCGACAGTGGGCTTTACATCGGATAGTTCAACTCCGAGATAGACCGGACTGCTGTGTGGACATCTTTTATCCGTAGTAGACTTAAATACCCTGTAGACCTCCTTGATCCTACTAGTTCAAGTTCCTAAATTGAGTTAAACCATATCTCCTTAACATCCTGGAACCATGCCCGGCATGTTCTCGCGCCTTAGAGCCCCGGTGGCTCTCTTCTGGGCACTCAGCCTACCCTCTACCCAGGCGGACCAAACAACAACCATCACAACGGACCTCTACCCTGAAACCTGGGGTGGCTGGGGCGTATCATTAGCCTGGTGGGCCAATATATTCGGATATCGAGAAGACCTAGCAGATATTGTCTTCACCAGAGACTCGACCTATTGGAGTCCCGGCGATGAGACCTTACCTGGTCTAGGCCTGAATATCTTGCGATATAATGCCGGTGCTTGCTCGTGGAACACCATCAACGGTACTATCTCGATGGTGGCATCGTCTAATATTCCAAAGGCAAAGCAGATGGAGGGATACTGGATAGATGATTCGAGCACGGATCCCAGCTCGTCGAGCTGGAACTGGACTGTCGATGCTAATCAGCGTACCATGATGCTCAATGCTCAGGCAAGAGGCGCTGATACTTTCGAACTGTTCTCTAATTCTCCGATGTGGTGGCAACTCGATAATCTCAATCCTAGTGGTGCTTCCGATGGAGGAAGTAACTTGCCTACTTCTCAGTATACAAATCATGCGATATACCTATCGACGATTGCTCAGTATGCCCAGGAGAACTGGGGTCTTACTTTCACCTCTATTGAGGCATTTAATGAACCTGCTTCGGATTGGTGGGTCTCAACAGGTACTCAGGAGGGCTGTCATTTTGATGCGTCATCTCAAGCATCACTCATCCCAATTCTGTATAAAGAAATGCAAGCGCGAGGCCTGGACCAAACAATCATCGCGTCATCGGACGAAAATACCTTCGAACTAACACTGGAAGGCTGGGACACCATTACCGAAACCACAGAGAAGGCATATGTCGGTCGTGTAAACTCTCACGGCTATGAGGGTCTGAGTGGTCCACGATCCAAACTCCGAGCAGCCGCGACAAGTGCGGGACAACTTCTCTGGGATAGTGAATATGGAGATAGTGACTCAACAGGCGCAACAGCCGTGCAACTCATCATGACAGATATCAGACTCTTACAGCCAAATGCTTGGGTTCACTGGCAAGTTATTGACTCCTCAGACTGGGGTCTCATCAATGGCGATATTACATCCGATACTCTTGACGGTGCTACAACGAAATACTACATGCTGGCTCAGTTCAGTCGGCATATTCGGTCTGGGATGCGCATTTTGAACAGTACCTCGAGCAATGTTATTCCGGCTATCAATCAAGATAATGCTACACTGGTTATTGTTGTGGCTAATTGGGATGAGGATCAGACGTTTACTTTTGATTTGTCGGCTTTCTCACAGGTTCCAGATGATGGGACGGCGATTAGTAGTTGGTTGACTGATACAAGTGGAGAGAAGCTTTATGCCAGTGATGATAGTGTGACTATTGAGAACTCAGCTATCTCGCTCTCGATTGCGAACTCGACTGTGCAGACTTTTGAGATTTACGGAGTGGCTATCTAGGATAATGTGGTGGTAACACTATTAAAGCCTTACAGCAAATTCTTCTTTATCAACTATCTTCCAAGGTTCTCTATGTACCTAATGCCGATCATAGACGTCGTCTCATTTGAAGCTCCGCCACCCGCCTTTCTGTATCCCGGACAAACTCTTTCCGCTCTGCATACCGTGCTTTGACTTTCCTCCAAATAACCGGGAGTAAGTCGAACCCAAGAAGTAGCGCTAGACCTACAACCAGAGGCTGCAACTGGTCTTCGTCTGTGATCGACTGCGGAGCACACGGCATAAAGAAACACGATTTTGAACGCTCCACACTTCCGCTCAGGTAGGCTTTGGACACATATACTATAGCATACGTCCCAATAATAAATAAGTACCACCCGGCGTTTAAAACCGACATTAGGCATAACATTGGAACCGTCCTCGAGAAATTTAAACCAAATTGGAAGATAAATAAAAAGACACCGACGGGCAAAATTCCAAACATCCAATTAACGCTACCTGTAGAGCTTACCATAGCGATTGAGATAACGAATGTGATGATGGATAAAATTCCAAATATTCCGACTAAATTGTGAAGCCTATCTGTTGTCTCCACCCATTCAATCGTGAGATTTATCAAATCCATAGCGCGTTTGGGCAATACTGCAGGCATCGTGATATAGACCAACCAAATGACGATTGGTATGCTTGAATATCCCGTATAACTGGCGTAACGGAGCAAATCCTCGTGTGTGAAGCTTTCCATTCCATACCAGTACAATGCCGGTGTATCGAGAGTATCGGGATTTAACCAGAAACAAACCAGTAGAGTTGTTAAAGGTAAAACCAGTCCGATCGTATGAGCTAACAAGCGTCTATCTTGGTCTTCAGATGAGCCAAAGACGATGATCAAAATCAAAAGCTGAATCTGCGCGTGAAATGTGCCCCAAAACGTAAAGTTAAGCGCAGCGCCTAGAGATCCTAAGCCACTTTTGACCCGACCATCATAATCGGGTGCATCTCGTGGAATGTCGAGCGTGGTTTTAACACCTCGCCAGACATCAACAGCGGCCCAATTTGTCCAAAAAAGGAAGGCGACGGTGTTTGGGTCGACTTTCTCTTCCGAGACGCGGATGATTCGAATCCAGGATGCCACAAGCGTTAGGAACCATCCTGCCCAAGACCCTGGACCGTAGAGGCCACTTATATTAGCCATACCGAGGGGATCAGGCTCCACTGTTGTGACAGGGAGATATAAGGGGGCCGATGTGGTAGTAGATGTCGTTTTGCTTGAAGTTGAGACATCGCGGGGTGTGATCGGGGAAACGTTCATGGCCTGCTCATTTCTTGGTTGTAGTCCGCTGGCGCATATAATATACAAAAAGAGGAAGAAAAATATGAGTGCCCTCTGCATCTTTGCACTTGATCTGATAGGGCAGGTTGATCTGGTCAGTTTGTTCAGCAGTAAATGGCATGGAAGATGGGGGAGCTGAGTTAAAGTGAAAAGACGAAATTCCATCTATCGAGCCATTTAAAGTCAGCAGCCTAATAATAGCCGCCGCATCTCTCAGCTGGAGTTGATGCATCGATCCAGCATAGCCCGATGGCATTCAACTAATCAGAGCGGCAGCTATAAGCCACACTGGCGCCTCCATAGATGACAACAGTTGAAGAGTTGGTTAAATTTAGCGATCACATAAGTATATTAGTGTTTAGAAAATAGCTCGTATCTGGTCCAGTTGCAAGGGCCTATGAGCAGTAGGCGTTGGTTTGTATGGACGGTTCAAGAAGTTCTGTGCCAACTTGAACTTCCAAGGTTGGAAACGTACCTATTAGTAAAGACTCGGACTGCTCAAAACAGGCATGATCTGTAGCTTAGGGATATGAGACCTGATTCTTATAATTGGCTCAGACTTAAGTGAGAAGGTCAATGCCAAGAAACTTTGAAACAGAATTGAAACGAGAAAAAAAAAGTGAAATTTCAATATTTCAAAATTCGTTGCCCACATGGATGTTCAGGTGGGCAATTTCGACTATTACTGTAATCGGTTCTAAATATCAAGAATCTCAGCTGAGGGGGCATTCTAGTTTCATTCAAACTCATCTAAATCTACTCCTGTTTATCATAAACCGTGTCAATTTATACCAATTTCAACTCCCACACTCCAAGGTCCTTAGATCCCATTCACAGCCTGTAAGGCGTGTCCAAGTGCTATAAAAGTTCAATGTTAACTGCTAGTGTCATATATATCACTGGCATCCACGGAGGGGGACCTGAACTTGAACTCACATCAGCATTTCGAGGCTCAATAAAGAGAGCCTTTGCCTCTGCAATAAGAGTATAGTCATCTCCTTGACTTGGCAAAGTTTCAATTCGACCATTCAACCATGCCTTTCGTCCCTGTAACTGGCTCACTTCTGCCGTCAAGACAAAATATGAGTTCACCATCGCAGGATTGCGAAAATCAATGTTTAGATTGGCTGTCACCGCAACCTTTTTCTCAAATGCAGTACCGCTGCACCGGACGAGAGTTTCATCCAATAAGGTTGCGAGAAGACCACCGTGAACCATACCACTATGGCTGGATAGCTCATTTCCGAGATGGATGATCATGACCATGCTTTTGCCGGTATTTTCGAAGACGTAAGGAGCCACAGTGATCCTCTGGGGTCCGGATAGGGGTCCAGTCAGAATATTTTGGGCCCGCATACGCTCCGGTATGGAGAGATGAGGTCTTTTCTCGACATAATGGGGATCTCTTCGTAGAGACAAGGTGAGCTCGTGGAACTCAATGAATTGTTCAACGTCATTGGAAGATTCTTCTGATGCCCACAGAAGCTTGAAGAGCTTGGTTTTGGGTGCTGAGATAATGGTCGTCATGTTGACAGATTTGGTAGTGGAGTGTTCAACTTCAAAGGGTTGAGTATCAAGGCAAGTATAGGATGGATGGAGTTCAGGAATATTCAATGTAGAATGGAGACTGGGTACTAGACGTCATTATTTATACCTCTGGCTGGCGGAGGACATCCACCATCATTCAAAGATAGTACCAATATGTACGCTCGGATATTGTGATAGCAGGCCGGGTGTACCAAGTTCTGACCTTGCCCAGGAGATTTTTCTTCCTGATTCGCCTCCTAAGTTGAACATTCCAAGCCCGGTATGAGGAGAGCCTCCCTCATTTGCTCACCCGATATCGCGATTTGCATAAATGTAGTTAGTAACAGTTTCCATACTGGTCCGAATGCAGGGCGGAAATAGCTGCTATCAAATGGAGAGCAAGAATTAATATAGGTGTCTGCATAATTGACACCAAAGTTACCAGACTACAATTTAACCTATTTGATCCTTTGATTGTCATTCATGCAGTCGGTGAAGTAAGAAATGATTTTTTTAATTGGATGTGCTACAGCCGATCGATTCCATGCATACGTTTAGTAGGGCATCATCCCTTCTGTACTACCCAAAGTACCATGCAGAACTCAGGCTCTACGTTTACAGCACTAAACCTTTCAGAATTATCAGTTATATACTTATGACATGCTATGTATCCACTATTGAGAAAAAAAGGCCTCCTTACTGTAGTGTCATTACATACCACATGATGGATCCATGATTCACCACGACTTCCAATGCATCAAATGTGTACTTTCAAGTTTGAAATGGTTGAAACGATCGATTGATCTAGAGCAGATAATAACATATCAATCATCCCTTTCAAAATTTTGTACGACCCTGATTCTCCTAATTCATGACCCACGCCTCCGGATGTATGTATGTCGACCAAAGCGGTTCGAGTTGTAGATCCCTGCCCGAAGAAATCCCGTTAATCCCGAAGTCTGCCCGGCATATGCACATACTATTTGACTCGGATTTTCTAACATCACATTTAAATCTGCAGAGAGCTGCCGAGGTGGTACCCAATATACCGCTAGGTGGCACCCAACAGTGCATGTGTGGAACCCTTTCTCAACCCTAGTATTTAATGCGGAATTCAAAATGTTGATAGGGCTATCCCTGTTACTGGTTGTCCGATTCTCTGTAATCTTTGGTTCGGGCCGCCACCAGGCATGTCGGAAGCATCGGTCCTTTGCCCTAAGAGGCTCGTGATAAGATCCTCGTTTCATCCTTTGTAGGTCTGACGTGGTGGAGTGGATTAGACCGCCACTTCATAAGATATACGGCCGGCTCCGACAGTATGGATATTATTTTTATTCCAGAATGCAGCATTCCCGAGGTACTCTGACGTTCAATGTTGATGACATAAAACTATACTACTAGGAATATTCGACTTTTTAATTCCCAGATGTTCGATCAGCCACGAATTTAGAGTACTATTTTATCAAAAAATAGATAGTAGATATGGGATTATTTGAGACCAAACACTAGTGTTCATATGACGCTATCAGTAGTATCATTTGAGTCTATGATAGCACTCACGTCGATAAAGATCTACTATTTATTCGCTCCTTAAGTTATCTAAACTACAAGTATCTTGCATTGGTAGACCAATCAACATTGAAGCTGAATGTGCTCATTGCATATGCAAACATCTCAACCAACCTCGAAGGCTACATCCTCCCCTCGTGTCCTCAAATTCCCTGTGATGATTGACATAAACTCGATTAAAAGTGGCAAAAGGAAAATATAATGCCAAGATCAGCAAATGTATGCATTGACCAATAGATATCTCTCGGTATTTCAAAGTTCCCCCAAAAGAGGTACATCAAACTTTAATCCTAATCGATCTATCAACGTAGTTAAACTTGAGCCAAGAACTTGAAGGTCAAGTTGGATGGATCATTTGACTAAATTCTCTCAATGATACTGTAAAACTCAATTCTCCCTCACTGATCTCTCAGCCTTGGAAAGAAGCATTCAAGTTAGCCCCTGACTTCCTAGCTTCTAAGTTTAGCTATCTGTGAATAACCAAAAGATCATCTGGACAATCACCGGTGGTTGAAGTCGTCTCAAGTGCTCGATCAGGTAAATGCTATGTTTCCCGATTCGTGTCCCGATCACTGCTACCCAATTCATAGATTCAACTTGATTCTTCATGTTATTCCAAGGTTGTCACAGGCCCGATATGATTACTTGCTATCGATGAATCTTGAGAAAGTCATATGCTTATTGTGGTTGGCTGATCGCATTGAGGGGGTTCCGAATATCCATTCAATGGTTCATATGTGAATTCAAGGGCAATGTCAATTGAATCTTGCTACTTAGGCACTAATCAAGAGTAATTGAATTGATACACCCGGGGATCTTTAGGTAGAAAGAAAAAAAACCATACATGGATATCTTCCAAGGTTGAGACTGAAAGGAAATAGTTTGTCATTCGAATGAAAATAGATACATTGACCAAGAGGCAAGATGTGAAGACAATGAAAAGAAGATAAAAGAACGGATATCAAACATGCAATGATAAATACATCCTAAAAATCCACTTCAATAGCAGGCTTCCTCCAGGGCTCCCTACAGCTCACCAAGAGTCTCAACACTGGCATAGATCTCATGAGTTGAACTACTAACCATAAGGTTATCCGCACAACTACTTCCCAAATTCTCATTGCCAACCCAAGCAGGCTCCCAGTAGTAAATACCCAAACCACCAGTAACACCCTCAACGACATCCGCCAATTTCTCCAAGAACTCTTCCTGTCCCGCAACAGAGAACGGGATACTCGCCAAATCAGATGGGAACGCATATTCAGGGTCAGGACACGAAGTAGGCCAGTTGGTCTCGACAACAAGGATATCCTTGCCGTAGGCCTTATACATGTTCTTCAAGCTAGTAGTCAACGCTGTAAGCGTAGCACTGGAGCTGTAGAAGGGGTAGTATGATACACCCATGTAATCGAAATCAGTGGAGACGAGGTCGGTGGTGTCGGCTAGAACTTCGTTGTAGAAATATTCTTGCTCTTCCCAGTCCCAGCCATTGTCCAGGTGGATCATGATCTTGGGTGTGGTTGCAAGGTCGGAATCCTTGACTCCCCATGCGCCGGAGTGTAGCAGACTGGCAATGTTATCGTAGTTAGGGGTCTCACCAAGAGGCCAGAGTAATCCGGCGGTGATTTCGTTACCGATTGAGACGATGTCGACGGTTAGGTCGTTCTCTGCGAAGGTGTTGCAGACTAGCAGGGTGTAGTTGTATAGTTGCCAGGTGAGGGTGTCAATGTCGGTTGTGGACCATCCTGTGGGAGTTGTCTAGAATCATTGTTAGAGGAGGTTCATATGATGAGAAAGTGGTGTGTATTTACCTGCTCACTGGGACTAGCCCATGTGTCACTCAGATGAAGATCAAGGTATGTGGTCATACCCTGTGCTTGAATCCTCGTCGCTAACTCGATGTTGTAGTCAAGATTGTAGTCACCAGAGCTGGGGTCTACCCAGATTCGCTGACGAACAGAGTTGAAACCCAGGTCTGCGAGAATAACCTCTAGCGCCTCGGTTTTGCCCTCCAGGTTCTTGTATGTGATGCCAGCATCATTTTCAATAATCAGGGAAGAGATATCCGCGCCGCGAATGGATAGCTCCGCAAGGGCGGGAGCAAGAAGCTGGGAAACGAGAAGAATCTTCGACAACATGATGATCAACTGTTTCAAGTTCTCGGTGCTTTAGTTTGGATTCTCTGACAGAAACCAAACTCAGAATTCGAGGCACAGTGGCCCTCTTTTAACATTTTCTCCTGTACGGGTACCTGTCTCGGTTCGGCACGAGAGGAAGGAAGAATTTCCCCCATTGTGCTATAGACATCTGGAGCATACCCACATCAAGTTTTGGGTCTGATGATATTTTTCAACCGGAAGAATCTCTGTTAGGACTAGCACAGATGTATGAAACGCCGACAGATAGTGCGGCGGGTGGAGAAATCCGAACACTGACGATACTTTCTCGAGTAGGCTGTGAACGTGGATCAGATTTTAATCTGAAAACAGGGGGCGGGTCCTTGATGTCCTTGATCAATTGGGGAAATTTCCGTATAAAATAGATAAAATATGTACGGGGTATAATAGCCGTGAATAAAAACCGCCATCTAATATGCCATGGTCATATAATCCGGAGTATTTTGGTTGCTTGTTCTGTTTTGCTTGGACGCCTCTGACCATCTCGGTTCCCACCGTTAACTCTATCCTCTTCATTATGTCAAGTGATTCGTTGATGCCCCTCTCTTAATGATGATTATTGGTGGAAGTGTTTATTCAGTTTTGATCAGCTCTATAAGCGAAATCAGAGTCTGACGTATACCTTTCTTATTTTGTGTTTTGGCGCAACCCCCGCCGGGGAACCTGGACATTTTGAACACTTCCAAGATTCTAGGGCTGAGAGTCTTACCGCTGGTTAGAGTTTGAAAAGGTCTTCAGATACAGGACTTGGAGGATGCACTAACCTGGAACGGTTTGAAGGAATGAGATATCACCTCGGTTCACTCAAACCGTTGTCATAGGATTTCGGGTTTCCTGCCCTTCTTGGATTTTCATTCGGTGAAGAACTTGAATTCATGTAGGTACCCGAAAATGGTCAAGACATGCATGTGTGTGTACTCAAATAGTGACGAGAAACGCTCAGAACGGTTGTCTAATCCACTCCAGGCTAAAGTCACGGTTGAAGTGCAAGTGGAGACCAGGGTGTCACGAGACTCACGCCTCCTATGGGAAATGGTCTCCTGAGCCGAGCTCCCGAGTAAATAGGAGGCAAGATAACCTGAATCAAATAGGAGAAAAAGTCTACTTCAAATTTCCATCTACTGAATTGTACATCAAGTGTTCCATGAATCATATCATCAATTGTCATTGCAACAGGCGTCACCACGCCTCTCAAGTCATGTATCATGCAGGCATCCTTAGCAGAAATCCAAGAAGAATTCGCAGAACCCCACCCAACATCAACATTACATACAGCTAGTGTTCAAAAGGAAGATCTGAACGCAGGAAGCAGATCATCAGAGAATAAAAAAAATAACGGGGGAATGTGGCACCGCAATACCAGTCTTCTGATCTGGTATTGCCTCGCGACTCGGGGCAGCCAGAGACAGGATGGTCCTGTGGTCATGACGGAGGTGCCACCGGTGCGAAATGTATATATGTACAAGTCATGTAGGATGTATGCCAACAAACTCTAGAATGCCACACCTTCCAGAGATGACCGCGAGAAAGCAATCGAGATGATGTACAAAGACCTCACGGTTACAAGAAAGTGTTGAAGGCGGGAAGGTGGATGTGGAGAATAAGGGAGGATGAGGGTGAAAGGGGGTTTTGAGGCAAGAAGAAAAATAAAAAGGTGATAAAATCTCAAAAAATGGCGTGGTCCAACTATTCAGGCTTTTTGCCTGTGGGAATCGGTGCTTTGGTAGATGGCTTCTTCTTTCCGATCATAAGAACTTCCTCTTCGGATTCATCAGAATCTTCTTCATCGTCGCAGTAATACCGAGACTCATCTTCCTCAGATGGACGAGGAGAGGCTTGGGAATGGGCCTTCACTGTTTCGCCGGTTCGGAGAATCGAAGGTACTGATGAAGAGTCGTCGGAATCCTTGGACGGAGGACACATGCCATCACCAGAAAGAGATGAAGCACCAGAGACAACAGATGGAATGCTAGGATGAGAAGCACTCTGTGACATTCCACTAGTAAAATCATCGGCAGAAGAGGAGGAAATAGTAGCGGCAGAAGGGGTAGAAGTGGTAAGACCGTTGCGCTGGGGCTCCACAGGGCATCCAATATCCCGAGGAGGCAATGAGGGCAAATGAAGGGAGTCAGTTGAGACCATAGCACTTTCAATATGAGTCGCCAACACATCATCCGCACTAGGCGCGATATCACTCCTTCTGCGGCGTAAAAGCGCTTCCTTGGTAAGATGGAATGACTCTGCAGAAGACTTGCCCGCAAGTTGCTGGGAGCGATTGCGCCGATGCGCAGAAGCCAGGGCTGGACTACGCGAAGGCGAAGGCAAAGGAATGTGAGCATGCCATAGTCCAGTGTTACGGAGATGACCCACTGCAGAAGCATTGCTAACGGCGAGACTGGGCTCAGAGCGGCGATCCCCATCCAAAGAGATCGAGTCTGCAGATGGTGATGTACGGCGACTTCGACTGCCAGTGTGAGCACCACGTGAGGTGCGCCGATGAGCACCCGTGAAGAGGCTTCCAAAACCAGTGGTTCCCAATGCCTCGATTATTGAGGGGTTTCCGGTCCGTGGTCGCGTAGAGGCTGGAGCCTCGAAGCTGGATGGCTTAACCGTCTTAGTAGACTCCGCAGTAGACATCGATGACTTTGCACGCCGAGGAGGACCAGGTCGTGTTGGTGGACCCGTGGGAGTGAGAACAAGTTTAGGCTCGGGGAACACAGAATCAAAGTAATGACCCCAAGATTGTTCTTCCACGGGACTTGCTGTAACGCTCTGGGCAAGCGGATGTTCTCCCCCTTGGGCGAGGTATTTTGATGATCGTACATCTTCATCTCCCTTTAAGCTGGATCGGCGACTGACAGAAGGGGTTTTGCCAAATGTACTTCCACTGGCGGCTGAAGATAAGGTGTCGGAGGAGTTGTTTGTGCGTTTCCGGGGCTCTTTCTCCTTGGTCCGGCCACCGAACCACTTAGCCACGTTGGAACGAACCCGTTGGATGAATGGCACCTTGCTGACGGCACTAGTGACTTCCTCGCTTGAGACCTCAATCCTCTTGCCCTTGCTTTGATAGCCTGGATCACTCTCTTCAATCCAAGCTCGTGGATTGGGGAGACCGTGCAGGGTCCAAGGGTGGTGCTTGATTTCCTTCAAAGTAATACGCTTGAAGGGATCCTTGGTCAATAAGCGGCGAAGGAGGTCGTATAACTCATCGTCAATATCCTCGTATTCAAGAACATCACTGTCTCGGCAGTCATCCTGGATCTCATCCGATGTTTCATCCCTGATGGGGACTAGACGTTTCCGTGGAATGAAGACCTCCTTCTTCACAATTGTTTGGAACATGGTGTACTCATCATCTGAAACAAAAGGAAGACGGCCAAAAATCATCCCGTACAAGGTTACCCCAAGAGACCAGACGTCGATAGCGCCCGTTATCTTGGGCACTGACCCGATAATATCCAGGAAATCATCACCAGTGTAACAAAGCTCAGGAGCGTAGAACGCCGGTGTGCCAACGGTCTTGGATAATTCCCGTGCGTCATCCACCTCTGTTGCTTCGTTTTCGCCCAATTCCTCCTCTTCCTCGTCGCGCATCGGCCGGCCAAGATACGACACGCCAAAATCAGAGATCTTCACCCGGTAGTTACTGGTAACAAGAAGGTTCGCGGGCTTGATATCGCGATGGATGATGCCCTGGAAGTGGAGATATTCCAGCCCGAGTACAGAATCTCGGAAGGCGTTCCGTGCCGCATGAATGGTAAGACAAGGGACATAGGACATGTCATCCCTATCGGCCGACCACTCGGGCTCGGAGGGGGCATAACCAAAGCTGCTAGATGCTGTGCTAAAACGACGCTCGAAGGGGAGGTCTGAGTAAGCCCCATACATGGTGCCCTCGACTGCCGCTAAACTTGCTTCTTGCATGGAGGATTGACTAGGAGATCCATCGGTCACGGCAACAGACCTCGTAGACGATCTTCTGATAGCCAAGCCTAGACCTTCATCTTCTTCCTCATCTGAGGACTCAGCACCATGTTCTAAACTCCAAGCAGGGATGGGACCTTGCTGTGCATCTGCGGCCTGCGCTTCAACTCGTTCCCTTGCCCTCTCTCGCTGGCGACGTAAATGTTGGGCCGTGCGAACAAACTGATGGCTTTCTTCCAAAAACGCAGGCGTGTCTGGAATTCCAGCCATCTCACGATCAAGCCGTAACTTGTCAACGTGAACAATTTCTCGAAGTCCCTTTTTCCGCCAGACAATTTCTCCATTTTCCACAAACTCCAACACAATATAGACTTTTTGTCGGTTTGGATCATCGATAACCTCGAGCAAGCTGACGACATGGGGATGTCGTGCCTTCTTCAAGATAGCAACCTCCTTCTTGACCTTGTCTTCTGGGTTGCCCAACTTTCCAAGCCGACGTCGTTTGGAGTACCGCTGTACAATCTTGATAGCTACTTTTTGCTTGGTTGTAACGTGCCGACCGAGCTTAACCTTGCCATGTTCGCCTCGTCCAAGTTCCTCCAAAATCTCATACTGGTTGATGAGTTTATTTCCAGTCACCAAGTCTCGATCCACTTCAGCGGTGTGCGTCTCCTTCGGTGGCTGCAGATGAGTGGGATGGAGGTATGGGCTTCCAATTCCGCCTTCTTCATCGGATCCCATGGGCGGGGTCGTTCGAGGAGTTCGCATCGAGAAAAGACCCGGGCTGAGCACCGGGGTGTTCCCTGCAGTACGCACGGAACGGGGGAACCGGGGTATTGGCTCCGCTTGGGAGGGATAGGAGCTGCGCGACCGTAGATGCGGGAGTTGCCAGGTTGGGTGAATCTGGGACTGGAGGGAGGCATAGGACTGATCCGGGTAGACAGGGTATTCGGGCATATTTTCAGAATGTCGCGATGTTCTTCGAGGGCTACGTCCAACGCCGCCATGTTCCGATCGAGCATCGACCACAATGTCCTCGTTGAGTGCTTGTAATGAACTTGATGAAGAACGGGTTGAGGGAGCTCGAGAGGATGTGTAGACATGAGGAAACGCTTGTCGGAGGGTCGCTTGTGCATCTGCGATCTCAGCAGATGCAGGTTTGGGTGCTTGTTTAGTGGTGGTTTGTCGAGGCTCCGGTTTGTCATTCAGTAAAGAGAGGGCCTGTAGCGTTTCTTCAGACCGAGGTGTTTGCTGCTTCGAGTCCCCGCCATGACCATTCTGAGGTGCCAGTTTCTCTGACACCTCTGAGCCAGGGACCGAGGACTCGCGTTCCGTCATATTCATTCTTCCTTATGTTTTTTTTCTTTCTCATATGCAGATTCAAAAAAAAAGGAGCGGGAGGAAGAGAAAGATTTAGGTGTGCGGGCCAACGGTGCCAGAATTCCAGTTGAGCATCCTTCTCACAATGACTTCCTTTATGTTCCCGTGGTAGTTCTTCTCTAAGAGCTGGTGAAGAGCTCGAACGACACGCTCGAATGGACCAGCATTACTCCCAAGCGTTTTGGTACTGGAGGGGCAGATTGGGAACCGTGTACCGGACAGCGGGCCGCCCAAGGGATAGAAGAAAGGTAGACCTGCTACTGCACGAGGGATTCGGATGATCCCACCCTCACACGTGGAAGGAATTCAGGCGTCGGCAACAAGAAAGGAGCGCAGTGGATCAAGGTGCTATAAATACTCGATACTCAGATGGGTTTCGATGGGGCCCGGGGGGAGGGGGGTAACCGAGATCGGAGGATTCCAGGGAAGAATGCAGAATGCCAGAAAGAAAGTCTCAAAATCAAAGGAGAGAAAAAGAAGAAAAAGGAACTAGTTTAGGAAATGGGGAAGAAAGGAGGAAAGGGAGGTTGGATGGGGGGGATTTTGGGTGGGTAATAGGGCAGAGCGAAGATCGGATGCCAAGGGAATCCCAATGACGCTGCACCAAATTGAGAACAGTGTACTATGAGTGAGTGAGAAAGAGAGACTAATTATTCGAGATTTTGATTATGTTTTTTTTTATTATTTCATTTTCTCTCTTCTTCAAACCTATAATACAGGGGCGCATAAATTTTCCCCTTTATGTATCAGGAGTTAACTGACTTGAACGTTAGCGTTAGGGACACTTCGGCCGATACACCGGTGTGGCGATCTTTTTTGGAATTCGTTTTACCAGAATAGAGACATCAATTCAAGTTCTAAAGTGATATAGGAAATCATGGATGACTGGTTTGGTCAACCCAAGTTAAAGAAACCATTGGAAATACCTTCGGCTTGATTCTCCTCTCTGGATTTGGGGCTGATGGAGATACTATTACGTCGAGGACTTCCTGGTTTAGGGTACCACCTGAATGACATCGTATTCTTTTTCTATACAACGACTTTAGGATCTACTGATCAATCTGATTTGATTCTGATTCTCATGATCATGATATTCTATCTATTTTACAGTTCCTTCTATCTTTTTTACTCCTGTCAAAGTTCATGGGTGACCTGGTGGCTGAAAGTCTTAACTCTTACTATACTTGATTGTCACTGTCACCGCCATGATCCACGGTACCCACTGACGAGAACAGCAGTCTACTACTTGATGTGGAAGATCCTTGTTTTGTCTTTACTCAGATTGGGCAATGGATGACACTATCATATATTCATATATTCAAATGTTCCCAATGTTCTCCCAGAACTGTACTAATGTACTAATGTACAACCTTGTGAAGTCTACGGTTTGACCCTTTCCCCGTATCCCCAGGAAAAAAAGAGCGTCTCGGCGAACAGAGCCCATCCCGATTCCTTTAACCCGCCAATCACATATCTTCAAGTAAACCGCAATGGGCTCAGCTCGGTACGGCGAGGACAAACTTCGGGCACCTACCCGAGCATTTGGAGACGAAAAGTCAGTTATATGTTACCTTTGATCCCTGATGCCAGTGGTCCTTGAGGGGGCGAAAAGGGGGGTTCTTGAGTTTTGCCTTCGTATGGAGACGCTAATCTTTCGGACATGACAGCGAGCCAGGGGTATTATAGCAGGGATACGTGACGCCCAATCTGCAACTGCGCGTGCACTAGCGTTCAAGTTCGAAGTTCAGAATCCTGAGAGATATTGTTGAATAAGATACGATGTATCTACTATAGGGTATGGATTAATCCTGGTAAAAGTGTGCAGAATATTGGTTTCAAGATGTTTGATATATCTATATTATATTTAATATCTTATTTTTCTTTGTTTCTGTTTTTTTTTTCATATGAATATAAGTGCTTGAGTGCACGAGAATGTATCTCGACGCCCGAGCGTAGGTCCGTGCGCTTCATTCCCGGATAGAGAGATAATTACGTCATCTCAGGGTCTGGGCCCTTAATTAACCAACTTGATTCATAGATCTCCATGGGTATATGAAGTAAAAGTAAGAAATAGTATACTTTTTACCCAGATCTCGACATCTGGAGTCCCAAAGAATCATTGTCGGGGTTTGTTTTAGTATGACACTACTAGTACTATTTCAGCCTAACAGTAATCTCGACTAGGAAGAATATCAATGACTTCAATATTTGACTTTAACGCACGGATCAAATAGAGGTTCCACCTTTTTTTTTCTTTTTCTTTTTTCTTTTTTTCTAATCTCTAGTAGGACTCGGTTTCATTTCTATTGTCGCTGAGAAATATTCCGTTGTGGTTCAAATGGCCCCAAATTATCATAGCTCCATGCAATACTAGGCATAATACGATGTACAGTACTTCGTATGATGCATACAGTTAGCTTAGCAAGATACATTCAACTTAGTGCAAATATCAAATTCAGAGGCCCAACTGCACTAAGCTAGAATCGAAAGGTAAACAGTCAGTACCCAATATGACCGGATCAACCGCACCGGATATCCCAACTTGAATCCCATACACATGTGCATATAAGCACATCTTTCCTGGGCGATCATACATGAATGACAACATCACCTCCGATTCTGTAAGCCTATATTTGAAGATCCCAAACTCGAAGCACGGTATAGCCTAAAATTCAAGAATGAGAGCCATCTTCCAAACCCAACACATGTGCATGTATGCACATGCCCCTTCCAGGACAGATTTGCCTCTCAGCTAGTAACTGACTAGTAACCCCCAAAACTCGCCCCTTGGCGCTTGATCAGTGCTCCGAGTCAGTTTACGCCCTAAACAGATCCAGTTAGTTCTCATTTCCCGAGCATGATGCTAACCCCGCATTGGGGTGTTCGGGCGGTTGATCCGACACAAGAATCCTCTACCTACGGGGTCTGCTAGTCCCGTCTCCCCAGATGCAAGTCTAGTCTTGATGATGTTCATTGGATAAAGCAAAATACGGGATGGATACCTCCGCAGGATCACCCGTCCTCGACATACTTGCTTTTACATGACGCTAGTCTAGTCTCCTTTTCGTCCTCGCATTCCGGAGATTGTGTACATGCAGCTTGGGGGTTTTTACGGAGGGCGTTTTCCTTTCTGGCCACCGGGCAAAATACTGATTGATGTGGTTACTGCTGATCCTCATGCTAAACTTAATCCAATCACCCGCACTTACATCACTTGCAAATCGCCATACTTTCTGCTTTGCCACAGGCCCTGAGCTCTGAGCGCCTCATGCGTAGTTGGCGATCAGTGCACACACCTGGCACCACTGGGGGGGCTTTCTTGTTACGCCTGAAACAGTTGAGGCGACTTCACGTAAAGCAATGATATCTCGATGGCAAATGGTTTTACTTTAGTTGTACAAGATTTGATATCTGAGATCAGATTTATACTGGTGGTCCAAGTTCCCAGGTGCCTTCAAGTTAGTATCGAGATGAACTTGAAGAATAGTATGATCTTATGCCACTGGGGCCATACGCCACGGTCTATTCGAGTCTGCTGCCACACATAAATGACTCAAAGTCCGTGAATGAGGTTCAAAGCTGATATTTAATAAACTTGAAACTGCTATCTCACGAATGGCGTATAGTGTCAGCATATCCAGGGTTCCTATGTAATAGCTAACATGTATTCGTCTGATTCATTCGGAGTGCTAGTGGTGAGATTACTTATGTAAATGGCCCCTTTCGGTCAACTTTTTAGTGATGGACTATAAGACTCTGTGATAAGCCATAGAATATCTACTAGATAGATGCCCGTGTCGATCAGGCATACATACTTCCGGGCTGTATAGCAAGTCCTTGAAATATTTGAATACTTCAGATTGATATCGGGAGAAACTGGATGACTTGGTGGCTTGTTACTATTGCCACTACTCAGCTTTCTCAATGTCAATCTCAAGGTCTTTTCATTAGGTACCACCGCATTCAGGGCCAGCTTTTGATGATCACACAAGTCTTGCATTGTCTAGTACTCTGTGGCGTGTTACGTCTTGCATTTTTGATACTCTGTATTAACGTCCGTCGAGATTAATTTTAAACTAGACCACAGGGTGTATAAGGCCCGCAGGCACGGTGTTACTTCGGTTAAGAGAATCAAGACCCGAGAGGGGTAATGAATGTGCTGTACTTATATCGAGTCCATTTAACCGATCAGCTTTTATGCAGTGTCCGTCGAGATTCCAAAGACTCGAAGATGTATGTCAATGTGTAGGATAGAAGTATCGATATAAAATGTCAAACTAAAAGTAAGCTAGTATTGATCTGCCACGCATGTGCGGTGGGTATTAGCTAGGATGAAAATCGCTTTGACTTTTTTCATCTTGTTTTAAAGCCTTGTATTATGAGTTTCAGGTTGCACTAGAAAAAGACTCGGGATTTTTTGCTGACATTTCATGGATTATACGGAACAGTCCGTGTTGATTTACGGATAGGGATCGTAGTGCATGCCAAGGGACTCACTTTTTTGTTCAATTGGTTTGCAAGAATTACCATGTGAATAGGAGTTTTATGAAGAGGCCATGTGTCCGATTTGCCACTTGGTTTTCATCGCAAATTGAGACTAATGTGGTGACTTGGTGAGTAAGGGTCTTTTCATAGGAATGCAGGTGCCAGTGGTTTGTACTCGAAGTCTTTGAAATCGTTTCTTAATCCGTGATTTGCAAAATCTTATCATACTACTTTCATCTAATTACATATTGCTCACCTGAATACAATTGATTCGGGGTCTTTTCTGTTCAGGAATCACCGAGTAATGTAGAAAATTTGAAGGATAGATTATGATGCTGCCTTCCCATTGTGGAACGATATAGCAGCAGTGCATAGATCCGAATGATATAGGACTAGTACCTGTACATGAAACAGTACCTATGTCATTATAGGCTCAGCTACAGCAGAGTATAAAATTTTATTGTAATGCACATGTGCATACGATGTACCTCAAGGTCAGATCTATCTACAAGGATTCGCCTTCGAGATATCTGGTTGGTGGAGCGACCTTTTAAACTTCAATGGCAGGATCAGTCAAAAAAGCCCAAGTCATGACAAGTGATACAGATAGTCCGCTCGAGTAATGCGAAATGCGCCATCGCTGTTAGTGCCAATGGGAGTCCAATGGTCCAAGCGTCTGCATCAAGCCCAACTTGAACCAAGACCGTTTAGTATCGATGCATCGAATCCTGGTCTTAGAATGCAATGATAGTACGCAGCGGGTGGCTGAGCCGAGTTCATGGTAAAGAAACATATTTGCTTTTTTGCCTTCCCAGCTTCAGACTCTCAGCCTGTTACGAAGCTGACATTGAATAGAGTTCTTTTTACCCCTCCCTATTTCCGGGTCCTGATTCCCGAATATGGAGGCTCTGATTAGTCTTCGTAAAAGAGAAAAAGCAAATATGTCAGTGCATGAACATGCAAGGCCCCTGAGAGGCTGCGAGACCACGCACAGGTCCTCATCAGCATCGCATCGGACTGAGATTAGGGGTTAAGTTGGCATACTTCCCGATGCCCAGGCTACAGGGCACCAGGATGAATGCGGCTAGGCCTCGGACTTGATATGCATGGCCGGCTAGATAACCCTTGCTTGTTATGGGTAGGTACATTGAACCTAAAGATGCGACGCTGTGCATGGGCCCTGAGTGTCAAAATTCAAAGCGATTGGTCTTCTCCAGTGGTGGCTTCCTCATCCTAGGAGGTTGGAGGCTGCATTTCCGAGAGTTCCTATTGGAAATGGCATGATTCATTCCGAAATCGGCGTTGTCTTTTTTTTTTTTCGCCCCCTTCCCATCTGCTCTGCTCTGTTCTATTCTGTTGAATGTCGCTTTCACATTCGGCCGGCACATTGCCTACTTCAGCTCACAGGTGAAGAGGCACGGGTCGAGTATGCGCCCCGTGCATGGATGTGGAAAACATGCCTATTGACCTGTTCTATCTGGTCGAGGTGAGAATTTAAGCGCTGGTATCATTGAAATTTTGTCCATGCTGCGAACTGGCTACAGAGATCATTCAATTTCTGTCAATTGAATACGGGCTGGTCCTTGTAAGAATTCGTTCAGAAGTACCTGTTCCCAGAATCCAGATACATAGTATCAAAGACAAAGACTCCAGGGCTAGAACTCCCGTGGCGGGGGTTGGCGTGCCAACCCAGTGCTGCGCGGCGCGGGATCCATGGATTGATGTCAGCCACGGATCCACTAGAAAACGACTTTAAAGAGTACTCGAGTCATTGACCTCACAAATTGCGACAGGCGCATTCGATGAGATGTTTTGAAGTCATCAATATTTGAGTATGAATGACGCACAATCTTGATGCTTGGAGAAATGCTGGTCTTGGTGAGGTCGAGATTAAACTTACTGGTCATATGTTGACAGATTGCACGGCACGAGACCAATTACCTGACAAGGGCCTGAAATAGAACAACTGAACTTGAACAAGTTGATAGAAACTCCAAATGGCAGGAATAACTACGGCCGAGACGATATTGATCTCGGAGATTTTAGCTGCCAATGGTGCATTACTAGTAAATGATTCCTGCGTGGTCTTCAACCACGTACTAGTGCGACTTAGATCGATTTCAGCAAGGAGATCGTCCTGTTTCAAGCTAACACTTGAGACGCATCGATTATTCGATCTGATTTGATATCAATAACTCCATAGCATACTCTTCAACAACTCGATATAGCATGTTGAAGTATGTATATTATAATTATCCCTATTAGTGAATGACCACATTGGTAGCAACACATGGGCATCTAGATGAGAACCCTTGAAACATCCTCACGGACCTATGCAATCTGGATATCTTATCCTATCCCACTTTACAGAAGACAAAAATCAGGGATTACAATCCCTCAACTTGTGCTAGATATTAAATTAGATTAAAATGCGACATCATCAAGCAGGAGATGAGGGGCTAAGATAGAATGCATCGGGATGTTTTGTCTCCACTCGGGATTGACCATGTTAGATACTAGTAAACGTTGAATCATGGACTTACATCTGATATGCTTTGATTCATACATGAGATCCAAGAAGTTTCTGTTTGAACACTCCAATAGCAACTCAATATTCCATAGCTTACGTGTATATACCTTTAATGTTGAGATCAAAAGTATCACACAAACAATAGCGCCACTCTATGGTTGCCCCCGCAACCATGTTGATCTAACGCAGATCTGAAAGCCCTCAACAGCTCTCGATAATCTATTTGCCTTCCAACTTTTCTTTGTTGGCCTCTTAGAATTAAGAAAATAAACTAGCAATTAGAAAATTCTCGATTTGATCCACACTGCCCAGTGATATTCCCTGTTTTAAGGACTCCCCCCATTTGGTCCCGCCCCAATTCTGTTTACCCTTGGCAGATTATCACTTCGCGTATCTACACATGTGCAAACATTTCGTTGTGCATCTTTTCCTCTTAACCTCCCATATTTGCTGCTGAATTAGAACAAATTACATTTGACAGGCTTCATTCTGCAGAACATGTCTATTGCGTTGCATTAAGGCACTGTTCCTTCCCTGCCAACCGCGTGGCGCCATGCTCGTCGATCCTGGCATGTCTTATCCCTTCCCTTGATTGTCTCAGATTGCGACCATAGGCATTATGGAGTATCAACTCCACCGGAGTTTTTGCTTCTTTGGAGCTTCGTTCCTTATTCTACCTTTGCTCCTCGAGCTTGCCGCCGCGACTATTCCATACACACCTTCCTCCATATTCCTCTCTCCACAACATAACGACTCGCTGGCGTACATTTTTCGACCGAGTAGCTCCAATGGAAGAACAGAATTCCTCTCTCTCAACGTCTCCTCTACAATATCGAGCAATTCGTCCTTTCATACCCTCCTTCCAGAAGCTCCCTTCCAGAATGCCGATCAGATATATCCATACCTCCCCGTCATTGACGATAACGGCACAATAACGCTTTACACTGGGATCTGCAATACATCGGTAGATCGGCAGGAAATATGGCAATTTCGGTCCCAAAACACCAGCTCCACTGGAAATGGGACATGGTCGCAATTCTTGATTGAAGGTGGTGGAGACAAGACTCGACCAAATTACCTATCCGCGGGGTTCACTTTTGCGTCGACAAACACCAGTAACACTTCCATGTACTCGTTCGGTGGAATGTGTCCACTAGCCAACAGCACGGATCAAAACTGGGTATCCGCTGCCAATTACTCTCAGTCAATGGTGGCGCTTGACCCAGCGTCTGGCTCAGTTTCGACAACATACGATGTATCAACTACTGGAACTCGTGCGCCTCCGATCCCAGAAGCTGGAATGGCTATTGTTCCGCTCTTGCCTACCTTCTCAAGAACTGAAGTTCAGCAGGACTTTCTGCTAATTGGGGGACATACACAGCATGCCTTTCTTAACATGTCTGAGCTTGCTGTGTTTTCTCTTCCACAGAATAGCTGGAGCTTCATTCAAGTCCAATCCGAGGAGAAGACAAGAACGGAGCTAGCCATCCGGGATCAATTCTGGGTAACCCCGAAGGTCAGGCCATGCAGCCGTGCTGTCTGATGATGGCAAGAAAATATTTGTCATCGGAGGATGGGTAGGCGATACATCTGAGCCTGCTGATCCTCAAATCGCGGTTCTGGACATTGGTGAAGGCTATGGTGGCTCTGGAGACTGGACTTGGACTACCTCATCCTCCTCTTCTAGTGACGTTGGCATTGCTGAAGGAACGGGACTTTATGGCCATTCAGCCACAATGCTCCCAGGTGGTGTCCTGATGATTGTTGGAGGATATACCATTCCGAAGCAATCATCGAAGCGGTCATCATCAGAAACAAACTCCAAGGTTTATCTGTACAATTCAACCTCTGGTGACTGGGTGAAATCATACACCAACCCTTCATCGAAAAAATCCACGTCTACTACATCCCATGGTCATCATCTTTCGCCAGGACAAAAGATCGGGCTTGGAATTGGCTTAGGCCTAGGAATCCCTCTCGCCATAGTGCTGTTGATCTGCGCTTGGAAATACAATAGAACGCGTCAAACGAGAGGCCTTAGAGATTCGCAGCTTCGTGAACTGGCTCTTGGAGCCGAACGTGCCCATTTCTGGGGTCGTGACGATCCACTTCAAGCAAGTAGCATTCGCAGCTCTCAAATGAGTGAGAAGCTTGATCCAGCGATAGTTTATCCCTGGGCCGGAAATCGAAGTGTGACTGCAGGTCCTCCTTGGAAAGATCAAGCCGAAGGATCTGAGAACACTGGTCTTCTTGCAGATGTACCCAGCCCTGTGAAAAACAATCGCTCAGACAACCGCCCTCCTAGTATCACCAAGTCATACAGAATGTCTGGGTACACAGATTGGCGTCGCAGCGATACTCCAAGTGAATGTCATCCCATTGACGAGCGAGAAGAGGATGAAGCAATTTTCCGAGAACGTCTAATGGCCACAATTCCCAACGAAGAATGGGCAAAGATTCAAGACACGGACGATGATATTTCAGAAGCATCATTTGCTACCCCTCGAAGCACCATCTTCGGTGTGGGTCTTGGTCCTTTCTACACCAAGAGGAAGGACATGGGGGCTTCAAATCTTGATGTTGCTGGACGTGTCTCACCAACAAGAAGCGACCGAACATCGACCAATCTCTCTGAGTCTTCCGCGTTCTCCTTCTCATCTAAACCCACAGGCCAAATCCCGCAATCACGGGCTATCTATGTGGACAGACCACTGAGCTGGGTCAGTAGTGGAGACCATTCATTCGAAGGGATGGCAGCAGGATCAACACACAGCAGAGAAACATCACAAAGTGATGTAGATGGTGCGACTGCACCATCAGAGAAATCATTTTCCGCAGATTCATACTCGACTGCGCAAACAACCATTGCAGAGCGACAAGCAGAAAATACATCTCTACTCTTCGATGCAGACAGCCCTATCGACACCTCCCTCTCCAAACTCCCTCCATCTTCAAAACCAAGAACTTCCGACTGGATGTTTCAGACCGTTCGCCGTGCTCTCACTCTCACCCGTCGAAGTCCTGTCGAGCAAGAAGAGCCCGAAACTGAGACAGCACAGCTTGCCTCTGGCATTGACCGTCGCAGCACGGTGATGGGATTATCACCATTTGGACATCCTAGTGGTGCTAGTGCCCCCCCGTCGTGCGGTCTCAGCCTCCGCAGAGCTCTTCCGTCGCAAACAAGGCGCGAAAGATTGGAACGCTAAGAAGCGTCTATCTGATAATTTCACCACGGCCCGCTCCACTCGCGATGACCTTTTCCTCGGTGCACCTGGATATCTCGGTGACGACCATACAGTTGATGACGAGGACTGGGACGTCGAGGGTGCGGCTGAGGGTCGTAGTGTACAGGTCACGTACACAGTTCCTCGGGAAAAGTTACGAGTCGTGAATGCTTCTGCTGCAGATAATCTTTCTGAACGCAGTGTTAGTCGAAATGTCAGTGGAGGAACTGTTTCTCGACGGGTTAGCGGCTAGCTTCAAGCAAGAGCTTTGTTTCTCTTCTTCTCTGTACCTTTCTTGATTCTGTACTTATGAACTTTTTTTCTTTTCTTTTTTTCGTCCAGGAAAAGATTGTACACAAAGACGCCTTACGTTCTAACGCTTTGATACGACTGTCGATTGTTTCGGCGCTCTGATTTTTCTTCGCGGTTCACATTTTTTGTTTCTTTTTTATTTCATTCGTTTGATATCCATGAGAGTTCCTGTCTTTCAGTTGATCTGATGATCGTCTTGCTTGAAAGGGTTGTCGTGAGGTTCGAGTCTGGAGTTTGAGCGTTATGACTCGATGTATGCCCAGGTATGAGGAGTGGATTCGTGGTTTTAGATACTTTGCAGCCTTACAAATGAATTCAAATTCAAGTTGAACCTTCATTGTTCAAGCTTTGAGCTCATTTAGTTCGTTTTTTGATACGCCTAACACGTAGAAGTTCGATTCAACCTTGGAAGTGCTGATGAGTGTATTAGTACCTTCATACCGTCTATGGTATACAGTAATTGATCCTAGCCCTGGATTAAATCATGGATCACACATGTGCACTAGTATCTCATGCATTTCATTGAACAATTTTAATCTGGAATGCAGTCAAATTGAGGATATATAACAAACTTGAACCGAGAAATCTGGAGTTACAGAGAGTCCAAGATCAATACTGCACCAAAGTTAAAAGATCAGAAGAAGAGACAAATATGAATGAAGTGAAGTGAGATATCTATAAAATTTTCATGGCCCGTTATATTTTGCATTTAATTGTTCAAATTTTGTTTTTTCCCATCATGATATACCCACTTCCAGATTTAGGAAGAAGGGGCACCGTTCGGGGCAGTAGCCGGCTTGGTGGGAATAGTGTTGGGCAGAGGAGGAAGCAAGTTCTTCGCACTCTCACGCGCGTACTGAGCCATCAGGGCATCCATAATAACCAGGGAAGACATAGCCTCAACGATAGGAACAGCGCGGGGCACAACACAAGGGTCGTGACGACCCTTAGCCTCAAGAATACCCTCTTCCAAAGCGTAGGTAGCAGTGTTCTGAGCCTGGCCGATAGTCGCAGGGGGCTTGAAAGCGACGCGGAAGTAGATATTCGCACCGTTGGAGATACCACCTTGGATACCGCCAGAGTTGTTAGTCTTGGTGGTAAGACGCTGGGTACCATCAGCAGAGCTGGAAACGATGAAGGGGTCGTTGTGAATTGATCCAGCAACTTCACAGCCACCGAATCCAGAACCGATCTCGAAACCCTTGGTGGCGGGGATACTGAGCATAGCGTGTGCGAGCTTAGCCTCCAACTTGTCGAAGCAGGGCTCACCCAGACCGACGGGGACGTTACGAATGACGCAAGTCACGGTACCGCCAATGCTGTCGGAGTTGTCGCGGAACTGCTCGATCACCTTTGTCATGCGTGCGCCGGCTTCCTCGTGAGGGCATCGGACGGGGATGAACTTGTCCACGGTCTCGCGGTCAATGGTCTCTAGCAGCTTAAGGTATTCGGGGTCGGTGGAGGCGGTGGGGTGTTCGGGGGTTGGGGGGAAGAGGTGCTCGTTGCCGACGGAGGAGACGAAGGCAACAATCTCGACGTTGTGCGACAGACGGAGGTACTTCTCAGCAATTGCACCGGCGGCGACACGGCCTGGTGGAAGAGAGTTAGTAAGGCATTGAGTGCGTTTGTCAGTTGGGAGGTACTCACCGATGGTTTCACGGGCACTACTGCGACCACCACCACTGCTGGCCTTGACACCGTACTTCTCGAGGTAGGTAAAGTCGGCGTGGGAGGGGCGGGGGTACAGATCCATAGTGCTGCCACCGTAGTCCTTGGGACGCTGGTCCTCATTGCGGACCATCATGCCAATTGGGGTACCAAGAGTAACGCCAAACTCTGTACCTGATTGGATCTCAACGCGATCCTTCTCATTGCGCGGGGTTGTCAAGGCACTCTGGCCAGGGCGGCGGCGAGTCATCTGGGGTTGAATGTCGTCCTCGGTGAGCTGCATGCCTGGAGGGCAACCGTCGACGATACAGCCGACGGAGCGGCAGTGAGACTCGCCATAGCTGGAGGTATCATGTAAGTCAAGAATGCGTTATGGTTGTAATGGCATTTCCCAACTTACGTAGTGACTCGGAAATGTTCACCCCACGTCGACATGATGGATCGGTTTCTGTGCGCGGTTTAAGATTCGGGAAAGGCGGGAAAAGGGAGGGATAAAATTGCAGTTCTGTAACTTCACACAATGACCTGGATGATCAAATTAAGAAGTCAGAGAAAAGACTCGAAGATATATGAGAGCAAGTTCGTCGAATGCAAAAAAGCAAAAACGTAAAATCGACTCATCGATAGTTTCCTTTCTGGGACTAGCGCATCCGACTATCGGCCAATGCCAGACAATGATCAATAATTCCATTCAGATACAAACTTCTTTCTCCCTTGCTCCCAATGCTTCAAAGATGCTTGCTATCGACAAGGTGCAGTAGCACAAGACAATGGATCCGCCATAATTCCTCGTTCCCAGTCAATCGGTTCGCCGAATTGGTTCGTCGCCCGGCTTCCCAGCACCAAATTTACCAATCACTATCGACCGATCCGTACGTCAATTTATCGATTGAACATTTTTTGCTCGAAAATGCCCCCGACGACTCGAGTGTCCTTTTCCTATATATCAACAGACCGTGTGTGGTGATCGGTCGCAACCAAAACCCATGGCTCGAGACGGGACTACACGCGCTTTACAATGACCGCCGAGGAAGCTCGCCGGAAAATGATGCCGCAGTGTTGGTTCGAAGGCGATCCGGGGGCGGAGCCGTCTTCCACGATGAGGGAAATCTCAACTACAGTGTGATTTCTCCTCGCACTACATTTACCCGTAATAAACATGCTGAAATGGTGGTTCGCGCTCTCCATCGCATCGGAGCGACCAATACGAGTGTCAATGATCGACACGATATTGTGATGACGCCTACGGAGCCAGTACAAGCTGATAAAGAAGAGCCTCCGTTTCGAAAGGTATCAGGATCTGCCTTTAAGCTGACACGACACCGAGCGCTCCACCATGGAACCTGCTTGCTGGATTCACCGAACATCAATGATCTGGGTCGGTTCTTGCGCTCTCCAGCGCGTGGTTATATCAAAGCGAAAGGAGTGGACAGTGTTCGGTCACCAGTAGGAAATGTATCGAGTGCGCTGGCGGACTCATTCTTTTCTATGCAAACGGTGATAGATAATGTGGTTGAGGAGTTCGCAGGATTGTATAATGTGCATTCCGATGCTATTCGTCGGGCACGCCGAGCTCTTGCGGTCGATCCAGAGGTTTTTGCTGGCGATAATTGGGTTTCAGGCACGGTGGGAGAGGTACAAGGCGATCAGGAGCCCGATATTGCGAAAGGCATTGCGGAGCTGCGAGTGAGTACATTCATTTTCATACCAAAATGAACGTAACTAACACCTTGCGCTAGTCCCTTGAATGGAAATATACTCAAACTCCACAGTTTACTTTCTCAAGCTATTCCCACGAGGAAGATCCCCGGGAGCGTCCAGCCCTGCCTTCCTCGCTCCCATCTTCGGTACGTTGACTTCATACGGTGTCATGAAAAATCACTAACTCAGTCTAGACTCGCGCATTCCTCCGCTTAAAGCATGGAGCAATTATTGAAAGCAACATCTCTCTTTCTTCAGATACATGCGTTGCTTCTGACCAGGCCAAACGCGTTCATGAACTCCTGAATGGACAGAAGTTGCACGAGTTGTCTGTCGAGCGCTGGACTGGAATTCTGAGACAGGGCTTCGATACGACCGAAGCAGATTACGGCCATGTTCAAGCTTTGGCTAATCACTTAGGAGGTTTACTAGGTGGTCATTAATACCCCTAATGATGACCTGTGTTATATAGTCTGTAATATACAAAAATTTTTCCACAATTGGCACTAATCACTGGCAATAGTATCGCCTCGCATCCAAGATTTGAAGTCACTTAATGATACTCATACGCATACAGTATTGCCAGGTTGTAGAGTCATTTGGATACTACCTACCCCAATGTGCCAAGACAAGCCCTAACTCTCATTCCCCCGCAACAAACCCCGAGTCAGCAAAGATCGACTGTCATTCCGGGTAAACAGACCCTTATCAGCAAACAATGCAATGCAATGTTGTGCTCAGGCCTGTCCCCATGGGGGGATCAACCCATATTACTTTGACTTAACGGGTGGACCCCCACGCCCCGCTCATACAGCTCAAGCTAGACAGTAGCAATCGCAACGAGCTGGTCAAGACTGAAGGCATGAAGTTAATGCACCCGACTATATACCGAGGTCATGAAACACGTCGCGGATTCGTGGAAGTTCTTCCCCGCCTCTGTCTTCTTGTTCAAGGTTGAGAGTATCCACTTGTGTTCTTGATAGGTGGGCCAAGGAAGCCTAGTCTTGGATGCCACCTCGTGGTAACCTTGGAAAGCTCGACTGTTGCTCTCCTCAGATCTCTTTAAGTGTATATGATGCCTTGAGTTGGATTTTGAGAAGCCAATTTGCATAGCTTTGGATCCCCTCTATTGCTTTGTTTTTGAGTAAAGTGTGCTAGATCCAGCTCATTAAGATGTCGTGGCTTTTGCAGAAAATCGTCCATAATGAGGCGATGAAAAGTGACCCTAAGGAGATTTATGGCTGGAGAGTCTACATGCTGGCTTGTTCTGTGAGTGATCGAGCTTTATTAGCTTGAAAATGCCTGGGATCATGTTAGGTTGACTCTGATTCAACAGGCGTGCTGTGGAGGAATGTTATTTGGTATGGATTCTGGGATTATCGGCGGTGTCCTAACCATGCCGCCATTTGAGCAGTTTGTCTCCCTATTTTTTACACCACGTACTCCCCGTGCGCTAATAACTATTTATCTTCTAGGACATATGGTTTGGAGTCTCTTGATGATGTAGCCCAAGCAAATCTATCCGCCAATATCGTCTCCACGCTCCAAGCCGGCTGCTTCTTTGGAGCTCTGCTAGCCTCTCCCGCGGCAGACAAATGGGGTAGACGACTATCCTTGATAGGGTCAGCTGTGATTGGAATTTTTGGTGTTATAATGCAAGCGTCGGCAAGCGGGCATTTGCCAGCAATGTATATTGGACGGTAGGTTTGCTATTCCCTCCTCAATCTGCACTCCATTCGAGACAGCTAAGCTTATGTTCCCTTCTCCTTCCAGGCTGATCACCGGCTTCGGAGTTGGTGCTGCATCAATGATCAATCCTCTCTACGTTTCTGAGAACGCACCTCGTGCAATTCGCGGCGGCCTTACAGGTCTCTACCAATTCTTCATCACAATGGGCATCATGCTAGCATTCTGGATCAACTATGGCGCCTTGCTTCATCTGTCTGGATCGACTATGTATCTTGTTCCAATTGCAATGCAGGGTCTTCCTGCTGTACTTCTTTTCGGGGGTATGATGCTATGTAACGAGTCTCCGCGATGGCTTGCCAAGCAGGATAGATGGGAAGAGGCCCGCTCCACGTTAAGTAAGGTTCGTGCGTTACCCGCCGATCACCCTTATCTTGAAGAGGAATTCCAAGCCATTGCCCAACAGCTAGAACAAGAACGATCATTGGTTGGAGGTTCTGGATTCTGGGACCTTATGAAGGAAATGTGGCTTATTCATGGTAATCGGAAACGAGCCATGATCTCCATATTCTTGATGGTTTGCCAACAGATGACGGGCACCAATGCTATTAACTATTACAGCCCACAAATTTGTAAGTCATGATTTTTTGATCTCTATCTGTCCAGTTACTAATGATTCTTAGTCAAAAACGTGAGCTCCTGAAATTAGATAATCCGCCAGGCTTTGAGGATTCTAACTTGACTTTCAGCTAGGAGTAACCGGAAACGCAACAAATCTCTTTGCAACAGGTGTCTACGGTATTGTTAAAATGATCAGCTGCGGCGTTTTCCTTGTTTTTGTTGCCGATTCCCTAGGTCGCCGACGCTCGCTTTTGTGGACATCAGTGGCACAAGGTCTTGCAATGATGTACATCGGACTATACATCCGCATCGCTCCGCCAGTTGAAGGTGCTCCCGTGATTCCAGCAGGCTATGTTGCCCTCGTGTGTATTTTTCTCTTCGCAGCCTTTTTTCAGTTTGGATGGGGTCCCGTCTGTTGGATATACGTCTCGGAGATCCCCACTGCGAGGTTACGTTCCTTGAATGTTGCTTTTGGTGCAGCGACGCAGTGGCTCTTCAATTTTGTGGTAGCAAGAGCCGTTCCAAACATGCTAGCTAGTGTTGGTGCAAATGGATACGGGTGAGTTTGAAACCCGAGTCTCTGATGGATGTATCTCAAGTGTCACGCTTTAACAACTGCTGATACTTGCGTATAGCACGTATATCATTTTCTCATGTTTCTGCTTTTCCATGGGCGTATTTGTATGGTTTTTCATTCCAGAGACCAAAGGTGAGTTGAAACTAATATACAACCTTGCAATTTTGAATTCAGCTACTGATCCCGTTACTATACAGGCCTGTCTCTAGAAAAGATGGATGATCTCTTCGGTGTCACCAATCTGGTACAGAAGATCGGGCAGAACCAGGGTGTAGATGCTTTAGACAAAGCTGATGCATCTCATATTGAGCGGGCAGTGACTTGAATTTAGTTCCTGTCAAGATGAAATTAGACCGAATCAACCGATATCTCTCGAGAGAATTTTGGGTCTGTGGTCATGATAATGATAAATCACGCTGCTGATATTATTCAAAGGTTTCTTTCAATCTGCTGCGCTACTTTTTCAAATTTTACTGGCGCCATTTGTTCAAGTTGCTTTGGAGCTTCTGAGCTTGGACTCGCCTTTTTTTGGTGTAGACAGAAATGATATTACTGTTAAGACGGGCGACTGGTTTCAGCACAACCTGGAGCTATTTTACCACTGGCATATTAATATTGACTGGAAGTCGATAGAGTACTTGAAAGTCAGCTACGTAAATGGAGTAATTTTCTTTGAAGAGCAAGACACTCACGATCTACAGCATTTTCAATTACAAGAGCGATGATAACGTGCGGCAGAAATTCGTAAGGAGAGGCCGTGTGTTAGTAAACAGCAAGAATCCAAGAGGCCTATTAATATTCAAGAACAGATAAATCAATAACTGCAATTTAGGATTATACAGAAATAGCCGAAACAGATTCCCTTGTAGAAGTTTTTCCAAGGTTTCTTGGATCGTACCGCGACTCACCCGGGCGGGGTTACATGTCTAGGTCCGTACTATGAGCATTCAAAAACTCCTTCGAGAAGCTGGCAGTAAACAGTAGACCATCCGAAATGAATAAAACCATCTCGGCCTATGGGCACCATTTTGTCTGCGTTCGTCATGTATCGTCGAACCTCGTCTGGACCGTACTCATTGTAGTTTCTTTGGAAGCGATATCCTCTGGAAAGGCCTTGCTCGGCAACTTTGACCAAGGGGGTGTTTGGAAACGATGTAGCTTCTTTCGCTGGAACGCGAAGCTTGCGGGCTTTGAATGACAATAGCAGTATTGCTATATCAGGTGTATCTAATCCTTTGAAGCATGCTCTGGCTATCTCAACGGCACTTTTTATATCGAGCCGGGTTGTTGTTTGCTCGACAGACCATGCTGTACGAAGAAACCCGACACGTTTTGTCCACGAATTCTTCTCAGCGACATCCGCAAACTCGGGATAAAGATCGTATAATCCCGTCTGAATGAGCTGTGCTAGGCATTCCACCATAGACCGCCCAGCATGATGCAAGACCCCTTGGGACAGATACTCTCCATTGTCGTAATATGAGTTCTTTAGGCGAAATTCGAAAAAACTCCGCATTTCTCTGTGGAGATTTGGTGCTTCACGATGGGCCCGAATTAACGACATGTCCCGAACGAATTGACCAGGAGGGAACTTTCTTGTGTCAATAGTGCATATTTGCACCTCAGCAGGATCACATTTAAGTTGGTAGCATCTCCAGACTGCGTATTGAATCACAAATAGTAGTGAGCTACTCCACGACATTAGGTTGTCGGTATTTTCCCCTCTCCCAAAACATGATTTAGTCAGGTGCCTATATAGCATTTGTATGATTTCCTCACTTGGCCTTGAGAGAATATCGACTTTGCTGCGGCATGCTATCGCGGAAATGCTCTCGGCGGAAGCTACGATCGAATGGTCACTTCTGCCAGAGCTTTCTTTGTCGAACGCTCTGAACAAGTATCGCGGGACAGCTGATTCTGAGTCAGGAAGCTGACTTGCTGGCGAATAGAATAGTGTGGGCCCGTCAGGACATTGACCCAGCGCTCGAACCCAAAACCTAATCCATTCTTCATTTTCCTGCCTTTCCCTCTCGCGTTTATTAAGTTTGGATTCACGTTCGCATTGCGCAAGAAAAGCTTCAGCATAACGATCATCGATGTCCAAGCGATTTTCATGGTCGTAGTAGTCATCGCTCTCGAAGTCAGGGTTATATGGCCATTCAAGACTGGCTTCGCCCAGGGAAATAAAGTGGTTATCAAGGTGCAAGGTCCCAGACGTACAAAGAGCCTGATCATAGCACATTTCTAAAGTCTCCCGCAGGACGTTATTGTCATCGCCGGTGCTGTCAAGAACATTGCGAGCGATGCATTCCAATTCGTTAGTATAACGAGGAAGAATATTCTGCAGTAATGTCCCTGAACCAGCAAGGGATGTGATATAATCTAAGATATAGTGCTCTGTTGCGTTGCTGATTATCTTCGTGGTCTTTGCAAGAGCGGTAATCCTTCTTTTTAAGGAGCTTAGCTTCACAATACCCTGGCCACTTGGGGTATGTGTCTCTTCAATCGCATTTTCAGCCTGTTGCGCGTGGGCCAATGTAGCTTCTAACGATGTTATCAGCTCTTGTATAGTCTCTATGACAGCTTGCTGAGCCGGACTTGAACAACGAGAGGCTGATCCAGACGGTCCAGTTATCGTATCAGCAAGATTCAATCCTTCGATTGAATCAACAAGGCTGTCAGAGTTTGGGAAACAAGAATGTTCGCAGAAGGGTAAGCTCTTCCAAGATGGAAGGTAGATGGTGATCTGTGCTTGTCTTACTCAGACGAAGGCAAAGACCCTGGAGGTATCTCCAGCTGTAGATTGAAAGTTCGTGATTGTCTTGTTGGGACTAAGGGGAGCCGCTCGAATCTTTCACTCGAATTATTTTGTCCACGGGTGGTAACATGACGCCTACATCAATCAGAAATGTTGTCAAATCGTCACCCCACCTTTATGGTTTAACCTAATTGGGCGGTGGCAGTGCTGACTCAAATAGTCTAAGTCGTCGAGTAGTAATGGTAGGATTGAAAGCAGTCAGCATTAGAACTATGCATGCGGCCCAACCTGGAACCACGCACGGATTCTTTGGGGCTAAGCCGTCCGTTAGGGCGAATAAGTTGTTGCTTTGGTTACTGCTAGTAGTAGTAGTAGTAGTAGTAGTAGTAGTAGTAGTAACACAGCTGCCTCGGGCTACTGTAGCGCGGCTTTGAGACTTACGTATACATACTTAAGTACAGGGCTCAGTCAGAAGCATGTAGAGGTGACTGATGACCTACACCTCTTTTTATGTAAGTACCTACGGGGTTACCTACGGGGTTACCTGAAGGGGAAGGAAGGTTAGCTGCTACATAGTTAAACTTGGGTATAGCCAACTGGCACCTGGGCAGCCCTATGGCCTGGGGATAGTAGGCTGATTCTGCCTCTCTCCTCGGGGATTATGACCGGCGATAAGTAAAAGTACAGGAGCCCAAATAGTAAAAGAGGCCTACTTTAGAATAAAATATTCAAAATTCAGGGTCAGAATGAGCATCATCTTTTTTTTAATTGGTCCGCTGGAGGGGGTTGTGGTAAAGTAGGCAGGGAACGTGAGAAATCCTATATAGTTCAGTTGAGGGGGAGAATAGTAACAAGTCAGCCCTGTTAGCCTAATGGAATAACGGTCTCCGACTCTACTCGACGAGGACGGAGGTATTGGACGGGATGGTCTGGGTCCCGTGGTCCCTAAAATGGCTGATTTGTCACCAAGGGGTGGTTGGGGCAGCGGCTTCGGCCGCGGGCAATTCTTTTTTTTTAAATTTTTGATATTTTTATATAAAACACTTTCAGACTCACTCTTTCTATTCATCCTGTCAAAAATCATGTATAATCAAAAGTGAATGAGATATTAAGGATTATGTGGTGGTGATGGATGTATCAAGTGAGGGTATTAGCAGAATCTCACCTCGCACCTCGATGCTTACTCGATTTCAAAGTCCTCGACTAAACTCCCGCTGTCGACGATTTTTTTTTCTAACCCCTTGAAGAGTTTCTCACTATGATTTCTACCTCCTATCCACGACTTCCCAACCACATTCCTGCTAAATCTCCCAAACTCAACCTCATACTACGTGCAGATACAAATTTGCAAACTAATGGGCGCTGAAAAAGCTCTCTGGCTATCGAGGCCCACTAATTCAGATCCGGACCTTGCATGGCGTCGACCGAATCACTGCTTAGTTCAAATTTCCTTCCAGCATCCTTCGGTCGCTGCAGCTCGATACAAGCGTACCAGTGGATTCTGAGGTCAAGAAGCAGCGACTGGCTTTTTTTTTCTCGCAAATTACTGGCCTCCCGAATGAGATACATCCGAGATTGCATCATAAATGAACTTGTTTGTTCAGAACTCAGCAATCCATGACATCTGGCTTGAGGCTCAAAGTACTCTTCTTGCGTCCGAGGATGACACTAACCTGCCAGTTGCAAGACAACGGAGATCTTGGATACCTTGAATCTTTTTTTCGCTACGAATCGAGCCCTTATCAAACTTCCTACGAATTCGGTGCATACAACCGAGGCTTTTGCGGCTTTTTACAAACGCGACCGAGCTGATCCATCTGTTTCTCATTCATCGCTTGAGCAGTCTACCGACGATAAATCCCAGCTTAGAGTGATTGTAAAGCTGAAAGTTTGAAAATTTCTAGGTTTCTGGCTTGTGTGGCTTTCTATGTTACCCAAAAGCTCATCACGGTGACCGAAAGGCCAACGATTAGAATGAAGAGATACTTGAGGTCTTCCATGAACAGGAACCAGCCGAGCTGTAAGATAGTGAAATACAAAATGCTCTTAAGCTCGACAGGCAATTATACACGTGTACTTGTATGGACTCGGAGTTGGTGGGTCCATTGAACTTGAAGTCTGTAAAATTAAAGTTAAGCCTTCGATCGCCAAGAACATGTGGAGACCGGAACCCCATAACTTCAAGGCTAGTCCCTTATGTACATGCTCAAGAAAACGAGAATCAAAGGGGTAAACTACTAGTAGGTACCAGTTGACCCGACCCGTAGGTATTTAGGTAAAGAATAATGGGGGTATACTACTACTCATTCATATCAGGAACCCAACTAGTCATAGTAAAAAGAGTTATGTATGAATATAACCTTGGAACATTCAAGTTGTTACAGACGACAGGATATGACATTGGAGATTACAGGGCAATACAGTACTATTGAATTGATATATTATACACTTCGCAAGAGAAACCATCTTGTATCTTGGTGTCCGGAAAGATTATCATGAGTTGAGTGGGTGGAACGGAGATTTTTGATTGATGGGTGCTATGAATGAAGAGAGCACACTGAGCAGAGGCAAAGGAAGAATCAATCGAGCCCAACAGATAGAGGCATGGCAAATATTCCACCCAGTCCCAAGTCGCAGATTGCTGGATGCAACTTGTGTGTACATGGTTTCTTTGGATACAGTTCATCCGCAGGTGTATTTAGCCCACCAGGCCAGAGACATAAGTTGTGTACAGGATTAGTGAGGATTTTTCTCATCCACAGGTACTTTGTTGGTCCAACGGGCCAAGTACAGGAAGGTTTCAAAAAAGACATTTGAGTCATCATCCTAGTGTTCCCTAGTAACCCCTACCATCCCTTTTGTCCCCTAGTCCTGCTGTGCCCATTGTCCTGAAGTTTCAACCGAAACCTACCACGGCCACAGCTCCCAGTCTCTTAAATCGCGCGGTCAAGTGTTACCGATGTAACAAGTGATACAAGCAAGTTGGTTCGGAGTCGCGATCGTCATCGGAGCCTTGTCTGTCGCCTATGTTGGATGTCCAGGAGTTTCATTGAGACCCTTCATGTAGGTGGAGTAGAGTAGATTAGGTTGAGGTTTTTTTTCATTTTGGTAGAAGCTTGATAGGAGCTTGAGGTTTGTGTGAGTTTGGATGCTCATGCATGACAGCTTGTGTGGATGGCAGCTCATGGGGATGGGACCCTGTATGGATGGGAGCTTGTGTAGAAGTGGAAGCCGGCATGGAGACAAGAAGCTTGTGTGGATTGAAGCTAAAATCTTGTGGATGGGACCCATTTTTATTTTGCTTGAAAAAGGGTTGCTCAATGGAACAAGGACGGAGATGGAGGGCGAGGGCTCATGTCAAAGTAAACATTTGGTGGAGGGTCACATCAACAGAGACGCGTCAAACAGGTGTTGACAAGAGAAGAGTGGATCTGTGGGGTTGCGCGATCTACGTCAGCCCGGGTATTTCATGACTGCACCTTAAGTACGTTCGCCAAAAGTGTGGAGTCGCGCAGGTACGCACGAGGAGAGTGATCTACATTATTGCTCACCTTGTTAATAAGATTTTTCAACCAGACGTTGACAGGGACTGAGGCTCGGAAGCACGGTTCGCGATCGGGTTCGGAGAGTCGACTTGAAGCAACCTATGCCGATTGTCCTGAAGCATTCAATAAGACCCGCCACAGTGATCAAGCTCGAGGTCGGAGTGTCGTCAGAGCAAGGCTGATTGTCCTGAAGTCTCATTGAAGCCCGCCACGGTCATAGGGGCTCTCCGTCGTCATGGGTTGATTCGGAAGGTTGATTGAAGGTTGAGAGCCGGCTGTTCCGATTGTCCTGAAGTTCCAATGAACCAAGTGTTGTTTTGAAGGTTGAATGGTTCAATAAAACCCGCCACGGTAACAGCCAGCTGCCTGTGCTGCCTGGTTACGGTGATCAGGCGTAGGAAGAGCAGCGAGGACTTTGTGTTTGTTTTTGTCGACACTGTCCAGGGTTGAGGCACCAGTTGAAAGAAGAGGCCAGAAGTAAATCAGCCAAGATGGGTTGCAAGGCCCTGGAGCAAGAAGAGTAAAATATCGGGGACAGGATTTTCCAAGTGGAATGATTGCATCATGGATGAAGCAAGATGGTCAAGGCATTTTGTAATGCAGAGTCAGTTGAGCGAGGGTGGAGTGGATGACTCTCAAGTGTCATGAGTTGATTGAGTGATGAAGGCCTGGTAGAAGGATGTAAGAAGAACAAAACACAAGTCGGGTCAAGTGGGATGTTACCTGAAGATGGGTAGGTTCCTCATGTCATGATATGATGAAGTGACAATGCGTAAAGACGCGTCAAACACGTGATAAAGTGTCAAGAAATGAAGTGTGTTGATGGACTTGAAAGATTTCAAGCGCAGGTAAGTTCCAAGGCTGTAACAACTGTTCATCAGATAACATGATGTTGATCAGGCATCAGGTTATTGATGAAGAGTGTTGATGAAATGGGTTGATGGATGATTGATGGAAGCTTCAAGAGGATGAAGAGTTACCAGACACAATGATGGAATATATTGATGGAAGCATGATGTGTGTGGATGGATGACTGATAGAAGTCAAGAAGAAGTATGAAGAATGTGTGTGAAATGAGAAAGTCTTGGAGAAAGAAGGAGAAGAAGTTGGAAAATGAGAAATAATCTGGGGAATTTATAGACTGAGAGTGGGGCCTGGAAGGCGCCCCAGGATCACACATGGGGATCTGAATCAACCAATCATAAGCTCGGGATCTCCACAGAAGTACCCACACATCGCTCCCAATATAAAAATGGCTGAGACTCGATGCTTGTTTACTTCAGGCTCCAGGATCACCAACCTCAGTACAAGCGAGCCAATCAAACGCTAGGATCACGGACATTAAGCGAGCCAATAACGTACAAGGACTCCAGGCATGTACTTTTGCATCGCTTTACACATAAAATTGGCTGACCATCGAGGCAAAGACACCTTCTCACTTGGAAGACTTTCTTTTCACCTTCATCTACACCCCAACTATGAAAGTATACTTAAATCAACAACGCGCCTTTCCTGATATTTTGATCTACTGACTTGGTATCGTCGCTCTAATGGTATCATTCGGATCCCAATACCCGTAGATGTTTTCCAAATCAATAAAAAATATTTGTTAGCCAATTTGAAGTCAGGATCAGCCAAATTGGAAAAGGACAGTATATCACGGTAGCATCATGTCTTCCCAATGCAAGCTCTAAGGTTCTACCATACGTACTGTTTACTATACGCCTCTCCGATACAGTAAACTCCTGGTGTCACCCTCATGTGACCCTGCGTTATGATCCGCTTCATAATCTAGGTACATACATAGCCACTGGCAGCACTACATACACAGGTGGACCCGAGCATTACTAGTATGTATATACCTAGGCATGACTCTGGATGTCATCCGAGTCGGCACTGCCGTCTTGCCCGGCAGAAGCTTCATCTGTCTCGGGGTTGAAACCTTTACACACGTATGGACCTACTAGTAACTAGTGTGAATTTTTGTGTCTACATCAAGCACTTCAAGTTGAGATGTAACATTTGAACCTCCAGATTCCGGTAATACTAGTACTAGAGCGATTCTTTCCAAGGTTTGAGAACTTGAAAAAGACTCGGAGACAAAAAAAAGCTGTGCATTATTATCTCGAACCTGCAATTTTGAAGCCACCTGGGCACTAAAATGAAATATCAATGGGATTCATAAACAGTACTTTGAACTACATACTATGCCCAGGTGGATCTGTGGAGTTTTCGATGATTGCCATCACGATATTTCAAGTTGTTGTCACATTCCAAGGTTGTCTTCGTCAGACTACCTAGGTACTACATAGTAGGCCCGAAGTCCCTCATGCGGGCGCGAAACATTTCCAAGGTTGAACTACCAGTACCTTTTTTTTCTAAAATCCTATCCTCTATTGATAGTATGTTGGCTCAAGTTTAATTCGGATGCTACCTAGGTAACACTGGCTCATTCATTATACTGCACTTTTGGCGGAATTTGCTGAATTAAACACCTTGAAATACCTGGATATGGACCTCTTTCACTTCCAAGGTTGGTACTTGAGCACTACCTAGGTAATAGCCCTGGAGTATGTGTGGGCGCTTCCAAGGTTACTTGGAGTTCACCCTGATGAAGATCAATGGTATAGGTTGTCCCAAGTGCCATTTAGGCGAGATTCCGACTACATAGTAGCCAAGCACTTAGTACATTCAAATGTTATGATGGCTTGTCTAAGATGCCTAGATTATTTGGCACTTTGAGACATTTCTTGATAACTTGAATTTTATAATTTGATGTTGCCTAATCTCCAGTTACTATGTCTTTTATGATGAACCAATGAAGAGTCTAATGTGGTGTTGGTTAGGCTCTCTTGTAAGACTTAGGCATATCGATGACTCAATGAGGCTCGGCCCGGCGCGTACCTGTAACCTGAGCACGTAATTACTTGTCTCCGAAACCCCACACCAACGAATCCATCAGCCACGTCACTAGGAGATCTTCTCCTGTCTTGCTAGTATGTTGAATATGGAGCTCTCATGCTACCCAATGGATTAATTATGAGGAGTGAGACACGGTCCGCACCGGCATAGCCCCATGCATATCATCGCGCCACAGTAGATCCCGATTCGTGGATCATATCCGATAAGCTAGACGATCTATTCATTGGCAGAGCTTGAGTCCTAATTCTTGGTCATAATTGCTGCGGAATAGTAAACAGCCTTGGGATGAGCGCGGCGCAGTTACTACCATGTGGCACAGTAATGCACCTGGGCATGGATGGTGACAAACACCCAGGTACCAGGTACTCCGTAATAAGGCTCTGTCCCTCATTCCCGTTTGTTTTCCATCAAACATAAAGATACCTCAGTTTCCCAACTGAAATGCGCTATTTCAACTTGCAACTTGAAGGCCTCATATCATATTCTATTACGTGCTTACCCTCAAAGTGATTCAGACTATTTGGTCTTCTCTCGCTTATTCGCCCGCCGTTCGTATCTGGAGATTCTATCAAGAGGTATTTCCTTCGAAAAAGAGCGAAAATCAGCTTTCGTTCTGGTGACTAGGAAAAATGGCTAAGAAGTACGAGCCTGTGAGCCCATCTTATTGAATATATTATGCTGACTGTTAAAGGATCTGTCGCGATTTTGCTACAAAGGGCTCCTGTCGATTTAATCCTTGTCGGTTCGAACATGACTCCCAGAGTCGCAGCAGTAGACAGCCCCAGCAGAGAAAGAATGGCGACAGAGATGAGTTTGCTGCATTTGGGGGCTGGAAGGCACAAGCGTCTAGTGGCTATCTCGGTCGTTCAATGGGAATACCTACACGACTGGGTCCATTCTTCAAAGAGGCTAGAAGGCTCATTGATACCGATGAGAGTACCCGCCAAAATGTCATCCGACAACTATCCACCGAAGGAGGCCTGAGACCAATCCAGGAATTGATCGAACGCGAATTCTCGTCACTGTCAACTTCACAAAAGAAGGCAATATTTGAGGATGGTATGGTTGCATTTCTGGAAATTATTACATCTCCAGACGTCCTTGCATCTTTGGTTCTGGAACAGGCTGTTGTCACTATCTACAACTGCATCTTTGGACCTGGAGGTCGTCGGGCAGGACCTCTTCTGGTGTTTCTGGCAGATATTGTTGCGATGGAGATCGTGGAAGATCAAGGTTTCGCGGCTACTCATCTTGAACTCTCTCTGCGGGCCTTTTCTCAAATTATCGGACTCAACTCAACCGCGTTCGTCCAATATTCCTTGCAGCTCCCAGCAGAACGATTTGCAGATCTTCTCACTACTCTTCATGCGTTGGACGGTGATTGCTCTCTTTATCAATCACTTCAATACTTGGAGGTCATACAGCGCCGCCTTGATATTGGTCTTTCTTTGCCAAATTTGATGCAAGGACATAAAACCACCATCAAACCTACCCAGGCGCCCACTGAATTCATCACCCAGAAGGATCCACCTGGTGGACGCCACGACAATGACTACGCGGACATTTCCAGAATTAAGATCATGCCAACCTTTGAGGAGATGTCTAGTTCACGGGCAGAGTACCTTCCTGTAAAGGATTCTCGAAAATGGCATCTCAATGGAGTAGCCGGAGTGCTTGACAGAAATTTCCGTCTTCTCAGAGAAGACACAATCGGTCAGCTCCGAGATGTGATCCATGCTGAGCTCCAGATGGGTACGCGCCAGGGCAATCGTAGAAGCCAAACGAGAACCCATGTGTACAGGCAAGTCACTGTGCAAGCCCTGGACCTCCATCGGTTCTCTGGATTGCAGTTCCTAGTGACATTCACCCAACCGCAAAACATTCGTGAGTTTGATAAGAAAAGGAAAGAAGAGTGGTGGAAACTCTCCAAACGTCTCCAGCCAAGTGCGCTTGTGTGTCTTCTTGACCCTAAGGGCTTCGCAATCTTCTGCACGGTGGCAGGCGCGGATCGGTCCTACGGGAAAGAAAATTCCAAGGCAGGGAAGTGGAAGATACCGCCGTCTCTCTCGGAGAATTCTAAAACAGCCTCCATCATCCTGGAACTAGTAGAGCCCACTGCAGAGAATTGGCAATATATCTTCGATTGCCAGGCTGCAAAGAATGCAAGACAGCATCTGCCAATTTCACTTGTCGAGTTTCCGGGTATTCTTCTACCATCCTTCCAGCCAACACTCATGGCTCTTCAAAAGATGCAACAGGCTGCGGATGTTCCTATGTCGGAGTTTCTTGCAGCCGACAACTTGAACTCGCAGGTTATCATGACTGAAATTCCACCTCCAATCTATGCGACCTCTCCGGGCTTCGCTTTCGACCTCAAGTGTCTCATGAATGACGGGTCTAGTCTTGAGGTCAAGCACTCTCAGCCTGTAGATATCGAAGGACTCCAGCAACACTCTACTCTTGATGATGCACAAGCAGTGGCCTTGGTCAGAACTTTACAGCGTCGGGTCGGGTGTATTCAGGGTCCACCAGGCACTGGAAAGAGCTACACCGGAGTGGCACTCATCAAGGTTCTGCTTGCGAACAAGGCTAAGGTCAGAACAGGGCTCGGACCGATCGTTTGTGTGTGTTACACAAATCATGCACTTGATCAGCTTCTTGAAGACATTCTGGAAAACAAGATTACCTCCCAGATTATTCGCATTGGGTCTCAATCTAAGTCGGAGAGGTTAGAGCCGTTCAATCTCCGAACAGTTGTTCGAGAAGTTGAGAAGACACGACTGGAGAAGAAGGGTCAGTGGGAACTGCATAACAAGTTCGAAACACATGACGAGGACTTTCAGAAGCTTCATCTCAACTCATCCGGCTCTGATGCAAGTCTCAAATATTATCTGCAATATTTCCACCCTCAATACCATCGTCAGTTCTTTGAAGTGGATGAAGATAAATGGAAGCGGCAATCAAATTTAGATCCAAGCCAAACAATACGGTCTTGGTTGAAAGGCGGAAAGACAAGCACGGATCCACCACGCAGCATAGATCAGCTTTATCACGTCCACGTAGACGCGATGACTGCTCAGGAGCGCGAAACCCTGTATGACTGGTGGGTCAAAAACCAGACAGAGGGGGTAAATGATCGAGCTCAGGGAATATTCACGGCACATGCTGATACTAAGGCTTCGTGGGATCAAATCAGAGATGAACTGGATTTGCGATGCCTCCGCGGTGCAGATGTTATTGGCATAACCACAACAGGGTTAGCTCGTAACTTGAACATGCTTCGTCGACTGAAGTCAAAGGTTCTAATTTGCGAGGAGGCTGGTGAGGTGATGGAAGCTCATATGTTGACATCTTTGCTTCCATCGGTGGAACACCTCATACTAATTGGTGACCATCAACAACTCCGGCCCCAGATTCAGAACTATGAACTTTCTCGGGAAAGTCACGAAGGAAAACAGTATGCACTAGATCGATCACTCTTTGAAAGACTTGTTGAGCCCGATGAGGAAGCTGGGGTTCAGATTCCGTTTTGCACTCTGGAAACTCAACGACGAATGGATCCCTCGATATCTCGTCTCATTCGTGAGACTTTGTACCCAAAGCTACAAGATTCTCTGTCAGTCATGCAATACCCAGATGTTGTGGGAATGCGGAAAAGACTGTTCTGGTTTGATCACCGTCATCCAGAGGCTGGTGCCATGAGTCATGACCCAACGGCTACTTCGCACTGGAATGACCACGAAATCGATATGACGGTTGCCCTGGTTGATCATCTTCTCAAGCAAGGAGTCTATCAGAGCGGAGACATTGCCGTGCTCACACCCTACCTTGGCCAGCTGCATCGTATGCGGCGAAAGCTAGCACAGTCATACACTATCACCCTTGGTGAAAGGGATCAGGAGGACTTGGACAATGCAGGCTTCACATCAGAACACGAACAGCAAAAGGCAATTGTAACTAAATCAACTCTCCTTCAGACTCTCAGAGTTGCAACCGTCGACAACTTCCAAGGCGAAGAGGCAAAGGTCGTGGTTATTTCTCTCGTGAGAAGTAACAACCAGAACCGGTGTGGGTTCCTCCGAACTCCAAACCGAATCAATGTCCTCTTGTCTCGCGCTAAGCATGGTATGTATATCATTGGCAATTCGGAGACCTCGAAAAATGTTCAGATGTGGGGAAAGGTACTTGATATGCTGGAACAAGATGGGAATCTCGGTCCCCACTTGGAACTGACTTGTCCTCGTCATCCCGATACACCCATTGAAGTGACAGAGCCAGAGCATTTTCAACAATTCTCTCCAGAGGGCGGCTGTAGCCTACAATGTGGGAAGCGTCTTCAATGTGGACATCCTTGCAAGCAGAAGTGTCATTCCGAGATGCTGCACAAGACTGCCTATTGCCCGGAACCTTGTCCTCGCCCTCGGAAGGGTTGTACACATCCCTGCCCGAAGTTCTGCGGAGACAAGTGCCCCACAAAATGTATCGTTCCTGTTGTGGACTTACAGCGGGTTCTTTCTTGTGGTCATCCAATGGTTACACTTCCATGTTGGCAGGCACAAGATCTTACCACAGTCAAGTGTCAGATCGTTGTTGAAAAGCAAGTTCCACATTGTGAACACACTGTCAAGACTGCATGTCATGTCGATGTGAATGATGATGGCTACGTGTGTAGGCAGCTTTGTGATGCTCTGCTTCCATGTGGACACACATGCAAGGCATCCTGTTGCCAGTGTATTGAGAAAACACCTGAAGATTCGGTGGTCGACCATATTAGATGCACGCAAAAGTGCGGAAGGGGGTACTCTACGTGTTCTCATGCTTGTTTGGCCGAATGCCATGAGGAGGCGGCATGTCCTCCATGTACTTCACCATGCGATGTTCAATGTGGACATTCCCGATGTCCTCAAAAATGCTCGGAGCCATGCCCACCCTGTGCGGTCGAGAAGTGCCTCTCTTCGTGTCCTCACAGTAGTTGCTCGATGCCCTGTGCCGCACCCTGTGATCACGTACCGTGTTCCTTGCGCTGCGAAAAGCTTCTTCCGTGTGGCCATCAATGCCCTTCAGTGTGTGGTGAAACCTGTCCCTCTGAGACGCACTGTCAGACCTGCGGATCTTCCGAAATCAAAGAGACCATAGTGGACCTTTTGGAAATGAAAACATACGAGGAAATTGATCTCACAGAGACCCCTTGTATTTTCCCTCGGTGCGGACACTTCTTGACTATTGAGAGTATGGATGGCCAAATGGATCTCAGAAAGCACTACAAGCTCGACGGGACTGAGAAACCAACCTCAATAGCCTCATCCTCTGAGCCCTTCTCCATTGAAGATATCCGGACGTGCGCTACGTGTCGTGGATCCTTGAGAAACATCTCACGGTATGGGAGACTCGTGAGACGTGCAATGCTGGACGAAGCCACGAAGAAATTCATCTTGTATGCAAACCAGGGATATGTACCCCTCGCCCAGAAGTTACCTGATCTCTTATCCGAGTTACAAAGCCGGACGCACACTAAGAGAGTCGCCAGCGGGGTGTTCCAAGGTGATTCCGAGACTCGAATTGAGGGCTCACCAGCACACCAGGTGTCGGTGATGAGAAGTCTTATCAACAAGTCTTTCAAACTACGCTGGCACGACTTATTGGTCCTTCGTCGCAAAATCACAGAGTATCAAGCGAAGGTGAAGGCAGAAGAGCAGCCATTTAACAGGGTTTGCAACATGGTTAAGAACGCTCGTCAACGCAAGATGACTTCTGGTCAATTCACCTTTGACGAAAGCGTTCTCCAGACCAGGGGACAAATCCAGGCCACCGCACTCCTACTTCGTCTTGACACAGCTTTACTAAGTGACTTTCTTCACTTAAAGAGCCTCATTGGTGTAGACCAAACAGGACTGTTGCTTGATTTGACGAAAAACAGGGCAGAGGCTCAGCGTCTTATTGATGAGGCATCCATCTCACAGCGCATCTTGCAACAGGCTGAAGGAAACATCTTCCTAGCCCAGCTGTATGCACTCGAAAGCCAGCATGTGAAGGAACCCTCAGTTTTCGGGCCTTTGCGAAGCGGCTGCAATGCGGCTATCGAAAAAGCACAAGTTCTCTGCGATGAACACCCTACACTGACACGCGGTCTATCTGAGGAGATTGAGGGCACGAAATCCATGCTACAAGGTTCATTCTACACACCAGTGAGTAATGAAGAACGAAAGGCTGTGCTGGCTGCGATGGCGACGGAGTTCAGGAGTACCGGTCATTGGTATTATTGTGAAAATAACCATCCTTTTACTATTGGGGAGTGTGGAGGTGCTATGCAGCTATCGAGGTGTCCGGAATGTGGAGCGCCAGTTGGTGGCCAAAACCATCTAACTACCGCTGGAGTGACTCATGCTCATGACCTAGAGCAAACGTTGAGAGAGATGCAGATTTGAGGATATCAGTATCAATTTGTAACAGTTCAGAAATTAGAATCTATCTATCTTGACTTCCAAGGTTCACTTTACTCTTTTATACCTTTTAGTCTGCGTTTTTTTCTGCAATTTCTGGACGCAAAGATACTAAGAAGCTCTCTATCGGCCAAGTATCAATTCATTTATTCATCTCTTCGTATGTCATCAACACCACAAGGTGCATGTGCATGCAATTTCAAGGTCCACGAAAAAAAAAATATCAAAACGCCAGCGAAGATAATACACGAAAGCAAAAAATGCACGCTTAAATGGGTCGCTGAAAACAACATATGAAAAGGAACTCAAAGAGAACACGAGGGCAGAAAACAAATGCCCATCCTGAAAATGAAAACCCCCTGTCAACACCATAAATAAAAAGGAAAAGATAAAGATAGAGATGAAATGATGAAAGAATGCATCAGCGATATGTGCCAGAAGTAAGTGACCTTCCCTTTAGACCTGACTGAGTCTGGCTGCGAGTCATACGACGAGAGCTCGGGCGATCTTCCAGACTAAGGCTTCCCAAAACAGGGCCAAGTTCATTTCGACGAGGAGAAAAGAAATTATCGGTGCTAGAGACCGCACTTAGGCGCCGACCGTAGCGAATGTTCCGGTTCGTAGCATTTGTCCACGCAGTAGCTGTGGTAGCAACTGTTTCACTATCCGAGTCTTGCTCGTAGTCTGAAGGTTCAGCCTCCTGAAGAGATTTCATTGTGAAGCTGTGCGGATTGTGATCGTAGTTTTGATGCATGGATTCATAATTCTGCCCTGAGGAAAGACGGTAGTTCGATACGGAAGGCAGCGCGGATGAGAAACTCGCAGATCCAGTGGTAGATCCGAAGGAAAGTGGAGGTGCAGTCAATAGGGACTGCTCCATAGAGGGGAAGCTGGCTGCTGACTCGGTGGGAGAGTACAACTGAGTGGTGAATCCATTTTGACCAAGTGGAGGTGTCTCAAGTGTGGATGCAGAACGGATGGATTTTTGGTCTTCATCAAACTTTGGTTTCACAGAGGGTAGCATGGCTCGATAGGAGGTTAATAGACCCATGCCCTCCTGTACAGCCATAAAAATGAGAAGTAATTTGCCATATCGATCAAAGTATTCTCGTTCAAGAGATGCCTGTGGCATACAGCCTCCAAGATGAACAGACACTCCGAGCTCAGTGATGTTCACTAATATCTCCAGTCCTTTCCAATCAGCGAAAGGTTGTTTCACAACATCAAGAAGAGCAAGTCCTGCGATAAGGCATGCACTACCCAGAGCGAATGTTTCAACATAGTTCCCAGGAATTGGGAATGTATGGTTCTGGGACAACGTCCAGGCACCAGTGGCACACAACAGGAGAAAGAATCTGAAAGCCTGAAATGTCAGGCGGTTATGGCCTGGGGCATGGGAAGTCTTGGGCCGTGGTTCGTCGGCCCATCTTCTCCGAGCCGGACTGTTATCGGGCTCTATGCTAAACGCCTGATCAAACATGGTCTCTAGACCAGTAGCGTTTTGATAGTCACTAGTGGGAAAGAATCTGGGTGGCTGAAAAACTGGTTGTGGGCTAGCTGATTTGTGCTGCCATGTAGTTCGTGATTCGGTAGGAGTGCGGTGAAACGGATTGCCTTCCACGGCCTTTGAAACGCTTCTCTCGGGCTCCTGTCTGCGGAGGCCCCATGCAGGAGGCTTAGGTGCGGGAGGAAGGGTCCCATAGAATGGGCTGGGCTCATCATAAACGGGAGGCTTGAGGATCGGCTGAACGCTGACCGTTGGCTGGATTTGCTGGATTTGCTGGGCACCAGAAGGAGACCATTCCATATCATCGCCATCAGGAGGAGGCGTAGGAAATGATGGAGATACCACGGATTTCGGTGCATCCAATTTGAACTTCTCAAAGGGGAACGGCTGGCGAATTTCCCCATGTCTTCCTCTGGGCATCGATTCTAATGCCGGAGAACACACGGCAGATATCGATGTTGGGCTACGCATCGGCTTATTTTCCCAGGATTTATCAGTCCAATCTACCAGAGGACGAATGTTGTATTTAATGACACGACGGGATATCAAGACACACTGTGCTGCTGCGTTAGCTTTCGTGGTCCCATCACACCGAACACAAATTGATATAGGGGGGACAATCTTACAATAGTTGTGAAAATCATCATGAATAAATGTCCAACAAGCGATTTCTGGGCGTCAATACCACTGGCAGCTGGATCCTTGAACAAGGACCAAAATACACCTCGCACTACCATGAAGATAAGCTGCACCTCGTAGTACTCGACTAGACCAGAGAAATTGCCAGTTCTTCCAAGAATCTTCATGCGAAGTTTTGGGTTGTACCAGAGTGAAAGGCAGCCCAAAACGAGGGCAACTCCGGCGGCAGGAGCCAAGTCAAAAGAGCATGCCTGTGGAATTCGTCGAGTCTCCAGCAATTGGGCTGTACAGGAAATAAATGACACGAGGGTATCAGATACATCATCAATTGACAGGTCGGAATCGAGATTCGAAGGAGTAAGGGTCAGAACACTTATGATATCCCAGGCCAGCTGACCAAGAATGCTCATCCAATAACCACTAGCACCTAGATAAACCACGAGGCTCTGCCAGCTACGCTGTCGGGTACGCTGTATAGTCTTGCAAGCGCGGCTCCGTTCCATCATACGGCGAAGATGGTCGGCTTTAGCATCGTAGCCAGCCTGCCGAATTTTCTGCTTGACTCGAGACTCGCAGTTTTCGCAGACCTGTGGATATCGGGCCTCAACCTCTCGGCGATAGCTTTCATAATTCGAGTCATATTCGGTATTCACAGTCTCATCGTCTTCGGGGAAATATGCTGCTAATGAGACGGTGTAGAGGTGCTGGTTACGAAGGCATTGAGAGCAAAACAAGCTGGGCTCATAAATTCCGTATGTCTCGGGCGACTTCTCGATTGTTGCGTCAAATTGTGACAGACGGAAAGGCGTGTTTGATGTCACGAACGCGTTCGTAACTTCAGCTGGAGGGTCGGTAATTTCGCCGTTCTATTTCAAAAATCCATTAATTATTATTCTCAAGGGCTAGTTAATCTATACAGTGCGCACCTTGTCCAAGTAGTTGTCAGCATCACAATATTCACAATGAAAGTTTGCGATTGGGCCGTTAATAGATTGGGCAGGACGTTTTCCGCAATAAAAACAAGTGAGACGCTTTGAAAAAGGCGCCATGATTAAAAAAAAGACATAAGGGGGAGAACAAAATAAAGGTGTTATGTTGTTGTTGATGGGGGTTAAGTATGCTAGGGAGCAGAGTCGAAGAAAATCAAAGGGCGGAGAACTCAAGGCACGTGTTTATGCGAACGCGACAAGCTTAGAACAGAGCCTCTTCTTTACTTCTACATCTAACATTTTAACTCCACTTTGTCGTCTTTTCTCTTCATTCTTTCTTGTTTATTGTTTTTCTTCTTTCTTTCTTTCGCTTTTTCATTATTGAAAATGAAGCCTCGTTAACATAACCATCAACATTCTCGAGCTTCTACACGCTGAAGAAAGTGACATCATGGCTTCTTTCATTTCCCTCTGTGAGCTTCTCTTGAAGCTGATTATTCCCACGGCAACCATTGCAATTCTCATATTACTCGTGAGTTACTTTACTAATAACTATTACACTCTCACTTATTTAATACTAATATACATATCCTTTAGATCATCCTCTTCTCCCTCGCCTTCTCCCAAAATGCCACGGTTCCTAAATTTCGCCGGCGGGGTACACCCGTCCACCTCCTGATTGTCCTTGGTAGCGGTGGTCATACGACTGAAATGCTCTACATGCTCAAGAAAAGTCTCAATACCTCTGTCCACACCTACCGAACCTATGTCGTAACCTCAGGCGACCCATTCAGTGCCACCAAGGCCGCTGAGTTTGAGGACAACCTCGTCCAACCACCCCAGCGAAACACTCGCAAGAAAGTGGCTGAACCAAAATCCTTTGATGTGATCACTATTCCACGGGCACGCCGAGTGCATCAGTCATACTGGACGGCGCCTTTCACCACCCTTCAAGCCTTATGGGCCTGTCTCCTTGTTCTATGCGGTCGATACCCCAAGCAAAAGAAACTACCGTGGAAGTTTACTTCCCCGCATCCCGATATTATCATCACCAATGGCCCGGCTGTCTCTGTATGTATGGTTCTTGCAGCCAAAATCCTGCGCTTTGGAATCTTCATCTCTCGTTGGGCTACTGGTCAAGGCTCAAAGCCTGAGATCTCTCGTCTTCGAACGATCTTCGTGGAATCATGGGCGCGAATTACCAGCTTGAGTACTTCGGGCGTTCTTTTGCTTCCTCTGGCTGACAAGTTCTTGGTTCAATGGCCTGATTTGGCGGGACGACGAGCCTGGTGGGGTATGAAGAAGACTGAGTATGGTGGCTGGATGGTGCTGTGAGGTCTCTCATCGACTTTTATCTGCCTACCTATCAAAATAAGTGCTTATCTAGATTGATACCCAAAATTTCTATTCAAAAAGATTCGAATTGACCAAACATTTCACTACCCCAAATCATGTTAGTATGTATCTTCGGGTGATCGCGATTTACCACTGTTGCCCAAGTGCGTAGCAATTCCGAGGCTTAATTCCGCTGTCCACATACCGAGTGGGTACTGCTGTACTGGTGCTTCGGACAGTCCGACTGTAGAGGAACATGAATCTTCTTCATTCGTTGGACTATAGGTAAATTCAAATTCAAGTTGATGAATATTATCTACTTTTATCTATTCGTTTCTAAATGCAATATTTTAAATGCTGTATCAATTCCTAGTCTAACTATGGAATATTGAGTCATGATTCGGGGCGCATCCGGGGTGGAGGGCATCGGAATACTCCCGATACATCAATCCGGGATACAGTCAAGGCCCAAGTGGTCGCTCTAAAGTCCGTCAAGCCCCGCATAATGAATTTCGTATCGGACCGTACTAAGTGGGTGACGGGCTATCGGAACGCCCTTGTCTAAATCTAAGTGTCTTTAAGCTTCCTGAATTGTGTCACGTAACTTCTTCCATAATCCACCTTGGAAAACATCTGTAAATTTCTACAATACATTCATCATGCCTTACTCATTGAAAGCTCGGAACGTTCTTGTCATTGGCGGCTCTCGGTACGAATATCTTCCTTGCCATCGCAGCAATATTTGGACATTTTTCTGACTCACTGAAGTGGCCTGGGCGCTGTCATCTCCGAGAAGTTTGCCGCCGAAGGAAGCAATGTCGCCATTAATTATATGTCTAACAAGAAAACTGCCGATGAGGTCGCCAAAGATCTGGCGAACAAGTATAATGTCAAGACTGTTGTGATTCAGGGTGTATGATATCTCCTCTCTTCAAGCAACCCTTTCGATTCAATGCCCTGACGTGTCATGTATCATCTTTCAGGATGCTGGAAAGCAAGAATCAGCGACTAGTACTGTCAAATCTTCCATTGAACAATTGGGAGGCTTGGATGTCGTCATTTCCAATGCGGTAGGTTGCACAAATTCGGTTGTGGATTGACAGCGATTGATCAATGTATGTATAGGGTTGGACAAAGATAACCGAATTCTCGGATCTGGATGCCATGGATGATGAGGACTGGGACAAGGTGAATAATTCCCTCTTGATCCTTGTCTGGGCTCCTAACCTAAACTGAAAATACATGCAGTGCTGGAATATCAACGTTAAGAGCAGCTTGTACTTGTTCAAAGCTGCCAAGTCAACATTCGATGCCAACCCCGAGGGCGGTGCATTCCTCATCACAGCCTCAACCGCCGTATGTGATTGAGCTCAGCAGTGGACTATGTCTTCGTTAACGATTATGCTAATAATGACACAATACAGGGTGTCACTCCTAGTGGTAGTGCTGTGCCTTATTCCGTCGCAAAGGCCGCTGCTATCCATCTCATGAAGTGTCTCGCGCAGTCTCAGGGTGCCAAAGTCCGCGTTAATTCCGTTCTACCCAGCCTTATGCTCACGGAATGGGTAAGTTCGATTTCATATATCACAAGCAGGTAGCTGATCATTGCGTAGGGTCAGAAGTTTCCCCAGGAGAAGATCGATGCTATGCGAGAGAAGATGGTCTTGAAGAAGTTGGTATGTTAGCCCTTTTTCACTGTTCTTTGGATGATGGCTAACACTTTACAGCCTGAGGTCGAGGATGTCGCGGATATGTTCATTGCTATTGCAAAGAATTCCTCCATGACTGGTCAAGCGGTCCAAATTGGTATGAACTTTTATTCTTTGTGCCAGTGTCTGAAGTATGAGGCTAACTTTACCAGACTGCGGATTTGCCATCAGGTAAATGAGGCTCCGCTTTGAACCAGGTAGCCAGATAGATTTGTCTCAATGTAGCGGATATCTTGATAATCAATCAAATAAAATAACAGTATTGTACAAAAAGTCTCCATGCTCAAGACAGAGGGTTGCGGAAGGGTGTGAAATCTGCACCTTCTGATTGGAAGGACCCATCACCAAACATGCGAGCTTTGATTGCAGCACGAAGTCCCTCAGCTTCTTGTTCACCCTCAACCTTCATTTTGTTAATGCGGAGCGTCTTCCCATCTTTCGTATAGACGTAGAGAGCTCTGCCCTTCTTTGGTCCAACGGGGTAAGACGCATTCGCAAATGGTACACCGGGAACAACAGATAAAGAAGTACTTCCCTTGAGCGGTTCTACTTCTTCGGTATCTGTCAAGATCACACGCTTATAGGTGAACTCTGTGGGTAGATCTGTAGTTGTCGTCGGAACAAGAGCCTTGTTCCAAAGAGGTCCAAGCACGCGGAAGCGCCGTTGGATATTCAACAAATCCCAAGCCATCCAGTCCAGATGTCGGTCCTCTGGCTTAATCTTGGCGGCGTGGATAAGTTCATCGCCCTCTTCAGCGCGCCAGCCGGCATCCTTCACTGGGGGTACGAATAGGCCATTCTCAATACCGTCTACTAATAACTGGGCACCCTGCGGGGCCACGAGGTTCACCAGTTCAGGGACAGTGCAGGAGTTGGGGCTTGGGATCTCAAAGCCTGGGGCTGGGGTTTGGGAGAGAATGGTTCCATGGTCGAAGCTCTTGTGATGAAGTGTCTGCAATGTTACACCAGTGGTTGATCGGCCAGCCAGAAGAGTATGGTGGAGCGGTGCTGGACCGCGGAAGCTAAGAAGTCACATTAGCTTGGTTCTGGTGCATACGGGTCTATTAGCCTAGCTGGTAACATACTCTGGTAGCAACGAAGGATGTACATTGACACCTCCATAGCTAGCAGCGTTCAAAATTCTCGGTGGTACAAAAAGGCCAAATGAAACAGCAACAATGAGGTTAATGGGCCCATTTGCGGTGACTGGAGGCTGATGTATTGGGTCAGGACAAAACAGCCAACTTGATTGCTTGGTAATACTTACTGTCCATCCTGTGAATGTATCAATTTCATGAATTGGCAGTGAAAGTCCGGAGGCTACCTCTTTGATAGGTACTAGAGGAAATATTAGAACCAGCTTCTAAGTATCATGTATATTGAACACACACCTTCTCGGATCTTTTTAAGGCCTCTTCCTACTCTCTTTCCAGGTCGACACACCACATCTATTGAAGCAATTTGACTCGGCTGCTTCAAATGATAAGCATGGAGAGCTTTCAAGGAGGCAATACTAAATGCGTCGGAGCCACAAAAGAGAATGCGGAGAGGATCATAGGATCTAGTGGAATAAAGACGATATTTTGGTAATTGAGATGCATATATTTGCCTGCAAGATGCGAGAGCATTAGGGCCTCGTATAAGCCACATTTTGGCTCAAATCTGAGGAGTTCTGAAGACCACTCTGAAGTACAGGAGTCCAGTGTGAAAGCTCCCCGAAGCTCTGACACTCCGACACTCGCGACTTATCGATAAGCGACACGTGATGTCAACATCATTGATCCCCGCGTCTTGCAACGATGCTCCAACAGCTCTACGTTGTAATCGCTGATATTTACATTCGACCTCTAACGATGCCATGCCGGAAAGCGACACTGGATCCGTAATCCCCGCCCAGCTATCCTTCTTCGCCATCTACAATCCGACTCTCGGACCCACCGATGAGACGATCGAAGACCAGATTGTATTCTACACCTCAAGATCGGAAAATCTACAGCGGTTAGAGGGCTCAAGTAACGAGGAGGAAGGGAGCAAGTCTTCTGGGAATGGAAAGAATGAGAGGTTGCGTCAGATAGGTCTGGCGCAAGGGATGGTACACTTTGCCAGGTGCGACCTATCCATAGAAGTGGTCATATGAACATCATGCTCACGGAATCTCTTTTATAGCAACTTCTCATCAAAAAAGACCTTGGAATATGTTGAAACGGAAAAGACTCGAGTTGTTCTCCTTGAGTTGGAAAAGGATTGGTGGTTGGTTGCGGTAAGTCTGACTGAGAGTCTATGTGATACCTCGACTAAGACCAAACCTAGTCCATAGACCTAACACGATTACCGGCTGAGTCGACACAACCTTCTTTGAACGATGCAGTCAACTCATCCGCCTTCCAATATTCAGCAAGGGAGATGGGGCATCCTCATCTCCTTATCCAGCAACTGCGCCGCGCGCATTCTATATTCCTTCTTCTACATGACTTCTCTCTGAGCGACCTCTACGAACGTGCGGGCCGCCCATCATTCTGTCTTTTCCTGCAAAGATTCTGGGAGCGCTTTGCTTGGGGCTGGGAGCTTCTTTTGACAGGCAATCCCATCGTCGATGTTTATAATGGGATTAAACTCGCTGCGGGCGGTGAGTTAGGAATAGGTGTTGGAGAAGAAGAATGGGGCAGCGGGGAGAGAGAAGTTCTTGAAGATTTCGTGACAAGGACAGATGGTCTAGTCGATCTCGTTGTATCGAGATTCGGGGACTCCGCGGGGCACTCGGCAGAATTCCCATCGGAATCTGAGTCTAATGGATATAGTCGTTGGTTAGGATTGGACCTCGATCCTCGGCCAGCTGATGGAATCATCTTCTCAGGAGTCAATGCCATCTCTCGTCGCTCTGTGTCGCATGTGTCACATTGGATGGAATGGATTTATCGATATGGAGATGCGACATATGGCATAGGACGGGATCCGAACTCCCTGCGCCGACGCAAACTCCGGAGGCATCGAGAGAAAATTCATTCTGGGAGTAAAAGTACTAGTGTCCGCTCGGCTAGTGCGCAGCCTGCCGTTTTAGAGCACGCTCACACACCTGGGATACCTCGCCCACTTGTGGTGGCTACCCCGCAACCCGCCCCGGGGAACCAAGGGGAAGATATATCAGATCAAAATGGGGTTCCGTCATCAAGTGATCCAAAGAGTGATCCATCATCTGCCTTTGGAGCTGAGACAGTCATGAAATTTTTGACTTTGGGCTACGGATCAGCCTGGAATCTTTCAAGCTTGTCACCGCCGTCATCAACAAGCTCTCCTGCTGCTGCTGAGATCAGTAAATCGTCTACGGATGTCACAGTGCCAGACGAACAGTCTGGGAATGACACACAGCACTCACTATTAAATGGACATAATGGATCCCGGAGTGGACTCAAGAAAGCAGTCTCAGGCCGTTTCGTCCTAGGTCCTCGAGATGATTTGGATACACTGGATGAGCTGGAAGAAACCAGTCCGGGCCCCGAGTCCGACGTGAAAAATACCAAAACTCGAATAGTGCATCGGACTCTGCATATTCAAGTAGCAGACCACCCAGATGCGAGCGGTAATCTACGAAAGCTGCAAGCTGTGGTCTATGTGGTAAGTACCACTACCTCTGATTCGGCAAGGTCGTCTAGCTAACACACCTATCAACGCAGAACCAACCATTTATGTTCACATTCTTGTTTGAGACCGATACCGCATCATTGTCATCTCCCTCTCTCTACTCTAGCATTCATCACCAGCTTGGACCACTTCAAAAGCCGCTATTATCATCAACATCACCAGCAACTGCCAACGCCCGAATCAATATGACCGATCCCACAGACCCTAATAAGAATCCCCGCACACAAGCCGTTCACGATCTAGTCTATGACCCATCAAACCTCACAATAAGATCTTCAATCCCCAACATTCCCAGCATAACCTCACCCTCCCAGTCACCTGGGGCTCCCCTTACTACAAACACTCCATCATCCTCACCAACCCGCTCCCAATTTCCAAAATGGTCCCGCATAGAGACCCTCAGTATACACCACCGCCTTCTAACCACATATATTGACACCCGTTCCCGTCCCCAAGAACTCGAACGTACAAGCAAAACAACACGCGGATGGTGGATCCTCTGGGTCCGCATCCCGCAATCCACTACATACCCTCCCCTACCAGCCCTTTCATCCGCACCCTCTTCCACAGCTCTATCATCTCTAGCTGAAGGCGATGGTGAATCTCCAGAGGCCCATGAAAACGAAACAGCGTTCTCATCCTCTATCTCTACGCCTGAATCTCCACCGGCTTCCCAGGAGGCCTTCCTCGTCCGTAAAGCGAATGACTACCTCTCGCCCGCAAGTCACGGACGCATGAGTAGCGGAGCACGCTTCTTCCGTGATTTGGGCGGTGCGTCATCTAAGCTTTCAGCTTCAAAGACGGATACTACACCTTCAAAACTGGTTGAAGGGATTGGGCTGGATGCTCGTCGGTATGTGGAAGGGTTGTTGAGGTTTAATAGGTGATTTCTTTCAGTTTACACTTCGTTGTAGTATTTTGCATATTGGGTTCGCTGTTTGTACATCAGTGAATTTATAAATGAACATTGATTGGTCAATCACTTGATTATCGCACTGTTATGGTAGTACTACATGTTCGAGTTGAAGTTCATTGAAGGTGGTCCCGGAACCTTGGAAACTCGAAGTTTATATATAAACAAATCCTACATACTACGGACCTCGAGTACTCCGAGTAGGTTCAAATGTTCCCCACGAGCAGCGACATATGTACTACTAGGTACTATCTACCTAGTAGGTAGTAGTATGTAATGCTAGTACTAATGGATACAGCCCTACCCGTGGACTCGGACCTAGTAGTAGAGGTGTTGGTTCAAATGTTTGAAATTAGCAACTTTGGAATACTACCTCAAGTGCTTCTGACCCCAACATTGGAACCACAACATCAATTATACTGCAACCAGTTGACATGATCAAATTACTGTTGATCTTACTATATGCTACCAGTACCATAGGTTTTAATCTTACAAAATTGACAAGCCGTGCAAAGTATAGATGAAATGGGACATGGTCCATCAAACCAATATCCCATGCATTAGCTTTAACAAAAAATCAATATAGTAAAGAAGATAAGACACAAAAAAGGGAATCGAGGTCTTCGCTGGGGGAGATATCCGAGGGGAGAAACGGGAATCATCTATCATCACACAGGGGGACAAAACCATGGGCCATGGCGAGTCATGGCGATGCCCAACTTCACAACCGGCGCTACTGTCCAAGGACTTCTTCTCCCTTCCGAAAAGATGGATGTGGTTTTTTTTGTCAGAAGTTTTTAAAATGGTTTATACTGCCCACGAAACAGGCAAATTTGTCATTGTGATCCACGGAGTCGAATGGGGTAAAAGAAAAAAAGGAAAAAAGGGGATGGGAAGGAGAAAAAGAGAAAAGCCCACAGGGTTATGATGAAGACAACGCCTCCCTAGACAAATTCTGCAAAATAAAGGCAAAAAAGGAGAAACACAAGGTCGACCAACTGCAGAGGGGGAGGGGAGAAGGGTGTAGAAGAAAGAGGACTTCGTATCCGAGCTCGATATTATCCCACCGAAAAATCTCGTGAAGGGTAAAGAAAAAGTAAATAGCCCAGTCAGCACCTTCCCCTCACCCCTTTGTCGATAACCAAACCTGCCCGAATCCCGATGAAAATGTGTACTCGGGACGGGCCACTTTCAACCGACTGTAGTTTACAGGATGGAGCAGGACTTCTTGGTCTTGGTCTTGCCACCCTTGGTGATCTTGAGCAGAGCCGCACGGGTGGCAGCCTCAAACACCTCCTTGACACCCTCGTTGGTTCGGGCAGAGCACTCCAGGTACTTGTAGGCACCAATCTTCTTGCGGATCTCCTCACCCTATTTTCAAAATTAGTAGCCATTCCGGGACGCCTTTGGAGGAAGCTTAAAAAGGAACTTACCTGCTCAGCGGTGACGGGGCTCTGGGAGGTCTTGTTAAGCTCCTCAATAGTCTTGGGGTCGTGGCGCAAATCCTTCTTGCAACCAACCAGGATGATGGGAAGACCCTGGCAGAAGTGAAGAACCTCGGAAATCCACTAAATAAGAATGTCAGTATAAGTCTGGCCCTCTTTCTCAGATGATTCCGGTGATCCGATGGAGAGGAGATTGCATCTGAAGGGGAGTTTTCAATCCGGTGGTTACGCACCTTCTCCTGGACGTTGTCGAGGGAATCGGGGGGAGTCAACGGCGAAGCAAATCAAGATGACGTGGGAGTCGGGGTATGACAAAGGACGGAGACGGTCGTAATCTTCTTGGCCAGCAGTATCCCAAAGGGCAAGCTCGACGTGCTTGCCATCAACCTCAACATCGGCGACGTAGTTCTCGAAGACAGTGGGGACGTAGACCTAACAAAAGTACGAATCTTGTCAGAAAAGGTTGGGTGTAGAGGTACACGGGGGAGTTCGTGTCGGAACCCCCGAGATAGGGCATGTGATCAGGATTCTGGGGCTAGATAGGAGCTCACCTCAGGGAAGGTGCCCTTAGAGAAGACACTATAAAGTCGATCTTTAGTTTCAAGATCGAAATCAAGGGATATCAAGTGGAGGGGTCCCACTCCGATGTCAGAGAGAACTTACATGAGAAGACAGGTCTTACCGCAGGCACCATCGCCTACGATGACGAGCTTGCGACGGATCTCGGCCATCTTCAGGGAATGCAAGTTAGCAACAGTGAACGACGCTCAAATAGCAATAGTGTTTCAAAACTGTCGGACACGGCTCTTCTAATGATAGAAACGGCGGGACGAGAGGGGGATGGATGGAGTTGTGGAAAGGGGAGATGTGAGGGATGGGAAAGGGACCCAAAGTCAAGTTCCCGGGGGGGTTGGTTTGATGTTTTGGATTGAGAAAAGGGGAAGAAAGAGGATTATCGTACTGTCGGAATCTCAAGACTATGAATTAAATTTTTTGAGATATGTGTATTGAGCGAGAAAAAGCCCAGATCGCAATGAGGATGGAAAAGAAGGATTTAGGATGGAGGAGAAGAATATTGACTTGGAGGTGGAGGAAGATAGAGGCCAGACTTGCCCGGGCGGTGGCCGGTGTCCATACAGTAATCTTGTATCTTCCCCGTATCGGTATTTGTTATGGTTACAATTGACCGCCTTCCAAGCTTAGACACTTAAACGTGGTGCTCAACTGGTCTCTCAACACCTCACCTCTTATGTGTGTATCAGGGGGTGGACTTTTTTCTTTGTTGTACCTCCTTAAATACTTGGAATTATAATCCTTGTGAGATTGAACCATGGCTATTGAAAAATAACTGATTTTTCCTCCTTTCCTGAAAGCTCCTAAAGAACAATATTACTCTATTTCCGCACTAAGAACCCCGTGCCTGATCTACCCTGAAAACTTCCAACTTAGAAATTTGGTTGACTACGTACTCACTTCATAGTACCAGAAAAAAGTGTTCTCCTATCCAGATGGCTAGATTAGGGGGTAATACAATTACCACTTCCAGCCCTAGCAGATTATGTTGTGGCTGAGTCAAGTTCCAAGGTATCCGCGTCACAAGAAAGGTCCACTTTATCCCGGGAACACACAGCCACCGTGGCTGTGGAAAGGAGCATGCAATGGGTCGAATATCTGATATCATAGGTACCTGGGTCCTGTTATGGGCAATCCCGGGGGATATGGAGAAAGTTTCAGAGGATACCTCGGGTTCTTTTACATCCCGAATTCCCAGGGATGAGAGGATGGTTGTACTTCCCCGAGGAGACCAGGGACAAGGATCGAAATTAAATCTCCTAATTCCCGGCAGCCACAAGAGAAAAAATGGTAGTGGCCGACGGCATATTATTGATTGCAAAAAACTCATCTACTACAATGTATTTGAAGCTCTCAAATAGAGCTTTCTAGTCAACATCTACTATCCGTTAGAGTATCAGTATGTACGGAGTATGGAAGTAGATTATTCAAATGTTTTATGCAGAGCTTGGACTTGGGATCGTCATTGACAATTCCTACCTAAGCGACAAATCATAAACGATTTAACTTGGCGAAATCCTTTCAGATGACTGTATGTATTATTCGGAGAAACCCCGAATAAGTTGAGACGTTAAGACATGGGTACTAACTTCATGTCTCGGATGAGGCAAAATACTATATTATGGAGTAGTACGGAGTCCTATACCAGTAGGATCCATTCAAAAGGCTTGACGCGAAAATCCGACGATCGCTCCCGATAGTTTCCTGCACTCTCATTTCTTTCTTTTTTTTTTTGAAAAGACAATCAACCAAACGTACCCCTTGTATATCTTTTTGACTCGGCTTCTTTGCGGCTGAGTATACTGCACATGTACCCAGTTTATCTTGGAACTAGTTGACCATGACGTTGTATATGTGCTCAAAATTCCATACATTCTACATCAAATTCCAAGTCCAGGAGCTTAGTTTTCTTGAACATAACTACCGAGTACTTTCGCCAGTTGTCGTTGCATGAAGCAACGGAGATCTCACTGCATCAACAGGTGGACCACTTAGAACGTGCATCCTCAGCTCCTTTCTACGGAGTAGATTAGCTTTCTTCCGAACCAGAAGGCAGAAACGTTAAATGGTCGCTCTTCCAGCATATTGCGCGGCCTTTCTCTAAATATACACTCAGATATGCATCTCCGATAATGAGGCTAACTCAAATAGGAGGCGTGGAGGGGGCCAAAATGGTTGTGAATTAGTACAATGTGAGTTGCACTCTGTACCAGTTGACCTCCTCAACCCCTGTATCTTGCATTTCAGTATCCTTGGAAGTATTTGGATTTGTATTCTGCCTCCCCATCTCTTACACACAAATTATTCCCCCCTGCGATTCTAGACGTTAGCAAAAGGATAAAACACGGTAAGAGAAAAGAGACTCCGCAAAGCTATTGATTTTAGCGCGTTATGGATTGCTATATCGGGCTGGGGCTTCCATTTCAGGACTAGCGCATCAATACATCTCTAATAATTGGAAGAATTGAGATACCAGTTGACTACTTCGTACTATGTGTCCATCAAGACGTACATACTCCATACGGAGTTCTTCAATGTTCAATTAAAAAATGTATTTCACCGACCACATATGCAAGTCTTAGCACAGCCAGTGGATTCCTTAGGAATAAATCAGGTCATATCGACAACCCATCATTAGTAAAGACGATCATGGTCCGAGTCGTGGCTCCATCAAGTGCTCGCAGGTGCTACCAAATCCTTCAAAAAGTCAATAACATGACCCATTATCATGAAGTGTGTATCCCCCTCATATTCCTTCAGAGTAGCATGAGGAATCTGTTCTTCCAAATAGCGACCCATCGTCACAGGCACGTTTACATCTGCCGTGCCGTACCACAGGCGAGTATTCTTTGCTGGGATATCCTTGGGTTCAAATCCCCAATCCGATGTCACGATTCGTCCATCCTCCATCATAGCATCAGCACCTTGCTTGAAGGCTTCTGCCACAGACAAAGGAAAGATGTTCTCGATTTCAGGCACCTGACAGAACTCCTGATCGGCTGGGACGAGGTTCTTCATCAAGACCTCCTTCATCTTAACCATATCCGTACCCTTTATAAACTCCGCAAACCCCAGGCCCACCAACCGACGAGCAAGCCATGGTGTATAGCAAATGCAGTTGAATAGCACACGATTCTCCACCTTCATACCATAAGTTCCCAAACTCCAGGGTCCCATGCCAGAGGCAACGCCAACGCCAAGCAACTCTGTCTTTGGTAAAGCATACGCACACGCAAGAGCATAAAGTCCACCTCCCGAGAAGCCAAAGACATAGTACTGCTCCAGCTTGAGATACTTTGCCAGTTCGCGAACATCGGCTGGCGAGTCAAGTAGCTTACGATTAGACTGTGAAGATGATAGACCAAATCCAGGACGATCGATACCCATCACACGCACGTTCACTTCGCAGGCTGCGGGATGAAATAACGCGGCATCGAGCCGCGACCCGGGAAGACCATGAAGATAAAAAAGTGGAGTGGCATCGTCACTTATGGAGCCGAATTCCGCAAAGCCGAGCTTGCGGCCATCGGCGAGGGTGATGGATTGGTTTTGCTGTGCCTGGCACGATGGGTCTTGGAGAATGGAGCCGCTTGCCATGATTGATGATCGGGTTTTTGGTGGGTTTCGTTAGTGTGCGACGGACCAGACGGTAGCCACGTAAATGGTGGAATACAGTGGGGCAAAGACTTCTTTTTTTATTGAGCTGCGCGGGCTGGCGTCCACTGTGGTGACAGAGTTGAGAGAGATGAAAAAGTTATGTTCGCGAGTGAATTTCCCAGGGGAAATCCTGCTCAAGTGGTCTTTTTATTTGACGCTTGAATGATTACCACCATCAAAATGCTAACCAAAGATGGCGTAGCGTCCGAGGTCTTGAGATGCGAATCCACCATTCGACCCCGGGGGCTGCCTGATATTACTGCCTACTACCTAGTATGTATAGATTATACGAGGTAGATAAGAAAACCATCACTCTCATCTGCTAGTAATAATCTCAAGCTTTCAACTCCTCGGATACATAAGGATTGGCACCAACAATGAAACTACTATATGTATAGTACTTTTTCTAAGGAAACTCGAGTCGGGTTAAAAGCGTTTGCGTGGCTTTTGGTAGCATTCGGGCAATTAAATGCCAACTTGAACCTGCTAGAGACGTGTCAGTGCAAGATATAATCGAACATTGAAGAGACATTGGAACAAAGTATCGCGGTACCTAAAGATTACTTATGGTGGATTCCCAGCCCTTTGGGATGTTGCTTGGAGCACGCAAATCATATCAGTTTCTTGTTCACTTTCTAGCTCAATCTGCTGTGACAGTACACGATTAGACTTCAACCTGGATAAACTTTAGTCTTTAAAAATAGCCTCTTAAGATGACCCGCCGAATGAATAGTGAACCATCTCCATGTCCCTCTCGTTTTGATCCGTCAACCACTGGATATTTTCCATGAATGCTGGAGTAGCCTTGCAGTCATAGTGCGTTTGAACACTTTTCCACCCAATCAAGGAGGTGAAGCGATGACAGCGCACTCCTTGATGAACAAATTCGATTTGTCCTAAACCAGCAACGAGACCCCCATCGACCCCAGAGGTCTCATTACTGATAGCTTTTTGAAATTTCAAGAAGCCATCCTCTAGAAGGCGTATCTTCTCTCCGTCTATCTGGCTGGTTGGGTGGATCCATGACACAATCTCAACCACCTGGGCACCCAGTACCTTATTGACGGATTCGTCAAGAAAAACAATGTCCTCGCATAGAGGCCCGGTAGCAAGCGATTTGATATCACTCATCCAAGTTGTGTGTTCCACTGAGTCTGCCCACGTTTTCTGTGCACTGCGTGAATCCCAACCTAGTTTCATAGTCTCTTGGTTAGCTAAACAAATTTTCTAACATATGACAATATTGACTTCCATGGAGAAAGACAGATATCACTTACAGATGACTATACCTTGAATTTTCTCATCTTCGTGCTGTGAAGCCCATACCACCTTCGTGATACCGTCAACGCCTTGGAGGCTGGTAATCAAGTGGGTCCACCATGGCCGGGAGGATGTGTCTCGGGGACTGCGTAGAGGAACTTGTAGCAACTGAACCGTAACACAGTGAGTGTTGAGGGTAGAATGATTAGTAGCCATGATTTAATGAGGGAAGATCAATTGTACTTTGCTGATAGGATCACGCCGGGGATTTCTCAATATCTAAGTAATGACAAAAACTAAAGTCAGGTGCCAAGGTGTTTGAAAAGAACTTGAATTCCCTTAAGATCATGTTGACAGAGCCTCAAACGGCCTATTTGCTCTGTACTAGCCGGCATTTACCGTCTAGCAAACACTCTTTAGTACCTATGGTGGCACCTGGCACAAAAGAAGTATTATGTGTATTCCGGTCTTTTACCGGCCTTATAGTAGTAGGGCCCTGTTGACTTTCTTCGCCTTAAGTGGCGTTGATATAGGATAACGAACTATAGCTACAACTTTCATGTGTAATAGAAACAAGTGATGTAACTTGAATATGGTTTCTATTCCGTTTGCTGCGATTTTAAAAAGAATCCGTACTAGCCCTTTACCTTATTCAAGTTAGCATTGGCCAATTCAATGTTGTTGGTTTGGGGCTTGAGGCAGTAATACATATGTAGGTACTAACATTTGAAACAAAGAGAATTTTCCCAATATTCCAGGGTTTGAAAATCCATCCTACGTAAAAACTTATTCAAGTTGCTTTTAATCAACATTTTGAAGAGTGTCATCTCACTTAATATCGTGCTCACTGCTAGTCTAATCAAGTTCAAATGTTTTGACGTCTACATCTTATTATACCGAATGCCCAGCTGGACGTCTCTTTTAAGCGACAACTTTCTTTAGAAGGCGAGGCTACAGTCAAGACGGTATACCTCGCCTTCGAAAAGCTGCCCAATACTACCCAGAAGTATGAGATGCAGGTCGAAGTGATGGAGTGGCTATTGAAGCAAAGAGATAAGAATGCAGAGACAGTTTCCCAGTGGTCTCCTACGCATTCCAGAGCAATACCGGCGATTTATATGTTGCAAATACCCTGACCACAACGGTAGTTCAACGGTATTTGAGAAAATGCGGTACTTGGTCAAATACCCACATTTCAGCGGTATTTGAAGGGTATTTGGACTTGATTTTTTATATTAAAATAATTATTTACCTGGTGCTACTTCTGTCCTATTCTACTTGTTTATCTACACATCTTTTTTCTCTTTTTTCTTTTTACTTTACGTGTGTCTATATATTGTATATGTTGACTTTATATCAATTATTATATTTTAAACTCAGGAATTGAACCAGTGCCCAGGTGAACTTGGAGATTTATTTATTGTTATATTTACCCCTAGGCTATTTAGTCTATTTAATCTTCTCTCTCCCATTAATATCTATAAGAGTCTGATGTGGTTTATTGTCACTTGACGTGTTAAAAGTTTACTCCAAGGTAAAAATTTATCGAATACCGTATTTCACCAAATACCGTAGTTGATCAAATACCCAAACAACCTTGGAAATACTCATATCGTCTTTTTACAGTATTCCACACGGCATTTGGCACCAAATACGGTATTTGAGATATATAAGCGGCCGACATGGAGTGGAGTATAGAAAGATGTCAAAAGTGAAGCAGGGTCCTAGAAGAAGGACAGCAGCCTCGCAATCTCCCTGGCGATGACAACGACTACCATACTGAATCCGTCAAGGGTAGGGCTGTTCCCCAAGGAAAGAATCGAATGCGTTGGCCCTACTTACCAGAATCAAAACCAGAACGATGGCAATACATATCGGCAAGCTGCGCAGTCAAAAAGTCCCTTATCACGAAATGAAACTTGCTTTGAACTGTGAGTTGATCGAGCGTTTGAATCGCATAGGTAGAGATCATCGAAGGTCTAAGTTCATAATCCAGGGAGACTTTGCACGGGCAGAGGCGGAATAATGTATGTCTGATTCTGATGCTGATAAGAAATCCGGTGAGAATGGAGTACTCCTACCCCCTGGTCAAGCATCTAAGTGCAGGCAAATGTGACACCGAAGAAATCACGGCTTGAGTAAAGGCCCCCGGAATGTGCGAAGTGTACGAAGAAGTACTCAAAACAGTGCGGTAGGACACCATGACTCTCTCGATCCATATAGCAAATATTCAAGAAACCTCCGCAGAAGGCTGACACTTTCTCCCTGGATTTCTTCAGCCGGCGACTCCGAGTCAAATATGATGCTTGCAGAATAACTACTCCTGATTTGAAAATCTGGAAGTGGCAGATCTGCAACTTGAATTCCACTGCCAGTGCTACCTGGGCAGCAGTGCATTTATCATTCCCTTAACGACATCTTGATGAATTGTGTATTTTCTTTAGTAGTATTTCAACCTCAACATTTGAATTTCCGACGATCAAACGTTCATTCAAAAATTTCGGGCTGTCGCGGATCTACCGGAAATTGACTCGCCATCAATGTCAGAGTTTTCAAGTTTGTTGTTTAGTTTGTGAGATGTAATAATACTAGTGATACTATTCCAAGGATCAACTTGAAGTTCTACGTACTACCTAACCTTGGAATACTACAACTAGTATATGAGCGACTCGGATAGCATATAGTACTTAACCTGGACGTAACGTCACGGTAGTATGTACACCACAACTAATAGATATACACCTGTGAGAACTCTACCCGAGTGAAAATATCCTACTCCAAGTATACTCTCATCAGCAATAACGTAAGAATTAATTAATATCAAATCTCGAGAGAACCATGGTGTGTCCAAGGCGGGCGCTCTGGGGACCTGCCCAGGTGGGCATGATATTGGGCTTACATAAGTACAAACGGAAGGCGTCACGTGTCACAATGCGGCCGCAATTTTCCGTCCGGAACAATTTGAAGTCAAGTGTTGACGAGCAGCATTCAGCCATTGCTGGATAACCGACTTACAGAAATGGACAAAGTCATCAGGAGGGCCGCAACGGCCCGAAAGCAAGCCCAAGCGAAAGCTTTCCGCCAGCAGAAGACCACCGAATTGGTCGATCGCCAACAAGTTCTGCGGGTACGGAAGGACTACAACAAGGCCCTGGTCACCAACTTGAAGGAATCACGAAAGGCCCGCTGGGAGGATTGGCAAAAGGGAGCTCTTGCTCCAATGCGACACGTCGGCCTCGATGCCACTTCATACGGTTCGGTGGATGTTGCCATGATGCACCCCCCGGCCATCCCTAAACACCTGCGCCGCAAGGCGATCCTGTTCGCTGAAGGAGACCGAGTTTGTGTCATTCGCGGTCGTAATAAGGGTCAGATCAATGAGATCACTCAGGTCAACCACGAGAGTGAGACTGTCATCGTCAAGGATGTCAATGTCGTACGTCTCAAATATTCTGTGCCATCCAGCCTCCCGCTAAACAGTGATCGCTAATGAATCATTCTCATTTAGGCCGATATCCACGTTCCTGAATGGGCCAAAAAATCCATGAACATCCAAAGCGATACTATGCCTCAGCCTTTGCCCATCTCCATCGATAACGTTCGACATGTCATCGCCCTTGACGTGAACAACACCACCAAAGACCATATCGTACAGCACGCCTACGCTGCAGGCCCATACATGGAACGATCGTCCGACAGCAAACTTCCACGATTCTCTCGCTATGTATCTGGATTAGATATTGAAATTCCCTGGCCTACTGAGCCCGAGCCACAGTTCGACGTTGGAGAGTTTGATACCCGAGGAAACGAAGTTTCAAAAGTGTCTTGGATTCCCTCATTGGATGCGCCACCTTTCCCTTCCACAGTTATTGACGAATTGCGCAACAAATTCTCCCGCTTCCGTACACGTCATGACGAGGAATACGTGAAGAAGATGGTCATGGAGGAATACCGACAGGAGTACCTGAAGAGCCAGACTCTCTTGACTCCCAAGGGAGAGATCAAGCAGGCGAAGGCCTTGCGAAGTGCCGCCACCAAGGCACAGGCGTTGGACAGCAATGGGAATGTCAAGATGGAGAAGGCGACAGCCAAATTCATCGACGATTTCATGAAAATGCAATTGAACCAAGCGCAGCCAGTGTCAGACAAGGCTCCCAAGGCTTCCAAGGCCCGCCAGACTCGCAAGACTCGCAAGACTCCTGAGGCTCAAGTAACCGCTTGAATGGAGTCAAGATGCAATTGTGAATTGTGGACTTGGTCTTTGTTTTTAAGATAGCGATTTGTATAAACCTAAATGTATTCTAGCATGGAAATTTTTGTCCGTATCTATATTATTCATCTCAGAAATTCCTTTTCTTTCAATCCAAGGCTCAAACTAGGGTTTTATACTAAGTCAAAGCATTCACTTAAGTAATAGTCACTGGGACTCGGAGAGGGCCAATGTTTATATGACAAAACTCGGACCCGAGGAGCAGTTGATCATAGTTCCGTAACTTGGGACAACCATTCTTCAACATCCTCTCCCGGCTATTCCTTGCTTGGAAAAATTTCCTTTTTTCCCACTACACACAGCTTCACCCCTAGGGAAGCTGCATAAAACATGGCATTTGCAGCTATTAATTCAGCTGGCAGCTCTGTCATTACGCCTATCACTGTTATCGAAGAGGCTTTCGCGACCGAGCCCTCCTTGAAGAAGCGAGTTTACGATGCGATCGGTACGTAGCGGCGCAGCTACGACCATTGTTCATGAATGGCCATGACTATAATCCCATCCCACAGAAACTGACTGTCTATCAATTCGATCATCTAGGAGCTACACCGCAAAATACGTCTTTGTTCGAGGACCTTGCTCGATACACCTCCGCCCTGCTGGCCAGGAGCACCACTACATCATCCCTCCCGTTTGTGCCGCCCCCCGAGGGGCCAGCCGCGAAGAAACGCAAAATAGAGAATGGACAAGAATCCATCGATTTGAAAGATCCTAATTTGCCAGTTCAATTCTATGTTAAAGATGTCTCGTTTTCTATGCCACAACGCAAGAAACTTACACTCGAGATTACTGCTGGAGCCGAATACCTTCGCGCCAGGAATCAAACTACAAAGCAGATTGAATTCGGAGTACCCATGAACCGGATCCGTGAGTTTTATCATTTATATGATTCAATCATTGCATTGATCCGAAACTGATATATGCTTGTTTGCTACCTAGGTCATGCCTTGTCTCTTCCCGTCCCCGAAAAAGCCCAGAAACAGTTCAACTTTTGCATTATTCCTGAGTATGCTGATGGCACCACTCCACCGCCGGCGGGTGTGATGGTCTGGGATTGTATGGTTTTTACGGTGCCTGATGGCCCGGCTAAAACTGCGTTCTCTGGATCAGGAGAGCAACTCGGTCATAATAAGGGCGAGACCCTGGAGGCTTTGATTCGCAAGATCTTGAATCAGAATTTGCCGCATCTGCCGCATCTCCCGGCTATGCCGAAGAAAGTTAAGAAGAATGAGAAGAGTGGGAAGAGTGAGGAGGGTGAAGAGAGTGATGAGAGCGAGGAGATCGAGGAAAATGAGAAGAGTGAGAAGGTTGACCGGCCTCAAACCAGTAAATTTGTGAGCTTCTTCACTGAGGCCCAACACAAGGGCGAGAAATCCTATCATGTAAAGGGTAACCGAGGTAGCAAAGATGGTATGTATTCATTTGAACTTGTCCAATGCCCTGTTTTATACGTGGATGGAACTAATTCGTCCGGACCAGGCTACCTCTTCTTCCTATCCACTGGAGTCTTGTTCGCTTTCAAGAAACCACTTCTGTTCTTCCCCACCGATCGCATTGCATCTTTTGCAATTCCACAGGTCGTGTCGCGCTCATTTACTCTAATCTTGCGCACCAAACCCAGAAACGGCACTGAAGAGGGTCAGACGGAATTCGAATTCACTATGATTCATGTGGAGGAGGATCCTAAAATTCGCAAGTACTTTGAGCGCTGGGTTCGAGAGGTCAAATTCGATCAAAAAGATGTGGAAAAGGAACATCGTGCCAAGGAGCAAATTGCCAACGGGACCAAAAAGGGAAAGAAACGGAATGCATCTAGCAATGCTAAGGCTGATGCTAAAGAGGAAGAGAGTGAGCTACAAAAGGCCTTTCGGGATTATGAAAACCAGGAAGACGATGATGAATCCGATGAGGAAGACTATGATCCTGGCAATGAGGGTGAGAGTGAAGGGAGTGGTCCAAGTAGTGATGAGGAAGACGACGACGACGACGAGGAGGAGGAGGACGACGACGATCAAGATGATCAAGAAGATTAAGACGAAGATCCTGATTTCAATGCAGGTGCTGCTGAGGATCTCACCAAGAGAGAGGGCATTCCTGATGACGACCTCGGGAGTAGGTCGCATTTTGGCACCATGTACTTTATACTTTAAGGCCTATTTACCGAGTATGTGACCAGTGCTGATTCCTCATTGGTCTTGGAATTTTAACACGTCAGATACTTGATGCATTGTTCCATGATCACTTCCCTTTCACACCGTATCTGCGCTACCCAATTGGCCTTGTGGGTCGTGGACGTGTCAATTCGGTAGGGGTAATCTCTCCGCCTTGATGAGTGCAGCTGTCAATTGAGATGCATTACTTGGAACGGAGTATGCCATACTCCGTATACTATACATATTACTGCAGCATCCTGGCAGAGTGAAGTCAAACAATATCCTCAATCTATGATTTGCTCGGGTAGATTAATGATATAGGCCTCCAGGGCTATAGCTTTAACCTTGGAAATATTCAACCTTTCCCTGCTCTTATGGATATGTGCTCCGGATGCCAAGACCGTAATCTTACCGCTTGATTAAGCGCATTCCAGACTGAGTCCAGACAACCGAGAAAAACCCCCTGAGAGCGGTAAAGAAATAAAAAAAAAAAGAAAAAAGAAAATTAAATAAATAAATTAGAAAAAATATATCAAATAAAATAAAAATATCAAAAATATCAAACCAATTCAAATTAATTCAAGAGGGGTTAAAATCCCGCTAGATCTGTACCTAGGTAATCTCACAGGGTATCTCGAGTCCACACTATACCAGCCACCCCGTTAGAACCCGATAATAGGTGCCCAGATGCCCAGATGCCCAGATGCTCTTTTCAACCTTCACCCGTACTCCATAGTGCCTGCAGGATCTGTGACGCAGGGAAGCGCCAGCAATACACCGGACAATCAGGTACCCAGTTTGCTCAATTGGGTGTTTCACGGGTACTAAGTGAAGCAACTAGTGTTCTACTAGGTCAAATCATGATTTTACACATATTTATCTGCTAGAAAATCAAGTTTTTTTTTATTCTGAATCCCAACTTCAAGACTGGGTTGTTTAGTCCACCTGAGTAGAGTCCAGCTAGTAGTTGAGTGGTATCCGGCAGACAGAGAGAGAGAACCCTCACCTAACGCTCCGTCCGTCACATTGGTATGGATCATTACAAGCCGGTGACCGCCAAATCTCTCAATTGCAGGCGCTAAAACCCGCGCTGTTCACCCGTCTACCCGTACCAAATACACGGCCAATACCCTCCGCTCCCTTTCTCTCAACTTCTCCCTCTCTTCTCTTCTTCCCATCACAAAACCCCCCTTCCCCTAACCCTGCTCCTCCTCCCAGTGCGGCTCGTACTCGACAGCGAGTACCCCGGGTGCTCGGTTCCTCTTAACTGCCTTCGTTGCTCTCAGCGTTGTGCCCCTTTCGAGTCTCGCCACCGTATCTGCGCTCAGTCCGACTGGATTCGCCCCCAGTCCGCCGTTGCCCCGTCTAAATCTCCAAAATTTATCAAGTCTCTCCAATTCCTGTCTCCGGTTCTTCAATTCTATTCACTCCACCACCACCACGGTTGCAAAACTTCTCCGTCGTCACGTTGACCTCCTTTTTAACGACCCCCCTCGGTAAATCTGACACTCCGCAAATCGGTGCCATTGACGGAGCTGTGCATCCATTGAGGTGATCGGGATCGTTTTTGGTTGGAGATCAGGTGTCCCTGCAGGGTATGTTGGACTACTATAGCCCCGTCGTGTGCTTCCATGTTGTGCATCCTGTTCGACCTCATACTGACTGCGGTTTACAGTGTTCAGTCACGTGTCTTCCTTATTGAGATCAACCCCGTGATTGGAAGTTCGGATTTCTGATCGCAACATTTTCATTCCGCATACATGGCGTCTTCTTCATCGAACGTAGTGGGTGTCCACTACCGCGTGGGCAAGAAGATCGGAGAGGGTTCTTTTGGTGTTATTTTCGAGGGTACCAACCTTCTCAACAACCAGCAGGTGGCTATCAAATTCGTGCGTCTCTTCCCGCCTATTGAATGAATTGGAAGGAAATGGCATTGGACTGACCCGGAACAGGAACCCCGAAAGAGTGACGCTCCTCAGCTGCGTGATGAGTACCGAACCTACAAGATCTTGGTCGGATGCCGTAAGTCCGCGGAAAGGATTATATCTTGCTCTGATGTTCTGAACTAACTTTGTCGTCCTGCAGCTGGTATTCCCAACGTCTACTATTTCGGCCAGGAGGGTCTGCACAACATTCTTGTGATTGATCTTCTCGGTCCTAGTTTGGAGGATCTTTTCGATCACTGCAATCGCCGATTCTCTACCAAGACGGTGGTGATGGTTGCCAAGCAAATGGTATGACTATAACCTGTGACTCTCTGTCACTGCCTAACTTGGTTGCTAACTTTGTTTTTTTTTACCTTCTGTTTAGCTCTCTCGAGTGCAAACAATCCACGAGAAGAACTTGATTTACCGCGATATCAAGCCCGACAACTTCCTCATTGGCCGACCCTCTACCAAGGCTGCCAATGTCATCCACGTCGTTGACTTCGGTATGGCCAAGCAATACCGCGATCCCAAGACAAAGCAACACATTCCATACCGCGAGCGAAAGTCTCTGTCCGGTACTGCTCGGTACATGTCTATCAACACACATTTAGGCCGTGAGCAGTCCCGACGTGATGATTTGGAGGCATTGGGTCACGTCTTTATGTACTTCTTGCGAGGTGGTCTCCCCTGGCAAGGATTGAAGGCTGCCACCAACAAGCAAAAATACGAGAAGATTGGTGAGAAGAAACAGACAACTGCGATCAAGGATCTGTGTGATGGCTACCCAGGTATGTTTACCCTGCAATTCTTACTTTTCTCTTCGGAGATATCCAGGAATCTTACTGATCTCACCTCTTAGAAGAGTTTAACAAGTACTTGAGCTACGTGCGCAACCTTGGATTCGAGGACACCCCTGACTATGACTATCTTCGTGATCTGTTGACCCAGGCCCTGAAGAATGCTGGTGAAGTGGAAGATGGCGAGTACGACTGGATGAAGCTTAACAATGGCCGAGGATGGGATTATAAGTCTTATTCGACACAGCCTCACCTCCACAACCAGCACCAGGGTTCCTCAGGCCGTGACCTTCACGCCAGTCAGATGCGCAGCCACCAACGGCCCGGAGTCACAGCGGATCGTTTAAACGCCGCGCAGCCTCCCCCTCCTTCTCCAGCGAAGCCTGGAGTCGGGAAGGCACGCGGCGAGCGCCAAAGCGGCGGAGGCGGCATGCCACCCCAGAAACGCCAAAGCGCAGGTCTTGATGCCGGCACTCCCGCTGGATCGACCACCGCCCAGTTCCAGAACTCTAATGCCCATCTCCCTGGCCGCATGGGAAGCCCTGGTACTCCTGGCTTGGGTAACCAGCAAGCTGGTGTGCAAGGAAACAATGACCCGCAGCCTACTTTTGTCCAGAAAGTCATGAAGGCTTTGTGCTGCGGTAGGTGATCTACTCCTCCCTGTGGTCCTCTCCGGCTACGTTACGCTCGCTCATCTTCGAGCTCCAGGTTGAACTCGACTTGATAGCAGCTGAACGTTGCTGGATTAAAACCTTGTCCTGGATTCTGCTTCCATCTGCCCGCAACGCTCGGATGATGCCGAAGAATATAACACAAAATACTCGACATGGGACTGTTTGTCTAGTTTCCTTTGTCTAGACTTATGATGGGGGCTGTTGGTTAGCTTGATGTCTCTTCCTTTGCATTCTGGTTCGGCATTAAGCTTAAAACTCCCCCTTTCTGACCTCTTCTCGACACTCCTTCCTCCCATTCGATGCTTCAGCCTTCCATTCGTCTGTGGGTAATATCAAACGGCCTATTACTCATTGATGCTCACGTCTTCATCGCTCTTTCGCTTTTTTCTTCTTCTTTCTTCATGGTGCTATGGCTGGGAACGGCGAACTTTTTGAGAGATTTTTTTTTTCTTGCCTTATGTTGTCCATTTTGCATACACATCACACTATATTCGGCGTTCACCGTCTAATACCAAATCCTCATTGCAATGAGCGAGCGGATTCAGGGGTTGATGCTTAAAGTTGGACTTTTCCCTTCCATCTTCCGTCTGCTGTTTCGGAGGACCTTTTTTAGATTAGGGAATCTCGTCAGATCATTCTTTGCCTGTGGTTGAGGAAATTGTTTGCTTTTCTTGCTACGCTCGATCCAGGCAATCGATGGTCAATTATACGACGGGGCGACGGTGAAGACTCTTGATCTGGTCTCGGAGTCTTCTACTGTGAGTTTTTTTTTCTCCTGGGAGCCACCTTAATTTCCAGTTGACCCTGTCCTTTTGGAACAGAATTAACTGTGGCATATCCTTGCCTCTGTGGATTCTCTTTCTTAAGCTGTCTTTCATGACTTGACCCTCGTTCCTCTCCGCCACTGGGCTGTGCACTTACCTGGCCATGCACGCCCATTTTGCCTTTCGGACGGAACGCCGCATGCATATATTCCTTTGGTCCTCCGATTCCCCATTTCCTGTTGTGTCTGATTGTTTTACATCCCCTTTCGAATCTATTGCCCGTGTCTATAATTGTCTCTTGTTGCTCTTGCTCTGTTCCAGAAGCGAGTTTTTTTTCTTTTTCTTTTTCTTGTTTTCTTGTTTCCGGTAGTTTCTGTTGGCATAAGATAGCATTGTTTGTGTTTCTACCCCCTCCTTTCTTTGGTTCTCAAATGCTTCCACCTGGAGCTACTACGCGTCTCAGTGGCGTACATAATTCTGCTTTTCGCAGGCAACTAATACATCGGCGTGGTCATTTCGAGTGCTCTGTAGATGTAGCTGGAACTCGTAACCTTAAGACCTGTATCGCGACCTCCACCAGATGACACCAATCCACACCATGTGTGTCTCAATTTCCATGCAAACTCCCGCGTGGCAGTTTCTAAGAATTCTGAATTGGATCTCCTTATGTTAGACCTTGACGTAGATGTCTTTCTATCAAAGTTGAAGTGGCGAATACACGAACAGTATCACATCCTATCAACCCCGCCATCGTCATCGTTGACAAGCACTCAACTCAATCAGGAGGTTGTGGCTCAATACACTAAGCACACGACAATGAAACAACCTTGGAACTCATCGTCCAATCACTCTTATCCCCAGTCACACCTACAAGGAAGGGGATATACCACTGCAACGGATGTGATACGTCACCAGCCTGAGGTATTCAAATAGTGTACGGACGATCATACCTTAGTACGTCCATGTATACATCCAGCGTATGTACGTGAACATGCGTGTACTCTGTACCTTGATTTCTTATTGCCACTCCCATAAGAAGCTCAAGTGTTAACCGGCCGTAGTTCCCTAGCAGTATCTAAGAATCTGTATGGATGGGTAGCTGGAGCTTGTTCGCTATAACAAGTTGATGGAGGATAATTTCAAAACTGAGGGCTCACTGAACATTTCAACATTTGAAGTTACCTGTCACCTGGGAAGCCTTGACATACACTGTGCCTACTACACATGTGTAGTAGTTGAGAGAGTACCTGATAAGGGATGGAAAATGCCATGTACTACATAGGTCCAGACTCTAGGGTGTAGTATGGAAGGGGGGGTTTTCAGTGATAAAGGTGATGATATCCACGGGTGTACACCTGCCCAGGTGGTCTCAACAATAGTAGGCTTCGCATACCCGCAATGTAAATCTTAGCTACACCAAAGACTGCTCCGGCCTTCTATGGTTGGTGATACTAGAGATGTAGACATATATACGATGGGACGTGAAGCATGGAAGGTGAAGGCGATATATCACCTAGTCTCACCAGGTAGGAACGTCAGATTTGATACTATTAACATTGAGTATTTCTTCAAAAGAGGGTTCATCAAGGAGTAAAATGCGCTGCAAATACAAAGGGCAAAAAGCTTGAAGTATGAGGTAGTATAAACAGCGTTCAAAAACCACGTATGGGATGGTGCTGTGAGAATCCGAGGAATATGACGCGACCTGACGAACAGCCGAGCGCCAAATTGTTTCCAGATATAGAAAAGTTAGATCGTGCATTTCCAGATGTAGAAAAACTAGCGCGTCCTGGTTGATATTCTGGAGGCAGCCACAGGCAGCTGACTCCCTCATCGGTTACCCAGGAATGGTCATGATTCAAGGCATATTGTTGTGGTAAAGGGGCTGGGCAACGAGATGTTGCTGTGATCGGGTCGGGGGTTTCTACCGTAGATGAACTGACTGTCACTTTATCAAATTCAATAAATTCAGAGGAACTGATATCAAGGGTTGATTCGCACTGGCCAGTAGCTGGATTCCAGATCCTGGCGGTTTTATCGCGGTACGAACTCGATGCGATTTGGCTTCCATCTGGAGACCAGATCATCGCGGCAATGGTCTTGCCACTATGCCCCTCAAGTGTTGATATACACTGGCCGGTGGTCGGATTCCAGATTCCGATGGTACCGTCAGAGCACCCTGCTGCAATTTGGCTTCCATCATATGACCAAGTAACTGAATCTACAAAGCGATTATGTCCCTCAAGTGTTGATATACACTGGCCAGTGGCTGGATCCCAGATCCTAACAGTGGTATCATAGTGTTGTGCCACTGATGCCAGTTTGGTTCTGTCTTGTGACCAGACAATTGACTGGATCTGGTCTCTATGCCCCTCGAGTGTTGATGTGCGCTGGCTGATAGCTGGATCCCATATCCTGATGGTACCATCGGAGGACCCTGATGCTAATCGGCTTCCATCGGGTGACCAAGCAATTGAAGGCACATGGCCATTATGCCCCTTGAGTGTTGAAACACATTCACCAGTGGCCGAGTCAAATACCATGGTACTCGAAGCTTGGTCAGAGCCTAGTGCGAATTGGCTCTTGTCTTGCGACCAGGCAATTGAACCTGAAATGACTAGACCAAAATAGCCCCTGACTGCTAATATGCGTTTTCTGGTGATAGGATCCCAGATCATAATAGTCCTATCGTAAGAAGTCAGGCTACTTAGACATGGTACAGCGGACCATGCTATCAGTCGGCTTCCATCTTGTGACCAGGTAGCTGACATGACTGGGGTGATATGCCCCTTCAGTACTGACACTCGCTTTTTAGTGGCAATATCCCAGATTCTAATGTTGTTATCAAACTTGGACCCTACTCCAAGCTGGCTTCCATCCGGTGACAAGGAAATCATGGATATTGGCGCTTCCTCCTTTCCCCGAATGAAGAATATCACCTGGCCAGTGGATACATCCCAGACCCTGATATCACTATCAAAAGACCCAGATGTAAATCGTCTACCATCTTGGGATAGGAAATGTAGACGATTCCAGCGCTTCTTCCCCTTGATATTTAACACAGACTGGCCAGTGGCTGGATTCCAAGTTCTGACTTGGACTCGGACTCTGTCACTCACGGAAACTGATATGAGTCGGCTTCCATCTTTCAACCAGGCAATTTCGTCAATGATTCCATCGTCACTGTTTTCTTTAGATTTTGATATGCAATGACCAGTGACTGGATCCCAGATCCTGATAACACCGTCATAGGACCCAGATGCCAATTGGCTTCCATCATGCGACCAAGAAACCGATGAGACCTCCCGGCACCCATCACTAGAGTCCTCGAGAATCTGAAGGCATGAATTCCAATCCTCTCCTACCACCGGCTCGGTCAACGCCCAATCGGGTCTCTCCATTTGATAACATATTCTCGTGAGGCTCCGTGTAGGGGTAAAGATGAGGCAGTTGTATACTTGGAGTGGACTCCTTTCGATTGCTGGCCTATGGTATCGAATGAATCTGGAGGCATCTCGGACCCGATTCAATGGGACATTTGGCTCACACTTTCTTTGCTATAATAATTCCTTTGTCAGATATGGAGATTTAATTACATATAGATAAGTCAAGACTCCGGGGCTTACCTGAAGTAAACTCTCTAGCTTTAGTATCGCACTTATACCTTGAGTTAGGCATCCAAATATGACCAGTGCTTCGATCCAGTGAAGGTACTTCTGCTGGAGGAAGACATCCACAGATCCACGTTCACCAAGACAAGCAATAGCCTCTATATCACATATTCCATCTTTCAAGTGATCAACCCAATAGATACAAGCATACTCCGCGGCGGCCAATGGATCAGGACTGGGTTTTTTGACCTGGTGAACTGGCAGTCCGGGAGCCTTGATGTCGTATATATCTCGTCGAAAAGTGTTAGGAAAATTAATTGTAAAGAGTGGGTGAAGGTTGCATGATGTGCAGCCTCTATACCTCTAGGAAAGATCTCGATGGAGATCTTTAAGAAGTCTTGCGCAGACTGATGAATGAATCGAATGTTCTCGTCGCGCTGCATCAAAAACGAGCCACAGAGTCTGATTATCTCTAAGAGATCTTCATCTTGATCAAAAGGTTCATCCAGAAATACCTTCAACTCCTTCAAAGTAAGAGGTCGGTATGCTATCGAGACAATAGCCAGTACCCGCATACAAAGCCCAGCATCTGTCTTATCCAAATGACCAATCTGATCTATCATCCGACCATATAGCGTATTGAGCCCAGGAGGAAATGTCTTCAGTTTGTTGGGAGTGTGCTGTCGTGAAATCTTTGTAAGTTCCTCACAGACCAAGGCTACCCAAAGAAAAGTGCCTTCTGAGTTTAATGAGAGATATTGGCAGACACTATCCCGAAGAGCTTCATCATATTTCTTGACTTTGGCTAACTGATTAACCTTATGCCAAATGAAAATGTTCACAGCTTCGGAAACACATCTCTCGTTGAGCTCCAACGAGATCGGAGCTGCCTGGGTTGCAGTCTCAAGGTATTCTTCGATTTCAGGCCAGTTACGGCTTGAGACAATCCATCTCACATTTTGAAAGAGAGGCGAATCCTGGATAATCAACCCGAGAAGATAAGGCAGGTATGTTTTGCATTCATCGAGTGCATCGATAATTAGATAGGTCACGGTGTTCTGCAAGCTCGGATCTTTCATGATGTCGTTGAACATCCTTGAGACAGCATGCCATGCATTTATGTCCTCAAAGATCTTCTTGCCCACTTGATCATAGTGATTTCGAACATGGGAGAGCAGATGTCGCTGCTTTCCGACTAGTGAATATATCAAGCCCCGGATGACAGCTGTGGCAGTATTGATTCGACTGTCTGCAGCTTGGCAAAAGAAGAATGCGATGTTCGCAGCCTTCCCAGTGCTCATGGTATACGCAGTCGATCTGGTCAATTCATCAATAATCCCACATAGGAGCATTGTCTTGCCCTTGCCAGGATCACCTTTGACCCAGAGGAGCCGGCCGTCTTGATCATTCTGCCATCTTTTAAACTCTTCGTTGTTTAGAATCCAGCGATATGAGTCTTCAAGTAGTCCACCTTTGGCTTGCTCAATTCGCTTTTTGTCGTCATTTGGATCGGTCGTCCGGATATCTCGTAAACACGCTTCATTCCGTGATATATCTGATAATACAGTGATCCGGTCTTGATTAATAGGTTGTTCCACTGCAGTTGAATTTCATTAGTACTTACGTGAGTGAAAGTTGACAGAGACATGGCCGCGATTCTCAGCTATCTGAGTACCATTGTTTGTCCCTGTAAACGTAGCCGATGTCATGATAGATTTAGGATGGCATGTGTTGGACAGAGCAAATTTTCAGGATGAGATGAATTGCATTGCCAGTAAACCCCGCCCTCACGTGGCGCTTAGGAAGGAAAAGACCTTGGTCCAGTTCATTTCGCGCTATAATTAGTGTGACGCATCTATCCGTAGTTGGTCTTAGAATACGATGTTCTGTCTGATAAAACCTGTCTCAACTTCATTATTGATCTATGAAAAGTACACCAGTTGACTCTGATATTACATCGCTCTTATATTATATCACTCTTGTATTACCATATCAGCGTGGTATTATGAATATCTTTTTCCTCTTAAATCAGAGGGATTCAGTACCCATTAACCGCTAGCAACTTGCTTATGGGAGCGCAAAAGTATCTCACTTTGGCCCCATTCCCATTTTTAACTACAATTATCCCCCTAGATACCCCTAGGTATGATATAAATTCTGGAAGGGATAAAAATTGATAGAGATTGAACATCCTATAATTATTTACTCAAAAATTCTTGGTTCCATTTATCTACAATGCTATCGTTGCTCAAAGGGAGAGGAAATTGGAAACAATGCAATTCTACTAGTAAAGGCCAGGGGCGCCCCCGCCTGGGCGCCTATAATTAAGAAAACTAGTGACAACATCTAATCCTACTTTAGATGCGAACACTAGAAACTTGAATAATGAATGCCTCAAAATGGGAAGTTTTGACTTCACTTTTATATCCCATTTCTCTATATAAAATTTAAAGTTTACCACCATATATGATGTTCCAAAGTTAAGTGCCGATAAGAATCAAGCCTCGTATACTAATAAATCCAGATAATTTGTATGAAAAAGATGCTAAACCCCATCTAGAACCTTGGAAAGATTCTCCTGAGTTTAAGGAATTTTCAATGGTGTTGGGACCAAGGTCATCTCTCATATAGATCTCACCTTCCACCACACTACAACAAGTCTACAACACACCCGGGGACATTTCCACATAGCACATTCCATCAATTCATCAGGTCCTCTCTTGAATTGATTTTCAATGAGTTTTATTTAAATAAAATGATTGAGATATCCTACTTTGAAGGCTTTAAAATATTAGGGTCCGACTTTTGAATACTTACTCCAGTATGGGGCTCATCTTGTGAGCTAAGGGGCTGTGGTGGAAATGCCAGGATCCTTTGTGGCTACTAGTGCAACGCGCTACTATGGTATTTCGTCACATCTTCTCCGTGCAACTAGTAGCACTTTAGTCTAATAAATCGACGATCTACCATACCTAGTAGGTAAGTACCAAAGTACTCAAGTACTCAAGCACTCAAGTACCTAGCAGAATTACTGTACAACCATATGTAAAAGTCAAAACCCAAACTCCCCGGTACGAAAGCCTAGTAATAGTTCCAGAGCTTCTCTATGGCCGGGGAGGAACATTGGATCAAGAATTAACTCACAGGGATACAGGATCCTTTCTTCTATTCCGAATCCGTCACACCCCTATTCAACCTTGGAAGTGTTATAATAGATCAATCCATAATTAATAGTATTCTCTTAGTCATAGCTGAACTTACCTAGGTAGTTAACTTGTATGTAATAGCAACTAGTAGAGTGTTAATAGTTACTCCTTCCGGAATTCTACACTCTATCATTTCAGTCTAATATCATACTATCCTCGACTTTATCATCCTGATTCCTCATTCTTTGCCATTCCTCCCGCATTGACTTTCCCATCTGACCATTCACGTTTCCCTCCCCCCGCATCTACCATGCGGTGGTGCTTCTTGGCCTTCTTGGCGCTGCGGACTGAGATTCTGATTAGTTAGCCCCAGGCAGAGACATTTTTTGACCCTGCACGGAGCACGGAGTATGGCTTGATGATCGTCGTGGCTGTGTGGATTGTGTCGGGTTGTTGCAGAGATCGACTTGATTTTTGTTCTTTCGCGTGGATCAAACCACGTTAAGTTGAGAATTAAACCCATGTTAGAACTTGCATTTTACAATTAATTATTTCTTTTGTTTCACTAAATTTTTTTTTTCTGATCGTTGTTCTGTATTACAGCATTTGGTGTCCATGGGTTCTATGTTCCGTATGGGGTACTTGGTACCGAGTACATCGAGGCTATCAAGTAGAGCTCTGCTCGGACCGCTCGGGTGCATGTAGATCCTTTTGAAAGTCATCCTAGCATGGGTTAAACATTTGAAGGAATGTTGTCGATCCAATTATTTTATGTCTATAGCTCGATGTGATGGGTCAGAGTCCCTTGTGCTTGCATTGAAAGCTTTAGCTACTGCTGCATTAAGTTTCTAGGTTCAAGTTCAAGTTCTCTATGCAATAACACCAGACCTAAAGCAGATAGTAAGGCTTGGGCATGTGCAGATGCATACATAGTCGGAGGCAACCTATAACGGGCAATCTTTGACTCAAGTATTGGTTCAGATGTTAGTGTCCGTATATGCTAACGTGGAAGTGATAATGTTATTGTTTCTGGTAGATACAATCGGTCACACGACTCGATCTCAAAGAGGAATTCTTATTTCCATCTCTGGACATGAACCTTGGAATTCTATTTAGGCTGATATGCATTGGTCTTATCTACTAGTAGTAGTAGTAGTGCCCATGGTCACTTGCCGCTGTCAGCACTTGAGGATAGTACCATGGATTTAACCATTGTCTATGATTTCATACTCACTCTAAAAATCAAAGTTCCAATCAAAGTTCTAGACCAATCTTTACTTGAAACAGAATGCCAAAATAAATAAGCAAAAGCAAACCGACGCCATTGACACCGACGTCCATGTCTAGATGCGACCAGTTACTAGTTTTATGTCTAGAATCCCACCATAAGCACTTGAGAAAACTCAGTGCTTCATCCGAAATCGAACATGCCACCGAACCAAACAAAACATTGGCGCATAAAGACCTCCGCACCACTTGAGAGCTTACTGGTTTAGAATCCCGTTAACTCGGTCGGCTATACACACCCATCCAATAAGAGTCAAATGATATGCCGCCACGACGTACTAATTCAATATAGACCAGGTGACCATGAAGTTTCCGCCGATGAAAGTCCATTCCGCCTGAACCAATCATAGCAGAATGGGATATGCACCTCACTTTTGGTTGCCCTTTGTACGAGTACGGAGTAAAGAGGAAGTAACATTGTGCGGAGTACGGAACAAAATTGCCTAGTGGGGTCACGTCTGTCACGTCTGTCAACCTGTCACTATTTCCCGAGATCCCTGAATAACCTCCAACTCATCGCCACTAGTTTCTTTTTTTTCCCTCCCCGTGGCACCTGGAACATTCCCCATGACTATCTCACCCACTAGTGTATCCCCGGTGGCTCAGCCGTGGCACGCGGTATATCCCGATCCGAAATCAACCGCTCCGTCTATCTCCCGCGCGGAGGTCTTGAATTGGTTTCGGGAGGGTAAACGAGCCGGACGGGATTTTGTCCTTGTGGATCTTAGACGGACAGATTCTGAGGTAAGTTTAACCTATGATCATACCATCATGTACTTAGTACTAGTAATCTTCTATTTGTTTGGATATTATGATAGTATTCGTATCTAGTAGCTGACCATGTTACGCAGGGTGGAACCATCTATGGCTCATTGAATCTCCCAGCACAAACTATCTTTTCTTCTTTACCAACATTGTATACCCTTCTCTCGGGTGGCGATGTTAAACAAGTAGTTTGGTACTGCGGTATGTCGGCTCCGATTTCGTTCCTGACTTGATTTTAGCTTGGCTTGGCTTCTTTGGGTTAGTCATGGCTGATGGCTTTTTTTTGTATAGGCTCATGCGGAGGACGCGGCACTCGTGCGGCCGCTTGGTTTGCGGATTACTTGGAAAAGAAGCAGGACTCGTCGATGCAGAGTTTGGTGCTTGAGGGTGGCATTAAGGGCTGGGTCGCCTCCGGAACGGATTACACCGAGTGGATGGATGAGTATGATGCTACTGTCTGGGCGAGGAAGTAGATGTAGTTCAAGTTGATCTGGTACCGTATAGATGATCAGTTGAATCTCTATACCACGGTCCACCTGGCAGTTGATCCAGGTTATGCTGAGTCTGGTAATAGATCTATATTAGGTTCAACCAGACTACTCTAGAGACGTTAGAGCTGACATTCAACATGTTGAATTGAATGAAGAAGATATGAAGTTTTCATCAGACGATACAAACGTTCAAGATTGTCTAACTCATCTGATATCAGTATGGATTAGTCTACTCTGGAGTCTGTACCCACAATTTTGAGATGAAAAATTACATAACATACAAAACATGACGCTCCACTTCGGGCATACATAATTCCATGTTTATCTCACTTCCAAGGTTGGTATTAAGGCGTAGATCTCGATCAGGAAAATCCTCAATAATTAACCTGAAACAAAATCCATCATCCCAGCGGCTATGTAAATCATTTGAGAAGCTGTTCAGGGGCCAGATTCATCCGGTATAGGAGACTATCAACGCTAACGCTAAAGAGATACCTCGCCGGCCCGTCCGACACTAGCGTAGGTACCGTGTGAGCATCGTTTCGGAATCGGCCGTTGAAATGGAATGATATGATCAGAGTGAATAGTCCAGCGCTAGCTTTGTTCAGATTGATCCTATTAGCGTAGATCCATGTCTCACCTGAATCATGATGCTTTTACTCCGTACTCTCAGCTACTTGTGTATCAGTCTATTCTTATGAGAGCGTATCGCTCGTGGCTTAGGTTAAGTTGATCAATTGTTTCAAATTCAACATTTGGAATAGTCAATGTTTGAATCAGGTTATTTTTATGGAGATTGGAATTGTAGAACTTGTTTTTAGTATCTACTGTACTCCGTACGGATTAGTTTATGTTGAAATCTCTGATGGAGCTAGAGTTACATAGTGGAGACTGAATAACAAAACCAGACATTGTTAAGTATTTGCGCACGCTTTCTTCTCTATACAGCCCCCCTTGTAGGTGTATTCATAGTCAAATTAATACTAGTCCGAGTCCGAGTCCTCACATGTGCACTAATACTGTGACGATAAGAATCCTCAAGTAATGTTATGTACTATGCTAAGCCGCGTTTCAAGTAGCGCCGCTCCACAAGATCCCACGATCGTGAAACAAATCGGGAGAATCCAATCCTTCTTTTTTATTTTCCATTTAGTCCATACTTCAATAGTTCTTTCTCTTCTTCTTCTCTCTTAATTAGTCCCATCCAAAATCAAGATTTTGACCAATTAGTGGGTCAATGAGGTCATTCGCGGCTTCTGCCGTCTCCGTTTGATCGACTTGGGGAAGAAGTTCTGGACGCGGGAAGGGGAAGATTATGGTGGAGTGTGGGAAATTCTGGACTTTCCGTTTGATGTGCCGTGGTGGGGTGGTGATCTATCTTGTTTTTTCTTTTTCTTTCCTTGGCTGAATTTATTTGGTTGCTTGATTCACTTTGAGGATTTTCATTCTATTTTTTGAGATCAGGATCGATCGGTAAAAGTCATTACCGTGCTGCACGTCATCTGGGGATGTTGTGATGCCTTCAATTTGGAATGTTGGGATGACGATTTAATGTTAGGGTCTTTTAAAAGATTAAATATTAGTCAATTGAAATAGTACTACCTAGATAATCATTATGTAAATTCTAGTACTGTGTGAAAAAAGTTATACGTGTCCAGTAGTTTCCCGGACACTTCTCCGGAGGTCACCATTGATAGGAAAATCGACCATACATCCCCAGCACTTGAGATGTCCGCAATCCACAGTATGCACACCTGGCATGAATGTACATGCGTAGTAATCAATAGTAAAAGTGTACCAAAGAAAAACATCAGCAAACCCGCGTCTAGTAGGTAAGTAGACGGGAAACTCCGCCAAAATCCCAATCGGCTCTCGCCAACCTAGATAGAAATAGGAATGGCCACGGAGCTGGTTGCCAATCCCCCACGCCAATCCATGTCCACATCGAGTGCATTGCATACCCCGTACTCCGTACAGCCACTAGAAGGACACGAGACCTTATGGAAGGGAAAGGAGGAAGGGGTCAATGCACAAGCTCGCCAATTTTGGCCTTAGCCCCTTGGCCCCGATTTCACTTAGCGCTATTGATGTGCTCGGCATACACCGTATGAAATTCATTTGATTTCGAATTACAACTTGAACCCTGGGTCTACTCTAATCTTTTTCAAATGCTCTCTTTGGCTTCTCCACGAGAATATACAGAGTACACGTGCGCTACTTCTTTGCCGACGGCGCTTCTAGATGAACTTCTAAAGCCCCACGATGTAAACTGACCAGCCAGGTAAAGCGGCATGAACCCGTGCGCACGATGTGGGGAATCCTTGCTGCTGCCGAGGTCTTAGGGTCGGGGAAATTGTGGATACGGGGGAAGTTGAATGGTTCATTTGGATCAGTTTGGGTAAGCAAACGACAGGTGAACTCCGAGTTGACACTAAGGTGCATGGGGTTGGATTGGTTGTATAATCTATGGAATGCTGGACCATGAGCTTTTTGAAGTGCATGGTGCAGGACGGAGGACGGAGGACCGGTTTATCTTCGAGGTCGGGATGGAGTTCTGCATAGCTGGACTGAATGTGCATGCAGAAGCAGAAGCAGAAGCAGAAGCAGAAGCAGAAGCAGAAGCACTTGAGCTCATGTACATTCCAAGCGTACTATTAGTAAGTGCAGGTACTGTAGTTAAGATCGTTATAAACATTTGAAAGGGACCACTTGGGGTATTTTTGGATTTAGTGTATTATGTACTCCAAACATATTCTTTTTTCTATCTTTGGTTCCTCCAGTAAACTGCTTAGAGGGTATCGAAGACTTGGGATTGGTTCAACTCCTGCAGCTAGACCCAGACTATAAAGCTCTTTGCAGATTAAGACTAAGAATTGAAGAACATTCGAGTCTCCAAGTCCTAGGTTCATGTCGCATGTCACGCTACCTTTCACTGAGATCCGATACAGTTCTGCAGCTTCATCCCCTTAACCTTATCATACTAACTTGAACAAGATAACTTGAAATCACTTCTAGGGTTATTATCATTATCACATTTATCACTCCGCTGTCGGCGTGTTCTTATCGGTCTGACTCAGTGTGGATACATTATTGGAGCCTCGTTCTCTATTGGGCTCCATTGGGCCCATTCAAATGTTCTTGGCACTCGGTTTCTGTCGGGGGACCGGACTTAGACAGGTGGTCCGAGGGTTATATTGCAGGGGTATTACAGTAGTGTTGTGTTATAGTACTTAGGTAGAATCCGGTGAACTATTATGAATGTAGTAAATGGTTCAGTGGCAAGTGACAAACTTTAGTAGTATTCAGGTACGAAAAGGTGAAGAAAAAAAAATAAAATAATATATATGATGAATACATAATAAGGTGGCAAAAAAGAAAAAGTAAAGTGCTTCGGTGGAAATTCTAGAATTCTAGAAGGGTCCCATGGTAACGTCGTATTGGAAATTTTCGTTTTCTGATTTCTTTTTCTACCTCCAGGGTAATTCAAATGTTCCTATGATTTCTTATTCTCATTTTTTATTTTCATTTTTTTTTTACTGATTTTTTCTTTGTTTCTTTTGCCCCAGAGAGGCTTGAGTGTCGTTTTCATTCTCCATTCTTACTTCTTCATTGCCCTTTTATCGAGATTGAAGAATATCACCATATGTGACTTGAATGTATCTTGCCACTATCATAAAGCTTGACCAACATTCAATTGAATTGGCCTAGTTTTGAATGAAATGACGTGCCCTTCCATACGCAAGGGGGGATGTGCGTGTCACTAAAACACTCCATCCTTCCCACTTCCCTTGTTATAATTGGTGTAATTATCCATGTTGAACCGTGGGTCTCATAGACACCATTCCGAGACCGGATAATGCCGTGCTAGTGTCTGCGTTGGACATCGTGGGCCCATTCAGGCTGGGGATTGGTACATATCATACAGCGATAGTCATATCTACAGGGATGCCTAGGTACTCCCCTAGTAAAAATGTGGTAAATATGTACTTGATGTACAAATTAATAGGGGATGAGGCATATCCACGAGGAAATAACCACGCGGTAAGATGTACACGCACGACCTCCCCTTACATGAAGAATGTTCCAGCTGTACTCTGCAGATGTACATTTATTATCTCTCTCTCCTCGTGTACTCTGTACTCTGTACTCATTCTCATTATGTCAATGCTAATCATTACAGTAAATACCATACAATACAGGGGTCGCCACATCAATCTCCACTTGGGCGCTCAATCCAGTCAATAGTCACTATCATTTGATGATTTTTTTCTCTTTTTTTTTTTTAATTATTGATTTTTATTCTAATTTTATTTAATTACCAGTATCGTCATGATCGACCCAGAATCATTCCAGAAGTGCGAGTGGAGCCTGGCTTTTTTCCCTTTATTTTCCCTGGAGCGCCCTTGGAAACTTAGAAGGTTCGATATTACTACAATCTCCCTTCTCTCCTCATTCTCGAACTTCCACTCTATGCCATTCCAACTTTCTCCCTCCCCCCCAATAACATCCTCTTCTCTCCGGTCCAAGCTGGAGTCCCGTCCAGCACTTAGGGGAGGGCCGGTGAGAAAACGACGGTTCCCAAAACCCCGCCGAACATTGTCCGCAATGCTGAAGAAGAAGTCCTTGGCGCCTGCCTTCTTCTGGAACTTCTCCCCTACCACTACTCCAGAATTATCTCCCACTTCCTCCGATAGTGACTCCGACGAGGATATGGAATCCTCTGGCTCCCGACCGGTCAGCTTGGCCGTCTCGGCGGGAGCCTTCTGTCTTATGCGCCCGACGCTTGATGATGTCCTGGCAAACACCGCCCCACCGCCATATACTTTAAGTGCCTTCATGGCCTACCTTTCTCAGAACCATTGTCTCGAGACTCTCGAATTCACCCTTGAGGCCAAACGATACAGGGAAACATATACTGCGGTGGTCGAACGACTCGGGGAAACAGCGGTCACTACCGATTCGCCAGAGAGTCAGCACTTATTAATGCTCTGGCAGCGGTTATTGATGGCTTACATCTACCCCGGCGCGCCCCGTGAGATCAATCTCTCCAGTGAAGTCCGGGATCCGCTGTTCGACTACCGAGACGCCTCGATCCCTCCAGTTCCCGAGACTCTCGATTCGGCAGTGAAACGCATTCACGAACTGATGCAGGAATCCATTTTCATACCCTTTCTCAACAGCCACACTACCTCCCCTTCTGTGTATCCCTCCGATCCACCTTTCGCCGCCGATGAATCTATCAATCTATCGAGCACTAGTCTGGACGAGCATCCAATGAAAAGGGTCCGTTCGCGAGCGAAGCGTGTTTCTCCGCAGTCATCGATAAAGGATCTTCCGGCAACTCTCAGCCGTGGTGCCCACTCATTAGGAGCAGCTCACGCTCTCGGGAAACGTTCTTCTGGTGCTGTTCTCAGCACGAGTGCCGACTCCATTGGTCTCGCCTTGACGGATGACTCGAGCCCGCAGTCCAGCCCAACCGCTGAGGAACCAATGACACCACCTACCACACCGCCTGCTAGCGAACCCCATCTCCCTATTCACAGTCCCAGACTCCGCACTGAGAATCCATGGAAGAAGATGGGTATGAAGCTGGGCTTCAAGAAGCGCTCCAATGGTGGTGGCAACTCCCGGGATCCCAGGATCCTAGGTCTAGACGACTAAGGGATTCATTTTATTCTCAACTCTCTCATTTCATCCTATTTCCTACATCACGACCTCAAAATCTCACCTCAACGACCCTCACTACATCACATGACTCTACCTGAACATTCACATATGACCCGCTCCGATCCGATCTCCTTTAGCGTTTATCTTGGCGGTGTATGAGAAACGATGCATCCAAGCATATGAATCCGGCGTTTTCTTTATTTTTTTTTTTGTCTGGACATTCCTCCATTCATGTTCGAACATATCTCAGCGAGCATATGATGTCTATTTTTGTTCATTTTGTTTTATATGTTCATTCTCATTGGCCCTGGAAAATGTTCCCATTTATCCTATAGATTGATATGGGCTGGGCGTTGTTTGTTTTCTACCTATGCATCTGTTTCGCACTGGTGGATCTGTGTCGATAGTTCTACGGTAGGATGGTGCGGTTTTTTAAATTGATAGACTTGATACCCCTCTGAATATTTCCTAGTAAGTTGTAATTTGGTAGAGTAAAGCATATACAGTATCTCCAGATGTCAGCGCTCCTACTTGCAGAGTTTGTAATCTAGGTTATACTAGTATGTTGATCATCGATATCGTACCCTCACCTTGCATTTGGCTGACGCGTTATTTGGGACCAATGTGGGCTTTGTTCCCTGATAGAACCTTGGAAGAATAACTTAAACCTTGGAATCCTGCTGTACATGCCATAGGGTCCAGTCTGGAATCTACACATTCCATCAATAATGTAGTATCCTGCTGATTCAACATCATGATACTAGTTCGTACACTGATGTTGATAGTATTTCATGATTCCATCTTATTGGAGTACGAGTCCACGCTCAATGGCATCATAGTGATCTAGATTCCACTCAATTTTCTAACTATTGGCACATAACCTTGGATGTCTCCACTAGTCAGAAATGCCCAACTCAAACTTACTTTGTAGTATCCACACCTGGGCATCAATGATCAACTAAATCGGAGAAGTAATCCGCCGCCTTCCTCCAGTCTCCAACGCGGCAATATCAACCTCCCACCCACTCGCCGCCAATCGCTCTAAGTATCCTTGCATTCGATTTCCATGATTCATGAATTCCAGTGTCTGCTGCACAACCCCAGAAACAGAATCATACGCTTCACCCGCATCATCACGGGGAAGATCCTTAAATTCAGGGTGCTTGTACGATCCCGTTAATACACGCACAGCTAGAAGTGCATGCGTCCATGCTTTTAACTGTGATTGAACTGGACATCCCTTCTTCAGAATAATCGATGCATGCCACTGGCATTTGGAACTCGTGTAACTACCATTTCCCCGTGGGAAAAGAAAGAGAATGTATTCCTCATTTTTGAAGATGGCGTGTAGATCTTTCATCGGGATAGAGGTTTGATACGATCCGCTTGTAGTTCGAGATGCGTTCTTCAGGAATCGAGATACGGAGACTCCTATTTCCGCGGTGCCGATTTTCTTACGACGCGATTTAGAAGTCCATTCGAGTGCACCGTCTCGATGGAAGATTCGTTCTTGGTATGCCACTTCTGCGGGGGCTGGAATTTTGCAATCCTTTTCCGAGGAATTGAGCATGGTTGAGAAGATTATGTTTGCGCGTTGTCGGTTTATACTTGTCATTTGTACGGCGCGGACAGCAGTGTAGTTTAGTGCTAAATGCGCTGCCAAGAGGGTGAGAAGGAGTGCCCATGTGGTTTTGAAGCCTGTGATATGGGAGACAACGACGGAGCCGACCTATCTTGTTAGTATAAAGTCGAATGTGTTGGTAATTAGTACTTACGAGCATGCCTAGGAGTGAGATGATAGTCTCTTGAGAGGAATCTTTCTGTAGAATAAACACGTATTAGTGCAATTCCTGTAGATAGGGAAAACGGTACGCACAGCATTAAGTTCAGCCAAATTCCCCCAGCGAGCAAAATGAGCACTCAAACTCGCTTTTGAACTTCCACCTGCAACACCACAAAGAGCTCGTAGGATACCTGCCGTGCTGAGAACACTAACTCGCATGACTCCAGCTGGAACCATAGGAGAAAGACAGTCGAGTATCATGGCAATATCGTTGAATACATCGGCTGCTAGTCGGTATGTCTTGCATTCTGGCTCGAGGGCTGTACCTACTCGGTGCGCGAAGAGGATTGTTGCGATGCGACCAGATGTATCTTGTAAGATGTGTAGGAGTAGAGCAGATGTGGGTGAAGCATCAGCGTCGCCAACTCCGACTCCTGAGTGGTGTTATTATACTGGTCTATATGAGAGATGTATGATGATCTGTACCTTGGAGCACGGCTCTTGAGGAAAGAAGACCGGCGATTGAGCTGCAGAATGCTTGCAGTGAGTCCTATTGATATCGTGTTAGCGTAACTTAGAAAAGTTTTTCGATGACTCAGATCAAGAGGTGCTGATGAGCATGCTGCTTACGAAGATTTGGTATCTGGGATAATGTGTTAGTCTATCTAGCCATTGCAAGGAAGTTCCGGTCTAGAGGATCCGATACTCACGGTAGATAGTCATCGCTCACGCTCTGTGGGTATCCCGATGGCAAGAAGATATCACTTAAGGTAGAAAGAAGCGGCTTGGTGGACAACATAGTCGTGGGTTCATTTTGCTGGATTATGTTGTTAACACATCACCGAACTCATAATCGCGCAAAGCATTCGTATTTTGAAGTGTAACAAGAGAACAGGGGTGGTGATATAGAAGATAATAGAACAGCCATTAAGGCCATGTGGCAATATGGACCTATAGCACCATGATCCTGAGGAGAAATGGAGACAAGAGCGTCCATGTCCATATTTGCAATGATGAGACAACCAGTTGACTGGACTTCCGTACACCAAACGCAGCACTTGAAATGTGATGAAATGAAGCACCTACCATTACATCCACCCGCACAGGGGGTGCTTTCGATCGGGCATCTTGGTCAGAGAATACATATGTCGCAGTCGGCTTGTCTGCTTCATCTGTCTCCTGGAAAGTCAATCGGATATCTGTATTACCCGCCATGATGTGGGAGTTCCGTGATGCAGGGAGTTGGAGATGTACGAATCGGGCAAGTCGAGGCTTAGGCACGTGCGGGGAAGCATACGTCTCCTGAGATTAATATAAGAGTAATATAACGCCCAATAAGCTTGAGCACCTATAATATGGAGTCTAAATGTATACTACATCTAAGCGACAATTACTACATGTGATTAAGTCTTGGATAAAGTGCATTCATTGTTCAAAAAGTGCTTGCAGAGTGCTCGCAGAGCAAAATATGTCACATTGAACCCAAAAGAATGCCAGCCCCATACACATCTAAGAAGACTCGCTGCTTTTGATTCCAGGCGAGGAGGTTTATGTTGCGCTGTAAAAGATAAAAACACCAAGAATCCACCAGCGCCTGGTTCTGAGAATACAGGTTGAACCATAAGAATAAAAAAAAAGGGAATGCCCCCAAAAAGAAAATGGAAAGAAAAAGAAAAAACAAGTTCATATCCCAATCACCTTGTGAAGGAATTGAATCTTGCAGGATATAAGACAATTTAAAAGGGGAACTGCGTAGAGTCTCAAGGGCATGTTGAACCTGAGACTCGACTCATTATCCCCATCAGCAACCACAGTTGCTGGTTGACACCCAGACCCCAGCAGGTGTAACTTCGTAGAGAAGTGTCATACCCCATCGCTTCATGGTAATAATATGTTATAAGAAATCTCCGCCGGCAGAAATAAGATCAAGATCTTGATCTCATTTAAGCATACATGCTAGCACCACCAGTCTCAATGGCCTCAATCTCGGCATCGGTCAAGAGCAGGCGACCGAAGCGAGTGGGGAGCTCTGCACGGTCGAAGAACTCGCCAGAGCTGGGGCAAATAGGACCGAGGGAGGCACCGCTGGTACCGCCAGTGAACGAAGCGCGACCGAGAGGACCGTGCTGCTGGGCCTTTGCGCGGTAAGAAGCAAAGGAATCAGGCAGGCTACCGGTGGGAGAAGCGGGGTGAACGCGAGGAGTGTGATCCACGGACTCTGTAGAGGAACGTCAAGTTAGCGCGTAAATTCGGCGGTAGCTTCCGAGGAGCTTCTCGGTCTCTCTGATTCTCGAAACTCGGAGGTTTTTTTTTCAATTGACACGTACTAGGGACAGAGCGCTTGCCGACGAATCGGATCAAGGGAGTGCGGAAAGAGTTGCAGAGAGCGACGGTGGCACGCATTGTGATTATTGGGGGTGGTGATGGGTGATGTGTAAAGAGGAAAGGGAGATCAATTCCACAGAGTGTGCGAAATGTAATGGGGCCCGGTAGTATCCGAACCGACGACCCGGAATAAGAAGTAGTGGACTGGTGAGTTTTTTGTCTTTACACGGTGATGATGATGATGAACTTGTTTTTATGAAATGAGAGGCTGGATGAGAAGATGAAGAACGATTGTTAAGTTTTTTTTTCTTTTCTAAAGAAGAAAAGAGAGGGGCTCAGGGATTCTGGTGGTAGATAAGAAATTCCCATGGAATAACCTTCAGGGCGGCTTCAATACTACATTAGTCAGTTGCCGCCTTCCGTTTCGGACCCGATGAGGAACCGGTGGATTTTTGTTACTTTTGCATCTTTTTGCATTAGGTTCACTAGATTAACCGGCTGCAATCCAAGTCTAACCGTCACGCCATCCATTCATATTCCTCCATGATACTCCATCTCCTAAACTCCGTGGATTTTTAATTCTCCTTATTGGCAGACGGCGCCGTGGAGTTTGGGATCTTTGTACTTTCATCTGATTCTGTTCCCCCGCACGAGTGGCATCTCCGACGCTTACGACCTTACTCCGATCCTTTCCCTAATTTGCACGTCCGGTGAAGCTTCCCCGTCCCTGCACTCTTAGGATCTACCTGCCTTGGTGGGAGGTGGCTCCAGAACTGCCAATAATTTGGGGTGTTCTGAATTCAACCGCGTTCCCCTCATAGGATTTTTGGCGAGCGTTGGATCCAATTGTGGTTCTTTTGTACCCCCACAGAGATATTCACACTTGTGAAAATCTTATACTTTATTGCTCTAAAGTGAATTTGCTATACACTTGATCATATTTTGCTTACTCTATTGGGAGTGAATCCGAGTGATAGACCTATCTTGGGATTGGATTTCAAAGTTATTTTGGCAGTGAATGATCATCCCATAGAGTTGAAAAAAAGGAATCATCATAAAAAAAATCATTTCTTTTTTATCTGCAGGGGCTAGACTACAGATCTCATTACTCAATTACTGGCACATTTTTATGTGATCTGAATTGATAAGCTCGGACCCGCGCCACTCAAGCTTGGACCCTGACTAACCACTTCCCGACTTCACCCGTTTCTATCCATCTCCAAATATGCACGAGCTCTTACTCTTCGCCTCGGTCCCCGTTCATCAACATCATGAGCTTCTCCAGCAGCTTGCCGGGTTGACGGCCATGCAGCCTCGCCACGCTCTCGAGCGTCGGCTGATCTTTAAGGCCTATCGGAAACCAGGACTGGTTACCGTTCGTACGGGAGGTAGCCAAGACCTGCAATCAGGAGACTTGCAACGGGTGAATAAGCTACTGAATGGTGGCATGTTCTACACTCAGGTTGTCGGCCCCGTGTCGGAAGCGGATTTTAAGGTGCCCGGTGTGGCCCCAGATTCGGATACTCAGATGGCAGGAATGGAGAACGATTCCAAGTCTGCCCCGACCCAACAGGCTTATGACTATGAGCAACAGCCCTGGAAGTTGGAGTTTAGAGATATCCCAGAAGCGGGTACTCGTTCCGCTGTCACAGCCCGGGTGATGGCAAGCGCCTCGCTACCGCGTGGCGATATTGTCCCCTCTATGAATGCGTGGGGCTATAGGTACGTGGCGTGACTTTAAATTGACTCATCCCGATCTTATGATGTGCGTTTCAGATGCTAATTTGGAACAGCTTTGTGACCGAGTATGTGGTTGAGGGCGATATCTTTCTTCATAATGATATCACTATCTTCTTACATCGAGTATTGCACTACCCGGCTAGTGATCAAGAGTCCCGAGAGCCTCGACAAGGTCTACCTGCATTCTCTGAGATGACCACCTTGGAGAAGAGTGGAAGCTATGTGTTACAGGCCTCTATCAATGTTCAGGATGGGAGTAACCAGGAGACTATGAAGACAGCCTCCCAGCATCTGTTCGGGCTTCGGGAGCAACTCAAATCTGCGGTGAAGCTGGAGCAGGCTGACCGTCTGTCTCTAGACACAAGGGCGAAGTGAAGTCGTCACGATCATCTTTCTTCCATGGTCTCTTTTCGTTTTATTGGCTGTCATGAATACCCGGAGAGGCAGCCTCCATTCGAGTTTGTGATAGCATTAAACTCACACAATGAAGTCTTGTGTGCATAAAATTTCCATAAAAAAAAGCATAATTGAGAAGAATAACCAATATACACTGTAGAGCCTAGCAGTTCCCTCATAACTCAAATGAAGTGGTTGAGCCAACTGGTTTAATTCTGCCACTTCGGGGTCAACATGTGACTTCGTGAAGTTCGCGTCCACTTTTGGACGCGTCCGCTCGAGACCACTGACATCATTTTTCACCCATCTCAGCCACGACTGGCTCTATATCTCACTGCCACTAATCTTGCCAACATTCACCACGTTTTCCCTCACAAGAGTTCTCAGAATGGCGGAAGGGGGAGCCAAACGAGCTGCGTCCCCCACTCGGACCATCTCTCCGCCTCCGCTCCGCCGTAAGGTTGGGTCGAGTATCAATAGTAAGCAACTGTCCATTGAACCAGTTCAAGCCAATTCTGACATATGGGTTTGTAAAGAGGCTTCAGCTGCTTCCTTCTTTGCTCCGGCCTCACAAAAAAAGCCCAAAACGATATCATGGCGTATCATTGGGACGGAGCTTGTCGTAGGCAAATACACACCACAGAAGACGAGTAATACGAAGACAGAGAAGAATCGAAAGATTGCCGCATTCGACCTGGTTAGATCTACCTCAATCTTATATCCATTGGAATATGTGAGGGATATGGTGTATGGATGGCGCGGTTGACGAGTACTAGGACTCAACTTTGATCAAAACTCGCTCAGGAAACACATTCCCTCGATCAGCAGATGACTGGCAGTGGTGGGATGGATCTGTTGCAACCAAACTTGGTAGCCTTCACGAAGAAGGGTAATTTAATTCACTCAAGAGTCTGCTTGAAGCACATTATTAACCTATTTTCTCGACAGATACCAAGTGGTAATCTTCTCCAACCAGAAAAAGATCAGCATTCAAAAAGAGCTCAAGGCCGGAAAAACCGACTCGAAAAGTCTTGCCATGTTCAAGGAGAAATTAACAGCAATCATGAGTGCTCTGGATATCCCAATGAGCGTTTACGCTGCTACCCAAGCTACTGAGTACCGGAAGCCTCGACTGGGTATGTGGCGGGAGTTCATCGACGACTACGATCTCGATGTGATTGGAGTAGATCATAAGAATTCTTTCTTCGTTGGTGATGCTGCAGGGCGTCCGAATGATCATTCCTCCACAGATCTGTGAGATACTTACCCCATCTTGATACAAGACGACCAGTCTAATTTTCGTTAGGGGCTTCGCCATAAACGCCGGTCTATCTTTCAAGACACCAGAGGAGTTCTTCACAGCTGTGATCCAGCCTCCTACGCCTGTGACACTTTTCAACCCTACTGCGTATATCAAGACAGATCCAAGCGAATCTCGTATGTGATTTTACTTCTTGTGCTTGCTTTGCAATCCAAAATTTGGAATACAAGAGAACAGTGACTAATACTGACATTTTAATCCAGCCTTAGTTCCCAATCCTTTCACTCGGAAACACCCTCTCGAACTGGTCATATTCTGCGGAAGTCCAGCATCCGGGAAATCAACTTATTTCAAGAATAACCTTGAACCACTAGGCTACGAACGCGTCAATCAAGATATACTTAAGACGGTGAGTACCAACAAACCCAACTCGTTCGGCCGAGTTAGTCGGTATGCCAAAAAAAACCCCCCCAATCTAAATATCTCACCGCAGCGCCCAAAATGCGTCAAAGTAGCACGCGAACACCTCGAAGCAAAACGCTCTGTCGCTATCGGTGAGTCATACCATCTTCACCCTTAGGCAATTCTGCACGGAGTCCGGAACACAAATGTCAAATGTTATTCGTTTTCGGTACTCGGCCCGTTGGGCATTGGGCACCAATCCCACCGCTATAGCTTTACCGCTTAGCTATACCTTGAGGAACAAGGTACTCGAGAACTCCACTAATGAACAACAGATAATACCAACGCAGACCCAGAGACAAGACTCGTGTGGATCACGCTAGCGAAGGAATTGGGAATTCCGATTCGTTGTGTTCATTTCCTTTCTCCGCCTGACTTATGCAGGCACAATAACGCTGTTCGCGCTGCCAACAAAGAACTGGTTCGTCATCCGAGTACTTATTTGTCTTTTTTTATATGCTGATGTGCTAGTAGAATCCCGAGGCCCGGACTTCGCTTCCTGGTATTGCTTTTGGGGATTTCGCGAGGCGGTTTAAGGAACCGCGTGTTGATGAGGGATTCGTTGATATCACGTCTGTGGAGTTTAAATTCCAGGGTGATGAGGAGGCGCGAAAGATTTGGGGTCAATTTTGGATTTAGAGGACGTCTACTGGTTCTTATTTATCTACCGAGGTAGCTCCCAATTACAGGATCCCTGAGGCATTCACATAGTGTGATGTGTTGTCACCAGTAGTGGCTCACGTGTACTAGTAGTTATCCATTACAGACTCGGACTTTTTAGGTTATTCTAGCTGAAGAGGTACTGCGGTCTTATGAAATAGATGTATTGTGTACAGGATGCATCTTATCTGAAATTAAGACAGATAGAGGTATATACATACAAACGATTGAAAACAGGCTTTTGGCTTGCTTAAAGTTGGAATCAAATCAAGTCAGAGTCTATATGGGGTACACAAAAGTGCAGGGTATATTGTAGAACAAGGAATGGACGGGTCGCCCTGCCGTTGGACCGCTTATCTCCTTGCATCACTTGTCCCAACCCAACCCAATTGAGTAACTCAATTGGACTGAAATGGGACCAGCTCCGCGGGATGAAAATAGATCGACACGACAGAAACGACCCATGACTCAGAAATGGAAAAGACGAAGGAAAGGCATGATCGGTGCGAGAGCAGTAGTCGCAGTCGGATCGGAAGTCGTGAGTCATGATATAGCGTAATAGAAGACATGAAAAAAAGTAAAGAGACATTAAGTCGTGACAGTGCCGGGTCGTATGATCGTCCAGGAAAGAGTCCAAGTAAATAGACAACGGGGTTTTTTTTTTTTTGTTCCTGGACGCCGCTTGATGATATATTCTATGGGGTGGTCATTATCGTAGCGATTCGCTCGGACGTAAAAAGAGACGACAGAATAGGAAATAGGTGAAAGCGAGAGAATAAGGCGAGCTCAGCGGGACGTTCATGGGCGTGACACAAGATCCTGGAAGAACTTGAAGAAGTTGCGCTTCTTCAACGATTTGGTTCGACAGAATCCACCAAGTTGCGTAGCGGGTGCGACAGACATGGGTCCAACGATATCCTCGTCGCCCATTTCGGGAAACTTGTCGTTGTCGTGCAGGCGTGGAATCCGGACTTCTTGCTCACAGCGATTGAGATTGGACTGGGTAAGCGTAAGAGCGACGCCATCGATGGTTTCAAGATGGCTCCTCAATGTATCGTGCTGGAGTCGCCATTGCCGGTTGATGAATTCCCACTTCTCTCCCGTAAGTTTGTAGATGTTTGATGTTGTGCCGTAGTGCTCGCCCGTGCGCACCAGATGTTTAGCAAAGTTGCAACGTGCCATGTCCCAATCCGCGCGTAGCTGGTTGAAGCTGTCAATGTCGCAAGAGGGTTCGTAAGGCTCTGGCTGGATAGTGAAGTTGGCATGCCCAAGCTTGTTGGCCCATTCATCCTTGGGGTCCAAGAGCATAAACGGAGCGATTTCACCCGATGTAGTGCGAGACGTGGTGCTGGCTCGAGGACGGTTCATCGAGGCAAGGGACGGTCTTGACGAGAGTGGGGGCGACGGAATACCTGCAAAACGAGATTCCGAGGTCATCACATACTTTGGTGAATCAGTCACACTCACGTCCGCCACAGAGGGGGATTGAAGAGGCGATTGCACTCGGCACGCGATCACGCTGGTAGATTCGTCTCCCATAAAGGGAGGCAGGAGCGGGGTCGTTGCTTGCTGTGTATCGTTGTCATCCTGGCTCAGGCTGTTGGCTCGGGTGATATCGATTGGGCGTGCACCAGAATCGCTGATGCGCTCCTCGAAGATGGTACGGGCGGGTGATGGCGGAACCGAGTCGATACGGCTGATCGGACTCATAACAGGACTGGCCAAGGCGGAGGAGGCCGCAGAGTTGGCACGCGATCGAAGATCATCCGGGAAGAAATCTCGCTCGGGACTGCCTGAAGTTCGTTTCGACTTCCATCTTGTCGACATGGTGGAGATATGCGAACCGATGCGTGAAGCTCCCTTCATAGATAGACTATCCGAACGACGTTTCTTGGGGGAGTGAGGAATGTCCATGCCCGCATCACTTAGGTCATAGCCATCGGTAGGGTCCATGGGGAAGTACGGCTCTTCGGTAGTCGATAAACCGCATTCAAAGTGTTCTGAAGGATTCAAAGTTAGGACGATCTCGGTCGAGTCCGCGGTTGAGTTGTTTGGGGGCGACATACGAAAATATTGATCTTCTAATGAGTCACGAGGAGCAACTTCCTCTTCTTTCACCCCAGAAAGGTGATTGCGACTGGGACTGTCCATTGAGTTACCCAAAGATGGGACTAAAGACGAGACAGAACTTGAGATGCGGAGGTGGCCGGTAGAGAAAAGTGAAATAGCCGGCGAGGCCGGAGCTGAAGTATTGACGGATAATGGAGGAAGGTAAGACTCTCGCGCGTCGAACGAGTCAGTCGCGTCAGAGGGTTGAGACACTTTACGCATGACGAGGAAACCGCCAAACGTTGCGGAGGCTGGGTATAGAGGATGATTGCAGCAGCATCTAGGGGACAAAGGCGCAATATGAGGTAAGGACTTGGGGCGGTGTGAAAGGAAAGTACGATGGGGTCTTTCCAGGTCGAAATGGAATAGTGACAAAGAAAAAAAAAAGAATAAAAAGGAATAAAAAAAAGGGTAGAAGCCTTGAGTTGCCTTGAGTTGCGATGTGTTGGCTGGGCAGGAATTGGTGAATCAGCAAACGGGCGGGTGATAATGCGCCTGACAAGGTAATCCCCGCTTGATGTTGAGTTTGGTTTGCTTGTTGGTTTGTATCTCTCTTTCGAGGATTCTTGACTTCGATGAATGTTTCTTTGAAACACACAAAGAATATGAAATAACACAGTCTCTCTCACACACACACAAAGAAGAAAAAGAAAAAGAGTCAGAGACGAAAAGGCTAGATCCCTAACACTCCACTTATTACTATAACAGAGCCCCAGAAGAAAAAAGACACTACACTAAGTCACACGCTAAGAGACTTAGCACCCGATGGCCACTTTCTTTTTTTTTTCTGACTTTTCTTTGGTCTTTCTTTTTTCAGAACTCCGCTCAGTTCCGGTGGTTGACAGGCGAGCTCATCCATGGATCCATTCTACGGATAATCTTTCTATGAAATCCCTACTATTTGATGGTAATGAATACTGATAGAGGAAGCAGATTCTATACAGGCTACACTTGTGTTACCTTTCATCCCCTCCTACTAGGACCCTGAATACGGGTCTCTATACGGGGTCTTTTACAAAAATTGCTCGTGCTTAAGAGATCTCATCGGGGTTAGTCATAAAGGGTTTTTTCGCTTGCGAGATCGGCGGTGTCTAGACTAGAGTGGATGCCTCTCATTTCCAACCCTATGATGCCATTTGACCCATCCAATCCTGGATTGTTTATGAGACAAAAATAAACTACAATACATATCATCATTCGGCCTGTTATTACCATTTTCTCCAGTGTACCCTCCCGTCTAGAAACAGATCACACGAAGGACAACCGCCTGTTGAGCAACCATCCAGAGGGACCAGAACATCCATCAGAACCTTAGTCCGAGAACACAAAGCGGGAAGGATGGATCACATAAATACGGAGTAAATGACCCCGATTTCTTCTTAATCGAATATCCACTCTGGGAAACAAGAAGAATCCAAATTCGATGTCGCACGGGTCTCTTACAACTTTCCCCATCGGACTTTGTACCCCCCAGTACCCCCACTTTCTAGGGTTACTCTTGAACCTGGAACAACATACTACATAGTATGTGTTCTCCGAAATGTATAACCTAGGATTACTCAGTCTGGTGCCGACAACAATTCATTCTATGGATTCTATGGGATAGTATGAATACATATGCACAATTGAATGCATAACCTTGAAAATATATGGACATCGACGTCAGATCCACATGGTGAAGAACCACAAAACGGGTTTTTTTTTCTCATCGGGGAACTCGGGGACTCATACTCCATTTCTGATTGGGACATAGCGGGAGGCGAAGGGGCAAAGGAAGCTGACCGTGGATACACCGGTTCTCCGTTCTGGCTCCGGTCGGCAAGCACTCTCGGATGATAAAGTGATTCCAAGGTTCTATGAGTTTCGATTCCTTCCATTCCTTCTCTCTACTTTCTATTTTCTATTTTCTATTCTGACTCATCAAGTCAATCCATTGATACGTTGACTCACAGGAATTCACAGATCAGAATCAGACAAGATTGAGATCTAATTGATCTAATTTCATTCCCCTCAGCCGCGATGATCATAACAAGGAAATGATCATCTACGGATTTCCTAAACTTAATCGTGTGGGTCATTCAGTGCTGCAGGACTAGATCACTGTGATTCAGACTCCCTAGCTGAGATTTCAATGAACTGAATCAACATTGAAGTTGATAGATCTTAATAATTAAGACAAGTAGATGAACTTGAAGTAGTATGGATCAAACTATTTACTCCATCTTTATGCTATAGAGACATTCAATTGAACCTGGAACATTCATGTATTTCCAATTTAGTAAAGATTTACGTCATACGAGCCTGCATGAGAAACTTTTCAAGGTTTAAAGTTGGTCTGAGATACATTCAATATTGAACATTTGAATCTTCAAGCCTGAGACTACCCCCAAGACAAAATCTCAAGTGCATACTAGTAGTACTTCACGTTAATTCCCGCCCTGGAGAATACTTCCCGGCGCCGCAGGCATAACTGCACCCTCGGGAGGCTGGTTCTTGTTCTTAAACTCATCGCACATTTGCTCAAATGTTACCCATTCCACTCCCTCGTGTTTATTGATATGTTCAATAATTCTGCATCTCCAAGTCAGCATTGCGCCCTTCAAGGTTCCAAGCTTCCCCTCTTGTTCCTGTCTCACCTTTCATGCATAAGTAACACATGCGGCCGGCCAGAAACATCCGGATGAATCGTCATTGGGAAGACAAACTCGTCGTACTCACGATAGAAGTAATCGAAATGATCCTTGGCGAAGTAAGTCAGCAGCACATTGATCATCAGAAAAGAAAATGCCATACAGTGAGATCAGTGTATACAAGGCAGTACAATAGAAAGACAAAAGTAGGGGACTCACCTTCCAAATATCTTCCACATCCCTCGGATTCACCCATCCATGACTATTCGCCGAATTCTTAATAAACATCATCGGCGGCAAATCATCAATATACCAACTTCCCGGAATCTCCACCAACCCCGTCATCTTCCCCCGCTCAAGCGGCTTCATCCACGTCTCCGCCTTTTGACTATAATCGATCTTCGTCCACGAATCCCCAGTCCGTAACCAGTACATCTGACAATCCTCATGCGACATCGAATGATCATACTCAATTCCATACGCAAGTAACTGATCCACCATCTCAGAACTAGCCTCCCACCACGGCGCCACAATCCCGCGTGGTGGCTTCCCACAGAAATCAGTAAGTAGCTTATACGTCTTATCGAGGATATCACGTTGTTGCTCCTCGCTCATGCAACTGGGATTCTCGTGCGTGTATCCATGAAGTCCGATTTCGTGTCCTGCATCTCGCACGGCCGCGCACTCCTCTGGAAATGTCTCCAGTGAGTGTCCGGGGATAAACCAGGTGGCTTTGATGTTATATTTGGAGAAGAGCTTTAAAAGTCGCGGTGTGCCAACGTGGCCGGCCCAGAGTCCTGATTCATGAGTCAGTAACTGGTTCCAGGCTGACGTAGATTATTCAAGCTTGGACTGGGTTGAACTTGTTGCCTGAAGGGGAAGAATCTTATCTTACCTCGACTAATATCGTTCACACTGTCTTCGCCGCCGTATGAACCAAGCCATCCGGCTACGGCATCAATGTCAACACCGTATCCGACGAGAACGCGCTTTTTGCCCATTTTGAATTGTGAGTTTCGGGGGAAGCTTGAGTGTTCGGTGCGATCTAGATTTAACTGGGTGCAACGTGGGATGTTGCACGAGGAGTTTTAGAAGCAATTGAGACAGATGGTTGGAATTGGAGGAATTCACAACTTTACAAGAATACAAGAATATAATGAGGGGTTCGACTGAGGGGTTCAGTTCAAGTTGAGGGGATCTTGTTATCAAGGTTCCACCCCCCTCATTGTCTGGTGGAGTGTTAACTATATCAAGGGTGGGGGTAGATCCCTAGTCTACCATTTAGCGTCGGCTTTCTACTAATAGTAGCCTAAATTACTATGGTAGTATGTAGCTTGGCAATCAGTTAGATAATAGTATTCAAACTGATAAGGATAAAGCTATCTGATACCATTATCCAAGTTGAAATATACATAGTAATATAGTAATATCATCCATTACGTCCATTAAGTTGTCTCTGCCCGGGCCATTTCTGCCCCGCAATCTGCAAAAACATCCAGATGTCATAATGACAGCTTGGGATTATCATGAAAATTACAAAAAGATTAGATACTGCTTGGACAGTTTCCAAATTATTGATATGTGTCAGAAATTCAAGTTGAATGGCATTCCGGACATCCGGCGCTGAATCAAACATTTTGAATTGAGATAGCCAACATCGCCTGACGATCTGCCAGTGCTCCCGCAAGGCATCATTAGATATATCGGGAACTTCTTTTTGTGTATGCAGTCTCTCAACTTCATTACCTAGGTACTAAGTATAGGTAACTTCAAGTTCATATGGACTCGTTCTCTGAGGAATCATGCAGAGAGTCGAACCCAGAGCCAAAAGATCAGTGGCTAGTATCCACTGGCATCTACTAATAAAGAACCGGAGAAAGCAATAATTTCCAGGGCTTAATATCGAAATCTTCCAAGGTTTGGAATCTGTACTATCCAGTAAAAGGTTTGGTTCGATATCACAATGGAGAATCCCATTTTCAAATGTTATGTAGACGATCAACCGCCTGCGATAGATCTCGGCCTCTTTGGCGATACGGAGTCTCAACCCGTGGACATATGTAATAGGAGGCTCCATGATGAGGTGCGTCAGAGGTACCCAAGACTGTATCCAAATCTCAACATCAACGTAAAGATTCAAAGCTTCAGCTTTCCTCGCTCATAGACCAGATGCCATTTCGAATCTGGTATACGGAGCATGGATGTTATGGCGTGTTATTAACAAGGGGTAACAGCTCAATGTGGATCATGCGGTGGATCGAATCGATCTTAGCGGGCACTCCCGGGCAAACTACCTTCTGCAACTATTCCTATTCATGTCACGACTCAACCAATAATTTGATATTCCCATCCGTTTCTGGTCAGGTGCTGAGAAAAGGGACAATGCATTAGCAGAAACGGGGTTGATTGACTCTGGATCTAACGGTTTCATCTCAGCCATTCATCGGGACCCTGAAGTTTCAGCTGCAACTCCCCAAACGAGAATGAGTATACGATTCGCTGAGAGATTTTCGTGATTGCGCTATACATGCGTGATACCAGCAGATTCCGTGTGAAGCACTCCGTACTCTTCGTATCACCCAAGTCTACTCCGTGCTCTCAGCCCGATCGGTCAGGCTTGCTTTCCAAGATTGGGCACCTACGCGTCATTTCTCAGAAAGGGTGAACTTTTCTCAAGTTTTCTCACGGAACAACGGAGCACTTGAGAGCAGAACAGATTGGGAAATTTATAAGAATGACATAAATATTCGGCCGACTGGAGGTGCCCTATTGATCCATTCAGCTATCACACTATGATCAGGTTGGTCTGATTATGGAATACGAGACAGCCACCGCCAAGGACTCTGGTTACGTGTTCTCTGAGTTTCTTCCCATAGCATGTCAGAGTGAATGGATTGAAGAGAGCAACTCAAACTTGTGATGAACTGGTTGCCGTGCATTAGCTGACCATCTGTGTGGGATCTCGCTTACTTATTCCTTATCCAAGACTCAGACCTCCGGAGACATGTCAACTGGTTTTGACTGCGACCTGGACTGCGAAAAACTTGAAGACAGTATGCATGATAATCGAAACCACGATATCACAAGTCAATAATAACGATAGTCTTGATAATGATTGATATGGAATGCGAAGCCCGATCTTGGTGGTATTTGAATGAAATGTTATCTTTCGATTGCGCCACAGGGACTATGTGGAGATATTATCCCCAGGAATCCAACTTTCACCCTACTTGAGCTATTCTTAGGTGAGATTCGACGCCAATTAACTGCGCCCATACCCCACCCCACGTCAAGGAAAGTTTGAGCTTGAAGATGGCAGGGAGCAAAGGAGCAGAAAAAAAAAGAACCTCGTTCTGATCCAAAATCTCCTCAGCCTCAAAAAACCCATACCGCAGAATCTCTCAACCCTGTTCATTCAGTTGGCTGAGGTAGAGAGAAATGTTCAGAATAATTATCGCACTCTCCCTTACTACTCAAGCGATAGCCTACTCTACATTTAATACAAACTGCACTGTTCCAACCACAATCACCAATTATGTGGCCGCACCAAATACTCGCGGAACATTGGATATTCTCTGGTCATGCCTTTTCACAATTCTCGCCTGTACTTGGACTGTCTTACACTTGAACGTTCCCGCGTATATTGAACCAGATAATACGTCGCGATGGGCGAAACTGAAATTGCAGGTGCGCAAGCTGAGGTCGCCAGTGACTTGGTTTTTATTGACCCTTTTGGCACCTGAAGTACCTCTTGCCAAGTATTGGGAAGACTTCCGAAAAGGGCGTGGAATTTATAAGAAACACAGATCCATTTGGGAGAAAAATGGGTGGACTCTTACACATGTTATGTTTGCCAATATGGGTGGATTTGCTATAAAATATCCGGAAAAAAGTATCGATTTAAAGGGTAAAGAGCCACAGCAGTCACACGAAAATGTGAGAGATTGGAATTATCACAGAGCACAGACAAGAGATGAAGAGTCTATCCAGCAATCGCGATTCGATATCCAGAGCAGATTGGAAGGGAACAGAAAGGGTGAATTTGATGAAACACCTCGCAATCCAAACATAGACGGCCAGCCCTGTCCCGTTGGGGAGCAAGAAGATATAGAACCGAGTACGCTGCCGTTGGAGCCATCGAAATACAAAAATCTCCATGCAGTGGATGTCCAACGTATGCTCTATCTTCTTGAATTGAATTTCATAGAGCTACCACGCATACTTCCCGAAGAAATTGACGATCGCTCCAAATCAGACCCGTTTGTGCGTATCATTGCTGTTAGTCAGATCTTATGGGTTCTATTGCAGATAATTGCACGCGCCGCCAAGGGTCTCGCAGTGACTCAATTAGAAGTGACAGTTCTTGCATTCGCAGGCTGCGCAGTGGGGATGTATGCGTTGAACTGGTATAAACCTAAAGGTGTTTCTCTTCCGTGCATTATCCATTGCAAAAGACCACGAGAGGAAGTTGAGAAGGAAATGAAGCGTAAATTCTTTCGAGACGCAGATGAAATTCGGCAAGGAGTTGTGATTACTATCTTGAAGGACTTGATTCCCACGGGAAAAGGCGATTCACGAATTCATAACACATTCAGCAACGAGGATACCGGCTGGCACACCGACTGGGTAGTGATTATCGGAAGCATAGCATTTGGTGCCGTACATCTCATTGCTTGGGATTTTCATTTTCCAACTCGAATTGAGAAGATCCTTTGGTGGACCTCGGCCTCATTGTGTTCTTGCTGTGTCCCAGTGTTGGGGCTCTTGACATATATTCTCAACGGGATGCTTGACTTTGACCAGGAACTTGTGAACAGGGCAGAGGACAATGTTTTACAAGAGAGGAAGGGACTTGCGGTCCTTGAACGGTGGAGTCTCGAGGCCTCCGTAATATTTATGGTTATTGTTAGTGTCGTACTTGCCGGGATTTGGATACTTTTAGCAATTGCTTATATTGTTGCCAGATTTTACATCTTTGTCGAGATTTTCAGAACACTTTGTTTTCTACCTCCTGATGCTTATGTGGGAACTTGGGCTGCAAATCTTCCCGGTCTTGTTTGACAGCAAGGTGCTTCAGCTTGGTACAATGCAACTGCAGTGGCAGCTTCAAATTTCGATTTGCCAGGTCAATAATCAAATATCTAACAAAAACCTTTGAAATAACAAATCAAAGAATACATCAATAACTTTACATAACTCAGAACTGTCTCACAAAGCACCATGACCGTGTGTCTCAAATGGCAGTCCCAGACAGTAGATACCCACAACGACCCACAAAGCAGCACTGACATAGATAGGTGCACTCGTGAATCCAGTCTGTGACGAGATCAAACTAGCCACAAGACCTCCAAAGCGCAGCAATGCCGCAGCTGTTCCTACTCCTGTCCCACGATGAGGCGCGGGGAATGACTCCGGAGTAAACGCATACATGATTGCATACTCTACAAAGCTTGTAAGCTCTAACAGATCACATGAATACCCAGATTTCAGTTCGGTTAAGACTTACCAAAGTTTGCTAGGAGAATGGTGATACACGAGAATGCTAGGCTCGAGGTTTGGTTGTTCACTCCCACATATGCAAAGAGGAATACTGCTGTAACCACAGCCGAAATCCCCATCATCCATCGTCGACCAAGACGGGTGTTGACAGATACTGCTGCAGACAAGGGACCCACGATACCGACCGCTGACTCAATACAGTAGTCACGGTATGTAATGTACAATGAGGAAAGCGATGTAAACTTCGTCGCTAGGTAGGATGGAAGGAAATTGAAGTAGAGTGGATATGCAATGCCTGAAGTGAAAATGTTAGTATTGGGCTTAATGAATGAATGGGTTAGAAGTTCTTACCAACAGTCAACCAGATAGCCCAAATGATGATAGTTTGTCTGGCAAGCTTGCGTGTAGCGAATAAAGCTCTGTAATGCTCGCCTCTGAAAGCCTCCATGTTCTCGGATATAATCTCTTTCACGGAAAGCTTCGTTCGTGTTTCGTCTTCGTTAACTGTCATGCCCAATCGAGCATCGATTTCACGCAGCATGCCTATTGTTAGTAGCTCGGCTTTACCATTTTGTCTTGCGACGTAATTCACTGCATCCACGGCATCCTGGTCTCGTCCTTGAGATAAAAGGTATCGTGGAGTCTCAGGCAGCTTGAAGAGGAAAACGCGGATGAAAGTGAACGCAAGTGCAAGACCTCCGAGGGTGATCATTGTGTATCGCCTGAATAAGCAATTAGTTGAAATCGGATGGAAGGAATGAGGTTTGACTCACCATCCCATGTTTTCATGGCGAGGACATGTCGCAGGTGTCGCATCAGTTGGACAACTGAAATTCGCAAGGAATACCCAGGCTACCAACGAGACAATCAACTGTCCCAGGTTCCACCAAGCTGAAAGGGCAGTGAGGAGATATTGGTGGCTATGCAAAGTCAGTATAAAAGTTCCTTTGAGGAACGACGAATCTCACCTTCCAGGGACGAATTCCAAGAAAATCATAGAGTCAACTGGTACATTTCCACCAGCAGCAGTACCTATGACAGCCCAGAACGCACTAAAAGCGATGAAGTTCATAGCGCCAGCAGTAGCACATAGGAAGATTCCTCCAATGAGAAGTGTGCAGTTGAATGCTGGTTTTCGACCGATAAGGTCACTCGACAGACCCCAGAATGATGCACCTATGATCAGACCTACATAGTATGCAACAGAGCTATAGCTGATCTTAGTGATATCTGAGAACTCTTGCTCAATGGGAGGCTGTACACTGCTTATGCCTTGAGATGCGAACTGTGAAGAGCACAGAGTCAGTCAGTTCTAACAAGAGGGACAACTTGGAACGGCGTACGTTGTCCACCATCCATCCAAATCCGGTGACCACGAAGAGCTTCCATTGAAACCTGGTCTTGTTAGCCAGATGACCTTCAGGGAAGTGAAGGCATCATACTTTCCCATCCCAATCTCCTCCATGCATTTCCCAATCAACTCAGATTTGAGTCGGTACGCTTGAGTGGTTGACGAACCATAGAACTGTTCAACCTCATTATCATCGAGAGAGAGGACTTTCCCAGTACTCTCGTCGGCATTTTGTGGCTCCTGACTCGGAACATACTTCTCATTTGCATGGATTTCGTCCATTCTGAACTCATGTAATGCCTGACACATGAGCCATTACTCCAGATGAGCTCGACTCATATACTAACCCGTTGATGCCCATGTAGGGCTGGAGCTCTGTGTACCATTGTCAAGAGCCAATAGGACTCAGTACATATGACAGCCCTAATTGATAGCAAGGGTGGGTGACAGGCGATATGATGGCATGATCCCCCCCACTCTTGGTGGTTTCATGGTTATGGAGGCTGGGGCAGGAGGCATTCTTGGTCGAAGCTCAACATGGAGAATGCACGAGCCTGAGGAGGATCCGAGAGGTATTTATCCGATTTTGTTGGCTCGGAACCTATTTGGAATAATGGGAATTATACGCTAGCAGACCCTGGGAGTCAGAATGGGGTCGAATATGCAGAGGATAGGTTGAAGTATACGCGTAGAAAAGTGAATTGAACAATAAATGTAGCTTCAAATTGATATTTGTTACAAAATTGAATACTACGCGCCAACGGCAGCCACATTTGATGCTTGATCCAGTTTCTTCATTTCCAAATCCTTCTTATATGCCTCTGCACGACCATAGCTCTCCTTATAAGACGCTGTCACCATATCCTGCACTGTAATCGGCGGGTACTTTGCAGCCTCATCCTGCTCCCGGCAATTGGGCAGACACTCACAGAGATAGTCTGGATTTCCACTAAAGAAGAATGGAATAGAATATCTCTCTCGACCAGACTTGTTGATTACGCGATGGGTGTTCGACTTGTATTTGTCATTGGCCATCCGCATGAAGAGATTTCCCAAGTTGACGACGTAGGCACCTGGAGCCGGTTTTACCTAAAAAAGCCCCAATTAGCATCATGATGTAGTTCCGGGGATTTCAGCATGTAGATAGAACTCACATCGAGCCATTGTCCTGTCGGAGCATCGAGAACCTGTAACCCATCCACCTCATCCTGTAAAAGCAAAGTGACGCATCCAAAGTCTGTGTGTGCTCCAATTCCCCGATTCAACTTCTCGTCCTGGTCCTTGGGCTGTGCGGGATAATGCAAGAATCGCATTGTCGCGACAGCTCCGTCGGTCAAAGGATCGAAATAGCTCGTCTCAACACCGAGAGTCAATGCCAAGACAGCAAGGACATCCTTTGCCAGCTCGAACACAGCATTATAGTATTCCATTGTTGTGTTCTGAAACTCCTCCTTGTCGGAAACAGTCTGAGGCCACTGATTAGGTCCACTGTTGAGTTTCTTCTGCAGGAAGTAAGGGTGGTCTTCGGGGATTTCTTGGCCGATGTACAGTCCTTCCTTGAGCTCGGGACCTGTACCAACTTCTAGCATCTGTGATCGGAGGAGTTCGTAGCCGCGGTTGAAAGAGTTGAGGTCTATTGGATTAATTAATGAATATGAGTGGAGGAAATGAAAATCCGCTCACTTCTATCGATTTGGAGCTTCTCCTCCAGAGGAAGATCGAAGAATCTCTTTGAGCAGTTCATGACGCGGCGCTGTAGTTCCAGAGGCACGCGATGGCCTGTAATCTGAAAGAACCCGTTATAGTGACAGCATTTGCGAACTTCTTCAACAAGCTTGGCTTTTGCCTCGCTGTCATTGCCGTAGATTGGGGAGAAGTCCAAGATCGGGGGAGCAGTTGGGGAAGACATATTGAGGATATCACTTTTGACGGACTAATAGAGATTCTGTTCCTATTTTGCTTGTGCACTGGCCTTGTTGAGATTGCCACTGACAAGGAATATATTCACTCAGAGTATCGATAATGACTCCTCATCGTCACCTTGGATCGGCTAGAACGCCGATGTCATCAAGTCAGTGGTCATCATCTAGCAAGCTCTCTTGAAACTAGAGTGTAAGGGTGGGGGTCTAATCAAAGATGGGGTGATATTCAACTCCACCTGTCACGTTGATAAGATGATCTGCGGGGAACTTGAAGCAGGACATACTATACGGAGTAGCTAGATCATAGCTAGTCTAGACTTGTTATCCGGCGAGCAGCCACTCAGGAATTAGATTGGTAAATGTCTGCGTATGCCCAGGTGGTAGTCTTATTGAAACATAGGAAAACGCTTTTTCTACTTCTAGTAAGGAGATAGGACAAGATGGGGAAGGAGTGCTACATGGACTATGAGGCTGGAAATAATGAGATAGTACAATTGTTAGATCTAGTATTTGTCTTGACTGAGTTAAAGTAGCCTAATACTAACTTCGTTGCCTGCTAGTAATGGTGCTTTCCACTCCTCCAGTCTTGCCGCATCCCAGAGAGCATAACCCCATTCCAAGTCATTTTCATCGTCTCGTTGCCAATTCATGGAGTCCTCAAGTGTATCTGTTTTGGTGTGAGGCTTCAACCATGCTTTCTTCCATCCCAGAGTTGGTTGTTTGAGAAGGGGTAAAGTAGTCAGGTATTCCTCAAAATTTGGAGATTCAAGCAGATCGGCTGGTTCGGTCAAGGGGAAAAACTCAGACCTATCACACTGCACTTCACTTCCAATAAATGGCTCTGCCCACCAGCCTCTGGTGTTAACTATCGCAAATGGCATTCCGCTGAGTAAGCCGATCCATAAGTTATGTAAAACGCGATAGAGAAATACAGGCCCCAAAGAAGCCATGTATCTGTACTGATAAGGGAACTCAGCAAGGTCACTTTCAACCTCAACATTAGCTGCATATATCCTCTCTTCTTCGGGAAGGATGTCCCAAAAGTACTTGCATGGTGTACTTTTGCTTAGTTTTCGTAGGTCATTTGCGATTACATCGAAGATAGGCTTGATCTTGGCAGTGAAATAATTCAGCACACCACACATCTCATCGTGTTCCCATGGAGGCATTGTTCCATAGAAGGATCGATATGGAAACTCAATAGAATGAAAAAGTTCTTCTCCGTCTTGATTGACATATCCCTCAATGTCAGCCTCACGATTGAGCCGCCAGTGTTTGAGACCTGGATCTCTGCTCACGTCCGTTTTGATATCATTCCCAAAAATATCCTGTAGAGTTTGTAATCGACAGGCTGCCCGCAGGAATCGCTGCTTTTCCAAAAGCGTCAATTGCAATGGGAGGAGCTTTGCCCATGGAATAGGTTCTATCCATGGGGGTCTCGGTGCGTTGATTGAAAAATCCTCGAGTAAAAAGCACAGAACTTTGTGAAAGTTCAAGAGCTTGATGGTTTCTTCAAGATTCTGAGGCTCGTCGATTTGACTGGAGGAAACTTGTTCCGAAGCGCGAATCTCATCTCTGCGGCGCCATCTGTCCAGCAGGGCAATTGTCATTTCTCTCTCACAGCTATAGGTCAAATTTTCAGACCTCAGAGCCGTGAGCGCCTCTGCAATGTCGAGGGATCCTTGGTATTGTTGTTTAACGAGATTCGAAAGCAGCTGATGTTTCACGGTAAGGTATGCCTGGTAGTATTCACGGGATGCAAAAATGAGGGATTTGAGAGTGTCGCCATCCGACACTTGGAATAAAATGAGAATTTTGAGCTCAACGGGAAGACCCTCAAGAGATGGTTTTGCCTGGGTGAGATATTAGCGAAATATCCTTTGATCCTGGGATACAGAGCTTACCATTTTTGCGTGAAGTTGTAGATGACGGTGATGTTGGAGGGGAAAGTGAGGGGTTGACAAGGTAGAGTTGTTGATCGAAATTGGCCCGAGCCTCCAACTTTTTAGCGCCCACCTTTATCGAACTGTTTCAATAAAGCAGTGATGAAACGTGATTAAAAAGAAGAATGAAAAAACGAAATGCAGGGAGGTGTTATCAAAAGGCGCGTGGGTACAAAGAAGACACTCTCATCCAATCACTTGGGCGGCATCTGACGCACGTACATACGGAGTACAAGGCAATATCCCCGATATTCCTCCTTGAATCCCGATATGAGCCTCGATCTTCCCCACACCAACCAACCAGGACTGTTTCTCATTGAACTGTTCTTAGTTGACATGCGAAGCCCCTGATGCTCATTCTTACGCTAATGTACCTCTAGCTGCTGAAGTTACGATCTACTGATTTCTATATTATTGCTACCTGGAGATTCAACCCTCAGTGTCTCTATATTTGGATTTTCCAAAGTACCTCAAAGCGCTGGTGAAGTTTCGGCGTCAAGATATGGGGCTTTGGATGTCTAGATTGTCTCTTTGTGGCGAAGCGACTACCGCCAATGTATCTGGCTGCAGATTCTGGCACAGAATGGAACTATTTTTTTTGGAGCAAGAAGGGCGTTTCGCTCAACTCCGAGACCCGGTCGTTTCAAGGCACCTGTAGCTAACAAGATGACCCTTGTCATTCGAAATATCTGATATCTATATAATATGCTCTATAGCCTGTCCGGATCTATACAGCTCAAAACTATTCAATCCTCTACTATTCCATTCACTCTAACTTGAACCTGATTCGTCTTTTTATTATCAATACACCTTCTCCAATATAACTTGTCTCAGATCCTACTTCTAGGATATTACTTGCTCAATTCTTTGAAAATGCCTACATGTCGCGTTGCTGTCCACCGTGACTCCGATGATGAGGCCTATGTCTACAGTAATTTCAACAATTTGAGATTGGCAGACGGGCATGCACCCGGATGATCCTATGCGCCTGGAGAGTACTATTCATCCTCGGAGCCAATTTGCGACCGCAATGGGCGGTTGGAACGCCCTGCGCCTGCAGGATACCATGGACCTCATTTTCGGGAGAAGGGCCCCATTCAGGAGCAAGTCTGGAATGAAGGTGGCTCCACAACAATTTGGCACCCGAATGATACGCTCCCAGTAGAAGATGACGACCCTCGACCAGATGCCCTTGAAAGAGCCCATTCGATTCATGGGCATCGGGAGGAGCCCCATATTGGTGTTTCGTACGAAAGGCGTCCAGTGCCTTGAACGAATCGTATGAGAGCAGAACATGACTCCTACCATGCTAAGGAGGGACCAGAGCGCACAAAAATCCGGGACAGGGTGAATACTCTTAAGACGACCCCAGTGGGGAGAAAACACTTCCCTGAGGAATCGCATCGGGATAGTCTTGAGGAAGGGAAGCTTCTGTCAGGTGAAGGTCGTTGGATGGCAAACATGTAAGTTGATTCGAGAATCATCAATTCTTAACGGAACTAAAGCTAACCTGAGTTAAAGAGAGGTACAAGGCCGTGCGTGGCTTTCTGACAAGTACCCTAATGGCTACACTGAACGTGGCCAAAGAACACATGTCGATCAGACGAACGAGAAAATGAGAAATGCTGCAGCCTATGGAGCCGATATGAGGGAGTTTGATACTAAATTGCCGGCATGGAACAGACAGAGGCAGAAGCGAGGGCTTTGAATATGGTAAATACCATAAGACCATATCCGAGTGCGACCTCCCCTAATAGAGTGAAATCACTGCTATCCTACAGAACCCGCACTCTCAAAGTCAGCTTTACTTATATAAACCCTAGTGATTAGGGTTTTTTCCGAGGGTCATATGTGTCTCTTGTCTTGTCTCTTGCTGTTTGTTTTATCATTTTTCTTTCCAATCAATTCCATTTATATTCTTTCTTTCCTCAAGTGATTCATTATTTCTCAATATATCAAACCTCCCTTCCTGCTAGACCCAAGAGCTGTCCATGCGCATGCTAGTGTATGGATTAAGTTCCAGCAAGGCATCTCTATCCAATTCACATGCAACTTCAGGAAAACATGATATGCAAATCCATGGAAAGCCCGTAAACATAGTTGATACAGATTTTCTATCCTGCCAGCCACACCTTCCTTTAAACATTCCGAATGATCATAGAATAGCCTGACACCTGCTCATTTTCCAAGTATGGAATCCTACATATAGAAATATAGTATAGTAGCAATTTCGATGTCGACAATTTGCCTTACCTTTGAATTTTCAAATCATTTGAACAATTGATCAAATGAATTTTGGTGCCCAGATGTGACATGCAGATTGCATATCAGAGCAAAGACCAATGAGCTTACAGCTGCATTCTCCCCCGCATCCTTATCAGCGACGTCGGTCTTTAGTCCGACTACATCATTTGTTATTTCCCAGAGCTTCATCTGATTTTAACGTTTTGTTTTTCATTACTGTGAATTTCTATTATCATGAAGAACCACGCTTGTCAATACCCTGGCTGTAGTAAAAGCTTCACCCGAGCCGAGCATCTTCGTCGACATGCCCTGAATCATGAGCAACCGCGTCATGGATTTACCTGTGATCGTTGTTCAGTACATTTCCAGCGACCAGATCTTCTAGGTGAATTTGTTCAATTTTGAAATGACACATGAACCCGACTAATTGATTTAGAGCGACACATGCTTCGCCATGATAGACGGGACGAAGAAGCGGGAGGCCCCGGATTAGGTGTCCTAAAAACGCGCAAAAGAACTCGCAGAGCTGGGGATGGCTCAATAATTGTGCGTCCGTCCCAACGGGAGATTCGATCAGCGGCACGGTCTTCTCTTTCAACGACAAGTTCCGATCGGGCGATGACCGAAGAGGAGCAAGATTTCGTGCACCATGTCCCTTTGTCACCCCCTGGCTCTGGAACGGATCCAACTTCGATTTCTATCGATGATAATGATCCTTTTCTGGCACCTATGATGCCAGGTGGTCCTTTCGAGCCTTATGTTGAGCCGGTCCCGGGACAGTTTGATGCAGCGGATGGGTCATTCAATCTTGGACTGGACGGGATGGGCGATTTCTTTGGCATGGATACAGGTACGAGCTTTGAACTATTGATCTTTGAGAATAAAAGACCAGATTATTCTAACTCATACAGCGACCGACTTTAATCTACCATTTGCGGCAACTTGTAACTATAATTGGCTGTTCGATGTCGCGTCTCTCGATGATGCATTCCACCAATTTGATTTTCCGCTTGGTTTCGATACAGGCCCTTTCTCAGAAGATATGGAACCAACACAGATCGCAAATATTGATAAATATGATGGTGCATCAGCGTTACTGCAGGTAGCCTCTATGATGAATAAGGCCCAGCCTCCACAAGACATCTTGCCTTCTGTTACACCAGACCTTCTGGAAATGGACTGGATGTCCGGCTCGTCTTTCTTAGGCTCCGACCCGCCGCAGCATTTGCCACGGTTGACTGAGAATGATCGGACTGGGATTTTGTCTATCGTGGCACAGACACATCCCATGGGAATTGATGGGCAGCCAATGACGTTAAACTCGCCATTGCTAACGCTCAGTGCTCTACAAAATTACTGCGATCTATTCTTTACCCGTTTCAACATTACATATCCCCTAGTTCACCAAGCGACATTCAATCCAAGCACCAATGACCCGGTTTTGCTTGCCACCATATTATTTATGGGTGCCACATATGGTACCCGTGAGGCACATCAGCTGGCTGTTGGAGTCCACGATACACTTCGAATTCAGCTTCTCGGTCATCCAGACTTTTCACCCCAGCCTGATCTCTGGGTTCTGCAAGCGATGCTTCTCATTGATTGTTTTGGGAAAATGAGAGCAGGTCCAAAGCAGCGCGAAAGAGCTCAGCTTTTCCATTGCGTTCTGATCAAGCTTATCCGCCGCAGCAACTGCTGTAGTATTCAGGACGCCTCCCATTTAGCTCAGTCAGACAACCTGGATGAAGCATGGAGACATACCATGGATCTAGAGCAGAGGAAGCGTGTGGCGATGCATTGCTTTATGTGGGATACTCAGCACGCTGTCTTATTTTCTCAGTCTCTCTGTATGTCGGCTTTCGAGATCAGATCTTGCTTACCCTGTAGTAGTGCCGCATGGGAAGCATCCTCGGCTCGAGAATGGGCTCTCCTAGCTGCCCGTGAAACGTGTCGGCCATTTTTGACCGTTCTAAAGGGATACATCACGCCTCAAGCTTTGTCGCGACCTCGGGATTTAAATGCTTTTGCGCGCACAGTGATTCTTCATGGCTTGATGTCAGTTTCAGCAGATCTCAAACGCCGTGACCAGACTACTCTTCGGTCGGAAACTCCAGAAAGAGTTCGAGCTTGGACTCCACGTATGAGTCGCTCATATGATCTCTGGAAAGTGGACTTCGATGCAGATTGTCTTTCTATGAAATTGGCTCAGACCGCAGACCCACGGCGCTTCACGGGACTGAAGATGGCCGCTCATGCTTTATATCACGCAGCCTGCCTAGCATTGAACGTTGAGGTCTTGGACTTACAGATTGTTGCGGGCGCAAATCAAATCCTTGGACGCAATGTCACCCCAACTGATCAATCGCGTTCCCACCGCAATATCCTTCGTTGGCTACATGAAGAATCTAGTGCATCCTCAAATGCAGCGCGACATTCCTCGAATCTCCTCCAAGATGCCGTTCTGAGTCTTCACGACTGGGATCAAACCGATTCTTTTCACTTTCCTTGGTGCTTATACCTGGCAACGCTGGCCTGTTGGGTTTTCCATCGTGGAATGGATCTGTCATCGTCAGAACATCGGATATCGACAGATCTCTCCTCGCTGATTGTTATGATGACCAATTGCCCCAGTGAGACGGAATTAGCCGCTCTATCGGGGAAATATGATCCCAAACCACTGGCAGCGGCGATGGCACAACAGTTGGCAACAGTACGATGGGCAGTAGTACACGATGCAATGAAAGTTTTAGTAGCGTTGTCTTGATATATTTTTTCATGTATAAATAACATTGAATCTCAGATTCCAACTTGAAGCAATCTTTCTCGGTCACTACTCTATTTAGTGTAGAAAGGGTAATCCGTATATCCCTTCTCAGCAGGATCCGCTCCATAGAATGTCGATCGATCATACGGGTTCAATGGCAGACCTTCCTTCAACCGCCGCGGCAGATCAGGATTTGAAATAAAGTACCGTCCAAAGGCAACTGCATCAGCACCATCATTCAAAACCTTTTGTCCCACATTCCCGGGATTGAAGTTGCCATTCGCCAGGAATAAAATACCAGCCTTCTTCAGCGTTGGACGGAAAATATCCAAAGATGGTTTATCCGAGGGCAATGAGCCAATCTTAGCCTCTTCATCAAGTACCTCGTCAAAACGAGGCTCAACCATATGAACATAGATTGGCTTAGACTCAGCGGGAAGACTGGCAATCTGGGAGCAGAGCCAGAGCCAGTGCGCGTTGGGATTGGAATCGCGCGTATCTTGGAAGAAATTGTATGGTGAAAGCCGAATTCCTACACGGTCGGAACCAATCGCTGCAGTGACTTCTTTGATGACTTCGAGAACAATGCGAGAGCGCTTCTCGATCGATCCGCCGTACTCATCTGTGCGCGTGTTGACGTTATCGTGGAGAAACTGGTCAAGAATATAACCATTCGCACCTAGATTCATGTTAACATATGCACATGTAACTTTCAAGTTTCATGGATTTTTTGGGCAGTCTTACCATGAATTTCCACACCATCAAATCCAGCCTGGATGGATCGTTTCGCTGCTGCTCCATACTCTTTGACCAGTTCTTGAATTTCTTCCACAGTCAATGGCCTCGGTGGTGAGTCTGCAAAGGCCGTACCATCTAGCGCATTCCCACGGAGTGGAATGTCACTTGCACCAACAGCTTGCTTTCCTTCGAGAAAAGAAGGCACAGTAGCTCGGCCGACATGCCATAGCTGACACAGAATCAAGCCCCCCCTTAGCATGCACAGCATCGGTGACCTTCTTCCAGCCTGCAATTTGAGACGCGGTGAAGATACCTGGAACTCCGGGATACCCAGCAGCCTGAGATGTCAGTTATAATATTTTTAAACTGTCAGTGGGTCTATGTACTCACCAATCTGCTAATTGGAGTTGCCTCTGTGAGCATGAGTCCGCCGTCAGAAGCTCGCTGAGAATAATATTCCACATTGAGATCATTGGGAACAAATACACCATCCGACTCTTTCGTGGCACGCATGCGAGTACATGGTGCCTGAATCACACGGTGCTTGAGGGAGAGAGCTCCCAGGCTAAGTGGTTGGAAAAGAGGTCCGATGGAATCTATGGAGCCCATTGTGAATGACAATTGATTATTGAAGTTGTTTAACTTCTACGATAGATGCGTTCCAGCTATTAATACTACAAAATTTGCAGATCTTGCTCGAACGCTCCCATTATTGACCAGCTACGAAAGTGGGATAATAGTGGAATTTTCCCAGTGGTCTCCCACTATCGATGCATAGCTAAATGCAGATGCAGCCTCACCCCCACCATTCACGGTGGCGGCTTCATGTTAGGCCAGGTGGATCCCCCACTCTCGGGCCTTACTATGGGCACCACTCGAAGTTTGGAAATGAATCAGAAATTTTGAGTCACTGAATACATCGTGTAGACCAGGAATCCAAGTCCGGAGGACAAATTATCAGACATATGGAAATGCAGGTCATTATGGCGAGATAGTATGGTTCAATTGGAAATTCAATCTAGCTTGAAATTCCTCTAACCCAAGGCTCAAGTTTCGAGAGTCGGATGATGGAATAATATGAATAAAATGTCATAAAACATGATATTTCTCTACATGCTATTTACTTCATAAATGAGAAATACTCTTCTATCCACTGCCCGGCTGGACCTGCAGCGTCCAATCCCCAATTTCGGATTCCTCCGCAGTAGCCATCCGGCCGTATAATGGCAACTCCAGCTTGGTCACTTCGTAGCTCTCCAAACCATTTCGCTGTACAATATGAGGTATCTACATCGTCTAGATATAATGTCCACCGACTGTCTTGCAACAGCTGCGGTAGATCGGCAATCTCAAAATCAGATCTGGCAGATCGAGTGACCATCGCGTAAGTACACAGCTCGGACACTGTGGTATATCTGCTGGGTGTGATAAAGTCGTCTGCTAGAGCTTGACCTCTTGGCTTCTTGATGTATGATTTCTTTGCCCCAAGCGTGCTAATTTCAGCCAGACCTTCACATAGCGTTCCCAGAAATTCCAAGGAGGCTCGAACGTCTGGTACGAAAAAGTAGATTCGGAATTGGCTAAGCAAAGGAATATCAAGCTGGATATCCACTGGATTTGCATCAATGTATCTGGTCACCTTGGCTGGAAGCTGCAACTCGCCTGGTTGTAGGCGCGTATGGGTGTCGGTCTCTTTGCGGCTTAGAAGACCTGTGGAGTACTCTGCTCCAACTCCCGAAATGAATCGAATATTGTCGTCAAAATTCTTGGCGAGAGCTGTTTCTCCCTGCTCAAAGGCTTTGCAATGCTCTGTGTCGAAGTCTATTAGATCATTCGCGATCTTTCTTCTTTCCTCTTCGTATGTGGCTAACAGAGATGGCTGGGCCAAGTCGCGGCTCACAAGATTAAGCTTCCATGCCAAATTGAAGCTATCGTGCATGCTTGTATTGGCACCCTGAGCTGCTAAAGCGGAGTGACAATGACCGGCCTATATGATGTTAGATTGAAAAGATAAAGGCAGGCCCGTGATAGTTTGATGTCAACACTCACATCACCAGCAATGAAGATCCTTGCCTCTGGATCCATGAAATGCTTTGCAACTCGCTGTCCTACCACGTAATTGCCAAACCATTCCACACTCTTCCATTCAAGGTTGAAAGGATGCATCGCGTCTCTGGCTCGCTGCATAACATAATCAGGTGTTGCCTTGGACTTATCCACTCTTTCACCGTCTGTCGCACTGAGCTCAACGTATAGTCGTGTCATATTCCGTTCTCGAGGGATCCAAAGAATCGATCCAGCCAAATGGGATCGGACTGCAACTTTGCTCCAAAGATCTGGAAAATCAGTCTCAATAACTCCTGCATCTATCCATTAGCACAATTCTAATGGTAAACTCGCAGCTTATGTCACCATCTAAAACACCCCATGAGGCATTGGTCATTTCACCCTCAAGTTCAGCATCAGGAATAAAGTTCCGGACCTTCGATCGCGCGCCATCACATCCAGCCAGATACTCCGCACGAACAGTCTTTGTTGAATTCGTTGATAAGTCTTCATAGACAATATCCAGCTGGCCCGTCCCGGCTACCCGAGAGCAAGATGAGAATCGTGCGTTTCGCGTCACGAAAACACCTCTCGCTTCCATATCGTCAATCAAAATTTCCTCGATCATGCCTTGGTGTGCGAGGAGGATATAAGGATCGGAGGCTCCGACAAGATGCTCGGGGTAGTGAGTTTGGCGACCGGTTCGACGGAGAGGCTCATTTACTGTGGATTGCTTCATACAGTGAGCGACGCTCAGATCTCAGTTAATTGATTAGTACATACCCAGAATGAAATATCATACACTCGAGCCGCATTCTTCAACAATGGCTCGGCCAGTCGCATCTGCTTGAAAGTCTCAATTGTCTTTGGCTGCATGCCATCTGCCTTCCCTGTGGAGGTTTTATCCGGTCGGTCATCGAGAATAAGAACTTCAATTCCAAATCGAGCAAGATTGCATCTGAAAAAGTCAATATTTATGAAAAGTTCAACTGAAAAAAGTCCACCTACGCGAGCATCAAACCGGATGGACCTGCCCCAACCACCACAACGGTGGTAGTGGCGTCCACCGCACCAGCAACACTATATACTTCAAGATCTGCACCAGGAGCCATATTTCTGGATCTCTTTCCACCTAATTGATTGTGTATAGTCTGGGCTCTCTTCATTGTTATGTGATTCTTGAATTATAAGGCAGCTCTACTTGCAGATGCGGAGAAGTTTACCCCCACTCTTGTGAATGTATCTCATTCTCGATTCTCCACTACCATCGGGTTACTCCCCCATCTACAACAATGTCCTGTCCCGTCATGTATGCACTCGCGTCACTAGCTAGAAAAACGCATGCCCCCATTATATCCTCCGGCTCGGCGATCCGTCCGTTCATTGTTTCGGATTTCCAGTTTTCGAGAAGATGGGGGAACTGCCAATTAGCTGTGTTTTATCAGTGTTGGGGGTGTAGCTTACAGAGGCAGTCATTTCGGTTCGTACATAGCCAGGAGAAATTGAATTTACTCGAATTTTCTGCAGGGAATCAGTTTTCTGCTCTCTTGGGTTGAGCATTTGGGTACTGACGTATTCAGCGAGCTCTTTTGCGATCGCTGGACACATCGATCGGACTGCGCCTTTGGTTCCACAGTATGCGCTGCACAATTGACTGCGTATGGCAATAAGACTAGCCATGCTAGACACCAGAATAATGCTTCCATGCTGAGTACCATTCGCGATCATCTGCTTCGCGGCCAACTGCGCGGTAAAGTATAGTCCGAGCACGTTGATAGAGAGTAAATCTTGGTGATCTTTGTAGGTGAACTCGAGGAACGGTAGATGGCGGTTAATCCCAGCGCAAGGAACACAGATATCGAGCGCGTTATTGAAATCTTTTTGGAATTGTTCGAAGCCAGATTCGAGCGATTCTTGTGATGAGATGTCCACTCTGTTCAAATTAGTAATTGATAAAGTGCAGGTATAGAGCACTCACTTATAGTATGCTGTTTTCACATTATACTCTTTTTCAATCGATTGAAATCCTTCATCGGGTGAAATCACATCAAAGATAGCTACAGCTGCGCCTGCCTCTGCTAGACCTCGAGCAAATGCTAGTCCGCATCCTCGAGCGCCTCCAGTGACTAGTGCTGTTCGACCTTGGAGGGAGAACTGGACTATGAGCTGAGGCATACATAAACTGTAGAGGCACATACCTTTGACATATTGAACCTTAGCTTTCAGATTATCAGTGTGATAGGTCCTTTAATTTCTTTTGATGAAGATGACCTGCCTTCAACCCCTCAGATATAGCTGTCAAGGAAGCATTTGTAGATATCGGGTATCGGCAGCCGGGATGCATGAACTAACCCCCATTTTTGTCCCACCAGGAGCTTCGTATTAATTGCAACAGATATTAAATATCCCAATGGTTCACAAGCAGCTATGTGAGATAAGTGTCGTGGAAATCTCATATCAATCTTTGAAAGTTCATCCGGTACTCATCTATCACCATGGCTCCCCAAATCCACATCAAACAGCGGCAAGCTCGCTCCGAATCATGCCAACTTGAAATTCTAGTAGTTGGCGCAGGCCTCGCAGGTCTTGGAACTGCCATTAGCTGCGCCCTATCTGGACACAAAGTACATATCCTTGAAGCGACGTCGGAAATCAAAGAAGTTGGAGCTGGCATTCAAGTTTTACCGAATAGCTCGCGGGTTCTCCAACACTGGGGCTTGGGAGAAGCATTGAAACCCCACATGACGCTTCCACAATTCTGCAACTTTATTGGATGGAAAGGAAATTCAATTTCGTCTTTGGACTTCCACGAGTCAGAAAAGGGTTATCCTGGGACTTGGTATGGCGATTTTCATCGTGCGGACCTACAACGATGCCTAGTAAATCGAGCTTTGGAATTGGGTGTCAAGATGACATGCAGTGCGCGTATCATCAATATTCGCGTGAGTCCAGATGAGACTACAGCGAAGGCAGTTGCTGCAGATGGACGGGAATGGGAAGGCGATTTGGTACTCGGTGCAGATGGCGTGTTTGGGAAATTGACAGAGGAGCTTCTGGGGCGTAGTGATCCACCTGTTAAGACGGGCGATCTTGCCTATCGCTTGCTTCTTTCGACAAAGGAGATGAGGAAGGACCCAGAGCTTGCACCGTTCGTTAATAACCCTCAGGTGAACTACTGGCTTGGTCCTGATCAACATGCTGGTATGTATTTACATTTTTCCATCTTTTGGGCTATGCTGACTATACAGTGAACTATGTTCTTCGTGGAGGAGAGCTGTTTAATATGGTCCTGCTTGTTCCTGATGATATACCCGAAGAGTCGCTTGCCACTACAATTGAAGGAAATGTTGAAGAAATGTGTGCATTGTATGAAGGCTGGGATCCAAGGTATGTGCAGCTGGTTTTGCGGATTATCTTCTTGGATTCATTTACAGCTGCTAAATTTCAACTAGAATTCAAAAATTGCTCAAACTGTGTCAATCGGTACAAAAGTGGCGTCTATGTATCCGATTTGGAGACTTCAACTGGGCTCACTCATCAGGAGCTTGGATCATGCTCGGTGATGCAGTGCATGCTACTCTCCCGTATTTAGCTTCAGGGTATGTCTTACTCCTGATATTCTGGATATATTGCTCATAAAATTAGTGCCGGTATGGCCTTTGAAGACGGCGCCGTCCTCGGTGAATCCCTTTCACGACTTCCAAATAGTCCTAATATTACCAAGACCTCCCCCGAATTCCTCGCAGCAAAGCGACACGCCCTAGGTGTTTTCCAGGAATGTCGCAAGCAGCGGACAAAAATGGTAGTTGAGAGAGGCAATGTTCAGCAGTATCTCTACCATCTACATGACGGGCCAGAACAAGAGGAAAGAGATCGCAAGATGCAGATGGTACCTACACCAGAAGGAGAGGCTTTGGCTTGGAGAGATCCCGGTCTAGCACCCAAGCTTCTAGGATACGATCATATCGCAGATGTGAGTTTCTCATCTATTTTCGCTATCCAGCCTGATTTAGCTAATAATGATAGGTTGATCGATGCTGGAAAATTCTACCGTCTCATGATATGATAGAGTCTCGGCTTTAGATAGTTTGTATAGGAATCAAATTGATACAATCAGTTTTGTGGTGTCAGCTATACCTTAGCAGATAATTTCGAGTTATCGTAGATTAACACTCCACTGCCCCCATTCTTGTTTAGCAGTGTATACGCTAGCTGCAAGTAGATACAAGCTACATTACCCCATTCTTGAAGCCTTGTATACAATATCTTCCCCGCACGTTGATATGGTATATAGCTGACCTTGAAAATTAACGATAGCGCGCTGATTAATTTAAAGAGCTCAAGCCGACAGCCGGAACTATCTCATCAGTGTATTGAATCGATCAAAATGTGGAAATACTTCAACTGGGGAACGAGCACACCACAGAAGGAGACCGCCCCAAGAGGTCTCCCCTCATCATGGTATCGGTCTGAAGCTATGTATCAGTTAGAGCGACGCGCCATATTCTCCAAAAGATGGCTTCTTCTCACGCACTCTAGCCGGTTCAACAAACCAGGAGATTATCTTTCCTTCACGGTCGCCAACTTATCCTTCTTCCTCATCAAAGACCGCGACCATAATATCAATGGTTTTCACAATATCTGCCGTCATCGCGCATTCCCTGTCGTCCAGTTCCGCTCCGGATCAAGTTACATACTAAGCTGCAAATATCACGGCTGGTCCTACGGCCTGAAAGGAAACCTCGCAAAGGCCCCTCGTTTCGAGACAGTCCCAGAATTCGATAAAACTCAGCAGGGACTCCACCCAATAAATGTCCACATTGATAAAGCTGGGTTCATCTGGGTAAACCTCCAGGCAGGTGAACCGGATGTGAAATGGGAGGAGGAGTATCAACGAATCGATGAGCAGCCCCGAATGCAGGACTTTGACTTTGGGGGAGAATACAAATTCGACCATTACTGGGAAATGGACGTTAAAGCCAACTGGAAGGGCTTGATCGAGAACTACAATGAGTGTTACCACTGCGCAACTTCTCATCCCCTTATCAGTGGAGTGTCCGATTTACCCCGATATCGAGTCGAGCCGAACGCCGGATACATGGAGCATCATATCTTCAATAAAGAGCAGATTGATAGTCAGTTCCGAAGGGCTATCACCTATTTTTTCCCTACCACCTCTATCACAGTCACGTAAGTGGGGTCCAATCCTAGTCTCGAGGGATTCAGCTAACGGTAGTAGTGACAAGTTCTTCTATATCCAACGCATGGTTCCCTTGACAGCCACTACGAGCAAGGTCGAAAATGAAGTATATCGGCATAAGGATGCAACTAATGAGGAGTTCGAGAATATCAATGCATTCTACAGACAGGTGCTAGATGAGGATAAGGAACTTTGTGTTGGAACGCAGGAGAATCTGAATGGTGGTCTCTTTACGAATGGAGAGCTTCATCCGAGCAAAGAGAAGGTATTATCTCTGTATCCCTGCTCCTTTCAAATTGCAACTAACGGATTACAGGGCCCAATTCATTTCCAGAATAGTGTCCGGGAGATGGTTATGGAGCATCGGAAGAAAGAGGAGCAACAAGGAGGCCAGGAGATTTGGCCTGCGGTCCCTAAAGCTGTCGAGGGCATGACACAGAAGCTCGCCGAGGAAGAGCAATTTTGCTCTCAATTAGAAGCTGCAAGTTGTAAGAACATACCGGAGCTCGCATGGTAATATGTCTGGATTATGTGTGGTTGAAACTTCTTAAATTATGCCATTATGATAATTTAGTATGATGCGAACGCCCCTCTTAATGCTCGACATCTTCCCAATTCTCCCATCCTCGACCCTGGACCTGTGCCAACTCTGTATCTGTATACTTCTTGCCTGTGGTGAAATAACCAGCATTAATCTTGGCATCAATCTCTACACGGGAATCGTCGGGGATCATATCTGTTTATCAAAATCAGTAACCGAAACAAATTTTGAGAATTTCTGTATTCGACGTACGATCTGGAATGGGGATTCTTTCCAATATGGGAATTCCTTGATCCACAATCGCATCATGCTTCATGTTTGACATGGAGAGCATGCGATCGATCTTCTTGACACCCAGCCAGTGGAGAATGTCAGGCATCAAAGCTTGAAATCTCATCTAATAATGAAGGTTTTGGTTAGCCTCCATTCAAATTTTTGGGCCAATCGGCGGCTTAACTCACGTCTCTCACTCCTGCGATGTTCTCCGTGCGAGCAAAATATTTGTCGGCCGTATCACCACCACGCTTGCGTGCATTATAAACGAGATACTTCACGACCTCACCCAGCGCGCGTCCTTCTTTTCGAAAGTAAATCACAACTCCAGATCCACCATTCTGGGCCTCCTTGATAGCTTCCTCAATACCAAATGCTAGGTATGGTCGGCATGTGCAAATGTCAGATTGGAAAACATCTGATCCGTTGCACTCATCGTGAATACGAAGAGCAAGCTTGACGTTGGGATCTGACACCTTCTCGGGTGCTCCAAAGATGTAGACAGTCAGGCCACCAATAGGAGGTAAAAAGACTTTAATATCTGGGCGAGTAATCAATTCCGGGAAACTTCCACCACACTGCTCAAAGAGCGTGCGTCGAAGAGTACCCTCATCGATTCCGAATCGCTCGGCAACACCAGGCAGGTACCACACAGGCTCGACTGCTGCTTTTGTCACGCGAACATCACCTTCTTTACTAATCACGATATCCCCATCAACTTGTAGTCGACCTTCACGAATAGAATCGGTAATTTCAGCCAATCGCATCGTGGCCCGTGTGACAGCAATAGTCGGCCGAACATCGATTCCATCATCAAGATGCTTCTTGAAATGCTTCACCGTGTCGTGACCGAAGGGATCCATAGCAACGATCTTCGTCTTATCACCCCAAGCATCCTGCGGAGGAAAATTGAAGATGGGCTGGGTATTTTCGAAACTGGGTTTGAAATCGGGAGGAAGGTCACCGGCGGCAACTGCTAAAGCATTGTAGATTGAATAACTTCCGCCGTGTGCGCCGATAGCATTGCGGCGTGCGATGGTCTTCTTGTTTCGTGAAACTAGGACTGGGCCTCGTTCTTCGGGATTTATCTTGCCCCATTCTAGTGAGATTGGGTTCACCACGCTTTGACCAGGGTAGGTTGTCAACTAGATCGGTGTTAGCTTAAGCTTTTAAATAAACTGTGAAATTGTCATAGCATGAAGCTCCGGAACTGACAATTATGCGCTCCCCATGTCGGGAAGTATCTCTTGTCATCGTGACTCAAGTGTAACTGTGTGAGTTTTGGATGATTGGACTGATGGTGTACGGAAGAGGCAAAACAGAACACACGGATATTTGACAGATATTTGAGGAAGCGAGACAGGGTATCAAGAGAAATATATAGTCTCTATGAGCAAAATACCTCCTAGGAAATGACGACTGGTCTAATCTCAACTGCCTGTAGATCCAAGTTGCGATAAAGATAAGATAACTCGATAAAGGTGGTGATAAGCGATAAGATAAACCATTGACTCTATCTTATCTCTTCTTATCACACCTTATCATTCAGATAGCGAGTCAAGAATCAAGATCCTAGGTAGTACAAGGCTCTCACTGACCAAGTTATTCTCAAGTGCTTCCAAGGTTAATCTTACATTCATTCTGACAGTTGGTACGTACTTTATCTATCCTTGAGATTATTCGAATTGAGAGTAAGACAAATCATAGTTTCAAATTTTGCAAATTCCGGTTTGCTTTATTCATATACGAGCAGCTATCACGATTCCAGCTCGATCGACGCCTTAAAAGCTGTTACCAAAGTTCCAGTCATGTTTATACACAAAATAGAAAAAATAATCATATCTCATACATAAACAAATAAAAAAGAGAAGAAACACTTGATCCCTTGTAATCAGAAGTTCAATCTGAATTTCTGCCTCCTAGACTCCAGACTCCAAAGTCAACACTGCATCCAGCATAGATTGGCAATCAGATCTTGTCATTTCCGTTGACATATGGATCATCTCCATATACCTCGTTCTCATCTCCAGCAGTGACAGCCATCCGTCCCTTGCTCGTCCGCAGCAACCCTTTACTAGCATCAACCAACGGATTAGCCCACTTCTCCTTTCCATCCACCATAACCTTGAAAGTCGTAGCAGCTATTCCACTGGGATGATAGTTTGCATAGATACTCTCCCATCTCTGAGCGGGGGCCTGGTAAACCTCATGCATGATACTAAACATGCGTCCTTCCTCCGTCTTCCCTTTACCCATAATTTCCTTGTTCCAGTAGTCCCATGCCTCGCGATGCGCGCCATCAGGCGCGTGCGAGAACTTATGAAGACCTTCGTATGAGCGAAAGTATGCGAGTATCATTATCTCGTTTGATGTGGCACGCTCATTTGCTAGGTATCTGTTTGAGCCAAGATACTCGAAGTGGTCACTGTTGTTGTCGAGTTCGTCAATCATTCGATCGAACATCTTGCCAACTACTCGCATGTGTCGGTGCAAAACCCCCAGTGGGTGATTACTGCGCATGGCTAGCTTGATTACGACAATCGGCTGTTGTGATGGCGCCGTACTGTCTGGGAACTGTGCACTGGTTTTGCCGGGGATCACCCCGTGCATATATGGATTTGGTCGTACGCCATGCCAGATGAGAATGACGTCGAGGAGGCGGCTGAGGAGGTAGAAGACTGGAGGGAGAATGGCGAGGCGTAAAGGGAGGAATAATAGGAGTGCGCATTGTAGAGATGCACCGAGGGAGACCCAAGTAGGTATTGTGAGAGCATCACGCAAGAACTAGTATGGCTGTTAGTCGGGAAGGTGTAAGATGTCTCGGAAGTGGGACATGCATTGAGTTGGCTAGGACCTTCGAAAAATTGCGACCGAGGTCTAGAATCTGACGGTGGTAGAATCGCTTGGAAGGTAGACATGGCTGATATCGTGGATCCCTTGTCTTAGGGTTGAAAATTTGGTGTTGGAATGCTCTCGTTTTAATGTGCCAGTTTAACGCTTAGAAACTTGAAGTGGATGTAATGGGTTTTGTGTTGCACAATGGAAGACTGATCAGTCAACGTGTGCGAAGGCAACATACAAGTACGTAAATCGTACGATTCTATCATTAGAACAGTCTCATGAATTCACATTCCTCTTCATCCATCCCATCAAACGATCAAGGGCTTGATGGAATCGGGGCCGAGCCCCTATTAGGGAAATGTACAAATGTCAGAGCAGAAAAACTCCGATTCCTTCACGGAAGTTTCCTGGCTGTGCAAAATCCAAGATCAGCAGTACGCCTTAGGTCTTCAATATGTATATTCGTTGGCTTCGCCCCATCTCTCATAAGGTCTCCAGACTATGGAGCCAATGGCGATCTCGTATTACACCCCTTGGACCCCGACCCCCGTTCGGAGTAGTCCGTGTTGGTGGGTCCAACACGCTCGAGCAAGCTTTTTACTAGTTCCTAGAGAGGCTAATAAGCATCCTTTGGTAAATCCTTGGTTAATTTCCTCCCGTCCTGTGGGCACTCACCCGTACCAAGACGCTGATCTTTATGTGTCGCATATTTCCCCAACTAAGATCCATCGCATTAAGATGAAACACCGGCGTTCCTTCGGCATTTGCAAAGTATTTGTAAACCCACAAATGGCCTCAGCGGGGGCCTGCAATATATGTATGGTGATATGTTTGACGTGAAATGTTACCTCATCAGACTTGGCGAGGTCTGGAGATTGACCGGCCGCGTCATGACATCAGTTGTGGGTGGTAAGCTTCGAGATCATCTGGGGCCAATAATGATGAAGCTGTAAATAGAAAGTATCTTCATTTCAATGGGCCTGATTCCAAATGTTTTTTTTTGAGATCAGTTCGGGTCAGGCAATGGAGTAAGCCACACGGTCACCCTGAGAGCCCATGAACAGGCCAATTTGACGCTATTCAGGGCAGTCTTGGAGAAACAGATCAAAAACAATCCATGGAGCTTTCCATTGATTTGAGGGTCGCTCTCATTGCTGGAAAGCATACATTGCGTCATGACCGTTGGCCGACGGCGATAAAATAAATGGCAAACTTAGCCGCCACGTCGAGACTGCCGATCTTGGGTCCATAACGGGGCCAATAAGTGAAACTTGGACCCTTGTTATGCGATATACGCAGACATTCAGAGATCGACAAATACATCTGACGTGCATATTCCCGAAACGAAGGATAAGAGTAGGGTTTCAAAAAAGACCGACAAAGACCAAGGGTGATCCCGAGGTCTGGATCATCACGATTCACAATGCTCAATGTTATCCTTATCGGACTATCTTATCCGTTATCTGTTATCAGTATCAGATAACTATGATTGTTCTCCGCATTGATTTGGAGTCACCCCCGCTTTACACCGTACATCGGAGATCGAGTCAGCTGATTTATAACAGAACCCCTCCTATTAGGACCAGTTGAGATTCAAAGCTCACCTTAGAGAATAATCAATTCCTTCAAAAAAAAAATAACGCGAAAAATGGCTCAACCTTCAAAAGTGGACAGTGTCCTCGGCACCTCCGCCACCTCCTTCCCTCATTCCCATGAACAGATATCCGAGCCCAAGGATACTCCGTATTTCGTCGATAACGAATTTCGATTCTCCAGCAGCAATGACTTCATCGATATCCATGATCCGGCAACCAATAACTTGGTATCGCGGGTTCCGAAAATGACCAAATCCGAGTTGGAGGACGTTGTGGCATCTGCAGAGAGAGCCTTCCCTGTGTGGTCATCTATGTCTACAATCGCCAGACAGCAGGTCATGTTCCGATATGTGGGTCTTATTCGGGAACACTGGGACCGACTCGCAGCTGTCATCACTCTGGAACAAGGAAAAACTGTCTCTGATGCCAAAGGCGATGTGCTTCGAGGATTGCAAGTTGCCGAGGCCGCTTGTGCAGGTCCGGAATACATGAAGGGAGAGGTTCTCGAAGTTGCAAAAGATATGGAAACTCGAACATACAGAGAACCACTGGGTGTCGTTGCCGTGGTCTGCCCCTTCAGTCAGTACTCCTCTTCCCTGTTTCCTGTGATCATCAAATATACTGACTGAATAGACTTTCCTGCTATGATTCCTCTGTGGTGCATTCCAATTGCTACCATCACTGGCAACACTGTTGTTCTTAAGCCATCTGAGCGAGCACCTGGTGCGGCAATGATTCTAGTGGAGCTGGCTGAGAAGGCCGGGTTTCCTAAAGGAGTCATCAACGTCGCACATGGTGCGCATGACACCGTCAACTTCATTTTGGATTCTCCCGTCATTAAGGCGATCAGCTTTGTTGGAAGCAACAAGGCTGGTGAATATATCTTCGCCAAGGGCTCGGCGAACGGCAAGCGGGTCCAAGCAAATCTTGGTGCCAAGAACCATGCTGTCGTTTTACCCGATTGTGATAAAGATTCCACATTGGATGCTATCATCGCTGCGGCATTTGGAGCAGCTGGTCAGCGGTGTATGGCCCTCTCCGCTGTTGTTTTTGTGGGCGAAACACAGAGCTGGCTACCTGAGCTGGTTGAACGAACTAATGCCCTCTCTGTGAATGGTGGCTTTGAGTCTGAAGCAGACCTTGGTCCGGTCGTGACTCCAGAAAGCAAGACCAGGATTGAGAGTCTAATTGCAAGTGCTGAAAGTGAAGGTGCAAAGCTTCTTCGTGATGGTCGTGGGTTCAAGCCACCAAAGTATCCCAACGGTAACTGGGTTGCTCCTACAATCATCAGTGAAGTCACCCCGTCTATGCAATGCTACAAGGAGGAGATATTTGGTCCAGTCTTGGTCTGCCTTCAGGTCCAGTCTCTTGATGAAGCTATTGAGCTTATCAATGAGAATCCATATGGCAATGGTACTGCTATTTTCACATCGTCTGGTGTTTCAGCTGAGAGATTCCGAAAGAATATTCAGGCTGGCCAGGTTGGTGTTAATGTTCCTATTCCTGTGCCTCTGCCGATGTTCTCTTTCACCGGAAATAAGGGAAGTGTTGCTGGTGGAGGAGCAAACACCTTCTATGGAAGACCTGGTGTCAATTTCTACACGCAATTGAAAACGGTCACTTCTAAATGGGCAGGTAGAGATGGTCAACCTGCAAAGACGACTCTCTCGATGCCTACCCATTCGTAGGTATTATCGCAATCAGTTTTAATGAAGGTTAATACTACAGCAATCAAGTTCCGAGTGAACCAAAATATATACTAGTCACTATTTACTTCCAAAGTTGAAAATCTTAACCGTACTAGGTATTGAAACAATTATGACGCCACTTTATCCATAGATGTAATATCAATAGTACGGCCACTAGTAGCCTCTTCGAAATGCCAAAGGCTATATATTCATATATATTCAAGTCCAAATGTTGGTACCTACTAGGTAATTAGTCTCAATTTGCTCCCGACTCATACATCCGATGAATAAACATAGAGATCTCGAATACATCCCGAGGCTCTTCGATCTCTAAATTTGTGGTTTTTGCGAACTGAAAAGATCTAATCAAGTCCAATGCCTTTCCAGGGTAAATTCGAGTGTAATGGCCAAAGAAAGTCGAATTATTTGAAAGCGGGTGAGTTTTGGAAGTCCCCCGCATGTAGCTCAGTCCTTCGGCTATCTTATCATTTGCAGTGCTAATCTTATCGATTATCTTATCGCATCAGATGGAAATCTTATCGGTGATAACGAGAGTTATAGATTAGATTTTGTGGAGATCTACAACAATCATGTGCACTTGTATAGATTAACGACTATCAAAGGTAGACTCGATACTGAGGGGCAAGGCAACTAATTTTGCCTAAGCGTCAATGCTCAGAATCTTATAGTTATAGAGCTTGAGACCATTCCATACCCACTTGACTCAGTTTGGCTCTCAATAATCTCAAACAGACATCCTTTGATTCAACATCCTTCTTATAACTTTACCTTGTCTGACAAGATATCATGGCTACTGAATATAATTCAACCTTTTCTGAGGATGATATCAAGGGAGATGCAAGTTTTTACAACAAGAGACTAGTGGTTCTACCACAAGGCAACCATCTACTCAGTCTAATGACCATACTGCGTGATTCAAACACAAGCGTTACCACCTTTGCAGATGTCACAGAGAAAGTTGGTGATCTACTTATAAGTGCCGGTGAGTGTTAGAGCACTCTTCTTAACTTGTCGTCTTTCTGATACACCGTACCTAGCACTCGATATTCTACCAACTGAGAAGATTAGCGTGGTTAGCCCCACCGGTGCTGAGTATCAAGGCGTCCGTGAAGCTCAAGAAGTATGTGCTGTGAGTATTCTTCGAGCAGGAGCAAGCTTAGAGAATGCAATGAGACGTGGATACACGTAAGTATCTCTTCACTTTATCCGAATCACAATACTTACTCTTTCAGTGGACGTTTGAGTTTTGGCAAGATATTGATCCAACGGGATGAGTCTACCGGTCTTCCGACACTCTATTACTCCAAATTTCCGACAGATATTGAGTCAAAGAGTTTGTGACTCAATTTAAAGCGCAAAATTATAGCCAGTCGCTAACTTCTGGTTAGTTGTCATAATTCTCGAACCGATGCTGGCAACCGGGGGCTCAGCCTGTAAAGCTATTGAAACCATCAAGGCAAAAGGTGTACCCGAAGAAAATATTATTTTTGTCAATATTTTGGCTTCACGCTGCGGGTTCAAGAAACTATTTGAGAAGTTCCCCTCTATTCATCTGGTGACAGCTGCTGTGGATGAACATCTTACGCCTTCATAGTATGTCCAAAAGGAGACCCTCGAGATGCATGTGAAATCGGCTAACATTTTACAGTCATATTAGCCCAGGTCTAGGGGACTTTGGGGATCGGTTTTATGGGACGAATGAATGACTGCTATGAAATACATACTATTGAGGGTTGCATTTGGAGATTACGATTACAGCTTGACATCATTGATTAATGTATTTTACTTCGTATCATTCCGCTCAAATTTGCATGACAGATGTATGTTTTAAGATAAAATCCGAAAATATGTAATATAACAAACTATGAAAAGCTATGACAAGCTTACAAGTTTCCTTGTCAAACCGCCAATCTTATGTGAAGACCGAAAACCAAAAGTTATTATAGAGGCGGTTATGCCCCAAAATTAGAGAGATTTAGACTCATTCCACCAAAAGAAACGTCAATTCAGTCAAATGCAAGTGCAGCTGCAGCATTTTTTCCCGGTCCTTTCAGCGAGCTGATAAACAGTTTCACCATTGAAATCATGAATGGAAAAGTCCACCTTTTGAGTTTCGACGAGCATATGTAAGATGTGCACGTTCCCCAAGCCTGCGGCGTAAAACGCGGCTGTTCTTCCGTTGATATCCGGCAGATTTAAGTTGATGCTTGAGACTCTCAGCAATCTCTCAACAATGTAGGGATCATTGGCAATGATGGTGTGCATGAGAGGAGTTCGCTTTCCGTTATCTTGAGAGTTGACATTGAAGCCAGAAGTGCTTAAAAGAACATCCACCAGCTGATGGTTCTGTTTAATCACAGCCCAGGCCAGGGGGCTTACCTCTTCTTTTTCCTCGAAAGCGAGTAGTCATCTCCTCTGGTTCTATTCTTTTAGCAACATGAGTGGAACTCGATGGTCATTGAACTCCTGCCTCTGCGACATGGGGGAGCCCAAAATGCTAGAAAAGTCCTCTGGTAAATCAGTTGAACACGTACGGGCTTCTCCTATGCATGGACACTGCCTGCGCAGAAATAGCTCGTCCAGATCAATGTAAGGGTATGAGAGGAGGAGTTCGAATGCTTCGTCCATCCATACTTGAGATTGAAGGGCGCTCCATAGCAATCTTTTAGCAAAACCCTTGTCGGCCCAGTGCTCGAGAAGAGATCGACTTATCATGGACATAGAAAGTCCTTTCAGTGCTTCCTCTGCCACATTTGTTGGTAGGATCTCGTTGGCAGGGTAGAAAAATTGCTTGGCGAAAGAAAAGCTGACAACTGGAGACAGACCAGGAGCATCGGATCCCATATCCCATTTTGTATCACGATTTCCGCCACTCGAAGAAAACCTTCCAAGACGTCCGAGGCTGGATTGTATTGGAAAAAATCACAAAGCGCCACCCACAGGCTTGGCGAGGGCTCTGATGCATACGCTATATTGCGATTCAAGATCCACTCCGCCTTACAGGCCTGATTTGTTCTTATCAGTAGCGGTATAATAGGAGTGTCTGTGACATTGCCCCGGACAAGGTTAAAAACCTCGCCCACAAGTTCATCATCCTCCTGTTGGATTAAATTTTTGTATACAGTTTCCCAGTCGGTTCCAGTCGAGCCAACCAGACATGAATCGGGGAACCCATTTTTGCGCAACATGTGCGCTATAAACCAGCTCTTACGAGAGGAGGTGGAGTCGAGAGTCATAACCAGGTGGAGAAAAGCGGGCCAGCCATATTTGCCACAAAGTGTCAAATCGATGTCAGGGTGCTGGATCAAAATAGCCAATATCTCCAGGTTGCCTTTCCCAGCTGCACAGGTTAGGGGCGTCTCGAAGTCCCCGTCGATTTTAATCATGCAATTCACATCGGCCAGAGGTTCATCGCCCTCGAGCAACAAATTCACTAGCCGAATCCCAGAGTTGCGGTCGGCCTTTGCTGCAAGGACAAGAGCATAGTTGAAAAAGGTAAGATGCAGCTGGAGGCTCTCCGATCGTCTCACAAATATAAACCTCTCCTATTGTTGGAAGGCCGCAATCTCTTGTTTGGGGAAGCCTTTTTTGTTGAGCACTTCAATAATGCCAGTGTCCTGAGAATGCCCATCTTTCAATATTTCACCTTTAACTAAGCAGTCCGCGATTTCATGAAAGCCAAAGGCGATAGCATTTTCCAAATGATGATAAGAGATTTTCAAATCACAGTGTGGCCACAGTAGTTCAACAATCTTAGTGTGTCCTTGATCAACGGCAAGTTCGAGAAGTCCTGGCTCCATCGCATTGGCCCCTCTAGTAACAAGAACCGTGCATGCATCTAAATGACCGTTCATGGCAGCGAGCCAGAGATGGGTCCTGCCATATTTGTCGTGAGCATTGATGTCTGCCCCTTTCTCAATCTCAGACTGTATATCGAAGATTCTGTCTTGACTTACAGCCGTGTGAAGATCCATCATTGAAACTTTGGCTTTGATTTCTATGAGGCTGTAGTTTGCCAGACCGATTGGCGCGGTGAGCTGTGTCTGTTGTGAAAAAGATTTCCGCCTGCAAAAATGGATGAGGCCACTTGGAAATGTGACGTGTACGGTCGAAAGATCATCATGCGGTAGCAAATATTGATTCGAGCACCCAAACATTGATCTGAGCAACTAGAGAGCTGACATGATTGGGCTAATGCCCCTATCCTGGACGTGTAGCATTTGAGACGTATCATATCACATAATAAACCTCATATTATTTGCTATTTTCTCCTGAGGATCCCGGGGATCGCTATCACTAAAACAAAGTCCCATCCCCCTGAATTACGATGGGACTGGATTTGGTCGATGGACGATACTTTGCAGCAAGCTCCCGTCCTCCCTTCCAAGTTCCAGCTTCTAGCATCTGGGCCATGGTGATTTGGACACCTTGTTTAGCAAAGCGATCTGACACAGTTCCATGAAGCTTGTCCAGTAAAGCAACTGTCATTGCTCGCCACTCCACGATCACATCACTGGTTGCATCAAAGCTTGGTGTTTCCTGCTTCGAATTTGCCTGTCCCTCCTTCAGAATATGATCTCTCAATACAAGGACCCCTTTGTCCACAAAGAGACCACCATTCCGATACTCTGGGAGGCCGGTTCCCAGTTCCATATTTGTCCACTCAAGACCCAGTACCCGAGCAAATGGAACAGACAGTGAGTAGGCGAGCCACTGTGTCAACTTGTGGAAAGGTTGGATATTCAAAGTGTCGTTCTCACTTGTCTTCCCTTTGTTCAATTTAGCCAGAATATCAAGGGGCCACGCGTCACCAATTGGCACACCTGCCACTTGGGTCCGATTCTTTGGCCAAGAGGGCAGGAGTGCTTTTTGGAGAGTTCCCCAGAGAACTTCATAGTGCAATTCTGTCTTTCCATCTCTGTGTTCTAGTATATAATCTGCGTAGACTGTCAGTATGGAACAATGTATCACTGGAAATCAAGCTTACCGACGAGCTTTCCTGGTCGGCCAGTCGAGCCAAAAATCTCAGGAAGATTCAAGAGTGACTGTCCAACACTATTCAACAAGCTTACTCGGGAGACATCACCGATGATCTCATTTTCGGGGGTGATCTGGAAATTCTTCCGGAATGTCTCAACGTCGAGGGTGACAAGACCTTGACCTAGAAGACTCAAATTTTAGCTCTAGATACTCATAGTTTCTCTACGAGTAGTATTGATGAATGACCTACCATCAACAGTTTCCTTATCTCCTGAACCACTGGAGAAAGCTCCAGCCTTGAACATGTACAACGCAGCGACCGCAATTCCCTCACTGCGACCATATTTGTTCCCAGTCCCAGGCTCCGTAAACTGCCAAACATCACCGGCCCCAGCATCCAACAGCACAGCTACAAAGAACAAGTCGATGAGACGGCGAGTAATCTCAACCTTATCGCATCCACCTTCCTGCCAGCCTTGGATAAGCCGATCGACTCGAGGAATCGCCCCAATCTCAAAGTGTTGCCATCGACCATGCGGGGGGATCTTCTCAAAGCTAGATGGACCGAAATCTCGCTGAAATCATCTAGTTAGCCTTCCGTGCATGAAGTATCTTGGAGCTGAGCTTACGTTGATGATACCGGCCACATACTCTGCGACATCGTCCATCTTCTCAGGGTAGTAGACAAAATGGTTCAGCTCATCTCTTGTAGCCGCTTCGAGTACTTGGCTCGCTCGCTCGCGAACAGCTTGGAGGCTCTTCAGGTGTTCAATGTCTGCCATAGTGTCTTTGTTACTTCAGTGATAGAGGTGACGGATGTTCATGAAACGTGTTAAGGAATAGGTTCGATTCCACGGTGAGTAGAGATAAATAAAATGCAAAGTAGAGCCGGAGAATAGAATCTTCACACCGCAAAACGTCCTCGGTGTTACGTACTAACATGCAACCTTCCAAGGGTGTGCTCCGCTCTCCGCTTCTTGTCTCCATTACCGCGGGGATCGATAAGCTCCGATAAGACTACCCGATAAGATATTGTTCACGATAGGATAAGCGATAAGATATCTGAATCCTTATCTTCTTCGATAAGACTATCTATAGATTGTCCTTCTATCAAACAGTATAAAACTCATCTACTTTGTCATTCTTAGCTACGATCAACGAAGAATCTTGATCCTACAATCATCTCCAAAATGAAATCCAACATCCACCTCATCGAGGACGTGGGAGCCGCAATCCTCCTCTCAAAACTCCGCAACCAATCCCTAAATCCATCAATGGTCCGCCACTACGTTCGCGAAATGACAGCAGCCCTCACGAGATACGTGCTTCAAAGACCAGAGGAAGGCGAACGAGTTGCCGTCATAATCATCCTACGTTCCGGTCTCTCGATGGCTGAAGAGTTCATGGATGCGTTTGAGAATACCGACGATACTGTCGCGTTTCATCTTGGGTTATTCCGTGAGAAGGAATCACTTCGCCCGATTGAATATTATAATAAACTCCCTGCGAAGGATCCTGAGATCAAGAGGGCTTATGTTCTTGATCCTGTTGTTGCTACCGGTGGGACTGCGACTGCGGCGATTGATATTTTGAAGTGAGTTGAGAAAATCTATCCGTGCATGACTGTTCTAATTGTTTTACAGGGACTGGGGTGTTGAGCATATCACTTTCTTTTCCTTACTTGGTAGCAAGCAAGGACTAGATCGCGTTTCGAAAGTATGGCCAGAGGGTACGGATATCTTCATTGGTGCTATTGATGATGTACTTGATGCAGAGGGATATGTGCAACCTGGTCTTGGTGATATTGGAGATCGACTCTATGGAACAAATCGAGCTAGATAAACATGTAATATAAATAGTGCATAGATCCACATGAAGATCCCATCTACTCTTGCTTCAATTCTTATCGGAGAATGCCTTGGAGAAATTCTTCTCTGTCGCTCCACTCGTATACTCTTCATCGTGAGGACTCGTCGAATCGTAATACTCTCTGTCGATGCCCAGTTGCTCCCATGCAAGCCCTTTCTCTTTAATCTCTAGCTGGCTCTCTGTTGGCCAGATCTTGCATATGACGTAGTAGGAGACGAAGGAGGTTATGAATGCGGTCAACCAGGCGATATCCATGATGTGTGCTGCAGATGTGGATACGGAGGCACCAAGTTGACCGCAGAATCCGGGGAATGGGAGAGCAATTCCTATACAGTAGGCTATAACGGCTTGAATGTTGACTCCTCCGTGGTACCAATAGTTCTTATTGGCTTTTGTTGGGATGTAGAGAGATCCAATGGTGATGTTACCCTTTGTAAGAAGGAAGTCTGTATAAATTAGTAAATGAAATGTGGATGAGTTTGTCTATCGATAACTTACAGTCGCAAACCATGATCGCCACAACGCTAGCCTGAGATAAGTTAATAAACAGTTCAATGATCGCCGTGACTGCTAACATACCATGAAAAGACCATATCCACTGAGGAAAGTCTCGAATTTGGCGGCAGAGGCAACAATCTTCCAAGGAACCGCAGCCCAAGCGAGAAACTCGACAATGAATTGACCGCGACGAATGTTGATGAAAGAGGGGAAGAGCATTGATGAATCTGCACCGAAAGACATCATATTGGCCGCAATGTTGGTTCCCAGGATCTGAACGAACCATGCGAAGGCGCATAGGAAAACAGCAAATCTAGCTTTGGAAGTCCAGTAGTTATCCAGGATCAAGTTCATCATATCCCATTGGTTCCTGTAATGTAGAGTTAGAGCACGCTCATAGTTCAACCCCGGAAGTTAATCGTACCAGATATCAGTGCCATACTTGAGATTCACGGCACTGGTTGCAAGAATACCAACAGTAGCTGAAATCGTCACAGCAATTGGATTGACAATCTAGAAGAAAAGAATATTAGAAAGGTTTTTCATGTGAATCTTTATTTATGAATTCCGAATCTCACCAGCTGTGTCCAAATAGGTGCGCCGCGCGACTTCGCCCAACGAGCATAATCGGGCTGATTGGTGATCAGAGTAGCAGTGTTTCTAATATTTAGATCAGTCAACTCATTTCATCTTCAGAAGCTATCAGATGGTAACATACCCCATTCCACTGTTAATTCCAGAAAGAATCAACCAAGCTGTCGCACTAGACGACCTCGAGCTAGCAGTGTATATAGTTCCAATATGACCATTCGTGTTCACCATCGCCCAAATAAACAGACCAAACATCGCAGGCAAGGAGACGATAGTCTTGAACCAGAAGAATTGTCGAAGTTGATATGGTCGGAAGTAGCAAAATGGGAGGTGCACAAGCCAGCTGAGGAAAAATGCCAGCATGAGGTTGGTAGTGATCCCGGCGCTGGCGGGAATATGATTTGGGATATTGACGAAATTATGTCCGAATATAGCCCGGAGCATGTTGTACATATACTCTCCGCCGTAGTACACTGCAATTCAAGTTAGCATCAAATTCTACTAGTAGAATACGATTCCCGTGTCTCGCCTTACTTTGCACTGAATACCAAATGACCGCTAAAACTGCTCGTGCGCCCACGAAATAGTAGCTTCCCCACATCCCGAACACGCTTCTAGCCACGCAGGGGAATCCAATACTGTACACGCTCGCTGCGCGTGAATTGAAGGCCATCGCAACGGAGGAAATCATTTGGGATACGAAAATCACAACGATCGCTTGCCACCAATTGAGACCAATTCCTACCATTGTCTTTAGAAATTGTTAGATAAATCCGATAAGCAAGGGTGAAACTGAGCTTACAGATCCCAGTGTCCAATTTGTGAATGAGATAGACCAGTAGAAGGTCACATAATTCCACCAACGCCATGCTATTCATTCTTAGTAACTCGGTCATCCTGCATATGGTTATCGGTGCTCACTTCGCTTTTCCGGTGGTGTAGGTAACAAATCTGGGCGAAATCGTCAGCTGGAGTTCACCGTCAAGATACCACCCGTTCTGTACCTTCATTAACCCATCGTGAATGCTCCAGAGACCCGTCTACCTCCTTGAGCCTCAAGCTCTCCCGTGCCCATCTAAGATACGACATAATCGTGAGTCGTTTATCGTAAGGATGAGAAAATGAAGAAGTTAGAACCCCAGCATAATTAAGTACGGATAAGGCTCATAAGAGATCAGGGTATGTTATCAGGAAAAAGAAAATCCCATCGCTTATCTCCGGTAACTCGTAGGACATGGGGTAATGATAACCCTGGTGGAGCTTTACACCCTAAGAAGGAATAAGCAGGGATTCTTAGCGTCCATAGGTGAGAATGATAAGGCTAGTTTGTGGCAACAGATGAGACTCGATCCAATCATTATTCTGGTTGTGCCGGTCTAAGTTCGACGGTGCATGCGTAAGACACGCGACTTCGACGCCCCAAAGAGGGGGCACCAGAATTCTGTTAGGTCTTGGCTACTACACTACAAAGGACTTAAGAGGAGTAAATGATCTTCTTTTGGATGGTCTCCGTGTTGTTAACTCCACTTTATCGGCTTAGATTGCCAGATTGGCCCGCTTTGCCTCCACTCAGCGGATACTTATCATCACTCTATTTGAGAGAAACCACGGTGAGTAGTTTTTATTTTTGATTCTGGCTTCAAATACTAAACATTTGAAAGAAATAACATTCAACCGAAATCGCTAAATCTCATGAAATAAACGCCGCTATTTTGCGTCATCAGATCGATATACGTACAGTGGGACACACTAAAAATCATTGATCCCATCGCGCTGAGACTGTCTTGGTAGAAGTGAAAAACGGCCAATATGTTTTGCCGGGAGAATGTCGGTCTTGATAAGAGTTAGCCGCGCTTGTATGCCCTTGATAGACAAGTTTCCTTACCTCCCATGAAAGAACCTTTATTGCTTGTTCGTACTGCAGTACCATAGGGAGCTAGAAGAGTTAGCATAAACCTTGACATAGTGGAGTCAGAAGAGTATACCAATCAATGGGATGTTAATGCCAATTTGTCCCACATTGACTTGACGTTGAAATGTTTTTGCATGCTTGCCACTCGTAGTAAATATCGAACATCCATTCCCATCTGAACCAGTTAGTATAACTGAACCTCTGAAAGTATGCCAGGTTCGACTCACATTTATTCTGATTGATTAACTCAATCGCTTCGTCCAACGTATCAACTTGCACACATATGAGCACCGGGCCAAATATCTCAGTCTGATAGCATTCCATATACGTTTCCACACCAGACAAAATAGTTGGACCAAGAAAATTGCCATTGGGATAGTTTGGAACGAATACATCCCTTCCATCACACAATAGAACCGCGCCCTCTTCGATCGATCGCTCGATAATGCCAGTTATCTTGGACTTTGCGTCCTTGTCTATCAAGGGTCCAATCTTGGTGTCTTCATCACTACCATTTCCGACCGTCATAGACTTGGCAACATCCACAAGCTTCGGTATCCACCGCGCAGTGTTCCCAACAAATATCGCAACACTGAGGGACATGCACCGTTGCCCTGCAGCTCCAAATGCACTGCCTGCGATAGCGAAGAGCGTTGGCATCATTTCAGCATCTTCTAAAATAACCCCGTGGTTTTTGCCTCCACACTCTGCTTGGATCCGTTTGCCTGCTTTTCGGGCAAGGTCATGAACTTGTCTAGCAGCTGATTCGGATCCGACGAAACTGATAGCTCTCACCAGTGGCTGTAATATTAGCATTTGGGATACCGAATAACCTCCGTGTACTATATTGAACACTCCCGGGGGAAACTCGGCCTTGATGACAGCTTCGGAAATTAGAGCCGGTACCGACACCGCTCTTTCGGATGGTTTGAGAACGACTGTGTTTCCTGTGATGAGAGCATAGGGGATAGACCATAATGGAGTCATAAAAGGGAAACTGAAGGGAGTAATCGTAGCACAGACTCCCTGGTAAGCTTAATTAGTATCTAACTCTGCGCTATTATGGCTGTTGAGTACTTACCACGGGCTCATAGAATGTCTGTAGCATCGTAGGGTCGTTCCCAAGAAACATACCCGCCATCTCAGGGCCAATGGAGCAAGCTGCGTGAATGCAGTCCAAGCCTCTGTGGACTTCGGATTCTGCATCTTCTATTGTTTTGCCCACTTCACGGCAAAGGCTGGCTATCTGTTATCTGTCAGTTCGCAGGTCTTACGTGAAAGTCCATTGAGCTTACAATGAGTGGAGACATCTCTCGTAAGATATCTATTAGCTTCAATAAATACTCTCGACGCGCTTGAAATCCAATACCCTCCCAATCTTCTTGGGCGGCATTCGCAGAATTTACCGCACTCTGGACTTCTTGGTGGGTGGAGCAGGGTACCCTGCAAAGAAGAGCTTGCGTGACCTTGAGGGAGGTTACTAAAATGACGATGACAGTAGAATTATTTTTCATCCCCTATTCACATCATGAATTCCTTACTGGGTCAAGTATGCTAGTCCAATCTTTAGATTTGGACATGACTGTTTTGTTATTGATGAACAAGTGTGCCACAGCAGCGCGCGACTGTGTCGCTGTTGAACTCGGTGAACTTGAACTTTGAGATCCATAGATCGAACCATTGGTAAGATCTAAAAAGAGACTTGGGGTATTTTGAAGCTCAGACAAGCTGGCTAGTACAGCCGACTGGTCAAATTGAGTGACTGTGCGATCATCCTTGCAATGAGTCAATATGGACGTACTTTTTGAAAATGACAAAATTACTTATCAGGGTATCAGCTCTGACCTACCTCTATCAGATAAGCTGGAAAATTTTCAAAAGATGGGAGCATAGTATCTTCAATAGCGATGGCTGGGGTTCGCGGGGTTCGAGCGAATGGGGTAAATCGGCCTCGACGAGGCGGTGCCACTGCTTTTGGCATTTTGTTTCCTATATTCAGGTAATAACTTGACCAATAATAGAGAGATAAGGTATCTAAGGAAGATGTATCTTCCAAGCGCCGGGTGAGTGTCTCTAGACTCGGTAAACCGACCCCTCACGAATGTGCGGGGGACGCTAAGTATGCACAGCCGATCGTTAATGGGACACGTGATACCCTAGAACTATACTTGGAATTGTCGGTGAGGCCTGACCCTTGTAGATTCTGGAATGAGGTTGATTCACTAGTGAGAGCTATTTGAATTAATTCTCATATTTCAAAGCCTCAAAGATAAGGTAAGTTGAATGTTCCTTTAAGCTCGAGGCTCCATACCATCCAATATCTCGTCCAAAATCACTTCTTGTGGTGAATCAGGGGAAGGCCAGACTGAATACTCGCAGAGGGTTTATTAACAGTCAAATTCTGCACGGTGCAGAATCCCTTGAGTCCATCAAACCCCCATTCAGTACCTAGGCTACTCTCCCTATGTCCGCTAAGTGGGTACAGATCAAAGTGGGTATTGATCCATACTGTACCAGCTTGAACTTTCTCCGCGACTCAGTTGGCCTTATCCAAGTTTTTAGTCCAAATAGAAGCACCAAGTCTCACTTTGGAGTTGTTTGCTTGAGCAATGACATCTTGCTCGGGTTTCCAAGATAGAAGAGTAACGATCGGTCCTTTGCGGGGATTCAAGTGTTAGTTTAGATCAGATATATGTTTCCGAACCCACCTTCAAATATTGCTTGAACCCACAAATCTTCATGTTTTCATTCGTCACGATATGAGATTTCTCTGGGGGTCGGTCAATCACAGTTGGAGGGATAAAGTAGCCAGACTCCAGTAAGTGATCGATTTTGCCGCCCACAGCAATGTTCCAATGGTGGTTTTCGATATGCTTCAAAAGATCTCTGACTCGTCCATAATGCATGAGATTTTGAATTGGCCCATGAGTAGTCTTAACTTGAGAACGGTCACCCAGTTTGTACACTTTGATGACTTTCACAAGGGCTGCTTTGAATTCTTCGAAGATGGATCCGTGGACGTAAATTTGTTTGATATTGAGAGAGATCTGAAGCCGCTTAGCTTGGTTCCTTCTTTCATTTCTACTCATAGGTAGGCTATATTGTGGACATACCTGACCAGAGTTGAGAAATGTATAGTATGCCACCTAATACAGTTAGCTCGTATAGGATCAATGGGTTTCTTTTTTGATTTACCTTCTCCGCTATTCGCTCAATATCAACATCAGGGAATATGATTGCAGAATCATTACCGCTCCTATATTTAGTTAGATCCGCATCAAATGGAGACTCCTCGACCCCTTACAATGCTATCTTGTCATGCTTCCGGTTATTCCTAGTGAGGTCCAGTGCCAGTGCGTCTTTTCCGGTTTTTGTGGATCTAGAGAAGCTGATTTTGTCAATGTTCGGCTGGCGGGCAATCAATTCAACTAGGCTGTTATCTCCACTGAGAGACTGAACGACCCCCGGAGGAAAGAAACACTGAGCCAACTCAACCAGCTTCAATCCACAAGACGGGGCAAAGGGACTTTTGTCTGTTAAACAATGAAAAATTGATAGGAGGAAAATACTCACCATGGGTTGACAATAATCACGTTTCCCATCAGAAGAGCTGGTGCAATCTTTGCTGCGCAGTTGAACATTGGAAAGTCCCAAGATAAACAAGTTGCAGCAACCACTTCGAGGGGAAAGTATCTGGTCTTCACGATGTGACGCTGGCCGTTTTCAATCGTTTCATCCCTGATCGGGATTCTTATCATCCCTCGAATCCATCCAATGGCCTGGTTGACCTCGGTCCAGGCCTGGTGTCTCTATATGTGTGGTCAGAGGAAATCTTTGCCCCCATTAATGGTGCTTAGCAAGGCTTTTATTCAACCTACTGGTTTTCCTTGCTCTTGAACAAGAAGATCCGAAAACAAGTTGTAGCAAACGTTTATCGCATCAGCAAATTCGAGCACCATGCGCTGCCGTTCCTCGTATGTAACCTTCGACCAGGTTACAAAAGCCTTTCTAGCAGCCTCGACAGCATGTTCAAGATCATTTCTGGTTGCGCGTGGAACTTCGGAATTCATTTCTCGGTTGGCAGGGTTGGTAACTTGACGCCTTTCCTTGGTTGGCGACACGACTCCATCGATGATTTGAACGAAGTTCTTGTCGAAATCAATATTCATTGAAGATCGAGATTCTAAAATTGAAACCATGATGATTTTGACGGTCGAATGATGGATTATCGAAGGATGGGGGGGCTCGAATGCAGAATCTAATGTGCTTCTGCCCAGGTGTGTGGTGTGTAGGAGTGAGGGAGAAGATGACATCTATACGGAGGATCAGGTGGTCTACACCTGGTCTCAACCTTGGAATGTAACCCCGTGTCGCCAATACCTCACCTCCAGTATCTGCACTACCACTGTGCACGTAAATCCAATGATGGGATGTTCAAATCGGTAATCACTAGGTATAACCTTGGAAGTTGGTCACAGTCCATCTCATACTTAGATACCATACATGCCCCTATACCTATACCCATGTACACCCTTGGACGCTCTCACTCCAAGGGCCCTAATAATATCAATCAGTCCCTAGCAGCCTTTGCCGTATTGGGTGATATCGATGGATAGAGTGACTGTTATTCTTGTCTTTTTAAAATAGGCACTAGCTGTAGCATCAGGCACTATTATATAGCATGCACTTTGGCATCGGCTGTTTCTTTGGCTCTGGTATCTAGTATTCCGCTCTCAGCTCATGGTATTTCCACTCTCGATATCCGGTGTCTTACGCTCTCAAGTGCTAGTATCTGGCTTCACACCTAGGGGCCGGTGGTAAAGGAAATAAATGTTGCTCTGTAAGTCAGGAAGGAGACGCCAATACCCTGATAGAAGGATGGAGGACCTGAATGAAAGATGAAATGGGCTACTGTATGGTGTGTAGGAGTGATGGAAAAGGTGATCAGCTGGTCTTTACCGGGCTCAACATTTAATGAACGAAAGGAGAGAATAGAGGGGGATTTCTATTACAGTTTCAGGGGCTTAGAAGTTCAAGATGAATGGGCGATCTGATTCTATTATTTTTAGTGTCTATGCAAATCACGAGACTCTCTGATTGCCCATTTTTGGGGCAGTTATCCAAAATGTTTTCTACTTGATTGATGCTTCAGGAGCAAGAGCATGTTTGTCCGCATCCACACAGGCAAACAAATATCCTGAAACCTGAGCTCAGTCCATTGGTTTGGTCCTTCGATCTCCATAGTTTTTAAGATGATATCTGTGTATTGACTGCTTGATAGGCTCAATTCCTCCATAGCTTCAAATTTACTGCATGGTTGTTCAAAAGTCTGGAGACAGAGCTATGTCATGATATCATCTTTAAAAAGAAAACAGTTGAAACTAGTACAAGATTCGCTAATCAAACTAAATTGCGGCATCTGAGCCGTGCTAGGTTCTCTATATACTCTGAAACTTGAAAGCAATAACAACATTCGAAAATCTGCGCCTCGCAATGACAATTTCAGTTTGAACAAACATTTCCATTACTCAGTAGGTAACCAACATAAAATTACCGTAACTCAAAACTGCCACTGATCAAGCCAGTTGGACATCAACTGTGCAGAAATTGGCTCAAGGGATTTCATACTCCCGCTTGCTTCCCTTGATCGAGTCACATCCAACGCCACGGACATTGCAGCATTGTTTTCATCACCAAGTCCACGGTAGAAGCCAAGTAACTTGAGTGCAGGCTTCTCCACAAGATCCACACTTGTCGGGTTCTGAATGCTTGTGAGCTCAGCAACCCAGGCACTGAAATCTACAGGCTCAACGTCGTATCTCTGCTGAATGGCTGGAACAAGGGAGGACCAGGATGCTATCTCTGGATTCGTAAGGTGGAAAACGGCGTGAGGAAGTTCGGATCGATCGCCGTGTCTTGCTTGGACTATCTCGGTCACGATTGAAGAGAGGGTATCCTGATACATTCATTAGCTATATTCTTCAATATGGAAGTTGAATGAGAACTTCAACTTACCACTGGAATCCAGTCAACAGGCATAGAGCCCAGACTTGTCGGAATCTTTCCAATATTCTTTGAAGTCTGGATGATTGTTGGCAGCCATTCGTGTCGGTTCCACTCTCCCTTTTTTGTTGTCGGTCCTCCAATCTGACCAACTCGGTAAACAGATGTAGGGACCTTCGAGCGACGAGAGGCTTCCAAGCAGATTCTTTCTGCAACATGCTTGGATTCGCCGTATCCTTGTTCAAGAACAACGGAAGCATTCTCCATCGGGATCTCCGGTACCCGGGAACCCATCTCAGGCTTCCATGCCCCGACTGTGCTAATAGAAGAGACAAAGTGGATGTGGGCATTGTACTTGCTCTCCAGACTAAAGTCAACGGATCGACGCACGCCTTGAATGTGGACCTCCTCAAATGACTCCACTGTGTGGTTGAAGTCGACCATCCAGGCGTTGTGAATGATAGTATCAACTGATGCCAGGAGCTCAACATACTTTTCTTCGCTTAGCCCGAATCGGACCTCACCGAAAGAAACTTGTAGGAACTCAACCTTAGAGTTCCAGTCAGCTTCCAAGGCTAGACCCTTCTCCGCGAAGCTGTTCTTTTGTCTTTGTTCAGCATTGGAACGGTTGAAACAGTAGACCTTGGAAATTGAAGGGGTGTTGAGCAAGTTATCCAAAAGGTATGTTCCCAAAGATCCGGTTGATCCAGTCAAGATTACTGTTGATGGCGAGGCAGATTGCTCCCACTTGGTTGGTCGGTTTTTCGGAAGATCAGAGGTGTACTTGTTCACAAGATTCTGGATCCTTCCCTCACGAGGGATGGACTCCTTGATCTTGCCCTCGATCACATCAGAAACAACGCCAGCCAGAAGCTTCACAGTGGGGTTGGCGTAGATGACTTGCGCACTGATAGTTCCAGGCATCAGCTTTGGTTGACGAGCCTGAATTCCTCGTTGCAATATCTTGGCAACCTGAATCGTCATCAGAGAATCGAACCCAGCCTTGTAAAGATCTTGGTCGATGGGCACATCGGATCGCTCCAGAGTTCGAGAAATGATCTGATGAGTGTACTTCAAAACACTAGCCCGGTCAAGATTCTCTGGCAAACAGTCCTCAAGGTCATCTTCCAGCCCAGCTTGGTAGATAGCATTGATCTCATCGACGAAATCCCGGAGCACGGCTCGACGCTGCACACTACCCTTCGGGGTTCGCTGGAAGGTCTTCCCCTTCGGAGCAAGTCCAATCCGGTTCTTCATAATGCGACCATGAGCAGCGATCGTGTGGTTTGCCTGTTGAACTGTAGGCCAGATTTCGTCAATGAAAACCCTCCAGTCCATCTCAGGAATTCCTTCATTTGGTTCCACCAGCAGACAAGCCTGGAACCTGGACTGACCAGCCACGATAGCTTTAGCTACCAAGGGGTGTCCCTCGATCATGTTCTCCATAGTGGTTGGGTTGAATTTTTCTCCGTTACTCAGAACAATGACATCGTCGATACGGCCGTTGAATTTCCACAAATAAGGCTTTGTGGGGTGGTGAGTGAAGATATCCTTGGTTCTGTAGGTATCGAGTTCAGGGAAGGTATGGAAGATTCCCTGATAGGCACGACCGGCCTTCTGACGAACAAGCGCCATCTCATAGAGACCTTCATCCACCTTTTGCATATCAACGCCAAAACTGGGGTTCCATTCAAAGTAGCTCCAGTCATCTCCCTCTTCGGGAATCAGAGTAGGGATCCAACCGATCTCACTACTACCGATGATGGGAATCACATCAGTGCACTCGCGCAACTTGGCACCAGTTTCCGGGCCCAGTGGTGCACCGCCATAATATACAGACTTCAAGCCCTTGAGGCACTCCAACGCCTCTTCAGAGTGACTGAAATCTTCCAAAATTGATGGTGGGTAAATAGCGGAGGTGGGACGAGCGATGCTCATGAGTTGAGTGAGATGTTCGACTGATAGTGGCTTGTCGGGTCCGACCAACATAGGAACACTGTGGAAGATGGCGAATCCAATAGAGAGGAGTCCCATCATATGGAAGAAGGGGACGGTTGCCAGAACGAGATCCTCTTGAGTCATGTTGAAAAATGGAGATGGAGTACGACCTTCTGGCCAGTACAGGTTTGGAATGTTATCTATTGCACCCCAGAATCCATTTGTAAGAGGTACTGGTTTTGGCATACCTGGTAGGACGTTATTATTCTTCTAGTTGGGGTTGTCTCATTGAAACTGGAGGAATACTAACCAGTTGTTCCTGAGCTGTGAATAATACAACAGTTGTCTGTTTCCACCTCATCAAAGGTCTTGTTATAAGGGTATGACTTCAACCCACTTGACTCAGTCAGAATGGTGCTTGTTGCGGGAACTTGAAAAATCTTCAGATCCGGGTAAAGGTTCTTGATTTCCATAACTCGTGTACTTCTATCTTCATTGAAGAAGAACTTTGTACAGTTTGTGGCTTTCAAGAGGTGGATGTAAGCCTCATCGGAGTTCCTTGTTGAAGGCAAAAAGGCCTGTGATCTATGTTAGTGAAGCTGGAGAATACAAACACTAAGAAAACCTCATACCTGGTGCCCAGTCTTCTGACAGGCGAGAAGAAAAATGCAGTATCGCACATCATTGCTGCCCATGTATGCCAATACCTCTCGAGGACCAGAAGATCCGATGTTGTTGTCAATCCACTGACATAGAAAGTTCACAGCTTGGGCCAGACCCCTCATTGTTAGATTTTGGACGCCATCTGCGACTTCTAGGCCTTTGGGAATAACAGCAAACAATCTATTAGGCTCTTCCTGGGCAGCGAGGTCCACGACCTTTGTGAGCAATCTCTGTTGTGCGATCATGGCGACTGCTGTATAGGCTTTAAACAAATATGATCGAGGATACTGATATTAGGATACTTTGATTGCAAGGCGTGCTTTGTATTTGTAGTCTTTGATCTTATTTTGTTGATTGAAACCATGGGGCCATCGTCCATTTGTACTCATCCTAACCTCAGCCGACCTTCCGAACTAAATAATGTGAGGACGATATTTCCCTAACGGTCATGGATTGTGGACCTGGCCCTTCCATCCTTGCCGATCGTGTTTAAGAGAGTTGTCTAAGAAACCTGGCGGTACCTGGCGTATCATCCCCACTCAATACCCACCACCGGTGCATATTACTCTATTGAGTCGCGGTTTCATGCTGATCAAGATCGCAGTATCCATATTCCGGGATAATCATGCCGAAAGGCTGATCTCATAAGAAAGGGACCATATGCACAGCATAATGTAACAGTCTTCGTGTGCGATTATCTTGTCATGCAGTGAGATACCCTTTTTGCTGATCTTATTGGCTGATTATTGGTTTCGGGATTAGAGATTTCGACATCCGATCAGTGCGTAGGTACTTTCATGCACACTCGCGTCATCACAAGGAGAAACTGGTAATTATTTGATCCTGTGTTTCCCAATCTAGGAAATCTAGGTATTGACTTGTAACATTGAACTTATTCCGACCGTTCCGTTCTCAACATTTGAACTTGTCGTACCTAGAGATGCTTTACTATTCGGCCTGTCTTATATTACATGTATAAACCACTTCGAAGGTTGGCTTGAATGATCAATAACCATATTCCTTTCTTCTATAATTCTCAGATGTAAATATTGTTTGGGGCTATAAACTCAAGAGGTTCGTCGCCCTATCCGCAACGCGGCATCCCGTAAGAGTTTCCAAGGTTAAGGAACTTGCCGAGACCAGGAACGAGGTCGATCCATGGAACATGAGAGGCCACGACACCTCATACCCATAAGAACACTGTTATCTGGATACTCTTATATCATACCGGCAAAATAAATCCTCGCCAAACTCTTTATCTTGACAAATTCAAGATGGGAAATCCACTGTGGCTGACGCCTCATTATCACTCCCGTCAGTCCCGTCTCCCCCGGCGCCTTGGCCGGCGCCTTCGCAACTCGGGTCCACAGCGGAGCATCTTAAGGACTTCTACGGAGGATTGTGCCATTTACGGACTACCTCTGATTTAAATTCAGGTACTTGCATACTGTACTTTTTATGCCGGGGTAAGTGGTCGGGATGAGTTAAAGGTGCAACCTTGGGATTACTCGGGATGCCGATGGAAAGAAGAGCTTATATTAAACCATCATGAAAACAGTACTTGGCATGGACTTGGCTGAATCTTTATGTGAACATTTGATTACTAGTATCTTAAATCTTTGTTTGGCAAATTCTTTGTAGAGAATACATTGTCTTTGATATTTTTTTCGATTGTGTACCGAGTTGCGCACGTAATGGGATTATCGGGGTTTGCATTCAAGTTAGTGCCCACCTGCAAGCACATTTAAAATCTTGAAAGCCCTGATCAGGTGGGTCAATCAATAACCCCTATCAACTGGGCTCACAATTTTCAGGAATAAACTAAAACCAAAGCTCCAAGGATGCTTTGATGCTTCCATCTAGACTGGAATGGTTATAGAATGCTCAATGTGTATTGTCTTTCTTCCAAGGTTTCCTGCACAACTAGAGGACCGGGGCCACGAAGTGCCAGTGGCATGATCATCCTGCCTAGGATTGCTAAAATCGCCCCCAATCGTGCTAATAAGGCCACAATAGTTTTCCACCTACTAAAGCCTGGAACCAATATTGAATCAAGATTGCAGCCTCGATGTATCTTCGATGAACAAGGGTTCTTTGTCCAACGGCGTGATGTAAAAACCGGAAGACGGAGTCCTCCGCGCAATACCGAGATTGTAGTTAGTACGGAGTACCATTAGTACATAACAAACGGCATCCCAGAATTCCAGATATCCCGGAAGAAAGCCTATCAGCTTAATTGATATACCTGGGCTATGTCGATCCTGTACTCCCTACTCCGTACCTGCCAATAGGGTGCCTAATTCAGGCACGGAGTGCCCCATACTTATTATGGGACTCAAGATATGCTTTCGCCCCCAAAGAAGGTGCATATGGGTTACGGAGCATGTTGGGATGATTCTTTCATATATTCAGACTAAGAGTCATGTTGCATAAGTCTGGTATTTTCGCCCCAAATATCCGAATTTTCATCAGGTCAAAGGTTCTGGGCACTCTACATAGCCGACATCTAAGCTTAGAGAGAAGTATTATCTGCGATAACAGTTATCGCTAACATTTGAATGGGTGCGTTCTCCAGAACTATATTCAAGTTCAAAAATTGGTGTATACTACTACTAGTAGGTAGTACGTAGTACATGCTGGGCTCTTGTACATAGTAACGGAGGTTGAAAAATAATACCTTAGAATTTGGCAAAATGTCAGGTTTGATTACTTGGGTGCCTTCGGCTCTCAAAATATTGAAGAGCTGTTCCTGGCTCAGGCTTGAATTTATAGAGCTTGGAATAGGGAGCGTAGACGGAACATTGAATAGTAGAGCCTGTTTTCAAAAGAAAAAAAGTATTCCCGGTTATGCATTGCAGGCTGGATTGTGGAAAGCAACGATGATAGAAATCTGAAATAAAATGACGAGAGCTGGAATTGAACCGGGGACGTTGAAAACAAGTTGGGACATTGAAATCGAGTGCGCATCGACGTGCGAGGTGAGATCCTGCGAAGAGCCTCTTGATACATCCATCACCACACCGTCATCTTTGATATTTCACTCATTTTTGATTGTTTTTGATTTCCGATAAGAGGAATGAAAACAGCGCGTCAGAAAGTATTATGAGTAAAAATATCAAAAAGTTTTTAAAAAAAAATTGACCCTTTAGCCACCCGCCATCTGGTGATAACTCAGCCATCGATCAGGGCCAGACCAACCTGATCAATACCTCTTCCCTCCTGCGTCAAGAGTCAGAGACCGCTAGGCCAGCTGGGCTGAGTTGTTACTTTCTCCCCTCAAGTGAATCATATAGGATCTCTCACAACCCTTACTTTCAAGTTTGTCAAGCGAAATGTTAACCAGCGTTCCAATGTTATTTATAGATATTAACCAGTTGATTTAAATCTACATTCCTTGAGGATTAGTCATAAACGCATTGTGGATCTCGGAGCCCTGAGGTCGTATCTTCGACTCCACTCCAGAATCAACACCCGAAGACCTCCCCAAGGCCAATACTTCTCCTTATACTTGGAAGACGCTGGATTTGAGAGTACATACTCAGTAAATACCTCTCAGCTATACATTCCACTACCAGATTTATCCCAATGCACCTTCCCTGGTACCTGGCGGCTGCCACAGCCATCACGGTCGCTCAAGCTTCTCCGCACCCCGCACACTGGCAACAACAGCCTCTGGAAGCATCCCTCTCCCCGAGCAGTCCAACCGCCTCGGTCATAAGTCACTTAATGCCCAAGATGTCATTGATAAATCGACTCTGTTATCCTTGCATCGAGATCTCATCGAAATCCCCTCGGTCTCCAATCACGAGCACGACATCGGCATTTTCGTCGCCGAGTTCCTCGAGGCTTTCGACTTCACCGTCGTGAAGCAGGAGGTCCCTCCTATGAAAAAGAAACAAAACGATGATGACGAACCTATCAAACCTCGCTATAATATCTATGCCTACCCAGCCTCTTTATCCGAGCAACCCACCATCCTGTTAACCAGCCACATCGATACCGTCCCTCCATTCATCCCATACTCTGTCCACGAGCCCGAATCCACCTCAAACACAGAAGATGACTTGATTATCGCCGGTCGCGGCAGTGTCGACGCAAAGGCTAGCGTTGCCGCCCAAATCTTTGCAACCCTCGAAACCCTTATCTCGAACCCAGGCGCAAAGCTCGGTCTTCTCTTCGTCGTCGGCGAAGAAACAGGCGGAGATGGAATGAAGGTCTTCTCCGACTCAGACCTAAACCAGAATAGCGTCTACCACACCGTTATCTTCGGCGAACCAACCGAAGCAGCCCTTGTGTCTGGTCACAAGGGTATGCTAGGATTCGAGGTCCTCGCACATGGCGAGGCCGCTCACTCCGGTTACCCATGGCTAGGAGCTAGTGCGGTTTCGGGTATTATTCCTGCGCTTGCCGCTGTGGATAAATTGGGTGATATTCCAGTTAGCAATGGTGGACTTCCCTCGTCCCCAAAATATGGTCGTACGACTCTGAATATCGGTACTGTTAATGCTGGTGTCGCGACGAATGTTGTTCCTGCGGAGGCGAGAGCGGATGTTGCGGTTCGTCTGGCGGCTGGTACTCCTGATGAAGCGAGGGAGATTATCAGGAAGGCTGTGGAGCATGCTACCAAGGATGTTGAGGCCGAAGTTGTGGTGGATTTCACTAATCACCGTGAATCCTACCCGCCTCAGGATATTGATACTGATGTTCCGGGCTTTGATGTTATCCCGGTGAATTATGGAACTGATGTTCCGAATTTGGAGGTTCGCAAGGACGTTAAGCGATATCTGTATGGCCCTGGAACCATCTTCGTTGCGCATGGTGATAATGAGGCTCTTACTGTGCGTGATATGAAGGATGCTGTGGAGGGTTATAAAAAGCTGATTGCTGCTGCTCTGGAGAGAGAGTAAATTCTATCCATGATCATAATTGAGGATTTGTGTCTAGTGCTGCACATTGGAATCGTTCATATCTAGATGCTTCATGTATGTCATGTTCTACGAAACTACTAATTTCGGTACCTTTATAATTATATCAAACGATGTCCCCGAACTTGAATCTGTTTAGAAAACGAAACTCGTGTATGATGGCAATTGACTAGCAATTAATGCCGGAAGTTTGTTTTTTGAGTAAGATGTACAAAACATGAAAAGAAACTGAAAAGCGAAATGCTCTATTGTCGAGGCTTACGCTCCCATCCAGTCTTTAAATCCCCACCCAGCTTAAATCGTGGCATGGGATGCGCCTCAGTATTAAACACATGTTCTTCGAGTGAAATAAAGTCCCGATCCGAGAACAAGAGGTAGAAGTACTTCAGTGTCTCAGCCATCCAGAAACTCTCCATGTTATCCCGGTCCTCAGCCGGAACGACGTTGGCATTGCCCAGGGATGTGAAACTCTTCACGCGTTGTGGACCGGTAGATTCGGAGGTAATCGGTGATCCATTAGCATTCTCAAGGACTGAGGTGTGCTGAATGAATGATTTGAACATATCCCATCCCCATTCGCGATACATCACATCGCCGGTGATACGGTACATGTAGAACAAGGACTCGACGGTTTCAGGGCGTTGAAGATTGTGGACATCATTTCCGTGGATATCGATATCCTCACGCCAGGGTTCAGAACCGTCTAGCTGAGCACTCAATGGAAGGGAAATGCCTTGGATTTCATGTGGTGGACCGGTGGATAAAGCGGGATCAGGGTATTTTTCCGACATCATAACCGGCTCTTTGTCAAGAATGAAGTGGGAGATCTCGGGGGCAAGACCTGTTGCTGTGTTTCGGTAGGTTGCCCAGCAGGTTTTCATCAGCTCACGGGCGACAAGAATCTCGTCCTCGCGCTGCTGAGTCCAGGCGGGGGACTGTCTGGCCTTTGATAGGAGCTGACCACTTGTAGCGCCGAGGGCAATGGTTCCTGGCATGAAACACGCAAGATGGTCCATCTTCGGGAAAACAGAGCCGCCTAAGCCGTCAGGACGTTCACCCAGTACTAGGAGTTGTGCATTCTTGGACAAGGTAAGCAGATTTTTGCGGATTCCCTGGTATGATTCATCCCAGAGTTGTTTATAGATAGGCTCCTCTTCGGAGGTTTGCAGATACTGCTTTATCGTGTATTCTGCAAGGAGTCAGTATTATTTCCATGAACACAGACAGAGGAGAATACTAACCATAGTATGAATCACCCCGACTACCAAGGCGAATATTCTGACCTTGGAACTTTCCGCTGTCGGGATGAATGTAGATAGGAACAAGGCCATCCTCAGGATTTTGTTCATCAACAACCTCCATTACTTTCTCCACAGTCTTCCAGTATTCCGCTTCTCCGGTCAGCTTAGCCAAATATTTAAATTCCAGCTGAACCGACGTCGCCTCAGCTGTGGAGGCAGCACCACCATCAAACATCGACCTTAGTCCCATGGATTTGTTAAGATTCACGCTGGAATATGGAATTCCAGTACCTGTATCAAAGGCTCCAAGAAGCCGGTCTCCAAGATCCGTGGCCATTTCAATATACAGATCCTCACCGGCTGCACCAACATCATCATCTGTGATGGGTGCCAAGTCCGGGTATTTGGTAGACAAGTAATGCGCAGATAACAAGCCGCCAAGCATGCGAATGGTTGTCTCAAACGTGCTCACGTCATGATCCTGGTTATACTGCAGCGAGGTGGAGATCCACTGCCGGGCATGTCGGACCTGAGAGGTCAGGTTCATGAGAATCATTGTATCCAATGAATCTACAATCATCCAGCCAAGTCCACCTGGTACCATATTTCTATGGATACCAGACTTGGGTCTGTATTCGTCAAAACCTGGGGGTGGATCCAACGTTAGCCCATAAATACAAAGAGTAAAGGATAGGCGGAATTTCTTACCCCATGCATCCTTTTCATACCCCTCAAAACTGACTATAAAGGCATCCCGCACCTTCTCTCGACGTGCCTCCCAATCTATTTTTGACGCAGGGACCTCATCTTGTAATGTTTGCATCCATTTCCAAAGTTGTAATCCCTTATCCCTCGAATCCGAACCTGACGGCGACGAAAAAGACGATGAATTGTACCAGAAAAATAGCAACGCGCAAAATCCGAACACCGCCCCAATATATCTCCACCGTCGTCTCGGGGTCGTTCGCTTCGGTGTGAAATAGGGCTTGTCCTTGTACAACGGAAGCGTACGCTGATGGTCGAAGAAGCCGCCCGACTTACTTGTGGAAAGGCCGAGACCAGCAAGGCCACCCCGGGTATTAGATCTGCCGTGAGGCGAATGAGAGTCCGGTGCCTTGTAAGACATCTTGTCTGCTTGTATTTCCTCCTCCTGGCTCCGTATATGTAGGGACCCTGCGACTACCTAGTATTGAAGCATGGGAACGAAATGCGAGACGCGTCAACCGGGGATCTCGATATGGATTTCAGGTGATTATTGTCGTGGTCAAAAGCTATTTGTAAACCTGAGTTCTGCGCAGCATCACTGCAGGTGTTAGTCAATTCTTGTGTTGTTTTCGAGGGTGCGCTAACCTTGGTGATGGAGACTGGGGCTATGTGGAGAAGGACACCTTGTTATCAAACAATTACACTGAACTCTCCTTCTACCCTTGAGAATGTCGCACCAACTTGGGTAGTCGATCCAATCTCTAGATGCGATTCTCAAAACACCTTGTGTGCTTCAAATTTTTACACAGGTGATTTGTGGGAGAGATCTGGCTTCTAGAGTACGCCACCCCATGGCAACATCCAGTATGGAGAACGCTGAGGGTCACGTGTGATACCCCATTACGTATGTTCTCCATTAAATTCTCCTGAGAATACATCACTTTATTTTCTTCTCAATATGAGCGTATGGCTGTTTATTCGATCTATTTTATAGTCTGATTAAGATATCATCTCCAGGGCTCTCAAGTGAGAAAGTGGCCGACTCGGAAGGGATCAAATATATATACATACACGGTCTAACGCTCCGGGGAAGTGGAGACATGGATAGTACTACTAGTATACTAATAGCGTCACGACATGTGCAACTACACCTGGCATCTGCCAGTGGGCAGACTCACACCTGTAGTCAAATTGAACCTTCAATGTTTGAACATGCAAGTTCCAGATGTCAAGTTCAAGTTTGAATGGCTGAATCATCCAGTCGGGAATGTACTACTAGTACATAGTAGGTAGTAGTAATAATGGATCACTAGTATCACTGCCAGAGGCAGTCCTAGACCTTGGGACCTCGGAGGCACTTCAAGTCCACTTCAACATTGAACATTCAAATGTTTGAGGTTCCAACATTGAGACTTTCAACTTGAATTCTTAAGGAGCGCTGATTCGTCAATTTTCATACATTTCTGTAGTAATAAGTACCATGGAAGAATGAGGGCAATTCTGCATGATGTATAGCATTCCATAACCAAATGTCTAATAGACTTCATGAATCGCCTAGTCAATTTACTCGGACGTAGATACAATTACAGCTTCTGGTATTCCAGCTTGCCCTCCAGCTTCTTCGCCTCAGCCACCTTCCGTACTGCCTTGTTGAAATCATCTTGGTTGATGGCATCGCGATAATCCTTGATAGTGAACAGACCACTGGAAAATGTTAGTCATTGTTTTTTCTTCAGAGGAGTTGTTAATAAACTTACGCTTCGGTCACCACGTTACGCAGATCGGCACCGTTGAGACCATCACTCATCTTGACCACGCTCTCGAAGTCAATATCACCATCCAATTGCACCGTACTAGAGTGAATCTTCAGAATCTCTAAACGGCCGACCTCATTAGGCAGAGGAATCTCAATCTTGCGGTCCAGACGACCAGCACGCAGCAACGCCGGGTCAAGGGTATCAGGTCGGTTGGTGGCCATGATGATCTTTGTCTTTCCCAAGTAATCGAATCCATCCAGCTGATTCAGCAACTCCATCAGTGTTCGTTGAATTTCACGATCCGCCGATGTACCCTCCGAGAATCGTCGACCTCCGATGGCGTCAATTTCATCCATGAAGATGATGCAGGGTTCGTGTTCCTTGGCGTAGCCGAACATCTCTCGGATCAATCGAGCGGATTCACCGATATACTTATCAACGATAGCGGACGATACAACTGGAATAAAGAGGACATGTTAGGATTAATGTATTTCATTCCAAGGGAGAAGAGACGCACCTTTCAAGAAGTTGGTTTCGATGGAACTGGCTACTGCTCGGGCAAGCAGTGTCTTACCAGTACCAGGGGGACCATAGAGCAGAACTCCCTTGGGGGGGTTTGATTCCTACTCGGTGGAACAGTTCAGGATTCTTCAATGGCAACTCGATAACCTCACGCAGCTCTCGGATCTGATCGTTGAGACCACCAATTCCAGCGAAATTGACCTGACCGGGATCCTCCAAAGACATGTTGTAGACCAAGGGATCAACTTCACGGGGAAGCATCCGCATGATGGTAAGTGTTGTCATATCTAAGGCCACACGCGTGCCCTGCTTCATCTTAGCCTTGTCGACCTTGGAACGACAGCCAACCACGTATCGGGGTCCTGAGGATGCCTTGACGATGACTAGAGAGTGTTAGATATATATGGGCTAGAAATTTCGAGAATTCAATGATGAAATGAGTTGCAGAACACTTACATCGTTCCTCATCTAGCTGCTTTAGCACTTCACCGATGATCTGACCAACACTTTGTAGTGCCTTGATGTTCTCTTCGGAGATGTCGAATTCGCGCTGGAGATCCTTGATACCCATACGAAGAGTCTTTAGCTTCGCCTCCCATTCTCGTAGCTCCAGCAAGCTCTTTTTATAATCTTCAAGGGCGTGATCCCGCTCGGCGTCGCTGGCGCCGTCCATAGTGGTTGATGACTGGGGTTCGCAGGGAGGACCGGGGGAAACAAATCAGAAAAATAAAGAAATCGGACTTGTAGATCGAACTAGAACTCGGTTCTCAGTTCTTGGATGATAGGAAACGCAAATCGGTGGATACGAGAAATGACTGCAGTCTGGGGGAGCTTCCTCATCATCCTAAGCACCGGGCGAGGGAGCTGCTGTTGATCACATGACATCGCGTCCTCTCATCATGTGACTTGCATCATTGTGTTCACTCCAGAGGCCTGAATTTACAGGCATTAATAAATTGGCGCCTTAGGCATTTAAGGTATATCTTAGTCATCTTAGTCATTTTGATGTTCGTCATCATCTGAAGCCGGTCGAACCTCCCAAGGTCCTGGATGCAACATAGAATCACTCTAAGAGCCAATGGAGAACTCGGAAGAGCTCTCCCCTGGCTGGAAACCCATGGAATGTTGACTAGGTAATTCAATGCAGAGTTTTCATCTCCTTCTGAGGAGTCAATCTATACTATGTAGCTTACAATCGCAACATCTGATATAGCTCTATACTCTGTAAAATGAAGAGGAGGAACTGAATTGAATCCGATTTCGTCATTTCTACTTAGAATAGAACCAACCCGAATCTACTAACGATAACATCATACTGGAATGTCCCGAGGAACGGAAGATCTCGCAAGCTGGAGAACCCGCAGACGGTCGGGATCAACCAGCAAGGACTGGAGAAGACCGTGGAGCCCCACCACCGCATTGGAAAGAATCGGAGGTCCAGGTTGACCTTTCCCGGGGATCAGACTGGGCTGAAAGGTATTTAAGATATCGGGTATTTCCGTATTCTAAGAATTGGATTTTGTCTGTTTTCAAAGTTCTGACCTGTTTACTTTTCCCAAAAAAAGGTATGTACAACTGACAGTTCCATAATAACATCATCCCACCCATACCCCGCCATTCTCTGCCCCTCCCAAGTTGTGCTCTCTCTTCCTCTCCTACACACCGGGTTACCAAAGCAAACAAGCATCCAACCAGCTTCTAGTTGGAATCCATTGCTGTAGCCAATAGTACCCTATTGATCAACCACATTCAACCCTTTCCCAATCCTCTCTCCGTGTTTCCGCTCAATCTTTTTGGGTCATCGGTGAACCTCCCACCCCGCCGTTAGTCACACGTTGCTGTGGACATAAACACCCCATCTCTGCCAAATTTATTTCTCTTTCCTCTTGTAAACTAACTGATTACCTTCATCATCAGCCTACTTTTCAAAATGCCTATCTCTAAGGTTCACGCCCGTTCCGTGTACGACTCTCGCGGTAACCCCACCGTTGAGGTGGATATTGTCACCGAGACCGGTCTGCACCGTGCCATTGTTCCCTCTGGTGCTTCCACCGGTATGTAGCTTGCCAGCCTTGATCTGAAGCTGTAAAGTATCAACCAATACTAATAAACGATATAGGCCAGCACGAGGCTGTTGAGCTCCGTGATGGTGACAAGACCCGCTGGGGTGGCAAGGGTAAGTAAAAAACCGTCTCCAATCCTTCATCGGTTTAATGCGGAGCTTAAAGCTAACACCAAGCTTGTCATTAGGTGTCCTCAAGGCCGTGAAGAACGTCAACGAGGTCATTGGCCCCGCTCTCATCAAGGAGAACATTGACGTTAAGGACCAGGCCAAGGTCGACGAGTTCCTCAACAAGCTCGACGGTACCCCCAACAAGGCCAGCCTCGGTGCTAACGCCATCCTTGGTGTCTCTCTGGCCGTTGCTAAGGCTGCTGCCGCTGAGAAGGGTGTCCCTCTCTACGTTCACGTCTCCGACCTTGCCGGAACCAAGAAGCCCTATGTCCTCCCCGTCCCCTTCCAGAACGTCCTCAACGGTGGCTCCCACGCCGGTGGCCGTCTGGCCTTCCAGGAGTTCATGATTGTTCCTGAGTATGTGACCCAGCTTCCCAAACTATATGCATAATCTGCAGAAGCTAACGTAATTTATACTACAGCTCCGCCCCCACTTTCTCCGAGGCCCTCCGCCAGGGTGCTGAGGTCTACCAGAAGCTCAAGTCTCTTGCCAAGAAGAGATACGGCCAGTCTGCCGGCAACGTCGGTGACGAGGGTGGTGTTGCCCCCGATATTCAGACCCCTGAGGAGGCTCTTGACCTCATCACTGATGCTATTGCCGAGGCTGGCTACACTGGCAAGATGAACATTGCCATGGACGTTGCCTCCAGCGAGTTCTACAAGGTCGAGGAGAAGAAGTACGACCTGGACTTCAAGAACCCCGACAGTGACAAGTCCAAGTGGCTCACTTACGAGCAGCTGGCCGACCTCTACAAGTCCCTGGCTACTAAGTACCCCATTGTCAGCATTGAGGACCCCTTCGCTGAGGACGACTGGGAGGCCTGGAGCTACTTCTACAAGACCTCCGACTTCCAGATTGTCGGTGATGACTTGACTGTCACCAACCCCTTGCGTATCAAGAAGGCCATCGAGCTCAAGTCTTGCAACGCCCTTCTGCTGAAGGTCAACCAGATTGGTACTCTCACCGAGTCCATCCAGGCTGCCAAGGACTCCTACGCCGACGGCTGGGGTGTCATGGTCTCCCACCGCTCTGGTGAGACCGAGGATGTCACCATTGCTGACATCGCTGTCGGTCTCCGTGCCGGCCAGATCAAGACCGGTGCCCCTGCCCGTTCCGAGCGTCTGGCCAAGCTCAACCAGATCCTCCGTATTGAGGAGGAGCTTGGTGAGAACGCTGTCTACGCTGGCAAGCACTTCCGCACCTCTGTCAACCTGTAAATTGCAGATTGAAGCAGCTTTTTGGTGATAAGAATAAATGCGAAAAAAAGACGAGATGGCTTAGTAGCTGATCGCGGAACGCCCTCTATTATGATTATGAATTTAATTAAGATCTTCTGAATGAATGATATTTTCAAACTGCTTCTCAGTATATGAGAAATTCTCCTGTAACCTGAATCAAACTTGATCATAGTCATAATCATGTATTTGATCCTTGCTCACCTGGGGCTGAAGTGAATCATGCTCATCGGGCATCAAAGGCCCCGGGATCACGTGCGCATCCCACTCTGCGATAAGTGTCCCACATAAAATTTGCCATCCTCTTTCTTTGTAGAAAGGTCTCGATCGCGGGCTTGTCCTCCGTTTTATTATATCTTTCAGCGCCATCACTGCGGTCGCCTTCTTCTTTCATCTATCCTTCGTACTTTATATCCCTCTTTTTTGATCAATATGCCGCCTTCAAAGTGGGGTAAGTTCTAATCGTTTTACGATTTCAAGATTGCCCCTCCTCTTTTCGTTATGCGGGGTGGCGCATTATAAATGCAGATACTCCCTCGTATGGGTTGTCATTCATATTCAGTTACTAAAATCTTATCTCTTTTAGACGAAGAGGAGGAGGAGAGCTTTGCGCCTCCCCCTGTCGCACCCCGTCGCAGATTCGATGACGAGGAAGATGAGGATGTACGATTTTCCCAAACACCAACACCAAACCTTGGAATTCTCCCTATATTTTACATCAGCATCTAACGAAAGGTCATTCGAAAATTTAGGTTCTTGACTCCTGGGATGCCGCTGAGGACTCTGAAGTAGAGCGCGAGAAGGCCAAAAAGGCCGAGGAGGCTCTTGCTGCGGCTAAGGCCAAGGCTGCCGCCAACAAGAAGACCAAGGCCCAGCGCATCGAAGAGCACCGTGAGCAGCGGAGGCAAGATGCCGACTCGGACAGCGACCTGGAGGATGAGACCGAGGAGGAGAAGCGTGAGCGTCTGCGCCGCCAAGAGAAGGATGCCGATCTTGCCCACGCCAACGACCTTTTCGGAGATGTCGACACAAAGCGCAACCGTGGTGCCCCCAAGGCCATTGTCATCAGCGATACCACCGACCCTACTAAGTCTGTTGACCTTTCTGCCATGCCCTTGTTTAAGCCTACCACCAAGGACCAGTTCACTCGCCTGTCCGATACTCTTCTCCCTCTGCTCACACCGCACTCCAAGAAGCCTCAGTACTCTATCTGGGCTCAGGATTTCGCCCGCAAGCTCGTTAAGGAGCTTCCTAGCTCTGAGATCAAGAAGATTGCCAGTGCTCTGACCACTGCTAGCAACGAGAAGATGCGCGAGGAGCGTGCTGCTGACAAAGGTAACAAGAAGACCAAGGCTGCTAAGACCAAGGTCTCTCTGGTTTCCAACCGTGACAACCAGCTTGACAGCACTAATTACGAGGGTGGTGAGGATGGCCTTGGTGATGATGACTTCATGTAAAGAGACGACCTATGATTATTTTGATTTTTCTTTGCCTCTTTGCGCCACAGTCTTCATTGCTATGACTTTGCCAAAAAAGAACATACTTAACTCGGAGAGTTTCAAGCTCATTCGAGGGTATGATACCATTATGGGTTGAAAGAATCAATTTCAATCCTTATACTCCTTACTTTCTGTTTCCCCATTTCCTCCTTTCAATACCTTCACAAATGTACATCCTCCCGCCCTGGCTTCACTGCATGAATTAAAATAGAACGAATACATGAGCCGTGACCTGCAAATTTCAAATTTATTAACGCAGTAATTATCTGCCATCTCACAAATTACTTCTCATCTTCCACCGAATCCACAGTTCATGATCAATTAACATTAGAAGTTTGCCACATGCCTGGATTACTATTAAGACATACACATCCGACTCCGCATGATTTTCCGTTGATTCTTAGATTTATTCATCATCCCAAGATATTTAGCCTCTTCTTCGATCTCAGCAGGCCCTTTCCCAAGATTAACATATCCCTCATCATCCAAGACGAACAGTGCCTCCTTGAGCCAGACACGACAGCTCAACTGCTCTCCAAATCGTGGAGAAAACCGCGTCATGGGAACCGTGGCGAGACGTTCTGATAGTGCATTGTGTAGCACTGGTTCCACGGATCCGATCTTCAAGGCTAAGACGAGTCGACGTAACTCAGGCATCTCGTTCGTTGGAGCTCGTTTATATTCCCATACTCCAGGTTGTGCGTCATCTGTCGCGTGGAAGATTACGCCTTCTGTTGCTGAAGTCGCGAGGTATAGTTCCCAATGGAAGAGGTATGTATCACCACGATCAAGCAGAGCGATGTAAATGGCATTTTGTTCAAAGACTAATGGGGTCACAGCGGCCATATTGGTGGTTTGAGTTGAATTTCTTGCAACGCACGACGTATAAAGATGAATGAAGACAGGAAAAGGAGTATTAAACGAATTGTTGGTGATTTTGTATCCCGAAGAAAAAGAAACGAGAGAATTAATTTTAGATGGTCATGTTCAAATTTTCAAATGTTTGATGTTGCGGGGTTTCGCCAGGACTTTATACACTAGTTCATCTATAGTCTTTCATCCACATCCGAAACTAGTTTATCGGTCATAAACAGTTGAATGCATGATCCATGTGAGCCCTGAAATTGACCCAGTAATATGGTCCACGGGTCGAAGAAATGTTGTCATCCGAATCACTGTATGCTATTTTTTTTCTTTTTGTTCAATTATGTCATTTTGTTTAGCTCGAATCTGAATACCCAATGTAACTGCGGGTATCTGCCCAATCCAATATCCTTTTGCTTCACGTTAGCATTAGGCACGTTATAGGGATAGCAAGGATTAATTGAATAGTGCAGACGTGGCAATCACTCGTGGGTATCAGGGAGACATTATAGTTGGCCAGAGTGAGTCTCGTGGTTTGCTTTAAGAGAATTGGATTCAATAAATCTGAAATTTGACCTATACGCCAAAGTCTGAGAAATGGGTCAAAGGCCCCAAATGTTGACCGAGAGCTGACATGAACAGCCAGTATTAGCTCAATCCTTGAAAGAACTCTTATTTGAATAACTGAGGAGTGTCATACCTGTAGAATCTCAGGAATTAACCTAGTGGTCCCGAGGTCTTGGATATGGTTCCAAGCGCTTCAAGTTGAATACATTCTGACCCCGTCTAACGCACCAAGAATATGCTATCTCATAATCTGGATAATGCATGGATAGATCAGAAATCACCTGAGATACACACAGAAGCGAACGCCACCCCCTCAAACTATGCCAAAGACAGATAAATCTGAAGACCACCATCACCCTCAATGCGGCTCTTTAAACTGGCCTTACTTCTCCCCAGACTTTCCCGTGCATCCTATGGCTCCCCGATAATCCACTCACAGAGCGTCAACCAGTCGATTCCACGACACAAACAACGCATTCACCTATCAATGTCTCCCCCCACACCGGTGCAAGCCACCATGACACCTGTCAAACGCCTCGAGGGTCCGCGCCCTTGTCCTCGTCTGCTTGACGCTGCAGATTGACGCGCAGCGATTGCACCATATTCCCGGATTAGCACAACTGATGTCTGTCGCTCTCTGAAGTCCGCACGCTTGGCCCTTCTGCGCTTGCGCTGATTTGTCTCTGGGCCCGTTCTGGAGAGGTGGGCTGCAGTTGGTGGGGGTTTAGTTATGCACGTTTGGGCTTGGAAGATTTTGTGACTTCGTTGGTATAGGAGTAGAGAGGGATTGGCAGTGGTTTTGGGTTTGATGCATGCCAGTGTGTAGAGTATTGCAATGGGCTTATCTGAGACCTGTCATTTCTAGTAACTTTGAGCTACTAGTATCTTGCCCTTGGGTTTAAACGGGGAGATGGATCCGAGATAAGGATGATACTAGTACTAGTATGGACATTCCAAGGTTTGAATGGATCGTAATAGCCATGATTGTAACATATGTTGATGTCTCAGTGGAATTGAAGTTGAATTTTTATTGAAATCTTCAGTAGTATACCAGCACTGACTCGGAGTATACTAGTAATAAGATTGACATCATGATGGCTTCAAGTACCCTGATCCCCGCATGTTAATTTTAACTATTAAGCAAAATAATAAGCTCTCGGTATCACCGATGGACTTCCCAGATTTAAATCCATCTGAGTCAATTCGTGTAGCAATCTTGGAACTCGGGTATAAACATGGCTGTCATCTGCAGCCTGCACATGTGCATGGTCATGTAGCGTCACAACTCATTATCGCGGCTCTGCAAGTCTCGCGTGGGATCTTTCCGGGTCTTTCCTGTACCCCACTGATCAAGTATATGCCAGTGTAGGAGATATTTCCTCGGAAGGGCGTCCGTCGTGCCTGGGTAGAGCGGGGCCGATCTTTCATTCTTTCCCATGGGACGTGGGATTTCTCTTCAGGATGCAGCTTGTGGTAGATTCAAGTTATTCATAACCTTTCTCTTTTCAAATCAAACGCCAGTTACTGAACTACTATTTTGATCAACCATGGTGGATGCACATGCTTCTCTAGCTTGTCCATCAATATAGGCATCGGATACTATGTACTAGAAGTACTTCTTTCAAGTTCCTGTGGACTCGGACTCCCACATATGCAAGTGCTGGCAGCTGATCTGCTTTAGTAGGTAGCTCCTAGAAGCTAGTGCAAAGACCCCTCAGGCTCCAGTGCTGTTGCCTTGGAAACATACTATGCGTTGGACTGGGAAACCCTTCCAACTCCGAAAGACACATGCGTTTCGAAGGTTGTCGAATACCCTGGTGGAACTGATTGCTTGACTGTCATTGGCAGTCAGACCTTTGGGGCTTCGCAAGAACAAGATAATGGTAGGTAGTTCTGATTTTCATTTCAGTGCCACAAGAGTCGTGTCGATAGTAAACAGGCGCCCTGATTGAGCACTTCAGAGTGAGGTAGAATCTCTAGGACTTCAAGGACATCTGGACGCATAGATGTGTTCAAATAGACTTCCAAGTGTTTTGGTGAAGAAAAGCCACATTTGCACTCGATGGACTCGAGAAAAGGGTAAGGAGAGGTTGCCATTACTATAAATGCAGGTGATGATAGGTAGTCCAAGCACTTGACTCACTCCAGGACTGATCAGTAGGAACTTGAAGTGATGAGATGGGTGATATGGAGATCAAGCGTGCACATGTGTCGAGGGCCGGGCAGGTGCTATGTACTAGGACGTATGTGTGCCCAGGTGAGACTCGGACTAGAGTCCTCACATGTGCATGATATCCATGCTCATAAGGAGTGCACTGGGTAAAGCAATATATACCCGATCTCAAATCTAGATTGATCCGAGGGCTACTACTAGTGCTGCTGATCTACAACCTATCCTAGGTTTGCGGTTACGAAATGAAATTCAAAAAGGTGAATTGAAAATAAACACATTGAATCGTGCTGGAGTGGGAATAGAGACAGTAAAAGAGAGAGAAATTCCACTCAGCCCCTTTTCTTCGCTCGCGTCAACCGAATATCAAACTCCGCCGGCCGACCCACACGATCCTGAGCACGTGCAAGGGGATAAGTGCCGGTCCCAACCCAGCCACGCTGCGGTGAAAACAAAAGCGACTTGCAAACCACGTTCCAGGAAGAAATGCGAACGCCTCTGATCAAATCGGCTCATCGCGTCCCAGAGCAAATTTAGGACTCAGTCTCGGCGGGCTTAGCCTCCTCGGGCTGCTCTTCGGCAGGAGCAGGGGCAGCCTCCTCCTCAGGCTTCTCCTCCTTGGCCTCACCCTCGTTACCATCAGAAGAGGTCCAGAGAGTCAGGTTGTCGCGGAGAAGTTGCATGATCAGAGTGCTGTCACGGTAGCTCTCCTCGGAGAGGGAGTCCAGCTCAGCAATAGCATCGTCGAAGGCCTGCTTGGCGAGGTGGCATGCACGGTCTGGGGAGTTAAGGATCTCATAGTAGAAGACAGAGAAGTTCAGGGCGAGACCCAGGCGGATAGGGTGAGTGGGAGTAAGTTCGGTTTGGGCGACATCAGTAGCGTTCTAAATTGAGAATGATCGTGGTCAGCAGGTGTAGGCCCGAGGAGGGTAATAATAGTATTCCGAAAATTACCTTGTAGGCCTCGTGGGCGGCAGTAGCAGCAAGCTTGCGCTTCTCGCCAGAGGCGAACTCAGCAAGGTAACGGTGGTAGTCACCCTTCCTGTTTTGTAGTCAGTCATCTAATGCATCACCGCATCACCACCGCACGTTCTCCAGGTTCACTTACATCTTGTAGTAGAAAACCTTAGACTCGCCGCTCTCAGCCTTGGGGATCAAGGCCTTGTCAAGGACATCCAGAACGTCCTGGCAGACACGCTCAAGCTCGGTCTCAATCTTCTGGCGGTAGTCGCGGATGATGGTAACATGCTCCTCAGAGCCCTTGGACTCCTCCTTCTGCTCGATGGAGGAGATGATGCGCCACGAGGCACGGCGGGTACCGACGACGTTCTTGTAGGCGACAGAGAGGAGGTTGCGCTCATCAACGGTGAGTTCACCAGCGATCTAAGTCAAGTTAATATCGGGATGCGACCTGTGAGAGGGGGTTATGTCATACGTTGGCGACTTCCTATACGAGACGGTCAGATCAGCCTAGATTCATCATTTAGAGACAGATAAGATATATAACGAACCTTCATGTAAGTAACCATTTCTAGAACGATAAGTTCCGTGTTAGCCTATCCAGTTTTCACAACAATGTTCATCCCGTGTGAGTCTCACCATCGTAGCGCTCGGCCTGCTCGCAGAGCCGCGCGAGGAACGTCTTGCTGGTGAGGGGGTCAGTATTTCCAACAGAAAAAAAGAATACCGAGATCGATGAAATGCTTACTTGTCACGCTGCATAATAACAAGAAAAACGCGTTAGCCGATGACCAGATATCAAGTAAAAGAAAGTTGGATGTGGGAATGCGATGGGCGGTGACGACTCAGCACGCGCCCGATGGAGGGGTTGGATTGAGGGGGGGGGGAGAAGAGACAGGGTGTACACATACCTCGTTTTCCATGATGACTGTAGATCGAAAAGGTTTGGGGGAGATTTGAAGAAGAGAAGAAAAAAAAAACTGGAGATGGAAGCGGAGATGCAGAAGAAGAAGGTGAGGAGGACCAAGTGGGGGTGAGAAGAGAGAGAGGGAGCGAGGGAGTTTGGGGGAGAATCATAACAATACAGAATTACACCGTACCGGGTACCTGGACTTCCATGCTGATTCTCTTACTGATGCCTTGTACCATGTACACTAAAATCGATGCCCATTATTACTTCTAGGTGGAAATCACATAATACTTTATTTGGTGAAACTAGGCAGAGTTTTATCTTAATTCTATATTGTTTTATTTTCTTATATAGGTAGATTCCAAGGTTCCATTATTTATCATATTTCACCTTCCCTTGTATAGTCTCTCACCTTGTCGCACATCATTCAAATGTAAATTCCCGTATTTAATGGTACCAGGGACTTCGTTACGGTTACGAAGATCGTTCCAAATGACTGTGGAGACTCTAGACTCTCCTGACCGTTCATAGTCTATGGAGTTGACTCCTTTTTTTGCAAGAGTCAAGACTATTTATAAAAGGAGTCATGAAGATAGATGAATGGGATATGGTTAAAGTGGGGGGGCAAAGATGAACAGGTGACAATGATGCAACGTATAGAATCTTCCAGCATAAGATAGTAACCAAGTCCAAGTACAGTGCCAGGTGTACAGTATGATGTCGTTGATCATAGTTGATCATACTACTCCGTAGTTGAACACAGTTTACGATCTGGCTACTACATGGTCTACACCCCGGAAGGCCCACATGTGTATGTACATTTATGTTTCTTTGTTTTTATCCCAGTTCGATCTTGTAGCAGGTGATTTCTTATCTGGTATTCTATGAATCTCATTGGTTCATCTATACTATACAGGTGACTTAAATCACACTGCATTTAAGTGCATTTTCCCTTATATTGGCCAGTTGGTGACAATAGTCGTGTGCTCATCTGGACTGGTCAATTCACAAATACAACCAAGTGCTATTTATGTCTAGATAATTTCAACCAGGGGCAAAATCAATTATCCCGAGATTAAATCCTTGAAATCTTAAAAATAGAATCTCGTTGTCCTTTTTCTCTTCTTTTCTCTCCCCCTTTAACAATTGTATCATGTGACTGGATAATGGGGATAGGGGACATTTTAATTGGCTCTAGTCTAACAACCACTTTGCACCAGTTGACGCTCGGGTTTGGGCTCAATATGGAAGTAAAGCGCTTCATGTTACATTCCAAGGCAGGAAATACGAAGAATGAAATACGATAATTTCAACTTAGTGCCTGACATTTGAAAGTTCCCTATCAAAATAACACGTGCAGCAGAACTGGAAACAAAGGGAAAGTAGTAGTTGATAGTCAGTATCAAAGTCAGTGTTTTTCTTTTTTTCCCCCTCGTAAAATGTTGAGGTCCGGTGGATTCAGCACCAATAGTATCAAGATTGATAGAAGTTTTGTCACAAATCACATCAGGTCCCAGTCAATCGCCAGGGAACACGTGGCTAAACTACTTATTGCATAAATAGAGTCTGAATTACCGATATCTCCCAGCAAATGTCACCTGGGTAGTCTGCCTACAGATAGAATAGTTGCATATGATCCCGGTCAATCAAAACATCCTGGCTAGGCCCTGCTCATGATGAAAAAGTGGATGAGCTAGATTCAGCCCTACAGGAAACGAATGAATCGCATGCACAAGTTGCCACTCATTAGAAGATCATCTGCAGAGACCGTTCACCCACTGCCTATTCTGTAATAGGTGCTGCTGAATCAATGGAGATATGACGCGGGTTCCGCCTAGACCGACCCAATGCCAGATTGGGAAATGCAGGGTCAACAGGATTAACAATAGGATCAATGCTCTGCCGGGATTATGGCTAAGATAATGTCATTGCTCGCTAAAGGCATCATGGCCGAGGTCCGTGGCAGATGACCACTTAACAAGTCTGGTTAACTCCGAGTCCCCAACAGAATCCACCATTTCCACAAGGAAATCCACTAGGGAGTGTCCTTGGCAGCATTTGGTGTCTGATCGGTCATTTCTCTGGTCAAAGAGAAGCAAAACTCCACTAGAGCAGCCCAATCATTATGGGAATGATGTAGCCTGGCAAAAAGCCCCATAATTCCAGCACAGTTTTCGGAATAGTTGCCGGAGATCCCTGGCTATGTGCATAGAGAACGATTTAACTAGATAAGCCCGAGTCAACTTGTGAGCATCATAAAAATCAAAAGGGACCAAGGAAGAATCAACTTAGCAAGTAATCTCAAGATATCTCTTAGTTGTGTACGTAGTTACTATTTAATTTAACCCATAGTGGAGATCAGCAAGATTCAAATCATGGTTCAGCCCTGTGACTTGCTGATTCAGCAGACCCTCTTGATGAGGAAATAGAATCAACTGGATGAGAACACGTTGTTGCTCCGCCTCTCCACTTTTTTACGTCGCGCGCTTTTCCCACTGGAAACAAAGGTACTTCTTTCTCATTCCCTTGCTCATCCTGGACCCCGGCCAATTCGTCCGATTTTGACTAGTGGTTGCCAACATCCATGTATCATATCTAATACATCCCTTCCTTTTTTTCTTCCTTTCTTTTTTCTTGTTGTTACCCCAGCTCCTCCGCATCTCTGCCCCGGTCCCCCAGATCACGGTGACCTGGCAAGAGAGTGACCATGGAGAACTCCTTTCTCTACTCCCCAGCAGATGTGCTGGATCATTTCAATGTCTCTGAAAATTCAGGACTATCGCAAGATGCTGTGCTAAAATCCAGACAGAAGCACGGTCCCAATGGTATGTCAAATTCTCCCAAAGCTATTGTTCTGCGGGGAAATTAACTGTCTCTAGCTCTGGCCGAGGAACCCCCGACACCTCTTTGGGAATTGATTCTGGAACAGTTCAAGGATCAGCTGGTCCTTATTCTACTGGGATCTGCTGCTGTATCGTTTGTTTTGGCTCTCTTTGAAGAAGGCGAGGATTGGACTGCCTTTGTCGACCCCGCTGTGGTATGTGTTGCACACCTTCCCGTGAAGGTTTGAATATCTTACTGACAAATACTCTCTCCCAATAGATTCTTACTATCCTCATCCTCAATGCGGTTGTCGGTGTGACTCAGGAAAGCAGTGCCGAGAAGGCCATTGCTGCGCTCCAGGAATACTCGGCCAATGAAGCCAAGGTTGTTCGTAGTGGAAAGGCACAGCGTGTCAAGGCTGAGGATCTGGTTCCTGGTGATGTGATTCAAATCGCCGTGGGTGATCGTGTCCCTGCCGACTGCCGTCTTCTGTCTATCCACAGCAACAGCTTCCGCGTTGACCAGGCCATCCTGACTGGTGAAAGCGAAAGTGTTAGCAAGGATACTCAGGTTGTCAAGGACCGTCAAGCTGTCAAGCAGGATCAGATCAACATGCTCTTCTCCGGTACCACCGTCGTCAATGGCCATGCAACTGCTCTGGTTGTTTTGACTGGTGGCTCGACTGCCATTGGTGATATCCACGACAGTATCACTTCTCAGATCTCGGAGCCAACCCCATTGAAGCAGAAGCTGAACGACTTCGGTGATATGCTGGCCAAGGTTATCACCGTTATTTGCGTTCTCGTCTGGCTGATCAACATCGAACACTTCAACGACCCCGCCTTCGGCGGCTCCTGGACCAAGGGTGCGATTTACTACTTGAAGATTGCAGTTTCTCTCGGTGTGGCAGCTATTCCCGAGGGTCTTGCTGTCGTCATCACCACCTGCCTGGCTCTGGGAACTCGCAAGATGGCCCAGAAGAACGCCGTTGTCCGATCCCTGCCTTCCGTGGAGACCCTTGGAAGCTGCAGTGTTATCTGCTCTGACAAGACTGGAACCCTGACCACCAACCAGATGAGCGTGGAGAAGATCGTTTACCTGACTAGCACTGGCGATGCCCTCGAGGAGATTGACATCGAAGGCACTACATTTGCTCCCGAGGGTAAGCTCACCCGTAACGGTAAGGTTGTTGAGAACTTGGCTGTCACTTCGTCTACTGTCCGCCAGCTCACCGAAGTTACCGCTATCTGTAACGCTGCTACGCTTTCTCACGATGCCAAGACTGGCGTGTTCTCCAACATTGGTGAACCCACCGAGGCCGCTCTGCGTGCATTGACCGAGAAGATTGGTACCAATGACGCTGCCGAGAACGAGAAGCTTTTCCGCCTGCCCGCATCTGAGAGACTTCACCTTGCAAGCGCTCATTATGAATCCCGTCTTCCCCTCCAGGCCACTTACGAATTCTCCCGTGACCGCAAGAGCATGTCTGTTCTTGTCGGAAAGGGCAAGGAGCAGAAGCTCTTGGTTAAGGGCGCCCCCGAATCTATCCTGGAGCGCTGCTCTCACGTTTTGCAAGGCTCCGAAGGAACCCGCGTGCCCCTGAGCAAGAAGCACGTCAAGCTGCTCTCTGAAGAGGTCGTCGAATATGGTAACCGTGGTCTTCGGGTCATGGCCATCGCCGCCGTGCACGATATTTCTGGAAACAAGCTACTGAAGAACGCATCATCTACTGAGGATTACACCAAGATTGAGCAGAACATGACTCTGATTGGCCTCGTCGGTATGCTGGATCCCCCTCGCCCTGAAGTTGCTGCATCGATCAAGAAGTGCCAGGATGCCGGTATTCGTGTCATTGTCATCACTGGTGATAACCGTCACACCGCTGAGTCTATCTGTCGTCAAATTGGTGTGTTTGGACCTAACGAGGACCTCACTGGCAAGAGCTTCACTGGCCGTGAGTTTGACGACTTGAGTGAAAGCGAACAGCTCCAGGCTGTCCAGACTGCCTCTTTGTTCTCCCGTACCGAGCCTACCCACAAGTCCAAGCTGGTTGATCTGCTTCAGTCCCTGAACCACGTCGTAGCCATGACCGGTGACGGTGTCAACGATGCTCCCGCGCTCAAGAAGTCTGATATTGGTGTTGCCATGGGTACCGGTACTGACGTGGCCAAGCTCGCTGCCGACATGGTTCTAGCAGATGACAACTTTGCCACCATCACTGTCGCTGTTGAGGAAGGTCGCTCTATCTACAGTAACACTCAGCAATTTATCCGGTATTTGATCTCGTCCAACATTGGTGAGGTTGTCTCTATCTTCCTGACTGCGGCCTTGGGCATGCCCGAGGCTCTGGTTCCTGTCCAGCTTCTGTGGGTCAACCTTGTTACCGATGGTCTTCCCGCTACTGCTCTCTCCTTCAACCCTCCTGACCATGATGTCATGAGACGTCCTCCTCGTCGCCGTGATGAGGCCCTTGTTGGTGGCTGGCTCTTGTTCCGTTACATGGTTATTGGTATCTATGTCGGTACTGCTACTGTCTTTGGTTATGTCTGGTGGTTCCTGTACAACCCCGAGGGTCCTCAAATTACCTTCTGGCAACTGGTAAGTTTTCCTCACTCATACTTTCTTGTCACTTTCTAACAATTGCCTATAGAGCCACTTCCACCGTTGCTCCACCCAGTTCCCTGAGATTGGCTGTGAGATGTTCAGCAACGACATGGGCAAGTCTGCTTCGACTGTGTCTCTTTCCATCCTGGTGGTTATTGAGATGCTGAACGCGATGAACGCTCTGTCATCCAGCGAGTCCCTCTTCACTTTCTTCCTCCACAACAACCCGATGCTTGTGTATGCGATTACTTTGTCCATGGCTCTGCACTTTGCCATCCTCTATATTCCATTCCTCCAGACACTGTTCGCCATTCTCCCTCTGAACTGGATTGAATGGCAAGCCGTTCTAGCCATCAGCGCGCCCGTGATGTAAGCTTCCCTTTCCTAATTAATGATTTACATATGCTAATTACTATCAACAGCTTGATCGACGAAATTCTCAAGTTCGCCGAGCGTCGTCTGTACAATACTCACGTTTCCACTGCCCAAGTTGCCCAGAACGGTGCTGCGGGTAAGCCAAAGCGAGCGTAGAAGAATGATGAGATGAAATGGTCTCGCATATAAAGGAACTAGGGAGGGTAGCTTTCGCTTTATAGAGATAGATGCACGATGAGACGAGACTAGGCCAAGTCTTAAGTCGCATATAAATTTTCATAGATGGAGACTGCCATGAATCATCGTGATTGAATCAACCCTCAAACGTTTTGAAGTTAAAAGCATCATATCGACTTGTAACTGAATACTCAGTAGCTTTAATTTCCCCGCTATTACTCTAACTTCGATGATCTCGGGCTTACAAGTCTTTGCCAACGCTCCTTCACCTAGGCAGACTCTGTGGTATGTCCCCGTTCTACGCTCCTACCCCATGAATTCTAATCCGTGCGGCATAAAAAAAGTTAAGTAGACCCTTGGCACACGGTCAGTTCGCCCAAAATGGTCTTTACGGAAAGTGCACTACGGTATATTAAAGATTGACACTCCAAAATATGGGGTATCCTTCCTTGAACTGTCCAAGGTTGAGGGGTTCAAGGTGACATTCTAGTACCACCTTGCGTCTATGCTTGAAACCCGACATTCTTCCTTTCTTTCACCTCCTTCTCTCTATATTTCTAGGACTCACTCTCAACATTGCAGTTCAAGCCTGTGGCTGCTTTCCTGACTCCGTTGATAATTGAATTTATACAACTATACGCACGTGCCCTGGGCCCTTCTTATCCACTATGGGAGTCAAGAACTTCCTCAATAAACGTTCTGGTCTGCGTGTTGATAATCGGACTACTACCTCGGCTTCAACCTTGACACTTCGCCAGAGTCTATGGCCTCTCAGTCTAGTTACAATTTTATTCTTTCTATGGGTGAGGTCTTTCAAGAAGTTCAAGTTTATTATAGGACTCGAACTAACACTATCTAGGGTTTTGCATACGGTCTACTGGATACATTGAATAAACACTTCCAAAATACTCTACATATTGATCGAGGTCGTTCTGCTGGCCTCCAAGCTGCTTATTTCGGGTAAGTCTCGGATTGGCATATTATATGTCCCACCTCACATGAACTTGATCCCAGATTCTGATCATAATAGTGCATATCCTCTCGCCTCACTGGGTTACGCAAACTGGCTCCTACGTCACTTCGGATACAAGACCGTGTTTATCTTCGGATTAACATTATATGGTATTGGTGCACTGTGCATGTGGCCTGCTGGTCTACATCAATCCTTTGGTGGATTCTGTGGTGCCACATTCGTCATTGGATCTGGATTGGGATCTTTGGAGACGGCTGCAAATCCATATCTAACAGGTACGTAACACTTCATCTACTAGTAAGATGAAGCGCGGACATGAGACGCCAGTGTCTATCACCTCCAAGGCTTGCCCGGGCACTTTTATCATCGCAATGACTTATGATTATATAGTCTGTGGTCCACCTCGCTACTCCGAAATCCGAATAAACTTCGCGCAAGCATTCAACGCAATCGGTACAGTCGTCGGCCCAGTCCTAGGTTCCTATGCCTTCTTCACTGAAACAGAAGATGATGTCGAAGCCCTCCAGCGTGTTCAATGGGTATACCTTGCAATTGGAATCTTCGTTTTCTGTCTAGCTGTTGTATTCTTCTTCTCAAATATACCCGAAGTCACAGATGAGGATATGGCATTCCAGGTCTCGACGACTCATGTGGATGAGCAGGATAAACCGTTTCGGAAGCAATGGAAGTTGTTTCATGCTACTTTGGCGCAGTTTACATATACAGGTGCTCAGGGTAAGTCTTACCCTTGCATTGCTTTGCAAATTTGTTGTGCTTGCGCGAATTATGAATTCACGTTGTACTGGTTGCTGATATCTCTTAGTTGCCATTGCGGGCTACTTTATTAACTATGCAGTCGATACCTGGCCTGGAACCGATAGTGCTAAAGGTGCGAAGCTTTTAGCCGGAGCTCAAGGTGCTTTTGCTGTGGGTCGATTCTTAGGATCTGGATTGATGAAATATACGAAGGCACGTTATGTCTTCTTTGTTTATCTTTCTTGTTGTGTGGCGTTTCTAGCCGCTGCTGTTACGCAGAGAGAGCAAAAGGGTATTGGTAAGTTCATTCACTTTTTTTTACTCATCCCAGGCATGAGTAGTACTCGAGTGCTTGATTCCTCACTGATGCATTCTAAAATTAGCTATGCTCTTCATGACACTCTTCTTCGAATCCGTCTGTTTCCCTACTATCGTCGCACTGGGAATCCGTGGGCTGGGTAGACATTATAAACGTGGTTCTGGATTCATTGTTGGTGGTGTCTGCGGTGGTGCTGTTGTACCTCCGATACTAGGACATGTTGCTGATATGCGTAATGATACTGGGTTTGCGATGATTGTTCCTACTATGGTATGTTACTCTCACCACTCCACTCTATGACAGTTATACTTCCAAGGTTGGTGCTTACTGATTGCTTAGTTCATGGTTGTTGCTTGGACATATGCCGTTGCTGTTAATTTTGTACCGGAGTATCGTGATACTGTTGATAAAATTGGTGAAAGTACTGTTGGGATTCAGGAGGGTGATAAGGATGAGAAGAGGGATGCTGGGGATGAGGAGGCTGGGAGGACATAGGATCCTTGATCAGTGATTCATGGTCAAGTTGATACTGGTGATCATACTGGTGATTGCTGTAACTTTTTCTACTCGTCCAGCCTGGAGCTGACAGTGCATTCAATTGGAACTAGAAGTATGTTTATTCTTATACACGAGTACTTGTCTCTGGCAGATATTGAATTTGGATTGGAAGAATCGCTTTGGAAGTTCTGACCAAGCGGTAGGTAAATAATATATAGGACATTATAATTAGAATTAAGAATTGTATTGCACGCTTTTCTGTGTTAAACACAATAACTATCATTATGCAGGCATTCGGCAATATCAAAGTCTATGAGTCAATATAAGGTCAGAACAGTATGAGAAGGTATCTGAGACACAAGGCGAATGTGTGGGGTGAAAGGGACAATAGAAAATCTCGACAGAGAGAGAGAGGCTATATAAAGCCGAAGACAAGATCAAGGAAAGAGAAAGAGGGTAGGAACAGAAAAGGATCAGCTGTTACAGCTTATACAGGTGTATCATAAGCCGATGGTAGAAATAAAATGCAGGGAAGAATGTTTATGAGCCGCAAACATGAGGGGTATAGGGGAATCACAAAACAGCTCTATCGTCTAACAGATTGTGTAAGTAATCAGATCGTAGAAAGGAACACAGAACGCCCATGTCCAAGAAAGAAGGAAATTGTGCCACTATTGAGAGTGGTCGTCCGCTTTAGAAGCATCACCAGCGGTAGCATTGACATCCTCAGTTGAGATCTCTTCCTGCGGGTCCACCTCACTGGCACCCGTCACTTCTGCAATGGCTGCTGCGGCTTCTGGTGGTGGTGAACGCAAAGAGGATGTGCGAGGTGGCCTGAGAGGACTGGAATCTAACTCAGGCGCAGGTTCAAGAGCCGGCTTGCGGATTGATACAGGAGATCCAGTCTCCGTGACCTGCGTCTCTGGGTCTTTGATTGTCTCGGTTTCAGGGTCAGGCTCCTCGTGTACTGCATCAGCTGGCTCGCCAGTCTCCTCCTCAGGTTCATCAAATTCATCGACTTCTTCGATGTCCTCGTCGTCTTCCTCTTCCTCGATTATCTGACTTTTCCGAGCAGTTGGTCGTCCGACTGGAATAATTGCTTCGACTGGAGTACCTTCAGGTTGGCCGGGAATAGGAGAATGTACCATTCCACCAGCCACCATGAGATTAGATGTATTAAGCATGGGTCCTTTGAAAGCAGATCTCTTTCGCCGGGCAAACACCAGACTTGATGAAGGCGAGTACAGTAAAGGTGTAGGTGCAGCCTCATTGAAACTTGATGGCCCTGGGGCTAGACGGTCACTTAATTCCCTCGATCCACTTGGACCGCGTACTAGCCGAATATTACTCGGGAAGCGAGCAGATGCACCTGGGGTTGTTGGTAATACTTTGATAGAATTGTGAGGAGATCTGGAGATTCTTGCTGTGGGCGTAGCAACCGTGTCAATACTGTTTGAAGAGATCGAAGAAGCCTTAGAGTGTGCGCGGGTATGGTGAATGCTGCGTATGGATGAGACAGATGAGGATGTCGATTTGCGGCCACGCAATCCCGCCGACGAGCGTCGGTATGATCCACGAGGGGTGATTGGGGATGGCGAGAGTGAGTTGCGATTGCTTGAATGGCCAGTGTTCAGAGCCCGAGACTGGCGAGGGTACGAGTGTCGATTTTGGCGGTAAGATGCGCTGCTAGGAGCCAAGCTACTAGCATTGGAGATTCGCTTGATCTGGGTTGGTGTGACGATTTCTTCTGACACTGGTGCAACCGAAGCAGGGACCGACACAGTCTTTTTGTTGCTATCCTGGCTTTTAGCAGGGCTGAACTTCTCCGCGAATTTACGAGATCCACTAGATTTAGCACTTGGGGATTTCGCTCTTTTGGCTGACTCCACGAACCAGTGCTTTAGAGAAGCTAGCTGGCTGATTATTGGGTTATGGCGTCGAGGAGTCGAGGTGCGGCGGCGAAAAAGGCCGTGGTGCTGGGCGAGCTCTGGTTGTGATGCGCTTACATGCAACATACTAGGCCGAGAGCGCCTTTTATCTTTAGGTGGAGGAACGGGGCGCCGTCGGGTTGAAGAATTAGAGTGCACAGAATCTTTATCCAGAGGCGTTGGTGGAGCACTCCTCTGATCGGACATTTCCGTTGGTAGTGGTTCGGGCAGCGCAGGTAAGTCCGGAACAGCGAGCTGTGATGGAAGACTTCGTCGATCACGACGTCCCCGGTCATGTAGCCCAGTCGAATTCACATGGCCCTCCTCGTCCACCTCCACCAGCGCCGATGAAAGTTTCTCTAGTCGGCTGCTTGCCGCACTCAGACGACGAAGGTTCTTAGCCTCCGCATCTCGTTCCCGACGCTTGCGCTCTCGTTTTTGTTCCTTGCGCTGTTCCTTCTCTATCAAAAGCGCCCACCACCCAGCCAGAGGGTCGCATCTTTGAGCCAGCACATTCTCAATAACTTCGTCGATATTTACTCCTGCACTCTTCATCCGTTGTAACGTAGTCTTCTCCAGGGGAGTTGTAAAAGGCGAAGGGCGTGGGATTTTTAGAATGGCGAGCTGTTCGGGAGCATGGTCACCAAGGAAAGGATGGGCAAGGATATCTTCGAGGCTGGGCCGGATCAAAGGGCGTTTCGATAACAGAAGATTTATTAGAGCCTTGGCGTCTTCTGGGAATTTGTCGTTGTAAATAGGGTCTTCCGATAGAATGCGATTCTTGGTTACTTGATCGTCGTCATCATCGTAGGGTAACTCGCCGGCGAGAAGCGCAAAGAGAATAATTCCCAGACTCCAGACATCCACCTTCTCTCCAGCATATTTCTCTCCCTTTAACATTTCCGGTGCGCTGTAGCAAATCGTCCCGCAAAATGTCTGCAGGTAACTGGCCTTGCCTTCATACTCGCGCGTAAATCCGAAATCGCACAATTTGACATTTTCATGTTTGTCCAGGAGGATGTTCTCTAATTTCAGGTCTCGGTGAACGCAGGACTTGCTATGGACGTATGCCACTGCGCCGACTAATTGGGTAAATATTCGTTTGACTTTCTCGACTGGTAACGGACCATGGCGCAGGAGGTAATTGTAAAGTTCATCGCCTAAAGTAGATCAATTAGCTGAGTCCATATTCCAACTAGAAAGCAGTAGCGCTATACCAGGACAATATTCCAGCACTAGCCACACCAGATGCTCCGTTACCACAACTTCGTACAGGCGTGCGATATGAGGGTGTAGGAATTGACGGTGGTGGTGGATCTCGCGGGCCAAGTTGGTATCCTCCTTGCTAGAAGACTTAAGCACCACCTATGATTGTATTAGCATGGACGCATGCGTTTATCTCCCAGTCCACTTCTAATCCGCACCTTGGAGCCATTCGTGAGCTTGTGCGACGCGAGGTACACTTTTCCGAATGAGCCTTTCCCAATCAACCGTCCTAGAGTGTAATTTCCGACGCTTCGAAGGTCCTTCGACGAGAACTCTCTATACATGCGCGTTAGTTATAAGGGTATTCGCGGATCCATGCGAGACAGGGGATAGGACGTACTCGAGTAATTCATTGTAGGAGTTGGCGAGCTGTCCGAGCGCACGACCAGGAGGTCATGAAGTTAGCCAAGTCTACACAAGACCACACAACGCTGATCACGATAGCGTCCATTCCATAGATGAACACACCTTCTCCTTTTGTTTCTGGCTTTGAACCCCCGCTCTCGTCCTGGGCGGCATGTGTTAAACTCGATCCCCGGGGTTGCCGTCGGCCTCGGAGATCTTTGCGCGTATCGATATCGAGTAGGGGGGTGCGGGATGCGCGATCTTGCCATTCAAAAGACCAGGAGATATAATTCAAGGAAGTAGAGGGGACTGTAAATGAAAAAAAAGAATTACATGTAAAAGAATTATAAGAATCAAGGTTCAAAACGTCGGGGAAACGTGGACCGTGTGGAGTAACAACTCGGCTGTGGGCGTTGAAACGGCTGCTAAGGAATTCGAGCCAATATTATATCATACCCGACCCCCTGAGATGGAAATTGGTCCCGTTTCACTTTTGGATGTTCAAGTTTATTGTGTACTTCCAAGTTTAAATTGACTTGAACTTGAATTTCGATATTGTTTGAAGATTATTATATGTGGAAATATTTCCATGAACTTCCAAGTTCTCATATAAACTGTGAATGATTTCCCAAATTCTCTTATGATTTCATCCCTTGATCCTTCCCCTGATTTCTCTGATCCCCAGGGATTCCCTGTATATTGCAAAAGTAAGACCCCAAAAGAGGCACTTGTGGCAGCCATTTCAATATATCAGCGGTCTTCCATTGGTCCAGGTCATCCTCTCCTGCATGGACCGGTGGCCACCATGCAATTGCCCCTCCCATCGTCAATCATACGGCCTATGACCCCCAGGGAAGGGATTCAAGATGTTGAATTACTCGTTCAGTGGTGACCAGCAAAGGATCGACACGGGCAAGACCTTGTTCACCTTGAAAGGCTAATGAGACCATGCCAAAATAAGAGTGGAGGAGATCTAAAGAAAGTTGGGTTAGTAAGGGTAATTTGCCACTCGGGACGTATATTGGGCTTATACCAGGAGGATCCCCGACTGCTTTCCCAAATCCACCCACTAGATGTTGCACTTTTTCTAGCAGGTATCGACGATTCCGCACGTCATCAATTACAGAATATCGATCGAGCATCTAATACGAGTCAGAAATGGGTATTGGGTAGAACTCCGCGACCACATACCAGCAGTGTTGCCCCATTCCAAAACGAGTAGCAGGTATCTGCAAACTTGTTATAACGACCATTGAACCCAGCACAAGGTATTGATTCATCGCCTGCCAATGCAGTAAGCGCAGGTAGTGCGACAATCCTCTCTTCCAGAGAGTTGGTCGCATCGTCTGAGGTCAGCTCCGTATCGACTTGGCTTTCGTCGTCCGTCTCATCCTCATCATCCTCCTCCTCTTCACCTAGTTCTGCCGTCTGCCGTGATGCCAACCACGCCATCAACGTCTCAAACTTCCTGGACCCCGGAGTCAACATTCGAACCGAGTGGATGTCAGCTCCTCCCCGACGCAGAAACTCTAGAGATCCAACTGCACAATATGTATGTCCACCTAGGTCATGCTGTCAGAAGGATCAAGGAGAAAACAAATATCAGGGATACCAACTATGGGGTTCACGAAAAGGTGATTCGGCCATTCCGCCATCGTAAGCCTAGTTCAAAGGAAAATGAATTAGTAAAATCCAACACCATATAACCAATGTATAATAATTTATTACCTGGCATGCTTCGATAAATGAGATAAACCCGGGCACATCGATATCTTGTATATCCTCAACGCCTTTACTTCCGCTTCCCCGTAACATAAATCGAATTCCGGCTGCACACATGCAGTATCGGAGATCCCGATCACCCTCAATAGTGCCCTCAGGACCAAGCAATTCTCCAAAGCTTCCATCCGCTCGTTGTAGTTTCGGAAGCCACTGGAGACATTCTCTCCGTTTGACTTTGGACAAATCATCACCCAGAATGAGCAAATTCACCAGCGCAAAGAAAGTAGCAGGTCCATTCGCTGGATCCCAGGCTTCATTATCAGCCGTGCGTCTCTCTGCCCCAAAGTCCGTTCCTGAGAATCCGCGAAATCCACCTGATGGCACCTGGCAATGATAAAGCCAGTCGATATATCCTTGTCGCTCTTCCGGGGTGATTTTGTCCTGCAGAACACCCAGCACATCTAACCCGGACAGGGTAAAGAAGGCCAAGAGCATGCGATTCGAGTCATTGGAAGTATATGCCGAGGGGAGGAAGGTCTTGAGGCAGCGGAGGTAATATTTCACATGGCGTTCAGTGTTGAAGATCGCCGCCATGATGCGGTTAGATGTAACTCAGATTCAATAGGAAATATTCCAGGCTTTGAAGTCTGCCCTTGTAACTTGTGCGATTTCTAGACTTGGTTGTGTTTATCAAGAAATCTTAAGGGTTGGTGGGGGTTTGGAAATCGAATTGGCCGGAGCTGCTGCTTTCCCCACATGTGGTACATTACCCAGTTGTGCTTTTTAAAGTCCGCGCGGTCCACCTGGCCACCTCCCTTCCAAATCAATCTGGCTTCTTCAACAACCCAAATCACCTAGGATCATATACATTCATTCAAAATGGTCCTCGTTTCATCCAAAACCCTTATTCAAGTACACGGCGTACTCCTGATTATCCTCGCCGGGTACCTGATCAAAAGTCCGGAGTCAATCACGGATTCCAACATCGTCTTTATGATGGGAGAAACGCTGAAAATTGTATGAATCCAATCGAATCCAGTGATTGAATATCTTAAATTCCCCATTGAGATCAATAAACTAACAAGGAATCATATAGGATCTCCCTCCCCCGAAAAGTCCCTTGACATCCCCCTTCGTCTTCTGTTCTATCTTCCTCTTCGCCGAAGCCTTCATCGATATCGTCCTCCTATCTACTCTTCCCTACCGTGAGGCATTGGATGAAGCTCTGCCTTATATCCGTCCCCTCCGCAACTCTAACCTCCCCTCAGAGGATCTCCGTGCACTGGAGAAGCTGCCGGAATACATCACTACCAACCTGACCCTGTACTGGAATGTCTGGATCAGCATCACTGGAGCTCGTCTCGCGATCTACGCTACTATCTCGGTATTCATCTACCAGAGCAAGGATTCCTTTGTCGCGTCTAGCTATGCTGCAGCGTCGGCTGTTACCGGGCTTGACCGGTTGAAGAACCGCGCAGTCTTTACATATGCGTTTCTGGAAATGATGTTTTGGTTCTGGGTATGTCTTAACTGGTCGAGAATACGCGATAGATAAGTTGAGAGTTGATTATGCTAACCATTGTTTAGTCTTTCTTAACCCTCCGCGAGGAGCGACAAGAACGATTGACCAAGTTGCTGGAAGATGCCAGGGACAACTAAGTCTCATAAGGGAGTATATTCATATAGCTCTTTGCCCGAGGCAATCATGTTTTAAAATATACTGTCATAATCATTACATAGCCTGACCCAGGTCCCCCGTTCGGGTAATTTGATAATTGACAGATCTTCTCCGCCATTACGCCCTCAACCAGCTCAGCTGGTCATTGATAAGAAATTGTTGTGTCGAGAGGGTCGAGAATATTAATTTGTGACGATCTTGAAAGATCGTTTAAAGGAAAGCGGCGAGGCCCACGGCAGCGGCAGCCATGAAGGATGCCTCTTTGTTCTGGACGGCAGCAGCAGCACCGGTGGCAGTCGATGTGGCGCTGGCATCGGTGGCAGATGTGGCAGATGTACCAGAGGTAGTCTCCTTGGTCGAGGTCGACTTGGAGCTTGCAGTGCTAGTGCTAGTGGTATCGGTACCAGTTGCGGTCGCGGTCGTGGTCGCGTCTCCAGTGGCCGATGCACCGGTGGTGCACGCGACCGTGGTGGGAAGACCGGTCACACCGCCAGCAGAGCAGATCTCATCGGCTACCTTCAGAGTTTCTGTATCAATCACGATCATAGTGTTAGTCAATTGATGTTCTTGATCAGGACCTCGGGAGCTGTTAATATGACATACCCTCCTGCTCTTCCTCCGTACACACGCCAACAATGCAGCAGGCGACATCAGCAATGAATGTGCCGCTCTTGCAAATACAGGCAACGTCGACTCCACAGCTCGCAGGAATTGCATCGGTCGCGCAGGATTTCTGGATGAATGTCAGTGGGAGTCTGTTTACTACTTCTCGGGTAGAAGCTCGGCGAGTCACATATATCACATACAGCACAGGTGGGCAGATCACTCAGTTGAGCAGTCGCCGCCGAAATCATGGCAAAAGCCAGAGCAATAGAGAGCTTCATGATTGAAGATTAGAAATTAATGGAGTCAAGGATTTTTGGAGAGAGGTTGAAGAGAGAAGGAAAGAGCACTCCCCGCTTTTAAGGTAATTGGAGATGGGCACCTGGGTATTTGATCGATCTATCCGACCCTCCGTACAACCGTCATTTCCTAGCTGTGGATTCAAGTCCTTTGATCCAGTAAATTGTCCGAGTTTGATTTCTCCAATTGATTAGCGTTGCGAGCTCGCAGTGGCTGTATTTATTGATACTGATACTAATTTACCTTGATACAAGTGGTGGACCAATAGTAAATACCGAGAGTGGAGATAACGCTGATCTTGAGCGTCGTATTGACACGCATGAAGCTCCCAACTTTGGAAGGCGGTAAACAGTAAAGCGGTGTGGGTTGAATAGCCCTATCCCGACAATAAAGATATAGATCTATATGGCTAATAAACTATAGCTTCATTAAAGAAATCATGTTGATCAGCTCTTTCTTGTCAAGATTGAATGACAAGATTGAATCAGGTTCAAGAATTGAATCAAAATGTGCAGCACTTCAAGTCATATTCACTATTTTCTTTACGCTCGCAGCCTTATGGAGTGCAGGGCGAGTTATGTATGATAAGGCGGATCCCGTATAAATGGACTCAGGCACCGATTATAACGAAGATTTCTTAGTAGATAATACGCAAGAAAACGAAGAAAAGTGCAATCAGTGAAGCTGAATGTTTGCCATATGATAAGGACCTTGTTTATAAACTCGCAGCGGTGCCTGTCCACCATCGCTCCTACAACCCACCAAGGTCCTCCCACTCCCACCCATCTTCGAGCTTCCTGCTTCCACAACATCAATCTAACAATAACAACCCAAAACACACATCAAAATGTCTATCTCACTGCTTCCAGAGGAGCTTCTTGTCATGATCTTTGACTTTGCAACCTTGAATGACCGTGTTGACCTCAGTACACCAAAACGAGACAACGCCACCTTACGATCTCTGGGCCTTGTCAGCAACCGGTTCCACCGCATAGTCCAGCCTCTTCTCTTTGAAGAGATCAGCTTCATTTATTCTGGAGATCAGCAATCCCAAGTTTCACCGATTGAGCGCACACGTCAGCTCCATGCACTGCTGAAGCATGATCACGAATGCAAGTTGCGCGACATCTGCCTTGCCTTTTATGTTGACATCGATGACTACGGCCAAGATAATCAAAGCGATTATCAAATCGTGCTTGATTTATTATCCTGGTTTACCCGACTCCGCTCACTGGTCATCGTGGGTGGCTTCTTCCTCAACGCGCCGGACTCAGTTCGCGCCCTCACACTGGAGACAATCAATCGCGCCAAAGATCTTGGTCAGCTAAGAACACTGAACCTTGAAGGCCATATGTGGGACGGGCGAGGTGGTATCACCCTTGCCGAAGTGATGAAATCAGTCGACTCCCAGTCCCTCGATACGCTAGAAGTCACGACAATTGGACTTTCTGACCTGCCCGCCATCCAAGAAATGGTTGATATCGACAAGCTACGAACGGCAAGCTTTACAAAGCTTCGCCTGATCGCTTGCAAGGACGACCCAGAAGCAATCGCCGCGTTGATCCACTGGCCAAAGCAGCTGATCAATTTCACCATCAACACGTCTGGCAATTGGGGTCCCGGAATGAGCCTGCAGGATATGGCGGCATGCCTCTCAATCCATAAAGATACCCTCACGACCATCTCAATCGACCTCTTAGGTAGACCGCATGGGCTGACTTTCGACACCAGAAAGTTCCCCCACTTGGATGAGCTTTGGCTATCCAGGACTCAGATCTGCGAAGATCCCTGGGGCCAGGAGTTCGAGTGGGATCCAGTCCATGCGGATCTCCTACTTGGTCCGAGTCTTCGAACGTTCGGGTTGGTGTTTGGGGTCATGGGTCACACCGTGATCAACAACTGGGGGTCCTTGGAGGAAGAGTGGATTCGTCAATTGGCGAAGGTAGCGTGTGAACGGCGCGCTGTCCTGAGCACAATTGCGATCACATTCAACCCCTCGGACCCTCACCCAAATCCCGACGTTGGGGTGTATCGAGACGGGAAGTATGAGTATCCGTGGGATAGAATGGACAAGCTGGCCAAAGAGATCAAGGAATATGGTCTCGACCTGTACTATTCCACTCCGACGTGGACGAAGGAAGAGTGGTTGTCTCTGTGTGGAGACCAGATCAGCAATGGCTGAGCAGTGCGCCTGCCGGGGGTGTCTGAGCAGTGTACTGTATGAATGAAAACTTTGTTTCTTTCCCTTCAAATTACTTTCCAAGTTCTCCTCGTAAATGGTATCACGGCTGGGCAAAATTTAGTAGTAGATAGAAGGGCTTACGTTTGAGTTCTCAGCCGCCAAAGCTCCTGCTTTCAGCTTGTAAGTAAAGCCTCAGGCGACGCTGTAGCCATGTTCACATAGTTCAAGTTAAATACTCAGGAAGGGAAGTCTAGCTGCTACCTGTGTATAGTTGCCAGGTGGATATAGGCAACTGGGTATTCTGCCAGGCGTGAAGGAAACTCGAAAAACCACTGCAATCCAAATAGGAAAAGAGGTCTAGTCTACTGTATACTAGTCTGGTAGTACTCTTGTGATCGGGAATATTCTCTGGGTAAACTTTCATTGTCCAACCACTTTTCATCAAGCGGCTGTCGTTGACATGAGAGATCCGAGCTTCTTGTATTACCTGGGCCCACAGCCTCGTTGAGAAGCCAGCGGTATATCCTCTGAGTGATGAACCAAGGACAAATTTGCCATAATCAGGCCCGGATTCTATCCACGTGCAGTTGAACATCGTTGGTTGTGAGTTGTTTGAAGTCCAAGTCTTACACCATCGACCATATAGTGCAACAAGGGGAAGATAGAAGTTTCTGGCAGTCGCTCTTCTCGGTGCATGTCCAATTGAAAAATTGAAGAGAGAAATGGCCCATGAAATTGGACATCTTGGTATACGGACCAAAATTGCCTGCCTATATGGACTTATGTAGAATCAACCTCATGGCAGATGCTGAGTATATTGATACGGGACGTTGAATGTGCAGACTAAACCGCATTTAGTAAAGAGCGAGAGAGCATTTGAAATTGATCAAGAACGGCGAGTGAGCATCAGTTTTGAATTTTTGTCTCCAGGGCTGGCACTTTGGTACCGAGGGTACGGAGTAGATTCCTGCTTGATGAATGGAGCTCCATTGAAAATAGAGTCACGGTACGAAGAAAGAGGAACTTGAATCATATATGATACTGTTTGAATGTTAATTTGATGAATATCACTTTACTTGCACGTCCCGTTAGCTCTATAGACACGGCAGAAATGGCCCCCAATATTCATCATACCGATGCCATACCATCGCAGGTTTGGTTGTCAGGGCCTAGCACTCCACAAAGTGGATCCAGGCCCTTTGTCCCGTACTCCCGGAGAGGACGGACCCAGGACGGACCGAGTAATCTCGCTTTCGACTGGTCTGGAGATTTGAAGGTATGGAAAATATGTTTCAGCCGGAGATTGGTCTTGTGATAGAGGAAAAAGCTTCAGGTACATAAGGTTTTCCTGGAGTAACTTACATACATGAATGTATGTACGAAATCCACCAGAGGGATTATGAGTTCTGACGGTGACACCTAGGCTCCACTCCAGGCTCATGCGGCATGCCAAAGTTGCCCAACCATAGAAAACGGAGCCTCCCGGGTTGCAGCAACAGGGAATATGGGAACAAGTCTCAGCCGGTTGGAATTAGTATACGGATACGGGGGTATCTTGTACGCAGGTCCACAGGACCACAGCGTCATACTAATCTCCTTTCAATCAAGCTAGCCTTGTGTGGGCACCACAGTGCAGGATTCTGATGGGCCTGAACAGGGGAATGAAACCGGGAGCTGTGATGGCGCTCCCGTTGGAGCTCGGACTGCGGATTTTGTGATTCCGATGTTTTTTCTTCTCCACTTGTCAATTTTGTTGAAAGATCTTTTTTTTTCAATTTAATCAATTAATTTGGAATGAAGAATAAGTTGGAGGTTCAAGTTTCTTGGCTTTGATCGAGTCGATCTTGCGGGTCGGGGTGAGATTGAGAAGCTTTAATCTGAATAAGGCAGGAACGTTTTACCCCTCTTGGCTATTTCTGCCTCAGGTATTATGCACTTTGTTCTTTCATCCACACCAGTTACTCCTGTCCTCGATTTCATTCGTTCGTGCAATCATGGGACTCGGAGTTCTGGAGGATCGGAAGCTTGAGCAGGTCCCAGGTGAGATTGTTGTTCCATGTAATCAGAAGAGCGTGGGTATTAATGAGAATAGGCACCTGCAACATCTATGAAACAGACGATGGCAATCATCACACGGGTGCGAACCTCAAATACGATCGGACTACTGCCGAACCTACGATCCTCGTGCCCCAGCCAAGTGATGATCCTAACGATCCGTTGGTATAACTCCCAGTACTTAAATCAAGTTGGACCATTCAACTAACCATGTCAGAATTGGCCATTATGGAGGCGCGATCTTATTCTCGGAATCATATCCTTTGTTACTATCCTATGCACCACACTCAGCTCTATTATGGCAGCGAATACTGTTACGATTGCTGAATATGAGAAAATCACATTCACCGAAGCGGCGCTTCTCACTGGTTATCATCTATGCGGTGTTGGAGTAGCTGGTCTTTTGATCGTCCCAAGTGCGCGAGTCTGGGGCAAGCGGCATTTATTCATTATGGGACACATTCTCATGATTATCAGTTGCGCCTGGGCGGGAGGAAGTGGGCATAACCACAAGAGTCTTTTATGGGCCCGAATCTTCCAGGGTGTTGCATTGGCTCCATTTGAAGCTCTGGTGAATGCTTGTGTTGGAGATCTTTACTTTGTCCATGTAAGTCGGAGCTGAATCGCACGAGCACATCTGTCTCAAGGCTGACCAGAACAGGAACGAGGAAAGCGCATGGCCGTTTCCAATGTCTCTCTATTTGGTGCTGCATTTCTGACTCCCGTCTTTGTTGGGAAGATCACCAAGTCCCTGGGTTGGCAGTGGTCTTTCTACTTTGTGGCAATTTTTCTCGCTGCGGCCCTACCTTTTATGATCATTTTCGTGCCTGAGACTGCTTTCAGACGGCCGGACTACCTGAACACCGACTTCAAGCATAAGAATGCCCAGGTCTCGTCCGATGAATCAACATTTCCCCTCGATTCTACTTCCAACCAAGGCTCCAAGGAGTTTGTCCCAGGGCACTTGGCCACCAGAAGCACATTGACAACGGAAATATCTGCCGCCGTGACGCCGCAAAAGAACTCACTATGGAAGTCGATGAGACTTTTTAACGGCCGGAAGACGGATGAGAACTTTTTCAAACTATTTCTTCGTCCATTCCCGTTATTCTTCCACCCTGGGATCCTCTGGGTAGGTAATTTGCTGCAATATTGTTTAATTTCCACTAGGTGCTAACATTCTACAAGGCCTGTCTCATACAAGGCGTCATAATCGGCTGGACTGTCTTTATCGGTGTCATCCTAGCTCTTGTTTTTCTGGGGCCGCCACTATGGTATGAGGAAGACAAAACCGGATATCTGTACACCGGGGCTTTTATTGGAGCCATCTTAGGCTTGTTCATCTCGGGTTTCCTCACGGACTTCATGAATAAGATCATGATCAGGCTCAACAAGGGCAAATATGAGCCCGAGTTCCGCATTCTTCTGGTGATCTTCCAGCTTATTTTCAGTGGCATGGGGCTCTATGGGTATGGATGGACTGCCTCGGACGTGGAAAAATACCGGTGGCTTTTGCCCGTCGTGTTCTTTGCGTTCGTGGTTATTGGTATGGTGATGGGTGCAGTGGCCTCTGCACTTTACATTATCGATGCCCACCGTAAGTGATGCTTTCGCGCGTGGATCTTTTGAACTCTAGCTGACTATTGCAGGGGAAATCTCCGTTGAGGCTTTCACTTGCCTCCTGGTCTTCAAGAACATGTTCAGCTTTGTGCTGACTTTCTATGCCTATGACTGGTTTGCATATGGTGGTATCAAGCATACTATGACCATCGTCGGCAGCATTCAAGTGGGCATTTGTCTCCTGAGTATCCCTATGTGTATGTCTCCTCCAGAAAAGGCCATCCTTACTTGAATTAACGACTGACTCTTACTAGACGTTTTTGGCAAGCGGAACCGCTCGTTCTTTGCCCGTCATGACATCCTCGAGATGTTGCATCTTTGGTAGGCGGGCCTATTTTGAAGGTCTCCGTCGGATTATCTAAATTAGTGGGACGAATATTGTCATGGTACCATGCTGGTCATTATCTGAATATCTGTACTAGTACTGTATGGTGTATGCATATCTAATTACTCAACAGTCGATGTTGAATTTCCCAACCGTTTCTTCTCGACAGGATACTTTTCAAGACTCTCATACCACTGTATAGTTGATCCAATCATGAATGCCCACGAACCCCAGAATGTAGCCAGTGTGGCTTGATACTCCACCTTGGAAGAACTGGTTCCTGGTCCCAATGCACCACACAATGTGAAGCCTATGCCACCAATGAAGTTCCAGACTCCAATGTGCCAGCCAAGAACATTGAAAGCGGGCAGATACCATTTCTTCTGAGTCTCCAGCGTAAAAAGAAGCCCGCTAATGATGAATCCAACACCACCGACCATCTGCGGAACCCAGTAGATTCCATCAGTCAGACCTTGACTCATATTGTCGATTATCCCCGGTAGACCAGTCAGTCCAGCAATCCAGAAGATACTGGCAGCAAAGAACTGAATTAGAGATGCAAGAAATCCCAACTCATGGAGATAGTGACTCCTCAACTCAGACAAGGATGGAATCCAGCGAAACGACTGTCCATCAGATAACGTGGTGCTGTAACCTTCTGTCGCAGAAAGAGAATGTCGTCGCGCATATTTTCCCGCACCAACAAGATTCCTCTTATTCGCATGATGATGTCCACAATCTTCCTTGATGGGTTTAACCGCAGTAACAGTATTCTGGGTCTTGGTCTCACCCTCCAGTTTCGTTAACTCAGTTTCCAAAGCCCACCCAAAGCAACCCGTTTGATGCGCATTAACAGCTTCAAGTAATAACAAAACACTCCCAACCTCGAAAACCGTCGCACCAATAAATCCCGTAACACCTCCACCAACCAACGACTCACCCGAGAACTCGGTCGCAGGATCCACCATGGGTAACCAGGCGAAAAAGGCATTGATTATCCATATCGCTGATCCAACTGTAAATGTTACTGCTACTAGATATGAGACATCCCAGTAGGGTGCATATGTAGCCATTCGGATAATACCCCTGAGCACAGCTCGAAGGGAAGATGTTGGTGCTGGGGTAGATGCAGGTGCTGCATGACGGACATCTTGGGCGGCCTGGTAATCTACCCGTAATGCATGTCGCCCCTTGCGATTATCACGCGATCGCCATAAATGCTCGACAACTGGACTGGGAGATGGTGGTGTGAGTTTTGCATCTGCACTCTCGTCGGCGTCTTGTACAGGCGTTGGCGTGGTCGCTGTTGCGTATCGTGCGCGCGTCGGGTTCAGGAATGTTAGTGGGCCGGAGATATGGCCGTGGCGAAGTGTGAGACTGGGATGGTCGTGCAGGGGTTCCCGACCGGGTTGAAATTGGGCGTTTCTGGGCATTATTGTGCCCTGGTTCCAATGATGTCTCAGGGGTGTGAGAGGGAGAGTTTTAAGCTTTGAAGCTTGGGCCTGTAAACCAGTTCTAGTGGTGCCATCATCGACTAACCACTTGTATACTGTACCTAGTGTAGAATGGGCCAGTGAGCGGAGGGAATGGGATTAGTCATATTCAGCCAGCCCAAGTGATTATACTACAAACTAGAGATTAATTAGTAGTATATTAATCATTTGAAAAAGTATTATGAGTATCATATTGCAGATTTTGCTTTCTATCCCGAGCTCGATGGGGAGTCCAAGTCTTGTCTAGGTCCACGGGTTGAATGCTTGATCTTTTGTATTCCTGCCCTGCTATGCTTGAACGTGAATAAATGTCTAGTAAGTCTTCCTCTTATGATTGTCTAATTATGCCATGCGGGCTAGACTCGGACTTTTTGCAGAAATTGAACAACAGCTATGATAAAATGTTAGTGACGTATCATCTGTGAGACTAGATAAATCATACCTTGTCTGAATTCTTCGGGCTTTTCCTGCACTATCCAGTGTCCACAATCAATGTTGACAGTCTCTGAACGAGGAAAGAGTGTATTCATCAAGGGAAATGCATTCTCTGGAATGTAGTGACTTTGCAGACCTCGAAGGAACAGTACCGGATTAGAAAATGTTGCAGAACCCGGCTTGTACGGAAACATGCCTAAGGGCCCTAGAGCTCCTCGTAAGATGTCTACCGAGAGACGTAGTTTCAAAAAGGGACTTTCTTTCTCTTTGATGAAATTGCTCAACAGCCATAATCGCACGGATGCGTCCTGTAAGGTTCTCGAGGTAAGTAACTTGATTTCATCAGATAGAACACTTCGAGTACTAACCGTTACTGTTTCTCTGAGTATCTTATCAGCTTCAAGATGAGTAGGAACTTGTTTGCTGTGAATTTCCGCCATGGCATCTAGATATTTTTCAAAGTCTGGTACCAGAGCAAGTTCAATAGGACCATTGTCGACTGCGACGACATTGGATACAAGGTCTGGTGATCCCAAAGCTAGGGTCATTGCAGTTTTGGCGCCCCTGAAGTGAAAATTAGTATACTGTTCTCGCTCTTCATGGATCACAGCTTCGACTTACATGGAATGGCCAATCACAGTGGGCCGTTGTAAGTTGTGTGTCTGGATAAAGCATTTGACATCTAATGCCATTTCCGGATAGGTATGCAGGGGATGGTGACCGGAGTCTCCATGATTTCTTAAATCCTGTATAAATCAGTATCAATTTCATACGAGAGTTGGAATCAAGTTTTTCATACCAAGGTATAGACGTCGCGGGTCAGGTCTTTCGCGAGGAGCCTTGACAGGGATCATTGTTAGCGTCTTCTTTCCAAGGTTTTCCACCAAAGACAAATAGCTGAGTCTTACCTGCTTACATGTCTGTTCTCCCGTTTGGATCCTAGAAATCCATGCAGAAACAAAATTGGCGATTTTTGAGTGGCCGACCCTTGTGGCGACTTGGCGCGCAGCAGTTCAAAGGCCAATGGCACTCTCCCCGTTGCGAGCTCAGAGAGCGATCTGGTTGTCATGATATGGTTTGTTGGGAGATATCACAGGGGGTTATGAGCCTCGGGCTGAAGTGCTGGTATATCTTGTGCAAAAATTGTAGTATTCTGACTTCGGGAGTTGTTTTTAGGGGTCATCGCTCGGCCAAAAATCGAGGGTCCACTCGGCGAAATACAGAGATGCCGAAATCCAAAATGAGTGATTTTAATCGTAAATTGGCACTTTTGGGTATGAATTATTCATTGGATTAAAGAGAAAGCTCAATTGATACATATATACTGCCTCAATTCTGCACTACTAGTACTTAGTACTCTGTACAAATCTGGGTTCTCTATCTCCTAGTGTCTATACCATACGGAGCACTAGATCAACTAATGGACGCGGATGCTAGTATTAGGTGCAATTGAAAGAAAAACAGAACATTGACCGATACTAATTGAGACATGAACTTAACATAATCTCGTCTAAATAGAAGTACTAGTAATCAAGTTTCCTTCTCCGGCCAGGGTCTCAAACTCTCAGTGTGTTGCGAATCCCCATCTTAACTCTAGGAACTCGAGACATCTTCGCCAGTACAGGTGTCTCCATTCGAAGAACCGTTTCCCGATAGCAGGTTCCAGTCGTCCACTCATACGAGCATGCAATGGCTCGTTGCATACCTCCTTCTGCTGCGCACAAGAGAACCACGCTCGGTGGGTTGACCGCTTCGAATAGCGTCACTGTCATAGTATTGGTATCGACCAGCGTGAAGATACGCATTCCATCAGGGTTGGTGTTCGATTTGGCTTGCTCTATCTTTGCCGCAATCTCTGCAGAAGATTTCTTCGGATCGCAAGGCTCGCAGTCGCTGGATGCTTCTTCATGCCGAGAAAGCGAGGAGCCGTAAGCGCTCCATCGCAAACGTTGGAGATTACCACCAAATATTTGGGATTCGATGGTCTCGAGATCGGCATATCCTTCGAATCCGAAGAGCCATGCTTGGGAGCCCCCTTTGAAAATATCAAAGTCAGTTTTCGAGGTACATCAAAGCTCATTCTCACGGAATCCACTTACAGAATTTCCCCCCATACAGTAAACGGGTGAGATACGGCGCGCAGAAAAATGTCAATACAGCAAGTACCACAAGCAAGGCGCCCAGGACAGCTGTAAAGTACATCCATACTCGGACCATCCATACCTTGTGCTTGAAATCGCTGAATACACCTGCCGTGAAAGATGTGTCGCTCAAGTCGTGCTGCACTCTATCCAGCATTTGAACAATGGCGAAAGTAATGACAAAAGTAAAAATTCCAATTACACCAAAGAACGGAGCTCCGTGGAACAATATCTTCGTGATGAGTCGCTTGGGAGTGGTTCTTCGCCGGGAGTTGACCTTTCGGAATTTGTCCCAGTGGATTGTAGCACCGAACGCTCCATCAACAAGAATCGCATCGTTGTAGCAGATTCCGGCTATCTGACAGGTCGGTTCGATATCCCATAGATTGACATCGTACTTATCATCCGTACAATACCATGGCTGATCATCGTTCTGAGGCAAAACACACATCAATCGTTCAAGGAGCTTGTCACTATCATTGGCAAGGGACAGACGGGCGAAGGCTTGAAACTCGCTGTCGTTGTGATCGACACAGGGTCGCTTCAGGAGTAGACCCATAAGTGCGTAGGTATGACCACCCTGTAAATTAAATGAATTAGTTTCAGAAGGCACCTGGGCAGTATATAAAGATGAACTTGGAAACATACCCTAAAATCATCCCCTTTCTCCCTCGAAAAAAGACAGTTCAAGGCAATACTTGATAACTGTAGCGGGCTGAGAATGAGACTCCCTGAGAAGTGATCAGTCAGCTGCCTGCTTCTTTCCGAATCATCCCAAGCATATTCGGCAAAGCGGCTCTTCGGTATAGATGCGCTATGGCCTGGGTCTCCCTCTTCGTTTAGAGGAAATTTGCCTCGCTCATAAACAGGTATTTCCTGGTTTTTGCAAAGTAGAACCTCTGGCAATGTCCACACACGACTACCCCAGTCCCGTACGAGAGTCTTGATTCTTTCATCCAAATTGTTGTCTGAAAGTTTCAGTCCCTTTCTAGGCCCGACAGCGATAACAACGGCGCGAGCCCCGCGGACGATATCACTGATGTGATAAATATCATCGGCCGAGTCCGAATTAGCACCAGGCGTGCAAAAAGCGCTTATCCAGTATGCTGGGACACCAAATTCCCGAGCAGCGATGAGACCTATCTCGTTGAGCGCGGCCATGTCTTTCTCATTCTTGAGTTTGAACTGGGTACCGATGTACGCAACAACCACATACTCTGGGCAATTTTGATCACTGCGCAAATTCGTTTTCACGTTTTCAAGGCTTATCCGATATTTTTCCTCTTGTTTTGACCAATCCTTCCAATCACTGGCCTTCAATAGCTTTGATTCATTTTCACCCGCGTCGAAAAGCAGATAACGTGGCTCAAGGAGACGATCGATGTTTGAGAATGGAACGGGGCTTCCATCCGGAGGACTGGGAAGGCTGATCGACTGGTTTCGTTCGAAAGAGTTACGAACGATCCTACAATATCCCCAATACCGATAGGGAAAAGGGTCATAATTGCCATCGTTCACGATCTCGCCGTCATCTGAGATCCCGGGTATTCCCATCTGGTGGAAACAAGCGATTTATTAGTAGGTTCATCATTATGAATAGTCAGCACAATCTTCACTTACCACAATAGTAAGAAAAAGACACGCAGCTGGCCATTTAACTGCGGCTTCAAGATAGTTCATGGAGCGATAGCCTTTGCCTTCTAAATCCGCATCAAATCCTCTCAGGGCCCAGTTGGCAATCCTCAATGTGAGAGGTGATACATTGCTTATGGATGTTCTCTTGTACTTTGAGTCTCTAGCCACTTTGAGAAAATCATTAGTACACTGTACTATTAGCTTTTCGACTCGACCGTCCTCTGGGTCAAGGAAGCGTTCATCTGCTCTGCCACGATGGACACGCTGGAAATGATCTTTGTGGTGAAACTCTCCCTCATCCACAGTGAGATTGGCTGGTTCGTACGAGTGCCCAAAGCTAGGAATTTTAGACTTCAGTAATTTGGTAAAGGAGTTTTCGCGAGGTGTCTTTGGCTTGGTTCGACGAGTACCTAACTGAAAGAAGTATGATTATTTGATTCGAAAATACCGAACACGGCCTAGAGATACGTATTACATACACGACGAAGCTCTTCAGACGAGCTACTATGCTCCTTTGTAGAATACATGTATCCCTAGTATCAATCAAAGACTTAACGCTTTGTCCTCAATCCCTTCAGTCCACCTTTCTTGAATCTACTCACAGGAGCTTTGGTAGATGGTTCAGACTTGTCTGAATTACCAGTCTAGAAAGGAATGTGAGCTTATGGTCTTATGTTTTGTGAGAGGTTTCAAGAGCAACTTACCTTCTCCTGGGAGTTTGAGCTGGAGCTAGTTGTCACACTAATCTCATCTTCTTCACTATCAGAGTGGGTCATCATCGCAGAAGATGGGTCCCGCAACCCACCATGTCTTTCACGGGTAGCCTGTCCAATGTTAACAAAAGATTATAAGTAATTGTTGAATACTATACTAACCATTTGGGCAACTTCAAATGTTGAGTGCAACGAGGCACTTCCAGTACAGAGTAGTAAAATATGGGTTGTTCAGCCCAGTTGTTCAGCCCGGAGATGTTCAAACTTGAATGTTCAAGTAGTCTTCAACTTCAATGTATGTGTTGATGTGCCGGGCATATAGAGAAATGTGGGTACAGAGAGCCTCTTTATATGTAGTTTACTCCAAGGTCATGACTCGGAACTCGGGCCACTTCATCCAACCCTTTTTCATCCTGAATCCTGATAGCCTTCATGAATATTGCGATATTCTACGGAAGGGGCCATGACTATAAGAGGATACTAAGCCGGCAGCGAATGAGGAAGATATCCAGTACACCAAAAAAACTCCACAAGCACAAAGCCTTCGTCTTGGCGGCCCCGGGGGCTGGGCTTCATGTTCCTGAATTAACTTACTATGCGCATGTGGCGGAGAAAACAAGAAGCGTGGGATAGGTTGTTGAGCAGAGATGGTCCATGTGGTGGATACGTCTTACTTTTGCAGTGCATATTTCACATCCACGGGTTAGTAGTATCTCTGTACCTTCCCGGTAATCTGGATAGCTGAATCCTTCACCCCGGGTGGTAGAGCACTAAGCTAATTCAAGAAGGAGGCTTGATGCATCACGGGTGGTGGTTTCAGAGCTGGGGGCTAATGCACCTAGCGAAGTCAGATGCTGTCTTCTCAGATTGATGAAGAGCCTCAAGCCACCTCTCGGTGTTTCCGAAAACGTGCCCAGGTGGCAGGGAAAATTCACATCATTCCAGTCAAATGACTGGTGTGTCACTCTTTTAGTCCCAGGCGTCCAGCTCGTGCATATAACACGGATGCAAAATATCAAACTCAATTTCCATATCCGATAGTTGCTGCGATATTTCAAATATTGAGGCTGAGAAGCACCAGTGGGTAGTACTTACAGGTACTCGTGCCTGTAAGTGGAGGTGGCTCATCATTGCCCACATGTGCAACTTGAAGTGAACTTGAACAAATGTGCATTTTCACCTGGGCAGGTCCACGGGTGTGACTAGGTAGATAGTACCAGTAGGCTTGCAGAACTGTAGCATGCACAGAGTAAAGCCCAAGGTCCCAAGGTTACTCCCGTCCGCAGTGTCAATCACTAACCACTTCTGGAAATCTGAGCCGCAAGAAACTACTATAATTGGCTTCTACTTTTAGATCCGAGAGAGTGAAAGATGAAGACTCGGACCTCTCAATCTAAAGATAACATTTAAATCATCCGAGCCCCTCTCGAGTGCGTTTACAGGGCTGAATTTGGACATGATATGTAGGTCTCGGGGACTTTCAAGTTGTAATTGGCTTCTCCTCACACTTCGTTTCCAGAGCCATGTCCGTGAACCACCTGAGCAACTTCAAATGTTCAAATATTTCATGCACATGTGATGAGTATATCTTAGCCGAAGTCGAAACCTTAGAAATGGGGCGTAAAACTTGAATATCTTTAGCGTGCACTCCACGTAGTATTGTATAGATGCTCACCTCTTTGATATTTGTGGATCTCGGCGAACAACAGTTTTTACTGGCTAGTCCCAATGTTTGCTTCTGTGTTGAACTAATTTTATTCACGATTCCTCAGCTGATGATTGAAATGGGGCAGAAAATATTTACGCGAGTTGACCTTGTACTGTTGTACATACGGAGTATGACCCAAAAGAAGTTCCTGTATAGACACTAACCTTGAACCCCTTAGCTGCATATAAGTCGCGGGGAACTGAGTCCTGTGATTGGCTTCTCTTCACACTTGGCTTCTGCGGAGAATCATTTTGCGTTGGGCACATATCAGCCAAATTACAAATTGGGGGCCGTGAGAATTCCCAGCCGCATTATGTTGATCTTATCATCTCTTACCCTGATCTTCCAGGTTTTCAACCCCAGGGCCGGAAACTTCCAAGGTTCCAATGAAGCTGGATTTGTAATGAAACGCCATACGTTACTATATCGAAAAAAAGCCAATCTAGCAAGTTCAAGTTTACGTGCTATCCCACATTACCTGAAATGCAATTTTTATCGCCAGAGAACGCTAAGCTAAACTCGAAATGGAATGCACATAATTATGAGCATTTTGAGAAATGTATTGAGCTCGCCCAGAAAGAGTCATCTCAGACCTTATTGATCCCCAAGAAGGAGAAAATAAACTATCAAGGCTTTGAATGGCTCGAAAGTAAGTACCATAGTCCTTGTTACGATGAGCGATACTGAAGTCAGCAGATGAATCTAGTGGGCAGAAGATGACATGGCCTGGGATATCTGATCTTGCAGAACGCCCTGAAAAGGCAGTTCGAATTGTGTAGGCTAGGTATAATCCATTGGAAGTCGGTGCAGATGCTAAAAGATCCTAGATTCACTGCCCTCGACATTCCTCATAGGAAGGGAGGACCAGCAATTGTCGATCTATACAAACACTACAATCTTCCTGGAGCATTTGTAGCAGAAAGGAGATTGGATGTTGCTTGTTCATTTGGTGCCACTCCATTGGTTGAAGGTTCGACTTGTATGTGAATATTTCATTTTCATTCTTTGTTCTATCGGACTAATACCTAGTTATGGACAAGACACATGGTTTCATTTTCTCTGCAAAGATATTCCAATAAAGGAAGTCAATGGTATTATGACAATCGATAATAAGAACAAACAGGTCGAACTAGACCCAGGCCAAGCGGACACTAAATGGATTCGCTCTTCTTATTGTCTGAAAGTGACACGATCCTCAGAACTGAAGAAGACGGCCTCAGTGACTTTACTTACCTTTGGCAGCAAGGACAAACTATTTGAAAGATTTGAGATTGCCTCGCAGTGCATGTCTTATGAGGAAATCCTCAAGCACCCTTATTCTCTATTGAATGTTGTGTTTGAAGTTCTACACGAAGAAATAGATGCTTTCGCCTGGAAGGTTGCAGATCTTTACGCCCCTGCAGAAAAGGTATGGCTTCCGCATTAAGGTTGAGAATTCCTATTAATTTCTTCCAGCAAGTAATAGAAATGGCCCAAAATGACTCAGGGTTGGCTACCGACGATCTGAATTTCCCTAGCATGCACCGTATCCAACGATATCAAATTTACCTACTCGAGGCCGTTGAAGCGCTTACAGAAACGCTGAGCGCGGCCTCGTATCATTATAAGCAAGTACTTCCACATTCCTCTGTGGATTCAATGAGTTCAACACTTGCTGGACTACGATATGCAAATATACTTCTGAGATCCACCGAATTGCGTCTCCGGAGTCTGGAAAAGCGGACTCAATCGATCATTAATCTGGTGGGTCTATCGAGCCATGCTTTATCTCCAGTGATCCTTTGCCAGCAGATCTTATAAGTTGACTTGTATCAGGCCTTTAACCTGGTCACTCAGGCTGACTCAAAAGTCATGAAAGGTGACTCCAAGGTCATGAGAGGGGACAGCCAAGCAATGAAGAATATTGCGATTCTGACCATGGTGTTTTTGCCTTGTACGGCTGCGACAGTAAGAAAGATAATTATTTAACCCTGCTCCATTATGCATCCTTTCTCACTTAGACGCAGAGCTTCTTTAGTACCCCATTCTTCTACCTCGAGAATGATTCAAACCTACTGGAAGTTTCACCACATTTCTGGATTCTCTGGGCCATCACCATTCCGCTGACTGTGGTGACTATTCTGACCTTTGTTCTATGGTCAGAAAGAAGGCTCCTCGAAAAGTTCATCAACGGACGAATTGAGCGATGGAAAGCGAGGAAGAAGAATAGGCGATTGGGATCAAAGGAAGGAAAATTGCCATCAATGATGGACAGCCTACCAAAAGTGTAGTTGCAAGCTTTCCACGCATGAAATTACAATCAAAACATAGTCGAAATTCGGCATAAGGACTTTTGAAAGACTACTAGCCGGTCACTAGTCAAATCTACCAGTGGCAGGACTGCAAATCAAAATATTCAAATATTGATGTCAAGCACGAGTCACTATATAGAAATTGTCTAGGATATTCCATGAAACCCACGCAATTTCTGATTCACTTGGATATTTGAAGCAGAGCAACTGGTACTGCCAATGGTACCTGAATGTCGACACCCCAGATTCATTGGCGAAGTTCCTGAGCGTTGAGCCAGAGAAGTTCAGAATTGACGACGCCATCACTGAGGTTTCTGTAATTGACTCGGAGTAGCCGACAATTTCTAAGACACAAACAAGGTGTATCTAAGTCAAGCAAAAGCCCAGAATTCATTTAGAACAAGCTAACATATCTGTTTCAGAGAGGACGACATCAGTGAGTCCCGCAATCATATCGATATGGATATGACTGGCCCGGGCTAATGGCCCATCCTGATCAAGCCTCTCCTTCGAGTCGTTGAGGACACTGGAATAGAAACAAGAAATGAAGGAGTTCTCTTTACTAGTAGTCCACGGGTAGTAGGGCACTTGCCAGTTGGCAACATCGAAGTATATGTAGGGATAGGTGTCAGACTACAAGGTCTAATGCAGTAGGCGGTCGCAATGGGACGTATCAACAGGTCTGATTCTCATAACACTAATTTACACGAATAAGCGTCTGCTGCGACCGTAGATCACGTGGCTAATCATGTGATCCATTCTGGTTCGGCCAATCAGAAGCCAGGATTTAATCCTGTTAAAACCGTCCCAATTGGGCCTAGTTTATCACGTTATTTTGGCTGACAATAGGATTGATGCCTCAGGCATACTTTCTCTTTTTTTAATGCAATATTTGAACCACTACGGCCATGATTAGAATCGAATAATGGGTATATCCCAGTATGTATAAGAACAGATGTAATATTTGATACTAGTAAATAGATGCCACATGCAAAGATTACATAGTACATAGTACTAGTATGTGGAACCCTGCATATCTCAACTTCAAATGCCGAAGAATCATTTAGGAACCATGATCGTCATAACTTGAAATTGGTACCTTACTATTCCTATTCAGTCGCATTATGGAGTACGGTGAACTCCCTTCGTGCTCGTCATCATGGTCACATCGTGGTCAATAAGGACTCGCCGGATTCAAACTCCGATCGCCGATCAGTTTGGGTGCTTTTCTCACCAAGACTAATAGTAAATCAGTACTAAACCAGATCGATTCGATCGTAGGGATGGTACCAAATCCCATGAAATCCGATCAAATGGATCAGGAGAAGGAGGGGAAAGAAAAAAAGCAAAAAACGAGGATTAAGTAGAAGAACAGGAAAAAAAAGCCACTTAAGCCACCCTTCTCGACGAATGCGGAAAGCCGACGATCATCTCTCCCCCGCGTTAAAGCTCGTTGATTCATTGAGTTCGCTATGATGCAATCAGCTTCGATCTTCCGTTGCATGCCGACGTCACGGGGTCCATAGTAAAGCTTTCCCCATTTTTCTTACTTCTTCAGTTCTTCAGAAGGTAGTTTTTTCTTTTCTATCATTCTCGTCATTTCGACCCAATGGCGACTGTGCAAATGACTCGGTCGGCTCGTCTGAGCGACGACGGTAAGTAAAGGGAACATGAACTAGGATCGTCAAATTCTCCACCGTTTCCGCATAGCCTAACTTCGCGTCCTGAAACAGCCGCCACTGCTGCCCTCCTTGCGGCCAACCCGCGACGCAAGGCGTCAGTTCGTGAGAATAAAGAGCCTAGTGAGTCCATGTTCAGTCATCTTTCTCGCGATACTTCAAAAAATAGACACTCACCCATGCTCGTCGCGATAGATCACTTATCGGGTGGTGCCTCAACTTTGAGCGCTGCATCAGCGGGAGCCGCGCTTGCCCATGCGAATCGCAAATCAGTGGATGCATGGCGGCCAGGTCGCCAGGTTGCTGCAGAGAAGGCCGCCTTGCATGTGAAAGACCTAACACCACCCGAATCCCCTCAACCGAATTCCCAGTACAGCGCCGTCGGACTGGGCGCCGCAATTCTCGCCGTTCGCGAACAACGAAACTCGACTTTTTCACCAACCCAAGAGGCTCAGCAGCAGGATCATGCTCGTCAGCTTCAGAATAAGGCGCGCCAGGCTGCCACGGGAGCGTACACTACTGGGCGCAGGCGAGCGGATTCCGCCCCCAGTGAGCAGGTCTTGGCCTCTGGAACGCCGTATGCACTTCGTGCTGCAGGAGCGTCACACAGACTAAAAACAGATCCAGAGGAGGAGAATCCTCTGGATCATTTAGATTCTGCAATGGAAGCAAGTCGTATTCGACATGTCGCAAATACCAACGCAAAACTCTATACCTCTTCCCCTCCTATCGCTAGTGAAATCGAGGAACGAAACCGACAAAACTCCCTGCGCGCTGCAGCTATCTCCATGGCGAAGGATATGTATGAAGTGAAAGCGCCTAAAAGTAATGCAAGTAGTTCGGATTCCGCGATACATGCTGCTCAGAGGGGTACGGATCGGTTGCAATACCGGAAATCAATCAGTGCGACCGAGGGTCCCACGGCTCGTCGTGTGATGACCCTGCAAGAAGCTGCCCAGAAGAGAGCTGCTGAAAAATTGGCGACAATGCAGGATGATCACACCGAGCTTCAAAATTACTATGGTACTCGATCGCAGCCTGCCAAGTCTTTGCTTACGACTCGTCGCAGGAGAACTTCCAGCGATGCGGATGTTACGCAAGTGGATGCTGAGCAGTCAAAACGTATTCGCAATCAAATGTCAAGTCTGCGAACAAAGTTGGATCAGGTGGACGAGAAGAGAACTAAGGATCGCGAGTTGCTGATGGCGGCTGCTCAGCGTAATGTCAATGCGACTATGATAGGCATGGACATGAAGATGTATGCCGATACAGGTCGGGCGCCGCCATCCCTACAGAGAGAGTGGGATGAGGCGGCTCAAGAACGTATTCGCCGGGAAGCCGAAGCGGCAGAGGCGAGCGGCGCCCGTGGAAATCGGATAAATATTGGAAAGAATCAGTATATGGACATGGCTGATGTTGAGGCCGTCGCTCGTTCTCGTCTCCAGCCAACATTTGATGAGATGACTGAGAATGCGGAGCAGCGGAGGGCTCAAGAGCTTGAGGCGCAACTTGATGCTGAGGAGAAAGAAAGACATGCTGCGCTGGAGAAAGAACGAGAGGCCAGTTTGACCCGTGTTGCAGATACTCAGAAAGGTTAGTTTGCCTGTTTGTCTTTGTTTTCAAACGACAGTATACTAATAGTTTGCAGTGCCTAAAGAGAAGCGTCTCAGCAGGGGAATGAGTTTGCTGTGGAGAACAAAGAGCAAGCTTACTCGCTCTGGAAGACCCTTAGCTAAGGAACCTGCTGCTGTCGTCGCTGCTGATGCCGAGGGTGAGGCTGCCGAGGCTGCTAGGGAAGAGGGCGTCGAAGAGCCAGTCGTCCAGGATCAGGCCGAACCCGAGGTTGCTGCTACGGGCGCCGTTGCTGCCTTGGACGAACAGGCTCAGGAGTCCAGGGAGGAGCTCAGGGAGGACCCCACGGAGGTCACAGAGCCCGTAGAGCAGCCCGCAGAGCAGTCCGCAGAGCAATCCGCAGAGGAGCCTGCTCTAGTAACAGCTCCTGAAGCTCCCGAGGCAGCTGCCCCAGCCACTGTAGTCACTGCTGCACATATCGGAGCCCCAGTTTCAATCACCGAGCCTACCGAGTATGCTGGGCGACCTGGACTCCCCGGGCGCTCTATGACCACACCGCGTGATGCCGCAGCAGTTGGCGCTGGACCAGTACCGATGCATGACATTCACCCAGTTACCAGTCCCCGAGCAGACTCAAAGCTGAAGACTTGGTTTCGGGATCGACTGGTTCGCCGTTCAAGTGGGCCTGTGCGGGTATACCCCCACCAGCCTGGTCCAGAATACAATCGCAGTGACAGCGTTGTCGGGTTTACCGGCGGTGCTGCATTAACTGGGAGACGTGACTCTGAATCTCGCAGCGCAGCGTTGAGTTCTCACCCTCTCTCCCAAGATGATTTGGACCAGGGTGAGCCTTCCCATGAGGGTAATTTGAATGTGACAAATACCAAAACTCCCAGCGATGATTCTGCTGTGAGCTTTGAGCCTGAATACAAGGCTACTGAAAAGTCGAAGAAGAGGAGGAGTGGATTCCGACAATCTTTCTTGAAGAGAATGTCGCGAACTGAGGAGCCCAAGACTAATGGTGCTACTCATAGCGATGTTCAAAGCTCAGCGGCACCCGAGATTAAGGTCCACGGTACTGATTTTCGAGGCCTGAGAGATAGCGCTGCTGATCAGGGTCTTCCTGTGCCTCCTATCCTTGGAGAGACTGCTAGTACTGGTCGGGAATCCCGATTCTCTGAAGATCTGTCATGATATTGCTATGTCTAAGTTTAATATTCTTGTGATTTATTTGGGAGTTGGATTGGTTTGATTCGATGTTTGTACGATGAGATTCTATGGCGCCTTGTGTATTCTGAATTACGATTCTTGGTGGATTATCTGAGTTTGATTGATACACGATTGTTATGCTTGTTCAGAATATGAACCAAATTGTGGTATTCTACATAGAAGTTCATATTGCAATTTATCCTCGCTTACAGTACACAGTATTTCTCATGCATGACGGTTGACGTGATGTTGCATCTCGCAGTAGAATACACCGAATTAATCTCGGCACGGAATCCCCCCTCAGCCACATATTACTACATATGTGAATAATATTCAGGGGTATAACCTTGAAAAACTTCGTGAAGAGTATCCGATCCCCGCATTTCAGGAGAATTGCCCAAAGCGTTAAGGGTTTTGCGAAAACATCCACCAATCCAATTTAGCCGGCATAACACTACCGCGATGACCGAGCGGAGTCTTCAAATGTTGATTTATACTGGCAATACACCAGCAATTTGAAGTTCAGATGAATCCGAATCCGCTGGCTGTCAGTACCAGACTCGGATCTCACGATGCGTCTCCTAACGCTTCTGTCGCTCCTTCTATGGAGTATTTCGGGTCAACTTGTTCATGCAACGAACAACAATCTCACAACTGAGGTAACATGGGATGAATATAGTCTCTTCGTGAAAGGGGAGAGGGTGTATATCTTCTCTGGAGAATTTCATTATATGAGACTCCCAGTCCCAGAAATGTGGCTTGATGTTTTCCAGAAGCTTCGCGCAAGTGGATTCAATGCTCTTTCTAGTAAGTCAGTCTACTAGTAATATTCACTAGTTTTCCACTCTATTTTGGTAGATATTTGCTAACAGCACAGTTTACTTCTTCTGGAGCTACCATTCCGCCTCAGAGGGCGTCTTCGATTTCGAAAATGGAGCTCACGATATCCAGCGCGTCTTCGACTACGCAAAAGAAGCAGGATTATACATAATCGCCCGTCCAGGTCCATACATTAATGGCGAAACCTCAGCTGGAGGATTCGCGCTCTGGGCATCGAATGGCCAAATGGGCTCGGCTCGCACAAACGCAGAATCATACTACGAGCTCTGGTACCCATGGATCGAGGAGGTCGGCGCAATCATCGCAAAGAACCAAATTACGAATGGGGGTCCGGTGATTCTTCATCAACATGAGAATGAACTCCAGGAACCGTATCATATTGCCACTAATGATCTGGTTCTGTATATGGAACAGATCACTGCGGCTTTTGATGCAGCTGGTGTCGTTATCCCTAGTACCTCGAATGAAAAGGGTATGCGGGATATAAGCTGGTCAACCGACTATGAAGATGTTGGTGGTGCGGTTAATGTCTATGGACTTGATTCGTACCCCGGTGGAACATCTTGCACGAATCCTGATTCGGGATATACTCTTGTTCGCACTTATTATGAGTGGTTCCAGAATTACTCGTATACTCAACCTGAGTACTTGGCTGAGTTTGAAGGTGGGTGGTTTGAACCATGGGGTGGATATTTCTATGATGATTGTCTCTCGGAACAATCGCCTCAGTTCGCCGATCTTTACTATAAGAATAATATTGGCTCAAGGGTTACCCTGCAGAGTCTTTATATGGCTTATGGTGGTACGAATTGGGGACATTCTGCTGCGCCGGTGGTCTATACGTCGTATGACTATGATGCGCCGCTGAGGGAGACCAGGGAGTTGAGGGATAAGATTAAGCAGACGAAGTTGATTGGGCTTTTTACCAGAGTTTCGAAGGATTTGTTGAAGGTTGATATGGAAGGCAATGGCACCGGGTATACTACTAGTAGTGATGATACTAGTATCTTTACGTGGGCGTTGAGGAATCCGGATACTCAGGCCGGGTTTTATGTTATGGCGCAGGATACTAGTTCATCTCAGGATGCGACTTCGTTTTCGTTGAACGTGAATACGTCGGCTGGTTAGTACTACTAAGATGGTTTTCAAGAGACTGGGAATGATAACCTTATCCAGGTGCAATTACCATCCCGGATATCGAGCTGGATGGTCGTCAGAGCAAGATCATCGTGACAGACTATGCGGTCGGCACCGAGTCTACTCTGCTTTACTCATCCGCTGAAGTCCTCACTTATGCTACTCTGGATGAAGATGTGATTGTGTTCTATATGAACATCGGACAACAGGGCATATTTGCGTTCAAGAATCCCCCATCCAAGCTGACTTACAAGACCTATGGAAACTCCAACGTGACCTCCACAAAGTCTGGCAATAGGACCGAGTATTCATACACTCAGGGAGACGGCGCAACGGTTCTCCAGTTCTCCAATGGAGTGCTGGTCTACCTGCTGGACAAAGAAACAGCTTGGACTTTCTATGCAGTGCCCACAACGACGGACCCGAATGTTTCTCCGAGTGAGCATATCTTTGCCCTGGGTCCATATCTGGTTCGCACTGCGAGTGTCAGTGGAGACACTGTCAGTCTTGTTGGTGACAATGCGAATACGACCTCTCTCGAGTAAGTTCAAACTCCTAACTCCCAGTTCCTAAATCCCAGTTGATCCTAGTCTAACGAATACAGGGTATATGTCGGGAATTCCAAGGTCACCAAGATTAAGTGGAATGGTAAATCCATCACAACCAAGAAAACAGCCTACGGTAGTCTCACAGGAACTGCCCCTGGAGCTGAATCTGTAAAGATCTCCCTTCCCACACTCTCCTCATGGAAATCCCAAGACACCCTCCCAGAGATCCAACGCGACTACAATGACTCCCGCTGGGTAGTCTGCAACAAAACCACAACGGTCAACAGCGTCACCCCACTCACCTACCCAGTTCTCTACGCTGGTGACTACGGCTATGCCGTTGGAACATATATCTACCGTGGACGATTCGATGGTACAAATGCAACCAGCGCGAACGTGACTGTTCAAAGTGGTGCCGGTGCTGGCTGGGCCGCTTGGGTTAATGGTGCATACGTCGGTGGAGCACTCGGCGAGGTCGCCCTTGCATCCACAACCGCGACTCTCACATTCAACCAATCCCTTCTAGAAGAAACGGATAACGTTCTCACCGTGATAATGGATTATATGGGCCACGACGAAGCTAGTGTCTCACCAGCGGGACCACAAAACCCACGTGGAATTCTCGGGGCCTGGCTCTTCGACTCTAACTCAGAACTAGAGTTCACATCCTGGCGTATCCAAGGCAACGCCGGCGGTGAAGCCAATATTGATCCAGTGCGTGGACCCATGAATGAAGGTGGCTTATACGGTGAACGATTAGGCTGGCATTTACCCGGTTACACACCGCCCAAAACAGCGGGAACGGATAGTCCACTTGATGGCGTCGCTAGTGCAGAAGGTCGTTTCTATCATACGACTTTCTCTTTGGATCTAGATGATGACCTTGATGTACCCATTGGTCTTACTCTTGGTGCTACGGATAATACCAACGCCGTCGTACAGATCTTCGTGAATGGTTACCAGTTTGGTCATTATGTACCGTATCTGGGACCCCAGACGGTCTTCCCTTTCCCACCGGGCGTTATCAATAATCAGGGGACTAATACTTTGGCTATTAGTCTTTTGGCGTTGACGGATTCAGGAGCTAAACTTGATACAGTGGAGTTGACTGCGTATGGTATTTATCGAACTGGATTCGACTTTAATCAGGATTGGTCGTACCTGCAGCCGAGATGGAAGGATCGAAGTGAGTATGCATAGTGCCCAAGTTGGGGGGATTCACCTACTAGATAGTTCTAGTATGATTTAAGTACGGAGGTCGGTCCGGAAAGTTCTCGCCAGAAATTATAATTTCTTTTTCTCACACTAGGCTATATACAGTAAATATTGAAATATATCGCGTAATCAAGATGTATATAAAACGGAAATATATAGTACTGAAATATAATAACAGCTTGAAACAGTAAATATTCACATATCTTCCCATATATCGCTGTCGCTGTCGCTGTCGCTGTCGCTGTCGCTGTCGTTGCCGCTGCCGCTGTTATAGGCGTTATCACCTAACCCGCTAGGGGCTACTTCACCTAATTTATCACGCCCCTCACCGTATTCGTTGCCCCCTTCTAGTCTAATGACTTGCTGTATATGCCATGGTATACGTTCAATCCAAGCTTGAATTTGCGCCTGTGGTAGATCACGCCACGCAGCCTCCCATACTTTAATCCCTTCTTTACGCGATTTAGGTGCTCCTTTTCGCGTAGTGTATCTCTTCATCCAAGGCCATGCAGGTTCAATCATATTTAGATCAGGCGAATTTCCAGGCCAGATCATTCGTTGGACCCCCATTATATCAAATATTCGCTGTTGGTAGTGATGTGAATGGGCTGGTGCTTTATCCTCTTGAACTATTGTTTTCGTTCGAATTCGAGCACATTCTTGGGCGAATGGAAGTAGTTTTGGGGCTAAAATCACGGTGTTGTATCGGTACCAATCGATTCCACCTTTCGAATTGCGTGCAAGCTTTCCATTCTTCTGAGTCCATCTCCACTGAGGTTGTCTTCCAGGCTTATTGCGTAGCCCTAATCGCTGTATACCTGAATTAAGCTCCCATTCTGCACGCATAATAGGCTCTAATTCAGTATTCCATTCGGCGATTTGGTGTTCTGCTTCACGCTTTTGGGCTGTAGTTTCAGGTACCCAACAATGACAGGGGCCCTTCTGATCATAAGAAAAAGCACCCCAAAACATGAACTCAGAGGCCCCCTTCCAACGTTCTCGAATACAGCTTCGGACGAACCGCTCACTAGAAGTACGCCATACACGATATCCACCCCGACGGTGTAATAAAACAACCGCAGTTTCATCAGTCCAAATCACATTCTTCCAGTCTTCTATAGTCCAATGGGCGTGTTTTAAACACCATTCAAGACGTTGTTTTTTCTGCTCAGCGGCAAGCCCAGGCTTACGTGTAGGCTTTGTTTTTCGTAGGCCAATTTTTCGTAGTACATGCCAAACTGTTGTTTTTGATATATTAATCCCTAATTATAGAAGAAATATTAGAGGAAATAACATATCAAGTAACATATGAGATAACATATCAAATAACACACCAAGTAACACATCAAATATTATACTAAATAACATATTAAATAACACACTAAATAAAATATCAAATCTTAGAATAACTAACCTGATTCACTGCGTAGCTCTGCAGCTAGCTGTTCACATGTTTTCTCACGCCCATAGCGGTCTACACGGATTTTCGCCCCAAGTGTGGTTTTAAGCTCATCTGTTTGCTTAGATGGACGCCCAGAACGTGCTTTATCAGCTAACATTTCATCTGATATATTGAATGGTCGCTGATTCGGCTGAAAACCTCGTTCGAGTGCACGGTTCCATATGTCTCCTATAGTACGCCGTGGAATATTCATAAATTCACTGATCTCCTTAGGGGCATGTCCTTGGGCCCTTAGGTATACAATGACAGCACGTTGCGCAATATTGGTCTTCATTGTAGCTGTATAGGTGGGACAAAAGTGTAGCTGTGTAGGTGGGATAAAAGTGTGAAGGGGTGTACGGACTGTAGGCGGGGTAAAAGATAAAGATCTACGTGTCCACGGGTGTTATAAGCAATATTTAGCCTAGTACGTAACACGGCAATACATCCAATATACAGCAGGCTATACACCTGACATACAGGGCCGGTAATATATCAAGAAAAAGAAATTATAATTTCTGGCGAGAACTTTCCGGACCGACCTCCGTATTTTTGAATGATAAAGATGATTTTGATTAAAATGGTATAATTCAATAAATTGAATACATTATTAACCAATAAACTTGAAAAGATGATCAAGCTTAGGTGGAGACCCCGGGGAAAGGAGCTTAGGCCAGAAACAAGGCGGATGATCGTTTTTTTCCTGCCCAACGCGTTAACTCTCACGTCCCACCGCCATTTAATTAATCAAAACATTATTCCTTCCAAGTCTGATTAAACTTGAACTCATACTCACACATACTCGCCATGGCTCGTTCTTCTAGTGTTGACTTGGACTCTCCGGATCGTCCCTTTGACAATATAATCAACTTTCGCGATGTGGGAAGAACGATAAATCAAGTTTCTGGCGCGTCGTACGTTTCCCGTTCCTATGATCTCATCGAACTGAACTAACTTGTGATAGAATTTTAAAAGAAGGCATACTCTATCGAAGTGCTAGGGTAATACCCCCTTTATGACACCAATTCCAAGATCCTAATTGCTAATTCTGATTACAGCCAGATGACGCATCAGAAAGAGATAAGCGTCGACTAGCAGATGAGTTTCACATCGCTACGGTGCTGGATTTACGATCAACGTGTGTATTCCTTCTGATTTGACATATATACGCGTAAACTAATATCCTGTAGAACAGAACACAAAATGGCGACGCGAAAACGTCGCGCGGAAAATGAAAATACGGGCACCGAGATCGACCTGACGAATACACCTTCCGGAAATGCAGATGAACATCTAGTTCAGATTCCCGCGCAACGATGTTTGATTAGTTTAGCGGGAAAAGCTATGGAACGAACATTGTTGTGGAGGCTTGATTGGACGAATTATATGTGCGCACAATTATTATACACCTATACTCATTGATTTCCATACTGATGATTAGTAGAAAAGCTATCGCTATGACAGCTACAGGCTATCGAAACGACGCAATCCGACTTGTAGCAGAGCAAGTGATGCAACCACGCGGCTTGACAGGATTAGCACAAGATACGCTAGACGCAAGCAAATCTGAACTCAGATGCATATTCGAACTCCTAGCCGTGCAAGAAACATATCCCATTTTGGTACACTGTACACAAGGCAAAGATCGGACGGGGCTGGTTATTCTCATGATGATGTTATTAGCTGGGGATCAGGTTTCAAGAGCTGCTATTATCGATGATTATACGCGCTCGGAACTTGAACTTGTTCCTGAGTTTGAGGAGCGAATGCGTGAGATTAGTGCTTTGGGATTGAGTGAAGATTATACACGTTGTCCACCTGGATTTGTGGATGATTTGATTGATTATTTGGATACGCATTATCGTGGCGTTTCGGGTTATTTAGCGTGCATTGGGATTGACTTGAATATGCAGGAGAAAATTCGCGAGAAGATTATGAGTACTTGATACTATGTTGATTTCAAGTTTCGGCTGTATTGGGTGGATTTCTTTTTTTTATGCATGTTGCTTGCGGGTTGCTGCATATACGGATCATGATGTTATACATAGTGTGTTAGTCATAATTTTAATCAGGAGATTATCGAAGCTATACGAGTACTTTTGAAATATCAGATTAATGTACATTGAATGCGTTCGAATCATATAAGGGACATAGATATCAAAGCAGATGAATATTCATAACAACGTAAATGAAAGCGAATCAGATCGGATCGGATCTGGACAAGCAAATGGAAATAAAGACCATGTTTAATACAGGTTTACACACGTGCGCCACGGTAGTAATTGGCCGAGTCGGTGGTCAGAGGCTCCTCCAATGAGGCATGTGGCAAGTGTTCTTCAGCCTCAGCCATGGTGTCCCGCTTCTCACCCTGAGGAATGTGTCTCCGAGTACGGATAGATGGCAAGAGATCGATGACAAATGAGAGAATGTATCCAGTGAAGACGAAGGCAATCACCCATTCAATAATAGCGCCGGGGTTCTTCTTCGCGCGGTCACTGCTCTCCATGCAGATACCGAATGCAATAGCCAGGGCAATCTCGATGATCACAAAGGCAAGCTTGATGCAGAAACTGACCAGGAGAATACGGTGTTGGGATCGGTAGAAGAGTCCGATACGTAGGTACTCAGCGCAGATGAGGATAGCACTGATCAAGTATCCACCACTGTTGAAGTTAGCATCTAAATCCCATAGATAAAGTAGTTAGATAAACTCACATAAACATGACCAGGAACCCATCATGCAGATGAGGATACTGCGCCGTATCAAAGATAGACAAAAGAATTAACCCAAGAGCACCAGCAAAGGCGAAAAAGATCGAGGCAATAGCACAGATCTTATCAAGTCGACCCTTATTCTGAGCTAGTTGACCAGAGTGGCGAAGCCATCGCTCAGACAGGAAAGCCAGATCTAAGAAAACGACTGTAATAACACTACCAGTGATGAATAAAGGCTGTGCACCGTATGCGCCAACATCGGAAATGTACCTATAACATAGTTAGTGCTTGCGACTAGTAGATTGTCATGATCGACTACATACGCAACAGTCTGACCATCGGTTGTCCCATCCGCATTTAGCATACATGGGTAAATGGGTTCGCCATCCCTAACCCAGGTGGCAAGCATGGCAATCAACATTGCTATGATCGGATTAGATTTCCACTTGGATACACGATCTCGGGCAGTACTTACCAACCCACATGCAGGCCGAAATGACTGGGAAGACCCAAAATGAGATGAGCCACATTTTGCAATAACTTCAAGTTGAATCACTGTATTTTATTTCGTAGGAATGGGATTAAGTATTGAGTGTCGAGACTTGACGCGACAGCAGAATAGAATGCGGATTGCGTGACGATGTGAACTTAATCTAGGTAAGTTAGTGATGCGAATACTCCGAAGTAGTACGAGTAGGTTATGGATGATAGTAAGACTGTCGCAAGTGATATTGACAGCTTGAGATAATCGTGTAACTCACTTATGACAGGTTCGCCGATAGATATAAGGTGAAACTCATAACATTCCCAGAGGATCGACGGGACGATTAAGATTTAAGCGTGGTTGGATGTGGCGTATGGAATCCAGGTACGAGTATGATGCGCGATGAGATGAGATGAGATACCACAAGTCAAATGAATAGATTGAACTCAGAGTTCTCTCTCAAGGTTCAACTTGAAGTCAAGTCAAGGAAATAGAGAAAGGATAAAGAATTGTGAAGTTTCTAGCAAGGACTAAAAAAGGGATTGGCGCGACCGACGTCATTGTCTGCCAAGTTTCATTCTACACGGAGTTACGGATCCATGAGTCTGCGTCGTAAGTGACCCACTAACTACAGGGAGATATGTCATAGAGTATATCTTTAAATGCTATATTATAGATTAGTATTGTGATTCAAAGGTTATAGCCACTAGGCTGTGTTGGGAAGATAATGTTGTTGACTGGAGCATGGCATCATAGTATAGAGTAGAGAGCACAACCAATACATCATGATATAAGACTAACAGAAGTAGAATTGAAATAGAGTAACATTTGAAGATAATAGTCAATATAGATATTAAACTTGATCTATTCACTGATCCTTCTACCAAACGCCATAAGACCCGAAACAAAAACGTAAAGCCACGATGAAAATTTTAACTGAGGGCACGAGGAGACACTTCACTTTCACTATCACTGATCATTGACTTTTTCCTTGACGACCTTGACCTCCAACTGGACGTCTTTGAACACCAGGAGATGCCTGTGGTTGAGGCTGACGCTCCACCACACGCACAATCTGCACATCCGAATCTTCACCACTGCTTCCCGCCTCCTCTTTTGAACTCCCCGACTCACTCTCCGGAGTAATCGGAGTAGCAGCTGGCGTCGAGGCAACCGATTGTCGAGTTTGGGCTTGAATCGGCGACAGTCCCGTGGGCATTCCCGTGGGATAGCTCATCCGGCTCTGAGGTCCAACCCGAAGATCGGAAGGAAGTTGTGGTTGGTACGGAGGTTCCGCTGCAAAAGGACTCATTTGCATAGGATTATAATACGGCGGAGCCCATTGAGGATCGTCAGGTAAAGGCCGCGCAAACATAGGCTGTTGCATTGACTGTGGCCGACCATTGGGAGGCATCCGGTCGGGGAACGAGGTATAAGGAGGTCGCAGCGGGGACATGGATTGTTGCGGTCGCAAAGGCTGCATTGTTGGTGTGCGCGGGCGATGAGCTGATGAGGAACTAGACGGTCGACTCCATCCACCATCCGGCGCAAAAGGTGGATATACCCCGGATTGTGGGGGTTGCTGCTCCAAGGGAACAGTGTGCCCATTCCGTCGAGACGATGGGCGCGAGCTACTTGTACTCCCTTTTCTGCTTCGCGAGGTCCCGCTGGCACTAGGACCTGCACCAGCATTGCTTGTCTGCTGACGTTTTCGCTCTAGCGCAGCGAGTTCCCGCTTAGACAGTCGCACATTCTTCTTGCCCATTGTCTGCGCACGACGAATCCGCTCCAGTGCCTGATCCACCAATTGATCTTCCTTGTCGCGCATGGCCAGCTGAACCGCATAAGCCACTGTGCTATCTCCATAGTCATTCAAGTCATAGTCCCCTCCATCGACGACGGACTCGCCATCATCCCAGTCCTCATACTCGTACTCCTGCCGCCTGCGCGGCCCTCGGCTCTGTGCTCCATAATCTTGCTGTCGCGTGTATCGACCAGCACCCCGCACCAACTCCCGCCCAAACACATCATCGTTGTCGCTGATCAGCTCCTCCACCCGTGTATCCTCCTCCCATATCGCTCTCCCCCCATTGTGTCTCCCCATTCGTGCCCCCGGTGGTCTTCCCCATCGGGGCATATCGTAAGGAGCTCGCGGCCGACCACCTAGACCGCCTCCTCGGAAAAAGCATTCTCGATTGGTTTATCCAAGAATGCGGCGTGACCGAAGACGGTCACACCGGTTGCGCCGATGAGCCAGAGCACCGTGGAAAAGGGGGAAGCCCAAAGACCCAGGGGCACGGCAACACACAGCAGGGCAGTGTAGAGCTGCGAGGTATTGAAACGACGGAAACCAACATCCAGATCGCGACCGCCAAGCTTGCCAATTCCGTAAAGACTGCAAGTGACGAGGATGATGACGAAAAGGAGGACGGGGTTGTTCAGCAAGCTGTAGATGCTCAGCATGACAAAGACGGCGGCATAGTTGCTGGAAAAGTAAGACAGGTTATAGTTAACCCGGCTTTGAATTTCGCCAAAGTTGGCGGGCTTGGAGAGGCGCTTAACGTCGAGGAATTCGGAGACAGGGCGCAAGTTGGCAAAGCGAGTGGTCAGGGATTGGCTGCGGATGTTGTTGAAGCGATCACCGAAGCGCGAAGTGATCGCATCGATGGGAATTTGGATAGCCATGATGGAAGATTTTATAAAGAAGAAAAAGTGAAGTGGAGAGAGAAGTGTCAAGTTGTGAGTGGAGGGTAGTACGGAGTACAAGGTGTCACGACGGGAAGGGGGGGGGAAATAGAAAAATAAACTTGAGAGTAAGAGAGTAAAAGAGTAAAGAGTAATAAGAGAAATAAAGAGTAAGTGCCGGAGATGTGCACTTTAGTGTACCCCCTTTCCCTTTAGGCTCCGTTTTTTTTAATTGAATATTATGGTGCCTAGATATTCCAATTTTTGGAATATTCCTCGAATCCTTATAGGTCTCTTTATTTTTGTTTTGAGATCTGCCTGTTCGCGGCCGAGTCCCTTAAGGAACGGATTTGGGTGGAGTTTTAAGCCATGAGTATAGAGACCCCCCAGAGAGAGAAAGAAAAAATATAAGAGAAAAAGATGCTCAAATGCAGAAATTCTCCTAAATAAAGCAAAATAGAATCATTGTTAAAACTCTTTTTCCCCTCACTTGAAGTTACGCCTCATATGCAGAGTCCAGGACTCTCGTTGGGCCACGACTGCATCTCCACCAATGTACTTGTAGAAGTTTGTGAGTAACAAAGTAGGTGAGATTCTATCTGTCATATTCATCGAGTAATGGAGTAATTCTACGAAGTAGGAAAAAGACATAATATTATCTATCATTATGATTTATGATTTATAGTTCTATATTAATATAATATAATAATATCTATCACTAATAATATCTCTTCTCATAGTGGTGTATCTGTACACTTTGCAGGATCTTCCCAACTTCTTCCAGCTTTAAGGGGTCCGCGCTTACTTCTACCACCTCACAACCATGAAGTCCGCCCTCATCTTATTTCTGGTCTTTATAGGCCTGGCTGCTGCCTGGTCAAAGGATGGTAACTATCTCCATCACTCTAATCCATTACCCCCATTCTAACACTAAATAGACTATGAAATCTTTCGTCTTCGGGATGAGGTCGCCACGGCCGAAGGGGCCAACGTGACTTTCTACGGTACGTGTCAATCAAGTACTCAATCTACAGTCTCAATTCAAAATCTAACAAGAATACTCATCTAGATTTCCTCGGAATTCGTCCCAATGCCAATCATGACCAAATCACCAAGGCCCATCGTCAAAAGTCGCGAACCCTCCACCCGGACAAGGTGAAACGTGCCTTCGTCGCCAACTACGCACAGGACAAGTCCAAGTCCAAGACCACCAAGCCAGGCGTTCACGTCAACTCCGGTCCCTCCAAGCGCGAAATTGACGCCGCCGTGAAAGACGCCAATGCCCGCTCCGCTCGCCTGAACACCGTGGCCAATGTCCTCCGCGGACCTTCCCGCCAGCGCTACGACCATTTCCTCAAGAACGGATTCCCGCTCTGGAGAGGAACAGGTTACTACTATAGTCGTTTCCGTCCTGGCCTTGGAACCGTCATGACTGGTTTATTCCTTGTCTTCGGTGGTGCTGGTCATTACGGTGCACTTATCCTGAGCTGGAAGCGTCAGCGCGAGTTCGTGGATCGCTATATTCGTCAGGCTCGTCGTGCGGCTTGGGGTGATGAATCTGGTGTACGTGGTATCCCTGGTCTTGATTCCGCTGGTTCTTCCACCCCGACTCCTTCTTCCGAGACTGAGCAGCCTGCTGCTGTCGCGGTGAACCGTCGTCAGAAACGGATGATGGATCGTGAGAATCGGAAGGAGAAGAAGAGTGGAAGAGTTGCGCCGGCGCGTAGCTCCGGTACCTCGACACCTACTGAACAAGTGGTTTCGACTGGTGAGCGGAAGCGTGTTGTGGCGGAAAATGGAAAGGTGTTGATTGTTGATTCCATTGGCAATGTTTTCTTGGAACAGGAGTCTGAGGAGGGTGAACGTCAGGAGTTCTTGTTGGATGTTGATGAGATTCAGCGTCCTTCTTTCCGGGATACCATTGTTTGTAAACTTCCTGTTTGGGCTTTCCGCAAGACTGTTGGTCGGGTTCTTGGCTCCAAGGAGGAGGAGGAGGAGATTATCGAGGAGGTCGAGGAAGAAGTTGAGGAGGTTGTTGAGTCTACTGCTACTTCAAATGGTCGCTCCGCTCGTCGTCGTGGTAAGAAGGCTCAGCGATCATAATTGAGGAGTATAAATCTGAGCTCAGATGGTTTTGTTTTTGTGATACAGATTACCAAAAGTTGAATAGACAGATGCGAGTGAGCTATAGAATCGCCGTGTTGCTTACAGTAAATAACTAAACACGAACTATTGACTCAACGTCTGTAATAATATGGATTACTTGACCTGTCCTTGCTACTCATTCTCCACTTCACGGTCTGACAGCCCCAGTCAGGGTCGGCCACAAATTCCCTAGTCTGGTGCAGGGAGATCCGCGTTATCCACTGTTGGGTACCGGCTTCACCGACTCCAGCATTTAAAAGGGAACAGACCCCCCCATGTACTCTGTACCTTTCTTGAATGAACATCGAAATCATCAATCATCTTCAATTGTCCTCTATGACACAATTGCTTTTCTCGTAACAGGCAAAACATGCAAACACAAAAATTCCAGCCTCCCACAAGCATACCATCACAGGAATCTAGAGGAACAGCAGGAACATGAAAACAAGATGGTAGGAGTATATCATCACAGCGTTAAAGAGAAGTCTTCAGAGCTCTGTTCTGGTATCGCTTAAGCGAACATCTTAGCCAAGCTCACCAAGGACTTGACACTGTCGCTCAATCCACTACTGCTCCCCATTTCAAGACCCCGTGCACCAGCAGGAGCCCCACCAAGCGCACCCATAACTCCATGAGGAAGTCGAATACCAATCATAGCCAGCAACTTAGGCAAGATACCACTGGTAAGAAGAGGCAGGATAACAAGCATGAAGACCTTAAGCGGGTGCTCACGAGCATAGCGATAGATATCCCGAAACAGTTTCTTAATCGAGCGAATCAATCGCTGAACAAATCCCTCACGAGGTCGAGCCCGTGACGAGGATGAAAAGGATGAAAAGACAGAGGGACTGGACCGTCCTCCACTTCCACGACCTAGACTAAAGATCGATGGGGCCGAGTGCCCACGGTGGTAGGTTGAGTATAAACTCGATTTGCGGGGAGAACTTGCGCGGGAGCTTGTACGGCGACGTACATAGCCGTTCGAGGTTGAGGATCGAGATGAGGGTCCGTCGAACCAGCCCATTTTGAGGGATCGTGTAACTTTTCGATCTCGTGCGTCTTTTGCTGCAGGTGTGACAGGTGTCTTGTTCGTGATCCGTAATGTAATTTGTAATTCACAATTGATACGATTGTGGGGTAATCAGATTCAAATCACTCTAGATCTTGATGGTGGAATTCTCAAGACAAGATATCAAGAGGTGAAAATATCTTTCTGATTTTCAAGGGATTGGGCCTCCTGTGTGGCAACTCAAGTGAAAAAAGAGACAGGTGCAGGTCAGCCGCTAGGAGCTGCAGGAGGCGCAATCTTAGGTCTAGACTGTTGCGTATATCTACTCCACTGCGATCTGCTGCAGGAGAACTTGAACTCGAGATGAAAAATCAATTGATCAAGTTGGACTGTACAGTATGGAGTACAGAATGAAAAAAATAGACAAATGGACAAATAATGATACAGTAATATGGATCTTCCCCTGGAAATCAAGGTGGCTGGGAAGAGGAATCATTGTTATTGGTTTGATGGTTCAGGGGTGTCAGACACTAGTCGCCTGATAATTCAGGTGTCTATAACAACATCGATGTAACGTGATTCCCAAGCGAGCGGATCACCCAAGCGAGCGGATCACCTACCACCTATTATACTACTTTAGATAAATTATTAACCACCATAACGCCAATTTATTAAAATATTTATCTAAATATCACAATGATCTGACCTATGTCCTTCTTCTCCACACTTTTTACATGTCGGCAGCTTTCTCCTCGTTGGCTGAGGCTGTAAAACAGGCGCTCTCCGCGGTGGTACGGGAGGGGCAATTGGCGCTTCAACCACCTGTATAGCACGCTGTATAGCTTCCTGGCCCTCTTGAACCGTCATTCCACCCTCATTAGGTATCTGTCTAGTAGACCGTTGGCGCTTTTGCTTCTGCTTCTCGTGTGCGGCACGTAATTTACGTGTTTCAACCTCTAATAAAGCTGTTGAATACATCTGAATTTCACAGGCCTTAAGAACTTGATCGATTTGCTGTTTGAGTGGACTTGGAGGGCTTCTTGAGCGTTGTTTTAGAAGAGATTTGATTGAACTAGCTTGCCGCTGAAGCTGGATAATGTTTTGAGGTGTCTTAGGTGAAAATTGGCTTGATCGACTGGTAGGGCGGCTACCTGGGGGTGTAGGTGTTCGAAGAAGAATATTCAACTTAGAAAGCACTCGATCTGGGTTGAATGGTACTAAACCAGCTGCTGCAAAGCTGTTTTGAATAGTTTGTGTTTGAAAAGCCTCTTTACGAGCGATTGGGTAGGCTTCAAGAAAATCAAATTTATCAACATGGTTAAAACCAAGCCGCATTTGATTCTCAACAAGCCGACCATATGCACGCTTAAGAGGTGAAAAACATCCAACATTAAGCGGTTGATGTAAATGTGAAGAATGAGCTGGCATACAAATTGGAATAATATTATTCTCTTTGTAAATCTGGTCAAATTAGGGAGTTAAATAACTCCCATGACCATCGAGAATTAAAAGTCGATATTTTCCAAGTGTACGTTCAGTTGTTGCTGGAATAAAGTGTTTTTGAAGCCATCGAAGTCCAATTTCATCAGTTGTCCATCCATTTGGACTAGTTTCAAATCGCCAGTCAAGTGGAAGGTTCTTAAACCATCCTTTAATCAAAACTTTACCTTTGAAAATAATCACTGGTGGAAGGGCCCATCCAGATACATTAATTGTTTCAATAGCTGTTACCCATTCACGATTTCCAGGCTGTAAAAGTGATCGTCGACCATAATATTGAGAACGAGTAACAACCTTAGCAGTTGCTGTAAGTCCCATTGCAAATCCAGTCTCATCAAAGTTATAGATATCCTCTGATAGAATACCATTCTCTTGAATTGTCTGAAACACAAGATTAAACCATGCTTGAACCACTTTTGGATCCTCCATTTTCGCACGCTCGTAATTATATCGACGAGAGAAACGGGTAGTAAGCTCTGAATGTCGTCTTACGAAGTTTGTAACCCAATTTTTGCCAACAGTTTGAGGGGGGGGTCTGGCCACGCGCTGCGAGTAGAATATTGGCCATTTCTTGGACAGTAGCCGGGCGGGGGGCAGCTCCACGTATATCCATAGAGATCACCCATTGGAGAAGTGAATTCTCTTCATTTTCGTTTAATTTGTGGTTATTCGCGCGAGTTTCGAATCGATTGGTATGACCATTTAGTCGGCGGTGGAGGGAAGTAAAAGGCACGTTAAACTGACGTACTGCCTCACGGATAGAGCTAATTTCATTGTTTTTAATAGCTTGGATAGCAAGTAAGATCCTTCCCTCCTGTTCGATTGAATTTCGAGAGGTTTTAGAACGTATTGGTGGCATGGTAGGTGGTTGAAGATGGCTAGACGCGGTCGCGACGCGAGTTTTTGGTTGGGTGATCCGCTCGCTTGGGAATCACGTTAACTACGTTATCGGATACTTCACACCTGATATTTCAGGCGTCAATAACGGTATTCACATGCGTGGTGCCTCAGGCTATCGGGCTCCAACGACGTCACTGGCCTTGGGTCATCCAGTTTACTGTCTATCCAGTACTGAACTTCCAACTTTCCTTAACTCAGATCTATCTTGAGTAGCCGAAATCACCATGACGAGTAAGTCAAGTCGACTGGATCCATATCGCACGCTAAGAAACTAACATGGTTCATCTGCGTCACAGAAAATCTTGATTACTGTAAAATAAGACCACCTTTGCATCGCAACGAGTATAATTTCTCACCGTATCTACAGACAAGATCTTGGGTGTCAGCAAGGATGCCACTGCGCAGGAGATTCGCACTGCGTATAAAAGGTATGCATCGAAGAGATACATCTTTCCAACCCTCCTAAATCTACCCCACCATCGAGACAAGCTATGAGCTCGTCAAGCTGACACAAAACAGAGAATCCCTAAAATCCCACCCCGATCGAGTTCCCGCGGATTCGCCTGAAAGACCTGCCCGAACGCGTAAATTCCAAGCAATCAACGATGCATACTATACCTTATCTGACCCCACCCCGACGACGCGAGTACGATGCCACGCGCGCCTACGAAGAAGCTCAGGAAGAAGTCGACGAAGAGGTTCCTCAAGATGGATCCGGTGGATTCTCATGGTCCAGTTTTGGATTCGGTGATCATGAAGAACGCGATGCTCATCAGTTTGGTTCTGTGTTCGAAGAAATGCTCCGTGAAGAGGGACTAGCGGAAGAAGATGGCCAGCAAACTCGTCCTAACTCACGATTCTGGGCTGTTGTTGGTGGTGTAAGTGGTGGTGCTCTCGGTTTTATTGTGGGTAATTTTGCTGGTGCGTTGGCTGGAGCTGTTGCGGGGAATCGTCTTGGTGCCGTACGTGATGCCAAGGGCAAAAGTGTCTATGAGGTTTTCTTGGACCTTCCACTGCAGGATCGAACACGGCTCTTGAGTGAACTTGCAGCCAAAGTTTTCCAGTCTACTATGGGTCACTAGCAAAATGTTTCCCCCTTCTGTTAGGTAGGCGTTTTCATTGTGGCTCCTTCATTTTTGGAGAAATGGACTGAAAATAGGGTGGAATTGGATTGGATCTCGGGCTCTTACTATGAACATTTAAGCTAATAGCTAAACTATATACATGCAAATATATGAAATCAAGATCTGATAATACTCATTCTTTATACCCATTCAGTAAATCCTTAGTATTAATAACATATATCTGGATTGAGTCATAGTGATATCTGCCTAGTATGTATAGTTCACAAGACCCTATATTTTACTTGAAGTTTCCTCAGTTTAATAACATAAAGTCCTAGAGGGCTTCCTGAGAAGAAGTAAGTAACTTGAAGAGAGAAGTAAAAGTTAAGTGAGAGATAAGTGAGACGTAGTAAGTGATATATAACCTTGGAATCTGGAGAAGTCATATCTGACCTGGATAGCAGGCTGTCTTTATTCAAGTTGACTCCTAGTATTCAGCTTATCCTCCACCATCCTGTCTCTCCGCGCTGCTGTTGCCTCAGCTCGTCCTGCACCATCCCGTCCCTTTGCACTTCTGTTGCTGCACCTCAGCCTCCATCATCCTGAGTCCTTGCGGTTCTGTTGCTGCACCTAGGCCTCCATCGTCCTGTCTCTTCACCAACTTCTTCTGTTGCCTCTTCTTTGGGCCATCTGCTAGACTCGTGTAAGGGTGTCATCCTGGTCCCAACTTGTCACGATTCATCTCTGTCACAATGAGCTCCGTGGCCCCGTTTCTCCATCTCTGGCGCGTGTACGCTCCCATTCATTACGTTTCGTTTCCAGTGACAGTCCCACTAGGCTAACCTCAGTCTTCAGCGATGACATTCAGGAGCACTTGGATGGCTTTATTGAAACACCATATCGTGTTGGAGGACCCATCCTTTGTGGCCTCTCCTTGGCCCACCATTCTCTTCACAATAATGTCGACCAAGACCTCCAGAACCGGATAATCCACATGGCTGGGTCGATTCTTGACCGCAAGCACATCGAATTCTTGCAACTGATGGTTGTTGACCTGCAGTCCCTGCATCACGATGATGACATTTGCCCAACAGTCTTTGTGGTCGTGGCTGACAAGCCCGCAGACGCCCTAGCCAAGGCCCGTCTACTCCATGATGCCATCCGTGTGTTCCTCCCAGGGAACTGTGTGGAGATCATATCCGCACTCATGTTAAAGCCACTTCAAAGTTTCCCTGTGGCTCCATCTGAGCCGATCCTCCCCAAGTGGCCTGAGATCAGTGTGAGCATCTTGGGTACCCTTGATCTTCGTGACATCGTCAGCCTGGGCTGCTGGCGATTTGGACCTGAGGACACAGCTGACAAAAACCGAACCACCATTGTGGTGGGTGTCTACCGCGGTTCAGGCCAGTCCTAGGACGCTGCCAGTTCCCACATTGAAGGCATCTTGAGTCAGCATGAGATATCCGACGTTGATATTCTCATCTATATCATTCAAATTTAAAGGTACCTCTCAAATATTCTCCAACTTAGACGTATCACAATGACCACAGCTACCAGCGTCTTCCCTCCATTAGATGCCCGTCCGCTTAAGGAAACCATCGTTTTATTTGATGTTGACGAGACTCTGACCAAGGCTAGACAAGTATGTTCATTCTCCCCACTGGAAAACCAATCGCTTACATAGTACCGTGGATCTGGACTATTACGCCTGAAATGCTCGAGCTTCTCTCCCGTCTAAGACACAAATGCGCTATTGGCTACGTTCGTTTCTCCGTCCATATGCTCAGCTTCCAGCTATAACATAGTATCTCAGGTGGGCGGTTCGAATTTTGTTAAGCAGCAGGAACAGCTGGGTTCATCTACTGTCGATTCTACCACCATTTTCGACTCCTGCTTTCCTGAAAATGGACTGGTGGCATATCGTCTGGGTAGACCCCTCTCCACCAATAGTTTCATCCAGTGGCTTGGTGAGAATAGATATCAAGATCTGCAGACTTTTGTTTGGGATATATTGCCAAAGTCAGACTTCCTAGGAAGCGCGGTACGTTTATCGAGTTCCGGAATGGCATGATTAATTAGATGAGCGGAGTGAATTTGAAGCGTAAGTTCTAGTTTCTTCTTGTCACTGCTGCATGCGGTTGAAATACTTACACTCTTTACACTCTTTAGGTATGACAAGATCCACAACATCCGGAGAGATATGGTAGAGGCTCTAAAGAAGCAGTTCGCTGACTTTGGACTCACGTAAGTGCCTGAAAATCATAGGTATACTAAATCGGAGGCATTGTCTGACAAGTATAAAGCTTCTCCATCGGCGGCCAGATCTCTTTTGACGTCTTTCCAACCGGCTGGGACAAGACTTATTGTCTGCAGCATGTGGCGGCTGAGAAGGAGATCAGTGGTACTGACTATAAGAATATCCACTTCTTTGGCGATAAATGTTTTGAGGGTGGCAATGACTATGAGATTTACTCCGATTCTCGGACTATGGGTCACTCGGTTGATGGTCCCGATAATACTATGAAACAGCTGAAGGAGATCTTTAATCTTTAATTCTAGACGAGATCAATGTTTAATGCTATATTCATATGAAAGTAGTTAAGTCTAATTCGCTATTATTTATTTTTATTTTTATTTTTATTTTGGTCGGTAGTAGATTCAGTACTAAACCAGACATGGAGATGATCGCGTTTCCCGAAACAAACCGGGGAACTTGAAGAACCAAACCCGTCGATCTTCCAAGGTTCCGGAACCCTTTTTTAGTCATCCCCGATCAATTTTCTTCCTTTCAACAATTAATCAAGTCAAACTTCTATCATCTAGCGTTATGGCGCCCCAAAAACATGTCGCCGAGGTACCTCGCAGTATCCTCCCTCGTCTCACATGGAACAGCTCGTCATCTCGTCCGGCTGTCTCCTCTCACCATCCCGCGTTTGCGCCAAAGCAGCGACAGCAATATCTCCAGAGCTGGAGCCCTCTCCCCCGTCAGATTCACTCCGTAAGCACATCATCTCAGCCCTCCAGGGGAATTTCTACGTCTATCCAAGATAATCGCTTTGCTTCCACTCTCGCCCGACGAAATGCCGCTATCGCATCCCGCCCATCCCCCGAATCACTAGGCAACCCCATCCGACATAATGGAGTCTACGTCGCAGCTTTCAAGCCTGCGCAGCGTGCATTCCACGCGACTCCTATTTGTCAACGAGATCATCATTTCGATACTCTGAGATTTGTGAAACGATTACAAGCGGAGGGTTTCAGCGAGGAACAAGCCGTAGCCATGATGCGCGTATTGAACGATATCATCCAAGAGTCTATTCAAAATCTCACAAGGACAATGGTCCTTCGAGAGGGTCAGTCTGCTTCTTTTTTGAGATGAGACGAAACTCAAGTCTAACAATGATCACAGACTCGGAACGATCAACCTATACTCAGAAAGTCGACTTTGCTAAACTCCGCTCCGAACTTCTAAACACCGACTCGACAGAAGCACAACTCACACGCTCATCGCATGAGAAGCTCTCTGCTGATCTTGCTAAGCTGAATTCGCGCATGCGGGATGAGATTGGTCGGACTCAGGCGTCTGTTCGGTTGGATTTGAATCTTGAAAAGGGTCGAATTCGCGAAGAGGCTAATGGGCAGGAGATGCGAATTAAGGAGACGGAAACACGGATTGAACAGGAAGTGGCCGGGTTGAGAGAACGGGTTGAAGCTGTTAAGTTCTCCACTTTACAGTGGCTTATGTACGATTTCCCCCATTCTTCTTATGTGCGATCATATGCTAACCTCATCTACAGGGGTGTCTGCACCGGTACCGCTGCTCTGATTCTTGGTGCTTGGCGCTTGTTTATGTGAGGTTCGGATTTAAAGTGTGCATTGTTATGGAGCGTTTTTTTGGTTCATAAACGAGATCTTGGGTCTCAGTCATCGGTCTTTTCTTTTGTATAAAACTCTCTGCTCATCTGGCTATTGAAAGTCAAGGTGCATCCTATTAAGGCTGAATATGTTGATCTGGACATTATTCATCAAAATCTACTTCATACAGATTTCCAGATTATGAGCTGCGTAATGCCATTTGTAATATAATTGATCTGACATTGGCAAAATGAAGGCTGTATCGGATCACACATAATTCGTGCCACTGTCTCGCTAGATATCTCGCTAGCAGACGCATGATGTCCTATCATGTTGAACATTCATTGGCCAACTCGGTCTCGTCATATCTTGTATAGCCGAGCATATTCCGAGTTAGTGCATTTACTCCTGCAGAATCAAGGCCACGCTAATATGCCCACCCGGAGCTCCGATGGACATGCACCCCTGAGATCCTTATCTTCAGGGGTAAATGCGGCCTTGACACAATTTATTGGTGCAAGTTGCATTATCGTGCGGGGAACAATGCTTCGCCTCCACTAGCTTGGTAACGGTGCCTTTTTTTCTCTCAATTGCATTATCCCGGTCTTTTCAAACGTGCCCTCCGGGTGTACAACCCCGCCAGTATGAACAGCTGCCCCACAGGAGTCGGTGATCAACATAGAATTACCTGGTTATAGTTGACAATTTCCCGCCTGTTTGCTTTTTGGTTCTATTTGATTGTATGATTCCCAAGTATTGAGCTTATATTACAAGCTGGGTCTTCCATATCTTCAAACCAAACACTTCGCCTGGAGGCTGCCATCAGTTCAACATGGCAACCCTTCTTTCCTCACTCTTGCTTCTAGCAGGATATGTTTCGTTTGCATCTGCATCTCCTAATCAGCACTGGGCAGCTGAACGATCTTCCTCGGAGAGTACAAATGAGACAGGCTTTCAAGAAGTGTTCCAAGTGTATCAACCAGTGTCTCTCACATCCCATGGGGCTATTGGATGTGATCTGGATGTTTTGCTAATGGAATATGAGTTTGGTGAAAGCTATGGAGTTCCATATGTTGGTAGGTTAATCTGTTCCTAATACTATACTGATTTGCATCTCATGAGTTCTATCACAGGAAGCTACACACCACCAAGCTGTAAATTCGACACTGTTCGGATAAATATGACTGTCACTTCTCGGGGTACTCAATATGACCGACTGGGTCTTATGTACCTGGGCGATGCTGAGGTCTTCCGGACTTCAACTGCCGAGCCAACCTCGACTGGAATTGTGTGGACCTACATCAAGGAAATGTCTCAGTATAATGCTCTATGGCAGGAGCCCCAAAAACTGATATTTGATCTGGGTAACATCATCACCGATGTTTACACTGGTCCATACAATGTGACATTGACGGCGCACTTTTCATATGAGAATAATGTTCAAAATGCGGATATCATCCTTCCACTCTCGGCAAGGAAAGCATCATCCAACTCATCCAGTGAATTCACTGTTCCCACGGATAACACTACTGTTTCCTATACTATCCCAGATACAGCATCGCGGGCCGTTGTTGCAATCTCAGCTTGCGGTCAATCTGAAGAGGAGTTCTGGTGGTCTAACGTCTTCACCGAGGATTCTGAAGACTTTGAAGATTACATTGGTGAGATGTATGGGTACTCGCCTTTCCGAGAAATCCAATTGTATATTGATGGAATTCTCGCCGGCTTTGTCTGGCCTTTCCCCATCATCTTCACCGGTGGTGTGGCACCTGGATTCTGGCATCCTATTGTCGGCATTGATGCGTTTGATCTTCGAATGCCAGAGATCGATATCTCGCCCTTTTTGCCACTCCTTCAGGATGGTAAAGAGCACGCGTTTGAGATTAGAGTTACTGGTCTCAATGTTTCCAGTGATGGTACAGCTACACTCGCTGGTACTGTGGGCTCGTACTGGGTAGTCACTGGAAACGTTTTCCTCTGGACCGACGAGAAGAGCTCTTCTCTGAAAAGTGCCGATAGCTCTTCCTTCTCTGTGGAGGCCCCCGAGCCAAAGTTCACTGTGACACGAACCCTTGGACAAAACAAGACATCTGGGGAGAACGAAACCCTGGCATACTCCATTGTAGCAGAGAGATCGTTCAAAGCCAGCTCATCCAAGTACGCCTGGTCACAGGAACTGTCCTACTCCAACTACGGATACCTTAATCAACAAGGTTGGAGTCAAGTGAACAAGCAACTCACCTCGGGTAAGAACACAATTGCTGAGGTTGGTAGTTCCAGTACCAATGAAACTACCTTCAGCTATCCTTTACTGGTAAATGCAACCTACGTTATTACGGATACTACTGAGAGTATCAGTTCGTGGATGAGTCGTGGTCTCACCATTGATTCTACCGGTGGACTCGGAGTTTCTCCTTATACTTTGGTCTCTGGAGCTTCAAAACTCGATACAACTCAGTCTGGAACGGCATACTATGATTATGTGTCTGGCGGTACCTCGACCTCTACTGGTACTACACTTGATGAGTTCCAGAGCACTGCTAATGGAGTCGAATATTCGAGATCTGTTAAGGCAAGTGGAGGCAATGTGGTGGAGGATAGTCAGTCGGGTAGCTCAAAGACTTCTTATACTTCGACTCCATCGGGAAGAGAAAGTATTAGGAGCATTTTGGGAAGAGGACCGGGCAAGGTCAGTGTTTAATGTTTGTCGTTAGTTCATGAGCAATCATAACTTTTACGCAGTCAGCTGCACCCAAATAACTAGTTCTTATATAGACAGTTCCAAGCTTTCAGGTGTCAAATTGAAATACATACCAGGGTATCTTCACCTTTTTGATGCATTACACTCAATTCCCAGGTGTCATTTCTTCGAATACCCTTAATAGTCAACTACCATTATGGAACCATATGCATTTAGTCTCAGTGAAAATCCACTGTTTTTGGTACAAAATTAGTGATTGGAACCATTTATAGAGTAAATTGGAATCTAATATCCCTTTCCCCAATACCTTGTGCCAAGAACAGATATTAAGTACACTCCACGAGAAATTGGTATATTATCAAGTAAACACTGGAGGCTGGAAGTATGATACTTGACCAGTTGATGGTAAGTGGAACCACACAATGACATCAGGGCTCCTTATCTCCACGTGATTTTGGAGATAAGCCTATGGCGCGCGCATTACAACGCGATTGCTCCTCACTCAGTCCTGTAGAGAGGACAGACGACGAGGTCCAGTCAGGATTCCAGCATGAGCGTGATCGCAGAAGACGTCCAAGTTGCCCGTGAGTTTGTTCGACATCTTCATATCCCAAAACAAGCTTCTCATTAACAATATTCTTGATATAGATCCCACTCCCGGTGCTCTGCTCGCCGCTATGGAGCAGAGAGATGCATTGGACAGCGATGAACGGGCTACGAAGCGGCGCAAGGTTATCAAGTCTGGGCCATATAGTCTTGCTCAGGTCAACAGGCTCTCATCAGCGGGAATACCATTGGGTTATATCCCGTTAGCTAGATTGACATTGCGCATGGTGAGTACTGAGTGGCTACATTTCGTACCAAGTGGCTGATCGTTCGCCACTTTTCTTCTAGAGCTTCGCAGATGATACCAAAATGAATGGAGATTATACGCATGAAACTTCGAACTCGTCTCGTCGGCTTCCTGTCATTCTTAATGTCAGCCCTATACATTCTATCGACGATGATCCATCCTCTAGCTCCCACGAACCCTCATCCAATCGCGATTCCTATACAATTGAGCTTTTCCCAGTTGAGATCGAAAGCAAAGACCCAATGAAATTGCTATCTTATACCTTCAATGAGCCGAAATCGTCGGATCTATTCGAACAACTCTACCTCGCCAGCGGGCTCACATGCGCAGATCGATACTTCCAACGTGCCCCAGCTACATGTTATCAAGCGGCACTATTCAGATCAGATATTGGAACTTTCTCCTTGGAAGTAAGTATAATTTGGAAGGATTCATTGGAGATACCGGACTTTTCGCACATTCAAGACCCAACCTTGCATGTTTTTGCAAGATATGCCTTACACGAAAGGCATGGTCAACCCGAGAGCCACTCTGCGAAGCGCGAGATTCGTGAGAAGATACTTGGGGCTTCTCGTAATTGGGCTCCGCGTGAGTTTTATAACAGTGTACATGTCCCAGAAAACACGAAACAAGCTTCGGCAGATATTAAATGCCCTAACCTGGTGTGTGATCTGTTCCCTTTCCAGCGAAGGGCTGTTCGCTGGCTTCTGCAGAGAGAGGCGATGGAGCTGCAGCCTGATGGGAGCGTTGTTCCTATTGCAGAAAGGAATCTTCCCGGTAGTCTCCCCGCGTCATTCAAGGAGATGAAGGATGCCGATGGGAGAACCTGTTATTACAGTCATCTTTTCATGACCATTACTTCAAATATCTCAATATGGAGTTCTGCTGAAACCCATCTTAAAGGTGGGGTTCTCGCCGAAGAGATGGGTCTAGGCAAGACTGTGGAGATGATAGCCCTGATTAATCTCAATCGACGGGGTGAACAATTAAAGCCCGATCCTGACGGATTGAGAGTATCAGGAGCTACATTGATCATCACACCACCTGCTATTCTAGAGCAGTGGAAACAGGAGCTTCAGCAACATGCTCCTGACCTACGAGTGCATCATTACACTGGGATTAAGCGTGGGCAAGAAAAAGCAGACGACCTGGTCATCGAAGAGCTTACGGAATTCGATGTCGTATTAACCACATACAATGTCATTTCTCGTGAGGTACACTACGCCGGTGCTGCACCAAAGCGAAGCCTGCGCCATGAGAAGAGATTCGAGCCTCGCAAGACGCCTCTGGTTCGAATCTCATGGTGGCGAGTATGCCTTGACGAAGCCCAAATGATCGAGAGTGGTGTCAGCAATGCTGCCAAAGTTGCCCGATTGATTCCCAGAGTCAATGCCTGGGCTGTCACCGGTACGCCCCTTCGTCGAGATATCGATGATCTTTTTGGTCTCCTGCTGTTCCTGCACTACTATCCGTTTTGCTACTCCAATCCCTTGTGGAAGCGATTGTATTCCAGGTTCGGGTCAATCCTGGTACAAATAATTCAGAACATTGCGCTTCGACATAGTAAAGATCGCGTTCGTGACGAACTTCGCTTGCCACACCAGAAGAGAGTTGTCATTACAACCCCGTTCACAGCAGTTGAAGAACAGCATTATGGTCAACTCTTTGAGACAATGTGCGAACAATGCGGTCTTGATGCGACAGGCGCACCAGTTCGCAGTGATTGGGACCCTGAAGAACTGGGAACAGTTGAACGAATGCGTAGTTGGTTAACACGGCTCCGACAAACATGTCTCCATCCTGAAGTTAGTGGGAGTAACCGACGAGCGTTGGGTGCTGGAAATGGGCCACTACGAACTGTCGATGAGGTCCTTGGAGTTATGATTGAACTTAACGACACATCAATCCGTACTGAAGAGCGATCCCTACTCTTTTCCCAGCTGCGCCGAGGCCAACTTTTAGAGAATGCAAAGCGCCGGAAAGAGGCTCTGGCCCTTTGGCAAGCTGTTCTGGAGTACTCTAATGGGATTGTCTCAGATTGCAGATTACAACTTCAACATCAGAAAACCCTTCTGAAAGACGCTTCAAAAGATGGGTTAAAATATGTACCTGAGGACCTCAGTGATGATGAAAGCGAAGAGGCCGAGAAGAACAGCCGTCTTAGTCAATGTCGACTGAAACTGCGGATGGCACTAGAGGTTCAACATATTGCTGTCTTTTTCACAGCGAATGCGTATTACCAGATCAAATCAGATCCTGCTCTGACTCAGCCTGACTCGGATGATTTCAAGGCCCTCGAAAAGAAGGAGGAGGAGGGCTACGAAGCTGCCAAGCTCATCCGTAAGGAGATGCTTACCGATACCTCCCGAAAGGTTGAGCGGTATATGAAGATGATCAAGGAGAAAGCGCATAATAAGCAATTTGTCCGGATCCCGAAGATGAAGCCCTATTTGTACAACCGGGGGCTGGAGTCGTATCGACTATTCAATAAGTTCGAGGACCTGTGCACCGCACTGAATAGACACGCTGAACAATACAATGAATGGAGAGAGGTGATGATCAAATTGGTTTCGCAGTCTCTCATCGATCAAGAAGAGGATGCTGAACTCGAGGGCAACGAGTATGAGCGATCGACAAAACATCAAGACGAGATGTATGTGTACATGGAAGCGCTCCGAGCAATGTATGCAGATCGTCACGATGCCCTGACCGGTCAGAAGAACATTCTCATTTCCCACGAAGCCAAGGCTGGTATCCTCCAAGCACAGAAAGACGAAGGACCTTCACCTAAGCTGTTCCTCTCTATTATGAATACGCGCAGTGAATTAATGCCAGATCCCGAGCTCGGATCTCTGAGAGGTCTTGTCAGTGAACTTCGTAGTCTCGTCACTTCGTTGGATTGGCAAGCCAATGGGGGAAGCACACGGGCCCGTGCTGAACTGGATTTGGTAACTGAGGTTCTGAAAAACGCCGGTCAAATGATCAGTGAGCAATCGAAAGTGTCGGCCAGCTTGGAGAGGGAGGTCGAGACATTCCGTGACACAATGAATAATCGTCTAGAGTATTATCGACAGCTGCAACAGATTTCAGACACAGTCGCGCCATATGATGAGGAAAGTGCTGGAAAGCCCATGGATGAGTTACTTTTTCTTACCAAGATCAAGTCGGAAGAAGCGCTTGAAGGCAAGATATCTTCGTTGAAGTCGAAGAGGCGGTACCTCATTCATCTTCGTGATGAATCTGGCTCGGAAGATACGAATCGGATTTGCATCATTTGCCAATCCAGTTTCGAAGTTGGTACGTACCACCATTGAATTAATTTTGCCTTCATTTTAGGCGTATACTAACCATCCTACTCTAGGTGTATTAACCGTCTGTGGCCACAAATACTGCAAGGACTGTCTGCAAATGTGGTGGCGACAGCACCGCACTTGTCCCATCTGCAAGAAATCCCTGAAACTGAGTGACTTCCACCAGATCACATACAAGTCGCAGGAACTAGTTGCTCAAGAAGAACAACCTGCCACCAAGTTCGATCATGAGCACCATCCCAAGAATGCTATCTACAGCGATATCAGCTCAGGTGTTCTCAATGAAATCAAAAACATTGACCTGGACGGCTCATTCGGTACTAAGATTGATACTCTTGCTCGCCATCTGATCTGGCTGCGAGAACATGATCCCGGTGCCAAGTCAATTCTATTCTCCCAGTACAAGAATTTCTTAGGTGTTCTTCAACGAGCCCTCGGTCGCTTTCAGATCACGTCCAGCAGTATTGATACACATGGTGGTATTGAGAAGTTTAAGAACGATCCTGCAGTTAGTTTAACCCCCCTGACTATACTCATTCGATCGACTATACTGACTTGATTAGGTGGAGTGTTTCTTGTTGCATGGTAAGGCTCAGTCCTCGGGACTGACGCTTATCAACGCCACCCATGTGTTCTTGTGTGAGCCGTTGATCAATACTGCTATTGAGCTGCAGGCTATTGCTCGAGTTCATCGAATCGGTCAACAACGTCCTACAACTGTTTGGATGTATCTTGTCTCTGGCACGGTGGAGGAATCCATCTATGAACTTTCTGTGGCTCGTCGGCTAGCCCACATTATCGAGAAGGAGAAACAGGAGAATGGCCAATCGACACTTCCTGAGATTGATGAAGCATCACTCGTTGATCTTACGGAAACGGCGATAGATTCGGCGAATTCCATGGAGATGCAAGATGCAACTCTCACAAGCCTAATGACGAGTGGTGCTTCGGGTGGCGAAATGGTGCGAAAGGATGATCTCTGGCAGTGTCTCTTCGGGAACTCTGCTCAGAAAGATAGCAATGACAGCTCCGCTGATGCAGAAAGGGAAGTTGGCAGATTCCTGAGAGGCGAAGCAGCCGGGGAAAGGAGAAACGAATCTATGACCCAATGATGTGATGTGATTAATTATAAATAGAACCTGTATAAATGGCTAGTAATCAAAAAACTGTAACCACTTCCGGACCTCAATAATAATCAAGTTGCACAAACGTCCATCGTTGATCATCAAGATCGAAGATGACCCATATCCTACCAATACTTCAGAGTCTGGTTCAGTATTCCTGTAGTAAAATTGTCGACAAATAGCATCATGATATCGAAGTCCATGCCAGCTTTTAGCATCTCCTCCTTTATCATCCTTATGTCTCAGTTGATTCGAGGTCATCCATGTCGAATCCGAGTCACCATGTCTTTTTGAAGGGCCTGCTTATTATCTTGGACTTTCATTCCGAATCTCTAGAAATTCAACCCTAATAGTAGAGAGTTCTAACCTCTGTAAACCTAACCTTGCAACACACACCAGACCAATGTATACCCAGGTAGATTAAATCATTCTGTTTGTGTAAATCGTCCAGGAACTTCAAGTTTCTTTGGATAAGGTTCTGAAATATGTGGTTCAAATCCAGAAAAAAACAATGAAATAAATAGGACATGAAATGAAAAAATAACTTGAACCCCCCTTCATTCCTAGTAAAAGTATAGAAGACTTTCTGAATAGCGCAGCCATAGAGGCTCGCCATGTGCAGTCCTGCTGAAAGCTCACCTCTTATGATTTGACGCATTCTCTTATGGATTGCCTCACTAATATCTCTCATCTCATATCTTTCTTCCACTTTTACTCCAGGGGTCCGCCTGTGAGTCTCTTCCAGGGCTGTACCAAGGTCTCTTTTGCTCCAGTAACTTCATTCTTACATCCAAGAAACTTCTTCAAATGCAAAGCTCTCTTAAACAAAGATTTTCCACACTCACAAGTCCTGTGATAACACGAGTAATTCAAATATCAGTGAATATCATGCTTTCAAGGTTATGTACTAACATTGAAGTATCTATTGCCTTTATATCTCAGGCTGATAAAATAGTATCACCGTGACTCTATAACATACAAATGTACATATTCATGTATACAATATTCGATGTCCGGTGAGATATCTAGGACTATAAGACGCTGCGTAGGCGCTGCACCTAGTATTTCAAATTCAATTTAGTCGCATAAACATCCAGATTCATATCAAGGTCAATGGTTGGTTCCTTCCACGTTAAAGCTTTGAACTTACAGTGTTGATGATAATCCATGGATGTTAATTTCGGCAAGTCCAACCTTCAATTGATACCACTTGCCTTGAAAAGACTCGGAATATGCAGTGACTCCCTTTATATTCGTGTCTTTCTTCCGAGCTGACAGCACATGTGCAGCTTCTCACAGATTTATCGACCGTCCACAATTTGAACTCTTCCTGGGTCTTCAGAGCTTCATCTTCCACGATCCACCACAAACATGAATCCGCAAGCCATGCCAAGTGATCTCCCACCATGGACATTACCAGATTCAGGTTTGTTCAATCCCTACAGTGCTCAGATATCTCATTGGAGAGCCCGAGTAACATATTTCACAGTGATATTTGGCCTCGACGCCCAAAATAATCCAGACTTGAGCACATACACCTTCGTTAGAGAGCAAATCCTGGCCGCGCTTCCCGTTCATCGAAATGTCGACTGGAGACGAGCACCTTTGCCTTTAACTTCGGTGACACAAAGATGCGCAGCACAGGGTCAACGTGTTGGAATGTTTCTAACCACAAACAGCTGCGAAGCCTGCATGAGGGGCGAAGGACCCTTCACATCGTGTGTTGTCGCTGCGGTCAATGGAACTCCTGAATTCTCAGGGTCGTGTATGAACTGTGCCTGGAGAGATGTGCCACATACCTGTTCATTTCGTAATGAGCTTCCAATGATACCCCAAACTTTTGGAATGCAATGGACTGACATTGAGATTTGATAGGAACAAGAAATCCTGGGAATCTTCCTGCTTGGGAGGTTACTTATATCAATGGCACGAGGCCCTACCAAATGCCCATGCCAGCGCAACCTGTACGAATCCCTTTCCTCAATACCACGATCAGAACTTTATTAATTCTTTTAGGTCTATAACTACGGCTCACTCCCATATCCTACGCAAGCAACTCAGCCCGGACCACAGTACAATATGTTTTCAGATGGTGTGAATGTTCCACCACCCACAGCCCCCCCAGCTCCAGCCCATACCCCGGATCCAACTTTCGACTGCACACAAGCCTATACTCCTGGTGCAGAGACATTGTCTATTTGTCGAAGGACTGGACAAGGACCGATCTGGCTTGGTATATGGTACGACTCTCCTTTGAGGATGCTTTCCTGGGAAAGAGTCGAGGAACGACTCGATAACATCGCGTGGAGACGAATCTTCTACGAGCTCGTCTCGTGTCGTGCTCGAGTGAATTGGGATATAAGAGTGCTAGGTGATGAGATGATAAAAGCTGGGATACAATTTGATACTTTGCCACTTGTACTACCGCAAACAGATTTCCATCAGCCATGTGTTTATGGTGTTGACTGGGCACCCCCGGATTGGCCATGGAATGCTAGTGGATAGAGTAGGAACTTGAATGCAGATTTGTCTCGGTCTTGACCGGCAAAACTTACAAGTCCTCAGAGTAAGAATAATGGCAGCGGCACAATTCTCAATTGCCCTATTCATGAATTCGTGATGCCTCCAGCAGAATCACCCAAATAACATGCACAATAGCCCTGAAGTGAGTATCATGATGCACTTTATGCATTACTGACCTCCGCAGGTCTAACGTCCCTTCAAACACTTGAAGATAAAATGTAACGGTGATTATTTCCGCCACTTCTTGACACAAGTGCTCCATCATGGTGTAGGACTATATCAATAAATAACTAAAACTCTCAGGTTTCGTGGAAGTAGAATCAGCATTTGAACAAGATAGATACTATCATACTCGGAGACGGTTGGGCCATTATTAGTACTAGTCAGCTGGTACTAGTATCGTAGAGGCCCTGAAGTATCTGTGATCCAGAAAGTTTTATATCTTGGATATTTTTATATCTTGGATATTTTTATTGATATAATCATGTTGTCTATATAAGAAATATTTGTATTCTCGAGGGCTAGGCATTTTTCTACAAGCTTACTAGATGTAGGAGTTAATATCTTCAACTCAAAGAAGACCTTAAAAGAGTGTTGGAGGTAAAGTAAAAGCAAGAAGGAGATTATATGAGAGATAGTCAAGAGATAGTCAAGAGATAGTCAAGAGATAGTCGAGAGATATTCGAGAGATAATGCCATGACCATGTTTGAATTTCGGAAGGTGAGCTTTGAGTAGGACTGCATATGTTGTTGCTATTTTACCTTCACTTGACCCTGGAAAATAGTCGAGTGAGGCTCTGAGTCAACCGAGTAAAGTTATTTTCCCGATGAGGCTCTTCTGGTAAGTAGTAACCGAATCCCTCCTCATAGGGAATAAAAGGTGGGCTTTTAAACCGCTGGTCTTTGAGGTGTGAGAGATTGCGGGACATCAGTTCTTTGAAGCAAATAGGTGTGATTGCTTCAAAGCATTGGCGTGGGCTCATACGGATATGCTCTTTGTCGAGACCCCGTGTGTAGATCAATGTGTGTTTCTTCCACAATGGGTCCTCTTTGGTTAAACCAGGACCTAGGTTAATCCACCTGGTCAAGACGAAGGCCACTCCAGAGTCGAATTTGATAATCTCAGCCCGGTAATCCGTGTTGCAATCCTCGCAGGTAGATGTGAGATTGGTGTACCTTTCTCCAAAAGACCCTTCTACACGTAGCGGGGTGAAGAGATCTTCAAAAACCTTGCGCTGGCAGACTGTTACAATTGACCCGACCTCGAACAACCATTTAGTCATACGAGTGACCAGATCCTCGTATGTGCTGGCAAGGACTATGTTCTGCGTTCTCACATGAAGACCCAGTGGCTGAGAACATATTTGAGCGTCGGTTGAGTAAAGTGTGGTGATATCTGGAAGCGAGAAGGAAGGCCGGCTGTAGTGAATAACTTGTGTAAAGGATAGAGAATCAGTACTAATCCCAAATTTTGGGCCGTAGTTGAAACTCCTCATGGCAAGCCTCAGGTGAAGAAAGTTGTATGAGAAATGGCCCCAACGTGACGGATTATGATTGCATAGCACAAACCCAGCCTCACGCCACTTCCACGACTGCCAACATGGGAGGGGGCAGGGTCTGTCATGGGGTCTTTCACAAATACCATAGCTCTCTCCTTTGGGGCAATCAAACCGATGAAGAATGTGACAGGCATCGCAGGCGAAGTACTGTGGACTATCACGTTCAAATCTGGCCAAGATCTCGTGTTTCTTATCTCGAGCACAGGCATACACGTGGTTGTTGTATCGCCGAGTAATCTCAAGGAATCTATGGTTGCAGAGTGAGAAGCAAACGGCGTCGATGGAAGGAAGATAATCGCATATCGATAGTACCATCTCAGTAGGGAGGGCGTCAAGAGAGGTTGTATTCTTAGAAGAGGGGTCACCTGCTTGGTGTAGGCGCGTAAGACGCGATTTGATCAGACTCTTAAGTGATTCCATGTTGAGGATGACAGTGAGGATCCCTGATTGATATTGGGTTCAGAACGTGAAGATAAAATCGAAGATTTGTAAAAGAAAAGAAATAGAAGTAAGAGAAGTAAGAGAAGGAATAGTGAAAGAGAGATGAAGGATTTATGAGAGCTAGATGAGAGATAGGTATGATACCCCCTCAAGGCAACTTAACAACAGTCATGCCATGATCCGATCGAGATAAGTAAGAGAAGAGGGGCGTTAGCTCCTAGAACTTCCAGGGTTAAGTCGTTACGCTTAGTTCAAGGGTGGGGTTGAACGTGGTGCCCAGTGACCTTCAATTTGGGTAAAGGTTGGGCTAGAAGCTGATTTCCATGGAAGTTAAAGGGGTGGCCATCCTCAACAAATCAGATGGAGCAATTTTACGTCTGGTAAGATAGTATGTGAGAAATGAGGGCTGAGAGAAGAGTTAGGAAGTCCATGTGGCTATATTCTGCGGATTCGACGCACGATCCCTGGCCCCCGACAAATCGAACCTTGGAAGCGGCACGACCACGAGCAATAATGACACCGTCATGCGGGATCGAAGAAAACAACCTTATAACTTGAAAGACGCAATACTGTATTGACCGTTAGTCGAAGGGGCGATAAGACCGAGCAAGTTCAAGCCTAGCAAAATTATTATCTGGCAGCGAGATGAGCTTCGATGGAGCCATGGCCCATCCTGATAAAGTAGATGATCAAGTCAGCTACCTAGTCCGTCTTCGTCAAGGCTTCCAAGCTTGGCAGCTTTTCATAGTCCTGCGGTCAAATTCAATGAATTGCTCCTTACACAGGTATAACTCGGTGCTAGTTCCAATGCTCCTCTTGGAGTCTTGATATTGTTCCTCGTATAATAGTAGCACAACTTGCATCGAATTTTCGTTCAAAAATTGATATAACACCGTGACCTGGGGCTCTGAGTATTAGAGCTCCAGATATACCAGATCTAGTAGAGACCTCGGGAGAGCTCTGAGTAGTGCAAGCGAGTCCGAGTCCAAACTTGAATTGAAGTCATAGTATCGAACGGCATAAGATGTTGAACGCAGGAGGAAAGTATACAATTCCGAATTCATTCCAAGATATACTAGCCACTGGCAATGCCCACTGGTACTAGGTTGTGACTTGGTTATGTTTTTCATTTAAGTTGCCAATTTTGAATTTCAATCAAGAGAAATAAATCAATTAGTAACCATGCTAACAATTGATTTTGTCATCTGAAATGGTTATAGAAAACAAGTTCAAGCTGGTACAAAGTTGCCCGTGTGATGTATTGTCAGACTACAAGGTCTAATGCAGTAGGCGGTCGCAATGGGACGTATCAACAGGTCTGATTCTCTCGTAACACTAATTTACACGAATAAGCGTCTGCTGCGACCGTAGATCACGTGGCTAATCATGTGATCCATTCTGGTTCGGCTAATCAGAAGCCCGGATTTAATCCTATTAAAACCGTCTCAATTGGGCCTAGTTTATCACGTTATTTTGGCTGACATGTATATGTCGGCCTGATAAACAAGGCCGAAATTAGGGTGTCAGCCAGTTCAGTGTCGTGTCTCCACACGGCAGAACTGAGCCAATCATAATCCCACTGGAACAGAGCACGCTGATTGGTCGAACCAGAATGGTCACATGACCAATCACGTGTCTTGAGTCCGGCAGATGTTTATGTGCGATAGTGATAGGATGAGAGAAAATCAGACTTGTATTACATGCCATCTAGACCGCCTACTACGTACAGAAAGAGTCTGTTATAGGGGCGATCCATCGCTGACTAATCAGGGCATCCCCCCCCACGCGTATCCAAGAGAACAACGACAGTGACGTGTGTATGGTTGCCTGTGGAAAGTTCCAGAGGAGTCATATGAGTTTGATTCAGTCGTGAAATATCCCGAGCGGATGTTGATATTCCTTTCCAAAGACCTTATTTCTTTTCCATAATGGCGGACTCACAGAGTCCCGAGGCTCGTGAGCTGAGCCTGATAGGCAAGGTGGAATTTCGAATTGCCATGGCGGATACCGATGAGAAGCTTCAATCACTACTCCAAACCTATCTACCTCCATTGCTGCTGAAGTTATCGTCGGAGAGTGTGGCGGTCCGTAACAAGGTCATTTCCGTTTGCCAGCATGTCAACACTCGGGTGAAAGCCCCCACTATTCAACTGCCCGTCGCCGCCTTATTGAAGCAATTCAAAGAGCAAAAGTCTCAACTGGTCCGGCATTTTGATTTGATCTACGCTCAGCAAGGAATCGATCGGCTCGGTTCTGATGCTCGGGTTGAGATCCTCCTCCCCTTGTTGAAGGGCATCGCGGAGATCGGAACATCGGCTACTCAGGGCGCCATTGTGTTCAATTTGGTCCTGCGGTTGCTCCCTTTGTTTAAACTGCCACCAAAGGGTAGTGAGGAAGATCAAAAACTGAAGCAGCGCTTGGGCCTGTCAGACCAGGATTCTCAGTTCTTATCCCTTTGGCTGGGGAAACTCCTCATTCTTTCCCCTGCTGCTTCAGAAGCTACAACATGTCCCGGCTTGTCTTCAGATGAGTATACATTCTTGAATAAGGGTGCATCCGCAAGCGAAACATGGAATCCCGCTACTCCAGGAGGGCTGAATCTTACCGAGACCAAAGTCATCGCTCTCCGATTTATTGGTAGTGGTGCTTTTGCTGATTCTCAACGATTCCTACCCTCCTTGATTGCTTCTGCCGATGCCAACTCTAGACTTGCCGATTTGGGCGATGAGACTTTGAAACGATTTGCTATGGATCTTGAAAACCCGGATGTGGTTCAACAATTGTACGATCTCTATTTCGGATCTGGTGGTGCTCCGCCGGCTCGTCCTCCTCTCCAGGTGAAGGTTTTGAGCGTCCTAGGCAAATCTATCAAGGCTACAGAAGACACACAGAGAATTTATAAGCTGATCGAAGATGGACTTCTGTCTGATACCGCGAGATCTGCGCAGGGCCTTCAAGCATCAAAATTAAGAACTCAAATATTCACATTTACCACATGGGTTGTCCGCATGGGCTCTCCCACTGATCTGAAACAGATTGCCCCTAAACTGATTGCTGGTTTAAGAGACTTTATTCAATCTCAGACTTGGCCGAGTCCAGGTGCTAGCGGACAAAAGCTACCTGCCACAGATCTGAGTTTAAGAGGACTGGCTTACGAAAGCATTGGCATCCTGGTCCCTAAGGTGGATTTCCAAATACAAGATCAGAACATTGAGAATTTCGAGTTTGATCTCGTTCGCTGGCTCTTTACTTCTCTCAGTGCCGATGACTCCAGCTCGCAGATCTTCGTTAGTATTGATCAAGCATTGGGAAGTATTCTTAATTCTTCGCTGAACAGCCACGATCAAGCCTTTCAAGCCCAGCTGCGTCCATTCCTGGTTCAACAGATGAGCTTGCAGCCAGGAGATGTTCATCCAGAGACGGGCTACAGTGTCGTCCGCGGCGTTCAGTATGCCACTGTGCGTTTCGCCAATCGATTCTTGCCATTCCATGACGTTGTGGCTCGTTGGATTGATCTCATGGCTATTTCAAGAGGCCCGGAAAGACAACAGGAGATCGTCGAGGAAGGCAGAAAGGGAATGCATCCATACTGGTTCCGACTTCTTAATCCAACAAAGGATGAAAAGTGGGCTGCTCCAGCAGTTTCTCAGAAGCGAGATGATTCTTGGTTTGAATTTCCATCTTTCGCTGATGCGACGCAGTTTTTGCTGGGTTCAGAGAACCAAGATGATTCTACGCGACAGCTGCTTTCCGGACCCTACAAGAATGCACTTGTGCCTGCCATTTCTTTTCTTCGCAATACTTTACTTTGGGAGGCCTTCTCGGCATCCAAGATTACGACTGACTTGGATGAAGACTGGGATTATAAACTCGAAGTGCAGCTCTCCACCGATGAAGAAGCTCGATCTGCAGTAAGACAGTATATCCGCAATACTGCCAAGGAGTCTGTCTCTACATTTTTGTCTGCGATCCTGAATGGCATCGTCAGATCAGACTTACCGAACCTTCGACAGTGTGGAGTTCACTTCGTGGAGATTTGCTCTTTGGCACCAAATGATGTGGTTGAGAAGCTACTCCCTCAATCTCAGTCTTTGACGAAGCCCATCTTTAGTAACAACCAAGATATCCAAGGACTGGCAGCTCGAGCGTTCGGAATTCTCGCGTCGCACCCTTCCCTCCCCCAGGTTGATCTCAATAATTTTGTCGCGTTGTTCCAAGATACGATAAAGTCATGGAATACAGCTATTGGTGAAGCTGCTCTTCGAGTTCGTGGGGCAGTTGTATCGATGTCTTACCTTCTCAGCAGACTTGCCTACCGTGGTCTTCTGAGTAGGGTTCCTGAAGCTCAAATCAAGCAATTTATCGAGATGACTTTGGACATTGTTGATGTTTCTCGGGATAAACTTCTTCAGCGAACCGCAGAATCCTCTCTTGGTGAGCTCAGCTTAGCGGGTATTCTTTCGCTGCAGATACTTCCAGAGGATGGCTGGAAACAAGTCCATAAGAAGCTTTCCAGTGATGCGAAGTCTGAAAATGACATTTCCATCAGATCTCTGGGTCTGGTAACAGTAACATTCGCACGTATACAACCCGCTCCCTCGCTTTTCAACGAGTTCCTTGCTTCTTTGTACAGTCTCCATGAAATCCGAAGCCCGGAGGTGCAGTTCACAATCGGTGAGGCTTTGAGTAACGTCACAACCGGGTGGTCATCACAGGCTCTTATTGAAGAGTTCGATGTGGATGCAGAATTTCCCAAGTCAGATGTGCCCAGAACAGTGTTTGTTGAGATCTGTGACAAGATTATTGCCGACTGTGTGGCGTCCAAGCCATCTCTTCGGAAGGCTTCCGCCATTTGGCTGTTGTCTCTCGTCAAAAATTGCGGGCACCTGTCAGAGATGCAGGAACGGCTACGCAAGTGTCAAGCCACATTTACTAGTCTTCTTGGAAATCGAGATGAGGTCGTACAAGAAACGGGTGCTCATGGTCTTAGCTTGGTTTATGAGATCGGCGATCAATCTCTTAAGGATAATCTGGTTCGTGATCTGGTGGACTCGTTTACAGCGACTGGGCCCAATCTCGGTGGTGGCAATGTCTCTGCGGATACTCAGCTGTTTGAGCCTGGAGCACTCCCCACGGGTGAAGGGTCATCTGTCAACACTTACAAGGATATTATGAATCTGGCTGCCGAGGCGGGTGACCCCACGCTTGTGTACCGGTTCATGTCTATGGCGTCTAACAACGCCCTCTGGACGAACCGCGCCGCCTTTGGTCGGTTCGGAATCAGTAGCATCTTTTCGGACTCCAGTGTCAACGGTTACTTGTCTCAGAACCCTAAGATCTACCCTAAGCTCTTCCGATACCGCTTCGATCCCAATCCCAATGTACAACGGTCGATGAACAGCATTTGGCAGGCTCTCGTTAAGGATCCCACAGTCGTGATCGACACTCACTTCAACGCCATCATGGAGGACCTTCTGAAAAGCATGCTTCAGGGGCGTGAGTGGCGTGTTCGACAAGCAAGTTGTGCCGCTGTGGCGGATCTTATTCAAGGTCGCCGTCCCGAGAAATACGCCCAGTACCTAGATGAGATCTACGGCAAGGCTTTTAAGCTCCTGGATGACATCAAGGAGTCTGTGCGCGTCGCCGCTCTCAAGCTCTGCCAGACAATCACTAATTCCGTGATTCGCACTCTTGAACCGAGCGGCACAGAGAAGCGCGCGGGCACCCTACTTAACAGCGCTATTCCCTTTCTCCTCAGTGATACTGGATTAGATTCTAGTGTGGAAGAGGTTCGCGGGTATGCTATCGGTGCTCTTGTTCAGATTATCAAGAAAAGTTCCGGCACACTCATTCGCCCCTATGTCCCCAATATTCTGGAAAAGTTCCTTAGCTCCCTCAGCTCTCTTGAGCCTCAGGCAGTCAACTACGTCCACCTAAATGCGGACAAATACGGTCTCACCGGACAAGAGATCGACAAGATGCGTCTCTCGAGTATCCGAACCTCCCCAATGATGGAAGTGATTGAGCGGTACTTGATTGATCACCTGGACGAAACCAATCTCCCAGAACTAGCAACCAGACTGGAAGAGGTACTTCGCTCCGCGGTGGGTCTCCCATCTAAAGTGGGGTGCAGTCGAGTTCTAGTTCTACTCAGCATGAAGACGCTAGTGTTCCGACCCTATGCAGACCGATTCATTCAGGTGTTGTGTAAATACGTGGTGGATCGCAATGAGACTGTCAGCGCGTCATACTGCACATCACTTGGTTATCTTATGCGATTGGCATCCGATGAGCGGGTCCTGAAGACTATTGACTACGCCAAGAGACTCTATCTAGATGCGGAAGAGGCTACCACGCGAGCTGTGGCGGCCGAAATCCTGTACTCTTCGTCTAAACTCTCGAATGACCGCTTCATGGCGTTCGCCACAGCTGCACTCCCGTTCGTCTTTGTTTGTCAGTATGATGCGGACGAACATGTGAAAGAAGGATTCGAAAAGACGTGGCAGGATAATGTGGGTGGCTCGCGCGCCGTCGCCTTGTATATTCGGGAGATCGTCAGCCTTGTATCCGACAACCTGGAATCGGCGCGGTGGGCCATTAAACATACTGCGGCACGTGCCATTGCCCAGGCTGTGCTTGCTATGGAGTTAGAGATTGATCTCTCCACTGCACAATTGGTTTGGCCGGTTTTGGTTAAAGCATTAGCGGGGAAAACCTGGGAAGGGAAGGAGGTTGTGTTGAAAGCCCTGGTTAGATTTGCCCGTCAAGGTAAAGCGTTGTGGGCGGAGTCTCCGAAGGACAGTGAGCTGATGAAGGTATATTTTTTTTCTCCTTTTTCTCCATTTTTTTTATTTTATTTATTTATTTTTTTTTATTTTTTTTTATTTATTTTTTTTTTTTCGAACTGTCACTTCCTTGATTTTTGCTTGTTCCATATTCTCATACAAGGTTTTTGGGAAAAGAGAAGAGGCTAACAAAAGTGGGGATTTCCGTGGAGTCAGACCATCACCATCCGTGAAGCGAAGCGAGCAAACGCCGTGTACCGGCCGCATGGATTACGAGCATTGGGTGAGATTTCACAAGTTCGCAAGATCGATCTCATGCCCCAGGCATTAGAGATCGTGCCATCGGTAATTGAAGAAATGCAAGACGGGATGGAGATAGATTCCGGGAATGGGCCAGACTCCAACGACACCCTTGCAGCGAGTGTGCAGTGCCTCCTGCAATGTCTGAACCCCGCCACGGCCGGTTCGGGCGAAGGTCAGTTGCCCTACGGGAACCCCCTAGCGTCGGCCCAGCTAAGCCTAACCATAGTGTTGGGAGAATACGTACGACAGGTGATCGGTCCGTTGGACCAGGCCCTGACCCACGGCGGACGACAGGTTGTCAGCACGGTCTATCAGGAGCTCCATGCAATCTTTACCCGAGTGGATCGGTGGACTGCGCCCGGTGAAGAGGTTCTGGCGGGTCCGATGTGCGATCTCGCAACTTTACTCCTCCACGACCGGAACGCTGTTGAATTGGTCCGCAAGGGCCGTGCAGAAGCCATTTTGGCGTACCTGAAACTTCGTAAGTCGGTGCGTGGGGTGCCTAATACCTTAGAAGAAGTGTTGAAGGGATGGAGGGTGAGTGAGAGATCTGATGCGATCCAGCGCATTCTTGACGAGGCCCTGGCGTGTTTAGACTAGAGCATAGCATAGTATTTTGAGTGCTTCGGTTACCTATTTTGGAACTATTAGGTGACTACTAGTTCAAGTTTTTTAACTATACGATTCACTAGACTCAGAGTAGAAGCTGTATGTCTTAGAATAAAGAGTCACCTGCAAAAAAAAAAAAGTAGATGTTTGGGGGCCTATTCCCCCCAGAAAACCACGTGGTAGATCGACCGTGGATCCTGAATTTATTTTATTTTATTTTATTTTAATTATTTTATTTCTTATTTTTTCTTATTATTTTAGGGCGAAGGATTTTGATTAAAGTTCATGATTTGATGTATCCAGCTGAATGGGTCATTCCTAGGTTCACTTCTGGTGCATAACATTCGGGTTTGGGGAAGTGAACCTATGGTGCGAGTGGAGTAGATGAACCGGATTCGATCTTTGCTCCGGAGCCAGTCAGAATCTAGTAGTACAGTGCGATTGATTCGAGTTTTATTTTATTTTTATTTTTATTTTTATTTTTTTAGTTTTTTATTCATTTTTCATTGTTTTGTCTTCTGCAGCAAGCTAGTGAGAACGCCACTCGCTTAACCCTCGGGCATGTCCGTAGTCACTTTCAAGTTTAGCTTTTCCCTAGGTAGACTTACATAGAACCACCTGGGTAAGGAGACTAAGACTGAAATATCCGAACCCGAACGTTAGGAAAATCCGTTGGACGATCTTTTGCTCCTTGGGACCACTTTTCTCCAGTGTTTATATTTATTTTTATCTAAGTGATCGTCGTAGGATATGTGGACGACTACTCTACTATAGTATTGAGTATATCAATGATAGTATGAGATATAGAAGTAATAACATTTGAAGTTATTATATATGTATTAATTATAATAGAATAAAATATCTATCTGTGCCTGATATCCGTTTCAGCCCTTCAGGGCTGGAGTTCAATTCCGTTTTATTGAAACTCATCCGATACCGTACTCTGTACTCCATACTCCATACCCATACACACCCCCATACACCTGATTAGCGAAGGAGATATCCACGCCACCAGACCCTGATTGGCATAAGTACGCTAATTCTGTGTCTCCTGCACCTTACTCCTAGTTCAAAAAAGTTTCACTTTGGACTTTTCCTCTATGTAGAATTCCATGAGATTAACATTTTTTTTACTAGGGATTAAAGGGGCCATATGGAGTTCCCTGATTCAGTGATTCGGGACAGTTCCATAAGTACTGATTAAGCCGGGGGCTAGACCCATCTAGACCATTGGGTTTTGGTTCCAGCCGTAATTTTGGGTTTGTTTTTAGTCTGTTTTGTTTTTGCTTTGACTCTGTTATTTTGGTTATCTTGCTTTGTTTTCTTTGTTTTGTATCTGTTTTGGTCTTTTTCCTTGATTTTAGTCCCAAGGTTCTCTGATTGTTTAGCCTCATTCTTGTTCTACACTTATTCCTAGTTAAACTAGTAAACTAGTTAATTCTAGTTCTCTTTAGAGACTCTATAGGACTGGATCCTTTTCCCGTATTATCCCGTATCAAACTTGAACTTGAACTCTCTCTCTCCCGGACTCTCACTCGGATCCGAGTTAACACTTGGACAATGTTAACGTGTTCTCAGCCAGCCCTAGTTTTATAATTTCAAATACTTTTTCCCCCCTAAAAAAGACCCCTCGGATAGCTTATTCGGTACCTAGTCATCTACTACCAAATCCCGAATCCTTTCTTATGACTAGTTCCATTTTTTTTTATTTTTATATTTTACATTTTTTTTCCCACATGGTTGGCACCTGCATGCCATTAGTTTCTAGGATTTTACTACCTTTAGAATTGATTTTCGGTCTCGGTCTTTCTCTAAAACCCTTGCACTTTTTTTTCTCCCCCGGACGAACCGGATCGTGTTTTCTATTATTTTTTCTATTATTTTTTCATTAATTTTTTCCATTATTATTAATTTTTTTTTCTTTTCTTTTTTTTTGATCTTTTTTTATCTCTATCCCATTTTTTCCCGTCTTGTCCTATTTGGATCTGTACTGCTTCTCTAACCTCTCCGCCTCGCTTCTTCCCCCAATTCCTCCCAATTCCCCAATTCCTCCCTTCCCCCCTTCGGTACTTGAAGAGATTCCACAGGTTCCCACGCCACCCGCCAGCCAGATAGGAACAGGGCTGCGCCATCCAATGTTTTCGTGATGCAGCAACCCACTGGTTCTTCCTGCAGGTCTACCCTCTTCTTACTCGTGATGTGAACCTACATAACCCTTCATCCTCCCCCCAGTCTTTCTTCCCCCCCTTCCCCACACAACATCATTCCAGTTAAACCTCTACCTATATATCCCTGTGGTATCCCCTTGTGATATAACTCACTACCTCACCATTTGATATTCATCCTTCAATTGGGTTTTATTCTTTCCCCGCAATTCGGGACTGATTAACGTCTTTCATCCCAACTTGATCTCCACCCCCCTCAATTTACCTATAGGTGTGTTCGAATCTCGCCTGCTTATACATGTAACAGGTTACATCAGTATGACTTAAACTAGGTACTAACAAGCTTAAAGGGCCACCCAGTCAGCCTTATGACGGTCACAAGTCTGGTGATGCAAAACCGTCGAGGCCATGCCTCCAATAAACCTTTGCGACTTCCCATAATCGCCCCCAAGGAAGAGCTAGCGGGGAAACCTGAAAAGAGCCTGGTTGCACCCCCGCGCATTCGTTTGCCACCAAGGTCAAGAACTGGTTGCTGGTATGTTCAAGCTTTACTCCGATCTATTCCGTTACGGGATTAACATCCGGTACTTTTTAACACACGCTTACCATTATCCTTAGGACATGTCGAGTGAGTGATTTTTTTTGGGGGGAGCTTGCATCTCCCCATATTTCTTTGCAAAACAAAGAATTGAGCTAACGAGCTTTCGGTACCGTGCAGAGTCGAAAAGGTAAATAGCTCTCCAATTTCCTCAAGAATTGTGGCGAGACTAACATTCTTTAGTCAAATGTGATGAGGGACATCCACAATGCAATGTAGGGCATTCCTCGGCTTCAGGTGCCACAAACTCAAAACTCAACTAATTCGGATTCCAGCAATGTACTCGACTCGGCCATATTTGTGATTATCGGCCACGTCTAGCCTTTCGAGATGATACTCCAAGGATTATGGGCCGAATGGCCGATGTGAAGACTGAAGGGAACCATGTTTGGGATCGTAAGAAATCCCTTCTATCCACTGATCTGGAACAGGATTAATCCTTTTTTTAATGCATAGTCTCTTCTCCAACACCCAGCGAGGATAATCGGTCTGATTACTTTTCTCCGCGCGATTCCCTTCCGGCATTTGCCCTACTCACCTCTGATGAGGACCGCGAGAGAAAGGCCGAGGCGTCTAGTCCCGGAACATACCATGTGGTTGTAGTGCCGGACAGCTTCTCTGCACTACCAGAATACTCGGATGATATGGAAAAGCCCATGGTGACAAGTACCGAGGTATCAAATTCTGTCGCAAACAGCCCTATCAGTGGGTATAAACCGGTCAATCAGTCAAATGATCCCAATGTGGTCATTTTGAAGACTTTCGAGGATTCAACCCGACGTTCTCCTTCCTCCGGGAGACCATCCAGAATCTCTCCTACATCGGAGATCTCAGATCCTTTCTGCGCCTTATCTTTGTCCCCCATGTTTGATCCTCTTCCCTCTCCAGATCTCTTGGAAGAGGACAGGATATCATACTTGGACTCCTGTTTGGATCAGAAGACTCAGGATAACACCCTCTTCGCACATTTCCGTCATGTTGTCTGGAAGCAATTGTTCCCGCATAATCGGGAGCAGGATGACTCGTTTGGATATGAAAGCAGTGGCATGACTCTAAGTGTGGATTTTCTTGAGCGTGAAGCTGCTCACTTTCCTCCGGTGAGTAACCGAATCTATTGATTGCTAATTGGGTTCATTTACTAATGCATTGTTTTAGCTTGCTCATGCTATCATGGCGGTTTCGGCTCTCAGTCTCTCACATAGTGGGACTGGTCAGAATTTGGATGCTTTGCAGTACTATCAACAAGCCTTTCCTTCTCTCCAGACCAGTCTTCGTAATAACGATGATCTTGTCTCTGATGGCCTGTTTCTCACCCATTTCTTACTTCTGATCTATGAGGTAGGCTCTTCTACATAGTTTCATGTTTATTTGGTATCATATGCTCACTGTTAATAGGTTGCCGCTGCTGAACCTCACGGCTCAAATCTCTGGTCTCATCACATCTCTCGCTTACTTCACATCTCCTTTCTCCGTCGCACGCATTTCGGCTGCGAGCCACACCCATTCATTATCTGGTGGATCTGCCATATCGACCTCTACGCTTTGCTGAGTGGCGCAGGTAGTGGAGAGTTTATTCGCGCAGTATTGGATCACCAGATGCTTCCAGGATCCGAATGTCTTCTTTACCCTTCCGTCGCGGAGGGATTCAGCGTTATTTACGCCGATGAACACGACAGTTTACCTGTCATGATGCGTCTTTACGCTGATACGTTCAAACTAGCCGCTCAGCTGGGATTCCTGGCTGCACAGCTTCGTCGTGAAAAGCAATCTCTGCCTATCTCCGAATTTCATCCCCGCTCAAAAGAATTGTGTGATTTGCGTCAGGCTTTTGGTCAACTTTGGGAAGCTCCGGATGTTGCCTGGTGGCATCAGCACCAGGAGGGACTTCCTAGACGCTCCCAGGAGATCCTACAACAGGTGAGTACCCATTACATATGATTCATATAGATCCAGTACTAATCTTTTATCTAGTCCGCAACCTTATTCCACGTCTGTCATCTATTCTCATATAGTAGCATGTGGTCCGGCCAACGTCTGGAATCAGAATTCAGCCCAGATGGCGAGATAGATCACCACGCCTCTGAAATCCTACGCATAGCAGAGCAAAGCACAAATACGCACCGTGCTGATCGACATTTCCTCGTGTTCCCACTTTTCCTAGCAGGCGCCACTGCCTCAGCTAGTGGATTAAAGATGATGGCAATGGAGTTAATGACGGGCATGGAAGATGAAGAGGATGGAATGGGTAGGAATGCAGCTACTACGCGAGCTATCTTGCAGACGGTTTACGAACGACAACTTGAGCGCCTGATGCGTGTTGGGCATACGCTTGATGTTGAGTGGGCCGATTTGATGACCCAGGAGGGATTGCAAATGGTTAATTTTGGTTTTTGAGTTACTTAAGGGGCGTTTTTGTTGGGCATTGGTATGGCATGGTGGATTTGTATTTGATATCTATGGGATTTGTCGAGTTTTTTGCGTTCTCTTTGCATGATTGATGATCGATGTATAATGTCACTATATTTCTTCAAGTTTGGATTGATTTCTTATCATTGTAATGAATATACTATTTCATTGGAATATTGAATATTCTCTACCTAGGTATTCAAAATGTTACTGCCAGTGGTAGTATGTAACTTGAATTCCAAGGTTTGGATGTCAGATCTATACGGAGTACGAACTCGGAACTCGAGGTGGTAAGTTCATGTAGGTTCGTGCCACGATTCTCACCTGCATACGGCGTCTCGCCCAACTACGCGCCCAAGATTCTTCACCAATCAAGGTGGTTATTCAACTACTAGAACTAGAATTCACATTTATCTAATTTCCCTAATAGCCTATAGAATACTCAATCGTCTATTTCATTTTAACTTTTCATTTTTCATCTGTACCTGGCTCTAATCGTCAATGTCTCAGTTCAGAATCTAGTCCGACTTGAATCAGGAACCACCAAACTAGTTAATACAGTAATACAAGATCTTCGAGATAAGAAAAATTCTACTTTTTCATTTCTTCTCATTTATTCCAATTTTTAGAGAGAGAAAAATTCATTCATTACTCGTAAAGACACTAGTGGTATAAATTACCAATCAGTTGCAAATCCCGTCGGATCCCCACCAGGAACACATAACCCAATCCTCCAAAAATAATCCCGATGAGCATGGAAAAGTTCCCAGAGATGGTATCGCGCCGGGATTAAAGACCAGTCCCAGCGAGCATGAAGTGGAGTCTGTTTCTGACTCGAACTCCGTGAGGAACTCCATGTGGTTTCTGTTTCTTCCGATGTGGTTCCACACTTTTCCTGCTGAACGAATTCGGATCCTTCCGAACCGAATTGACCCACATCTCCTGATGAACAGGGTTTCTTTTCGTCCTTGCTGAGGCTGAACTGCGCCTCGCGTGATAGCCACGGGAGAACTTTCGGTTTTTCGGACCCGGAGATACATGAGGAGTCTTTATCTCCGGTGCAGAATTGGATATCTGATACACTCGGTGAAAGATCGGGTTTAGAGATGAATATTTCTCCAGCGTGTGGTGCATAGCCCCATTCTTGGAGTGGGAGGAGAGGAACGGGATCGTTGATATGTGTTACTCGTCGGAATGAGTGAGTATCATCCGGGCTGTGCTGCTCATCCAATTGGAAGTTCTCATTGAGGAATTTGCCAAATTCCTCATTTCCTATCATCGGCTCTCCGAATGTCGTCACGGTGGGTTCCATACCCTTTAACTTCATCTCTAGACCGGCTAGTGCGGCGACTGCTCCACCGAGAGAATGGCCCACGAGGGATATCGAGTAGTTCGGATATTTCAGCTTCGTTTCGGATAGTACAGGAAGTATTGTGGAGCGGGTATTTATCCAAGATTTAAGGAACCCAGCGTGGACGGTACAATTTTCACATTTTGTATGTGATTTAGTATTTCCTTCTGGTCCATCTTCTTCGCCTGTATATGGAACATAGGCTTGTGGAATTGCTGAAAGATCGATAATGGTATTGGTGATCGAGTATGTTCCACGAAATGCGAGGATGATGCGCTCCGCTCCAGCTTTATGAGAAACGGCGATGTATCCACATGAGTCGGACAATAGAATTCCTGTGTTCCATGTCTACGGATTATCAGGATCTGAATTGGTTTGCCTTTTTGTTTTTCTTGGTTAGCACTTACTGTGATTAATTCCATATCTGGAAATTCGGCACAGTGACTAAGGCACTGAAATGGTTCTTGCACCCCTGTTGTGCTAACGCAGTAGGCTATGTCGACCAGTCTGGATAGCTCCTCGAGTGAGCTGAATAGCTCTTTCGAGACCGTTCTTCCATTTTCGTGTGCTGTAACACCGAATCCTACTCCTATTATGTAGAGTAGTGCGAGGCCTGTACGGTAGAACATTGTTAAAGGTGAACTTGAGAGTTGGTCTCGTGAACTAGCAAGGTTTAAGTGAAATCCGGGGAAAGCTTGGCTTAAGTAATCGCGATCCCTGTCCACAGCCCTGTTCAGGTGGTGGGTGCAGATGACCTCAGGAATGTCAAATGACCAAATATGGACGCATGCAGATTTAGGTTTAAGATGAATGGTTTGCACTTCAATTGTATGGATTTGTTTATATACAATGAAGAACTGACTGATATAGTCGCTTCTCCTTACATAGGCTATCTATCAAATGTCTAGACAGTCCAGACCACAACACGACCATCAACGCCGCTCGCTAAAAATATGAACATTAGTATATTATGATACAGGTGAATGTTAAGGGAGACTTACTGCTGAAAGATCGCACCTGTCCGTCGGCCTCTTCAAACACGCGGACGGTGTTCACAGTGTTCTGGTGGGTCGACTTAAGCTTAGTATCCACCTGAGACTGACCCTTCAGATCCATCTGTCGGAACATGTTCAAAGCAGATTCCTCGCGAGGGCCGGAGCCATCACCGGTCTGCTTCTCCAGGGAACCGGCAAGCTGCCATCCACTCTCATCACCGTGGAAGCGGAAGGGCTCGCAATCCTATTGAAATCAGTAACCTTCCATACACCATAGATAGCTAGAAACTTACATGACCAGCGGCGATAATCTCATTCTCGCCATTCCAGATGAGACTGTTCAATGGCAGCAGGCGAGTGGAGATGTTCAGCATAGCACGGGGTGGCTGCTCGGGGGCACTGGGGTACACCACGGTGACACTGCTGTCATGGCCAGTGAAAGCAAGAGAATTACCACTGGGAGAAAACGCAACACCCTGGATCCAGCCAGCAGAGTCATTCAAGAATTCACCACAAATGGTGTTGAAGGGAAGACGCTCACCCCAGGCGCTAGGCTCAGGGCGGCTATCAATACCCTTAATGAAGCTGGAGAAAACACGAGCATGCGAGTCAGTGGAGCCTGCAGCGAGCAGGACCGAGTTCGGGTGCCATGCCAGAGTAGTAATGGTACTGCGGATGGGCTTCTTCAGGTGCTTGGAGATCCACCAGTCGTTCTCCTCCTCGAAGTAACAGACGGCGATCACGCGGGCTCCGGAGCCGACAGCGAACTTCTGCTCAGAGGGAGACCAGCGGACAAATGTTGCGGCACGGTTGATTCGGAGGAGGACAAGGGTGGGCTTCCAGCCAGTGGGGGTCTGCTCCCAAACATAGGCATTACGGTCTGTAAACAATATCTCATTAATAAACAGTAAAACAATGATATAAGAAAAATTTGACTGACCCTGAGAGCAAGTGACAATGCGACCGCTGTTCGGAGCAATATCAACACTGGTGACAGTCTTCTCGTGGCCCTTGAGTTCATCGCTCAGCGAGAACTTGTTGCCTGATGATTGGTACAGCTCCACATTGTTCTCACGGGCAACAGCAAGGGTTTGCTTATCCGAAGAAAAGGAGTGATCAGCAATTGGAGCATGGAAAAGGTGGTGAACTTGAGGAGTGGCCATGGCGATGAATACGACAGGAGGAGCTCTCTACCGTCGATGATGAAGGTAATGAGTAGAATGGGGGTAAACGTAACCAGAGCCGCTCCGGGGATGACGCCGCGGGGATAGTATTATGTCAGACATCACATGACTTACCCAGCATTGCTCTTTTCTCTCAATTTGGAGATCCACTTATCGATCAACTGGCCCATTATTCCTCTTTCGAGCTTCCATTTCACCTTCAGTGCAGCTCTCGCTTTGTACTCCCATGCAAAGAAGGAAAGCTGACTGTACACTCCTCCGATAATCCCACAAAATGACTTCTCAAGTCGCGTCCCGAGGTGTTGATGCCAAGGCAGTTGGAGCTCCCAATCAGACGTGCGCTCGCCCTTTTAATGACCATTGTGACAGTTCAAAGCTAACCATACTACTAGACTCTACTGCACCAATCTCCCAGATAAGCTCCGCAAGTATGATCTGCGATTGTCACTCTACACCCTGTTCTCCACCTACGGTACCGTGCTGGATGTCGTGGCCATGAAGACCAGCAAGATGCGCGGACAGGCCCATATCGTGTTTAAGGATGTTCAGGCCAGCACTCAGGCCTTGCGCGCTCTGCAAGGATTCGAGTTCTTTGGCAAGCAGATGGTACGTTGCACTTGTTTCTGAATCTTCTCAAAAACATTCCGCTCACGACGAATTAGAAAATCGTATATGGCAAGGGAACCTCCGATGTTATTGGTCGTCTTCGTGGTACATACAATGCGCCCGCCACCGGCGCCGGGGAGAGCGGAGTTTCCACTGATCTTCAAAAATCAATCTTCAGTGGTCCTCCGGGCACAGTTCCCGCACGGCCGACCGAAGCGAACGGAGAGTCGCACGGTACCAAGCGACCTCGTGAGGAGGAGAGCGATGAGGGAGAAGCTCCGATGGAGGAAGACAGTGATGTATCCATGGATGCCTCATCTGATGAAGATTGATAAGACTAAAACAAGGAGTTGTTCTGGGATGGACCCCCAAAGGATTAATTTTTGTTCATTCATTTTTCATTTTTCAATGTTTTTTTTTCTTCTAAAGGGTCGTTGGATAGGGCAGGTCCCGAGGCGACCAGTTCCCGTGGGATGTGCAGGTTCACACAATGACCCACGAGACCGAGCCAGATGAGAAGATACGTCCCCGGGGTGATGCTCTGAGCGTCTGCCACCTGAGCCATGGCGTCGGCAGTGTTGCACGGGTGAACGAAAAAGGCCGGAGTGCCCGAATCTGGATGATACTACGAAAGACATGAGCTTTTTCTGGGCTAATGCGAAAACTGAAAAAAAATCAAACACATGAACCAAGAGAAACCTTACGCCTAAGCTGATCCCACCCATCACACCCACACTTTTGACCTGTGATTGATATTGCTCTGGGACGAGATATTGATAGACGGCATCTAGCCCTATTGGGCCATTTTGATGAAGCCACCGCAGAGCAAAGTATAAAACGGGGACTTGGTATGTGGGAGATAGCACAATATCATAATCTACCTGTAATCGGGGTTTAAGATTGGATCGAATCAGTTCCTCCTGTGTGCTCTTGGTTAGAAAAAGAACGTAGAAAAAGCCACAATCTGAGCACTTGTCATATGGTTTCCCTACAGGGAACCAGGATGGGAGAAATAGGTAAAGGGGAATGGGCATTGCCGACCGGATCCTCGTCCTCCTGTGTCATGTAAGCTTCATGTCGATCGAGGTGAATGGGGTCGGTGAGGACATCCATGTATCGCGTTATTCGGAGGCTGGGACATGTCTAGTAGAACCCATAATATGGCAGGTCTATGTCAGATTCAACCCAAAAAAAAGTATAAAAAATGAAAATAAAATAAAATCGAACAGATTCCAGAAAAGCTCGTGATGGACCTAAGAAGAAGATGCATGAACCAGGCAAGGGAGATGGCCTACCTGTGTGACGGATCGAATTGACCAACCCCCGGGTGTTTGGGCTGAAGTGCAGCGATCGACCAGATCTTGACATGCACTGTTGAACTCGGCCGGTGCTAGGAAAGGAAAGGTGGACAATGCCATTCTCCACTTTGCTTTCGTGTCAACCACGCCGAATGCAGGTTTTGGTGAGAATGCTGCCAGTCTGTGGGGAAGAGGGGAAATTGTAAACGTTCCAGACCAAGGAAATACAGGATTTCATAAGGAATGTACGAAGTACTGATTCCCCTGTCATTCAACTGTCACCTGTCAGACAATATGAATAGATGTGTATAGTTTCCCCTTTTTTCTAATTTGGTTTTTTTGGAATAAGCAATCCAGGATGATCAGGTGGCTTGATATCTATTGAGTAGGGGCTGAAGACGGAGGGAAGGGGAGGTGTGGTAAGTATGTTTTCCCCCCCTTGTGGGTCGATTGAGGAGGAGAAGAAGTATAAGGTACTTGTATATTATATGTAATGTACTATTGATGACTAAGTACCTTATACTTCATCCACTACCACCCTGGGACCACTGCTTGCGGCTAAGGCTGAACCAATCATTCTCTCACACTATACAGACTAAATGAACAAAGTACGATGTACATCAAATAGTAAAAAATACTATTAAATATTATTTCATGCTTCTGACTAGTCTTTTTCCGCTTGCAGTTTTCGGTAATTCTTGAATGCTTTCGGTCTTGTTTTCTTTTTTTTGCTATTTTGCTATGCTTTATTAGTATTCAATTCCCCCTTCTCCACCTTAAGTTCTTACTCTTTACAAACTGTTTGGGAGGGTTCAATCCTGTTTCAACAGAACCAATTTTGATTTATTTTTTATTGTTATTGGATTTTTGGCCCCCCAGATTTGATACAATTCCCTTCGCTGGTTCGACTGGGTAGGATCTACTCAAGTAGGCGACTACTAAAGCAACGAAAAACACGAAGCAAACACGAAGCAAACACGAGACATCAGGAGAACCACAAGATAACCACACATCACGGAGAAAAGGGAGAAAGAAAAAGCTGCAAAGAATTCCAATCATTAATTGCAGAAAAAAAGAAGAGAGCTTCTTTCCCCCGCTTCTCTGAGGAATTTGACGTAACCTGCTCTCTTAACTCTTTGTCCCTCCCGGGCCAACCGATCCCCGTGAGCTCATCCAATCTGAAACATCCTTCTACTCCCATCATCTCCGCGCGGAATCCCTTCAGCCGCCAATCGCACGCTCAATTCCAAACAGAACGGGTGTACAAGCCTGGGGCTCGGATCGATCCCCAGCAATCAGAGCGTGGCTTGACGTCACTTTGGGGGTCCTCCCCATCTATACCTAGCTCATCCATTATACTTCCTCTCCCCCTCTGTGGGTTGTTTTATATTATATTGGGTATCCCCCATGCTGCACTGGTTCAGCTAGTGCTTAAGTGCGGGGAAGAGTACACAATAATACCCAAAGATTATACTCCCTCTACTGCCCCTTGGCCCAACACAAAGGAAGAGCCATCACAAAGAACGTTATGGGTAACCTTCAATCGACCCAGACGAAGGAGGAGACAAGACGCTCCAACCGACTATCCAAGCCATTAACTAAGAAGCTTGCCCTTAGCTCTCCGCAAATTTCGCGCGAGGAGTATGAAGAATCGGAGCTCACATCCGGGTTAATTGGGTGGGAAAACCCCTGGGTGGGTTCAAAGATCTCAGAGTTGAAGCGGTTTCCAAGCACCAAAGCCAGAGAGATTTCGATTCCATTCAGATCAAAATCAAAGAAAACGAAACATGATTCAGCTGCGACAGATCCTCTACCGCTCACCAGCTCTCTTGCATCCAGTGTTCCAGTTAAAAGAGCCAGCCAGCCCGTGGTATCGACAACCCCTCAACTGTCAGCCGCGCATCATCCAAGACGAGCGAATTCAGTTCAACTTGGTCTCCAAAGAAGTGAGAGTGTTATATATGAGAATCCCATGGAAGATGCCGCCTCGTCCAATACCCATTTCTTAGTGGGTAACCAGCGTTTCTCGCTCACCCGCCGACGGTCTCTGTTGACTCGTCCTGGAGTGGCTACCCGACGGACTACTGGTGCGATTCGACGTGTCCCATCTCCAATTGGAGAGCCTGAAATGAATGATTCTGAATCCACCATGTTGAACTGGTCCCTCCCGCCTCGTCAGAGACCACCGCTGGGTCTGACTCTCCCCCACAGACCCACCAGCCCCGCAGATGCGCAGTATACCCAGTTAGGCGCCTTGAAATTGGGTTCTTTGCGTGTGGTGAATGGTTCTGCATCTCCGTGTCCCAGTGAGCGTATTCCCCTGGATCGATCTACAGTCGGCAAGGGCCTGGGCCTGGAGAATGTTAAGACAATGTGTCCAAAGACAACTGTGCAAATTCCTGTTGTATCTGATATCAAGAAATCGGATGATCTCCCAGCAAGTCCATTCTCATTTGAGAAATCGCCAATCATTTCTGTGCCATCAAGAGGAAAGGCTGTTTTCACCACAGAACCTGAGGAGAACAAGATGATCATCGTGGAGGATGTCACGCAACTGGAAAAGAGTGCCGCCGAAGTGGTTCTGGACAAGGCTACTGCCTCTCGATCTCTCAGCAAGTCGGATAGCGGATACAGCTCCGCCACTTCCCTCCGCTCCATTCACCGAAGTCGGACAAGAAACTCTGTTGACTCTCAATTGTCGATATCCCAAGTCACAGAGGACAAATTCCACCGCCATCTCAGTCTTCAGGAAGAGATGAAGCCAGGAAACTACTCTCGACCAAATCCAACTTCTACACGCTGGTATGATGGAAATGGACCCAATACGCAAAGACGACTTGGAATTCGCCGATCTACGCTATGCGCCCCACGCTACTCGGAATACCCAACTCAGAACGATCTTGTACCGGCCACCACGGAATACCCATTCATCTACCAGAAAGAGGAAACCATTTCCAGCAGAGGCCCTCTTTACGCGGATCGTTGCTCTACATACAGCTCGAGCTCATCAACTACCATGGAACGAATTACCAGCTCAAGCCAAAGCAGCAGCAAGACCCGATCCCAAGTGCGCCGATCTTCCTCGGAGCATTACTTTAATCGAGCCGAAAAACTTGATTCTGCACCTTCCTCTCGCTCCCGAAGTCGAACCAGTGGTCGTAACTGGAGTCAAAGACCTGGTATTGAAGCACCTCCTTTACCCACAATCTTGTCTCCTGGTCATGCACCCGCTGCATTTGAGGATGCAGAGGAGGAATATCCCCTTTCACATTGCCGGGGTCGTCCCCGCAGTCGGAGTCAAGATTACCGTCGTAAACTGACCAAGACGCATCACCAGCCTAATCTTCATATGACAGCGTCTACTTTTGCTCTTCGTTGACCTTGAAAGCACACGATGGCGTATTTTTCGTTTTTTTGTCTTGCTCATTTTGGGTTTCGTATGATGCATTCTGTCTTTTCTCTTTTTTTTTGTTTATTCTCTTTCGGGTTTATGAAAAGTTTGGCGTTAGCGTTGGTCTGCTCTTGCTGATATTACCCTCTTTTGGAGTCTTTGGAACATTGATTTGGAATGGGTATACCCTCGTTTGATTGTGATTGTTTAGTTGTTTGTTTGATTTCATTACAGGCGTTATACACGAGTGTTAGGAGATATCTATGTTTGATCTGAGTATTGATGATCCTAATGAAGAATGAAATGGAAGTTTATTCGATATTTCTGCAGCTTTTACAGTAGTTCCATTTTACCATGTATGATTCATGGACAAGCCCATTGTCTGGTACAAGCCCATTGTCTGTGCCAGCTTGAGTCCGGGTCTTCACCGCGTGCAGAGCTTCATGAAGTTCCCGAAGCTTCCGCTCTTCATGTAAGGAGGTAGATATATGAGATCGACAATGTTTTATCTATCACATTGATAGAACTTGATGGAAGCGAGATCAGAGAAAACATTGATTCCAGAATCTTATATCATCGTATTTTGATGTTGTTAAACTTTGTTTATAGCCGTATCCTGGACAACAGGCATCCATATTCCGCTATTGGCGCTTAGTGTTAGGATAGGTAATAGTCCGAATTCAATCCTTCAATATCAAGCAGAGCTAAAATGATCAGCATAATCACTGGAACCTTGAATTGAATAGCTACAGCATAATGATGCCATGTACCATGGATGATCACATATCTACCCAACTTGAAGTATGCCCAGGTACTCGCCAGGCACGGTGAATAACTCATTCGTGTTCTTGACTGACCGCTTCAAGACTGCAAGCACGAAGTATAATCTGCAGAGTTCAAGATTCAAGATTCATGCAAGCGCTTTGATCTCGAACACGGCTGGGAACCATTCACCGTGTCCAGTGTTGGTTCTTCCAAGTTTTGTCTCGTTTCAGGATTCGCTTTGCGTTGCATGCAATACACGTGCATCTTATCGAGTTGGCGGGATCAGGAGTTCATGCGTTGGGAGTTCGTGCGACTCACTGCTTGATGCACCCGTGTTGTCCCTGTGACGTGTTATAGATGTAGATCTGGGTGGCCTCAGGTGGCTAGATCTATGATATAGATCAGAGAAAATTTTTCGGTTGCCAGGGTTGTTGTGAAGAGGACACCGATGGCCTATACGAGAGATGCATCATGCAATAATGGCGTGAGACTAGGGACTGAAGTTAGAGATTTGACTATCGGGTCTCGACTTCTCAGTCATATGAGCAGAAATTTGGTTTCTCGTGCAGAGTCCATTGAGTTCTTGATTTAATAGGTTACTAAAGCGGAGGAAAGAGAGAAAAAAAATCCATATTCGACATTAGTTTGTCTGGGCACCATATCCCTTAATTCTCTCGGCAAATGCCCAGCTCTGTCCCTCGATCTGCTCATCCTCCTTCAGGTCAATTCCATCCTGAGTAATGACTGCTATGGAGTATTTGTCCAGACTGCGAGCATCACGGTAGAAGAGAACCTTCAAGCAGTCCTTCAACGCCGATACAGCCTGCTCACGACTGATCTCTTCGATGGGTGTCTCCTCAGGGAAGAGTCGTCGCAAGATAGGAACAGCAAGGTGAGCACCGAATCCAGTAGCCAGGTGTGGTGCGGAAAAGGTTGTACCAAGCAAATCTGCTGAGCTGAGGAACGGCTTGCCCTCACCGTCGAACCCGGCTACGAGAACATGGTTCCACAGTGGGTTGAACTCCGAACGACGCTTATAGAATACCTTGGCGAGGTAGGTGTGCAGGTTCTTCGCGTTGAGCATGTTGCCGTTGCTGGAGTAGTTTTCTCGGATATCGATCGATTCAAGAAGACGGTCGATGTATTGCATGTCGGATACGTCGCCGCCGAATCCGACTACGGCCTTGTCTCCGAATACGCGGAGACGCTTCACATCGGTGAACCGAGCCAGGGATCCGTAAGATGCTAATTCACACAGAGGTTAGAAATTTTGATTCGAGTACGCTTTGATGAGACGGTTCTGTAATAAGTACCCAAGTTGTCGGTCGCCAGAACCACACCACCGTTAAACTTCACTCCAATGACTGAGGTTCCAGTCACGGCTGGAGATGAGGTATGTGTCTTGGGACCGGTGGTCTGGAGGTATTGGGGGTTGTAGGCGCCGTAGACATCGTTTCTGGGCTACAAGATGCTGTTAGTGATGAAGTGCCTGGGTTGGGGCGTTGGTAGTACTCACGCGACCCCAGGTGCCAGGGAAGTGATCCATTATCAATCGAGTTGGCCAAAGAGATGCAGGTAAGTATTTGATGGTGAGAGCAAGCAATGTAATGAAGAAGAGATGAAGAGTGTATAGCGTAGGGATTGAACGATGACGATACACGGAGCTTAGGCAGGCGAAGCTGACGGAGCTCTGGATGACTAAGCGGCGAATGGGCCGTCGCGGAGTAGTTATAACTACGATAGTCCTGAATATTCGACTTGTTATTTTGATGGAAAAAAAAGAATATTTAGACTTGAAATAGATTTTTCGGTTTACTTGAGCTATTACAAGGTCAAATTGTTAGGAAGCAGGATCGATCGTCTTCAAGTTACTACTCTGTAGGTACTGTTCTGAACCCGACTCGGAGCCTCTAGTTCATTAAACAAAGAAGTAGTCAACTTGATAGGTCTTCGTCAATTTAAAGATAGATTTTTACTAATGAAGTTTCTCTTTCATTTCTGAGCCACTGGCAACCTTTTTGAGTCACTTCAAGTTCTGTTTACTAGACATGGCATATTGAGCTCACTCTGCCAAATGTAACAAACAGCACTGGCGCCTGGGCTACCTACAAACCCATCATAATTAGTACATGTCTCTATAAAAATCTCAAGCACAGTAGTTGTCTGTCAACAAAAAATTTAGTATTTCAGGTTTGAATCTTCTGGTGCTAGAACTTGAAAGAATTCAAAAATGTTTGGTCGGGTTATGCCTACTAGTAGTACAGTCAACTCTCACCTATATTGCACCTCCCGCCTATTGCACATGATTTTCCTTGGATAGGAGGGTGTGCTATAAGTGAGAGTTGACTGTACTGATGTAGTGCTTTGGTCCCATCATATACATCTTCAGCTAAGTACTACCAGCAAACCTACTATGAATGGAGTGGAACATCTTGCAATATTCGAGTAAGACTATCCACTGGCATGTACAATCTCATCCGGATGTCCAGCTAATCTACTGTTTCATAATTTAATTTTAGCTTATATTAAACTACTCTGTACCAACATTTGAATGTATTAAGCTCGCGCCGTTGACCCAATTTGGCGTATCGTATTCGCTTGGTGGAGTAATCGAAGCACGTTGGTTAATCTGATTGGTTGACCCGCAATGAAGTATGCTCAGCCTTTGAACCTCGTATCCGTGGTATCATGATCATCTTGGTCGATCAAGGTCTTATAAATACTAGCATGACTCCTGGCATTCATTTCCAGAACATCCTCAACTTTTGTTCACAAACATGGCATCCCAGTTGACACAGTCTGACTCCATCGAGTCCGCCCATCTCGAACTCGAACTAGACGACCAAGCTTCCCGTGTCTATGTGATCTACCGGAGACCCTTTCGTCGACACTACGAGGTCAAATCGGTAGCTGATCAACTACTTTATTATGGGGAACTCTCCTCCTTTAGGCGTAGAAAGCCTGATCTCACTTTGCACCGAGGAGCAAGCGTTAATGCTCCCGTGGTAGCAGCTAGCAAAATCAACATGTCCGGTCACTTCAACTTGGCTCTGGGAGATCCGGATGATCTGAACAATGTTCAGTGGGAAGATATGACCCGGTTTTCTTGGGCACACCAACAATATCGCTTTGAAATGAACATGTCGAGTTCAAATGACTTGACTTACAACACGGAACGACGCAGTTTCATATGGAAACGCACACGCTCGGTGGGAATTGACGACTCAAGCCCATCGTGGAGCTCTCGGAATTACAAGCTTATGGATGAAAAGGCAGGAGAGCTGGTGGCTGTCTTCACTAACAAAAGATCCATTGGCCAATGTGGGAGATTGCAGATTAAGGAAGAAGATGGGGAGTGGTTTGACACGATGATTCTGCTTTCATATATGAGTATCTATGAGAAGTTCGATCGCAGGAATAGGCAGAGGGCTGCTGCTGCCGGTGGAGGAGGGGCATGAGATTATCATCATTCGTTGTGTGTTCTGCACTATGTACAATAGTTGTTTGCTGTTTTCCAAACTTGCTATTTCTTGTTCTCTCGATAAATACCCGTTGTCTGTGTGAATGATCAACTAGCAAGTCTATAATGAATGCTGTTTCTCGCTGAAACGGGTTCTCAGATATCACTCAAGTTGAGACTAGACGTGAGGGAGATTGGCCCATTGGTAAAGAGCCAACACAGTGTTGTATTTCCCAGGCCCGAAATTGTTGGAGGCGACGGCTGTCTTTCTTTCGTCTGTGTATGTTCATTCACATACAAGAATGTCTGTGAACTGAGCTAATGGTTGTATTAAGCTCAGGTGAATTAATGAAATCATGGGTTGCCCTTTCTTTTAGCGTCAGAGCCCGAGACAAATTCAACAGAAGATCTCTGTCCAACCTGCTCGCCCATCTTTCGCTTATATCTCTGCTGAGACCGGAAAAGTTCTTCCTTGACTGCCCAAGATGGCAGGTCAGAGGTAGTCCACACATCTGGCGGTAGAGAAGTATCATATTGAGACTGCTCATCAATCCCCGCGTGCGCCATCATTTTCATCAGAAGGCTTGGATTCTTCAGCGAGGACGAGCTAGCAAGTTTTGTATTGAAGTGAACGCCTTGTTTCTTGAGAGAGAGGAAGTGTTCAAACTTGGCGTTGGCAGCTGGGTCTGGGGATCCTGGTGGAGATGGTGGAATGTCCAGGTTGGGCACAGGTGGAAGAGTCATGTCCTGGATCAATGCTCGCGATGATGAAAATGGTGAAGTACGGCCGCCTGTGGACGGTTCTTCTGGAGAAGCGGCTGTGTGCATAGATGACGGGCCGAGTACTGGACCACTCGGGGCTTCTAGGGGGGGCTGTGATTGGATTCTGTTGGGCGGGGGCTGGAACTTGATCTGAATCTGGAGAGTAATATAGTGTTAGCCAGTCAACTTCGCTCAATCCGGTTATGAGGTGCTTATCACCTTTATCCTGGCTCACTTGCGAGTCTTCCACGACATGCGCTTTGGGGAGCTGATTAAGAGTTAGCTCAAATACCTAAGGATTGTTTGAATTCTATTCATACCTGTGTTGGCTTTGGTGCCTTGACCTCTACCTCCTCCTCGCTGCTACTATCGTATGCAGCAAGTCCTAGCATGATGACCGTAGAGCTCGGTTTTCTGAGTGGGGTTTCGCAACAAACGCTCGATTAGAGTCTTAGCAGGAGAAAATTGAATAAATGACAGTCACTTCGTAGGAATTTCTGTAATATGAATTCAGACTCCGTAGTTGAAGTTTGAAATTCCTATTTGATGCCCATGCTGAACCCCGGAGCTGGCGGTTACATAAGCGAGGCAGCTACAGCATCGCGTCAGACATGGGAGAACATCGATCGGCATTTCCTCCAACAATCCAACCCTCACCTCCTCCTCAATTTTTGTCCTCTTTTCTAGATCCATCATATCAGAGAATCATCTCCCAATCAAAGCTTTCATTTTCATAACTCTTCTCAATCACAAGATGACGTCGATCACGGGTCACCCAGCTGGTGGTGAGGGCATCGGCTACTCCTTCTCCCAGCCAACAGCTGCCCCCGTCAAGCAGCATGGCTTTTACCCGTGAGATATGCCTTTGATTCATCAATACTAAAAGGACGAAAGCTTACCGATATATTAGATACACCGACAACGGCGGTTCCACCCTAGGCATCACAGGTTCTGATTTCGCAATCCTGGCCGGCGACACCCGTTCTACATCCGGTTACAATATCAACTCTCGAATGGTCCCCAAGGTCTTTAAGATCGGCGGTGATGATGAGACTGGCGAGGGTGCTCAGATTGTCCTCTCTGTCGTTGGTTTTGCGGCAGACGGCGACGCCTTGAAGGAACGATTGGACGCCGTGGTGAAGATGTACAAGTACCAACATGGAAAGCCCATGTCTGTCTCAGCCTGTGCACAGCGACTCTCAACAATCCTATATGGGAAGCGTTTCTTCCCTTACTACGTTCACGCAATCTTGGCTGGCCTGGACGAGGAAGGCAAGGGTGCTTTGTACAGCTATGATCCCGTGGGCTCATACGAGCGGGAGCAATGCCGTGCTGCTGGTGCCGCAGCTAGTCTGATCATGCCTTTCCTTGATAACCAGGTCAACTTCAAGAATCAATACATCCCCGGCAGTGGCGAGGGTCACGCACTGGAGGCCAAGAAGGCTGAGCCCTTGCCTCAAGCCCATGTTGAGCAGCTGGTACGAGATGCATTTACAAGTGCAGTCGAGCGGCATATTGAGGTCGGTGATAATCTGCAAATGATGATCATCACTCGGGAAGGAATTAAGGAAGTCTTCCACCCATTGAAGAAGGATTAGACTAGTCTTTCATTTGTCATGTCCATGATAGCTTTTTCTAATATGAGAATATGGAGTTCTTTTTAAACATTCTTTTTTTTTGTTTAAATGTACTTGAATTTACATAAGAATAAGATCATCAGACATTTTCCTTAAATGAAGCTATACAAAGCTTTTATGTGTCGTCACTCGGATATAGTATCTTTTTATGAAGCCCACACTTTAAAATGCACCGGAACGCCAATACAATGCCATGGGGGAAATTGAAACGGGAGAGAAATCAGAACCGCTCCTTCATACGCGAAGCGACTGTGCGGAGGTTTCCATAAACCTTGCCCTGTGAGTGGGTTAGTAAAAAGTTGACGATTGCCCAGAGCGTATAAAAAAGACTTACCGGAGGGCTACCCAGAATCAGGCTAACAATAGCCTCTCGGGCAATGTGGATGTTCTTGAATCCACCCAGAATGTGAATCTTCGAGTCCGCGAGAACAACTCGAGTACGACTAGCATTCTCGATAGCGAACTTGGTCTTTCCGTCCTTTCCTGCAATACGACCAATAGCACGACCCATATGCTCTCCATTCAATGTCTTAACATCCTTGATCTCAAAGGTCTCCATGTACAGGTCATCCAGTCGCAGAAGAGCGATCGCATCATCGATATCGAAGCCAAGCGTGAAGGCCTTGATGAAATCAGCACCCTTCTGGAGCGCACCAACATCGGTAGTAAATTTGGAGGTTCGCAACTCGACGGATCGGGTCTTAACGTTCATGCGCACTTGCAGTCGCAGGTGCTCGACGATAGGAGGGCAAATCTTGGTCCAGTTCGCCTTGAGCGGTGTCATGCGGTGGGGTGGGACGGGGACCTTTCGGTTTTCGATACGGTATGCAGCGCTGGTCTCCTTAGCGGGAGTGAAGACTGGACGACCCTCTTCGTCGATGCGCATCTCATTGTCTTCGGGTGAAACATCCACAGGGTTTGAGGCATCTGGGACAGCCTGAGCATCGATCAAGATTTCATCATCCTGGTCTTATCGAAAAGTTAGCGCTCACCCATATCGAAAATAAAATAAAAACGAGGTTCAAATTATCCAATAGGATTTTCTACTCACCAGGAATCTGAGCGGACTGGAGTCCGGTGTTTTCCAAGGGCTGACGCAGGGCAGTTGGGGCGGCCATGATGACTGTGTGATTTATTAAGGAAGGAAAAAAGAGCCTTGAAGCTGTTATCGCAAGAAATTATCGCCGCCCCTCTCCACCAAAGAAGTTGTGGGCCAATTTTTTTTTTCGGGTGCAAACAGAGCAAACATTCACGGATGATTTCATCTTTCCGGTTTCCAGTTTCTTAAAGTTCCCAGGAGCTTATGAGTCTTCAACCCTCAGACTTCCTCTTTTTTTTTAGTGCTTTTCTTATCCTGCGCAGGATGTAAAGTCAGGCATGTCCGCTAACTTCGGACGTCGGCTTTACGCCCATTTATGGGAATCAGCCCATCCATTTTTTGGCCGTGTACGACCAAACCGCGTTTCGGTCTTCGACGCCTCCTCGAGGAAGGTTTTCGACTTCGGTGCCACTCCACGGCGATTATCAACATCACCAGGAAAAGGATCTACTCCATTGACAAGACGATTTGCTTCCGGTGGCTTTCTTGTCCTCGTTTCTCCTACTTCTCCTGCAGCAGAAGCTACTGCAGCATGCATCATACCTTCTACAATATCGGCTCAACATCTATGGAAGCGAGCTATTCACACAACCAAGAATGACCAAGTCAACGGAGGCGCTTCCAATAATGCCAAGCCCTCGAAGGGCGACGATAATGTGCAATCTGTCGAACAAAATCCTTCTCCGAAATCCCACCCAGAAAGTTTGCATTCTGCGAAACCCTCCAACCGACATCTAATGGACCGTTTACCTCATATGCCCCATTTACATCGACCCACCAAAGAAGAGCTTCTAGCAGCCGCTACAGGATTCTGGTCCCGGCTTAAAGTGCGCTTCAAGTGGTTTTCAATCCGAAGCGTTCGGCCCTTTAATCTGGATGAAATAGCGGCTTTATTCTCTTGGGTTTTACTGGGCCATGTTGTTTGGGTCGTGCTGGGAACAACAACCTTCTTCTCCCTTTTAATTCTGGCCATCAACACGGTCTTTGCGCAAGAAACACTGGCCGGATGGGTCGGTAACTACCTTACCAAATCCTCCGGCGTTCAGGTCGTCTTCGAGTCTGCCATTGTTCCCAAATGGAAGAATGGTGTGATTACTTTCAAGAACGTCTTTGTGTCAAGGAGGCCTGGTCAAGGCACAGGTCATGTCAGTAAAGGCTCTTCGAAAACTGCCGCTGCTGCCGCCGCTGCCGCAGCCCGTGGTGGTACTGCATCTGAGGACGCACTGCTTGCATCTGAAGAAGAAGACACCAACTACACCCAATTTGATGTTTCTATTGAGACTGTCAACGTGACATTGTCATTCACTAAGTGGCTCAACGGTAAAGGCCCGTTGCGCGATGTGGAGGTCAAAGGAATCCGCGGTGTCATCGATCGTCGCCATGTCTTCTGGCCAGACGAAATTCTAGATCCGCATTCGTACCGACATGAGCATCACCCTGGTGACTTCGAAATTGATTCGTTCAAGATGCATGATGTGCTGGTGACACTCTACCAACCCGACAACTTTAGACCCTTTTCGATCAGTATCTTCTCTTGCGATCTTCCTAAACTCCGAAAACAGTGGCTATTCTATGACTTCATGTCCGCTAATATGATGTCGGGCTCTTATGATAATTCACTTTTCACCATTCACCCGCGTCAGACAAATGGCTTCACGGGAGGCCGATGGGAGAGTGGAATGGAGGAAGATGGGAAGACCACTCCATGGGAAAAGCATAGCCGAATTCGGGTCGATGGACTCAATATTGATCATCTGAACCGGGGCGTGGAGGGCCCATTTTCATGGATTCATGAAGGAACCGTGGATATTGTGGCCGATATCATGTTTCCTGCTGAGAATGACGAGAGTCTGGCCAAGGTGATGGCTGACTTTTATGATCGACTCGAGGCTACCGTGACCTCCAACCAATTTTCTGAAACCGTGTCCCGACAAAGTGATATTCACCCAGAAACCATTTCTGATAATACCGATAAGCGATTCTTGATGATGGACTTGCGAGTTCATATGAACAACGTGCGGGCTGCAGTCCCTATTTTTACACGAGATCTCTCTTACATCAACAATGCCCTCATCCGCCCCATTGTCGCCTATATCAATTCGAAACGCACTTTCATCCCCATCAACTGCCGCCTCGTCAAACGCGTGCCTGACTTTGATGGTAGTTGGACTATCTACGACAGTGGATTGATGGATGATCTATCAGCTGCTGTAAGTTCCATCTTCTGCTTTCATATTCGAGACTTCTACTGACATATCCTCTAGACTTACGATGCCTTTGCTCGAGATGTCGTGGATGACCAAGCACGCATGCGACGATTCAAAAAAGTTGGATTCTGGTCCCTTCAATTAGCTGCGCAGGCCTTGTTTATGGGGATGGCAGGCAATATTGCATGATTTGTACATTTGAATGGCCGTTTTAGACCGAGACCATCTGGCGTTCTGGGATTTTTATGTATCATAGCCATGATTGCATTTTTGGAGTCTGGGTATTCCCATTGTTTTTGATTTCTTTTTTTAATGGACGTGGAAGTCCATGCTCGCTACTCTGGTATGTATCATATTTGCCACTCTTGGTTGAGGCTGTGACTATTATGTCTCGCATCTGTTCTGCATATCTAGATCGGATTCATCACTTTGAATAAAAGTCTTTGGCCCACATTGAATTACATTTATTACTACGGAGTATAGACTCGGAGAATTAGTTAGATTATTTCAGAATACTAGCAGTGATTATAGATACTCTTGACTACTAGGTAGTACTGGTACATACATGTTTACGGCTTCAGGTGTGTATGTATACATGTGCAGACTACCACTCCATACATGTGTATAGATCGCACGTTGTACTTCATATCAGATCTTAAATCCCATTTTTTATGCACTATTAGTCTAAATAGTGGACAGATCACCTCGAGGCCCCGTGTATCAAGCTGTCAAAAGATCGTCGTTGGATCCACCAAAATAAAATCATTATGGAGTACATTAAGCAATCAACGCCCCCCCTTTTATGGTGGATTTTGAATACTTTTCTTTTCTTTTTTTTTGTCTTTTTTTTTTTTTCAAACATACACATGTGTATGTATGTGCAGTCTGTATCTCTCATTATTGGGGTTGTCTCCATACTGAGTCAGGGTCTTAGCTATCTCAAAAGGGACTAAAAGAAATTTGCTCTGCTTTCTTTAGTTCTTCTGGAAACTCTTCAAGTTTGAAATCTTTGATATTTCAATATCGATTTCCCTATTTTATTCTTTATTATTTTATTCTCCCAGATTCTACTTGTCTTTATTCTCTTTGAATCTTTCAACTGAGACAAGTCAAGTTCTTCCCCCTTTCTTTATTAAGCTTCCCAGCTTCCCGGGGACCCGCATCGTTCCCCCCTGGGTCTTTCACCCCCCCTCCTCGACTCCAATGCTGATCCCTGAGCCCTGAAACGATGTCCCAGTGGCAAGGCAATGAGGACGAGCCCGGTTCCAAGAGCCAATCTTCGGGTCACTCGCCTATGAACGGCCTCATCCCCAGGGACTACCTGGGCGCGCGATCCGACGTGGCTTCGCGTCCTAGCGCTCCTGGCGCTCCTGGCTCTCGGCATATTTCACCTATGCCTCTGCACACGACTTCCCTTCCGAGATCATACCTGCAGGATTCTCCCTCCTCAAGTCCTCTATCCCCCAGTCCGGCGCCAACCAGTCTCCATCTCAGAATCGCTCGCCTATTTCTCGTCTAACCAATGCACCTTTCCCGGCACCACCTTCGAATTCGGCCCATAACATCCCCCGATCTTTAGACATGATGGGCATGGATGTAGATAACACAGGGCTCAGCGACAGTGGGATTTCAAAACCGACTGCTGCGGCTGAGCCTGATCGTTCCACCTCCTCACCCGTGAGCTCTATTTTGTCCACCCCGGAGATCGTCCAACCCATCGCATCATGCCTCGCACCTCTTCCATTGATTCGGCGATATCAACCCTGTCCTCGGCTTCTCAAAAATCTACATTCGATGCCAACGCGCTGAGCCCGGCCGATATTGGCCACTTGATAAATGCTGCTGGGTCAGCTGAGGCTGTCATCGTGCACCTCCTGAAGGAGAAGCATCAAGCGGCGTCGCAGAATTCACAATTATGGAAACTAGTGGACAAGCAGAGGACGCTGATCTTGGGTCTGAATAAAGATCTCGAGCGCGCCTTGAAGGAGAAGGAAAAGTACAAGAAAAAGCTGAAGGAAGTGCAAGAGTCTGTGCCGCCTGTGCCAACCGCGGCGGATGTAGTTTCGCAAGCTGGATTGACCGGGGCAGAGCAGTCACTTCTTAATCAAATGGAAGCGGAGCCAGTCCATGAACAACCAGATACTCGACAGCTTCCTCAGCCCACTATTGTGCCACCTTCCGCAGCATCTCGCATGGAATCTGCAGGTATCAGCATGAGCCCTTCCAGTGACATGTCATCCCCGGTTGGAAATGACGGCCAAAAGCTCCCCCATCCTAGTCGCAAGCCCCCACCTGCGCCTCTAGACTTACGACTCCACGCCAGTACTCGGCAAGCACCCACAGATCACGATTCAGATTCCGATTACGGTGATGATCAAGACGACCAACCGAGGGTAGATGATCGTGGAAGGCGGAAAACTCGAGAGGAAGATGACCGAGATCGTGAGGCTGCGGGGAAGAAAGACAATGATCCCCAGGGATCTATAACCACAGCCAAGATTGGATCCTCACACTCATCTCGGGACACTGCTACTCCCTCTGAGAGTCCAAATGCTTCACGCGAGCAAGCCACGAGGTCGCCTCCTAACGTGGGGGTACCGGGATCTTTGGGCTCAACTCTCAAAGCCCGCGCAAACCTTTCGGCTGCAAATGGCCGTCCAACCCTCCCAAATCCCAAGGTGGCTAATTTGGCACTAGCTGGTTTACCTCTTAGCCCGAGGCCAGAAGATCGACCACTTGGCTCGCCTTTGCCTCGCATGCCCCGCGACATCAACGCAATGGCAGGTCAATCTATGACAGCAGGTACAAACCTTCCTGGACTGCCTCTATCGCCACGATTGGGTCATTACCCTACCCATTTTGCTCAATTAGACGCACAGCCTTTGGCTGGTAAGCCTGGTCCCTCAATTCCAACAATCGATCCTACGGTGATGATAGATAGCCCAAGGTCTGCACGTTTCAATGACTACGGCGTTATCTATCAAGGGCTGATATCGGATGAATATCCTGGGTTACTCTTACCTCCGAACGCTCTTCCACTGATTCAGGTTCGGGTCTCATCTTCCCGGCTTCGACCTTCTCGCAATAGCTACATGGTTTCGAAACCTCTGGAAGAAGAGCCTGTTTTCACCCTAAGTGTGATTTCTCGATCCGAAGTGACAGAGCTCTGGCGAATTGAGAAAGTCATTGCGTCTTTGCCTCAGCTGGATCAACAAGTTCGTCAATTGGTCTCTCTGCCCGGCAAATTACCGGATCGAAGTATCTTCAGTGGACATTCCCCTGCGAAGGTGGATCTTCGACGAGCGGCGCTCAATGCCTACTTTGATTGTCTTTTGGATACTCCAATGGATGAAAAGGCAGCCTTGGTCATCTGTCAGTTCCTCACAAACGACGCCATTGAGCCCCGAGATGATGAGACCAGTCTCGTGAAAGGACACAATGGTGCGGCCCAGCCGGAAATTGCGCGTGGCCCAGACGGCAGGCCCCGAAAAGAAGGCTATCTAACCAAGCGAGGCAAGAATTTTGGTGGTTGGAAAGCACGTTATTTCGTTATTCATGGACCGGAATTGAAATATTTCGAGTCACCAGGTGGTCCTCACATGGGTACCATCAAGCTTCTTCATGCTCAAATTGGAAAGCAATCCCAGAATCCAGGAAGTTCTCCCTCTGGTGTTGAGGAGGATGCCGATAATCAATATCGTCACGCCTTTCTCATCTTGGAACCCAAGAGGAAGGACTCCTCGGCGCTTGTCCGACACGTGCTTTGTGCTGAAAGTGATGATGAGCGTGACAGATGGGTGGAGGTTTTGATGGAGTACGTCGAGAGTCCCTCATCTGACAGTGAAAGTCGAGGCACCTCATCTACCAAAAGCCCACCCCCTGGACAAGCACGGCAGCAACCCTCTACTGGAAGCAAGTCTAAGGTGCAACCTAACAACAGCAAAAAACCTGGCAGAGGGGTTGAAAGTCCCGAGCAGGAAGTTGAGACAGCTCCTGTCGGATTTAGCTTTGATAATACTATAGCTGCAGAGCCTCCTATCCTTGGCCATTCTATTGACCAAGCCCCTCGATCACCCCGCATGCCCGCCGGACCTGGAATTTCGACCGATCTTCGAGATTTCAACCAGCAGCACTTCTCAGAGGCTCCCACGCATTCCCCAAAAATCATCTCTGCGCCTACTAATGCAACCGTGATTCACGATGTGGGAGCCTGGGGCAACAAGCCCACAATGTCCACCAAGGAAAAGAAACGCAGCATCTGGGGATTCCGTACTCGATCCTCTTTTGATCTGTCGTCACAAGCCTCCAACGACGTGGCTGCAGCACCTGTTGTGGAACGAAAGGATGTCAGACCTGTATTTGGCATTCCTTTGGCCGATGCTGTCCAATATTGTGGACCAGTTGGGATTGATGTGGAATTGCCAGCTGTTGTATATCGCTGTATCGAGTACTTGCAATCCAAGGACGCAGCACTAGAGGAGGGAATATTCCGCTTGAGTGGCTCCAACGTTGTTATCAAAGCTTTGAAAGAACGTTTCAACAATGAGGGAGATCTCGACTTCCTTTCTGTCGACCAGTACTATGATGTTCACGCCGTGGCTTCTCTTTTCAAGCAATACCTTCGTGAACTCCCTACAACAGTGCTCACTCGGGAGCTCCATCTGGATTTCCTTCGTGTTCTTGGTATGTATCAACCTTCTTGGTGTGTAGGATCAAACTGCTGACTCGTTTCTCTTTAAAATAGAACTTGATGACAAGAACAAGAAGATCGTCGCCTTCAACTCGCTTGTACACCGTCTTCCAAGACCCAACTTGGTGCTACTACGAGCCTTGTCGCTGTTCCTGATTGAGATTGTCAATAACTCCGACGTTAACAAGATGACTGTCCGAAACGTGGGCATCGTTTTCGCGCCTACTCTTAACATCCCTGCGCCTGTGTTCTCAATGTTCCTGACAGATTTCGAGAGCATCTTTGGAGATGCCGGCTCGGGCTCAGGTCCTGGCCCCTCCATTGAATTGACTGTGGATAATAGCCTTACACCTGATGATATTCGGTCTCCCCGAAACCAGATGTTCTCGAATATACCCACACCTTCTTACAATCAGACGACATTCCGAGGTGCAGATGGCCCTCCGGACAATTCTCAGGTTGCCCATGATACAGGCTTTGCGCCCATGCAACCCAGCTATGATCAGCCAGCCTATAGGCATGATGCCTACAATCAACCACCACCCCAAGGTGGCTCGGCTTCCTACGGCTCCTTATCTGGCATGTTGTCTCCCGGTCAAGAGGACACTCGATCGGCGAAGACCAAGAGACGAGAAAGCTCAATGCTTTTCATGGATACCAGTATGTGACCACACCAAATCATAAAATCTCCTCCTATCTGACTTTTTATCAGCCCATACAGATTATTCAGTTTACCAGGAGAAGTAATAAAACTACCGAAGCAGCTATAGCGTCTCGATCTCACGCCCCTGGACGTCTCTTTTTCATTCTCATTCTCCATGCCCACCCTACCTCCCTTTTTATTTCTTTGAACCAATCACGAATTGCACACGGAATGACGAATTTACCCACCTGGGACCAACAAACTCGCATGGGAATGTTTAATGATAATGGTTATTAGGATGAGGTTGCAAGAATAAGGCCTACCTACCTGGGACTTGGAGATATTTTGTTTCTTGATCCATCTTTATACCCCTTTATTCTTATGTCTCTTTGGTTCATAATTTTTTTTTCTTCTATATTTTCCCACATTTTTGTTTTATTTTTCTATTAAATCTTGTTGACTTTCAATGTCAGTTCCAGCGCATTCGAGATATTCTGTATCTTTGCGGTGTGATTTTGTCATATTTAGTAACTTAGTACAATGTCTTCACTTGGGTCTGTCTGGCTACAGAGCAATGCAATGCCAGATATTTGAAGTAAATAAAGCAATGAGTGATAGGTTCATATTCTCCATATTTGAGAAGCTAAGATTAATTCAATATAAATGCATCATCACTTGATTCATTAAACATGCCACGTAGATCAAAACCTCCGGGTTCCTTCACCTCGCCCGAAGCCCATCAACTCTCCATTCTCTCTCGCCCAATCCCGGACATTATCAACCAAAGCCTTTGCCATTCCCTTATTCTTAGACTTTCCATCAGACGGTCCTCGACTATGACCCAACCCAGAAGATCGTTCCCCAGTCGCGTATTCCGATCCCATACTCGGCAAGACATTCTCACCCGCGCTCAGACTAACGAATAACGCAAATGGAACAAGCCAAACACATAATCCAAAGTAAGAAGCTACCTCAGAGAATGAAGGCATATCCGCATAATTGACTTGGTATGGCTGGCGCCAATTCTGATCGGCTGATCGTGATGGCGCAGGTGGGTTGGAGAAGTGTCGGAACCATAACCAGTGATTCAATAGAACCAGAATACACGAAAGGATGAAGAGTGGATCGCTGAGCTTCACGATAGGGAATCGGCGTAGATTGCTTGCGTAAACAAGGTGCGAAAGGATGCTGAGGATGGAAAGCCAGATTGGGAATCGATCGAAGAGAACGAGGAGGACTTGAATGCCGATTATGGTGTAAATAAGACGGCTTAGGAGTTTTCGTGCGAAGACGGTGTGTTCTTCGACTAATTCGGAGAGATAGTATAGTCCCGATGCTACTCGTGTCATCAGCTGGAGTCGTGTGAGTGAGATATCTAGGTATAAACTTACCGATTGCGAGAGTAAGAAATGCAAATCCCACAACCACTCCTAAGTATCCAAGTAAAGGAAGAACCCACATGATGATGATATTTGAGAATAGGGAAGAGAGAGGGGAGAGAAGTTGATTGAATTGAAAACGAGTATGATCGACGTTTACGTTTCGGGGAAACATACTTCTGCCTGAGGCATCAACATCCCCACCGATCTCAAGAAATTTAATCAAAAAAAAAGTTGACTTATCTTTCTACTATTCACAAATTGCCCACGATGTCGCGCCCTGAAGATCAACTGTGTGTTTTTACCTTCTTTAAATATTTCAGAGAGAAAGAAATGTGAAATCTAACTGTTAATAATAGGCCACCTGACCTTTTCTACAACGACAATGAATCCCGCAAATATACAACCTCGTCGCGTATCAGGAATATTCAAGCGGATATGACCAACCGCGCTTTGGAACTCCTCGATCTGAAATCCCCATCTTTTATCCTCGACATCGGCTGCGGTTCCGGACTATCAGGCGATATTCTCTCGCAAGAAGCCCCCGAAGACGGTGGCCCACACACATGGATTGGAATGGATATCTCACCGAGCATGTTGGACGTTGCACTTCAGCGCGAAGTCGAGGGCGATTTATTCCTCGCGGATATCGGTCAAGGTGTTCCATTCCGTCCTGGTTCCTTTGATGCGGCCATTAGCATCTCTGCTATCCAGTGGCTATGTAATGCCGAAACAAGTGATGTTAGTCCTGAGGGACGACTGAAGAGATTCTTTGAGGGTCTTTATGCTAGTCTGCGCAGAGGTGGTCGTGCGGTTTGTCAGTTCTATCCTAAGAATGATGTGCAACGGAGCATGATTAGTGGTGCGGCTATTAAGGCGGGCTTTGGTGCTGGTATGCTTGAGGATGATCCTGGTACTAAGAACAGTAAGATCTATTTGGTTCTTACTGTTGGTGGTGGTGGTTTGTCGGGTGATATTACTGGTGTGGTTAATGGTATGGAGGATGTGAATGTCTTGGATGCGAGACGTAAGGCTATGGAGATCAATAATGCTCGTCCGGCTAAGAAGGGTGATCGGGCTTGGATTATGAAGAAGAAGGAGCAGATGGAACGGAAGGGAAAGGTTGTGAAGCAGAACTCCAAGTATACTGGCCGCAAGCGACGAATCGCTTTTTAAGTCGGTTTTGTCTGGATGCTCTCGAACTAACATGGCGACTCTACGAATTTTATGCTGTGCTTGACAACTACAAAAGTTCTATCTCTTTTTCTTACCTCAATTGATACCCCTTATCATCCATACCATCCATCTGAGAACTTTCATATAAACCTACGAGTATTCTGGTGTAGTATTTTGCAGCATTGGATCTAAAATGGAGCTTGTTGTCTTGGTAAAGTCCAATAAGTGTCTATTGCTATAACTTGCGGGAACATATGAGCTAAATAGAATGAAAGATAATACATAATGGAGGATTACAAGTCTGGCTTCAATACCAGCTCAGGTAATCCCCGGTCGTAGCGGGAAATCATGGGGGCAATTTTCAATGAATTTACAGAGCAGCCTCCATCTTGTCCAGGACAGCACGGGTGAATTCGTGAGTGGTAGCCTGACCACCCATGTCGCGAGTGCGAGTCTGACTGTAGGAGAATTAGTCATTGATCTTCATGAGAAAACTGGGATAGAATGTTTAACTTACCCCTCACCAATAACATCGTAAACAGCCTTGGAGATACGGTTGGCGTGGTCATCCAGACCAAGGTGACGCAGAAGCATGGAACCGGACAGGATCAAGGCACTGGGGTTGGCCTGGTCCTTACCCTTAATGTCGAGACCGACGTGACGGCAACCGGGCTCGAAGACAGCAACATCACGACCCATGTTGCAACCGGGAACAACACCGGGACCACCAACAAGGGCAGCACCGACGTTGGAAAGGATACCACCGTAAAGGTTAGGCATAACCATAACATCGAACTGCTGGGGACGGGAGACAGCCTGCATGGAGGCGTTGTCGACAATCATGTCGTTAACCTCGAGGGTAGGGTAGTTCTCGGCGACCTTGTGGAAAGTGCTGCGGAAGAGACCATCGGCCAGCTTCATGATGTTGGCCTTGTGAATGCAGGTAACCTTCTTGCGGTTGTTGGCGAGGGCGAAGCTGAAGGCGAACTTGGCAATGCGCTCGGACTTGGCACGGGTGATGATCTTGAGGGACTCGACAACACCCTGAACGGACTGGTGCTCCAGACCAGAGTACTCACCCTCGGTGTTCTCACGGATGATGCAAAGGTCGACATTCTTGTGGCGGGTCTCGTAACCGGGGATGTTCTTGATCAGAGAGATAGAGGCGTAGATGTCCAGCTCCTGGCGGAGAGCGACGTTGAACGACTGGTGACCGGAGCGCTCCACCGGGGTGTGGAGAATACCCTTAAGACCCAGCTTGTTGCGCTTGAGGGAAGCGATGGACTCCTTGAACAACTCCTCAGAGTGCTTGTTGCCAGTGTCAACACCACTCACATCAACCTGCTCCCACTCAATGGGAACATTGTCAGCCTTGAAGATGGTCTTGACCGACTCGGCAACCTCAGCACCAATACCGTCACCTAGAATATGATCCCGTTAGCAAATTAATTTGGAGGCTCCACTTAAAACCCACGAGGGAAGGAAGCTAAAAAAAGAGCAATTCGGCATACCGGGAATAAGAGTGACGGTGTACTTTCCACCGTACTTAGTGGGCTTGAAGATATCGGACTGAACGGTCGCGAAGGCTATTCGCGGGAAGAAATTAGCATATCACCAATCAAAATTGCGCCCTGCGCACCACAACTGCGCCCCGTGAATTTTCTTTGTTCTTTTTTTGCGCAGATTTTGTGCCCAGATTTCCAATAACCGAATATTGAGAGGAAAAAAAGTGAATAGCGTACATCGAGTAGGGATTGAGCGAGCAGCCGAGGGAGCGCCGCGAAGCAGGGTCTGAATTTGGGTGTTAGCCTGCGCGCGCGCAGAAAAAGGCGATAAGCCGAAAGAAACCAGGGGAAGTAGGGTCGCATACTCGGGCAGGTTGAGCAGATCGAGAGAACATTTTGGCTGAAATTGTAAAATCACCAAAAAAAAACTTGAGAAAATGGAAATTCCCTGGGAGTGGGGAAAGAAGCGGTTGGAGATGGAAAGGGAAGAGGAAGAGAAAGGGAAAACGGAAAAAAAGGTTTCCGGATGGGCTCGGCATCGCGCGACTGAACAGCTCACCGGCCCGATCTTATCTATGGAGACATGTATACACTGTAGTATGAATTTATATCATAGTTCAAGTTATAATTTTATATATTTGAACATTTGAATATACTCAAGTGATATTATCCTTATTTTATATTTTCTTTTTGAGTTCCTCTATTCTCAAGTGCTATGATATTGGCACATGCATATTGACTTACAGATGTGGGTACGGACTATCGATGTATAAGGGGCCGAGGGATCTACATGATTCAAGTTTGAAACAACAATTTTATAGAGTAACAATGGATTCAGGATTGCATATCGAGTATGGTATATGCTTCTCTGCATAATCAATAGTATTTAGTACTAGGTATTATTTAGTATGGTGCTCTACTACTACTAGTATATTTTTGGTCAACTGATCAGTCCACAATAGGAAGGTGGATCCCATCTGATCTCAACCAATCATCATTCACTATGTATACATACTTCTTATTGACACCCACTTTGGGTAAACCGAGTCACCTTCTCCTCCTTCTCCTCCACTTTTTCCTTTCACTACTTTTCTATTCAGCACCTATTGCGGTAATGGCAAACGTGTTTTTGCACGCCAATCTCCGATATCTCTTTCAATTCGATTCACCCTCTTCAGTCTGACTCGTAAATCTCACCTCGCTTCGAATCCTGCACAAGGTATCAAGAGGTCCATGAAAGAAACCTCCAAATTAAATCTCAAAAAATGAGACAAATTCTTGGGTCTGTGGTCGTGAATCACAAACACATGACTTGGGAGGTGTCCCAATTCAGGGCTCAATAAGACCCCAATTGGGATCTCAATAGACGCCTCCCCCAGACTTCGCTACGCCATGAAAGACTTGCAGGTTAATCCCCAGGGAATTCAATCTCCTGTAACTCACAGAGGACCTTGACTTCTCAAGTATAAATACTTCATCCTCTTCCTCATCAATTCTGTTCTTCACGATCATCGTCCCACTCATTACAACCCACAACTACCAATCTCATTCCAACCTCCCAATTCGCTTCTTGTCATCATGAAGTTTCTCACTATTGCTCTCGCCGCTATGGCTGCTTCCACTGCCTCTGCCGCTGCTATGACCAGCTGGTGTGACCACCCTGGCCAGCCTTGCTATAAGATGAAGCGTACTGCCGACATCTCCTCCGAGATTAAGCGTTCTGCTGAGGCTCTTGCTGAGGCTATGGCCGAGGCTGAGCCCGAGGCTATGACTAGCTGGTGTGACCACCCCGGCCAGCCTTGCTACAAGGTCAAGCGTGCTGCTCTCGCTGTTGACGAGGTTAAGCGCTCTGCTGATGCTCTCGCTGAGGCTATGGCTGCTATTGGCCAGGAGTAAAGGTTAGTTATTCCCTGATATAATCATTCCAAGATTTGAATGTTTGGCTAATCGATTTGTCCAGGATTTTATGTCCTTTGATTACTGCCGGATGTTTCCTCATGCTCTGCGAGTATGATTGAATTTCCTGGCGATTTGTGCTATGTTCGACTGCACTCGGTGCTTAATCTGCTTTCGACATTTCGACGTTTCTCTGATTGGATTATGGGTTGAGCATGATGGAAGCCATGGTGGACACTCCTTTTTTTTCTCGGCCATGGAAGGCTCTTCTTCAGTTTGAATGAAATGGAAAACCTTATTTGAAACGGGGGTTTTATGCAAATGCTTAGATAGCAATACAAACTGCTTCGACGATCGTCAAGAATTCAAGTTCAATCATTCATAGTAGGCTTTTAGTTACTGCCTGGACTGCTGTATAGTTCTTCGAATCTGTGTAGTTAATCTAGCTGTCTGATGGAGGAATTGGTTATCTACTTCGATCTGATAAGATGCACAACGTTGAGATCAGAGCCATATCGTAGAGTTTGGATAAAACCATGGTCTCAATGATTCTTTCCGGGAGTATGATGTTGTTCCTCATGTAACAGGTAAATATAACTAATCAGTATCAAAGGCAATTAGAGACTGTGTAGTAGTATTACAGAGAAGTTTGAAAGTTTTTGACAGCCATGCAGTATCTATGAATTAAAACTAGTGACTCGGACTAATGAAACAAAGACGGATGAGCCATACCACCCATATCACACCGATTTCTCTCTTGAAACGCCCCATACTGTGACTCCATCGGTCCATTCTGAGCCATCTCCCACCAATGGTGGCCCTTATAAACTGGGTCTGTAGCTCCGCTATACTGCTGTCCAGTACTAGGCTCTGTACGCGGCGAGTTGTCATACCCAGCAGCCATATATGGCTCCGCCTCTGCTTTACCATCATCCATAGACATCTCCATATCCACAGTCCGCGGCTCAGATGAATCCACCAGAGTCCCCGAGGATCGTGCATACACCTGCCACGTTTGGACCAAACGCTGTTGTTGCTCCATATCCGCGTGGATGAATAGGTCGAGTTGACGAGGTCCTAAGGTACTTGGGTCGATTCCATGCTGCCAAAGGGTATCTATCGGACTCGGGGTCGGAGGGGCTTGAACTGGGGCTTTCGGGGTAGAGACTACGTGGGTGGAGTGGTGATAGTGTTGCGAAATGCTGTAGGTTGGGGTTGGAAGTTGGGGCTCCGGACGAGACTCTATCGCCATGTGTTGATCAAATAGAGCTGCCAACTCGTCTTGAATTTTTCCGTTGCTTTCAGAGACGGATAGACCGCACTAGATTCAATAAAAGAAAGTCCCCCGCTGTCAGGGTGCGACTCAATAGATCTAGATTTCATGATAGATTAATATACCTGGATACAGTGGGGATTCTCAATGAATGATGGTAATGAGAGGGAAATATCAGAGACATGGCCGCAAAAGGGACACTGGTGGAGGATAGAAGAGGACATGATCAAGTTGAGTGTATATTGAGGGGCAATATAGTATGTTCGTGGGTTTCAATAAGGCGACATTCTCGATAGAAGCTAGGATGAAAGGAAGTAGGTATATCGGATGATGAAAATAAAGACAAAAGAGCTAGAACATTAAGTTAGAAGATATCCACCCCACTATATATCAGAAAAATAGGTGATGCCCAAAATTTCAAGTACATTCGGGCTGCAAAACTGCCCATTTAAGGCAGTCGAGGCAGAAAGTGGAACCCCTGAGTCGGTAATAATACACTCACATGATACCTGTATTACCAATATATTACCATATAAAAGTTACATAATCATGTGATCCAGGCAACTCCCGTGACGCAGCTCTTGGGACCTTCCAGCTCGAGAGGGTCATCCAGGTCCGAAGGGAAAAGCTACGCGTTATTTCCTATCCAACTTCTCATTTCTATCAACCTTTTCTAGCAAACTTGATTCATTCCTCACGCCCAAATCATGGTGAGTCTACTTTGCGATTCTTATCCCCCTTTCCTCTTGGGAATTCCTTCATATGTTATATAGCTAACACCGCCCCGGTAGACGTCAATCGGTACAGGTTACGATCTCTCGAACTCGGTCTTCTCGCCAGATGGCCGTAACTTCCAGGTACGGTCACCGCAATGAACATACATATCCTTAAGTGGCTTGCACTTAGCTATTCGGATGACATTGGACCTTAACCCGCTAATCTAACCTCCGCAGGTGGAATATGCCGTCAAAGCTGTTGAGAATGGCGGAACAGCTGTTGGCATCCGGTGCAAGGATGGTGTAGTGCTCGCAGTCGAGAAAATCATCACTAGCAAGCTTCTAAAGCCCGGTGCGAATAAGAGAATCGCGACAGTGGATCGTCATGTTGGCATTGTAAGCACCTACTCCAAATCATCGCTCACGCGTGTTATTATTATATGCCATTTCTCCATCCCCCGGAAACCGACCTCAATTCTGAATTCCTTCTAACATCTTTACTTTAATGTAGGTCTCTGCTGGCCTTGTTCCCGATGGCCGTCATTTCGTATCCAGAGCTCGAGACGAAGCTTCCTCCTGGAGAGGTACATACAAGGCCCCCATTCCTACCTCAGCGCTTGCGAACCGTCTCGGTGGCTACGTACAAGCATACACCCTGTACTCCAGTGTGCGACCGTTCGGTGTGACATCTATCGTTGGCGGATGGGACAGTGAAGCAGAGCTGGCTGTTGATGGTCAGGTCGGTACTGGCCCCAAGTCAGGCGCTGGTGGAAAGGTTGAAGGTACTCCAGCTGGAGGACCTGCTCTTTACATGATTGAGCCTAGTGGACTTTACTGGGTACGTTTTTTTCTCTACTTCTATTTGGGGTTGAGCTATCGCTGATAACTTAAACAGGGATACTATGGTGCGGCTACCGGCAAGGGCCGACAAGCAGCTAAGGCTGAGCTGGAAAAGTTAGATCTGACTTCCGGTAACCTTTCGCTATTGGATGGTGTTAAGGAGGCTGCGCGTATCATCTACGTCGCTCATCAAGATAGTAAGGACAAAGAATTCGAGCTCGAGATGTCCTGGATTAGTTCCCTCGATGGCCCAACTAAGGGTCGACATGAGGAGGTCCCCAAGGAGCTTCGGGAAGAGGCCGAGAAGTTCGCAAAGAAGGAACTAGAGGGCGAGGATGAAGATGAGGAAGAGAAGGGCCAAGGAGAGCAAATGGAGGAATAAGGAATGAAGCAATAGATCATGATATGCTAGCAAATCTTTAATCTGACCGATCAGAGTTTCCTCATAACAATCGTATAGATCTTTGTTCAAAAAAAGATAACGTAGAATATTTTTTTTTGCTTTGATTCATTTGTTTGCGCCAAAATTCTTTGAAGTGTCCATATTACACGGCAATCTTGCCCTCAGACCACTCCCGTCTCTTAACACCAAGCTCAACAGCAGCACTACCCCAATCCTCACCATGGTTATGCATTCCATTGCTACCCAATCCAGCACGCTCCAGACCCTGCTCCTCAGTCAAAACGGTCAACAGACCAAAAATGACCGGAACGCCAGAATCCAGTTGAACCCGCATCAGTCCGTGGCTGACAGCATCGGCGATATACTCGAAATGCATGGTAGCACCCTTAATCAGAACACCGATGGCAATGATGGCATCGAAGGGCTTCTTGGGTGTGCCGGTTGCGGATTTGCTCAGATCAGAAGTCGAGGCTGATAAAAGGTCCGTGGCACTGATGCCTTCGCCGGAGGAGCTGGCCTGAACCTGGGAGGCGGCGTACAGACTGTAGAGTGGGAATGAGCATATGATTCTAGATATGGAGATATATATCCTTCAACTGCAGGACTGGGATGGTAGATGCTTACCGCTGCACTCCATAAGGTAATTCGTAACTTCCTGGAACAGTCTCAATGGTGATGTTATCCTCGGAAACTCCACCGGCCAGTAAGCTTCTTCTAGCTCCAGCTACCAGCTCACTAATGATCTTATCGTTCCACCGAGCATGAATAATGGCAACGCGGAGACCGGAGCCTATATGGAATTAGTAAGGTGCTTGGTTTCTTTAGTTGTGGTTCCGAGCACTCGAGCTCGTCGTCGCGTGCGGGGCAAGGGGAGTGTCGTTCTCACCATCATGGCTTTGAGCCTCGCCGGGTCCCTTGATAGGTGACATTATATGAGGATAGAAGGTGGGGTGGAAAGATTGGTATAAGAGGAGAGATCCGGGGAGATTCTGTTTTTATGAAGTTCTGGTGCTTGTCTGGGGTGAGCAGCGTTCCCGCGACGAAAACATCCCGCATTCATGGTGGGAGGGGGGGAAGGCGGAATGGTCCCTGCACTGCCGGATATGGAACACTATGCCCGGGTGTAGACACTACAGTCCATGGACTACTTTCAACAAGGGATGATTCAACAAAGCTAGATCTAGATAAAATAGAACTATGCTGGGGATTAATGGGTTCATATTACTTAGGGGCTTAGTGGATAATTAGATCTTTACAGTTTATAAATGCATGAAAACAGATTCCATTCTCCTGAAAAGCTAAAACGAACACATTAAAAGAAAGGATAGTTCAAAACACCCTAAAAATATGAAGATCATGGCAGTCGTCTACTCCAAAACTCTCTAAAACATATTTCACCCAGTCCCCTTACTCGACAGTCACAGACTTGGCCAAGTTACGGGGGAAGTCCACATTGAGACCCTCACCAACTGCAAGCCAGTAAGAGATCAATTGCAGAGGAATGACGTTCAAGAGACCTTGGAGACAGTCCACAGTCTTGGGAACCACAATCTTCTCGGTCTGGGCGGCGGAGAATTCAGGGTCGTTCTCGTTGCAGATAACAATGGGGCGACCAGCACGGGCAATAACTATACACAATTCATATTAGTATTTGATATAGCAAACAATACACAGGGGATAATCTTCACTTACCCTGCTGGTAGGCATTCAGAGACTTGGTGAACAGGTTGTCACGAGTCAGAATCATAATGATAGGCAGGTTCTCGTCCACCAGGGCCAAGACACCGTGCTTGAGTTCACCAGACATGACAGCCTCACAGTGGAGGTAAGAAATCTCCTTAATCTTAAGTGCACCTGTAAACAATCAATTAGTATCGGGCTGAAAAGAAATAATCAGAGAACACGGGAAATAGGCTTACCCTCGAGAGCAGTGGGGAACTGGGCACCACGGCCGAGAAGGAGGAGACTCTTCTGATCCTTGAAAAACTTGGCACACATCTCCTTAATAGGCTCGTTGAGCTTCAAGATCGAGCGGAACTGGTCAGAGATCTTGCCAAGACCCTCAATGATCTCCTCACGTCTCTTGGCCTTTGACGCACGGTCCTCACTGAGGGACAGGGCGAACATGACCATAGCAACAAACTGAGAAGTGTAGGCCTTAGTGGAAGCAACACCAATCTCGGGACCAGCGTTGATGTGAACACCACAGTGGGTGAGAAGGGAGATGGAGGATCCGACGACGTTCACAATACCGACAGTCAGAGCGCCACGCTCCAGACAGTAACGGAGAGCCATCAGGGAGTCAGCGGTTTCACCAGACTGGGAAACGAACACACAGGTATCGTCACGGAAGACGGGAGCCTGTCGGTCCAGGAAATCGGAGGCCAGCTCCACAGCAATGGGGATCTCGGTCAATTCCTCAAACACACCACGCACGGCCATACAGGAGTGGTAACTGGTACCGCAAGCGATGAAAATGAGTCGACGGCAACGGCGAATGGTCGAAATGTATTGGCGAAGACCACCCAGAGTAACAACCTTGTTAACAGCATCCAGACGACCACGCATGGTGTTGACAACTGACTCGGGCTGCTCAAAGATCTCCTTCTGCATGAAGTGGTCAAACTTGCCCTTCATGATCTCCTGCAGCTCCAACTCAATGGTCTGAATAGCACGGACGTTGGAGGTACCATCATCCTTGGTCAGCCGGTGAATGTTCAGCTGACCCTCGTGGATGTGGGCAATATCATCGTCCTCAAGGTAGAGAACCTTCTTGGTGTGCTCGACAATGGCAGATGGGTCCGAGGACAGGAAGAACTCAGCGGGCTGAGGAATACCGTCATCAGACAGGAAAGCTCGCGACTGAGAGCGGTGGAGCAGAGACTTGTCAGGGGGAGCCAAAAGGCTAGTGGCAGACTTCTTGAGAGCGACATTCTGGGAGGCCTGCTCCGCGGGAAGAGCACCATCTTCCGAGAATTCGACATCAACAAAGTCCACCTTCATCTTCTTAGAGGTTCGCACACCAATAACCAGAGGGGAACCCTTACGGGCCGCAATAACCTCATGGGGGTAGTGAACAGACTTCATCAACAATCCGAAAGCACCCTCCAGCTCCTTGATCACAGCCTTGGCCAAAACAGTGAAGTCGATGTCAGGGTGTTGGTCGTAGAGGTACTTGGCGAGCTTGGCGATACACTCAGTGTCGGTCTCTGTCTCGAAACGGAAGCCCTTGGTCTCCAGCAAGGCCTTCAATTCCTTGTAGTTGGTGATGATACCATTGTGAACGACGGAAAACTCCCAAGAGGGGTCAGATCTATTGACGAGGGGAAAAAAGAAGTTAGCTAGCCTGTCGACGGAGCTTCTAAAGATTGTCTGTTTTTGAGGGATGAGACAATTGTGTGGGGTCAACCATTCAGAGAGCTCATTAAGGAATGGATCAGCTTACCGGTGAGGGTGGCAGTTCTGGCGGGAGGGGGTGCCGTGGGTGGCCCAACGGGTGTGAGAAATACCAGCGTGAGATTCAAAAGACTTGGTCATATCGGGCTTGGTCTCGGCAATGAGCTCTCTCAATTTGGCAACCTTGCCAACCTCCTTGAAGGCACAGACTTCATTCTTCTTGTCACCATCGACAGCCATGCCGGCTGAATCATAACCGCGGTACTCCAAACGGGACAGTCCTGTTTCATGTTTGTTAGCTAAATGAGGGGTAAAGGGCAGGAGGCCATGGGAACTTTCTCCCTACTCACCATTAAGCAGAGTGTTAATAATGAACTCACGGTCCCGCTCAACCAGGTAGTTAATGTAACCAAAGATTCCACTAGGAGATTGTGAGCAATGGTGTTCAACGCTAAGTAATTGATGGTTAGTGCCACGTACCACATTTTGGGCAAAGTTGGGAATTGAACGAATGGGGGGGGAATAGAAAAAAGAGAGAATGTATGGAGGAGGGGGGAAAGAGGAAGATAGATTAAGTTAAAATAGGGAGGAGAGACGAGAAGGAAGGAAAGGGAGAAATCTTATTTATAGCGGGGGAGAGCAGAGGAGGGGCGGTATGATTATTCTTAGCTTTCCCTCTTCCCCAATTTGTTTTTGTGATTATGATGCCATGTTTTTTTTTCTTTAGGTTTTATTTATTGATTATTTAATTTTTATTACTATTTTATTTATTTCTGGCACTCGGAGAAAATCACAGACCAAGAAAAGCGAGGGGAATCCACAGTTTGTGGCCAATGCGACAGATGTCTCACTCGAGGCTCCCATGGAATGACCTCAACTCCACTCCGCTTTACCATATATAGACCTTATAAGAGAGAAAACAAATATGATATTCACGATGGTATTGGTGGTTTTAAAGGGATTGTTTTAGATCAATTGCAGCTAGAGCAGTTTTTAATAAATTATCAATACATCATATACGGACCAATGGAGAAGAAGATCGAAGTCCACCTGGGCATTGTTATGATGTTTCGGTTTCGGCTTCGGCTTCTCCCCGGGCAACACAACTTTAGGGCCACCCTACTATGATCTATGATTCCAGTGGGAGATCAAGAGAGGGGGAGGGACAAAGAATTGGTTTTTTGTTTGAACTGATTCAGATACCTGAAAATTCTTATTGACCCTGTGATACTTCATAGTGAATTGGAATTCCTGACCCCCTGATAGTGATACTTGATGTATCGATATATGAAAAAGACTGTAAAGATAGTTGTAAACATTGAAATAATTGAATACCCCGCTAAGAATAAGGGGGCAAATATGGAGTACAGATCATGACATATCTCATAGAGTACTCAATACGGAGTACATATAGAAATCCTGAGATAATAGATGTGTGCACAAACACATAGTGGAACCCGGCTCTTCAGACTAAAACCCACTAAACACGCAGTAGGCAGGGCAGGACCCATTCCAGGTCTCAGAGCTATCCGTCCCACTCAACTATTTTTACACCCGAGAAAGTCTCCAAGCCTCAACGCCACATTTAAATCTTGGAACCCTTACTAGCACGAGTATATTTTTATCTGAACAGAAAAAAAATAGGGAACCAACAAAAAAAATTAAAAAATTAGACAAAAAGGAGAAAATCAATAGTACTTTTAAACTGTAGATATAAGAATTTCCTCTCTGTCTTACAACTCTACCATATTTTCCAAGGTTATCAAATTCTCCTACAGAGCCCAGAGTACATTTAGCAGTAAGGGGCTAATAAATGGAAATCGTAGATTTAAAGCGCCTCATCGTGTCCACGGGTGACGGGTGTGGTCTCGTAATCGTATTACCAAGTTTAACTGTGAAACTGTCCTGGGATTTAAGCGGGTCGGGTAATACTATGACAGGAACTGCACTAAACTTGAAACAGACAAGGGGCATTTCCCCTGATTATTCCATGAGTTGAGACCAAAGTCCAATGTTGTTGAATGCCAGTGGCCTAATTCCAGGGTTATAAAAACTTGAAATGATGACTGCATTCTTATCAGCAATTTATCAGCCACACAGTATTAGCTTGAACAAAGCCATGTTCCTCCAATCAATTCAAGTTCTACTACGGAGTACTCCGTACATAGTACGAAATACGAAGTACTCCCTGGTTAGTAGTCAACTGGCATCCACCAGTGCAGGGTTACCTACCCCTTTAGGTAAATAAGTATACATATCGTTCAAGTTGTCTACCTAATTATCTACCATTATCTTCAAAAATCTACTTTTTCTTATATCAGAGTGATGGAGTGTTGTCTTGGGGGTATACTTAAGGGATTCAAAACTACTAGTAAGCCTAATCGGGACATGAGGTGTCTATTTCTAATAAATAAAGTGAGCATTTATCAAGGCCTCTAGTTACTAGGATAATTGATATTGTAGGTTTTAAGTGAATAGTCCTTAATAGAATATTATAACTGTGTGATTCCTTTGTTCAAGTAAAACGTTCTTTCAGTCTCAATAGTTAAAAGTTCTGACCAGTGGAAATTCAATTTTCCCTCTCCGCTTTTCTCACCGCCTTCGACTTCCACTCTCTTCCACTCCGCCTTTCACTCCGCCTTCCCCTTAAAGCAGCGTACATCAGGATCATTGTTTCTGCCAGGTGTAAGTGCCTCCAGCACACCGCTGGAGGCTCACCGCCTGCAATCAAAATGACAATCATCCCCACTCTGTTACCGCTTCCCTGTTCGGTCGCGTCGTGCTCCCTGCAAAACTCTCGGGTTCGCGCCAGTGAAAAAAAACGACCCTCTTTATCCCTGTCCCAAACTCACCTTGATATCTTCGAATTTTCTCTTTCCCAAAATAGCAGTGTCACCAGTGATATCCAATCACCTCATTCCATCAAGGATGCTGTCTGGTGCTTTCGCGGTCTTGGGCGTGTAGCCACCTATCTCATCATGTCACGCGCCTCGGCCGCATTTGCAGATTTCTTTCCAACAGCTCCGTCAGTTCTGGATCAAAAGCGCATCAACCCAGGAGATCAGCAAGGCAAAGGTTCAGATGGCCTGGAAACGACAAGCTCTTTCACTGCCGCCACTCTCCCGGGCGGGGCATCTGATAGACTGGCTGGAGAGGAATCGTCAATCCAACAGCTCTCTGATACCCAGGGAAAGGGATTAACGGCCGTGGGAGAGATCAATGGAATGCTGGATTCGTCGCTTGCTGCGTCCAATTTAGCAATCGAAACTTTGACACCGCTCACCAACGCCGCATCATCTCCTCCCCTCAAACCACCGAGCCCGCAATCAAAGATGTCGGATGACAACTCTTCAGGGAATGCTCCCCCTCCCTGTTTGGACCCTCGTTTGGACCCTGCTAGGGTTTCTGATGCTATCATCCATGGCCCTCCAACTCCTCAATCCCAAGTCCGCTTAGAGACCGCCATCAAAGGCCGCTACGGGTATGTCCAAGAGCTTGACAAACCATCCATAGACAAACGACGGAAGCTCGAGTACGTGGATACTGTGGCTGATGGTCAGTCACCCCCTCCCGATCCACGGCTTGCTATTGCGAACTATACCCGAGGATCGGCCTGCAGGCAGAAAGCCAAATATCGTCCATCTCCCTACACCTTGAAGCCATGGCCATATGATGTAGCAACTAGTGTTGGCCCCGGCCCCCCAAACCAGGTCGTCGTGACCGGTTTCGATCCTCTCACCCCAATTGCCCCCATCAGCGCCCTCTTCTCCAGTTTCGGTGAGATCGCAGAATTGAATAACCGAACCGATCCCATTACCGGCCGATTGCTGGGCATCTGCTCTATCAAATACAAAGATAGCGCCTCATTCCGAGGAGGGAGCCCCGTTCCAGCATCGAGTGCAGCGAGACGTGCGTACCACGAGTGTCGAAAGGAGCAACGCATTGGAACACGGAGGATCCGCGTCGAGTTGGATCGGGATGGCATGGTATCCGGGCGGATGGCCTCTAGAGCCATTGAATCTCAGCGTGCGGCTGCGAAAGCGAATGCAACCAAGGAGATCAAGCCTGATCCGAAGAAGAACGAGCCTCCGCCCACTGCACCGAAAGGTCCATCCGGTAGATCGGCCATACGTCCGGGTATGATTGTTCCAGAGGGACCCCGCGCGAGCCTTCGATCTCCAGGGCCCCCATGTGTGATTGAAGAACTCCCCGTGTTGCCTCAGCTCAAGCGTGATCCCTACATCTTCATCGCCCATTGTTATGTTCCGGTTCTCGGCGCGACCCTCCCACACCTCCGAAAACGACTCAAGATCTTCAACTACAAATCTATTCGATGCGACAAGAGTGGTTACTACGTTATCTTCGAGAATTCCCGACGAGGCGAAGTGGAAACAGAGCGTTGTTTCCGCACATGCCACATGGAGCCATTGTTCACATACATCATGAACATGGAAAGCCACCCTTACGGAAATCCGAACTATGTTCGTAGTCCTAGCCCAGAACGTCTCCGAGCCCAGGAACGGGCGAAGGCTCAGAAAGAGAGAGTCCGCAAGGAGGCCGAGTTGGATATCGAAGAAGAGAAGAAGATCCGCGCAGCAAATCTGGATCCCGCCCGAGAAGTTCTATCCATTATCATTCGGGACCTAAGAGACAAGCTTCTTGAAGATGTAAAGTCCCGCATTGTTGGCCCAGCCCTCTACGATTATCTGGATCCAAGCCGACATGCTGCTAGACGCGAAAAGTTGGGCCTTCCCGACCCGGAGGGTATGAAACAACCCGCCTTTCGAATTGGAATCAACCATTCATTGCGAGTCCCGGAATCGCGCGCAGAGTTGCCAACCAAGGGCAGCGTGTTGGACCTCCCTCGCATTCGCAAGGCTCATGGCTTAGACCGATCTGGAGCTGCGTTCATGGATGAACGACGCCGGCAACCAGTTCGAAGAGAAACAGTTCGGCCCCTGTATCATCGCTTGCAGCAGTTCCATGACGATGAGGATTCAGAGGATGACCAGCGCACTCCGCTCGCTCGAGATACCGAAGAGAGAAGCAGTCGTCCTCTTAGCCGTGCAAGCTCTGTAGCTGAATCTGACGAGCAGGATGATAATTACCAGTCGGATGCCGTTGCGTCATTTGCGGACAGCAGTGCCCAGGCCACAGACGAAGCAGATAAGGCTGGTGATGAATTCTTGCATGACTTGGGAGATGACTCTTCCAACCGCAAAAGAAAACGACTTGTTGGAGAGGACGAGGCACGGAAGCGGCAGCGTCAAGAGGAGCTGGAACTCTTTGGAACCGAGTCTCAAGAGGATGGTCTGAAAAAGGGTACAGAGCCTTTTACACCAATCGAGACTGATCCTAGTATCGAACTGCCGCCTCCAGAGGACAAATTTGCAAAGGAACCGGTCGCCGACGTTTTATCAGCGCAAGAATCTCCTCCCGAAAACGTCTTACCGGATGAAAATGTCGAGGAAATCCAAGAAGACAAGCCGACCTCCGAAATCAATTGGGGATTCTCCACGGATATGCCCCGGCCTACTGTGGAGGATGATCCGGCCATTATTCTGGACTTGGACGGATGGCAGCATCTGATTAAGGATGATGAAGACTTGCGATTCTTGCGGGAGGTGATGGCCGATGTGGTACCATCCAATATTGGCAACATTGAAGCATGGGCATGGCGTCAAAAGGAGATCAAAGCCCTCAACCAGAAAATCCCCACCAGAGGACCGACGCGAGAGCCTATTGGAATCCCCGGCTACTATGTTCCAAATCCTAGTGGTTCTGCCCGCACTGAAGGTCGAAAGAGAATCATGGAGGCCGAGAAGTCCAAATATCTGCCCCATCGAATCAAAGTGCAAAAGGCTCGTGAGGAACGTGAAGCAATGGCCAAGGCTGATCCTCAGGCTGCTGCTGCTGAAGCAGCCAGGATTGCAGCTGCAAAAACCATCTCCAAATCCTCTTCACGATCAAACCGAGTCAATAATCGTCGACTCATCGCGGACATCAATGCCCAGAAACAGGCTCTCCCTACCTCTAGCGGTGACGGCGATGTGCTCCGGTTCAATCAACTTAAGAAGCGAAAGAAGCCAGTCCGTTTTGCTCGATCAGCTATTCACAACTGGGGACTGTATGCCGAGGAGAATATTACAGCGAACGACATGATTATCGAATATGTCGGCGAGAAAGTTCGTCAACAGGTCGCCGATATGAGAGAAAGACGTTACCTCAAGAGCGGCATTGGCAGTAGTTATCTCTTCCGTATCGACGAGAACACTGTCATCGACGCTACCAAGAAGGGTGGAATTGCTCGTTTCATCAACCACAGCTGTACCCCTAATTGCACCGCCAAAATCATCAAAGTCGATGGAAGCAAGCGAATTGTCATCTATGCCCTCCGCGACATTGAACGAGGTATGTTATGCCATCAACCCAATAGACTACTGGATGAGAAAACTAACATGTTCTACTAGATGAGGAGCTCACCTACGACTACAAGTTCGAACGCGAATGGGACAGTGATGACCGAATTCCTTGTCTTTGTGGCTCAACAGGCTGCAAGGGTTTCCTCAACTAAGACTTATTTCTTTGACTACAATCTAAAAACGGGGACTTTTGATGTTCTTCGTGGCGTTCATCGGGTCGGCGTTTAGAAAGGAAAACATTCATGGATTCAAGGCATGTATTAACCAATATTTCGTGAAGCGTTTTCCATTTTCCACCATGTACAATATTTGCAAACTTGAAACTCAAGGAATTCTTATTCTTAATAATCATTCCTCCTGAGTCCGAGGTCTTTTGTCTTTATTCGCGTATCGAGGTTTTAGCTCTATTACGTCCTGTACTAGTATCGCATTTCTTGCCGCTCTTCATGTCGACATGGTTTCACTACCTTTAACTCCAGGCTAGAGGGAATGGAACTTTGTTGGGGTATCTATATACCAGTAGATGGTAACAATTCAATGCGGAAATTCATCCGCCGAGCAGCTTTTGAGTATAAGGTGGAATAGTGGCGATGGAGTAAGTGATCATGTCGCATCGGTTCTTCATCTCTCTAGTACAGATCAAACTGGGTGAAATATAAGTATGTGCGATAGAGAAGTTCTTAAAGAGATCATGATCTTACCTAGGTGACTTGGGAGCAGGAAATTGGCAATTCCCTCCTTGATCATGTATTCATGTCCACAGTTCCCGCATTTTAGCTTTCCTTCCATAACCTGTGTTTCCAATAGCAACCGATGTAAATCTTTGAGGGTCTGTTCGTCATTGAGTGCATCGCCCTCGGGCTTGGTTTCGGGGAGAGTAGGGAATCCAAGCTATAACAAGTCATATGATTAGCGTCTGCCAACTCGGAGAAATTCAATATAAAAAAGATAAGGCTAGGGTGGTGCATACCTCATTTGCTGTTACTCGCAGGGCTTCCCAGTCAATGCGGGGAACCACATTCCGAATAAATTCTGGTTGGAAATCAAGTTCCGACATCTCGAGCTCTGCATCGTGAAAGTGCAACGGGAATGATGCAGCGGAGGTCTTGCACTCCTTCACCGCGCAGGTCACGAAATTGGCAGTAATGACCTTCATGTTGTGCAATTCAGTTCTCTTGTATCGCTGGATGCCGAAGTTCGGTGTGGGAGGTTATTAATGAGTTTTGACTTTGCGCAACCAGATAGATCAATCAAACTTGAGGGAAAGTTTCAATTGAAGGAGAATATGATGTTAGGTAGAGTCTCCTGGTAGAGTCAAGTTGAATTGATAGTTCTAATATCTTGATGCTTGTCTTAACCGGAGAAAAAAAAAGCACCCCACGAAGTCAGGTGATCTTATCGATAACTAAGGATATATTTTATCCTGAGGCTCCCAAATCATCAGCACTGCCCAGTACATACTGAGGATGGACAGTAATATAAACATTATAGAAATTTTGTCATGGTCAAACCTTGGAAGTTTGTCTTCTATTAGTTCTAGTACATAGCAAGGATATACATAACAAGCAGGTATACATTACACCGGCACATAAATTTTGTATGTAGAATTAATGCATTATTTCAAGCCCTGCAGGTTAATGATGATAATATGAAGAATCATATAAGAACCTTGCAGAGAAATATTTCAATGAGTGGCGCCGAGAGGCGTCGTTATTAGCTTGATCATTCCATAGACCATTCTTGATCATTGGTAGAAGTTGAAGATTGATGATAGAGCAAGACCAAACGTATCGTGAATTCTGGGTCAGTTGGAACCCCAAAAAGTGGCGAAATAACCAAGCTGAGCTCGCCCAGTAAGGAAAGGAAAGATAAAAAAAAAGATCTGAGTTTGATGTTGTGAATGAATTAACTTGCCCCATAACCCGTTCAATTTTATGGTTTGACTTGGACGTCCAGTAAATCAAGATCGTCAATCTCATGATCTTGAAGACATGTGTTAGAGTCCAGTCGGTCTCCATCGAAGACAAGGAATATTTCCTGATCAGCCGAGATATTTTGTTTAGATCGAAAAACAGAAATGAGTTTGGACACCAAAGTCTTCGGTCTTGCTTTGATTCTCAAGTCATTCAATCCAGGGCTACGAAGTGTTAACTTCATCGGCTCATTGTCCTCGGTTTGCTCAACCTCGGGGCTTTTTGGTTTTGGGGTAAGCTCGCCTGGCTCTGAAAGCCCAGGTCGATTGAGGATGAGGTGATCCTCGGTGACAGCTACCATATGGATTTGCAATTTCTTCTGGTCTGCTTCAAAGTCATCGTCCATACTCAGAATTGAGTCAGGCTCCGCTGTCTTTATACCCAAGCTCCTGCACGTTGTCACGTCAAACAGGCGTCGACCTTGCCAGGTAAGATAGATAGCTGATTGTGTTTCTGAAGTGAACCCTTGGCGTCTGCACCATTCTAAACGTACTTCCCGAAGCCCCTGGGATATTTTCCGGTGAACGATCAACGGTTTGACGTTTGGAATGTCGGAGGTAATGAGAATTTGAACGGCAATGTCCTCCACCACAGGGGTTGCTGGGTCGGCGGGCATTTTAGATGGCAATATCGATGGTATCTCACGTGGCAAGATTTTGGTATCATCGATTCTTCGAGTCTGTGTCGGCGTTGATGAATCATGCAGTTGGGGCTTGGTTGACACAACAAGATCTGCGCGAGCCGTTGCTGTCAAGGCGGTTGGGACTTCTGAGAGCGGATTTTGTGAAGATTCTTCTTCCACGGCCGAGCTTGAGCCCTCCGGCACCTTGAAGGATGTCTTTTCAAGAGAAATGAGAGGTGAGTGGTGCTTTTTTGGACTTTTCTGTTTTCCAATTGGAGATGTAGGAGGGATGCTTTCTGTGGTTTCTTCCTCGAACGACTGCTCTGAAAGGCGGGACCTTTTCGATTCTCTGGTATCACTGTTCGCCTCTTCGGATTTCCTATGAGCTTCTGCTGTCTTAGGAGTGGATCTTGATTTCTTGTACGCCTTGTTGGCTGCAACAATATCGGAGTAGGTGTGTTCGGATCGCGAATAAAATTCATCTTTGGTTTCTGCTGTCTTTGCAGCCCAAGAGGGTTTATTGAATAATGGCATCCTGCTTATCTGCAGCTAAGGTTAAGCAAAATAGGAAAGGGATATTATGAGGGAAGATGAGAGCTCTTGATGGAAAGACTAAATTGTTTAAGCGCGGAGAGCTATCACAAATGACCTCACTCACCGCCTTCAGGTCTTTTGTGACCCGCAACGATAACTGGGAGATCTTACCTTATTCACTGTCACAGGTATGTCTTTCTCCCCGCTTATTTCCGTGAGATCAGTCGCTAAATCCTTAGATTCCAGATATCAATAATTCCTCACCATGGAAAACGGCTCATCATCCGAGGGCAAAGACCCTTCAGCCTTCCTCAGCGAGATTATCGGCGCGCCTGTCATCGTGAAACTTAACTCCGGAGTCGTCTACAAGGGTACATACTCTTCGATATCTTTCCTCGTTTCAAATTTCATATACTGATATTCTTCTAGGAGAACTCCAGTCAGTTGATGGCTATATGAACATCGCCCTCGAGAAAACCGAGGAGTACGTGAATGGAAAACTCCGACGCAACTACGGTGATGCTTTCGTACGAGGAAACAATGGTTCGTTATGCCCCGGGCTCATCTTTCATTTTGCAATCCTAACATCCAAGGGTTAGTGCTCTATATCTCTGCGAACTAAATGGGTATGAATCAAGCATACCCGTTGGTTTGGATGGAAGCTGCTCATGCTCATCCCCATGGACAAGATCACACTATATCCCGTGGTCAATGTGGTGTCTCCAATTGGAGGTCGTCCATGTTGGTTCAATTTCTTCTTTTTTTCATTTTTCATTTTTTAGCCATCTACTTTCCCGGGCTATGGTCGAAATATTCCTATTGTCCGACCCCTTGCCTCTCCCCGCAACCTTCTCTCGATATGTATCCCCACGCACTATGATAATGATCCAACTCGCTTTATTATGCAATGGAATGTCATGACTCTGGAGTCACTTGAGGTTCAGAGCTAATCTTGTATCCTCGATATAATGAGCATGATATCATACTCAAGCCCGATGGACCCTGGGCGTTAAATCCTACTTCATTGGTCAACATGTTGCTGCTGCTGATAATTTTGATCACTTTTCTTTTATTCCGTAGCATAGCTCTACTGGCAAACAGTAGACATTAGAGATCTCCTATAGAAAACAACTATGAAGACTTCCCATAGTGATTATCTTTTGCAGTACCACCAAATTTGGGTTGGTTAGGTAAGCTTAAGTAAAAGACAGAAGAATGGGAGAAAACGTGAAGAAAACCAATCGAACCTTACTTCACCCCACCACCCCTCGTTCTTGAAACAAAATGTTGCAAGCGATTCGATACAACCAGGGTACCCTGGAAATTCTGGACCAGCTCCAATTGCCATTTGTGGAGAAGTTTATTCCCATCCAGTCAACAGAGGATGGGTGGCATGCTATCAAGGATATGAAGGTGCGGGGTGCCCCCGCCATTGCCATTGTGGCAATGCTGTCCCTTGCTGCAGAGCTCCATACCCTTAGTGCTGCAAGCAAGGTTCCAGAGTCACCAGAGGAGACCCAGGCTTTGATTATCTCGAAACTGAACTACTTGGTGACCAGCCGGCCCACTGCTGTCAACTTGAGTGATGCTGCTCGCAAGCTGGAGGCTTTGGTGACCGGTCAGAGCAAAGAAGCCGGCGCGACTGGTCTGGGATTGGTAGCAGCATTTAACCAAGCCGCCGAACACATGCTGGGGAAGGATCTCGAAGATAACCAGCGCATTGGACACCACGGAGCTGAATGGATCAAAGCCCACGCAACCAAGACTGGAGATGTGGCCGTCCTGACCCACTGTAACACAGGGTAAGGTTCAACCATGATTTCTTTTTAAATCATCCGAATAATAATGTGAAATATACAGATCTCTGGCTACCTCTGGCTACGGCACGGCGTTGGGTGTTATTCGCTCACTCTCATCTATGAATGTCTTACGGCGGGCTTACTGTACGGAAACGAGACCCTACAACCAAGGGTCTCGTCTGACGGCATTTGAACTGGTGCATGATAATATTCCTGCCACGCTAATCACAGACTCTATGACAGCCGCGTTACTTGCAGACAAGAGCGTAGGCGTGAATGCTATTGTGGTTGGAGCAGACCGAGTGGCCGCCAACGGAGACACGGCTAATAAGATCGGCACATACGGCCTCGCTGTTTTGGCGAAGTACCATGGTGTCAAGTTCCTGGTCGCAGCACCCCTCACAACCATCGATCTGGCGACCAAGTCCGGTAGCGATATCCTCATCGAGCAACGGCCGGCATCCGAGGTGACGAGTATTAAGGGTCCCCGAGATGGAGCGAAGGATGCGGACGGTGTGGTTCTCGAGACTGTTCGAATCGCTGCACCTGGTATCGGTGTTTGGAACCCTGCGTTTGACATCACTCCATCGGCTCTGATCGACGGAATTATCACGGAAGTGGGCGTGGTAGAGAAAGGCCCTGACGGCGAATTCGACATGGCCAAAGTTTTCAATTAACCCGATTTCTCGGGCTTGCTGTGATCGCCTTCGACATTTTTTGAATCTTGGTCTTCGGGGCTAGTATCCTGGGTCGCATCTCCTTCCTCGAAAGCTGCCAAAAACTGGTCGATCTTGGACTCGAGGTCATTGAGATGGTTTTCCAGCGCGGTTGCAGTCGTTTCGCCTCTGTTCGAATGTGTTAGGAGACAGCGTTATGATGTGATGCTGTTGTTAATTACTTAGAGATATCTGCCAATGCCTATTTCAGTCAGTATCTCGATTATGCCGAATAAATGGAGGGGTCATGAGATAAGACAACCCTGGATTTGGGCAAGCTAAGAGTATAAATCTTGAGATATATGTACCTGGGCAAGATTAAACTTGAGGTCCGTGGGGTTTTCAGACATTGCTGCAGTGAACTGGACTCCAAGGTCGATTAATATGAAGTGAGCGATGGGTTAGAGAGTGTATATCGCGGGGTAAAGCCACTTATCATGGAGTGTGATAAGTTCAATCATTTCTTCCACCGCCTCATACACCGCTTACCGTATATAGGGAAATTATTTATCCGAGGTCCACCATCTGCCCAGGTGTAATATGGATGTGCATGGAACCAACCCAACAGACAATATGAATAGGTACCTATGAGCCTATGAATTGAGAGGTTTTTATTTAATTTATTGAACCAGGGCTTTAATTATCCACTGACCTTTGCACATGTGCCAGTGGAGACCTACCAGTTCACACGCTGCATACTACGTAGTAAAGGATCTCGGATCTATATAAAGTCACACGGCCACTGCTACCTCCAGGGCTATGGCCTATCTTTTTTTTGGTCCTTTTCAAGTTGATCTATGTTTTTACCAACCTTTTTATCCCATCAATACTTTTTAGATGTTTTTTCAAACCCAATTTTTTTCCTATTCTTTTTATGTATCAATTCAAGCTCAAATTCAACTTGAAGTTAGACCTCTGGAGTCAAACTTCAAATTACTTCCAATGTTTAGGGCTACTATACCAGTAGCACTGTCAGGAAGCACTGGATACACCCATATTCATGTGTGAAAGGGTTCAAATGTTTGAACTGAATTGTGAAAATATATTAGCTAGTATACATCATGATGACTCAGAACTCCAGATTCTCAAACAGATCGAATATCACTCCTTATCTCTTTTTCATCCCACGTCTTTGCGCTTTCTTCCAGAGATGGGAGATGAGTTTCTCTAAATTTTCTGATTGGTACACCTTCATGAAACAGTCGGTCCACATCTTCAAGAGATTTTCCTTGACAATCTGGCACGCAAAAATATGTAAAAACACAAGCGCAGACCGCCAGACTACCAAAGATAAAGCCAACCTTGGAGTGTAGATTGGCATACCCGTCATCCAGCAAGTATGGCAAAGTAAAAGCAACGACAAAAGTCGTCAGAATATTTGTCAGTGATGCCACACGCTGTGAATGGTCACGAAGAGATAGGGCAGGAATTTCTGTAACAACCACATAGGTAAGAGGTGCCCAACCTAGGCCAAATCCAGCACTGAAGATGGCCATCATTGACGCAATGGCCGTCTTTTCTGGCGTGGTGGCTGGACTAGCTATTCCAAGACCACCCATTGTGAAGAGTGCAGCGACTTGTACAATAGAACCAGCCATGAATAGCTTCCGCCGACCGATCTTGTCGTTGAAGAAATTAGACCAGAGACAGATAACAGTTCCAATTGCACTGGTGATAATTGTGAAATTGTAGGTGTTAATAGTACCGAGGGACTTGACAAAGACCGCGCCGTACTGGCTTGCGAAGGCTTGGCCAGTGGCTTGCTGGAAGAAGCTAAGCCCGATTACGATCGCTGTGCGTTTCAAGTTGACTCCCTGGAAGAGTTCTTTGAATGCGCCTTTTTTGGGTTCGATTTCGAGTCCGACTTGGAGAGAGGATAACTCGGCAGCGATTTCATCGTCCGAAAGTGTGCCTTGACGCAGGCGTTTGAGAGATTTCTCTGCGTCTTCAATTCGTCCTTTGAGGAGGAGCCATCGAGGAGACTAGGTCTCATTAGCTTGGAAGATAGAATTTTTGAAGGGTCCGAGAATCTTACCTCAGGGATAAACCAGATCAGGGACATGATGCAAAATGGAATGATATAGAAAAGTCCAAATGGGATCATCCATGATTGATTCCCCTCTAGAGAACTGGTTCCACGGCAGATAGAGTTGATAATAAGTCCTCCAAGCTGGATTATGAATAAGCACTCAGAAACCAGATGTGTTTTGGGTCAAGGGACAACTTACATAGATGCTCAGTTGGTATGTACCCACAACGAAGCCTCGTACTTGGGTCGGAACGATCTCAGACTGATAAATAGGAACCACGGCCAATTCGACACCGATATAGACATCTAGACTGGTCAGAATTTCGATTTTGATGGTGATAAGACATAGTCTTACAGTTTAAGATGCGCGCCGCCAGAAGTTGACCCCTGCTCCTTGATGTAATGATAATCGTAGCCGTAATCAAAGCGTAGCAGCTCATAAGGAACATAGTAAGACGTCGACCATATCTTTCACTAAACAAACTTCCAATAACCAGACCTGGATATTTCCATTAGTCGCATTCCATGGATACCAGTACCGAGCAAGAGTGCTCACCAACCGCGAATCCAATATAGTTGAGACTATCCAGTAGGGATAAAAAGTATGACTGGATTGACCATGTCCCAGTCGCAGCATCATACTCTCCAAACTGCTTGGTAAACGCAGTCATTGACTGTGTTGTCGAGAATGCTTGGTTATCAAATCCATAGTTAAGTTGTGACAACGCAACTAAGGAACATGACAATGCCAGCGTCCTATTGAAATGCCGTGTGATCGATGAAAACACCATGATGAAATGGATATTTCACAGGTATAAACTCCGTTCTCTGCTTTTTCTTCCCTTCGTATGAAGAGCAAACCCCTGACTTTTGAACTACATCCTTGCCCTATGGTCATGAAACTGACAGGCCTAGAAGCACATTGCTCAAGCGGAGACAGAATGGCGAACGCCCGACTGCCGCATAATCAAGCCGGTACTCGGTCCCGATTACCGATAACCACATTATCTTCAGGTGGAAAAACGCGGGGAGAGTTTAAGAACACTAACATCTTTAACAGTTTAGCCGCCATCAACTTCTTCAAATGTGGGGAACTTCATCCACCTCGTAACCAATCAACATTGTGATTTATTCGCCATAAATACACGCCATGTCCTCATCATTTGTCCAAATCTGATTCCAATCATGTTATCGCTTTGCAGATAGATTGAGAATAATTTTGGAAGCATAATAATTGACCATGGCTGAAAAGGAGAAGAAACAAACTTGCTTACAATGCAGAAAACGAAAGGTGCGATCGATAAGGGGATTTGAACACCCAAGAGAGTTGGATTGAGGCTCATCAATTGATCTTAGGTCCGCTGTGATGGTGAGCTCAATGGCTGTTCCAATTGTGAAAGACTGGATTTTTCATGTGTATTTGTGTCATCTAGCGATACGGCACCTTCAAGTGCCAGTGTTCCTAATGCCGACTTATTTTTAAAGAATGCGCCTCAGGAATGTGCGAACAGTGGTGTCACATCACGCACAAAATATACTATCGGTGGTATTGAACGAAGACGTGGTCTCAGAGCATGTCGTCCATGTCGTGCATCCAAATCTCGATGCAGTGGTAGCTTACCAACATGTCGCCAATGTGAGCGACGAGGTCTCGACTGTCAATACGCGCCGAGTAAGCGCAGGAAAAATCCAAGCGACACGATTCCAGTTGCGACAGAGATCACCCATGCTCAGGTGCTTCAAGCTGATGATCGACATTTGATATATCCTGCAAGATCTGTCAATAGTATACATATGGGCCTATCTGGCGATAGAACCTTCGTTGAATCCCATATTGATGCTTATTTTGAATTCTTCAACGCTATTCCTCAATACAACTTCATTCATAAACCGTCATTCCTGCGAAACTTCCACCAGAATACTCTCGATCCGTTATTCCTGTGCTGTATTTGTGGCATAGCCTCCCGATTTATCCAGCCGGGATTGCAGCAAGGATATGTCGCCGATTGGTTGAAAGAGGTAGAGGCCCAAGTCTGGCCAAAACTCAGCGAAATGAAAGTCGGTAGCTTGCAGATTCTTCTCTCGTTGATCTGTTGGTATTCTGTTGAGCGGAAGGTCTCGAATTTGTGGACTGCTTCTGCTATGGCTGCTAGGATTGCTTATGGACTTCGTCTCAACCATGAAGCATCAGACAAAATGCCATTCATATTGAAAGAGACTCGTCGGCGACTAGTCTGGTCAATATTTATGCTAGACAAGCTCTATGCAGGAGGGTTCCCCGAATTGACTCTATGTCCGGCGGATACACTTCATGTGAAATTGCCATGCGAAGAACAGAACTTCGAGCTTGATATTCCAGTGGAGACCTCTTTGTTGGCGCAGTCTGGTTCATTCTCAGAGGAGTCCGGAATAGGTATCATGGGCTATATTACTCGATTAATGAGTATTCGACACGCAGTTCTCGAGTGAGTAAATATGAAAAATCTATTCAGGGCGAGATATGCTGATCTACATGCCAGGTTAACCAAACAAGTCATCTCATCCAAGATGAATCCTTACTCTACACGCGATGAGATCCAAAATCTCGATAATATGCTGAGCGATTTTGCCCTAGGCTTGCCTGCACATTTAAGAGAGGAGACAAAGAATCTCCTATCCCGTGCATATTCTTCCGGTCTGACAGGCTACATCAATCTGCATACCCTGTGGCATCAGTGCTACTGTGATTTGTACCGCTTGATGATTCCCGGTATTCGAGAGTCTGTCACGGAGGAAGTTCAACAACAAGTACCAGTCGAGTATGCCAATGAATGTCGGCGACGCTGCCTGAGCCATGCGATGGGTATTTGCAAACTCTGGTCAGAGACCCTTCGTGAAGGCGATCTTTCCAGAATATCCGATCAGTCAATTGGCATATATGCATACCAATGTGCCAATGTTCTGGTCAATCTTTGGGATCTAGACCACGACAATGCGTTGAAGTCTTCTTTGCAAACCATTGCGTCTTTTTTGAACAGACTGGTTTTAATATATCCAATCGTTGCCGAGATAGTATGTTCTCATCATATTTCTGAAGAAACAAAATATTTCTAACATATTCCAGCAAACCGAAATCAAGCAGCTTATTAGTAGCCTCGACGTGGTTACGGACTTTTACCGAACACATACGTCAGAGTTCCTAAACCAATCACTGAATTCAGCATGGCGCTCAAGTCTTCGTCAACAGGGAATCCAAGGAGGACAAACCACGTCCAAGTTCTCATTGCTGGAGTTTCTGCAAAATCAGAATAGGTCAGAAGAATCTGCCTCGACGGAGTATACGCCAGGTACTGCGGATCCCGAGCCATGTATTCAGACACAGATAGATCACATAGAGGCTCTGAATATGGGTGTATTAGCACCAAATGCCGATACATCTGATATGTCAGCTGAGTTTTGGTCTTCCACCCCCTTGGATATGGACTTTGGTTCTTATGAGACACGTGTAGATCCTTTCTATCGTATATTTGATGATTGGGCGCTTACAGCTCTGTCTTAGCTCTTGACATTAGTTGATTATCATAAATATTTCAAGTTAAAGCACAATTACTTCACATTGATCGTCAAATCTTTCTGTTTTCTTGAGTCCATAACAGAGAGCTGTAAACGTTGAGCCCCTTGGATACTAGATCCGTGGCACGGGAATTGACATCATACTGATGACCTGCTGTAGCACCATTTAGTCAGGAAAATCAAGGCATTCGCATTCAATATCGACGACAGAAATTATAAGAGATGATTTTTGCGATGTTGGGCCATCATGGGGAGCATATATCCATATCCGCCCATTCCCATAGATGCAGTGGACAATCCACAGCCATTACCAAGAAGGTCTCTACGCCATCCACGAGAGCTAAACCTGATCACAAGTTAGTGGATATTCACCAAAAAATAGCTTGACCTCTAGAAGAAATACGATATTGACTTTGGTCCACAGGAACAACTTCATCAAAATGGGGTCCCCCAGATATGGCCGCCTCCAAAGCACTGCTGGAAACAGCGGACACCGAGAATGAGCGATTACTCCGCACCCACCACCGCTCTCTTGCACCCTGCCCCTTCGTATACGAGACCACTGAAAGTGATGGTAAGAAGATTTGGGTTGTGAGCGTCGCACCGAATATACCAATGTATGATACTCACGCAGCCGGTCGAGAGATCCACATCCATCCGGAGTTCTTGCTCCCCCAATTATCGCAGGTATACAGCGGTAGTCGCAGTGACCCGATAAAGCATTGCATAAATCCAAGAAGATTTCTTTGTGCTGCTGATCTGGAGGCATTGCATCGGTTTTTCCCTGCGGCTATTGGGGCTCGAGTCTTGATCTCTGGGTTCATTATTATACTATTTCGGGACAGGAAGGATGTCGAATCATCGTGGCTTGAGGGATGTGTACCTTCATTTGGTCTTCTTCGATTGGGGTATGATATTGCAGTGCATTATCCAAATGAAGCGGTTCTGGATAGTGGGAATGCCGTTTCGGAATCTCCAGGTAATCTTGATTCTATCACGCCCTTGGGTTTGAAATTGAAGTTCTCGGATGGGTCAGAGGGGATAACTGTTTCCACGCATGCGTTTGTGGACGTGAAGACTCCAGTGAACCATTGTAATAAGGAAACAACCTTGTTTTCCAAAGTCAGATCTACCTTCTCTCGAGCAACTGCTTTGAAAATTAAGGAATGCGTTAAGACGGGATCAGCTGTGGATTCACCTCTTGGTAAGAGTGTTTGGTTTGCGAAAGAGCCACATGAGGTAGGACCACATGAACATCTTATATGACTTGCAATTGACGTTAAAGACAGAAAATCGGGAATATCACAACAACCTTCGATCATCATATAGTCTGTTCGTCGATGTTTCCTCAGACGATTGAGTACAATACCTCAATAATTACGGGTGATCATCTCCCCACTATCTCCAATCCTCCCCGTGCTCCCAAGATCATCGACTGGGGCGACTATCGCGAAGCATTAGATGGTCATTTTGCACTCGCAATGGATATGAACGTAAGACCCAACTGCCCCACGGAAGAAAACCGATTCGACGTATTCGGAAGCATGCAAAAGGTTGTCGTGGAAGGAACAGAATATCTCTGGGATCGAAGATCTCGAACACAATCTGCTGCTTTGCTGTGGAGGGCGATGCATGATGGAACGGAGATGGAGGGTTTATCGGGATCAATACTTTGTCTAGGCGAGTTGACTGATGATGATTGTCGGGCTGTTGCGCTGAAACACTTCGAGATCCCAATATGTCCGCAGCACTTTGTGTGTGATCATTCTGCGCGTGGTGATGTTTCATGGTCTAGTCTTAAAGGTGGATTTCTTCTTCCAGCGGAGATTAGGAAGGCTCAGATTCTATGCGATGGAGGTCAGTCGTCAGGTGTTCCATTGGAAGATCAGACTTGGGATATAGAATGATAGCATAGACGATAATGATGCTGGAGGACTGGTTCAAGTTAGTGTACCAATCAATGTTAGATATCTGTATCTAAGTCAGAAAGGATGTTTTCCATGGGTTCAAATTTTTCCTTCATTAACCATCATTACTATATACCTGCCTAATTACTACAGTACACCAACACTCGTCATTTTAGACTCTGCTCTTTGTCATCTCACTCTTCCGTAGTCTCACTTGGTCTCACTTAGCGCCAGTCGCTGGCAACTCAAGTACATCTCGATTTGGCATCTCTTGGGAGAAGACTCCGCTGACTCCACTCGACTCCATCAACTCCTGAGGCTTTGCAACATTGCGATGATATCCTGGCTGAGGATTCATGCTCTGCATTCTCAGTTGGTTTCTCTGTCGCCAAAGCAAGAAGATCGCACATGCAGACGCAACAAGAGTCACCCCAAGAGCTACTCCCAACCCAATCGCAGCTTTTGTTCCTGTAGACATACCAGACGAGGACCTGGAAGTGGACTCTTGGCGAGTTGAAGACGGATCATAGTCACCGAAGTACTGGGAGATAGTGATTGCACTGGATGTGCCACAGCAAGCTGTGTTATCATCTCCACAGCACCAGGTTGATGAGTTCTTGGTTCCGTCGCAGGGTGTCATGTGCGATGTCTGTTCGATCGAACTGTTAGTTATCATTTTTCAAATGAATTGGCATATTTTGTGCACTCGTTCATACCTCTTCACCCATACAATAGTTCAGGCAATTCCCACTACTGTTCCAATCCGATGTCCAACACTGATCGCGCCAGTATGTGCTCCCCAGCGACCAACTTTCGCCATCATCACCAGTGCCATTCACAATATTCTGACAGAGACCGTTCCCAAGGCAGATGTCAGCAGTCCAACCATCACTTAATAACCCTCCTGACGGGTTGGTCCGGTTCAGGGCACAACACATGGTCTTGGAGCCGTCGATCGCGATGCAAGGCTTGTAAGATTCGCCATCTTGAACTGAACCATCTGGATTATAGCAAGTTGCTAAAACCCTGGCCGGGAAGAGAAGCACGTAGAATACTAGCAGAATAAGCATCATGACAGCAGTTCCAAATGTGCGCTCGTGCTGATGAAGTGGTGCGTGGCAGGTAATTATCGCGTGTTGTTAGTCATTACACTGCATCTGGTGCGTGGTGAGAGTGATACTCGAAGGATTTGGCGCGTGGCAGGAGGAGGAGGGAGGACCTAACTTCCAAGGTTCTGGAGGGGTGACTTTCACTTAACAACAAACCATGATCTCCTCACTTTTCAGGGCCAGGTGCTTAGGTTTCGCGCTATTGCAAATTACTGCAGCTGGGCTGCAAAGGATTCAGCCAAAATTCCACAATTTAGCTTGTCTCGACCTAAGTTAGTCAGCTAATGCATGCAGCCTCGCCTGATTCTCAACCTTGGAATGATACCCACTGTGCAGGTGGTCACACCGCAGTTGTTTTGATAAGCTCAAGCAGAAGATCGGCAGATCTGGACTCAAATTCGCAGTCAACCCACGTCCCTTGGCAGGATGCGTCCTTTTGAATAAGTGACCGATAGCAGCTCGCTCTTCAGAATGCAGTATCCACTGTTTACATATTGTCAGATTCATGGTCTAGCTTGAAATCCTGTCAGGGGGCTGATATACGTGGATTATCATTGTCACATTCTGAGTCTTAAGGGGGTATATAGAGTCTGACTCGATACAAGTCTTGTAAAACAAAACAAGGCAAATGATTCATACAGAAGAGTTGTAATGCCACTGTTGTAAATATGCATTCTCGGAGATCGTTATTCCATTCTGCACCATTATACCAGGACTTTGCGCAGAGTCAGGTCGCAAAGTATCAGTGCGCCCCAGACTAGAGGTACTGTCAGGAGGAGCAAAATGCGTATACTGAGAAGAATCGCTGTTGAAGAGCTCCAAGTCATCACCTTGCGATTGCATCAACTCGCTATCGCGAAGGAAGTGGCCCTTTGGCCAAGAACGCTCTGGTGAGCCAAAGGTGCGAATTGGGGGATCACGATGATCTGATTCTTTAGATGTCCTATTACGCCAGACGATAGCCCCCATCATCGGAGCACAGGAGACAATAATGCCGGCACACATCTCTGCTGCGACCAGTATATTGCCATCTAGCGCGCAGAAAATCATATTGGTCTGGTCACATAGTCTAACTTGAACAAGTCGACCGATATTAATGCCAGCTGTCCTAGATAGTGGTAATGAAGCAAGTCAGAAAGAAACTCCGGAGTAAACCGCTATTCAAGGCTAAGGAACCACTCACACCAAACCAAGTAGAAAGGCCCCTATCACGCCAGCCTTTCTCTCCTTGGGCATTTGCAATGTCCATATCACTGGCATTGGAAGCGCGACGACAATGAGATTAATGACGAGGTTGAATCCGGCAGATGCATACATCAGTCCTGTTCCATCTCCGCAAGTACCTTTCACTGTGACATCCCACATGATATTTATCGGGCGACAAATCAAATTCATGCTCAGAATAGCTGCAATCCAGTAGGCAATTACAGTAATTTCGGTGGCTACTGAGATCCAATAGAACCATCTCCCTCTGAAAAGTTCCATATAAAGTAGGATAATCCCCAGACGAAATGCTGTGCCGCCAAAGATGAAGAACCATTCTGATGCAAAAAAGATCTAATTGTTTTTTAGAATTGAACCTTTGCTCTTGAATAAGAAAGTTGAGGTGGATACCAAGATTTACTTACTTTCATTCTTGTACTATTATCTTTTAATGATATTGAAGTAATATTAGCGCCATAGTGCCCTATAGTAACAGCTAGAAGAAAAGCATTAGCCGAAGATCTAGAAAAAGTCGAATGAACTGAGAATAGGAGTTGCCTACCTGTAATCATATTAATAAAATACGCTGTAAGGCAAAGCTACAAAGGTTAGTTAGATGCATCAAAACACGTGGTGGGATAAAAATGCACCAATGCCAGGGCTACGAGCCAGTCATGTATCTTCATCGAGCGTTTTAGAGTTCGAATACTCCATAATTGTAAGGCAAAGGCGACTGAACTTGGTACTTCGAGGATGGCTAACCAAATAACCATTCTTAACTGACTTTCTCTTAGAGTGACCATGATGTGCGTTCTGTAAAGAAACTCGGGGCTTCAAAGAATACCCGACTACGTGTTAAACATTTGGAAGGGGGAAGTTAGGATAAGATGGAAACATCATCCCTATAACGCTCTGTGGCAAAATATTCAGTAAAACAAGTTGTTTTAATGCACTGCAACTTGAATGCATGACAAGTGGCTGGGGGCTGGTATGTGGATTATTCCATTCTTAGAAAGGAACTTCGTCATAAGGGTCACTTCAAGCTCGGCGAAAGCCTGCCAAGTGTGAATATAATCCAATGAATTGCAGATTTCTTCCAAATTTTGAAGCTTGATGATTGTCTCGAGTGAGTGCAAGATGAATCATCATCATTTCTGGCCCTAAACCTAGAGCTGAGAAGCCAGCTATAATGAAATTCTTACACAGGGGTATTTCCTATTGGAAGACCCATATCTTTGGCTACTTATGACGGGTATCCTAGGGGGGCCTTAAAGTGCTGATCTGAACACAAGAAGCGCTTTAACAAGAATCGTGGTTCGTTACAATTTACTGCAGCGCTGGATGCAAAAGCTGATTTGGGGAGAACATAGGGCGTGCATTCAGTTCATGTAGGCCCCCCCACCTTGGCATTATGCAAGCCCCTTCTTTACAGTTTCACCCTCCTTACCCGGAACTTGAATCTTCAGGCTCTTTCAATCTTGACTATCTTGTTGGTAGTACAGGATGGGGGCGGAATATGATACTCGAACGTGGGAGCTTTATTATTGAAGCTCGATTATCCTATTCAAGTTCCTTGCCACGTCCAATTTCCATTACATATGACAAATACAGGGTTTCAATCTGATTCAAGTTCTAGTCTCAGCCTATACTTGATCTTTCCATCTGATGTTTTCTAAGATAAGATCAGCCAAGCACTGGCAAGCGATACTAAATAAAGATTAGATGGATTACTATAAAAAATATACATATATGGCTCCGAGTCATCACGCACTTCTCAACTCAAAATTCTTATTGATCCCTTCAGGGCTTGGATGATAGGTATGTCAATCTTAAACGATGGATTTAAAATAATTGATTGAATAAGAACATTGAAATAAACCAAAACAATACTACTAGTACTCCAGGGCTGCTTCACTCATCCAAAATCTGATGTCCAAATAGCTTCAACTTCAATTTATAATGGCGAACTACAGCAATCAACAAGATTATCAACTAGTCGTAGGTGAGTTCAATTGGAATGTTGAAGTTGAAGTTTAAGTTGATAGTAATAGGAGAATTTATTCAGCCTCACATTTGAATTTTCCCTATACACTGGACCGGTTGGCTGTATATGAACATCGAAACAACTTGAAAAGAGAATTGCGAATGAATTTCACTGACTCATAATATGTCATATATCTATTTTGATCTTCACACATGTTTATACGGAGTACGGCACAGGAATATAATATTCCAAGGTTCTGATAACTCCGTCGGTCTTATTGATGCCTAGTCTCCACCCCGGCATCTACAGACTAAAACGGCAAACCCGACCGGACTTCATCCCGAGAACTCGGTGATTCGTATTTATCTCTGCCGCCTTCCCGCTTTCAAGTTTGATCTTGATCATCCGAGTCTTCACCACATTACAAAAGGAGTATGGCAGAGTCATCTCAATCGCGCGCGGTGCGCGTCATCACCAATGCTCTTCATGAGCTTGGTCTCGTCACTATGTGGAACTCATCGCGGGATGTCAAGTATCTCTGCGCGCAACGCTTCGTGCGGCTATTTGCCTATGGTGGCTCAACGCTTATTCTGGTCTCTTATCTATCTGCTATTGGCATCCCCGACGATGGAATCGGTCTATTCATGACCCTTACTCTCGTTGGAGATGTGGTTATCAGTTTCTTCTTGACTCTTTTTGCGGATGCCATGGGTCGCAAGGCGGTTTTATCGCTTGGATCGCTGATGATGGCCGCCAGTGGAATTGTCTTTGCACTTTCTGGTAATTACTGGGTTCTTCTGGCAGCCGCTGTCTTTGGTGTTATTAGTCCTAGGTATGTGAAATCCCTTGGCTTTCAAGTGACAGGGAATATTTGTTGACTTTTAACAGTGGGAATGAAATTGGTCCATTCCGCGCAGTGGAGGAATCTACATTGGCGCATCTCACACCCCATGAACTACTTAGCGATGTCTTCGCGTGGTATTCTCTTGTGGGTACAGCAGGTACCGCGCTGGGTCAGCTGGTCTGTGGCTGGATCATCAGTTCGCTGCGGTCGCTGCATGGATGGGAATTTCTTCCTTCTTGCCAGATTATCTTCTTCATCTATGCGGGAATTGGTTTGGCCAAATTCATTTTGACCTTGGGACTTTCACCAAATGTCGAAGCTACTAAGGAGGAGCCTCAACAAAATGGTGAGACTCGTCCGCTTCTCCAGGAGTCCGGTTCAGAGGAAGCAGAACCTCTCAAGAAGAAGTCTCTCTGGGCATCTATGGACGCCGATTTGTGGTCGCTGGTCATTCGACTCTTCATTCTCTTTGGTCTCGATTCATTCGCGTCTGGATTGGCATCTCTGTACGTATTATTCCCTGCATGAGTTGGCTTTTTACTAATATTTCCCAGATCATGGATGGCCTATTTCTTCAAGCGCAAGTTCAATTTGCCCGAGGGCGAACTTGGAACCATTTTCTTTGTCACAAGTAGTATTGCTGCGGCCTCTATGCTACTCGCTTCTTCGATCGCGAAGCGCATTGGAAATGTGAAGGTACATCGCCATTTCTCTCCCCATAATTTATGTATGGACTGCAACCGCTAACAATTACTAGACAATGGTCTTCACTCATTTACCATCGACTATCTGCTTGACCCTCATTCCTGTCCCTAATAATCTAGCAGCAGCTCTGACTTTCCTCGTACTGCGAGCCTGTTCCCAGAATATGGATGTCGCCCCCCGTGGGGCGTTCCTTGCTGCTGCTTTGCCATCCGACAAGCGAACCGCTATTATGGGATCTGTCAATGTGGTCAAAACCACGGCTCAGAGTTTGGGTCCCCTTTTGACAGGTATCCTGGCCCGCAACAATATGTTCGGAGTCTCTTTCATGATTGCTGGTTGCTTGAAGATCGTTTATGATCTGGGCATGCTGTTCAGCTTTGCTGGCAAGGAGGCTGCTAGTCGTAAGGCTGCACAGGAGAGCGACGAGGAGACTAGCTAGAGTTGACTAGCTAGAGTTAACTTTCATTTCCACTGGTTCCTGGTAAAGGTCTGAACCCTGGTAGAGATATGGATCTCTTTTAAGTCCCTCAACGAAAAATTCATATAATTGGATGTGGGTCCGTTGATCTGAAACCAGTTAAAATACAAATTCTTAGAATTCGATAGACTTATAAATATCTATACAAATTCCCCAGATTCCGAGACAAATTCCATCTTGTAGTTCAACTTGAGGCCGCGCGGCATCAAAAAGGGTTAGACAAGCGGGTCCCTCGGAAGTCACGATTCAACCCCTTATAATACACCGTCGGCAGTTATTCGTGGTCGATAACTAGGCAGACACTTTTTTCATTGCTTAATTCTATTTAGCTTTTTAGTTCTATGGATCTATGATCTTCATTCGTTTAAGAAAGTCTATACGGAGGTCGGTCCGGAAAGTTCTCGCCAGAAATTATAATTTCTTTTTCTCACACTAGGCTATATACAGTAAATATTGAAATATATCGCGTAATCAAGATGTATATAAAACGGAAATATATAGTACTGAAATATAATAACAGCTTGAAACAGTAAATATTCACATATCTTCCCATATATCGCTGTCGCTGTCGCTGTCGCTGTCGCTGTCGCTGTCGTTGCCGCTGCCGCTGTTATAGGCGTTATCACCTAACCCGCTAGGGGCTACTTCACCTAATTTATCACGCCCCTCACCGTATTCGTTGCCCCCTTCTAGTCTAATGACTTGCTGTATATGCCATGGTATACGTTCAATCCAAGCTTGAATTTGCGCCTGTGGTAGATCACGCCACGCAGCCTCCCATACTTTAATCCCTTCTTTACGCGATTTAGGTGCTCCTTTTCGCGTAGTGTATCTCTTCATCCAAGGCCATGCAGGTTCAATCATATTTAGATCAGGCGAATTTCCAGGCCAGATCATTCGTTGGACCCCCATTATATCAAATATTCGCTGTTGGTAGTGATGTGAATGGGCTGGTGCTTTATCCTCTTGAACTATTGTTTTCGTTCGAATTCGAGCACATTCTTGGGCGAATGGAAGTAGTTTTGGGGCTAAAATCACGGTGTTGTATCGGTACCAATCGATTCCACCTTTCGAATTGCGTGCAAGCTTTCCATTCTTCTGAGTCCATCTCCACTGAGGTTGTCTTCCAGGCTTATTGCGTAGCCCTAATCGCTGTATACCTGAATTAAGCTCCCATTCTGCACGCATAATAGGCTCTAATTCAGTATTCCATTCGGCGATTTGGTGTTCTGCTTCACGCTTTTGGGCTGTAGTTTCAGGTACCCAACAATGACAGGGGCCCTTCTGATCATAAGAAAAAGCACCCCAAAACATGAACTCAGAGGCCCCCTTCCAACGTTCTCGAATACAGCTTCGGACGAACCGCTCACTAGAAGTACGCCATACACGATATCCACCCCGACGGTGTAATAAAACAACCGCAGTTTCATCAGTCCAAATCACATTCTTCCAGTCTTCTATAGTCCAATGGGCGTGTTTTAAACACCATTCAAGACGTTGTTTTTTCTGCTCAGCGGCAAGCCCAGGCTTACGTGTAGGCTTTGTTTTTCGTAGGCCAATTTTTCGTAGTACATGCCAAACTGTTGTTTTTGATATATTAATCCCTAATTATAGAAGAAATATTAGAGGAAATAACATATCAAGTAACATATGAGATAACATATCAAATAACACACCAAGTAACACATCAAATATTATACTAAATAACATATTAAATAACACACTAAATAAAATATCAAATCTTAGAATAACTAACCTGATTCACTGCGTAGCTCTGCAGCTAGCTGTTCACATGTTTTCTCACGCCCATAGCGGTCTACACGGATTTTCGCCCCAAGTGTGGTTTTAAGCTCATCTGTTTGCTTAGATGGACGCCCAGAACGTGCTTTATCAGCTAACATTTCATCTGATATATTGAATGGTCGCTGATTCGGCTGAAAACCTCGTTCGAGTGCACGGTTCCATATGTCTCCTATAGTACGCCGTGGAATATTCATAAATTCACTGATCTCCTTAGGGGCATGTCCTTGGGCCCTTAGGTATACAATGACAGCACGTTGCGCAATATTGGTCTTCATTGTAGCTGTATAGGTGGGACAAAAGTGTAGCTGTGTAGGTGGGATAAAAGTGTGAAGGGGTGTACGGACTGTAGGCGGGGTAAAAGATAAAGATCTACGTGTCCACGGGTGTTATAAGCAATATTTAGCCTAGTACGTAACACGGCAATACATCCAATATACAGCAGGCTATACACCTGACATACAGGGCCGGTAATATATCAAGAAAAAGAAATTATAATTTCTGGCGAGAACTTTCCGGACCGACCTCCGTACTGAATTGAAAGAATTAACCTCCCTATTTAGGTGATTCTGATGTAGGCAGCGACTTTCTGCCCTTGTGTCATTGGGCAAGTATTCCACTATGGCAGCACAACTCATAAATTTTATGAATAGTCTCAAGATTACCTCGTATCCAGGAGTCCTAAGACTTATATCATCCCTCTCCACAATTGACCCTCAGCTATGACGGGTGCCTGACGCTTTATGTGATTTCCTGTGTTCAATTGGGAATACTCGCTTAGGCTATACATTTTCAACCATTTATATGACATCCAACTTGACCAAGATCAAACTTGAACATCGTGATCAAACATCGTGATTTTAGCCTTGTCAAGTTCTATCATTATGTCTAACCAGGGTTCCTGGTCTTCTCGGCCATCAGCATGGGTGCCATTGCAATCAGTTTCAACAGATACCTCTCTTCCTTCTTACTCCGATCATCGGGACGACACATTCGAGCTTGATGAGGAATCATTCACCACAATGAAATATTCACACATATCAGATCCATCCATACCATCATGGCGTGACCCATCTACGGACTGTGATACACACCGATCGAGATCTCGCACGAGGCGGATACGAGTGTGTCGCGTGCTGAAACGCCCTTTTTGGGTTCTCTTTGTGATCTTGTATGTTCTGAGATTTCTATGCTTAAAATGTACCATATCTAATTGTCATTTTAGTGGATTTGCAGCTTTCATTACTCTCTCACTTGACATCATTCTCTCTTTCTTCGCCGAAACTCGAGACATGCACATCTTCCCCGGTCATCCACCCTCTTCCTTCTCCAGTTGGACTACTCACGGCGTGAACCCAGTTCCATGTCACTCCCACAATGATTATTGGCGTCGGATCCCTCTTTACTCGGCTTTAGTTGCAGGGTGCACCAGTGTGGAAGCCGATATCTGGCCTGATGAGGAAGAATTACGAGTCGGTCATTCGCGACGGACAATCCTCGATGGTCAATCACTTCGCAGTCTCTATCTTGATCCTTTACTCAAAATGCTTGAGCAACATAATCCCTTGCCAGTCAATGCATCGGATTTGGAGGATGAATCAGAAATGACAGCAGATAATGAGATTGTGGGTTTATTCGCCAACGACCCAACGCAAACGCTGGTCCTTCTTATCGACTTCAAAGCTGAGCCTGAGAAGAGCTGGTCTCTTCTAATGAATCAATTGGAACCACTACGTGAAAGAGGATTCTTAAGCTACTTCCAGGGACGGCACTTCTTTAACCGCCCGGTAACGATTGTTGCAACAGGCGATGCACCCTTCCATCTTCTCGTCGAAAATTCTACAGTGAGAGATGTATTCTACGATGCGCCGTTGGATAGACTGTCACATTCCCCCGATCCCGGTCTCTATGGTGAACCGTCAGACAATTCTCAAGTGCAGGAGCAGGATGATGGATTCGTCTTCAATGCTGAGAATAGTTATTATGCGTCGGTGGATTTTCATAAGACGATCGGTCCGCTCGCGTTGGGGTTCTTCTCAGATGATCAGCTTGTCAGACTGAGGAGTCAGATTCATGCTGCCCATTCGCGCGGACTGAAAGTTAGATATTGGGGTACGCCGAAGTGGCCTGTTGGGTTGAGGAATTATGTATGGAGAGTCTTGGTGAGTGAGGATGTGGATGTTCTCAATGTTGATGATCTGTACGGGGCGACGAGACAAGATTGGAGGTTGAAGTGGTGGAGGTGACATTAAGTTATGGTTTTTATTATGGAGTTAATAGAGAAGGTTTTTCTCACTTTCAATAAAACTAGGTTCTTTCCAAGTTCATATAGACATTATCCAGCACTTTATACACAGTAACGACCGTACACGTCCGTTAATCTCAAAGAACCAACTTAAACGAGGGATTGCGATCATCGTTATACTCTGCGTACTGCTCGTATTTTCCATTTTTCTTATCCCGATTCACCTTGGCGCAATACAGCACGTTGAACAGAATCCTATAAGGTTAGTCATTGTCAATTGAAGAGAAGCATAGCTTTGGATACTCACATAAGCCAAGCAAAGACCAGAAGTCCAAGGATAATGGTATGACCTCGATGAAACTGTGGGCCATCCTTAGAGGGATAGTTGAACGCTGTCACAAGACTGATAAGTGATGCAATAGACAACGTCCTGATACTCAAACTTACTAGCGACAAATCCTCCACAGTTCGCAATTGCTAGCTGCAAGGCAGATGTTGTTGCCCGTTTATAGTGACCAGATGAATTATTTGACATCCACACCAGGATACATGGGACGCTGGCATATTGTCCGGTAGCCATGAGGAAGGTCATTCCGTACTGCACGCGGGGAGAGTCGATGTTGGCGATCACGGCGTATCCGATAATGGCAATAGGGAGTGTGAAGAGCATCACAGTGCCTCGTAGGTGTAGACGATCGGAGACGATTGCCACGATAACTAGCTATGTCAATATGGCGGACACTTTGTATCATAGTTAAGTAGCATTTACCTGTGACAGCTGTAGCTACCGCATAAGGAATGACAGACCAAAGTTGAACTTCATTAGCATTTTTGGCAAAGCCAAGGTTCTCGATAATGGTAGGGAGCTATAATTTATTAGTTGTGTCACTGGTCGAAGGGGGAGATGTAGCTTACGAATAGACCAAACGAGTATAATCCAGAGAGAATGGCAAAATATGCAGATGCAGAGAGCCACACCTGCAGACTCAAAAAACCTCGCCGCACCTCTGACCAAATAAATGATTGTTCCTCCGCAGCCAAGGTTCTATGAACATCAGCACTGATAGGTTCGGTTGAGAAGGGTTAACATACCCATCGGCGCTCTTTGGACTATCCAGCATTAATCGTTCACGACCAACTGTCTTTTCCTCGGCTGACAGAAAGGACGCAGATTCCAACGAGTTCGGGAGGAGGAGGTAACTGAGGACACCACATACGAACGTCTGTCTCTTAGCAACTGAACGGAATTGGTGTGAAAGAAGCGCTCACCAAGAGGCCCTCAATTATGAAGATCCATCTCCATTCTTCCATCCCTCCTCGATTTCCAATTGCGGCGAGTCCACGAGCAAGCAAACCTGAAACATTTAGTAACCGTCTTTAATAAGCCCAATTCATACGTACCACCAAAAGCACCTGACAATGAGGCGGCGGTATAAAACAATCCAATGCGAAGAGCAAGATCCGTCCTTCGATAGAACGATGACAAATACAAGATCTGAACCGATCAGTCCAATTCCAATCATGAGTTCAGTGAGATAGTTCCTACCATGCCAGGCAATAGTCCACCCTCGGCAATACCCAGTAACGCACGCACAGCGACAAACCCAGCATAGTTCTGCACGAATCCCAGGCACATCGTGATAATGCCCCACATAATAGTCAAGAATGGCAGCCATATCTTTGGTGATGCTTTCTTCAGCACTAGGTTACTCGGAACCTCACTGGACTCTCACATCAGTACGTGGTATCCCGATATCCGTTGTATAAGGAATAATATCCCACCTGCAGACATAAAAGAGATAATACACCGTCAAGCCAATCTCGTATTGGTGATCCGTGATATTGATATCCTTCTTAAGACCATAAATCTTCGCATTTCCAACATTTGTGCGATCGAGGAACGAACACAGGAAGAGGAGGGCTAACGTAGGGAGGATACTGTAATGCAATTATCAGCTCGAATATTAGATAAATATAGGTAATCATGGTTGAATTGAATCAAGCTGGAAAGGAGTCACTTACTGAAAATCTAATCTCAAAAGCAAGCTCCGCACAACTTTGCCCTGGTGTTCAGAATTCTCATGTTGAACATGCTTAGATTCCTCGACCTCCAGAATGCCCGGTTTGGGCTCCATGCTTGAGAGAATGGTTATTTAGGACCCTGTGATGATTTTCTTTCTCTCTTGGAGTCGTATGTATGAATCACTGTCCATCTGTTCACAAGAAAGGAGCTGACGCGACGGAAAACCCTTCGGGGCTTACTTTTGGGTCCGAGCGCAAGGACCCTTTCCCCGCTTTCCCGGGGTTTCTGGGGTACACATATGGAATAGCTTAATTTTAGTATTAGTCAAATGCTTTTTTTTCTTGGGGAAATGTATGATTTCTAGGTTTAAATATCGGCTCTACTTTTGATTGCCGTAATTTGATTCGATTTGTGCTACAATCCGGCATAGCTTCCTCGGTTCATTTACCCTATTCTCACATTGCGTACGAAGTACTAGTACGAAGTTCAAGAATTTGAGGCCCTCGGTTCAAGTGACTAGGATTGCTTTTTCTCTATTTAAAGTTCTCTCGGCAGAATTTACTCGGCGCTTCCCTTCTTACATGCCTCTAATTTCTGTGCATCACTCTTCATGCCATCCATAACCCATTCCCGATGGAACTGTTCAAACTTTTTGGTCAACTGCCCATCCTTGTCCTCTGCTAAAGCAACGACACCATGTGGCTCAGGTACATTCATTCCATTTTGGATGCTTGGCCTCGTCAGCAGCCTGGTATACCAAGCCTGGACGGCAGGAAACTCCCCAAGGTCCAGACCCGCCCACGGAGCTGTCGCAGCCAGACTCCAAAAGGCAATATCCACGATGGTGAACTTATCACCGACAATATATCCCCCATTATTATTTGAAAGTTGTTTTTCCAGAACCGAGTAGAGTCTTCTTGACTCATTGTGGTATCGATCGAGCGCATACGGAATCTTCTCGGGCACATGTCTCAGAAAGTGCGTGGCCTGTCCCTGAAAAGGGCCAACACCACCAACCTGAAAGAAGAGCTTGAGGCATGCACGTTAAAATTGATCCAGCAGATCAAGCTCATTGATAGATCCGAAACTCACCCAACTGAAAAGTTCATAGTTCTCACGAGTCCCGTGTGGGTACCAGAGCTTGAAGTCGGTGTCGTATTGCTCGACGAGATATTTCAGCACATTTCCGGACTCCCAGATGTGAATCTCCTTGCCATCACTGAAGATATCTGTGATGGCCGGGATTTTACCATTGGGATTGATGTCCAAATACCACGGCTCCTTGTGAGTTCGAGCGCTGAAGTCATGTTTGTACACGCGGTAAGGGATACCGAGTTCCTCGAGAAGGATGGATGCCTTGTTTCCATTTGGAGTCTGGGTTGTGTAAAGGATTATGTTGGGAGCTGAGCGGACAGACATAATGAAATAAAGTATAATGAACTTTGCTGAGAGGGAATTCCTGGCAGAAGAATGATATTGATAGGATTATCAAAGATGCAAGCGACGAAGACCGTTATATAGTATTCTTTTGCGTGAACTGGGCAACAACATCTCCAACCTCTCCAAGTTTTCAAATTTTGAATTTCAAATCATATATTATTAATTAAGACATCTGGAGAATCATGGACTGAGATGGAATATGAAGATAATAATCATCTACAATCTCTGTGTTTCAAAATTCCCTTTTTTGGAAGTATCTCAACGTCATATATAAGGACGCTAGACTATGGCTGGACTAGTGCAGTGGATAGTAGATTGATTTAGTAGATCCAGACAATATTCCAAAGCCTCTTTGGCTCGGTGGACCCTTCTTTACTGAGCACCAGGAAAAATAGCCGATGAGTGAGGCACATGCAAAATTACTGAGATACCAGTTGGCATCAGCCTAGCCCAAGATTAGTATGAGTAGGAAGGAATCAACATTTGATTGAATACACGTTATTACTCCATGTTATTTCCACGGCTTGTATTTGTTCAAGCTCTCCAAAGAGTGACGTTCCAACTGTAGTTTGGCGGCTGAAAGTTGAAAACGGCGCGCGGAGCGTGGCATTAAGACTTGTAACAACCTTTTCCAACTTGAAATCCATCCACCTGGCATAGTGGCTTAACAGTACTTGAGCGGCCCACTTAAAACGCATTTATGGAATACGCCCACTTGGACACCGGATATAGTCCGTAACGCTTGAAATGAGAATGAAAAATTCAAGAATCACGAGATTACCATGCGCCACAGTGATCAAACCAGGAAATCTCCATTTCTCTCATTCCCACAGAAGATTCCGTTAACCACACTACTGAAACAGCGAAATCATAGTACAATGACTCATTCGCTGACCTCTCAATCCAAGCACAAGCTGACTGAGAACAGCACAAGATCCCTCCGAAGAGAATTTCATTTCGTGGATACAGCGAACAGCCATTACAGACGAAATGCCCGCTCTTACATGGCCACCGAGCGCCTCCGTCACTTACGAAGATGTAGTAATAGGTCCGAGACCACGATGAGCCCTCAACTTCAGGAAGCTCCGAACTCCTTCAATGTCGACACGGCTTCTACCAAGGGCCAGAGAAAGCGGTCTATTTATGAACGGCGATTCAGGCTCAGCGGACTCGAATCTCCAGAGAAAGACACTAGTGAATACCATACTATGGAATGCATACCACGATGTGCAACTTGCGAGGGCATCGACCCATTCCAAACTTTACCAATCGCGCCTTCATTTGAGGTGCTCCAACTTGTTGACCACTGTATGCTTGTCTCATCTTCAGGGGAGAAGTCGTTTTACTGAGAAATGCTGCGTAGATACAAGGGTCATACCTACATTTCTACCGACCCCAACCCAAAACAGCACGATACAACATCAGCCAGCTGTTGATTTGTTCCACTTATACCGCTCCCATCCTGCCTCTTTTCTGGGGATGTTGTATCACTCTGCGCGCCATAAAGAAAGCCTTTATAATGATAACCGGGGGGAATCTCTCTCACTGATATTCAAAATTAAGACAATCCGGGAAGTGAATCAACAAGTAACGAATGCCAGAGCGCAAGGTCTCCATCCCGATGCCGGCACAGTATTGGCAATTTACCAACTCGCGATTGCGGAAAGAATGTGGGGTGATATTGATACATTCAGGCTCCATTGGAGGGCGATGTATGACATTATCGATGCTAAAGGTGGTGCTGAAACGTTCACTACTGATGAACTTATGTACACTAAGGTGCTGTGGAATTGTTTTGCACTATTGAATGCACGGGATGGCTATTTCAACTGCCTTTCAAATACCCGCGCACTAATGGCAAATTATGACTTTCAAATACCCACGGAAAACATGATCAGGAACTGTCACTCCTTTTCTCAGTCCTATACAGATCGGAGGGCCTCTGTACTGCGGCTTTTGCCAAATTCAGAGGCTGAATCACTCCTTCTATGTGAAACATATCCTCGAAGGGTCAAGGCCTTTCAACGCGGTACGGTGATCCACCAAGTTTTGGAAAAGAGACCCCAGCAGAGTCTCGAGGCTTTCACAGTTGAAGATTCAGTCCCAAATCGCGCTATACAGATTGCTGGGGACAGACTGCGGGCGGATAATTGCAGACTTGCGTGCATTATATATCTGAACTTTCTACTCTTGGATATTGGCGATTGCTCCGAGGCTACTGAGAATTTCCTTTATGCGCTCGAAGAAGCATTGACCAGGGACAAACATATGCTCTCACCGGAATACCTACTCTGGACACTGCTTCGTGTCCCTTATCCCGTTACCACAAAGAAATCAAGAGAAACGTGGGCCCGGGTAATCCAGATCATGGCAGTTGTGAAACGTGCGAGATATCAAAGTATCACATGCTATCAAGAAGTAATGTTCCTATTCCTTCAACTCCCTACCAATGCGACCGAGCTGTCTCCATCATTCAAGATAAAAATATGTGGTATAGTGGATGAAGCAATGTGTCATGGACCGGGCGCACAGGTCGATATGACCGCTTCAAGACATGCGATGGAAAATAGTAACGATGACTCTGGGGCAGTGGCCTCGCAGATATACTGTGAATTGATGTGGTTTGCTCGCAAATCATAGCAGTAGGCAGATGTCCGTTCTATGGGGCGAAGAAAATCGCCCCCACGCTTGAAGATTATAAAAATTTCAGAAATAATCGCTTTTGTAGAGTCACTTCCTAGAGTTTCAGATTCTACAATCTAATATCCGGGGGAATTGGGTCCAGGAATTCTAGTACTCTGTATATTTCCCTGCAATCGACTATAAACTGTTGAGACTTGGACCAGTGTTTATCATCTGATCCACGCCCTGCGGGGACCATCCCCCTTCGCTCCCCAGTGCTCGCACTCATAACTAAATCTATAAAGGTGGAACCGTTCCTGTACCTCCTGATAGGCTCGAATCTTGTTGTAGTTGCTCTGTTTACGCAAGCAAAGAAAAGAGGATTACATCGTATATATCCCGCACCACTGTAGCTGAATGTCGGAGGTTAGCACATGTGCATTCATCTAATTTCTATCGTGACTTCACCTAGTCAACATGCATTACTCGCTATGACAGATTCCGAGCCCCTGTACAACACCTACTTACTGAAACGCGATCGAGCCGAAGCTACCATGTATATAGAACAGCGATAATTTGGAATTCGAACAACACTGATTGCACAATTAGGCTTGGATCACAGCCCCTGCTATGGAAACTACACATGAACTATCTTATCTTCTTCACCCTAGTATCCCCATCAAGGATGATATGGCAATCGCTGATATTGGGGCAGGCACGGGGTATCCAAAAAATTTACCCCTGGTCATGATGTTTTGACTTCCATAATAACGCATCATTATATACAGGCTCTGGGCTATCGAGGTAGCCGTGCAACTTCCCTCGGCTCAAATTATTGCATACGATATCTCCGACACTCACTTCCCTCTCCCGGAATACCGCGCACCCAATGTCACATTCAATCATCTGGACTTTCTCGGCGATATTCCCTCGTCTCTGGTGGGCCAATTCGATGTGGTTCATCTGCGTACATGGGCATTCATAATTCGTGATAACGACCCTAGCTACCTCATCCAGAATGCATCCAAGTTGCTTAGTGAGTTTTCCTGATGTATATCTAAGACAAACTTTGCCAACTGACTTTTATACTAGTACGAATCATGCAGAGCCTGATGGATATATTCAGTGGGAAGATGCTCGATTCGACAATGCTGTGGTCAAAGGCGATGCCGCCCTCCAGCTTCGGAGGATGATGCGTCAAATGAGTGATGCCACAAACCTCAATTTCCAGTAAATATTGCACCTGAACCGAACAAAGCAAATCCCTTATTCAAATTTCCTTCAATTTAGGTGGGTCGATCAACTTGATCAGCATATCAACCGAGAAGCCTATTTAGAGGTTGTCGAGTGCCAGTACAAGCCGTGGTCAAGCCAGCTGATCCCGCTTTGTATGAATACTTTCTTCGTGGCTCTGGAGAATACTGCTGCCCTTCTCGATCGTCTGAAACTGGTCCAGCCTCCTGTCCCAAGCTCAGATGATTGGATTAAAGCTCTGGAAAATGTGCAGAAAGAAAGCCGTAATGGCGAGCAGCTTTATTGGCTCCCGGTTACCCTGCTAGCTAGGAAGGATGCTTGATATTTGGAATATCTCCCAAGTCCCTTTCCTACTTGGCCGTCCTTAGCATATTTTACTGAATATCACAGATCCACCAAACATAGATCTATAACAGAATAGCTACTTGTTGAGGTCATTTGATGGCTCGGGGGAATGCGTTGTTTCTCATAAATGCGAAGTATCATAAAGGCATTTGAAAGTCTGATCATCCCATGAACGAGTTTAAACTCCTGGTGGGGCTAGGATTCTGCTGAGAATATTTTCAATATTATATAGAGCTTCACTTTACAACTGGAAAGAGTGATAGATATGATTCCGAGAGGTCTAGCAATTGCCATTGTAACCTTGAAAGCTAAGGTCGGATACACAAAGGAAGTGATCCTCTCATTGTTTCTGATCCAGTTCAAAGTTGAAGCCCACTTCAGCAACAGTTGTCACTGAGAATATCTCCTCATCACGCGCTTCAGTTGCAATTCTGATATGTTGTATGGTTTTTTGTAGCCATTTTTGCCTTTCATCCCAAAATGGTGTTGCCACATACTCTCTTTCGCCTTCTTTCTGTGCTGACATACACCAATGATACATTCCGTTCATGTACTCCCTATCTGCAGGACAACTGAGCTTGCGGAAGTCTTTTCCTGATCCAACGAGACGCTCCTTGCATTCAAGACATTCCACTATCTTCTTATGAGAGGGAGGCTGGAGCCTCCCAGACCACACACAAGAAATCACAGCACCCTGCGTTTCAACGAAGGGGAATGCAACGACACGCAATGACAGAAGGCGAAAGCCAAAGAAGGAAAGTCCATATGGAATGTATGAAGAAATGTTTTTTGGTTACCTTCTCCTATTCCGTCCCGAAATCCTGGTAAGCCAGACAAGAATGGGTAATTTTACTCATATCCCGTACAGAATATCACAAAATTGACCTCTCGTTCTTCTTTTCCATCTGCAAAAATGACACATCTCCGCTGTACATCGAGGTGAATTGGTTCAGGATAAAACTTTCTACCTTTTGCATGGCATCAAGACCATGGTGAAAGTCCGTCTTCGGACTTTCGAGCTATCAAAATTTCATCTTTACGAACAGGCTCTAATTGATTGACCAGGTCGGTACCAGACGAAGAGAAGCCAACAATGAGAACTATCTATCTCATTGTGTCAATATGGGATTTGGTTTATTGGCTAAAAGAGACTTGCCTTGTTTGAGAATGGCTCCGAAGCCCTGAAGTCTTTTGAATGCATCAAAGATCCTGGGTCTACTGCCTTCCATTCATCGATCCCAGATATGTTTGGGATATATGGCTTGTTGTATCTGCCATTGGCTACCACGACAGCATTATATTCCTGTTCAAACGAAATCCCTTCTTCTGCGTCGAGAATTTTCACCTTCCAACCTGTTCTCGATTCTTCTTGGAGGCGTGAGACATCCTCTACTTGGTGTCGAAATTCACAAGATGAAGAACTGGTTCTGCGTATTCTGTCAAATATTTGTGTACAGCTTTCACATTTGGTAGCAGTGGAGTCCCGGGTGGAAAGTGATGCGTATAGTATTGCATCGCTTCGCTGGGTATGTTAGACTCCGTATCATCATAGATCGGGCTTCCGAATGCTTCGACATCAACCTTCGGCGATTTCGAATCCGTATTCCAGATTCCCCCGACATTACTTCGTAGCTCAAATATCTCCACGGAAAAAGCGTTTTCCGAAAGAAGATACCTATGAAAGCCATGGTTAATATTGACTCTGGACAGATGAAACTGTGGAACAGCTCATCGACTTACTTGGCTACCGCGATCCTCAAGTGCTGCAGGGTCCACCCCCGATAAAGGCAATTTTCCGGATCTGGGGCTCCAGGTTCGCCATGGTTTAACAAGCACCTTGATCTATTAATGGTATTCAAAGTCACTTCAATGGAGTCTGAGTTTCGTGATATTTTTTCGAAGTGGACTGATCTCAGACCGCTACTTGACTGATGACGTGGGTTTAATCCTGACCTATATGCCATCTGATATATAGACTATCCACTGGCCCACTTCATGCCACTTGACCTGAAATCTGGAGCAGTCTTCCATGTTACAGAAATATTTGAAGGCCAGGCACCAATAAATTTTGGGGACTTGACATTGCTCCTCTGGGTTATCCCACCTGTTTTCCGAAGACGCAACTCTGTATGATCTCAATTTTGTTTCTTGATTACTTCTCCATCTTCAGACGGTTCTTGACCTGCAAAAATTGAGGTCGCCGCCCAAGAAGCAGGCCAGGCGATTGACTTCTTGGGATCTTCTAGATTCTCGCCGGAGACCAGTTGATCTACAACAGCGATAAAGATGTAGGCTCCAATCCCAGTACAAATATGCCACCTATTCACTCCAGTTAGCTTCAAGCATAGGAAAATGTCTTCTGAAACGTACCATCCATGAAGCTCTAAAATAAAAACCCAGGGAAGTCCGATGGTGTCTCGGATTTTTGTCAAGTATCCGCAGGCCCACTGATCAACCAGCCAGAAGTAGTACCCAAGATTGAAAATCGCTGTTAAAACAATTTTACCAATTGGATGAATGAAATCGAAGTGCATGCTGAAATTGCTTACTGACCTGCTCCAAACTTGACAATCCCCCAGATCTGTCGCCGGCTAGCGGAGCCTGGCTGCGTCCGGCTGTTAACGAGCCGGAAAGTCTGGATCCCGATGATGGTCACGGCTCCAACAAATGATATAGAGTGGAGGATCAGCTCATCGGTCATCATATGGAATGTGACCAGAAAAAGCAACAAGAAGCCCAGAACTATACCAATCAGAACAGAGTGTCGATGGTTAGAATTGGCCGTCAAGACACGGTGCAAAACTGGGGTGGTGGCAAAATGCATCGAGAGATCGTCCACTATTGAAAACAATGAATGAATGAGCAAGAGAGGTTGATTTGGGGATAAAGAGGTACATACTCATTTGAGTGTGATATTTCATGCTAACATGAAATGAGAACGAGCATATACCGACCGCTATCAACCCCCAATAAGGAAGAACGCGAAAAGAATCAGCATTGTTCACTTTTCGTCGCAGTCGTCGAAGCCCGCAGATGCCATAGATTACTGATGAGGATAAAATCAGATGCATGAATTTAGCAGCTCCTGAGTTATCTCACCATAAACGACATTTGTCAAGCTGTTGATAAATTCCGCGATGTATCTACTCACAGCGTAGTCGACCTCGCAGAAGCTTTATGGGGATCAGCAATTCAAGAAACGCGTAAAGTAGAATAACACTGGCAGACTGACTTGGCATTTGAATTTGGAGCGCCCCAAAAACAATCTTTGAAATCAATAGTGCTCATTTTAAGTCGACCGAAGTGCGGTAAATAAATAGCGAAGTGTATGTAAGATAGAGTAGAGGCGCAAAATGAGAGTTCGATTTACGTTCGAAGAACCCCTTCGATGAGATCGTCTGATTACACGTCTAGGACAATGAAAAAGAAATATGGCTCATATTCGAGCTCCATTTAATGACTCGGAGTTGGTCAACATTCCGAATTGGCTGCAGCCTAGACTTCAGACTTTCTTAATCAGCTAACTCGCCTCGGGACTCCGTACATTGGGGGCCGTCTGGGCAGCTCTTCAAGTTTATTATTTTATATCTTCAATGTTTCTGTCAGTCACATTTTGGACGAGCTCAAGTTTTAAATGCATGATTGCCCATCTAGACACAGAAAACCGATCATTTTCAGCAGTTAGAACATGTCTGCGGGCCAAACAGCCCAAGCATCCCATAGAGAAGAATAGTAAATCCACCTGGGCATCTTCTGCGCAGGGGAGGGGCACAGCTGATATTTGCTTGAGTCTCCATGACTCACTTCTAGTATCTTCACTATCTCCTCAGCCGAAACTTCAATTTCGCATTTGTAGCGAGGATCTAGCGTGAAATGAACATGAGAGAAATTTATCATTCTGGATCTAAGCTCTATCCGACTAGTAGTAAATATAGGTCTTGTGCAAAAAATGACGCCAACCAGCTCATGGTCATAAAAAGCTGTACAATAGCCGTGCGCTGCAATCAGCAAGTTCAAATTATGATTAGCCATATGGTCAGGGGAAGATATATGAATTACCATAGCATCCACGGGATAAGGTCCTCAAAGTCAGATGCAGCCCCATTCACAAGAGCGTAATCTCCATCAAGACTCTTGAAGTCTCTTCTAAGCACAACTGCCATCTCAAGACGCTTTGCGCTTTCTTTGTTTTTCCTGTTATCTGCCAATACCTGCGATAGCCTGTAGTTTGCCTGAGCTAGATGTCCTATACCCTCAACTTGGGGTAGTCCTTCTGATATCTTGATGCACTCTTCAAGAAGTTGCCTGTGGGATGCTAATAACTGCGACCACCTTGTATTGGAATGTGACTACTTACTGTGCTAGTCCCATGTTTCCCCCTTTATGAAGAATGACAGCTACCTGATAAAGGGAGTCACAAACTTTGAGACGCTCACCCAGGTATTCTATCCGAAAACTCAGGGCTTTGGAAGCGAATCTGAGTGCTTCATTGAAAAACCCTTGTGCGAATCTAATCCTGCTGAGGAGAACCATATCCCTGTATCCACTGTGAGTCTGCAGAGAATCTTGATAATTAAAGATAACATACCCAGAGAATCTTGGATTTCCGGTCTTGAGAAATTTCTCATCTGAAAAGTCTTTTAGTGATGGACACCTCTTCAGCATCACTTCTGCCTCGTCGGGCTTTCCCATTCTCAGTAGCAAGCTGGCCATATTACTGTATGAGTTTCCAATTCTATCGCTGTTGTGCAATAATCGAATGTCAAATGTCCGCTGAAGATGGTCTCTAGCCTTTTCCAGCTCGCCCAGTTCTGTGAATGCAAGGCCTATATTAACATGACTGGCGGCTAGGAACGAGTCGTTCTCGGCAAGTAATTCTGTGCGTATTTTGTATGCATGTTCAAAGTCTTCCAGAGCAGCTGCAGGGTGGCGGATGTCAAGATTGATCAAACCTCGAAGATCAGTTGCACTAGCGTATGCAAGAGTATCTTTACTGTTGAAGCTCTTCAGCGCTATATCAATATATGAAATGGAAAGAGTGTAATTTTCCCTCTCGTACAGATACCTGCTTTGGATGAGCAACTTCTTTTTTCCAAACATTAAAATTCAAACATACCAAGAACATCGAAGAAGCAGTTCTGCAAGTGATTGATTCGCATTTACAAAGATCTTAAATTCTTCACTTTCTCACCATACTTTCAATATGTGGTAAGCTCCTCTCACAATAGGTCCATGAGGCGACCTGGTGGCCAACGTCGGCAATGTACGTATTTGGAAAGTTTGCCGCGAGGATCGCAACTGCAAGGGAAACCATGTTCTTTCGTTCTTGAGCACTCATTCGTCGAATGACTGCACGTTGTATCAGTCGATGCATAGATATGATTTCGTTCTCGCCTGCTTTTTGAATAAGAGCTCCTTGAAGAAGGACTTCTTGGGCATCCAGGAAACTTTCTTGATGTTAGTCAATGTGAGCTCACTTAAACAGGACAATATGCTTACTCTATCTCGTCCGCAATAAACTCCAAAGTGGGGTCAATTATTTGAAGCGCGCCATCTTTCAAGATTGACTCATGTATACAGTCAGAATCTAGAAAAGACAAAACCATATGAAGGACCTTGCTGCTTCCCAAGAGTTGACTTAAAGTTATCTCCCAAACAGTCGCCAGGGTATGACCGTAATCCATGCTTATCGTGCTCTTGGCATCCACGCTGGCCGAATTTTGCTTGTACAATGTGAGAAAGCTCTTCAGAGATATTTTTCTCCAGACAATGAATCCACCGAGAGTACATGTAATAGCTTTTGCCTCTTCCTGGTAAATTGTTGACTCTAGATCCAGTCCAAGGATGTTGAGCAACGCTGCTGACCCAGTTTCCGTATCAAAAGGCGTGACCTGACATCCATGAGAAGCCAGACTGAAAGCCATGGTCGAGTCTCGACTAGGTATCAGAACGGACCCCCTAGATGCTGTAGGCCAAGCGCGTTTCATAATATTTAAATCTTCGACGTTGTCGTAAACGAGAAGCCAACGGAAGTCTGGATTATATTTTGACGGACGGATTTAAATGTTAGCAGATGCCAATCGGCAAATCGCTCTCTATAAGGGTCATATCCTGGCTAAATCTGTTGAGGATTGACCCAATATCAGCAGCGGCTAAAAACCGCGGTGTTGCCCTTCATATATGTCAGCAGTTGATCAAGATGCGAGAATAGAGAACTGAATGTATATCACGACTGTCTTCAGTATGACATAATGAAGCCGGCGCGCTGTCGAAGGAGAGATCAGAATGAGGATAGCCCTAATACCTCATTAGTAAAGTTATATCATTGATGGCCGCAAAGAACGCTTCACCAGACATGACCACCATTTCCAACAACATTGCAAATTCCAAGGAAGAAATAAACTGTGACATAGAGTGACTTTTGACTTCCGCCATGACTAGTCCATTGCTCCAGCCAAATTTCTAATAGACATGATGTTAGGAGTATCGGAAGGTCGCATAAGGGAAAATTTACTTACGACTGTATGTACCAGAGAAGACATTCATCATCACGAAGAGAACAAATATCACAGCATTGGGCCATCCAACGTAGCGCAAATAATACTGATAGATCACGGATTCCCCTGTTGCCCTCTCTAAATCGTCAATCTCATTCGTCTCAGAGATCAAGGCAGCTTTATCCTCTAACCCCAACGCTGATAATTCCTTTGATTCTTCAGTCTGAACAATATCGACTGCCCCTTCTTGGTAAACATTTTCCTCGTCAGACTGTTTGCGACGAACAGTCCCATCGGAGAGAAAATAAATATCGAAGTCTGCTTGAAAAACCACAAAGCACTCCAAACTGTTGAAAAATCATGGAAGGAATATGTCGGGTCCAAGAAACTTCATCTTGTTACCTACCACCAGGGTGCAGTCACCGGAACGGAGAGTACCGTTCCTTTTTCATTGCATCGAATTCCACCTTTAATGATCGTTGTGTCACCGTGAATACAGAATTGACAGATGAGAAAGATGTGATCCACGAGGGAGAACTGAGCTGGGGAACTTATCGAGACCCAAAGCTGTCCAAGCGCGAGATAACCAAGGGGCATGTCAAAGTCGAACGGCCAGATCCAACGGAGCAATTTCAAGAGACAGACCTAAACGGAATACCGGTTCCGCTAGTAGATCTCACACAAAATGGAACAGCTGCCAAGATGTTCTTCAATACGGATGAAATCAACACGGATATTCCTGATGAATATGAGATAGGACTTCGCTACCTATCTGACGAAGAGATGGGCGATCTTGCCAGATGAGGCCTGTTTTTTGGATTGTTGAAGGAATCACAGCTATTTTCAAGGTCAAGACATCACACCATGCAGTTCACCAGATTCTAATGAAGAAATATATTATAGGCCATCGTCGGTTTGATAGAGACAGCAGTGGAGAACATCAAGACCGCTGTCAAAGTTATGGTGGCTCTCGCAATCATAAATTTGAAATTACTTCTGGTTCCCTTTGGCGTGCCTTTCCATCAATCCTATCACTCTGATATCGACTTCGATCACAGGACTGATGGAAAGGGACTTCAATTTGGAACTGATCTGGGTAGCATGCTTGGAGGCAACGAGAACAATCTTGTTCTCTCTAAAGAGGGCGCGGCTCTTCAAGTCAAATGTGAAAGCTGTGGAGCAAAGGCAAAAATGAGCTTTGACGGGGCATTAGCTTTTAGTATCTCCTCAGGCGTTACTAAAGCACATGTTTCTTTCATCAATCACGAGGATTTCATTTTCGATGCGATCTATGGGGTGACTGTGGATGCCAGGGCATTAAAAGAGGGGGGAAATAAGAAGAAACTCAATACAACAATTGAGAACGAATTCATCGGCATCCCTTTCTATGCGATCAAAATCCCGAATATTATCATCATTGGACCACAAGTTATTGTCAATGCTGCCGCCAGTGTCTACCTTGATGCCCATGGTGAGTTCCGGGCAGGGGCGAGATTTACCCTTGAGGCGGGTGAATTGACCCTAGATGCGATGAATTCATCAAGAAATATTGCATCGGGCTTCAAGCCGTCTCTGGAACCAATCTTTGAGATTACAAAGGGAAACGTTGTTGCGACCGCTGATTTAGCTCTACCCGTTGGGGTTGAAGCTGCCCTTGATATCCTGGGTGGAACATGGAAGAAGGCCATTGGCATCTATACCGCGCCCTCTGTATATTTGACAGCTGGAGTTTCCAAAAATGAAGGGCATGCCTGTGATAGCGGAATTGAGCTTCGGTTTGGCGCCAAAAATCGGATTTACAGTTCCGCTCTGGGTATATGGGAGTACGAGTTCAAGAGACTGGGAATCACATTCTTTGAGACTGGTCTCGGCTGTCTTTCGTATGTATGCCTCACCCAAATATCTTTCACTGCTAACAATTTACAATAGGACGAAAGGCTGGGACAAAAATCAAGTAGAGCCCACCACTCATTTCCACGATGAGATTATAGCCAAGTTTGGTGGGGAGGATCAGCTTGCAACAAACAAGACCATCCAACTTATCCAGCCAGAACCTGTTATTTACGATGATGAGCACTTTACAGAGGAAAACAAAAAGGAAGAAGAGCAGAAGCTCAGAAGGCTTCCTGAATCAAACGGTTTCCGTCTGATCCAAGATGCTGGACAGGCATCGACTTTAGTTTCTGGCAAGGATGGTTACCTTTACATGGTCAATAACTCGGCAGAATATGATATCAGCGCACCATGGGGCAGCCTTAAAGTCGACGAAAACATCTTCAATTACGATGTCTTTGGAAGACTTCTTTACCATAACTGGCAAGATGGCAGCAGGGCGTCGATGAGAGACTTGCATGTCACTGCGGCCCGGCATATGCCAGAGTATGGTCAAGCTATGTAAGCTAGTCACTCAAAAAATAAGCCGTTAACTGTATCAGCTAATTAACTGTATCAGCTAACGGCCATAGTTCCGTGGTTCTCATTAAAGATTCAGATGTCGAAGCATATGGAGTTACATTCCAGGCTGGCAACAAATTCGGGAAAAAATTAGCACCTTTGGAGCCCACCATGTATTCTCAAGGCGACAATATTCCGTACGACATACAGTTTGTGCAGCCTGATGATTTCTGGTCTCCCACAGTGTGTCAAATCAAAGGTCGTGGTCTTCGCCTATATGCGACTCATTATCTTGTCGGCGAAGATGGCAAGCCTAAAATCCGTGGAGAAATGCCTCAGGGGTATCTTGATTATCATCCAGAAGACTAATACTACCAAGACAGAAAGATGAGAAAGATGGGAGAAGATCACACTCCTGGATTTGTGAAACCGAAGCAAGACGACGACTATGATGAGAATGACTCAGATAACTGGCTTACTGGGGATTCCAAGATTTGCCGAACGGTTCGACTAGTTTCAGACCCGAGAAATGTTGCGCAAGCATAATTCGACAGCAATGTGCTTCAGATACCTTCTCACCTATTTATCAAATCAGAGAAAAAGCCCTGGAGTGCAGGCTAAATTCTCAGCCATGAAGTATCAAATTGATTGAAGAGCTATAAGTCATTTCAGATTGTTTCCCTCACGACTTTGTTTTTTAAGACTTTGTTTTTTAACGTCTTATGACGATTTTCACTTGCCCAGATGTTGCTTTGGTTATTAATTAGTTACTGCATCTAACAATTGGTCTTTTCCACGTCCTGATATCATTGAGTCTAATGTACTGATCAAGAGCTATACTTAACTTTTCCACTGCCCTAGAATAGACTCCACTGCCATTGTGGGATGGTTTTACTCTACAGCCAGATTTGAATGGAATCGAGGGTGAAGGAGATGAACTTGAAGATCTTTCAAGTGCCATTTTAGGCCTATATACTATCAATCTCTCGGGGAATCCAAAAGAATTTAAAGATAAATAAAAATGCAAAAACATACAACAGTCAGGATTCGCATGTGGTCACCCACCATACTACTAACTGACCGGCGTGTGGCTTAAGTACGGCTGAGCGGACGGGAAGCCCTGTTCTCCACACCCTGTGGTCGTATGTGCTAAATATATTTTAAAAGTAATATATATATAGTATAAGGTTAAAGGGTTTTAACGCTGGCGTGGAGTCGCCCGGCTAAGGTGAGAAGGGGTGAGAGCTGAGGAAAATATCTTGTAGTAATAATCTCCAGTCACGCTACCTAGCCCTGGAGGTATCGGTTGTTCAGTAACTAAGCGGGATTAAGATTATTAAGATTACAAGATCATTTATTGGTCCAACCATTTCCGAGAATAACACTCTGTAACAGACCTCAGGCTCATTCTTCCTCCTTTCTTACAGCCTAGGCATATCTAGCTACTATTACCTCTTAATGACTCGGAGGCAAGTTCATATATGAAATAGTGTTTGATTTTTGGAAGGTGCCATGACGCTTTGCATTAAGCTGGAACTTGAACTTGCTCTGGCCATGGCTTGTAATCCGAATAACAAGGTCTTTCACAGGATAATGCAAACCATGAATCAGCTCAGTGGTCAAATACGGGACCCGCTCTCGACAGATGCGTTCAGTGACACATCGGTACACGAAAATTGGGGAAATTCCATTCCTTCGGCTGAGGACGATCTGTCCGAGTCCCTCGACATTTGAATATTTCCCGATCGGGCCATATCGCCGTGCATATGGACTCGAACGCCAATTCAAATTGATTGAAAACTTGGTTGTGCGTTAAAGGCGGCGCTAGATGTGGCAGCTTTACCTACTATACGATTACAAAGTATATGTCTGGTGACCTTAGGAGGGTAGATAAATCAATGCCACCTTCTGTTACTACTTAGCCACCGCTACCCACCCTCCTAGCTTAGCTTAAATAAAGCTTTATTAGCTCTTATAATTATATACTCAAAGGCTAGAAGGTAGAGGTTAGTGTATTTACCTAAATAGGGTTAAAAGTCTTACATCTTCTACTGTGAGCTAAAATAAGAACTGGACATCTGAATAGTTAAAATCCATATAGATATAGGGCTATAGGTTATTATACTTAAGTATAGCTGAGCGGACGGAAAGCCCTGTTCTCCACACTCCGAGTCTGTGGTCGTATGTGCGTGATTTTGATTATGTATCATAAATTATATGAACATATGGACCTAGCGGCTTGTGGTGAGAGTAAGTTCTTTCTGTAATATTAAGCAGCTGTGAGAGTGATGATTACTACTAGATTCCATAACTTTACAAACACAAACACGACTTCGGCAACAGATCTGAGGCTTCATGGATGAGAAGCAACTTGAATTTAATAAAGCTCTACTGAATTAGGCGGAGGAGGTAGGCCAAAGCACCGTGGCAGATACGGATTACTCCGTACTAGTAGCTACTTAGGTAGATGGGTAAACCTATTTAATTAAAATTCGGAACAGTTTTAATGTAACATTTGAATCATACAGTTTTCAAAGAGACTCCGAGTCCTCCCGCATAGTAGTACTATAGTACTAGGTAGTACCTAACCTAATCAGTAGCGTCGGCAATTTTTGTACTTTTCTTTAGCATTAGAATGAGGCCGAACTTAACATTTTTCAGGCTCCCAACTCTTGATTCGATGCCAGTGGTCTACTAGTTTTTGGGAGGATAAGATCTCGGTTTTCCACGATTTTTGCAGCACTTGAGCGCTTGGGGCGAACGACTTCTGATGCCCAGGTGGTGTCATGCAGTACCCTCCACACCCTCAGAGACTCCAATTAATATAGTCTGAGGTCGCCAAGATTATGCCCTTTAATGAATAGGACGCCTAATTACTAATTGGTATTTTTGAGCCATTAGTGGGGACTGCAGTTTGAAACTCTTCAAAATCGTGAGCCACTCCCATCAATTTCTAGGAAAAACTGCAGCTGAGAGAGCATTCTCTCATGATCTATTATATGTCCGTACTAGAGCCTGTCCCCAAACTTGTGTTAGATCACGTGGTCTGTATAGTTCAGACCAAGGTGGCTAGGTAGATAGCTCTCGACGTGTCGGGGCAGACTTCCCCTCCGCGCGCTTCCCCCCAGACGTGTTCTTTCCTGTAGCTGTTCCAAATGCACACCTCCTTACAACTTGAAAAGTTTCCCAGCTCTTGCAAATATGTCTTTCCAGACAAATCTCTCTTCAAGCTCCGCGTTGTAATAGTTGGTGTTGGAATTGCCGGTCTTTCCGTCGCTGCTTTCCTCAGAAGATGCCCTCAGTACGATGTCACCATCTATGAACGCCGGAGCGCAGATTTTAAAGAAACGTCTGCAGCTCTTGGAGTTCATATCAATGGTATTAATATTCTGAAGCGGCTCGGAATCGGAAAAGAGGAAATACGGGGCTGTGATTGGCTCAGGATACAGAACATATAACATCAAGGAAGAGCAAATGAGTAAGAGTCAGCTAGATCATGAACAAGATGGTGACGGAAGGTTGTGGTTTGTGTTTTGACAAGACCTGAAAGATATTTTGCTGGAGAAAGTGACCAGCAATGCCGGGGAGGGTGATCCGATCAATTTTATATATGGCTGTCATATTGTGAGCGTTGAGCCAGAGGCTGGGGTCGTTAAGTTTGATGACGGAATATCTATTACCGCAGATCTCTTTATTGGTAGGTGAAACCATGTGGAGGATGAAGACAATTTTGAAGAAATTGAACTTCATTAACTTGAATTCTTCCTTACAGGCGCAGACAGTATTCACTCCAAGGTACGGGAAGCGGTGATTCCACCCTCACATCCAGCACCAGTCCCCTGTGGTCTTTCTTTGTATCGATTTGTTCTCCCAATGGATGCTGTGAAGGACGCAGTCGGAGGCGACAGTCAATGGCCGGTTATGTTCAATCAGGATGAAGGCACCTTCGTGACCGTCATTGCTGCTGGGGATACTGGCAACCGCCATGTGGTCATGTACCCCTGTCGTGGCCATGAGCAAATGAATATAGCCTTTGCAGTCCCAGACTGGAGTCTCAAAAGACCTTCAGAGTTGGAATATTCCTGGAATGCTCAAGGGAGTGTTCCAGAGATGGTGGAAGGGATTCAGGGGTTCCCACCGTGGCTACAACGGGTCTTCAGGTAAGTTATGACCACCGGATGGCTCCAATATTGTTTGATGGGTCCGGATTGTCATTTGCGAATACTATCGAGACTCTTGTGACACGACATACACAGCCGCACACCTCGTGTTGCTCTTTTTCAGGTCCATGGTCAGGAGCCTTTGCCAACATATGTCAAGAGTCGGACAATTTTAATTGGCGATGCAGCCCATGCTATGGTTCCGTATCAAGGACAGGGTGCGAACCAGGCTCTTGAGGATGTTGAGGGTATCAATGCCCTCTTTGCCGATATATTAGATCGTGATAATATCCCAAGTCTTTTGCAGAACTGGGATAGCATTTCGTCAACCCCGTGCATCAGAGATTCAAAGGGGTTCTCGCACTTCTCAGGGTAAGATTACAACGAAAGGGGCAACTGAAGCCATCTTATCCGTGATGCCCTTTTTAAGCATGAAGGAAGCGATGGCACAACTTCAAATGTCTGAGTCAACGGGAGTATAAGAAAATCCATTCAAATTTTATGAGATATATTATACCAGTCTAGATACTACCCTTCTAATGCATTGATAGTGGAGAATAATGTATTCAAATGTTTTTTGGCAATTTCAGACTTCAAGTTGCGGGAGTTGGAAGCTTTACGCTTTACATCACATTTGAATGTAGAAGAAGAAGAACTATTGTGAAGATTCCAAGGTTCCCAACTTTGAAGTTGCTTAACGACTCTTACAGTCCATAAGGACAAGAGGGTCCAGATGGATAACAGGGTAAAATGCGAATCAAAAACTCCGCTAAGAGCTGACGAACGTTCCAAGGCTATCTCTGAGTGCCTAGCCCCGGAAAATATTTTCAGTCTATACTTCCTTTTTTAATACGCTTATGTCGTCGATGATGTCGTCGATGTTGACAGGCCTTTTCCCAGACCTTTCCCAGTCTTCTCCCTCTTTTTCACGACCCTTGCAAGTTGAAGTAAAACTGAAGATCGAACTTAAGGACATCTTAGTATGAACGCTCATATCTCGAAAAGGTAGATCGGCCTGTGCACTAGCAAATAGTGCCAGGGATCCGTGGACGGAATAAACGTTCCAAAGTTCAATTACTGGGAAGTTAAGCAGATCCCGATATAAAATTGTGAAAAGGGTGCAACTCGGAGAGCCTGTGCCGCCCCATTGTGTGGTAAATATGTTCAAGTTCCAACTTGAAGCCAAAGCAGAGGGCATTCTTGGTTCAAAAGTGATGAATTGAGGGATGAAGATGCCAGAAAAGCAAATGGTATCACAAGTGCACAGATTAAACAGAAAAGAAAATCAAAACCAAGGTAACTTCCAGGTTCATCCAACACTAAACCTATAATCCAAAATCAGTATTGGCAAAATCCCGCCAATCCCAACTAAGCATATCATCAACAGGGACATCAGGAATCGATGCACCAAACGTACTTCCCGCCCGATTAACAGCATCGATAATTTGATTATCAGACATAGCAGAAAATTGCATAGGCTCTGTCCAGAGACCACCTGGAGGAAGAGTCGCTTGTGTGACGGTTAAAGGTGTTCTCTGATCTAATGTGGACGGAAGCATAGGATCAGGTTGATCAGACATCGTGGGAGCTCGACGAACAAGTTCTCGTAAAAAGCGCCCATATAGCACGGAAGAGCCGTTTCGGTGGCTTGGTGTCACGCCAATTCGCTCGAGAACCCCGGCTGTTTCTTCGATCAAGGTTCGCACACTAGGCGCCAGACTAGATCGACTATCCCCTGGAGTTATGCTGAGACTAAGTGCAGAGCATGCGGCGAAGGAAATCATTATCACGGTGTTATTTGGCATGGATTTTAGACATGATTCGCCTTGAATGGCGGCTCGAAGCACATTCAAAGCGGCTGAGAGGCCGGCTACGCGGAAAAATCGCTTGACTTCGAGTGGTGCAGTAGGGTGGTTGATGACACCACCATATGTGGATAGTTGGGTATGTGTGACGAGAATTTCGACATATGGTGGAAGAGAGCGTGCTTTACTTTGTTAGTGGTGACTATAAGTATGAGGAGGGTTCTTGTCGACTGACCTCCACCTTCGCCGATTGCTAATGCCCAGGTCTCATACCAGTGGTTGTAAAAATTTTCAATAGTGGACTTGATCCTGTTTTGAATTAGCTTTATTCATTGATAACCTTCATCAACTTACGATTGTGCTGCCTCGGATCCAGTATCAACGATGCGATAGCTGTCACAACTCGACTTGACGGTTCTGAACAGTTCGTCCTGTGATTGTTAGCTGTACCCCGATTCTCTTGCGATTATTACCTACAAGATCTCTTCGTAGAACTGCCATGGAGTTCATCGGTCCATCTCGTCGGTCTGCAATCTTTGAGAGATGCCATACATCGCAATTCTCAATAAGCGCCGTTGGTGGCACAGTGTAGCTTCTTCCGCGGGCAAGACAGACACTAGACCAAGACATATCAGTAAGGACATCAATACTAGACAGTTAAAAAGAGTCTCACCCTCGTTCGACAACAAACAAGGCAATCCAGGCTCTCTCCCGCCTTCGTAACAACCGATGTCCCCACTCCGAATCAGGATCGACATCATCGAATCCATCCATATGCATAGCCCTCTTCGCCTCGATACAGTCAGCCCTCGCAAGCCGGCTCAGGAGATCCCGATCAAAGCTTGAAGACGGCGTGATAATCTTATTCAGCGATAAATCCAACGCCACTGTAAGTGCCATTGCAATATATGAGCACGTATCATCGTCACCTAGTCTTTCACCAGGTGCCATCCACGGCACATTTACCATAAAAGCGAGAACAATTTCCACGGATCGATGGCGATTTGTCATCACTCGCTTGGCTAGCCATTTGCAATGCCTGCCTAGTCGTGTTGCTAATGCCGCAGCGGATGGAAGAAATAACGCCGCTCCGGCCATAATCGAGGTAAAGAGAAAAGCTGATTGAGCTCGCACAAAGCTGGCTGTGTGTACGAGGGGGTCCAGCCCCCCATCGTGTGTGAGCGAGATTTTGATAGAAGCTGTATATGGTTATTATTGGAGTTGCTGTCTTTCTTCTTTCCATACACTTACAATGAAAATAAAGACTCGGACTCGTCGAATGTAACTAACCCTAGCTCGACAGGATCAAGTTCAGGTCCAATATCTAAGTTAGCTCTGACAGGTACGAAAAATGATTTCGCGCCAAAGTCCACGGACGGACTGAAGTCTTGTGGCACCGTCGACGGTACTATGACCGGCTGCGATGATTTCGGGACTCGACGCAGCCCCGTCGGTGAAAATTGTAGATCTGAGGCACGCGCAAGTAATTGTAGCGGGTTTTCTGCATCATCGAGAGCAAGATTCTCGTCTGTATTGGGATCACGCGGAGATGGGAGATTCCGTGCTTGATCAGATCTCTCTGTAAAGCTATCTGTAGACCCACTCTGCAACTGTCCCTGAAACTGACTGAGCAAGTCCTGGAGGCCAGTAATTGCTTTCTGAGCCTCGTCAGGATTGGAAGAATCGACCTTTGGTCGTTTGATAGCTTGTTCTATCTGGTGGATTGCTTTCTCCAACCCCTTGCGTTTACTGGAATCACCATAAATCAGTATTCTAGCCATCTGAAAGTCTGGAGTTAGTGCGGAAAACTCACTTTTTAACTCCCTTCTGCCGACCAACATGATGACTCGGCACGATACAATCCACGTCACTAGCCTGGCATTTCTCACAACGCGGCTGTCCTGCAGGCCTATTACAGCGGATCTTGCTCCGCCGGCAGTTCAGACATGCAGGCTGTTTTCCATTTTGGCTAGGGGTGTATTGTATCGACTCGGCCTCCATAGGTATGCATATATATATTCCGGGGGGTTTGAGTGTATACACAAGTCCCCTCATTCAAGGTTGATCGGGTGTTCGGATGAAGGGAGGGGGAGAGAATATATGTTTTGGTTTATGTAGCCATAAGTTGAACCCCTTCCAACCAGCCCTGCCGGGCTAGCTCAATCGGTAGAGCGTGAGACTCTTAATCTCAAGGTTGGGGGTTCGACCCCCCCCGTTCGGCTATTCCTAAAAAACCAAAACCTGAGAATTCTTTTTTTGGCACTTTTTTGAATATTTCATTCAGGCAAGATATTGTATTTTGCTCTATCGTTTTATTTTTTGAGTGTTTTTTTTTCTAATTCTGTCATTCGTTTGTACCTTCCAAGGTTGGTCTGTGCAAACTTGAAGTTTGGCCTTAAACATTGAATGTTTGAATTTCAACCCATATATGAGCTTGAATCTTGAAGTTTCTGTACTCAACTTGAAGTGCTGGTATCATCCTTCATGGACGAATATATATATATTGATAGTGTTCATACTACCCACCACTAGCACTCACCCGTAGACTCCCGAGGTCAGTCTTAGTCAACTGCCCAGGCGGTCCCAAGGTCCAGATACAATCATTGTATGTAGACCACGGGTATTTAGTCAGTTCAAGTTGAATTCCCTACTAATAGTAAGTACTATGTATAAACTTCACATATGCAACATTTGTAATGTCACTGCCCTGGTGCACTCAGATCTACTGTATTTTCAAATTGAGATTGATCTTTCGTCTGAAGATGATATTATTAATGAGTATGTAAATCTTCAGGTATAAACTGGCTAGAAGGTATCTCTAATCAAAATTTGAATGTCTGAACATGAACACATCAAGACATGACCAATAGTCGCCATAGAATCAAGCACATATGTATGCATCTGGATCGCGATTGACTCCAGTGGAACTTGAATCCATCAACACAAGAACAGGCTCCATATGTATGCACAGTCAGCTACTGAGCCCGACCAACATCACTATCGTGTTGCCCATCACTGCCAGTGGCATGATGTCCCTCACGATTCCCATCCAAAGCTCCCGAAGCCTGAACAGGAACCTGCTCTTGTGCCTCACTAGTAGCCCTCGAACTCTCATCCCCAGGCACCTGTCCCAACTCCGGATCCGCAGCAACAGCGCCATCACGGGAAATCTCGGTAACAGGAGGCACACCAGCAGGACTCAACAAAGACTCCCGCTGTTGTTTACCAGGTCTCTTACTCGGGTTGACTCTGGGAGGAGCTTCACCAAGGATAGTCGGGTACTTAAACCTGAAACCCCAAACAAAGTAAAGCTTAAGCTTCTTCCAGAATCCCAACCCATCCCACTGTTTCCTCAACTCAGCCGCATCCTCCTCACTCCGTGCATGGAATCCCTTCCGAAACCAAATAAGTAGAAGTAAGGTCAATGGGAGAATGGTAATTGCCCAACTAACAGGAAGTCCGCGTCGAGTTTGCCATCCTAGCATTAATCGTCGGAATCGAACCCATGCTTCAATGAATCCTGCAATTAACCAGATTCCGATCCACCCGAATGTGAGTGTCATCACCAGTGCGAATGGTGAGATTCCCATCTCCCAGCTGTCGAACCACCAGTTATCGGATTCATCCCAGTAATTGGGGTAGTAGCTACAGTATCCGTATTCGCATTCGCTGCTATCGCTGGTGGAGGTTGCGGTTGCGGTTGGGTATCCGCCACACATATCGTACATGCTTGTTGGGTAGTACTCTAAACTCAAGTAGCTTAATGAACTGGATGGGATTTGGGTCGATGCAACCCAGATGTAGTCGTATGTATAGGTTGTGGGTTGGAAGGGCTCGCTGTTGTCAACTGATAGAGATGTTGACATCGCTGTTGTAGGGAGAGCGTCCATAATATCGTACGGTGGGTACACTGGTACCGGGCTGGCGGTTGTCCAGCCCGATGAACAGGCTGTTGGTGCGGTGTAGGTGATGTTTACGACGTAGACGGTCATATGGTAGCCATCATCGGTGCTGTCGTCGTAGCCATAGTATCCGTAGTCATAGGGCACGGGGGTTCCCACACTTGTAGGGTATAATTTTTGAACGATGGTCACAGAGGAGTACTCATCAATGGAGGTGATGGTTGACAGGGCCACGGGTAATGAGGTCACAGTGGGTATGATCTGCTCGATTGAGGTGGAGATGGTAGGATCGGCCGTCTCATAGAAGTCATCGTAGGCGTATTCAGTCACAATGACCTGTTCGTAGTCCTGGGTCACGATCCATGGAGCTGCCAGTACAAGGGGAAGAAGAGTAAATGTCCAAACGAGTGACAAGATGTATAAAAACGAGCGTGGAGGTGCCATGATGATGGCCCTTGAATAAGAAACGACAGAAACCCCCTCAAGTGATATAAAAGAACAGAGACAGAAACAAAAAAGGAAATCCCAAGTCCCTCTGAGCCCATGGCTGGGTATTTGAATGGAGCGGTGGCGCTCAGAACCCTGTTATTTGGGGGCAAAGAAAAGCCTCATGGTGCTGAAGAGCCTCAATTGGGTCTAGAGGAGGCTACAAAGTCTCCATGGAGGGGCTATCGTTGAGAGATGATTGGATCGGAAGGGATTGCATGAAATCAGGGTCTTTTATTTGGGTTTTGGGGATCATTTAGGGTCTAGTGAAGTTGACTAGGGTCTGTTAGGGTCTGTTAGGGTCTTTTTTAGTGTAGTTATTTTGGATACTAGCCTGGACCCTGACTCGGATTACAAGGTTCTCGCTTAGAGACTTTCAGAATCATCAAAATAATTCAAGTTGAGAATGAATTATAAGATTGATGGTAATATTGGTAGATGTATAGTAGGTAATATACTCGATTAATGAATCACTTAAATAGAAATATATAGGATATAATAATACCTAGTAGAATCAGTAAGTAGTTGAAGATTTTGAGTCGAATTGATGATTCCTTGGCAAGAAAGAGTAGGTTAACCGAGCCGATATTAGATCCAATCAGTGTATGGCTGTTGCCTTGGCAGGAAATTAGTAAAATTGGATGAAATTACTAGTATAATGAAAATGAGATTAAACAAAATTAGGACAGGGACTATAAGAATAGGTTTAACTTGAGACTGGAAATACATTTCTGATAACATTTGAACCAGGTGGAATGGCAGAGTCATATATACAGTGCAAATTCCACAAACTAAACTCCTAACTCACACAATGACAGAAGGAAAAGCCAGATGCTGTCCAACCAGGGCATAACTTCGTGAGAACAAAGACGGGCAACGACTATACTCAGTCACTGCCGGTTCCACTCGAGGGAACCATGCATATAAGATGAAATGAGCAAACAGGGAGACGGATAAAATGACAAACTGGACAGGGCTGAGAGAGCAGAGCGTATAGAGTAGGCAGAGAGACAGAGTAGGTCGGAAGAAAAGCAAGCAGAGGCCTCATACAAGACGTCCAGGTCTCAAGAATCAATATCAACCACACATAGGGTGTTAGTTAATAGCCCTCAAAGCCTGTAACCTAGCACTCAACCCATCCTCTACATCCGCATCCACCTTAACACCCTGCTGCGGCTCCTTAACCTCCGCTTCAGGAGCCTTATCCGCCTCCAAGGCCATGCGCATATCAACACCCGCATCATCAGCCAACTGCTCCATCATCCGGTCAACCTCCGACTCCCCCTCAGCCCCATACTCCTGCATCGAAACACCCTGCGCAACATCCTCAATCGCACTACTAGCAATCTTGAAATCCTCCGATCGCGCAAGGAAGTTATTCGCATGCGCTACTAGGTGTTCCAGATTCACGCTCTTCGAGGCAGCGTCCAATCCCCGAGACGCAAGCGCTAGTGTTCGTGATGTATCCCGTGTGCTTTGTGCGGCTTTTAGCTCGTTGATTATTACGTCGGCGCGCGCCGCTTCGGATTTAAGGGTCACTTGGCGTCGCTTTTCTCGGACGGCGGACCCGGCGTGGATGCGGGCGATTTGGAATTCGCGGTTTTTCATCGCTTTGTCCGCTTTGGCTTTTTCAGATTTGTAGGTCGCTTCGGCGCGGGCGGCTTCTTTCTTGAGCCGGTTTGAGTGGAGCTAGATTTGTTAGTGAGGGGTTATTGGGATGTTGATGGGATGAGGATCGTCCGAGGGGAAGTGGGGGAGAGTTATGTGGGTTGTGATAGAGGATGTGGAGGTAAACTCACCTTGACATTTGTGCGAGCTTCGAATATGGGATCTTTGCGAACCATTGTGACTGATTTAGAGGATTGAGGATGTTTGAAAAGAGGATATGTATATAGAGAGACGAGGACCAGGACCAAAGTTGGGGCGGAGAGAATTGGCGCGTGGCAACGTCACTGACCGCATTCAGCGTAGCGTAGATCACCTGGGCAGTCAACTCAGTTAACAGTCAACACCGAGTATGAAGTACAGAGTACACAGTACACAGAAACATGATATAGATTTTATAGATCAAAAATGGTGTAGATTCTATATCTTTATTGAGTCATGAGCAAATAGGCAGCAGGATATTGTGCCAGATAATGGGCTAGACAATCAGTGTGTACTCTCCACTCCGTACCCAATCGACTACATGGTCCCTAACACATACTACAACCAACTGAGCTACAGTCTGCTGTCTAATTTGCAGGGAATGTATAACGTGAATGGGGGGCCGATTAGGCTTGAATTGTGACTAGAATACAGCAAAATGAGATACCCCGAGGAAACCTTTCCTCATGCTTGCTTGCCCAGCTGAGACATCAAAGTCTCGCTCATTGAACTCCAGGAACTCCGTATACTCCGTTGATGAATTCTCTTTCCGTAACTGCGTCGCCGGCCGGATTTCAGTGTGAGCGCCCGCTGGGGTTGTCGAGACTGATGGAGACGATCGATCGCCCAGATCATGGTCATCAGAGTCTCCCATCGCAGTCGACTCCCCTGGACGTCACCTGATCCGGCCTGACGGGAAAACTGTTCACTAACAGCTAGCTGCAATGCTCTGCCCGTCGCATCGCGAAGTGGACGCGCCAAGGCTGGGCTGCATGCTAGTAGTCGAGTGAGAAGTTTCATCCGAAAGACCGGTCGGGTCGACGCCTTCGAGGGCGACAGACTCGGGGTCGAAATCAACCAAAGAATCAAAGGGAAATGCTGAAAGGTCTCCTCCGTCGAGAACGCCAAAGGCAAACCCGTCTTCAGGGAATGAAGGATTTGACTCAGAGGGCCCATCACCGTGGAATAGGCGGCGGAAGTCATCGTCAGAAAGAGGAGCTGCAACATCATTTGCAGCTGAAGGTTCGATCTCTGTTCCAAGGTCGAAGAGAGGGAGGGCACTTCCAGCTCCTTCGAGACCAGCGACGGACACTGCAGGTCACACAACACCGCTGCAGGATGTTGTGTCACGTCGGAGGCCTCAGCCAGAGTGGAAGGCTTGAGGGTGGGGGAGTATTCGGTGGAGGGGGTGGGGAAGGGGATGCGCTCCATGGCGAGATCCTCGCCTTCTTGTTTGAAGAGAGTGGGTGTGAGGGTTGGAGATTCCATAACGGGGGAGCCCGCCTTGGGTGTGGTGCTGCGCGAACCGCGGACTTCGGCGGACAACTGGGCCACTTGTTGTGATAACCTGTTGTTCTCGGCCTCCATCTGTGTTAATCGCTGCAGCAGGAACTGATTTTGTTGTTCCATGCGGATCTTTTCCGTCTCCAACTTCTCCATCTCTAATCGCTTGCGCTCGCGGGAGGTTTGAGCGGCGGCGCGGTTTCGAAGAACGCGCTCGATCCGCCTTTGTTCTTTCTCATCGTCTGTCTTTGCGCGTTTTCTAGGAAAGTCAGTGATTGAACCGCTGAAATTATGACGTCTTGAGTGGTGATTTACCGTGGTGGTAGGTTGGTCTTAGGGACTGGAAGTTCCTGGCCCCATGACTTTCTCTTCTTAGTTGGCTTCTTCTCCTCTTCCTCAAGAGATTCCGGTTCCGGAGAGTCTAGTGAGGTATCTGCGGGGGAGACAGTGAAGATATCGGATGATGGAGACGCTGGCAGATCCAGCGGGTTTATTGTGGTGTCTGTCATGGTCTCGTGGGTATGTATGGTGCCTCTAGTGATGGAAGGGGGGGATTGGAGTGGAGAAGCTTCAAGCCTGGATGGGTTTACGGCTTTCCACTCTAAGGCCACGTTGTCATCACGGGGCACCAAAGACCAAATCCGGAAGTAGTGAGTCAAAGAGTCAGAGAGGCCAGGTGTTTTCTTTGGAAAGGACAGAGTAGGCGGGAATAGTGGGTGTTTAAGTAGAGGCCAGCGTGGCTCATCCAAGTTCCACTGGGACAAAGGGGGTTAAAGAGGGGGCAAGAAGGAGTTAAGGAGGGAGATACTTGTTGTCTCATACATTATTATATGGTAAAGGAAGTAACCCTTGGTCGTCGTCATCTTGTGACTCAGCTAATACATAAATTACTGTAAATTACAGTAACTTACCATTTCAATCCATGGAACCCTTTTAATATCCACCAATCAATGATCAGACCCACTTGCCCCCCCCTGGATTCCATTGTTTCACATGGTTTCTATTCATACATACGAGTACAGTACATTTCCCTCATACAGAGCCCTGAACCTTGGAATTAATAAGGCCTCCCAAGGCAACCCAGGATCACACCTTAAATCTCATCCCGTGAAGGGCCTAAATGTAGGACAATCTTATAATAGTAACCTATGTAGGTAGTAGACAAGGTACTACAGAGTAAGGAATACTCTTATCTCACCCCCCTCGTAACACCTTGGAGACTGAGACCTGCTAGACCACGACGTGCGGCAGGTAACATCATTCATTCGTAGGGTCAAGTGGATACCGGTGCATCGCCTTCCGGATAATATGATAACAATAGGAGATTTCAGTTATTCTAGACTCCGAAGTCGTAATCCGAGGTGTGTACGCCCCTCAGTGGAAATCCTCTCTGGAACATCCGGAAGGGCCGTTACTCTTCTCCGGTGCTTTGTGCATCTGTGCATGGAATGCAGGGGAAAGGGGGCATAGATTAGCAGCGAGATTAAGCGGGGTCACTATGAAGCGAGAGGGGGGGGCTGGAACATCTTCATGGTACACGCACGTGCGGAAAATAAGGCCGACGTCGGGACTTCATAGGGGTCCTCAATACAGAGTACAGAGTAAATTACCAAGCAGTATGGAAATTCATCATATCCAATCTTCGAATGATTGAACTTGGATGAGTCTGAATATTCTAGACATGTCATTTCATCAGTAGCTGAATATGACACTGTGAGTTGTATTCATTCAGCTGATTGACTCGCCACAGTAGATCACCCCACACTTTAGGGGCCCCCTGAGACGTTACATCTTTAAATGTTTCATCGGCATTTATACGTATTAGTAGAACGTTGTACGCAGCTTCCAAGGTTCGTACACTACCTATCTAAGTTAAATAAGATAAACGCCTTTTACTCCGTACTCTATCTGGAATACACCCCGCCGGAGTCCGCATTGTCGGAGAATATTTCAAGTTAGTGGCAGATTGCAGATTGCCCTGATTTTACGCTAATTCAGACCCGCATTTCATGCCATTTCATGCCCCCTTGACACATCGGTTCTTCCAGAATATGTGAGGAGTCTCCTAGCGTGAAACGACTCGGAGATGGAACATTAGAGGTGTTCCATGCCAAATCTATCGTTTCTATAGAGTAAAGCTAGATCCTTCCCGAATGAATCTGATCTGTACGAAACATCTGAGGATATGATCTATGATCTATGCACTACCCAGGAGTACAGATGGAATACTCGAGTTACAATACGAATCATATGAGTTCAGTGATAAGTTCAATGCTTTTGACTCAAACGGAATCTCATCGAGATATCCGGGGAATTATGCAACAAAAATCCATAGTAACGCCTTCGGTTCGTGCTCATGACCAGTTCGTGGAGGTGATATATGCAGGGAAAAATCCACAAAAAAAGAAAGGAAAAGATTACATGCTCACATCCATGGTATCGTCACCCGCATCAAGCGCATTTTGTCGTTCTGGATCAGGGAGAACAACACCACGGCCACGACCAGCCAGAAGTTCTCGTCGAACCTCAGGTCCAATGTCCTTGTGTCCCCGAACTAACAGCAGATCAAGAAGTGCCTCACGCTGATCCTCGGTGATATCGTTACGGTACCGTTGAGCAAAGACCAACAGAGACTGGTGCCAGAGAACAGGGAGCTTGTAGCCCTTAGAACCACCTTCGCCCATCAGGACATCCTCGGAACCATCCGCAGCACGGAAACGCAGGAAGTGGAACACAAGAGCATCAATGACCTTGTAAGGCAGAGCGTACTTCTTCTCCAAAAAGATTCGGATGAAAGTGTTTACTGCACCAGTGCTCTCCAGTGAGCGCATGGATTGCTCAGCAGCGAGGTCACACATGCGGAGAAGAGCCGCAGCAGAGTGGAGTACGGGGACAGACACACGGGCAATCACAGAGGAGACAATGTGAGCCTCACGCAGGGTGCAAGTACCGCTTGAAACGAGAGGGAAGAGCAGACCCTTGAAGAAACAGGCAGGCTTGTAAAGAGCTTTGCGCATAGCGTTGTAGGTATGAACATTGACCTTCTTAGTCTCGTGAATCTCCTCGCGGACACGGTCCAACAGGACAGTGTTGATGAACTCTTGGGCAACGTGCGGCTTGGAGGAAATGAAAATTCGGGTACCGGCGTAGACAGCGTTGGCGGTCCATCTCTCGGGTTGGGTGATATCAAGCAGAGTAGGCCAGTTGGGGACCGAAGGGAGAATCTTGAATGGCTTGGGGAGAGGGCCAGACTTGTAGCGCGAAAGGATCATTCCAACCCTATTGAGTAAAAATGGTTAATATAAAGTTCAATAATCGAAGTATAAAGTAATTCACATACTTCTCATAAACTTCAATGGCCTTCGCTGGAATCTGGACGGCATCCTCGGCCGCTCCACCACCTTGAATAAACGGTCCACCAACACTCTCGCCGGCCTGTCTAGCTTCGTGCTCGGCGATCTTCTCCAGAATCAAATCCGCAAGGTTTGTAGTTTGACCAGCTGACGAAGGGTCTTTGGGGTGGAAAATGGGATCTTCTTCATGGCCCATGAATTTGTTGAACATGTCAAGGTCATTAGGATCAACCTCCTGCAGTCGCAAAAAAAAATTAGTATCTATGAGTAAAGAAGCTTGAAATTTGATATTCAAGAATCATACCACTTGCTCAACCTCCTCATCCACCCACTCCTCAGTTTGGAAGTTCTCATCATCCGACAATTCCTCCTCTTCAAACCGAGTATCAAATTCGAATGCGGCATTGGGTTTGGATGCACCAGCACCCATAGCAAGTTTTTGTTCGGCAGCATCCTCCTCTGCTAATTCCTGACCGATCTGGAGAATCTTCCGCGACATCTTCGCATCAATAAAGCGCTGGCCTTCCTCGCCCTCCTCATCATCTTGGGATCGGCGCTTGCCCTTCTTGCTAGTCTGAGTGCGCAAATGCCCCGCGGACGAGATATCCTCTGCTAGGGGGTTGTGCCGGCGAGCCACGGCGGCACGGGAGCTGGTTGCCTTGGGCATTATAAATGCTGGTATTCAAATAATCGGGAGTTCCAAGGAGAAACCAAACGGATTGCTGGTTTTTGGTTAAGTCACCGGAAGAAACATCACAATGTGTGTAAATTTTGGAATCATGTGATCTAATCAGTCATTTTTTTCTGCCGGGCGGAGCATTATCAACACCGCCTATAGTGGATCCACCGCCTTGCGGCTGTTGGACACTTTTCTGCCGCGTTTGTTAATCCGATGCGGATGCGTGTTGCAAATTAACCTGAGGTCTTTTATCTGGAGCCTTTCAAGTTTGACATGTTCAAGACTGATTGATTGAATGTTAGGTGTCTATCAGTCACAATCTTCTTCACCGCTCTTCTCACCGCCCACCCCCATAGCTTCCTATCTCTCTTGAAGTGTTAGCGCTTCGTCCGAAGCTGTTTTGGAAACAGTATGTACTATGGATCATCCTTCCTGCTCAATGATTTGAATTTCATTCCAAAATGGCCCTGGGAGACCGCTGCAGCCCAATTTGGTGATTTCCCTATACTGACAAGCTTGCCTGATTCCCTGCTGAAGCCAAGCTCAACGCAAGTTCGGACCTCGAAAATCGGTATCTCCACTGCCTATCATGGCATCCACTCAAGCTCCAGGATCCTCGGCTCCATCTTCCAATATCAACTCACCCGTTCTACCCCCTGGAAATGGTCCTCTTCTGAATGGAGCATTCTCCGACTTGAACCAAAGATCCTCACCGGCACCTGGCAGCAATGCCTCAGTTCAGGGAGATGCGCGCGCAAAGCGCAATAAACGTGACAGTCGCAAGAAACGCGAAGCAAAAGGTCTAGACACCGAAAATGCACCTCCACCCAAGAAACGATCAACAGCAGCAACCACATCTCGACCAAGCTCAGAACTCAATATTCTCCGTCCGCTGCTCCTCGCCGAACCTCGTTCCTCGGACTTTTACCCACCACCACCCCGCCAGTTCAATCAAGTGACGAGCAAGAAATCCGATATGCTTGGCAAGGGCTGGGACTTCTATGAGGTAGTCGATAAGCTCACGAATAAGAATGGTTTTCGCTATAGTTATGCCATTGCGGACGCGGGATTCCCTCATATCAAATATCGCCAGACCGATGTGGAACCTTATCATGCCCGTTTCAGCTTCGAGGATTCTCCTGCTGCGATCTTTTTCTCCAATGATGCTAGGGCAGTGACCACCAACGATGCGTGGCATACAGCCCGAGCGAATGTGTGTGCCCGAGAAGGCTCATACTACTATGAGGCTCAAGTCATCAGTGGTGTTGTTAATGGTGCTCCTTCAAATGCTGCATCTCGTGGTCATGTCCGACTTGGGTTTGCTCGACGCGAAGCCGACCTCGATGCTAATGTTGGAGTGGATTGCTATGGGTACGGCATTCGAGATGTGAACGGTGAAGTCGTCAATCGTATGCGCTGCGAGTTTTTCTTCCCGAAAGGTGAAGCCATTAATGAGGGCGATGTCATCGGCTTGCTTATCAACCTTCCTCAGCTATCACTCCACAAAAAGGTCGTTGAGGGAACATATGATCCGGCTGTGGATGGTGATGGCTCGGATCATACGCAGCCTGCCTCTTCGACGAATATCATTCGAGATCGGATCCCTTTCCACTATAAGTCCGATTTCTGTTGGCAACAGTCCAACGTATTTTCCACAAAGCATCTCCGCGACTATGCCTTCAACCTCAAGGAGACACCGACCTTTGGCCCACCTTCTCCATTCAACAGTGAGGATGCATCGCTACGCACATTACCCGGATCCAGCATCACAGTCTACAAGAATGGCGTCAAGATGGGCACAGCCTTTAAAGAACTATATGCGTTCCTCTCTCCAGCTAGTCGTCTAGCAAACGGTACCAACAACCTTGGAATCGGGGAGCGGGAAAATGCAGACGATGCCATGATCGGCTACTACCCCGCTGTCAGTTGCTATGGTGGCGGCGCCGTTGAGTGTCGCTTCGAAGGCCCATGGTGGGTCGGACCACCTGACCAGACTGAAGCAGGCGAGCCCATTCACGCCATGGGTGACCGCTTCAACGACCAAATTGTCGAAGACATCGTCGCCGATATCGTCGACGAAGTTGAGGCCATGTTCACCTGGGGTGGTATTGACGGCGATGTAATCGGCACTAACAACGAAGATCTAGATACAGCCACCGGTGCAGTCGGAGGCTCAGAAGTATTGAAAGGTGGCGTCGGTGCGGCCCTGGATGCTGCGGGCTCTGCTGCTACCCCTGGTTCTGTAGCAGGTGCTGCCGGCGCGTCCGATTCAGCGGCTAATAGTCACCAGCACACGCCGGCTGCTAATGGGGATTTCCTGGCCAATTCTATTGGAGAGGATTCTATGAGTGTCGGCACGGCTGGTACTCCTAGGATCACGGTGGATGCCCCTATGGATGGACCGGATGAGGATGTTGAGATGACCTAATTGGAGCTCTATGAAATATCCACCTGGGGATAGAAAAAGAGCTGCTCAATATGATACTCACAGGCCATCCATACTAATTCGAAGAGAATGATAAGGCGCAAGGCGTTCTGGCAGATCTTATTCTTATTGATACCAACTTTCAATCTTATTCACATACATCTAAAGTATCTCCAAGTCTTGGTTGTAAATATTTACGTCTGACACTGTTGGATTTAGTCTTTGAACAACTTGTTGAATCGAGTGAAAAGGGTATATTCCATCTCGTTATAATACAATTACAAAATTCGAACCATTGGAAGCTATGTGCTAGGCTATGATGATCCAAAGTGAAGACCCTCAAGTAACTCGCCAACTTGCATCACCAACTCATCATCACCATACTGCCCCACAACCTGAATTCCGGTAACATCGCTAGCATCCGAATCCTGGCTCAACTCGGACGCAGTCACCGGTACAGAGATGGCAGGCAAGCCAGCCAGACTAGCCGGTACTGTGAACACATCATTGACGTATGCATCCAACGGCGACGAACCAGCCGATGCGCCAGTAACATCCGAGAGTCGGGATGGTGATGATGGAGCAGTAGGGCAAATAAGAACATCCACATCCATTGACGAAGACCTTGCTGCATCTGAATCCCCAGCAGCAGCTAGTGGATGCGTGGCACGGAAGACAGCGTTGAAGTCCAATTGGACCAACCGGCGAACACGCTGTGCTTGAATAAAGTAATTATCCATAGCATCGGCACTTAAGCTAAACGTGCCCAATAGAATGCGACGTTGCACTTCTGATCCAAACCCACTGCCTCTCGTATTCGAGTAGAGATACCCATCAGGTTTCCCAGTATTATCTGGTCCATCAGCACGAGTACCATACCGTACTCCATCATACTTGGCCAGATTTGAGGATGCCTCAGCTGGGGCGAGAACATAATATGCTGATAAGGCATGCTTTGTCGCTGGTAATGAGACGGGGTGGATTGTATGTCCTTGTGCTTGTAAATGTGCCAGGGACATGAGCCAGGCTCTTCGGACTGATGGTGTCAGCTCGGAAATGTTGTACTCGACAGGCACGCCTATCCGTAAAGGAGTAGAATTCAATCGAGATGCAAATCGGGATTCTTGGAGCTGCTCGAGAATGCGTGTTCGTGAAAACGCGGATACGCTGGTTGGGTCGCGTTGGTCATGGCGGTTAAGGATAGCTATCGGTGTTAGCTGTTTCCCATAATGAACTTATTAGGAAGGACATACAGAAGACATCTCGAACACTAGAGGTTGTTTTTCCCAGTATTCCAACAGTATCTAAAGAATTGGCGTAGGCAACTACGCCCCATCGCGAGATCAACCCGTATGATGGCTTGAATCCAATGGTTCCAGTATACGCAGCTGGAAGTCTGACTGAACCTCCTGTATCTGTGCCAAGTGCGCTACAACCAAAGCCGTCAGCATTTACTCAGTTCACTGGGAATATCGGGGCACATACACATAGCACTGATCTGCTGCAACTGCAACGGCACTCCCACCCGAACTACCTCCCGCAACGAGATCCTGCCCGCTACTATCACGGCGCGAATTCTTGACGGGTCCAAATCGTGAATGAACAGAGTTTGATCCCATTCCAAATTCATCCAAGTTGGTCTTCCCTGCGATAATTGCTCCAGCGTCTTCCAATTGATCGACCACTGTCGCGTTGAATGGACTGGTGAATTTGTCAAGAATACCCGAGGCACAGGTTGTCGGGAGATCGCGCGTGCAAATATTATCTTTAATAGAGACCAGCCGGCCGTCAACATTGGATTTTGGTTTTCCTAGTAGTATTTGTTAGTTACAATTCGTTGAAATGGACTGCTAGGTACATATACCTTGTTCCCGGCGTCGGTCTGCCTCATTTACGCGGTCTACCCATTGGCCTGCACGAGGCAGTGGGGTTATGAAGGCATTAAGAGCTTGAGCCTGAGCATGTTGATTGGTGATCAATCTCTCAGCCTCGCGTAGAAGGGACATTAGGCCAGAATTGAGGACTAAGAAAGATTGGGGGAATTCGACGAGCCTCGAATTAGGCTTATCGCTATCTCTTATCTCTTATCAATAAGGTCACATGATTATATATTCTAGAAGTAGAAGTATATCATGTCAACAAGCTTGGAAGTGATCAGGAACATTTGAAAGATAGGTTTTGTGACATAGGGAGGTACTAGTATTAAAAGCGAAGAGAAATGGAGCGAACTGGGATGAACCCCGGACCTGTAGATTCTGAGTCTCCGAGTCGTGACATGAGAGAAGCTTCACATTCAAATCAAAAACGATAACAAATTGGATAAAATGATATAGAAATTCAATCCTAGAATCGTAGGTGGCATTCTATACATAGGGTTACTAACTAGAAATATAATAATACTGGTATCTGGCAACATTTGAATAACATTATTTGTTTTTTTTTAAGTTAGACATGGATCTATTACTACCTAGTACCCACGCTCTAAACCTTGGAAGCTGCCTCACTAAATTCCAAGGTTTACTACATAGCTGAATAGGTACTATGGATACTATCAAGTAGGTAGTATAATCACGTTTTGCCGTGAGCCATCTCGGAGCTAGTAAGAATATAGTCAGTAAAAGCGATTTATTAAGGGTCAACCAACACTGGCATGAGTTAAAACTTGAAGGTCACATACTAAATAGCCATCAGGAACTAACACATGCATGACAGCGTAAAGGGCGGGGATAAAGATCTTGTCCGAATCAAATTGCTCCATCACATCCCTATATACAATAAAACAGCCACAGCAGATTCATCATGGCACCTGGGCAGACTCATCCATGGTTGCCAGTACATAGTATATACTATATGCACATGTGTGTGGACAATGTGTCAAAATTTGAACTCGAAGTATCCATAGATATTCAATGTTGTCCAATAATCTACAACTATACATCATTTGAAACTGAATAGTGTTCTTTAATTTGAATTACAATCCCCGAGTCTCAGTCAATGAATCAACATTTGAAATCACTGGCAACTTCAACGATGGATCATACTAGTTACCTGGTATAAAACGGGAGAGTATATAAGCGGGATTCAGTATCAATTAAACACAATAATACGACCAGTATAATTAGGTACATATTCAATCATAGAGATTAAAAAGAAAAAAAACAAAGAAAGGTCCAAATTTAATCCCAATGAAAAATTAATCATGATTTTACCACCCATGAGATCTGCCCGGTTATTCGGAAAACCCATAATCCATATCGATAACGCGATCCTTCGGCCCGAGTAGAACAAGACGTCATCTCCGCTTTTCCCGTCTTCTCCTCACAACTTTTCCATACCTTACTTCCACAATTTAACTCGGTCATGTTGTCGCGCAGTATTCTCCGAGCTGCCACTAATAGCACTCGGTCATCTACTCTTGTACCGACTGCAACTCTACCAGGCAAAGCGCAATGCCTAAGCTCGGTTCTACGCGTCCCGGCTCAAAGCCGCAGGTCTATCTCCGTTTATGGCTACACTCAGGCCAAGGCACTGGTTTACGCGAAATACGGTGAACCCAAAGATGTTCTTAGGTGTGTACTAAATCTATTATTTATTATTGCATTTGTGAATCCCACATCTGTTTATATCGCTAATATCTTTCAGCCTTCACACTCACTCTATCTCCGCCCCGCATGGATCCCAAGTCAATCTCCGCCTCTTGACAGCTCCTATGAACCCGGCCGATGTAAACCAGATCCAAGGCGTCTACCCTAGCAAACCACCATTCGTCTCTACTCTCGGCACAGCTCAACCCTCCGCGGTCGGTGGTAATGAAGGTGCATTCGAGGTTATTTCAACTGGTGCAGGAGTTAAGAATTTGGCTAAGGGTGACTGGGTTATTATGAAGAAGACTGGTCAGGGAACTTGGCGCACCCATGCTCAGCTTGAGGAATCTCAACTTATTAAGATTGAGAATAAGGAAGGATTATCGCCTCTTCAAGTCGGCACTGTTAGCGTTAACCCCGTTACTGCTTATCGCATGATTCGTGATTTCTGTGATTGGGATTGGATGCGCGCAGGTGAGGAATGGATGATTCAAAATGGTGCGAACAGTGGCGTTGGTCGTGCGGCTATTCAGCTTGGTCGTGAGTGGGGTATTAAGACTTTGAATGTTGTTCGTGAGCGCAAGACACCAGAGGAAACTGCCGCACTTAAGCAGGAACTTAAGGATCTGGGTGCTACTGTCGTTGTTACCGAGGAGGAAATGTTGACCGGTGGTTTCCGCGATTTGGTTAAGGAGGCTACTCGTGGTGGTCGTGAGCCAATCCGTCTCGCCTTGAACTGTGTTGGTGGAAAGAACGCTACAGCATTAGCCAAGACTCTGGCACCTGAATCGCACATGGTTACTTACGGTGCTATGTCGAAGCAGCCTGTTGCCTTGCCGTCTGGATTACTGATCTTTAAGAATCTTGTCTTCGACGGGTTCTGGGTTAGTCGCTGGGGTGATAAGAATCCCGAGCTGAAGGAGAACACTATCAATGATGTGCTGCAGATGACTCGGACCGGTCGCTTCAAGGATATCCCTGTTGATGAGGTGAAGTGGAACTGGAAGTCAGAGGGCACTGAGTTGGCGGAGAGTGTGCAGGGTACCCTGGGTGGATACCGCAGTGGAAAGGGTGTGTTCACTTTCACTGGAGGCGATGAGTAGACAACCAAGGGTTACCCTTGGAGTCTTAATGATGTACCATACTTGAATAAACACATTTCAAAATGAGGCATGGTTCATAATATTCAGTCTGTAGCAATGGGTTGACGTGAATCAATGATGTATTCATGGATATTTAGGTGTGGGAGCATTGAAGACCAGCAAAACGCTCTAATAGCAGGTATAAGATGCAAAATGATGTAGATCTAAAAAAAGACACATTGCATGAGTAGATTACTCGCATTTCCAATTCTTCTCCACCCAATCTATGATCACATCCGTCATGGTTGCACCAGACATGTACTCCTTACTGTCCTTGACAAAGTCGACATTGAGATCAGCATACTTGCCCGCCAAAACCAAAAATGGCTCAATGAATTCAATGTAGACAAAGTCCACAGTCTCAGGTGCCGTTGTTGCGTTGCCTGCAATATGTGCTTGAATGCAATTGGGAACTTGATACATCTTGATTGGGGAGTGAATTGTATCGTCTCCATCTGTGCTAGCATCATCTTGGGTGACGTAGCCAGGGATGATACTGGTACCATCACTTCGCTTGGAAAGAGGAACTTGATTTAGGCCATCACCGTTCATTCGGAATGATGGGTCCTCGCTGCCAGCTTTGAGAACATGCTCTATGTGTTCCTGTTGATCAGGGGAAGCCATATTATCCAGAGTCTCCTCTGATAACTCTGAGAAGATTTTGGTCTGTTTGTTAAGAACCTCCATGATCAGTTGCACTTTATCATAAGGAACGTCCTTCACATAGCGAAATTTGTTAGAGAAGGGGGAGATAGTCCAGACAGTGTCACGAGTGAACTGTCCCTTGAAGATGTCGAAACGAATTCCGCCCGTATTCATTATGGCGACAGTGGGAGTATCGCCACGAGATTCATCTTTCAATGAAGTAGCCAAAACCTCGGTTTCCAGCCAGGTATACACACTGTCTGGGTGGGGATACGGTACTCGAGACATCCAGAGGTTCTGTGGAGCACATCCATAGACAACATCTAATTGCAAGGCACTGCGTGCATCCGCGATAATCTGGGAGACACTGAGCCCCTTCTCAGTCGGGAATGACTCTTCATCCAGACCAGTGTGGTGGTAGAAAGAGAAGAGGTTGTTATCTATGTATCGTCGCTTGAAGATGGGACTCGAGCCCGCACTTGGTCGGGTACTAGTGGAGAGGCCATCAATAGACATGAAACCAATGGTCTCCATAAATCGGCCACTAGCCAGAGCGTAAGCCTTGGAATCATATTTCGCATAATCGCGAATGTGTTGATGTCCCGCAAAGAACTGGATCGGTGTGGCCCAGTGGGCCTTGCGGATCGCCCTGAAGATCGCACGATATTCCGGCGAATGCGCGGGGACATGCCCAGCAACCAAGAACAGATCCACTTCTTTATCCTGAATCGCCTCCTGAAACCACTCTTCCTGGATGGTTTCTTCCACTGGCTGAACAATAGTATTGTTGTAATTGCCGTTGAAATTGAAGAGAAAGCCAAATGCTACAACCCGGATTCCTTGTAGTTTAGTAGTGAACTTCTTATAGCGTGGGGCAAGTGGGACCAGCTCTTGTGTGATAGGATGATAGATATCAATATTTGATGCGAGGTAATGACCCCGGAAATTGGTCACAGTCGTCAAGAGTTCATTGATGGATGTGTTCTTCTGGTATAGTTCATGATTTCCAGACGTTATCACATCGATATGTTGATGCCGAAGTATTTCCGACAGATAGATTCCTTTGGGTTCTGAGGAATCATAGAGGCCACTTCCCTCTACTCGATCACCTGTATCTATCACCAGCAAGTCTTGACCTTGAGCCTCTACCTTTTCTCGGATCCGGGTTGAAAATGAGATATAGTCTCCCCAGTCGGCGGAAAAGGATGGTCTGCCAAAAGTGCATATTAGTTTAGCAACAGTGTTTGTTTTTACTATGGAGGAACTCCAGATGCATACTCGGATAAATGACCCGCTAACCAGCCATGAGTATCAGTTGTATGAAGGAAATTTAGTTGACCGAACTCCAGATCACGCAGTGGTGCGGAGATGGGAGCCGGAGCAGCGGGTTGAGCGGCGAATACCGACGGGAAGAGTGAGGCCAGCACGGGCAAAGCGGGCAACATCTTGGGGGGGATTTGGGGTTCCGGGGAAACCGGGCCCGGATAAGACAGGGATTCGTAGAGCACACCGAGTGGTACACCGAGAGGATCAAGATGATTATAATAGAAGACGAGATATTCAAGGTAGAATATAGAATGGAAGTACCTTGTAAGTAAGTCACCTGTTTCTCTCAGCTGATAGCTAAGGAGCTCTTCTCAATACGGTTACGGAAGGAGCTGCCGGTGAGGTGCTGACTCAGCGCCCAACATCTTCCCGATTTGCATCTCAAAAGATTCATAGCGCGGACTTCCCTTCTTATCCCCCAACCTTTGTCTTTTTGGTCCTTTAATCGGTGTGCCTGTTTTTGGCCGTGCGGAATTGTCCCTTTCGATTTTATTACCTCCCTACCTGCAATTCATATCCCAATTCCACGCCATGGCCTCTCCCCGACTTTTCCGCCCTGCAAGCCGCCTGCTGTCTTCGCGCCTGGCATCCACTTCTCTCCGTCCGGCCTTTGCCCAGTCCGCCTGTGCTCAATCCGTCCTGCGCGCCCGTGGATATGCTTCTGAGAGCGGCGTGAAGGAGGTTACTGTCCGTGATGCCTTGAACGAGGCCCTGGCTGAGGAGTTGGAGGCCAACCAGAAGACTTTCATTCTGGGTGAGGAGGTTGCGCAATACAACGGAGCGTAAGAGCCCCCAGAGAGATATGGATCGTGTGGTTGTTATCATACAACTATTACTGTTCACCATTGAAGGAGAAGCATACGTATCTGACATGGACTTGCAGTTACAAGGTTACCCGCGGCCTTTTGGACCGATTTGGTCCTAAGCGGGTTATTGATACCCCCATCACTGAGGCTGGTTTCTGTGGTATTGCTGTTGGTGCTGCCCTGGCTGGTCTGCACCCCATTGTGAGTAATTATTCCGGCGATTTTTGACCTCGATACGCGGCGCAGAAAGGGCAAATGTACTAATTGATATCCTTATCTATAGTGCGAGTTCATGACCTTCAACTTCGCCATGCAGGCCATCGATCAGATTATCAACTCCGCCGCTAAGACCCACTACATGTCTGGTGGTATCCAGCCTTGCAACGTTACTTTCCGTGGACCCAACGGTTTCGCCGCCGGTGTCGCCGCTCAGCACTCCCAGGATTACTCCGCTTGGTACGGCAGCATTCCCGGTCTGAAGGTCGTCTCCCCCTGGAGCTCTGAGGATGCCAAGGGTCTGCTGAAGGCCGCTATCCGTGACCCCAACCCCGTCGTTGTCCTGGAGAACGAGTAAGTAATTTTCCTGCCGGGGTTATCTTAGACCGAGTCTAACCGAATTCGAACAGGCTTCTGTACGGCCAGGCTTTCCCCATGAGCGAGGCTGCTCAGAAGAGCGACTTCGTCCTGCCCATTGGCAAGGCTAAGATCGAGCGCCCCGGAAAGGACCTCACCATTGTCACCCTCTCCCGCTGCGTCGGCCAGTCCCTGACCGCCGCCTCCGAGCTTAAGCAGAAGTACGGCGTCGACGCCGAGGTTATCAACCTGCGTTCCATCAAGCCCCTTGATGTCGAGACCATTATCGCTTCCCTGAAGAAGACCGGCCGCCTGATGGTTGTCGAGTCTGGTTACCCCATGTTCGGTGTTTCCCTCCGAGATCATGGCTCTGGCTATGGAGTACGGCTTCGACTACCTGACTGCTCCCGCTGTCCGTGTCACCGGTGCTGAGGTCCCCACTCCTTACGCTCATGGTCTGGAGAACATGGCTTTCCCCCAGGAGGACACCATTGTCGCCCAGGCTGCCAAGCTCCTCCGGGTGTAGATGACCCGTTTTCCCCATTTGAAGCTATAATAAAACCATGTGTCTAGTACCCTTTCATCTGTCTCATCTTTCCTGTTTGTTCCCATCATGTCCTTATTTTATCAGCCCTAGGCAGATTCTTGGAAACCTGTACGATTAACTTCCTAGAGTCGCCGCTCTTGAATCTTCCAGCGTAATGCTCAACCGGGGTATTCTTTGATCTTTATTTCGTTTCCTTTAGATTGATAGACATCAATTCATTGTTGATCATCCGAGTACTCCACATAGGTTGTTTTCATACATGATTTGTATCCAAAGTAATTCCGCCAAGCGCCATTGACCATGCATAACGAGAAACAAATAATAGGACTGGGATCAGGTAGACTGGATACCTTGAAGACCCGGACATCCAGCAAAGCAATCAGTTGGTCGACGAGGGTCATAGTACCCTCCACCAGCCTTATCCCGCGTATACTCCTCATCGGTATCACTCTCCGCATCGTCGTCGATTCTTTTCTCAAGATTAGACTTAGAATTTGACCCTGGTTGATCCTTGCTTATGGACTCCTCTTCATCGTCATCATCACCTAGGACATTCTTCTTCTTCACCACCGGAGCCGCAGGACCTTTGACCGCTGCAAATGAACTCTTGAAGCCGCCTTTCTTGAACCCACCACCGCCGGTGCTTCCACTGGTACTCGGGATATTTGTAGGTGTATCGATCACTCGTAAACCGGCCTCCGCATCGGCTTTCCGTTCTGCGCGGCGGGCCTTCTCGGCGGCATTGGGATCGCGCGATAGCTGTTTCAAGTCTTGGAGTCGTTTTCGATGCTGGTGATCATAGGAACCGATATGCGCTTCATACTCGGGATGTCGCGAATATGATTTATTGCATAATGTACAGGTAAATGAGCTGAGCGCTGAGCGCGCTGATTCGGTCTGCGACTTTGTTAACGGACTTCTAGCTATGAAGAGGGGTCTGCTTACCTTGGGAGCAGGATTAATGAAACCGCGCTGGAATAAGAAATCAAATTAGTACTAGATTATCCAGGATATTGAATGAGATCTTACTGGAGCCATTTTGGTGACGTTGAGTAGAAGCAATACAAGATCTGGGACTCGGGCCTATCAGCGATAATGTGTTTTTGGTCACTGATCGGCGCTCACCCCAACTTTCCCTTTTTCTTCCTTAACTATTCTCTGTCAACGCCAATGATGTTTTGAAAACGACGAATTTCTTTCTTTTCTTCTTCTAATTTTAATTTTCTTTTATAAATTATTCAATTCGCCCTTACAAGATACTCTACAATGGAATTAGGAGATTCTAAACCCTTGGACGCGGACGCCAAGTCTATCCTCTCCATGCAAGAACTGGACCCTTCTCCTGTGGACGATGATGATTCCACTCCAGATCTAGAAGTGGGGGAATACTTCTCTAAACCTGAAGAACCAAAGCCATCAAGAGCTTGTGGATTTCCAATCCCAGGATTAGGTCTCCGGCCGCATCGATGGGACTCTTTGTGTATGTTGATCCAAGCGAGAGATCCTACCCGAGCATGCAATTGAATGGAAACTGACTAAAACCCCTTTATAATAGTATTCGGACTCCAAAAATACTCGACTTACCCTCCAACGGCCTTCTTCATCTTGCATTTCGCCAATACCGCCCTTATTCCCCTGATCACGCAATCAGTCCCAGCCAGTGAACCCTATCTCCTGCTCACGCGACCAGTCTACCAAGCTCCCGGTCTCGAACATCTTGTTCTTACTCTCCCTATCCTGACTCACATCGCCTCCGGTATTGCCCTGCGTAATCTTCGCTCCTCGCGACGCGCAAGACTATATGGTGCTGAGACTCGTGCTCAGCGAGACCGGATCTCCTGGTGGCCTCGGATCTCGCTCCAAGCTCGTTCTGGATACTTGCTCGCCCCATTGATCGGTCTCCACGCTGTGGTTAATCGCGTTACCCCGCTGGTAGTGGATGGCGGTAGTTCAGGTGTGGGTCTGGGCTATGTAGCTCATGGTATTGCGCGCAGTCCGGTCTTCTGGAACCTGTTCTACCTGGTCTTCGTCACTGCTAGTGTGTGGCACTTTATTGGTGGGTGGGCGACATGGATGGGCTGGAGAGTTACTACTGCGCGCAAAGAGCGTAGTAGTAAGGGCTCGCTGGTGGGCTTGTTGGGTTATTCTGAAGACCATGATCGCGCAAAGCGCCAACGCAAGATGTGGTGGATGGTCAATGGCATTGCGGCTGCTGGTGCCGCTCTTTGGCTTGCGGGCTCTCTTGGTATTGTTGGTCGTGCGGGTGAAGGCTCTGGATGGGAAGCTCAAGGATGGAATGAGATGTATAGTCAAGTGCCTGTTATTGGGGACTGGTTATGATTTGGATGCGATTCATGCACATAATGTACTCTATGTATTCTAGATATGCGATTAATACATAATATTACGAAATAAAACAGCATTAGATGTAAATAATTAAGCTATGAATTTACTTACTGTCTTAATGTGCTATGTACCTCTTAATGTGCTATGTATCTACTATCTATGACTCTATAGTTAAGCCCACTTGGTCCGTGCGAGGAATCTTTTTTCCTCTCAACTTCAACTTCGGCAACACTCCATAGATCACAGTATGATCATTTAGGAGTGTCCATGATCTTCTCGATATTTTCATTATCTACTCGCTTCCGACAATGCGCATTTAATTCAACACGCTCTACCTACCCTCAATTACTGCTCACACCCTCCGTTTCAAGATCATTCGGCCACTCAAGAATCATGGAGAACTCAACCAACACCCCGGGCACTCGAGTGCAATACCAGGGCAAAGAATACAATGTGATCAAAGAAGGATTGGCACACATTTTGAACCCTCCCGCTCAAGAGGCTGCCTCGAAGGGCACCAAGAAAGACCTCAAAGACAACGACGAGTCGCAGTCCGTCTTCTACAACCCTATCCAGCAATTCAACCGAGACCTCAGTGTTCTTGCCATTCGCGCTTTCGGTGAACACACAGTGGCTCTGAAGCAAAAGAAACACGATCAGAAGATCCAAAAGAGCCAGAAGAATAAGAAGCAACAGGTAACCGTTGAGGCTGAAAATGCCAAAAAGCGCAAGCTCGAGGAGGACGCGGAGGAACCACCTGCGCCTAAGCGAGTGGAAGGGGAGAATGCAGGAAATACAGATACCACAACAGAACAATCAGTCCCGCAATCGGAGCTGAAACAGACACCGCCTATGTTTAGTGTCTTGGATGCACTCTCAGCGACAGGTCTACGTGCCCTGCGATATGCCTCAGAGCTTCCAATGGTTACCAAGGTTGTTGCAAACGACTTGTCCTCTTCTGCAATCGCTTCTATGAAGACAAATGTGGAATACAACAAGCTCGAGGGCCGCATCCAGCCTAACCTAGGCGATGCCCGTGCGTACATGTATGGGGTTCCTCAGGTCGAAAAGTTCGACGTCATCGACTTGGACCCCTATGGTACTGCTGCCCCATTCTTGGATGCTGCTGTTCAGGGTGTAAAAGATGGTGGTCTTCTATGTGTTACCTGTACTGATGCCAGTATCTGGGCCTCAACTGGATATGCGGAGAAGTCGTTCGCTTTGTATGGTGGTGTCCCTATCAAGGGTCACTACTCGCACGAGGGAGGTCTGCGATTGATCCTCAACAGCTTGGCGATGTCAGCTAGCAAGTATGGTGCCGCTATTGAGCCCTTACTCTCCCTTTCCATCGACTTTTACGCTCGTGTCTTTGTACGAGTGCACCGCTCCCCTGCCCAGGTCAAGTTCCTTGCTTCCAACTCCATGCTCGTTTACAACTGTGATGCTGGCTGTGCTTCTTGGTCAACTCAGCCCTTGGCTGCATTGAAGAACAGACAGGATCGAAAGGGTAACCCCGTGTATCATTTTGGACTAGCACAGGGCCCTATGTCTTCCTCCCACTGTGAGCACTGTGGCTTCAAGACACATATTGCAGGTCCTATGTGGGCTGGACCATTGCACAACCCTCATTTCATTCAAAAGATCCTTGCCCTTCTTCCTACACTTGATAGCAACACTTATCAGACCATCCCTCGAATTGAGGGTATGCTGACCACTGCTCTGGAAGAAGACCTGGAACTCACTCCTTCCACTTCCTCGCCTACTCCCGAGACCTCAGAGACAAACGTCGAAGCCTCTGAATACCCGGCCATTATTCCACGCCAGGACCCAGCTCTTAAAGAACCTTACCCCTTCTACTTGAATCTCAGCGTCCTTTCTAAAACCCTACATTGCGCCACTGTTCCCTTGGATGAATTCCGCGGCGCCCTTCATTCTATTGGCTACCGCTCAACCCGTAGCCACGCGAAACCAAACAGTCTCCGCACCGATGCACCCTTCATGGTTGTCTGGGAAATCATGCGCGAATGGATCCGTCAAGAAAGTCCTGTCAAAGAAGGATCCCTTAAAGTCGGAACCCCTGGCGCGGCTATCATGGCTAAGAACCGCGAGAACCTCCGCAAGCTGGATGACAAAGACCAGTGGTTATCCTCGCTAAAGAAAGATCTTCTTGAAGCTGTTGAATCCGGTCGTGACATCTCCGATCTGGTTACAAAGGTTGAGGCTTCTCTGTACAGATCTGGTTCGAGGCAAGCGTGGAAACCAGCGGAATCGGCCTCTGGATCGACAGCTGAATCCAATGAGCAGACTATCACAAAGGATAAGAATGCTCATCCAAGTTCCCTGGTTATCAAGTTTGACCCTGCTCTAGGTCGTCAGGCTTCTGCGGCGCACTCGAAGAAGAGGCTTGTGCGGTACCAGATTAATCCTCGGGCGAACTGGGGTCCATTGAACCGTGCTACTGTGACACAGTCATAAAAGTGTGAATTGTTATGTGTATATTCAATTTTTTCAAGTTGTATTATCTAGGCAAATTCAGGGTTGTCTGCCTTTGAGCTAAAAGAATCATTATTCGAGTTCCAATATTGTATCAGATTACCTCGCCCTCAAGTGGCATATTAGATTAAGATGCGAGTATTCCATGATATCAACAAGATATCAAAATACCCCCGATGAAGAGAGAATCTTAGGGAGAATATTCAATGTTGAAGAAGAACATTTGAAAAGAAAAAAATGAAATGACAGAACTGGGATTGAACCCAGGACCTGTAGATTCTTCAGTTATCGTGATGTAAGAGGAGCTTCAAATCTTGGAACTTTTAACAAATCAAATAAAATAGATAAAAATATAAAAAAGCCATGGAAATGATGAGGATAGATTGAAGTATCTACTGACGAAGGAAAAAGAAATTGACAATAAATAAAAAGTGCAAAAAAGGTAACCCTAGTTACCCAATGGATTCACCAAGTGCAATGTGGATGGATGAGTCGACTTCGATAGTTTCTCACACCGAAGTGCCATAGCCTAGGCCACGTAAGGATTCTCGGTGCTATCACTTCCCTGACTTATGCCCATGACGGAGATGATGTGATCCTTTTTAGGCAAGAGTATACATGGATTCTCAGCCCTGGAGGCAGAAACTACTCCAATATACTACAAGTATGCCTACAGGAAAGCACTGAGATGTATTAGAACGAAATTATGACATATCATTACTCCATTATAAACACCAACGAACCAGGAGACGAAACTGGTTCGAATCTAGAAAAGAAAACAAACAAACATAAATCACAGTCATCACGTCTCAGAAGAAGAGGGGAAGTAGAAAGATGTTGAGGAAAAAGGTCGAGAGTTTCTACCCTCTAGTCTTCTCTCGACCTGTTTATGTAGACACGCAGGATGGGGGATGAAACAAGAGAAGCAGGAAAGTCAAGGTATACAGCGTCAGTGATCGACACTCTCAGATTTAGAACTGGGAGACGGCCACGGCAACAGCCTGAGAATCACTGTGGCTGATGCTGACGCTGACAGACTTCACACCAGCTTCCTTGGCAGCAGCGGCGGCGGCACCTTGGAGCTAAAAGTAACATATCTGTTAGTGTTGTTGATCTTATATGGTATTCATGATGTAACTTACGTTAACCACGGGGGCACCGTTGGCATCACTGGTGATCTCAATATCCTTCAAAGCAGCACCGGAACCCTTGCTGCTAACACCAAGGGACTTGAAGACGGCTTCCTTGGCACTCCAGCGGCCGGCAAAAGATGACTGGGGAGAGGGGGCCTTGCGGCAGTATTCCTGCTCGCTGGCAGTGAAGTTGCGCTCAATGAAGGTCTCGTTAGAGATGTTGATCGCGTCAATGCTCTCGACGTCAACGCCGATCTTAGAGTTCTCGGAGGCGTTGGCCTTGGCTAGGGACTCAACAGTCTGGCGAGTGCTCGCCTCGCTAGGGGACTCAGCCTTAGCGAAGTTGGCGGGGAACTTAAGCTCAGAAGTCTTCTTGTCAACAGCCACACGGTAGTCGGGGTTCAGGAAGACCTTGCTCTGCATCTCATCCTCGTAAGGAGCCTTGTTCTTGGCAACGAAGATGGTGTTGTTGATCAGACCGTTGTGGAAGTAGCGGTAGGCCTTCTTCTGACGGGACTCAACCTTGTTCTTGTAGGCCTGGTACTGAGCCTGGTCAAGAGTAGCGTACAGGTACTTGGGGTGAATACCAATGACCTGAGCACCCTTCTGACCGAAACCGAAGGAGGTGACCGAGAAGGCCTTAATACCATCGGTTTGGATGCTGCGGCTGGGGTAGACGATGTAATCGAACTTCTCCATCACCTTGTCGACGTTGTCGGCATTGCGGTTACCAGGGACAAGACCGGTCTCCAGAACTTGGAGACAGCCGTTGAACATCCAAGCACCAGCAGCACCCTTGGGGTGACCAGTGAGGTACTTCTGGAAGATACCCATAACGGCGTTACCCTTCTTGCGACCAAGGTGCTTGAGTTGCTGGCAGATGACATCGGACTCGTTCTTATCGTTAGCGACAGTCGAGGTACCGTGGAAGGAAGCGACACCAATGTCGTCGACGGTCAGACCCCAGGTAGCCAGGGCACCACGGAGAGGAGCGATGCGAGAATCCTGCTTCCAGAAGTTGTTACCCAGAGCGAACTGAGCATCCTTCTCCTGACGAGTGGCCTCGCGTTCAATGTGCTGAGCACGCTCATGCATGTACTCAGAAGCATTGAAGGTCTCATCACTTTGAGAGGCCATAGCCTCGACTTCCTCCTGCAGGTACATGAGCTCCGACTCCTGCCACTCCTTGATCTGCTTCTTGCGCAGCTCCAGCTGGCGGCGACGGTACTTGATGTCCAGCAGAGGAGAGGGGAACTTGCCAGGGTTCTCACGGGCAGTGGTAAGAACACCCTGACCGGGAGCAGGTACAGAGCGACCGATCTTGTCAGTAGCAGTGGTGGTCAGAGCGATGATACCGTGGATGGGGACACCCATATCCAGAGCAAGCTGAGCACTCATGATGAGCTGCATACCGCAACCCTGGGACTCCATGAATCCAGCACGAGTGGTGGTAGTAGGACGAGACATCTCCTGAGGGGTACGACCGTGAGCGAACTCATCCTCAGCGTTGCTGGTAGCCTTCATGTTGGCGAACTCGTAAGAGCCCTCCTCCTGGAAGTCATCGAAACCACCGACAAAGCAGACACGAGCCTTGCCCTCGACAATGGTCTCGTAACCGATATCAACGGACTCGACAGCGGTAGCGCAGGCACCGACAGGGGTCTTGATGGGACCAGTGGAGGATAGGAGCAACATGTTAACCCAAGCGCTCATGGTATTGATGAAAGATTCCTGCAGGATATCCTTCTGCAGGGGCTTGTCAAGGTAACGGTCCTTGTACATACCACGCAGAGCGTGGGTTCCACCGATACCGGAACCGATACAGTTACCAACCTCAGACAAGTGAACGTACTTGTAGAACTCATAGGGATCGGTGATACCGGCAGAGAGCATAGACTCGGCGGTACAGACCAGAACGAACAGGGTCACGGGGTCAACTTGCCCAATGATATCCTCAGGGATACCATAGCGGCGAGCATCCCAGCCAGTAGGGATCTGACCAGCAACCAGGCGGTCGAACTGGAGAGCCTTGGGGATGAGCAGATTGGCGCCCTTGCAGAGACGGACAGTGTACTCGCCAGACTCGGCGATTTCGAAGATCTCAACCTTGTCTCCGTGCTCACGCTTGAACTCCTCAGCAGTCTCCTTGGAGGCCTCAAAGGGCTCGAGGTCTTCCTGGATGACAATCTCCTGGAGCAGCTGCTTCTGCTTAGGATCGTAACCCTTGAACAGCTCAGGCTCAATAAGACGGATACCAGTGTGCTCGAGAATGAACTTCTCGTATTTGGGCTTGACATCCTTGTCATCGACAGGGTCACCAGTCTTGGCATCGACCCAGCCAGAGTAAGACTTGCCCTTGAGGGGACCGTTGTGGTGCTTGATCAGACCCATAATCCAGGCCATCTCAACACAACCCTCCAGAGAGAACTTGCCATTGGCTTCCATCTCCCAACGGGTACGGGAGTTACCCCAGGGACCGACCTCAGCGAAACCGGTGACAACAACAACCTTGTCCAGGTTGACCATGCCCTTCAGCGACTCGTTGATGGGCTTGACCTCAGACTCCCAGTCAGGAAGCTTGGGGAACTCGAACTTGATGTTGGCACGAGGCTCGGCAATGACCTTCTTGTACAGAGCACTGCTGTCCTCACCATTGACGACAGTGTTCTCAATAGCGGTCTCCTTGATGACGGCCTGACGAACATCGCTGGTCTCCATGATATCAGTGCGGAGCTTGGTCATCAAGCCCTTGAGATCGGGGATGAATTGCAGACCACCGTTAAGGTCAGCCCAAACAGGGTCGGCCTGGCAGAGGTTGACAACGGCGGGGGACATCAGACCCAGAAGGTTGAAAGCCATCTCCTGCTGGGAGAAAGTGCGAACACCGAGCTTCTCGACACCCTCAGCCACCATGTTGTTACCGCTCATCAGACCAGTACCACGGGTCCAGCCAATGACAGCACCGCAGATGGTAAGGTAGTTGCTCCAGTTCTCAGAGTACCAGCGGTTGAAGAGAGTCTCCAAACCCAGCTTGGACTCAGAGTACAGACCGTCGTTACCGAAGGTACCGTGATTAGGCGACAGAGGCAGAATAACCTGGGCAGGGCGGGTCTCAAAGCCATGAGCCTGCTTTTGGGTCTTAATAGAACCCAGCATACGGAGCAGGTTGGTCAACATAATACGGTGAGCCAGCTCAGACTTGGAGTCAATGGAGTCGATCTCACGGCCGTTCTCGGGAATGGCAGCGAAGGGCACAACGAAGTCAAGATCCCAGCCAAGACCCTTCTTAGTGTCGTAGATGTAGTCGACAAGGGCCTGCACATCCTGCTGGCTACCCTGGTTGAAGGGAACCACGACCAGTTGGGAACCACGAGCACCGTAACGGGCATACATGGCCTGGTAGTACTCGGTCACCTCACGAGAGAAACGGCTAGTGGTGACAATCACCTTGGCACCACCGCTGATCAGACCCTGCAAGACTTCCGCACCGATGGAACCAGCACCAGCACCGGTCATCAGCACATTCTTACCCTGGAAAGTAAGACCAGACTGAGCGGCAGACTCAAGCACCTTCAAGTAGATGCCAGTAAGCTTCTTGTTGTAATCCCAGCCATGCTCGCTTCTCTTCTTGAGGTGGAGGAAGGGAATGGTCTCCATCTTGCCGGGGCGAGCTGGGGTGCGCTTGATGCCGGTCTTAGCGTTCTCCTGGGGCATGATCTGGCTCTCGTTCATGTTCAGAGCGTGCAGCACATCCTTGTACAGAGCATCAAATTGAAGCTGAGTGGACTTGGAGAGGTGATGTTGCTTACGAATCAGCTTGTAGACGTTCTTCAGGTCATTCTGAACCTTGTCGCGGTTGCTGTACTCGGAGATAGGGCCACCCTCGGCCATCTGCTTGACGTAGTGCTCCAGCTTGCGAGCGCTGGTACGACCGACCTCCTTGTAGCCAATGCCACCGCGAGAGTCGATGGTAGTCTGGGGACCAGTGGGGACGGCAACATCCTTGTAAACGGGAGCGACATCAAGAACCTCCCGGCAGTTCTCAATGAGTTGCTGACCCAGCGCCTGGGCAAGCTGGTAGGTCTCTCCGCGCTCAGTTGGGCAGTTGTCGATGTGGTACTGCATGAAGTCGAGAAGAAGAGGGTTGGAACGGTTCATAATGTGGATACAGCGGCTAACAATCTCGCGGTCAACAACCTGCAGACGACCGAAGATAATGTCGTAGTACATGCTGAGCGCATCTTGACGAGCCCAGTTCCAAGAGGAGTCGTAGACGCGAGCCTTAAGAGGGTCAAAAGAGGGCTCAATGCCGGAGGCATAGAAGTCACCGTGCTCGGCCTGCCACAGGTCGAGCTGTGCCTGAAGGGCCTTTTGGGTTTCCTGAGATGTGATAAAGGCCTTGTCACCAGCACGAAGATCCATCTTCAAGTAGCGAGCAATGGCCTCGAGCTGCTGCTTAAACAGAGCGCGCTGGTCCTTGGTAAGCGCATCAATTGCGGCTGGGTCCATCATCATACCACCGCCACCGCTGCCACTGTCACCACCGGCCACAGGAGCGGAGAGGTTGATACCCGCACTGCCGGCATACTTATTCGTCACATCATCAAGGAAGGCCTTGGCATCGGCATCAGAGCCAAGACGGGAAGCCGGCTCCATAGTGATTGCCAGCAAGAGCACTCCATCCTGGCGGCCGCCACCCAAACCCCACCGTGTCTCCAGATACTTACGGACAGCTGTGATGTTGAAGCCACCAGGCATTTTAGACGAAACCATACGAGCAATAAGCGATGATGACTGCTTGCCCAATTGGCCATTGAAGGTGGCCTGCATCGACGCACCCAATTCATCGAGAGGGGTGTCTTCTGGCTTCTCTGGTGTAGAGCCGAATTCCTTTCCAAGATCTCCCAAAATTTCGTTTTGTAATGTGGATTTACCTATACAAGTGTAAAAACGATACGGTTAGCTTCTTTCACTCTCCTTCCCTCCTCTATTTTTGGTTCTTTGGGGCCATCGGATCCTGGCCCCATGATGCACTTACCTCCAACGAGATCCTTAATGGCCTTGCTCAATGGCACGTCAGCCAAGCTTTTCTTCAATTTCTGAGCCACCAGGGACCGCAGAATATCAACAGCAGTGACAGGCGCATCTTCCACAGCCGCCGCAGGACCAGCACTGGGGGGTGGGGGTGCAGCAGCAGCTGCGGGAGCGGGAGCAGCGGCTCCAGCTGAAGGAGCAGCGGCGGGAGCGGCCTCCGCAGCAGGTTCCTCCTCCTCAATGGGGTCAACATCGTAGTAAATCTCCTTGGCGTCCTTGTTGTAGCAGAGAATTTGACGTTGAACGGAAGTGGCGGCATCGTAAGCCTCATATTTGGAGGCGAGAGTCCGGCGGGCCATTCCTCCTAAGGTATCTGCGGGACCAATCTCGACAATGCGCTCAGTTCGTTGTTCGGCGAGGATAACATCTTGGGTTTCAATCCATCGAACGGGCGAGGCAAACTGGTAGGCGAGCAGCTCCACCAACAAGGTGTGAGCCAGCTCTTGTTCAATTTCAGGACGCATGGTGGTATGTGTGTGATATAGATTCTATCGTTTCTCGGATCGATTCAATCGGAAATTCGGAGGTAGTCGAAGGGGTATCGAAGATTCAATTAAAAGTAATCAGGACAGACGTCCTGAGGGCGTGCCGACGGGAGTTATCGTCGCCGAGATGCCCACGGATGGTGTTTTAATAAATGGACACGAAAAAGAAAAAGAAAAAAAAATGGAAAATTATAAAAAAAGAGACCGAAAGGGGGAATTAGAGAAGGAGAAATGGGTTCAGTTCTGGGGAGAAGAGAACTAGAATTCGGAAGTTGGCCCTTAGTCTCTCCAAGAAAAAAAAGAGTGGGAAAGTATTCGATAGAGGAGATAGCGGGCGGTGTAATAATGGGTGTAATACATAATACGGCATTGGGGGAGATCTGACCCGCCGGGTTCTCCGTATTGTATGTTACGTATTAAACGGGGTAATTTTGGATATAAAATTTCAATTTTTTTTTGTTCGTTTTGAATGCGGTGAATATTATATTGCCAGTTTTATATATCATGTTTATGTGTCTCGTGCACTCAGCAGAGCAGATGTACATGAATTTTTTATTTTATTTTTTATTTAATATTCTAAGATGATATATGAATTTGGTCTAATACCTTGAGACAGATACAGTTTTGATAGATGTTTTGGAATATAGTTACATACATACTCCCCCCTCCTAGGCATAATAATTCAACTTCCAAGGTTGAATTCATACTCACTCCATCCCCCGTATCAGTTCAACCAGTCAACCGGATAGAAGGGATGGGTAGTTGAGTTGGTCTCTCTCTCTTGTTGGGGCTTGCGGGCACCGTCAAACCGGATCGGTACCTGACAGGATTAGATAACTGAATGGAGCCAATCAAGAGCTTTATAATAGGGTGGATGCTCCCAACAACCCAATACTGAGCTTAACATTGCCCCAATCCAAGCTCTAGTTGAGCCAGTCAGCATAGACAAAGCCGTTTGTAGGGGATCCACTAGGTACCGCTTCGGGTGAATGACCATGGATTCGATGGACCTCACTGGATTTTTCATTTTCCATATTTTCTTTTTGTATAAGGATTATCAATCCCCGAGAACCGGCTAGGATGAATAATACAACAATTATGAATCAATTCCTGTAGGGGGAGAGTGGCCCCGTACATTCATAGTGGAGTATCCCCCCTGTAGAACTGTACAGAGTGTACTCCGTACTTCGTAGTACTTCTGATACTCTCATAATGACCTTGGAAGGGGCATGGTACTTCGTACTCCACGTATATAGTACATAGTAGTACATGGAGTCCTGACTGTTGAACCCCATTTAAGCCCGCTACGCTAAACCTTTTTTAGTCGAATGCAGTTCAACACTGGAAAGTTTGGTACGTTTGATACGTTTGACCCGTTTGGTTGGTTTAGTTGGTTGGTCATTTTGGTGACTTTTGGTCTGTTCAACCCGTTTTGATCGTTTTGATGGGTTTCGTGGTTTTTTTTTGGTCTGTTTCATTTCACTCTGATGACCACAATACCTGACCGTCTTCGCTGTCACTGAAGCTCTTCTCTTTCCCCTCAATTTCTCCATTATCCTCCTTCTCCTCACTGTTGATTTCCTTTCTTTTATGAGGTTCTTTGGGGACTTGCGTTTAATTATTTAATCTTCATATCCTTTTTTTCTTTGCTCAATCCGGACTTGTAAGTCACTTTTATGCCCCCGAACTTTTTTTGGGGGAACTTTTTTTTTTTTTGAAGCCCTCACGAGAAATTCTTCCCCTATACTAATGCAATAAATATACAGAATTTCTCCCAATTGTCCGTGAGCCCACAGTCGGGTCTCTTTGTCTGAGAATCCGCTACACCCATACGAATCCAAACTAGAAGAGAAAAGAATTTTTTTTTAAAGAAACCGACTGCATCATGTACGGCACATCAACCGGCCCCCAGACCGGTATCAATACCCCTCGATCCTCTCAATCGTTGCGTCCTCTCATCCTTTCACACGGTTCCCTCGAATTCTCCCTCCTTGTTCCGACCTCGCTTCACTTCCATGCTTCCCAATTGAAGGATGGTTTCACGGCTTCATTACCAGAGCCCACAGATGAATTGGCTCTCGATGATGAGCCTTCCTCAGTTGCCGAACTGGTCGCCCGCTACATTGGCCATGTAGCCAACGAGGTTGAGGAAGGAGAGGATGATGCCCAAGGAAACTACTTGGAAGTCCTGAAGCTCATTCTGAATGAGTTTGAGCGTGCTTTCATGCGAGGCAATGATGTCCATGCGGTGGCTGCCGGCCTCCCGGGCATTGTCGCCAAGAAGAACGGTGTCGTGGAGGCCTACTATGCTGGACGTGCTGCCGCGGGACGGCCCACCAAGCCTTACGACTCAGCTCTGTTCCGCGCGGCTTCCGACGATGCCGCGGGCATTTACACCGTTTTTGGTGGCCAGGGCAACATCGAGGAGTACTTTGACGAGCTGCGTTCCATCTACACCACTTATCCCTCCTTCGTAGAGGAGCTGATCACTTCCTCTGCAGAGCTTCTGCAATCCCTTTCCCGGGAACCAGAGGCTAGCAAGCTTTATGCCAAGGGTTTGGATGTCATGCAATGGCTTCAGGATCGGGATTCCCAGCCTGACACTGACTACCTGGTCTCTGCCCCTGTCAGTCTGCCATTGATTGGATTGGTGCAACTTGCTCACTACACTGTGACTTGCAAGGTTTTGGGTCGCCAGCCTGGTGACCTGCTTGAGCGTATTCGCGGTACCACCGGTCACTCACAAGGTGTGGTCACTGCTGCGGCTATTGCGACTGCCACTACTTGGGAGTCATTCGCTGTTGCTGCCAAGAATGCCTTGACTATGCTGTTCTGGATTGGTCTGCGCAGCCAACAGGCTTACCCCCGCACTTCCATTGCCCCTTCCATGCTTCAGGACTCGATTGAGAATGGCGAAGGAACCCCAACTCCTATGCTCTCCATCCGTGATCTCTCCCGAGCTGCTGTTCAGGAGCACATTGATGCCACCAACCAGCACTTGCCGGAAGATCGTCACATCGCCATTTCCTTGGTGAACAGTGCCCGCAACTTTGTCGTCACAGGTCCTCCCATTTCCCTCTACGGTTTGAACCTGCGCCTGCGTAAGGTCAAGGCTCCTACTGGTCTGGACCAGAACCGTGTTCCTTTCACTCAGCGCAAGGTTCGGTTTGTTAACCGCTTCTTGCCTATAACCGCTCCTTTCCACAGCCAGTATCTCACCTCTGCCTACGATCGAATCCTGGAAGATCTTGAGGATGTTGTTGATATTCCCGCCAAGTCTTTGGTAATCCCCGTTTTCCACACTAAGACCGGTGAGGACTTGCGTCTCCTCGGCGACGAGAGCGCCGTCCCCTCCCTGGTCCGCATGATTACCCATGATGCGGTCAACTGGGAGCAGGCCACCGTTTTCCCCCGGGCTACTCACATTGTTGACTTTGGTCCTGGTGGTATCTCTGGTCTGGGTGTTCTCACTAACCGCAACAAGGACGGTACTGGTGTGCGCGTCATTCTTGCTGGTGAGATGGACGGTACTAACGCTGAGGTCGGTTACAAGCCTGAGCTGTTTGACCGTGATGAGCACTCTGTGAAGTATGCTGTGGACTGGGTTAAGGAACACGGCCCTCGTCTCGTGCAGACTTCCACCGGTGAGACTTACGTCGATACCAAGATGAGTCGTCTCCTGGGTATTCCCCCCGTCATGGTTGCTGGTATGACTCCCACTACAGTCGCATGGGACTTTGTGGCTGCCACTATGAATGCTGGTTTCCACATTGAGCTGGGTGGTGGTGGTTACTACAACGCCAAGACCTTGACTGAGGCCATTACCAAGATCGAGAAGGTCATCCCTCCCGGTCGTGGTATCACCATTAACCTGATTTACGTCAACCCCCGCGCCATGGCCTGGCAGATCCCTCTTATTGGCCGTCTGCGTGCCGATGGTGTTCCCATTGAGGGTCTTACCATCGGTGCCGGTGTGCCTTCAATTGAGGTTGCCAATGAGTACATCGAGACTCTTGGTATCAAGCATATTGCCTTTAAGCCTGGCTCTGTTGACGCTATTCAGCAAGTCATCAACATCGCCAAGGCCAACCCCAAGTTCCCCATTATCATGCAGTGGACCGGTGGTCGTGGTGGTGGTCACCACTCCTTCGAGGACTTCCACCAACCTATTCTTCAGATGTACGGCCGTATCCGTAAGCAAGACAACATTGTTCTGGTTGCTGGTAGTGGTTTTGGTGGCTCCGAGGACACCTACCCTTACCTCTCTGGTACCTGGTCTGCCAAGTTCGGCTACCCCCCCTATGCCCTTCGATGGATGCTTGTTTGGTAGCCGTATGATGATTGCCAAGGAGGCTCATACCTCCAAGAACGCCAAGAAGGCTATTGCTGAGGCACCTGGTGTTGATGATGCCGAGTGGGAGAACACTTACAAGAAGCCCACCGGTGGTATTATCACTGTTCTCTCTGAGATGGGTGAGCCTATCCACAAGCTGGCCACCCGTGGTGTCTTGTTCTGGTCGGAGATGGACCAGAAGATCTTCAAGCTTGACAAGGCCAAGCGTGTCCCCGAGCTGAAGAAGCAGCGCAACTACATCATCAAGAAGTTGAATGACGATTTCCACAAGGTCTGGTTCGGTCGGAACACTGCTGGCGAGACTGTCGACCTGGAGGACATGACCTATGCTGAAGTTGTTCACCGTATGGTCGACCTGATGTACATTAAGCACGAGTCCCGCTGGATTGATGAGTCGCTGAAGCGCCTGACCGGTGACTTCCTTCGTCGCGTCGAGGAGCGTTTCACTACCGCTGATGGACAGGCTTCTCTGCTCCAGAACTACTCCGAGCTTAACACTCCTTACCCAACAGTGGCTGACATCCTCGCCGCCTACCCCGATGCTGCTTCTCAGCTGATTAACGCTCAAGATGTTCAGCACTTCCTGCTCCTGTGCCAGCGCCGCGGACAGAAGCCTGTTCCCTTCGTTCCTTCTCTTGACGAGAACTTCGAGTACTTCTTCAAGAAGGACTCCTTGTGGCAGAGTGAAGATCTGGAGGCTGTTGTTGACCAGGACGTTGGCCGTACCTGTATTCTCCACGGTCCCATGGCCGCTCGCTTCTCCAACGTCATTGACGAGCCTGTCAAGGATATTCTTGATGGCGTTCACCACGGTCACATCGCTGGCCTGCTGCGTGATGTCTACGGTGGTGACAAGTCTAAGATCCCCGTGATCGAGTACTTCGGTGGCAACCTGGTCAACGTCGAGGACGAGCCTGAAGTTGAGGGACTTACCATCTCTGAAGAGGCCAACAAGACCAGCTTCCGCCTGTCCTCTTCCCCCGCTGACTTGCCTGAGTTGGACCGCTGGCTCCGTCTTTTGGCTGGCGATTCCTACTCTTGGCGCCACGCCTTGTTCCTGGCCGATGTCTTCGTTCAGGGTCACCGTTTCCAGACCAACCCACTCAAGCGTGTTGTGGCCCCTACTCCAGGCATGTTCGTTGAGATCACCAACCCCAATGACCCTGCCAAGTCTGTCATCAGTGTTCGTGAGCCCTACCAGTCTGGCAAGATGGTCAAGACCGTTGAGGCCAAGATGAACGAGAACGGCCAGATTAGCCTCACTATGTTCGAAGGCCGCACCGCTGAGGGTGGTGTTGTTCCTCTGACCTTCCTCTTCACCTACCACCCGGAGACTGGATATGCCCCCATTCGTGAGGTCATGGGAGACCGCAACGACCGCATCAAGGAGTTCTACTACCGTATCTGGTTCGGTAACAAGGATGTTCCCTTCGACACTCCTACCACTGCCACCTTCAGCGGTGGTCGCGAGACCATCACCTCCCAGGCTGTTGCCGACTTCGTTCACGCCGTCGGTAACACTGGTGAGGCTTTCGTTGACCGTCCTGGCAAGGAGGTTTTCGCCCCCCATGGACTTTGCCATTGTGGCCGGCTGGAAGGCTATCACTAAGCCTATCTTCCCTCGCACCATCGACGGAGATCTGCTGAAACTGGTTCACCTGTCCAACGGTTTCAAGATGGTTCCTGGTGCCGAGCCCCTGAAGGTCGGTGATGTCCTGGACACCACTGCTCAGATCAACGCCGTCATCAACCAGGAGTCTGGCAAGATGGTTGAGGTTTGTGGCACTATCGAGCGCGATGGTAAGCCCATCATGCACGTCACCAGCCAGTTCTTGTACCGCGGTGCCTACACCGACTTCGAGAACACCTTCCAGCGCAAGGATGAGGTGCCCATGCAGGTTCACCTGGCCACCAGCCGCGATGTCGCCATTCTCCGCTCCAAGGAGTGGTTCCGCATGGATGAGACCGATCTTGAGCTACTTGGTCAGACCCTTACCTTCCGTCTGCAGAGTTTGATTCGCTTCAAGAACAAGACTGTCTTCAGCAATGTCCAGACAATTGGTCAGGTTCTGCTGGAGCTGCCCACCAAGGAAGTCATCCAGGTCGCCTCCGTGGAATACGAGGCCGGTGACTCTCACGGCAACCCCGTGATTGACTACCTGCAGCGTAACGGTACCTCCATCGAGCAGCCTGTCTACTTTGAGAACCCTATCCCGCTCAGCGGTAAGACTGCTCTCGAGCTCCGCGCTCCCGCCTCCAACGAGACCTATGCTCGTGTCTCCGGTGATTACAACCCCATTCACGTGTCTCGCGTCTTCTCCAGCTATGCCAACCTTCCCGGTACCATCACCCACGGTATGTACAGCAGTGCTGCCGTGCGTAGCTTCGTTGAGACCTGGGCCGCTGAGAACAACATTGGCCGTGTTCGTGGCTTCCACGTCTCCCTTGTTGGCATGGTTCTGCCCAACGATATGATCACTGTTAAGCTTCAGCACGTCGGTATGATTGCTGGTCGTAAGATCATCAAGGTTGAGGCCAGCAACAAGGAGACCGAGGACAAGGTTCTACTGGGTGAGGCTGAGGTTGAGCAACCTGTCACTTCTTACGTCTTCACTGGTCAGGGTTCTCAGGAACAGGGCATGGGTATGGAGCTCTATGCCAGCAGCCCTGTTGCCAAGGAGGTCTGGGATCGTGCTGATCGCCACTTCATTGAGAACTACGGTCTGTCAATCATTGACATTGTCAAGAACAACCCCAAGGAGCTCACTGTCTACTTTGGTGGTCCTCAGGGTAAGGCTATCCGCCAGAACTACATGGCGATGACCTTCGAGTCAGTGAACGCTGATGGTTCTATCAAGTCGGAGAAGATCTTCAAGGGTATTGATGAGAACACTGACTCCTACACTTACCGCTCTCCTACCGGTTTGCTGTCTGCTACTCAGTTCACTCAGCCCGCTCTGACTCTGATGGAGAAGGCCAGCTTCGAGGACATGCGCTCCAAGGGTCTGGTTCAGCGTGACAGCAGCTTCGCTGGGCACTCTCTGGGTGAATACTCTGCCCTGGCCGCCCTGGCTGATGTCATGCCCATTGAGAGCTTGGTGTCCGTCGTCTTCTACCGTGGCTTGACCATGCAGGTCGCTGTCGAGCGTGACGAGCAGGGTCGTTCCAACTACTCCATGTGTGCTGTTAACCCCAGCCGTATCTCCAAAACCTTCAACGAGCAGGCTCTTCAGTACGTTGTTGAGAACATCTCCGAGGAAACCGGCTGGTTGCTGGAGATTGTCAACTACAATGTTGCCAACATGCAGTACGTTGCTGCTGGTGATGTAAGTTTGCCCCCACACTTTATCATATTCCCTATCATACTTATATACTAACGTATCATTTTAGCTCCGTGCTCTTGACTGTCTCACCAACCTGCTCAACTTCCTCAAGGCTCAGAACATTGACATCCCCGCTCTCATGCAGAGCATGTCTCTCGAGGACGTCAAAGCTCATCTGACCGGCATCATCCAAGAATGTGTCAAGCAGACTGAGTCCAAGCCCCGTCCCATCCAGCTGGAGCGTGGTTTCGCCACCATCCCGCTTAAGGGTATCGATGTGCCATTCCACAGTACCTTCTTGCGCTCTGGTGTCAAGCCTTTCCGTTCTTTCTTGCTGAAGAAGATCAACAAGACTACCATTGACCCTAGCAAGCTGGTCGGCAAGTACATTCCTAACGTTACTGCTCGTCCCTTCGAGATTACCAAGGAGTACTTTGAGGATGTGTACCGTCTTACTAACTCACCCCGTATTGCTGCTATCTTGGCCAACTGGGAAAAGTATGAAGAGGGCACTGAGACCGCCCGTGCGGCTTAATGATGTATCTTGTGATTCCCCCCTTCTTAATGTTATCTCAATGTTGTTTTCTTTTTTCAAGTTTTTGTGATAGAAAGACCCTGATTAGTCTCGGTCGTGATGCGACATGTCTCAATCTTGGCGGAGTTGTTTTTTTTGTTACATGTATATGAGTTCAAGTTTCATATCATTTTGTTTTTATTTCAAATATCAAGTTATATTATTTAAATCTCAAGATTCCTAGTTCAATCTAGACTAGATATTGGTCAACCTTGAGGTTCAACCTCAAGTTTTTGTACACTGGCATCTGGAAACGTAAAACACTCGCAGACCGGAGAGAAATCAAAACGTTATAAACTTGGAGTATCTGATTTTATCAACTTCCGACGCTGAAATTCGTGAACGGGCAACTTTTTGTAGATAATCTGGGCAGCACTCTGGCACTATTAACGTCAAATCCGAGTCACATCCCTGTCATCTTAAGTCTCCTTCCAAGGACCTGGTCGGAGCAGTCGATCTTCTTTTCCGTAGATACTAACTTCCTTGACGATTCCAATAAACCGACGGTGACTCTCCTTGGATTCACCAATGCGAGGGCGGAAAATGCGAAGAAGATCACTACTCAGAATACCAGTGGCCGGAATGGCGGCATGAATCTCGGCCGGGGTGGGAAATGGTGCACTTCCGACAGGAGTAGATACGCGGCCTGGGACTGTTCAAAGTTAGTATATTAAACTTGCAAGATCATTCATGGGGATTTAACTCACCTCGAGTACCATCGGGACTGCTAGCACGGCTTCCAGAGAAACTCCGGTTGCCAGCTACAGGACTTCCGGCTCGAGATCCTTGGGGTGTACCTCCACGAGAGGCAACAGAAGGTGGGTTCAGCTTCAACTTCTTGGATTTACCACTCTCGCTCATCTCTGCTCCGGATCCTGCACCGGCATCATGGTCACTGCCTGATCCAGATCCACTCAACGGGTTGTTTCGAACTCGTTTCATGCCAGCCTTTTTGTAAGTTGTGTCAGCATATTCTGTGTTCATTACTCTCAAAGGGTTGGGTTGACTTACCTGCACATTAGCTGGAGAAATTGGGCGAGAGGTTGGCTGTGGTGTCTGGTGAGCAGGATGCTTGCTCTTTGTCTTCTTGCGAGAGGTGTCAGTTCCACTGGCATCTGAGCCATTAGGCGAGCCCAGTCGCTTGCGGGCCGCCGTCGGCTTCTTAAGAGCGTCCACATGCTTTGGCCGTCCAGAGGGTGTGCTAGTTCCTTTCGTGGAAGATGAAGCCGATTCCTTCTGGTTCTTTTCCTCCTCGGCCTTTCGTTGCTCTTCCTTTCGTGCCTCTTCTTTCAATCGTTCGGTTTCACTATCATCGGAACTCTAGAGGGGAAATTCGCATGAGTCTTTGATGACCACAGGTATTGGCAGGGGAAAGAATATCATCTTACCTCTTCGGAGCTGTATGGATTAGCTTCCGAGCCACTGGAGTAGTCGAAGTTTCGTTCTCGCTTCTTCAGTGCTCGACGCATCTTCCTGCCCAGCTTATGACGAGCTTCTTTCTCTTTCTTTTCCCGTTGTTCTTCTTCCTCGTAATCCTTCTCTTCCTTCAAGTCGAAAACATTCGCCTTGAGTTGATCTTCTTTGATTCGCTTCTCTGCAGCCTTGGTATCTTCATCTTGATCATTAAAGAGATCGTCATGTTCCTCATCATCTGCAAATCTGTCCTCTTCAAAATCCATTTCACTAGCTTCCAATCCCTCTCGTCCAGCAAGAACACCTTGCTTTCCAGCGTAAACTTTGCGGGATCTAGCATACTGCTCCAGCTCCTTCTGCTGAGCAACTTCCTGTTGTTTTTCCATAAACCAGCGAGGATCCTTAATCCGCTTTGCCATGAACTTCTCCGCTTCTTCAATTGTCAAAGCCTTGAAATGACTCTTGGCACTAAATTTGTACCATTTCTCCACGGGAATCATGCGCATCTTGCCATTGTCATGAACGAAAACCGCATGTGTCTCCGATAATGCAGCTTCGTAGTTACCAACCCAGGTATTGCGGTTATCGAAATCCTCCAAGTGCCACGGCAAGGCCTCCTCGTACTTGATCCGTGCTCGCGCGATCTCCTCGGGAGTAAGGTCGGACTTGTACACCTGTTGTGTTTTCTGCTTTGGGGCATTGGGTCGCTTTGCAGAGGCTCCTGCGGATGGGGCGATCTGAGCTAGGTTCTCTGCGCGTTCTTTCTCTCGTGCGGCTCTTCTCGCATCCAGCGCCTCTCGTTCGGCCTCATCTAGCTGTTGTCCATCCGGTCCTACCATCCGCTCTGCATGATGATCATGGGTCCTTGTGCGTGGATCTCGGCGCTGAAGTCGAACGGGTCGCGTGAATTGAGTCTCGTCGCGTGGATCGACACTCCTCTTAGCGGCGAATCGAGCAATATGGTTCTTTAATCCTTCGCGCAGAGCTCGCTTGGTAGTGACAACTGGGTAATCGGTGAATGTTGCTGATAAAAGGGGTCCACTGAATCCGTTCAGAGTTTGGTCATCCCGGACGGGACCTAGTCGAGGTCGTTCGAGAGGTTGTGATACCGGCTGGGGCTGGACGTTGACTGATGGTCGAGTTGGAAGAGTTTTCATAGCTGTTTGACCTGTCGGTGGAACACCTAGAGGTTTCACCGGCCTTCTCTTTGGACGAACTAACGGATCGGCGGCTTTGGGACGACGGATTCTCATGGGAGGAGCTCCATTAGGTGCTGTCGGCGTTCGCCCATTCGAGGGGTTGTTTGGGGTCGACATGGTTATGTCTTTGTGACCGAGAAAGACTGGTTTTCAGGGATCGAAGAGGTTCATGCGACAAGGGATATGGGATGTGGGATGTCGTCGAGGGTTGAAAGTGATCGAGACAGACAACACTGCGGAGTCTCATTCACCTGGGAGTCCAGGCTGACGATGATGAAAGGTCACGGGACTTTGGGTTTTTGCTTAGTCAATATTAATGCCTAAGGCTTGAATTTATCTTATCTGTACATGCACTCGAAGCCTTATGTTCACTTCAAAGACTTCATGAAATGAGAAAAAAGGGAATTAATTCATTTTATTCTCTACTTAGATGATTCGGAGATTTGAAATGAGACAATTTTGATATTTTCTAGTTTTTTCCAACACGAAACTGTATTTTTGTTGATTTCAAGTTAAAGTCTGATTAACCTGGCTATGTTCCAAGGAGTATAGCGACCAGGGTACCATCCTCTGATCATCAGCCTTGGCGTCATGCCAGTTCACTACATGCAAAGCTCATCTTCTTCAAATTGCTCTTTTCTTGACATTTGAGCAGATTGCATATTAATTGGAAATTTCCTTCAAATGTTAGTTTTGGGAGCGATTTTAATATTTCGCTATCAGGTCACTACTCCGAATCTCAAATGACTAGTGGTATTTTCAAGGTTTCCAAGGTTGGCTTCCAGATATTTGTTCCGAGTCATTTCTTCATTTCTTCATACATTTCAGATATACACTTATATACATAGAGGAGATTAATCTCCAAATTTCTGACCTGGCTCTAAATGGCGGTAGGGACACGCGATCCAGTCGCAGCCCTGCTTGTAGATCTCTGTTCCCCACCACTTGAAATTGGCAACATAGCCAGGGTAGATCAACGCGAAAAATACAACAATGACAGCAAATGCCAGTCCTGAATCCAAGGCTGCTGAAAGGGTCATGGCATATTTCTCCCACCAGGCTGTCTTGCGGCGTCGAATCACGTAGTTGAACACAAAACAGACCAATGCCCAGATCGAAAAGTTCAATCCGGTGGCAGGTGGGATCCAGCTGAGACTGCCGAAGAGAATTGGGAAGTTCACCTTGCGCCAGAAACTCTTCTTACTGTGTCGGCCGAGGACCCAGGCTCCTAGGGGCGCTACCGCGCCGATCAGGAATGCCCAGACCAAGGGTCGGTACAGCCCATCGGGGCCAAAGAATCTCTGCGGTCCAACAACACCCCAGAGGATGCTGCCGTTGAAATGGACTCGAGCAATTGGACAGTTGAAACCATTCAGTGCTTGTGGAGTGCATAGTTTGGGGATATGTGCGAACATCCAGTTCAACACGCCAATTTGGGTCAGGCTGGACACTAAAGTGGCGACCATCTGCACCCCAAATAGAATGCGAGGTGGAATTTTCATGTAGTGACCGAGCTTAAGGTCGGAAGAGAATTTAATCCCTTGAGCGGAGCTGATGTAAGAGTATGTTACGAAAATCATATTCGCAACGGGTCGTCCGGGGAAGACAATGCCGCAAAGGAGTTGACAGATTAGGTAAAGACTGCTGTGCTGGTTCGTCACAGCCATGATGATGCCAACTGGAATAAAGAACACACTTGTGATACCTAGAGCGAGGAATAATCCGTACCAGGGTAGATGAGTGGGATAGCTATTGAGAATGTTAATATTGATCATGAAGGGATCCGGGAGTCTTAGGGGGCCAATATATCACATACTGTTCGACAGTAAAGGTAGCAATTACTAGCATTGTAATCAACACAATAAGATACCAAGTGAGTGGTGCGTCTTTGTACCGCCTCATCAAACGACAGTGAACATCTTCCATGCCCAGAGGCATCTCTCGATTGGCTTCATGTGAGCCATCATAGCTGCGGGACTCCGAGTGGCCGTTCCCATTCTCAGTCGGTAATGGGTCGTAGCTTGCCATGCCTGGAACTTCACGACGTTCCTCGAATGCTCGTCTGGTTTGTTGCCAAATGTCTTTGCCATACCAGCACACAGTATGTGTCACCAGGGATGTGAGGGCAGCAAATTGAACTCCGTAGGATAGAACGTAAGTGATGGGAAGGTAGACGGGAGAGTATTCCTCGTACGCTTTTTGATCGAACAGAAAATCCGAGGTCAGGATCCGGCTGACATTGTATGGGTGGCCTTTATTATCAAACACAGCCGCCGAAAGGATGGGCATGAATGCCGAGTAAAGCACATTTTTGTAATCTTTCAACACATTAACAGAGCTTCCGTGGCAAGATGGAGATCCATTCACTTACATAAAATAGGAGCGATGATCCAAATGACGACCACCAGACCAGTGACGATGTTGGCAGCTGCCCACCATGGGGTAAGTAGAGGCGACCCGATATAGGCGATTTGAGCCCAGTCGAATGTTAAGGGAAACATCCCAAGACCTGATGCCACGCCGAACTACTCCAATTAGTGATGCCCTAGAGATTCTAGTGTGGAAACACAGATATGAGATGAATATGACATGACTTACCAAGTTGGAGACTACCACATTCTTGGGAGCAAACCAGGTGATAACGTTAAAGTAGCTGAGTGCAGGCATCAATAATCCCGGCACGAAGTACCACAGAAAAGCTCCTGTCCAGACAAGAACAAAGAATTTGTATCGCGAGATACTCCATCCATTGGCCTTCTTGTTTGCATTCTTGTGCATGGTAGAGAACATGGCTGTGGACATGAGGGTTCCAGGCCAGATCATAGCGGACGGGCGCACCAGGAATCTTCTGGTCAATCCAGCAAAGGCGTAACCCAGGACTTGAGTCGAAATGATCAGCAAAAGCTGATACAGGATTGGAACCTCCTGGTTATAAAATTTGTGTTGCTCGACAATGACCTGCAGGCTATTAGTAACCGTATATGAAATATAATACGAGGCGCCATGGGCACTCACATCAGTGGCAAAAGCAAATCCAAATGAGACATTACTGCTGATGTATACACAAGCATGCTCTTTCTCATTCCAACGGCCCTGAGCGAGCCATAGTCGAATACGGGTAAGCCATGAGGGGTCAGGTTGATCAAGTTCGCCAGAAAGTAGTTCCCTGTGGTCGAGGGTTCCATTTTCAAACACTTCGAGAGGGTCACCCGACCTCTTTAGTACTGCATCCCAGAATTTCCCGAGTGGATGTACCAGGACCAATGCGATGATGGGGGTAATTGCAACGCTGGGATACCGTAATGAGAAGAATAGATTGGCGGCAGAGCCTGTGAGTGAAAATAATAATGAAAGAATCCACATGCGAGGAGCTGGAAAGACAATTGTGAGACTACTGCCAATATAATCACTCTCGAGCTGTCAAACTTACTGTTTATAGACAGTGTTATGTCGTCTGTTGCAGGGACTGTCGCTCGGACTTGAGCATATCTAGATTTTGAGCTTGAATTAGCTTTATACAACCAACGAAGTTGAAAAAAGACCGGTTCCACGCACGGAGAATTATCAGGAGGATCGTCATCCGCACACTTAGAGTCTTCATCCTCGCTGTCCAGTACATCCTCGTCGTCCGTCATGAAAGGAGAAGTGACCGGAGTATCTTGTATCACCGGGTTTCCAGGTACAGCCAGTCCCGTCGCAAATGAATATTTTGAATCCGCCCCCATCCCCACATCTGACGTGGCAGACGAGGGTCGTCGATTATGGGCATTTCTATACCACCCACTACTTCGTCGTCGAACGGAAGAATGTGATCTTTTTGATTTGGGCGCGTTTCGTATATCATTTGAAGGTCCTTCGGCATTACTCTCTAGACTGGTCCGCTGCGATCCTCCCGTTATTCCCTTTCGGGATTTCCGCCGATCCGGCAGAGCCTCATCCTCGGGGTCATCCGGTATACGTACGGCTCCGTATGAGGTTGATCCCAGGGCGGGAGAAGACCGGATTAAAGGAGCGCGCGACATTAGGGTACGGAATCGCTGGCTGAGGGAGGTAGTATCGGGTGGGCTTGTGCCTGGATCCGTGGGAGAATCGAGTTCAAGGTCCGAGGTCGAGTTCGAGGGCGAGGTCAAGCTGGAGTACGGAATCGAGTCACAGTTTCCATTGCCGGTATGCGTACAGATTGAATTATTTGAATTACAATTGCAATCCGGGGTTAATGGTTCTTGATTCTGTACGGCGGGAAGCCTCTCGCCCCTCGAGTTCGGGGGACAAGACAGCTTCCGCGTCTTCAGCGGGATATCGGCCGTCGTGATGGTGGGGTATTGGAACTTGATTTTTTTTTTCTTCCTCGTAAGAAGAGGGGCAATGATGAAATGAATGAATGCTTTAGGAATAGATCGTGCAGTAGCTTCAGTTAACAAGCGAGAGAGATGAAGAGGAATTATCCGAGACCCACATAGGAGAAGGAACTTGATCCACTACAGTCAAGACGCCAATATTATATAGTATATAATATTATATACACTATATGTATTACATGGGATGAATAAATTGGTTTAAAATTTGAGATTATAGACATATTTAGTTTATTATTATACCACTATATCCTATAGTATAAACAATTGGATGTTATATGGTCAGAATACCTAGTATTATCATGACTCGGGTGCATTACGTATGCCTCTACGGAGTACCTATGGTAGTGCTACCTAGGTAGGTATCTATATGGAGTATAGGATACTACCTAGGTAGGATATCTTTGAGGCCATATCTACATACTATGTACTACTAATACTACGTACTACGTACTAGTAGTAGTGTTTTAGGATCAAGCAAAGACATTATTATATACTCGTAGTATACACAAATACTCATTGATCTTTATACGCCCGCAAGTATGTATGTAACCAGGCCCCGGCATGTCCGACTCTATCATTGCTTCGTCTATACATTGCTCATATCCTAGAATAACTCTGTTACCTTCTCATCCTCGTCAACTGGTGGTGCCTCAATCTGCGCTTGCGCTTTAGCCAGATCAACATCAGTCTTCTCGCCCTCTCCCTCTTCATCTCGCATCAAGACTTGCACCAATCGATCACACGCCTCCCGCACCTCTTCATTTTCCACGTTGAGATGGCATTCCCGAATAAATGGATAAACCTGAATCGCGCGCATTCGTTCACGACCTTCACGGGTAGTAGTCAAGAGCATTAAGGTCTCCACGTGAGTGGTGAGAATGGTTGTTTCACTCTCACGCTGCTTATCCGGAGGCAAGAGCTGAAGATCCGGAAGCATGTTTGCCATATCTTCGTCGGAGAATTCCTCAGGACCAGCAATTGGTAACAGGAGGTAAGGTAACAGATTAGCTTCGTCTTCTGCGAATAACATAGGATGGGAAGCAACATCAAAGGCCACATTCTTAATGGTGGAGGCGACACCCTTGCGGCGGATCTCGCTTTTGTGCTCCGTGAAAACGGTCAACTTGGTGATGGGCACCACTCCGTCGTACTCCTGACGAGTGGTGAAATAGGATCGCCCTTGCTCGGTCTTCGACAGGTCGGCGAAAAAGTATGAGAGGTAGTCGAAGTTGGCGTACTTGTTGAGTCCACCTTCCGCACCCTTGACGAAACAGTCCATCATCTGATCGATCGCATTCTCCGATGTTGACACTCCTTCGGGGACTTTGCGCTTAAGAGTCTGGAGCATTTGGAGGTGATCGCACTTGATCAAGTTGGCGAGAAGCATGGAGACTTCGTCGACAGTGGGATCTTTGGGGTTCTATGGTGATATGTCAGTCGCACTGGGTATAAATGGAATCGCTCCGAGTTCCCCAAGTCCCTAAGAGTGATTCTCCCAGTAGAGAAAAGATATCTCACGCACCGTAAGTTTTGACAAGAGAGCCTCGATATACACATCATCCTCAGCCAAAATCTTTAGGATCTCCTCGTCCGCTGAGAGGTTGACCAAGATGGTAAGAGCATTCCGTGCGATCGGCTAATATATAGGAATAAAGGATCGAGTTAGTTCCAGCGTTGCTGATATATTGCGCCAGTTCGAAATGGTAAGTTGGTGGGTTGCGACGTACGGGATAGTCTCGAGTCAAGAGCTTCAAATCTATGATGGGAAGGAATTGCTCGCTTTTGAACAATGCAGGCTGGGACGAGTAACCGACGAGGGTTGCGCAAGCTGAAATAAAGTAGTTAGAATATATCCAATGATTCCAAGGTTGGAGTCTCTTCTGTAAATAAGTATAGTTTTAACGTACCAATTTGGCGAATTTCTGTATTTCCATGGTGAAGGAACTCCACCAGCTAGAACCACAATCGGATTAGAAATCGTTCATATATATATAATATGAATATGAGAACTGACCTCTTCTAATTGAGTTGGCATGATTTCGGGTGTATAGAGTGTAAGATGAGTGTGTTGGAGAAGTTTTGAATCTTTTGATTAAAAAAAAGGGAAAAAAAAAGGTGAAAAAGTGGGGGAAAATGCGACGTCATTCTAGAGGGATCCATTGACTATATATTGATATTATTAATGTATATAGTAAATAGATATAGTATTTATCTTATATATATTGTACATATACACTAATCATGACATATATATATATATATATATTTAACTATAGTTTATAGTATAGATTAAATCAATTGAATATTTAGTATGATGATATTACTACATTGCCCCTCACTAGGTACCTAGGTACAAGGTACTAGTACTAATCTTGGAATAGCGGGACCCCCAATATTGACCATTGAATCTCCCGTTAAATCCAGACTTCATCTCTTATTCTCCTCTTAAGCAATCATCACAATCGTCACAATCACCTGGGAAAGATGGACCTTAAGGATATTCATGACTCTCTGGTATCATTAGCCTACAAGGCTGGTGATATTATCAACAATGCTCTACCAGAAACAAATGACACAGGCTCTAAAAAGAACAGTATGTCCCCACTATCATATGCATGAACATCAACTCACATCTTCAAAGGCGCCGACCTAGTTACCGAGTATGATCGTGCAGTGGAAAAAATGATCTCAACTTCATTGAAGGAGAAATACCCTGAATATGTGTAAGGATTGATCCTTAAAGGCTACATATTCTTCAACTTGAACTAACTTGAACTTCACAGTTTCCACGGAGAAGAAACCTATGACCCCAACCGCCCACTAACCGATGCTCCAACCTTCATCGTAGATCCCATTGACGGCACTGTGAACTTCGTACACAGCTTCCCACACGCTTGTGTCTCCCTCGGCTTCGCGGTGAACCGAGTACCCACCGTCGGGGTAGTCTATAACCCTTTCACAAAAACCCTATACTCCGCAATTCGAGACCAAGGAGCTTTCTTGAATCTGGAAACTCGTCTTCCACTCAAAGGGGGAAATGCTGAACCCCTGACCGGTCTATCCAATGCCCTAGTCAGTATTGAATGGGGCTCCGATCGTAGTGGTCCGAATTGGGAGACGAAAATTGCTACTTTTGTGAAATTGGGCCAGGCGAAAGAAAATGGCGGTGCGATGGTGCGCTCGTTCCGGAGTCTTGGATCTGCCGCTTTGAATATGTGTGCTGTTGCGGAGGGAACTATGGATTTGTATTGGGAAGGTGGTTGTTGGGAATGGGATGTTTGTGCTGCCTGGGTTATCTTAACTGAGGCTGGGGGTATAGTCGCGGATGGAAGTCCTGGTGGTTGGAATCCCCGTGTTGATGGTAGGAAGTATTTGGCTGTACGCGGTGCTCCTGCAGGCCAAAAGGAGATCGTGGAAGAGTTTTGGAGTAATATTCAGGGTGAACTTCAATATTAGATAGAGCTGACTCTGTGAGGATTTAGACCTTGGAAGGTCTATCAAATATAGACTCGGAAGAACTTGAAGGGACTTGCTTAATACCAATTTGTCAAGATTCTATCAATTAAGTACAGGTCTGATAGCAAGAATGAATATATACAGTCTTCTATGTCAGATGCATTGCGCTTCCAAGGGACATTCCACAGTAAAATTCTAAATATACGCATTTATTCATGGCCGAAGGTTAGGAGACCAACGAAAGCCAGCGTCAGTCTCCTCCTCAAATCCAGATTCGCAATCGTCATCTTCATCCACCTGGCGATCAGTCCAACGCGCCGAATCTTGTCTAGAGACTTCGGTATAGTGAGACTGTCCAGCGGTGCTGGTAGTCTTATGAGATTGGTGCTCAGCGGGAAAGGTCTCTACTCTTTGATGGACAAGGGTGGGACTTTCGAGGGACTGAGAAGAATCCGCAAAATCGTGGGATTGATTTGACTCCCTGCGATTGACCTGAGACATGTCTTGCTCTTGTTCATGCTCGCATTGTCCCTCGACTTCATCTCCAGATCCAGTAGGCCCGATACTTGGTGACTTGGCTCGCTCAGCACTTTGTTGTAGTGTATCGTCTGTCTCCGCAGCCTCGGTATGTCCGAAATGAGTGTCAACCAGGTGCTTCACCACCGGCCATCCATATGCATTGGTGAACATACGTCGTACAATAATATTATTATGCGCATCCGGCTCCAGGCGAACAAGGACCTTCCGCCAAGTCAAATCGCGGTGATAGGCCCGAGCGATCTTCTCTTCCACCTTCAATCCACTCTGACTCGATTGAGTCTGATTCTGGGTCTGGGTCTGAGTAGGAGGATGGGAACTGGAAGAAGATTGAGATGAAGCTGAGATCGACTTCGAATTCTTGTTTTGAAGGGAACCGAATGCGATCGTTCGTCGCTTCACGGGTAAAGGAGGTGGTACATCATCGGGGTGATAGATGCGATCATGGAAAATGGTTCGTGAGCGGGCAGCAGGGTCCAGAATGAACTCTGTGGGCGGTAATGGGGGCATCAATAAGTCCCCAGCTGACTCGAAGAATGTGGTTCGAGGGGGTGTATGCAACCCCTCCTCATCTTCATATAGTGAGTTTCCTCGAACTATAGGGCCAGGGTTTTCATTCGTATCAAACGAGCTGAGAGTCTGGCTACGTTTGTAGATTTTGGTATTTTTGGGACGCGACGGAAGCTTGGTTTCTTTCGGTCGAAATAAGGATAGGAACGAACTGAATGGACCCGAAGACGTATCCTCGGAGGCATTCTCCTTGTGGACAGCCCCAGCCGTGTAAGCGTGATGAGGGGGTCGTTGGGCTGTGGCCAGAAACTGTCGTGGAGAAGGGGAAGATGGTTCGACGATGTCTATAGACTCCTGGTCCGTATGTTCCACGAGAGAAGAAGAGCCACCGTCTACTGGCCCTGCTACTTCATCGACTCGAGTCAGTTGTGGAGATTTGGAATTGGCCCCAGTCAATTCCGCCCAGCCCCATTCAGCCATTGTGCCAACAAGACCGTTATCTCTTCTTGCCTTCTCCACGCGGTCCAACCCTCTCCAGTCTAAGAAGAGCAAACAAGACGTGCGTAGAGGAACGATTCCATCATTGACAACATTAGAGTAAATAGTGCGGTGCTGGAATCTTTTCAGAGCATCATGAGCAGGACCACAAGGTAGGATCCGTAACAGAGGTTTTGAACCGGGATCAGGATTACTTTGGTCCTGTGTTGAGTCTCCTCGTCCCCCGATGATGGCTCCCCAACCACTTCGCACCTTGGGGGCTGTCCAACTTAGTCCCAGATCCTGACCCGTTCGCCCAACGAGTCCCAAGTCCAGAGCAAAGCGAACATACATTGGATTCTCGTTGCTGAGCCCCAGAAAAGGAGTAGCGAGGGCAATGAAGTTCACTGGCCTGATGAGATCAAAAAATAACGGAGAGTGTTTTCGGATATATGCAATTGCGTAGGTTTGAACAAGTCCACCGAGAGAATGCCCAATGAAACTGATACTGGAGATCTGATAAGCATGATCTTCTTCGCTAAAAATTTCATCTTGGTCCAACGAGGTAGAGGGGTCTGAAGCCAGGTGGGTCTGTTCCTTGCGCGAACTGAAAGGACGATGAAATGTTTTCGATTTAGGACCCTTGAGAGGGAAGTATGGCTGATCAGGATACGTCATTAACAAGACATATTTGGCCAGGCGTTTGCCGAGGTACTGGATGCCACGTTCGGTTCGAACTGCATTTCCTGAAAATCCTCGGACAATCACTTGCTCGTCCTTATGGTCGGGTGTGGTGTCTTGGCTCTGTGTTTTCTTATTCCTGTTAGTAGCGGCATCGATACTTTCCTTGAGATAGAGCATGTCCGCCCCCAAGTTGCTATGCAAGCCATGGGTAACGACCACCAGATGGACTTTCTGTTTGGACGAAGCTGGGATTCGTGCCACACCTGTGATATCTTGTTCATCTGCCTGCAAAGAGGTATTTCCAAAATCAACCCCGGCTTCAACATGAATCGCTTTGGATGGCAACGGCGGACTATTCCATAGAGTGGTGGTATCATCTACATGAAGAGTAATCGATTTGGAGTATACTCCTTTCATAGCAACCACTTGCTGGGTCTTAGTCTTGGGGGTCCAATGATCCTGTAACTTCCCAGGAGGGCCCATCCCCGTCGCTGAAGTCCCGCTTGATGAAAAATATTCCAATGATTGAGCATCTCGAGTGACCAGTAATTCAAAATGAACAGAGGCGCTGTTGGAGAATATTACTTGGGATACAATCTCAATCACCCAGGAAATCGAAGAAGGGCCTTCCGGCTCTTGTTGACCAGCAACAAGATCCTGAGAAGTCCCGAAATGGGTCGGCAGCTTGATTGCCGCATCCCAATTCCCGCCTGCTTTCAAATACGATTCATACTGCGGTGCTCCCTCTGTCTCTTGTTTGTCATATTTGCTGTTAGGATCGAATGTGGATGGGTAGCACGATGTGTACAGGGTATATGGGCCATGGAGATATGCGGCTCGAAACGGGATGGCAGAGGCATTTTTCACTCGGACGTAGAGCTGAGCCGGAAGAGGAAGAATAGGATCAGCCGCCGGTGTATAGGTTACGGTATATCTATAACGATCAATCTTGTTAGCGCGAGTGATTGGTAAAGTGGGCTTTCCACCCCGAGGACTAGGAGTCACCCCCATAGCCCGAGAAGCGGCGCATAGGGGTTTAGAGATAAGCTGACCTGACAACCTCTCCAACGCGAACACTGCCAGTTTGGTGGATTAAGAGCATCTCTGGTATCGGTGTTGTATCTGCGAAGCTCTGGCGCCACCCAGAGAGGGTGTAGAAACGGGAGGGACCCTCGGTACGGGAGTTGGCGACCGCTCGGTCTGGGGTTTGCGCGGCGGAGTAAGTTCGAGGTGTGATTAGCATCGAAGTCGATAGATATTTCTATGACCTAAAAACATGATCATTATTAATGGATAACAACGATACTAGTAAGTGACTAGCAAAGGTGGTGATGCGGCAGGGCGGAAGCTTTCGGTTGATCCTACACTATGGCGGCATGGCGCGTGACCATGTCAACAGGAAGGCTTTCAAGTTATCATTCTCTATTAAAATATTTGTATAAATTTTCCATTTGAAACATGTAAAATTCTACAGCAGTACCTAAGTACCAACTGACACATATAGCTTCAGGGATAACTCTAAGGGCTAAAGGCTGTCTACTATGGAGTACAATACTAGGTAAGATACCTGAAGCTGCACTCCGTACATGTGCACAGCCCCATCCTAACTACTCCGTACACCAACTATTATTAGTAGCAATAGGTAAATACTAGATATCCCCTTGAATTATCAGGATATAAGTCCTAGTACGAGTCTAGTGGACATTGGAAATCATGAATTTCCAGCATTTAAAGGTTCTAACAAAATACATTCAAGTAAACTACTTGAAGATAGGTTTGAAAGCAAAGAAATAGTTCTCATGTGTACATTAAAGTATCAATACAGTAGTTCCAGGAATTTACTCCAGAACTCATTTTTACCCACTGGCAAGAGTGTTTGATCAAGCGTCCTCTTGTTCTTCTGGCTGAGGTTCCTCTGGTTGAGGTGCAACATGCTTCTCACTTAGGTTCACAGCAATAAAAGTCTTGGGTAGTTTGACCCTATATGAGACAATTAGAATCGGAATCATCGTCTCCAGAGAGAAAGTCTGTAGGAGAGTACTCACGTGTCAAATTTCGCTTTCAGTGTTTCAATCACCTCTTTCCAATCTTGATGAGCAGTCAAGCTACGGCGAGGAGCGCACCCGATCGCGTGTCGGGAGTCCAGTTGCACATCTAGTGGATCAAATGCATGACAACCGGGACTAATGGAGATGCGAATCGAGTAGGAATTGATCTCCGACTCACTATCCCGGGCCTCATAAAGCTCGAAGCAGATTTGGGACAGGTAGTCAAGCTCGGGAATGGTGCTGCGAGCAATCTTGGTTTGAATACCACCTTCAAGAATGCAGTTCAAAAGGGTGTAGATATGCGACTCCTTCGTGAAGTAGAAGAATGACTTGGCATCGGGGGAAGCCTGCACCTCCTCCAGATCTCGCACAATTTCTTGGAGAAGTGGCAGAGAAGTGAGAAGTCCGATTTCAAGCTTCTCGCTATCTGTGATACCATACTCTTGGGGCGTGACATAATCAAACAAGACCTTGGCCAGTTTGTAGAGCTCCCGCAGTTTTGCAAGGCGCTCATCGACCTTGCATTTGTTGGAACTGGATCCAGGATAGAGCTTGAAGTAATGATCGTAGGAATCGTCTAGTGCACGAAGGTGTTGCAATGATTCGGGGGACTGAAATCGTCGCTTCAAGCCAAAACGCTGTGCAAATGACTGATTTTCGGTCCGTTCCTCATGTTTGTCGTTTCCATTCTCGATGCCATTCTTATGCTCGGAGATTGATTCTGACTTGGTGGAGGGGCTCCAGCCTTTGACACTATCTTCTTTGTCCTCATCCCTGTCGCTGTCAGGTGGCATGAAAACCCATTCCAGGAATTGTCGATTATGAAGGGCATCGAATTTCATGCTATCGTAGAGCTCCGACAATTTACTGGGGTCTACCTTCTCGGTGTCACAGAATTCCGCAAAGAGCTTCTCCCATCGCTCCTTGAAAAGACGCGGGTCTTCGCCAGCACACCATCGGCCTTGCACATTAGATAACTGTGGTTGGTCGGGTGACTCCGACTGACTGGGATTATCAGCCTTCTCTAATGAGCCTTCCAGTTTGCTGAAGTTATGGCGCATCACATTGCGATGGAACTTCATCAGTTCTACCACAGTGGAAAGAACGACAGACGGCTCTGGAATATTGGTATCCTTAGGCCATGCAAATTGCGAAGGAGCTGATCCCTCTCTCAGGAGAAGCTTCAGCTTCTTCTTAACCTTGTCCATCACATCCTTCGCCGCATTCGAATCATCTAGCAAGTCTTTCCGGACTTGAATCAAATCAGCAGGGATCTCCTTCTGGTCCAGGAACGAGCAAGCCCAGATTTGTGCTAAGAGATTGATTAGTGGCGGAGAAAAGATAAAGGAAGAAGATATATGGTTATTGAACAATGAGAATTAGAAAGAGTTCACTTACCACTTGTACTGACGCGACGCTCGGAGCTGGTAAACAGACGAACATTATTGAGAGCCTCTTTATTCATCAACTTGAGATCATCCCGCATATTTAAACCAAGGTCTTGCGACTGATAGCGTGCGGCGTGAGTAGGCTCTCCACCCCATTTGATAATCAGCTGCAGTTTATCCAAGATAAGATCATTCTCCGCCGCAGAGAAGCGAGAAAAGGTAGGACCTGAGATGGAGTCGCTTCGTGTCTGAGACCTGCGCAACGCTTCATCCTTCTCACCCTCACTTGGGCTCGGGACAGGAGAGAGTGGTTTGGAAGGCTCAGTCTCCCCTGGTGGGACTGTAGAGGCTGGGTCTGAACTCTGTTCTCGCATCTCTTCTGGCTTGCGTTTACGGAACATGGGTTTGATTTGCACTTTGGTACCAGGCCAGCCACCCTTCTTCTCCAATGAAGTACGAAGTAGCTTCAACTTATCCATATCTTCAAGCCCTTCATTCATGGCGCGCTTGACCGCATCAGAGACACTGGACAGGGCTGCTGCACCCTTAATGACAACCTCCTCCTGGTGTCCCTTCAAAAGGTCCACAAAAGGCTGGCTGTGAAAGGTGAATTTAAATTTCTGTTTGGGTGTGCGATCGGCATGTCGGATGACTGCTACCATTCCTTTAAGCTTCCAAGAGTGCTTTGAGGCGGGGAGTGGTGGCTGAGCCCCATCACCGCCATGGTGAAGAGAAACGGCTGGTGATTTGGTATTAGACGGACTATAGCCACGAGAATCAGAGTGACCCTCACGTGAGTTTAGGCCACTGATATTCCCCTGGGGGTCAGTACAGTCAATCCCTGAGGATGATGCCAGTGATGGGACGCCTGTGGATGCATCTGAGGCAGGTGCATCATGGGTTTTAGACGCCTGCTGACTGTTGTAGAGACGAGAGGTGCTAGGAGACTTCAGCAATGTCTTCAGAGGATGTCTGTGTGAACCGGCTGTGCTTCTTCTGGATTGACCTAGATCTGGCGAAGGTGGCTCAGAGAGCTCCATTGATCCTTCGCACTTGCGCATCTCAGTCAGGAAGGTTTCCCGCAAGATATAGGCACACTTGTCATAATAATCATTGTTATCCTTGACGAAGCTCCAGCCATTCACGTCGATCACATAGCTCTTGTCCCCAACCCGGAGCATATCGAATCCACAGATCCGTTGTCCAAATCCGTTTGATATCTTCGAGGCGATTGCAGCTTCTTCTTTGCTTAACTGGGTGATATACCGTAACTCCTTGCCATGTGTGTTTCGTCGTACAAGCCCGTCTACTACAGGTGACTTACGTGTCTCAGCGTGACAGAAGTCTGGACCCACGGTATATGCCTTGACATCTTCAGCATTATCCACTCGCAAAAACCGCTCATACAGATAGCTTGTTCCGGTTTCCGTGATCGAGCGAGGTACGGTGAGATTGGGATCGTATTCGGAGCTTTTGTTGCCGACTTTGCGGAATAGTTTACGGCCACCACCGCCGTATTGTTGGTCATTGGGGAAATAAATGTGAATATTATGGTCTTCACCGTTGACTGGTTTCTCCACAAATGGTTTCCGGAAAACTTTGCCATCCACTATCAGGGATTCTCCATCCTCTGACATTGAGACATGCTGGGTTCTTGACGCACCACCTCCTGTGCCATCTTCCGGACCATCTAACTTCACTCCAGTCAAACGATGAATATGTTCAGCAACCTCTGGTGACTCCAGAACCGGTCCACCATCACGATTCACTTCAACTCTCTTTGGGTGGGGACTCCCATATTATCCAAAATCATCAAGCACAAGCGTCGGTCCCACAACACTTTCTGCATCGGCAAGTCATTCACACAGAATGGTTTGCGGAGTTGAGCATAAGCAATGGCTTTGTCCAAAGGGAACCCATCTGAGAAAAAGGCAATCAGGAAATCGCATACAGGCCAATTTTCCACCGCTTCATCCAGAATCACTTTGTCCCCAAACACGATCACCTCAAATTCACCTTTCGCCTGGAGACGAGTAAGGATATTCTGGCTAGGCTTGCTGCGCGCCTTAATATCTAGAGCACAGACACCAATCCGCCATGGTTTAGGACCATTGTGCTCCAACTCACTAATGGAGCTGGCGGCTGTACTCCCACTAAAACGTCGGGGTGCACGACTTGATTCGCGGTTGGAATGACCAATACGGGGTGCTGAACGAGAATCCGATACACTCTCCATTCGATTTGACTTCATTGGTAATTGTTGGCCGGAGAGACGATTTGATGTCAACGGTTCGGAGGAAGGAATTTCTTTCTGCTCAGAATCACCGAGAGCTTGGTGTGGCGGTGAGCCCGAACCTAGGATCTGTTCAAAGACACCCTTGGAGGATTCCATATTGGCAGAAGAGCTATGATTCTGAGAATTATCCTCATCCATTGCACCGAAGGACCGGAACGTAGGAAACGCGGGATTGGGGAAGTAGAGAACGATGTCGAGGCGGTGATAGAGGGGTTTAGTGGGGGGGACTCTATCCAGATAATCAAAAATCTTGCAGTGGGGATAGATAAGCAAGCATGCTTAAGTGGAGCAGAGTAATTTCTTTAAGGAGATGTTTTATCCTTGAGAGGGAGAATGAGGTCAAGAATGAAGGAATTAAAATTTGAAGAGACTGAGGGAAGAATAAGAAACAAGGTTGCAGCACTGACATTGGACGAAAACGATCAGCCCCATTAACCTGCACAAGCTTCAAGTTTTCATACTGTATGGTATGAGAATACTAGTATTAAATATAACCTTGGAAGTATATAGAGTACAATTCTAGGATGATAAGAGAAATATACTCTTTTTTTTCTAAGGAATACATAATATCAAGCTCCTATCTTCTAATTGCTTTTTTTTATTTTTTTTTATTTTTATATCTAAATTTTCTTTTCTTTTTCTTAATCCCGTATTAGAGTAATCACATTATAGTCAACTGGTCAGTACTTCTGTACCCTGGTGTAGATCCCTCTCAAGGCGGTGTGCAGCTCCCAAGGCGGAGAAGAAAAAAAAATCTCCATTCTTCGTACAATTCATCTTGTTGAAGAGGTTGAAGATACTCCAACATGCCAGCTATGGCCAGTGATCCTTTTGATTTGCCTCTGGCAAAAAGGCAGAAGAGAACTCTTGCTGAAAAGGAGAAGGTCATCAATCAACGGGGAGGCTCTAAAGTCTTTGCGCCCTTCCGGGTAAGTTTGCAGTGATATATTATTTTTTTTTGGCTTTTGGCTTCCCTTAGAGAAATGTTTCTTACTGATCAATTTCAATATTTCAGACTCTAGGATTGGTTTCGCCGACTCCTGTCCCATTTACCAGTGTTCGTCTAGGAAAGTCCACTTTTCAAATCACTACTTCCGTGGGCCATACGCTACAAACCTACGATCTGCAACGAGGATTGAATCTGATCTTCTTGAGTCGACCACAAACCCCGGAAATAATTACGGCGACATGCGCGTGGCAGGATAAGGTATTCGCCGCTTGGGGCTCTCTTCGTCCCCGTGCGCCTGGAGGTATTTGGGTGTTCAAACGTGGAAAGCGAGTCGCAGCTTTGGAGGCTCCCGGCTTAGAAGGACCCATTACCCAATTGCTAGTATTTGGATCATGGCTGGTTGGTTGCTGGGCAGGTGGTTTGGAAGTGTGGAAGACTGGGACTTACGAGCACTACACCAGTCTGCGTCCCCAGTCGAACCCTAGCGTATCTGCGGGGGAACAGATCTATGGCGGAATCATGTGTAACATGCCGACGTATGTTAACAAGGTCTTTGTGGGTCGAATGGATGGTGCTGTTGATATCTGGAATGTACGCACTGGCAAATTGGTTTACACCTTGCCTTCCTCTTCGCCTAACGCAGGACCTGTGACTGCAATGCACCCAACTCCTGTCCTATCACTTCTCGCAATCGCCCACAAGAGTGGATCCTTGGCAATCTTGAATATTGAATCCTGTCAATTGGTATTATCACTGCGAACCCCCTCCGCGCGAGCCCTTCCTGTGACATCAATCACCTTCCGAAGCGACGGTCTTGGAGCAGGCCATGATGGCCGACAGGCCGGCGTCATGGCCACAGCCTCGAGCGGCAGTGGTGATATTACCATGTGGGACTTGAATGAGGGTGGCCGCGTGGCCGGAGTCCTACGAGGTGCCCACCGAGTTTCGAATCGTGATAGTAGTATAGGCGTCAGTGGAGTGGAGTTTCTGGATGCGCAGCCTGTGCTCGTTTCTACCGGTGATGACAATACCTTGAAAACATGGATCTTCGACGAGACCCCCTTCTCTACCACTCCTCGGTCGCTCCACTCTCGAGGTGGACACTCTGCAGCCGTCAGCACTCTCGAATTCTTACCAGCAGCTTCTGATGGATCTGATTCGGGCGGGAAGTGGCTGCTCAGCGCAAGCAAGGATTCCAGTCTCTGGGGACTTAGTCTACGCAAGGACAGTCAACATACTGAGATTTCGCAAGGTAGCGTGGAGCGCAAGTCCAAGAAGATGGACCCCTCCGATTCATCTGTGGTAGACTCTCTCAAGGCCCCTGAGGTCACCTGTATCGCATGTTCTCTGAACCGCGATGGCGGCATGGGTGTCGCGACGTCTGGTCCCATTTGGTCCAATCCGAAGTTTACAAACACCGAATCGACGAACTCTACAGGATGGGAAAGTGTTGTCACTGGCCATCGTGGCGATAAATATGCTCGAACTTGGTTCTGGGGCAAGAAGAAGGCCGGTCGCTGGGCATTCCCGACCAGCGATGGAACAGAAGTCAAGGTATGTTTTGTTCTCATATAGGGGAGATGATTTATATCATAGCTAATCATGAGTTACAACAGAGTGTGGCTGTTTCACCTTGTGGAACTTTTGCTGTTGTTGGATCTGCAGGTGGTTTCATTGATATGTTCAATCTCCAATCTGGCTTGCATCGCCAGAGCTTTCCACCACGAGCGAAATCTCGAGCCATGAAAGGACATGCAATTGATCAGACACAAGGCTCAAGGCATACAAAGTCAGTGACTGGCTTAATGGTTGATAATTTGAACCGGACTGTCATTAGCTGTAGTCTGGATGGCAAGGTTAAGGTATGCTTCCAGATTCCTTTATGCTTTCTCTCTCTGTACTGACCTGATTTTTTCTTTTGTAGTTCTGGGATCTTCTCACCGGTTCGTTAATCGATGAACTGGATTGGTACCCCATGGCTGCTCCAACTGGAATCCGATATAGTAAGACGAGCGAGCTGGCTGCCTTTAGCTGCGATGACTTGTCCATTCGCGTTGTTGATCTCGAGACCCGAAAATTGGTCCGTGAATTCTGGGGATGCGTGGGTCAAGTTAACGACTTCATTTTCTCTGACGATGGAAGATGGGTCATTGCGGCATCCATGGATTCGGTAATTCGAGTCTGGGATTTGCCCACTGGGCATCTGATCGATATCTTCCGGGTGTCTAAAACTTGTGTTTCTCTTGCCATGTCATCCACTGGCGAGTTTCTCGCTACAGCACATGCAGGAAGCATCGGCATTAGCCTGTGGAGCAACCGCAGCCTATTCATGCCCGTGTCCACCAAGAACCTTGATGAGGACCTTATTGAGGATGTTGGTGTTCCCACTACATCTGGGGAGAGTGGTGCAGGCCTTGTTGAGGCGGCCTTCATGGAAGTCGACGATTCGGACGAGACAGACGGTCCCGTCTTGATGAATGAGCAACTGCAAAAGGACATGGTCACTCTCAGTCTGGTCCCGAAGAGCAAGTGGCAAGCCCTTGTGCATCTGGATTCGATCAAGGTACGTAATAATTAGCCTCGTCCATCTATTCTCGTTTGGAAAATCTTACTGACACCACCTAGGAACGCAATCGTCCCAAGGAAGCCCCCAAGGCCCCCGAGAAGGCTCCGTTCTTCCTCCCCTCTATGCTGCAACCTCAGTCAGCTCAGGACTCTGCCGCCAGTTCCCTTGCTGCTGAAAACGGTTCTCTCACTCAGAACATGGAGGCAGAACGATCTCGACTATCTAAGACATCCACCGGGATCAGTGGATTCGATTCCACTACAAGCCGACACCTGCTATCTGGTCATGAATCCGGTGATTTCGACCCACTCGTCGAGCATCTCAAGACTCTTTCGCCTGCTCTGGCCGATCTAGAGATTCGCTCTCTTGATCCTCGGGCGCGTAATGGCTTCTCGGAATTGTCAGCCTTTGTTAACGCTCTCACTATTCGCCTCAAATTGCGAAGGGATTTCGAGCTAGTCAATGCCTGGATGGCAGTCTTCTTGAAGATTCATGCTGACACAGTCGCGCTGTGTTCCCACCAGGAAGAGCCTGAAAACCGCCTCCTCCGTGACGCTCTGACGTCTTGGGCTCATGAACAACAGCAGGAAGGCAAGCGTCTTGCTGAGCTTGTCGGATACTGCCGTGGAGTTGTTGGATTTTTGAGATCTGCCCGGTAAATGAAACTTGCAAGATTTTCAAATGTTCTACTGTAATGTATATATTTAACAAATTTGTATACTCGTTCAAAATTTTGGGTTAGCGAGTAGATATGGAAAGATTATGTCCCCTGAACCTTCGACAGTGCACAAGTAGCATTCACCACATGAGGCGGTAATAACAGTAGTTTCAAAAAATTCCAAGGTTGAAGTGAAAATTAGATCTGTACACAGCTGAATGGATAGAAATTCAATTATATGGGTTATCACCCGGGCAGCCCTGGAGGCGATGATATGTTCTGACTAAGGAGGGGAGAAATTCCCAACCTGGAGGTCACAACCTCACCTAGGCAAATATTTGAAGAACTACACTCCCGTCATCTCAGGCTACTTTGGCAAACATTTGAACTTTTACCCCCTTCTCTTTCTCCCTCATATTTTTTCTCCAAATTTCCCTAAAATCACACTCAGCAATGGGAATCCCATCTCTGACCAAACATCTCTTTCCTTATGGGGAAACCGTGGTGCTTGGCGACAGTTCATCTCAGGAAGATGGTCCACCCACCGTACGATCTGTGGTTATTGACGGACCCAGTCTAGTCTATCACGTAAACTATCGACTACTGGCATCTACGAGGATATCGAATGGCACACTTGACCCTCAACCCACCTGTGACGAGGTCAGTCGGGGGTTTGCCAGCTGTCTGTTACAGCTCGTCCAGCGCGGTGTTCAAATGTAAACTCCCTTCAAGCTCTTACTTTGAGCAATTCTGACTAAACTTATAGTCAACGAATATGCTTTGATGGTGCATTGCCAGTTGCCAAACGAGAGACACGCCTGGGCCGAATTGAAAGGTCTAGACAGCGCTTGGAGATTTCCCGACGTCAACCACTCGTTGCACCATCAAGTGAGCAGCGCCAAAGAAGTCCCATGAGGCCAGCCCAGTTCTGGTCAACCCGAAACCTCCCGTCATGCTTCAGGAACTTACCTGAAAACCCATTTATGGTTTCGGCGGTATTCGAGGACCTCAAGCGTCGGTGGACCAAGCCCCAGCTGGCCACAGAGCTCGAGCAAGAAGTCGATTCCCTTGAACTGGGAGCTGGCGAATATCCCTGGGCTGATATCACTGTTATGGTAGCCGGAGAAGCGGATCCCGAGTGTGCTAGAGTTGCAAACCTCACTGGTGCTGCGGTGTTGACAAACGACTCAGACCTAGTCGTCCATGACTTAGGTTCCCACGGAGCGGTTGTTATGCTCAATTCCCTACACTTAATTGAGGGTGCTGTTGATAAAGATAAGTCGGAGATTCGAGGCTTGCAACTATTCCCAAAAAAGATCTGTGAAAGAATTGGAATCCCAAATATACAACGGTTTGCTTATGAGTTGGAGCAAGACCCCCAGCTTGGCTTATCGGATCTTATACGACGGGCAAAAAAGAGTTTCGAGACCGAGGGAAATAATGACTATGACCGATTCTTGAATGAATATCGTACTCGTACAGAGGAAGAATTAAAGTCACAGGATCGATTCCGCAATCTAGTGTTAGACCCCAGAGTGTCTGAACTAGTTTGGCAATATGAGCTGCCTGGTATCTACTTTTCAGATCAACCACACATCTACCTGGGAATTTTGCACGAGGATCCTTCTCGGCGGTGTGCTTGGGAACGAGGCCGCGTATTCAGGACTACAGCGTACTCTCTTCTCAACTTATCATACCCTACTGAGCGTCAATCCCCTTCTGTTTATGAGTTTGTTCGCAGAGGTAGACGCATTGTCGCGGGGGAAGTCTTTCTCTATGAGCCCCTTCAATCCCCCAAAGCCTTAAAACTCATCGGCGCGCGTCTTAAACTTGCATCATTAGTCCTGGGGAACCCGTCGCAGCATTACTTTTGGGTCATGTTTGCTTTAGCTGAGATCTTCCAAGAAGATCACGACAGTCCCATGTTTCCCGGGTTTACAGGGTTGAAGCAATTTCTGGAAAGTGGTAGGATGGGGGAAATGGGTGACTGGGTTGATATTCATTTCCTAGCTTCCATACACGCGGTGCTCTACTCGCTTCGAATTCTGAAGCAAGTTTTGCCTATGATCGATGAAAAAATTTGGAAGGAGCACTTATCCCTTCTTGATGAGCTCCCCCCTGCACATATACTTCTAGGTTCTCGACATGACTTGACACAGGGATTCCAAGGAGAGTTTTTTGCTCACCAATCGCTGTGCCAATTGTTTCAGACTTACGAATGATATGGATTATGCTATCAAGCTCTGTCCTATCCACTTTAGAGACTTAAGGAATACAGAAATAAATCCATCTCGATGCTGAAAAACGGCTATAACAAAAATAAATTTCGTAGTGAAGCCAGATAGACCAGAATTGGACACTTGTTCTTAAAAGGAATCTTGCCCTAACTTTTATATTCTTAGAAGGCAATAAAACAATTCAAGGTATCTCCGAACCATGAAAATCAATATCAAAATCAGTAGTTCAACGCCTGTATCGCTATTTCACAGCCTAGAACCTTGGAACCAGTATCCGTTTCACCGAATATACCTGTTGCCAGGTATCATGAATGTCATTGCATGGATGCTTGTTTGGTCCCACGAGGCCTGTGGGGATCAATGAGAGCGAGGCAAAGACAGGTTAAATTCGGAGACTAAGAGGGCAAATTGTTGGTGACTCCAGTTCAAGCAGCTCCTGGAAAAGTGTCGTTCGGGGTATTTTGTTGCTCAACCTTGGCAATACTTGGCAATTTCAAAGAGCCGTGTCGAAACAAGAGGGTATAGATGAGGAATTATGAATATCGGGAGGCATTGAAAATCCATATTATGCCCTCACTTCTCGGGGGCATCTGGCAACCTTTCAATGACATATTTTCCACGGGCGACACTCATGATAGGGGCACCAGGAATTTTTCTAGGCTTGAGTTAGACTTGGATAAAAAAAAGACCAGTGATTTGTGCTCCTATTTCCTCAGAGGAAGAAAAGAGAGAAAGCGGCAAATTGTAGAAGGAGGAGCACGTACCGAATTCGCCTCTTGAGGTCACGATCGTTGGTTGCCACAATATACACACGATGCTTTATGAGACGATCCACCAGGCAATCATCGGCATATGTTCCTTTGTGATCACATTTGATGCGCTCAAACCGAGGATCTTTAGCAACCCGCAAGGCTAGTCGGTATTTCTGGCCCAACTTCTCTAACTCTGCCAAGACACAGTCCGTAATAACAGGGATACATTTCGCATACAGACAGTCCATCATGGTGGGGATAATGTCGAGCTTGTGCTGAATGGTATGGGATATGAAGTTGGTGTCAACGAGAACGGAGTACGGAGGTGTAAGCGCAGTGTTGTACTGGAAGAACATAGATGAAGGAGCTTGAGGCCTATATTTTTTTTGTTGTCAGCCCACCAAATTTTATTGGGGTTCGCTAGTCAAGGAGAAACATACGCTTCTCGAATCACATCATCCTTGGGTTTGGGCTTATCTTTCTGGTCATTTTCTTTGCTGGAGAGAGGGATCTGGTTAGTATGGTAACTGAAAACAAGGGAAGGGGAAACAAACAGGCGATTATCGCGGAGCGTGATTGCTCTTTTTGTTTGCGCAAATTTGCGCGTTCTTCTTTGGACACCCATGGCGAAGAGAATATGGTGATGGAATAGTTGGTGGATGAGATGAAGAAATTTGGATTCCGATAACCAGATAATGCGGCTTATCTGGGATGACTCAGCATGTATAACACGTGACTAACTATATATCGATCTATAAACCAGATGAAACTCCATTCTGTTAATATACTAGAATATGTAGTAGAAAGATATCAGAAATTTACGAAAGAATCATTAAAATTTAGTAATATCACCTTCATATATCATCTTGCAGGTGTAATTGATCATATTCCATGGAAATTGTGTCGTTTCCAAGGATCTGCGGAGTCTCAGAGTTTCGGAGCCAGCACTTGAGTTGCTGTATACTTCACGGATACTTGAAGTCTTGAACAATGATCTTGGAATGCAATCATGACGGAACACTTTCAATATCAATTAAAGCAGACAATTTATAACATTAATCACACCTTAGTTTAGCCTGATGCGTCATCATGATGGGCGCTCACTCTGACTTCACGCATAGTACAATTTCTCCAGAAATCTAGGTAACAAGACAGTGGAGGAACGCGCAGCTGTTACGGTACCTAGGTAGCTCGCATGGCAGTTATCCGGCCTCAGGCCCTACAAATGTCAAATGGTTTGGTCTCTCGCCTTTTACGTGGGCGCTCATGGTGGGAAACTCAATCCTAGCGTCATCGCTCGCTGCCAGGCTGAAGTTGAGCAGGAAATGGTTTCGTAGCATTAGGCCGTCTCACCATTGCGGACTTCATCCTCTCCTCAGCACCTACTCTCCGAAGCTGGATATTTTGCGTGAGGTGCGGGCTGCTTCCAGGGTTATAACCTTGGGAAAAGGCCGTTCCGCCTAGGCAAGAACGATTTACGATATTCCTTATAGACCAGGGGAGTCAAGAGAGTTAAAATAGTGGGTTTTCCCATTTTTCTTTTTATTCTTATCTTGTTTTTTAATTTTCTTTCTCTTTCTTTACTAATTTATCATGAAAATGATCTTAATTTCCCACGACGAAAGGCTCGAGTGAATAGTATTTAAACCAAGAATTCTATTACTTCATGGCTCTTAATATACACCTAGATTCATCTGAGTACTTAGTTCTCGAGTAAATAGTCATCTAGCATCCCGTCATGGAGAATATCAGTGTCATTTGCCATGACATCTAAAAAGTCAACAGATGCAAAAGCATCAGCGCTTAAAGGGGTCATCGTAGAGCCCAACGTAGGCTCGAGTCCCAGAGAAGATGGTGATTTGTTTGTCAAAAGTGTTTCTGATAGATTGTTGCTTTGGCTGGTATATAATGTATTGGTAAGCCCGGTACACCCGTGAGGGTCTCCAACCATAGGCAAGAGAATCTCCTTCTCTGCATCTTCTGGTAGCTGGAAGTCCAGAAAGTCCCACAGATTAGGACTCAGCTGATTGGAAACAATGGGCATGACATCTAGATCAGAGACATTATATGAGGTAGATATAGAGAGAGCCAGAGGATTGTTCCTCATAGTTAAAGGCCTCAATATCGATGAATCAGCCTGGGCGATTGGATTATTCAGAGTCTTCAGGACTTCTACCACCTGAGAGTGGATAGATCGATTCTTGTTTGATTGTTCAGAAAGCCCATTCTCTTCCAATTTCATGAGTGCCTCAAGAGCCAAAACACTACGTGACGCCGAGCTTTGATGCGGATCTTGGGAGGTAGTGCCCTCAATGGATGGACCAAGTGATATCTTTGAGCGCAATAGTTCAATAGCCTCCCGAATATGATCTCGCGTCATGAGTCAACTTAATTGAGAACTTGACTGCTCAGTTTCACTTGGTGGGGAATCAAATAGGAGTCCCAAGACCAGCACAACGGTAGCGTTGAAGAGTTGCGTTTCGTTGATGGACAATGAGTCACAAACCGTGCATCGAGCTTGAATTTGGGCTTGTGTGTTGATTATATTATGAGCCAACTGTTGACAAGACGCCCGTCCCATGGGAGAGGAGAGAGTAGCTCGGTGCAGACGAAGCAGTAGACTCCATAGCTGCTGATGTACCATAAACCGCTGCACCGGAATGGCGGCCATGGGACCCATAGCTGTGAGCTCAACAGCACTTCCCAGCCTAAAGTAAGATGGCAAGTCTGCCACGTACTTTTCGTACCTTTCATTTAGATGCTGGCGCCGTAGAGAAGCTTCGTTGCCACTATCCTCAATATCAATCGATTCTCGCACAATGATAGATAGTTCCAGCGCATGTATTGTACAGGAGAGCATGGTGAATTCGGATCGTGGACGCTCGGAAATCTTGGAGCATGCTTGGATCAGGTCGTCATCATTGATGTGTAACGGCATCCGGGTATTGAAATGGGAGTGACGGACAGTATAGTAGCCAAGAGCTTGGCCACGCGACCAATCCCTCAAGACAAGAGTCCACCTGATAGTTCAAAGTCATTAGTTTCTTGTTCTTAAAAAAATGCAAAATATGGAGTGGGGCGAACCAAATGCGAATTCCAATATCAGTGCGAATGTGCGATGGCTCTGTGGCAGCAAAGCCATATGGAGAAGTGGAAGCATTCAAAGGAGCATCCCCCAGGCGATGTAATCCGAGTCTTCGTGCACCCGTAATAACAGTGGCCAGTACACTATCAAGTTAAGCTTGAATAAAGAGCTCATATCCCTGTGTTACCAGTTATAAGTCCGAGTCAATAAACCAACTCATAATATAGTCACTAACTTAATTTGAAAGCCGCTAGCTGAAGTTATATGCGTTTAATCAATACAACAGAGTGCGATTCTGGCAACTTCAGTATTGAAGAATTCACTGATTACAATACCCCACTATATGCTATTGTGTCACACACCTGGGGGCAAGATGAGGTTTCACTGCAAGATATGGATGCAGGTCGAATCAAAAAAAGAGGATTTGACAAGATAAGCAAATCTTGCTCTCTCGCTCTGGCTAGTAGTTTTAAGTATGTCTGGATAGACATATGCTGTATTGATAAGACAAGCAGCGCAGAACTTTCTGAAGCGATCAACTCCATGTATCGATGGTATGAAGAAGCTGAAATATGCTATATGTACCTTGCGGATGTACCATCTGAATGTCAATTTAAGGACAGCAGATGGTTTACCAGAGGCTGGACTCTTCAATATTTTATTGCGCCCACAAACCTCATATTCCTTGATGAAACATGGACATAGAGCGGGAGTAAGAACAACTCAGAGATTCAAAAAATTGTATCTGACTGTACTCAAATACCTATTGGTGTTCTCTCTGGAGAAGAGGATCTTGACATTTTCAGTGTTGCCCAAAAGATGTCTTGGGCTGTAAAGATAGTAACTTCAAGAGTTGAAGATCGGGCATATAGTCGTATGGGGTTATTTGGTGTTAATATGCCATTGATATACCTAGGTAGATATGTTTAATATATTTTTCTATGGTCTTTAAGTAGACTAAAATATTATCTAGGTATATTACTATGAATATATCTAGGTATCCTTGTAATATAATATTTATAAATTATTAGAATAATACTAGTACATTAGTTAGTCCAAAGGATATAACTGTTACGAGCCGTCTGTTAAGCAACGTGAGTATACACTGCCGTAGTGTCAATAGTACTCACCGCAAGCCGTTATCCTGCAGCTGTACCGTCGCCTGCCAGGCCTTATACGGGCTCGAGTATTTAGGGATCCTAGTGTGGGAAACACAGAATGACAGCTAAATTAATGCGTTTGAGGAAACTCCTCCACCTGTCGCGTCTTCCACCTCCTTGACCTGCATTTGAGTATCCTCCGTGATCAACTCAGCCCACAGACTGTCCACTGCGTACATACCCTGCGCCATGGCCACGACGATCTGCTTGGCATGGGTTCCGGCATCACCGATCACGTAGAGACCAGGAATATTAGTTTCGCCGCACGGTTCCCGGCGTTTGATGGTGGTGCCGAACTGCGGCGAGTGCTCTAGCTCAAGTCCCAGCTCCGTTGCTAGATCCTTGGAGACAATGTCGCTTTTGGGCTTGTTGATCAGAAAGGCGAATTTGTCCCAGCTCCCATCTGCAAATTTGACGGTCACCGAGCTTGTGTCCTGGGGGACCTGGGACTGAGACTGCGCCGTGGCCGGGGGCAGGAGCCGACCGATCGGTCGGTCGTTGATGGTGCATCCCATCGCACAGGCCAGTTTCAATGTTTCCCTTTGCTGGTCCGTCACAGGGACACCGTTGGTCAAGATCACCACCCGTGCGGGCTTAAATGAGGCGGCCTGTAGCGCCAGATAGCCGTAGATCGGTTTCCAGGGGTATGCCAGGACGGCGACTCCGGCGTCCAGTTGCATCCTCTCCAACCCATCGCAGAATAGGCAGTGGTAAATATGGGACGGCCAACAAGCCTGAAATCCCTCCAGATCCTCTGGGAAGCAATCGCGTCCCCCGGCGGCCTAGACCAGCTTTCGCCCGTAGAATACCTGACCCTGGGCCGATTGGAGTCGGAAGCCAGCCGCTTCGCCACCATGAAGAGGGAGCTTTTCCCGGCTCGCGTGAACGATCGTATGCCCCTCTGCCACATTGATGGTTGGATACTTCCGTAACAACTGTTCTCGGGCCCCGGCGCGAAACTGAGCGGGACTCTCCCCGTCATGTCCGATAACATTATGGAGGGCAGTCACTCCATGGTTACGATAGGATCCCGAGGTCAGGAAGATCGCTGAATGGCCACCACGAGCCAAAGCCAGGCCTGCAGACAGTCCAGCAGGACCATCGCCAAGGATTAGAACGTCATAGCAGGTAGAAGGAGAGCCCATTGTCCTGTTATGGATTTTGAATGGTTGGAAAGGCAGAAAGGAAGGCAAAAGAGCGAAAGAGGGAAATGGGGATAGCGCTAAGTTAAGCTGTGAATAGAACTTGAGGCCTGATGAAAGAAAAGATGTAATTTTGTATCGGTAGGAGAAATACAAGAGCGGAGTAGAAACGCTAGCGGTATATAAGTAATATAATGCTATAAATGTCTAGTTATGCACAGTGCTATCAGGCCACTACGTATAACTAATGATTCTTTCACTAGTGGTATGACGCTTCCTGTAATTGGACTATGCTAGTCCTAAGTGGGAAACTATATCCGCCCTTTGGATACATAGCTGTAGAACTCCCTCTATGTTACGAAAGCACTCAGACCCACGCTGATTCCTTTACATCTGTAACCTTCGATCAGGTAAATAATTCAGATCCCCAAACCACAATAAAATATGACACAGTGCCGAGGAACGAAACCAACTAGGAGGGTAAGCCATTTAGCGAGCTAAAGTGTTAGCTGGGTAGGGATATATTTTGTCTATTTTTCACCTAATCTGCTACATACCGCCAGCACTTCACTCCGACACCTTCACCAGGAATCCAGGATCGATACCTCCTCCTAAATACAAGAAATGATATGGCCCAAGGTGCACACCTGTTCTAGATCGAGCGGGAGGCAGGAATGAGAATGGATTCTACTCACTAGGGCATTCGACATGGACGGTTTCGCACGGCTTCGATGATTGATTTATTGATGCTATGAGGGATTGGATGAGGGAGGAGCGGTACTAGATGAATCAGATGTGAAGGATGTAAAGCGTCCTCTAACCATCGAGCTGTCCGCATATGGATCCAGTAGGCTTGTCTAATGGAAGAGAAAATGCAAAGAATTGGCAATTTCCTTCTTAGCCTCTAATACGCGTTGCTTCTTCTGCTGCTCACCTTCTAGCCACGTGATGTAGGCAATCGCTTTCTCCAACACCATCGATTTGGAGTTCTCCGTGGTGAGAGTTGTCGGGTCGGAGTGTGACCATCCCGGGATGACCTCCGCCAGGTTTTTGATCTTTTCGTTCAGTCGTTTGCGATAATTCCTCTCAACCTGATAATGGCGTTTCTGGTTGTGGGAGATGGGTTGGTCTGTCATTATAGCGGGTGTCGTTAGGACCCTGGGACATCAGTCGTCTATTTAGATACCAGATCTCTTACCTGGTGGAGCAAGATTTTCAAGGCTTCCCACACTATTAGAAGGGTTTGGACCTGGATGTGACGGAATTATTGACGCTCTTCTTTGAACACATGCTGATGGTTCGTTGGGCGAGCATCCATCACTAAGCAAGTCTGAGGATAAGCGAGAAGACGCCTTGACGTTAGCTTATGTTCGATAGACCTAAGGGTTTTTTTGCACCAGAACGGGAAGAAGAACACACACTGGTGATGATCAAACGTTGTCTCCTCTATTATAATCTATTATATATAGAATATATATTTTTATATTCCTATAGATATTCTAATACTATTATAATATAGTCTATATAGCTTTCTATATTCTTTAAAAAGATTAAAATAAACTGTGATATTCGCCCCAAGATTACCATGTATCTTTCCTTGCTTACATCATGTTACTGTTATGATCGCACATCACCTGATGTCATTATGTTTGATTGTATATAAACTACTGTTATTCTATACTTAATCAAACATGCACTTTTACCTCCTAAGATCTCATATGGTAGCATGTCCTAACTGAACATGCCTTCTACGGCTGTTCGGGGAGGATATGTCGGAGACAGATCCGTACACTCCCTTAAACGATCGAATTCGAACGATCGGTACTGGATGTGTGTATACGAGACAGAAAGTGTCATTCTTGATGCGTTAGACGACGTCTTTATGTTCTAGGAAGTGTGAAGTCACAACAACCCCGAAAAAGGGCGGATGGAGGAAAACCCTGAGAATCAGGGACTATCCGGGGACCATTCCCTTTGTTCGGACAAACCTGGATACGGAAGAGACCGAACACCGACGCTAATATATAATTACCTCTTGTTTATACTGAATTAAGGTATATCCTTCTATCTCTAAGGATAAGATCTATGATCTACGATCCCTGATCTATACTATAAAATAAGATAGAAGTAAAAGAATAAGATGCTGGGTGTAAAAAGGGTATAAGAACCTCTGATTCTTTTAGAATATTAAAAAGAACTTAATTAAACCCTATTATATCAAAGAGAAAAATAATACTACCTATAGACCATGATGGAGTATTATTATAAATAACCACTTATAGATAAGAATATTATCTATTATCCAATAAGAGAAGAGATTATCTATCAGCCTATAGATAAAGATACTTACTAAGTATTAGTGGTACTTTCTTAAGACCTAGCTAAGATATATATAAACATATAGAAGATAGGCTAAGAGTTAGAATAAACTTATGATATTATTATTAATAGCCAATACTATTATAGTAGAATAAAACCAACCGGCCCCTACTATGGCAGAATTAGCACCAGCTCCTCTGACTATATGTCACGGTACTTGTCAGGTTGATCCTGTAATCACAGGAGCACCTTAGGCAACGAACTGCGGGGTATCCAGTACTTAATCGGACCCCAGTGAGCCAGGGTTCCAAGTTCTTTAAGTATTAGTTCTTATTGTATTGGAAAGTACTAAATACTACCTGACTTATCACCGATATCTTCCTGATTCACCTAACCACCAGATGCCACCCTAATCTGGCACTTTCTCTCACAATTTCTAATACTTCTACCCCTGGTTACCTGAATTAAGATGTCGGCCCGACGAGCCACCCGCCGTTCCTCTCGAATCCCTCGCGACTTAACATCGAATGCTCCTCTTCTGTGTCAAGGAAGACAAAGGAAACACTACATTGAGGATCATGCAGATCTATTGCCGTAGTGGCTATGGGATTCGGCACCAAGTCCGGCCGCACATAGAGGGGAATTCCTCTAGGGCCCGACTTACACTCCTCAAGTGTTAGTCGCTGTATCAAAGTGAACCAACTCCTCGTGCTCTCTCCTTAGTATATCTCGCCTAGTCCACAGGTGTTACCCTAATCTGACAAGTTCATTACAATTCTAACACTTCTCCCCTGGCTACCCGAGTAACCTAAGGATGAGTCAATGAATCACCCGCCAATCCGTCCGAAGGGCCTCTTCGCGTGGAACCCCGGACCTCGCTAAAGGCGAGATTCCGATCCCTATGCCACCAACTGGAACCTTAGAGACCCAGGAGGGTCCCCTGCTCACTACCGAGAACCTCAAGGACACCCCGCGAACTCTCACCCCTTCCGAGGCTGAACTCCAGGCTCTCCAAGACGAAATCGCCCGCCGGACTTAACATGCGGAGCTTCTACAGCGGATCCGTGAGCTGGAAGACCAAGTCCATGTGTAAGCAAGACCCCTACAACGCTCCCAATCCCCGGAGTCGCGACACACCTGAATCAAGGTGGACACCCTCCACACGTTTTACCTTAACTTTAGCATTCAAGAAAGATCGGAATGGCTGAAGGACCTTAATTACTATTTTAATACGAACAGTCGGGACTTCCCCGATGGTCGTTCCCGGGTGGATACCGCGGTATTCAAGATGGATTCCAAATGTCGCCAGCGGTGGTTTAGTTATCTCGAACTATAAACCGAGAGAGATGCTGAAGATCTCTATTAAGATTGGGGAAGGTTCGAGAAATAGACTATGACCCTCTTAGGGAACGCCGCCACAGTAGTAGCAGATATGGCCCGCTCTTTCCAGAAGGCCTTCCAATATGATCGAAACCCTAACAAGTTCCACTCATATCTGGCCGCAATTAAATAACACCTCCCGAGAAAAGACAAACAGACCAGCGCTCTAGATTTCTTTATCCGGCTTACCCTAGCCTTATAACAGGAAATTGAATCCCATATTAAGCTACCGCAGACCTAAGACCGGATGGTGGCCTAAGCGAATCACTATTAGTCCCTGATGACCCAGAGACACCGAAATCTGAAGCAAAGTTATCCAAACGAGTATAAACAACTAAAGAAAGAACCTAAACTTAATGAAGAATCAAGACCATTGGGTCGAAATCATCTCTCCCCCTATGGATCAACTCCATACCACGCCTAAGGCCGTGGTGATTTCCCTTGGACTCAAACCCGGAGATACAACAATACAAGCCATACACGTGATCTTGCAACCATTCGATGCTTTAAATACAGTAACGTATCCCGTAAGCGAGCCGCACATTCAAGCGGGCCGCACACCTACCCATCAACTAACATATATTATATACAATCATTCAACCAACAACAGAGATATTTAATTAGAACGACTTCTATCTTAGTTAGTACATGTGTTTCTCTTATGTCCAATATTGCCGCAATTTGTACACTTTGGCAGCGCTCTCCCAGTAGCCGATTTCCGCGCTTCCCGCCGCTCTACATCCACCACCTGCTCTGCTTCTACTACCTCTCTCTCTCTGTCTGTATACGCTAGCTTGCCTCGCTCACAGTCATTCCACCCTTATTAGCCATCTGCCTATGAGGTAGGGCACGCTTACGTGCCTGCCGCCCATTCTCAGCGCGTAATTGCTCAATTTCATGAGCGAGAAATGCGCCGTTATGCATAGCAATCTCACATCCCTTAATCAGCTGCTCAAGCGCTTCTTTAGCTGGGCTGGGAGGTGTATATGACCTCTGTTTTAACAGCCTTTTGATTGATGAAGCCTGTCGTCGGATATCGGTAGGCTTATATGGTGTATGGGGGGTAAAGTTGCTGCTTCCACTGCTAGGGGGTGGTGTAGGTGTACGTAGCTTTATATCAAGCTTCTCAAGCACCCGCTGTGAGCTAAGCGGGATTAAGCCAGCTGCTAAGAAGCTATTTGAAATTGTAGCTGGCTTATAAGCTTAGTCCCGGGTAGATAGGTATATAGCAAGAAAATCAAGCTTATCAATATGGTGTATGCTATATCGAAGCTTCTGCTGGATAGCCTGCCCATAGATATACTTTATTATACCAAAACACCTAACATTAAGAGGTTGAAGAAGATGGGAAGAATAGGCTGGTATATATAATGGTAGAATATGGTTTTCCTCGTATATTTGATCAAATTCAGGTGTTAAGTGGCTGCCATAACCATCCATAATTAAAAGCCGCCACTTTCCATATATACGTGTATTTATATATGGTAAAAAGTGATTCCGGAGCTAATTCAATATGATTTGATTAGTAGTCCAGCCATTATCACTAACATATAATTGCCAATCAGATGGTAGGTTTTCAGCCGAAAACCAGGCTTGGTTAAACATCTTTGCTTTAAAGATGATATATGGTGGCAGTGCCCATCCATAACTGTTGATTATCTCAATAGCAGTAACCTATTTACGATTTCCAGATGTAAGAAGGTGTCTTCTTCCATAGTACTTAGCATGTGTAACAATATGGGATGTACTTGTCATATTTATAGCAAAGCCAGTCTCATCAAAGTTATAAATATCCTCATTAAGGATACTATATATAAGAATAGCTTACTGCACACGGTTAAACCACTCCGTTATAGTAGCTGGATCTTTACATAAAGCACGCTTATATTCATATCGACGTGATAGACGTGTCGTAAGCTCAGGTGTCCGTTGGATATAATTATATACCCATTTGGTCCCAACTGTCTGCAGGGTGGTCTCTCCACGCTTTGCAAGTAATAAATTTGCCATCTCTCGTACCATAGACTGTGTAGGTGCTGCCCCACGTGTATCCATAGAGAGTATCTATTTCTAAAGTGATTCCTCTTCTAATTGGGTCAATTTATGACTATTTGCGCGTGTGGTTGATCGGGGTGTCGCGCCGTTACAGCGGTCGCGTAGGGTAGATACAGCGACGTCATATAGGCGCGCAGCACGTCTGAGCGTCAAATTTTTGTCATTTTTCATAGCTTGTATAGCAAGTAAAAGCTTTCCTTCTCGGCTATCTGATTTTTCGGCCAAGACAGCGTGCTTTGGTGGCATGGTTGCTGGTTGAAGATCGCGAGTTGTGTTTCGCGGCCGGAAATTTGGTAGGTGTGCGGCCCGCTTACATGTGCGGCTCGCTTACGGGATACGTTAACTATAACGTGTTCCACGGTCACCCGAACAACACGGTCACCCGAACAACCCCACCAAAATCCAAAAAACCTTTAATTTTCAATAACAATTAAAACAACAAAAATAATGAATTATTGACTATTAAACACGTCCAGGGCACTTAGAATAAGCATGAACTTTAATCCCACACGCAGAACAGGTTATTTGTCGTCGAACCAAGGGCACAGAGGGTAAATTTGGCTCAATTGTTGGTTCTGCCTGCACCTGTGGTAAAGATATATCTCTGCTTTGATCCTTATCCTCGACCACCACATCGTCCTGACCACCTTCTAGGCCTCCAAATAGGCCTTTTTGAAGGGTAAATTTATGCTTAATAGCACGTTTTTTGACTTGTTTTTTGTTGGTCGCCTCCAATTGGCTACAACGATCTTGGAGAAAAATGTGGTTGTGGACTATCTTTATAGTCATATTGTAGGACCGTTTAATCTCTTGTTTAATCGGTGACGATATGATTGAAGACAAGGATTCTAGGCCTTTTTTGACCAAAGATTGCGATTTTGTAAATTTTGAAAGCGTCCAAAGCGTATTTTGATCGCTATCACTGCCTGACGATATTGGTTGTTGATCGAGAGGGGGAAGAGAATCTAGGCAGATATTCAATTTTTCTAGGACCCTATTAGCATTAAATGGTGCTAGTCTAGTAGCTAAAAAGCTATTTTGGATAGTAGGGCCCTTGAAAGTATTAAGTCTTGCTTCAGCTATTATCTTAAGGAAATCTTCCTTGTCAATAGAATTGACTCCATTCCGTATTAAAGTTGATACTGTACTACTATATAACCTTTTCAACACCGAAAAAACAACCTATATCCAAAGGCTGTAAAAGATATGAAGCATATGGTGCTAGTCTAGTAGCTAAAAAGCTATTTTGGATAGTAGGGCCCTTGAAAGTATTAAGTCTTGCTTCAGCTATTATCTTAAGGAAATCTTCCTTGTCAATAGAATTGACTCCATTCCGTATTAAAGTTGATACTGCACTACTATATAACCTTTTCAACACCGAAAAACAACCTATATCCAAAGGCTGTAAAAGATGTGAAGCATATGGAGGTATATAGATTGCAATGATCTGGTTTTCCTTATAAAGTTGGTTAAATTCAGGGGTTAAATGACTCCCATAACCATCAAGGACTATTAGGTAATATTTCCTAACTCTTGCACCAATATTTGGAATAAAATAATGTTTTAACCACCATAAACCAATTGTATTTGTAGTCCAACCATTCTCACTTAAAGTTAAGCAAGATCCTTTTTGGTTTTGAAGGAGAAAAGGACGTAAATGTTCTGGAAACATTTTACCCTTGAAAATAAAGAGTGGAGGTAACACACTTCCAGAAGCTTGAATACATTCAATAATCGTTACCTATTCACGATTTCTAGATTGTAGAAGATGTCGTTTTCTATGGTATTCTGCTGAAGTGATGATTTTTTGTGTTGAGCTAATACCTATTGCAAAACCACTCTCATCAAAGTTGAAAATATCATCCGAAACGATACCCCACTTTTCAATTGTTTTTTGAACCAAATCAAACCATGGCGCAATGATTCGAGGATCTTCTGATAAAGCTCTCTGATAGTCATATCGTCTTGAGAATCGACTAGCAAGATTTTCACGTCGTTTGATAAATTGGGATGGCCAATTTATACCAACAGTAGAGGGTGTTGTTGAAGATGTAGTTTTCCGCGCTTGAAGAAGAAGATTGGCCATATCTCGTAACATAGACTGATTGAGAGCTGCACCTCTAGAATCCATATCCAGTAGCCAATTTTCTATTGATTTTTCTTCAATCTGAGAGAAAATATGACGTCCATTCCTCCTATCATTCAAAGAGTCACGACCGTTAAGCCGGGCCCGTAAAGTTGAGACCGGTACTTGAAACGATCGGGCAGCACCAAGAACAGAGGGATATTGACCATCTTTTATAGCTTTTATAGCTAATAAAAGGCGACCCTCCTGCTCTATTAGCTTTTTTTTTGATCAGAGCGTTGGGGTGGCATGTTTATTGTGCTTAAGAAAGAGGGTTTGTTTTTTAAGTGGATTTTTGGTGGGGTTGTTCGGGTGACCGTGTTGTTCGGGTGACCGTGGAACACGTTAGGATATTACGTAAGTAGTTGCCCAGATGGCAGGAAAGGCCAGGCAAACCCTAATACCTACCCAGAGGCATAGGTGCAGGAAGTAGAAGGCTATTCGGAAATCTAGCTAGAGCTGTAGAAAACCCTGTCTACCGCTCTACCTCCACTTGTGGGAACCACCTATCAGTTATATCACCCAATCCAGGTCCTAGATAACCTCGATACCCACGCTGATCTCGATACTAGTGCTAAGATCGACCTTATCAGTTTGACCTTCGCATAATAATATAAGCTCTAACAAGCCCCTTTATCGGCCCTAAGGATCAAAGCTATATCTAATCTCTCCGCGCCTACCTACAGCGTCTTTAAAGTCCCTTTCACTATCACTAACTCCTGGGGTACCACCTGCTGACTTATCTATAACTGTGTGGCCGTTGATTATGATCCCTAGCTTGGAGGCAGCCCGATCCTGCTGTTAATGACATTCTTTGAAGATTTTCCTATTTATCTACTCCCTGCCACCCGGAACTAGTGGTTCGAAGTAGGTACCCCCTAGCTTGAAATTATTAATCCCTATTGTTTTATAAAGAAATATTAGAACAAAGCCTATGTCTATACTGTGATCTAGATGCCTAAGGGTACCCTCTTACAAACCCCTCTAAATCCCACCAAGACCTAATTAAGGGCAAAAGTGTAATAAACTAGTCAGATTAGGGTGACACCTGTGGGCTAGGCGAGATATACTAAGGAGAGAGCACAAGGAGTTGGTTCACTTTGATACAGCGACTAACACTTAAGGAGTGTAAGTCGGGCCCTAGAGGAATCCCCCTCTATATACGGCCGGACTTGGTGCCGAATCCCATAGCCAATACGGCAATAGATCTGCATGATCCTCAATATAGTGTTTCCTTTGTCTTCCTTGACAAAAAGAGTTACCCCTAGAATTCCAAGAATTCTAAGATATTTTTGATTCCTCTGCCGTAACTACACTACCCCTAATCAAAGATATAGACCACTCTATTAATATCCTCCCGGGCGAAACGCCCCCCTATAGGCCTATATATCTACTGTCCTAGAATAAACTTATAGTACTCCGTGACTATATTAACAATAATCTTAAAAATAAGAGGATCTGCTTATCCAAGAGCCCTGCCGGGGTATCTATCTTATTTATACCTAAAAAGGATAGTAGCCTCCGGCTCTATATGGATTATCAAGGACTTAACTACATATCTGTCAGCAATTCAGGCAGATTGTGTGCCTGGATTCCTGGGATGAAAAGTGGCCCTTTTTGATCCAAAGGTTATGCTGACTAATTCATCCCGCGATCAAACATTTCCGTTGCGAAATGAATGATATGGTTTTGATCTGATCTATCAGATCAAAGATGATCTTCTCTCGTCCGAGAAGATCCGCAACCCGAGCCCCGTTGTTAGGATCAATGGTTGCAAGATGAGATGAAAGGACTCGATTATTTCGGATTCCGTAGCCCTTTCGTCCCATATCCTGAGACCTTTGGTCTCATGTTTGTTTAGTCTAAAGTTCTATAAAACCTGATCTTACCCCTTAGCTAGTTTAGCATCGAATTCAATCGTTTTTGGATCAGTTGTATCTTTGTTTGATTCTTTCCTTCCATTCCATCCTAAGTTCGGATCCAGCTTGGTCGTATGTCATTCCATCTGATCCGTGTTGTCTGATCTTTTGGTCTTATCTTTACCCTTTCCTCCGAAGGGTTCCCTGTAGCTTGGTGCCCCTGTTCAGCTGACATCCTCTGCGTGACGTCATCACCTTTGGTCCTGTCTTCCCCACGCTGAAAGTTATGAGCCCGGTTACGCTACCAAGCTAGAATTAAGACGAAACGTTTTTTTTTTCCGTCTGATATCCCCCGTTTGATCTGAAAGATCATCTTGTTTTATCCTGTTTTACACCATCTTGTTACCCCTTATTTGTTGTTCCTTAATCTTGTCTTTTCATAATGTCTTCCAAACCTGCGACCGTACAGCTTCGAGTTCAGACCATTCTCACTACATCAGACCAATGGATCACGTGGTTATCAAACATTCAGGCAATTGCCAATTTGTCTGATGTCTGGAAATATATTGATCCGGAAGTTGCTTATCCCCCTCAATTGGGACCAAAGCCACAACTTCTTTCCGTACGAGATGTTTACCCGAACTACGACAAACCTTCAGACCAAAAACTTGGGACGAAAAGCGCCAGTGATCAGACGAAATCCTTTCTGTCTGAAGATGCATACCTTGCGGCGAATCCCGAGCAAGCCCGAACCTTCTTTGGCCTGGAAGGTCGAAGCAAACGTACTATCGATGATTGGAAAGAGACCAAACTTGCCCTCGATAATATTTTCATCACAATTCTGAACACCGTTTCATCTGATATCCGGAAGCTCTTTGGATCAGAGTCAAACAGTCATGTGATTATGAGATCACTATATGAGCGTTTTAATCCCGACTCTATCCTCCGAAGTCAGCGGATGGCTGATAGATGGATTGGTCTTCGTACCATCCCAAGATCAAACATCATGAAATGGTTGGACCAATGGGAATCGACCTATGTTGAGGCGAAAACCCTACAAATTGTTGAAATGGGAACTGAAAAGAAAGTTTGTCTTGATTTTCTCCGAACTATTACTGTTTTATCTGATTCTTTTGCTACACATTGGAAGTTTTCTCTGATGAATCTCCCTGATTCATCCGATCAAATCTCTTTTCTCCGATTATTGAGGATCTACCGAGATCATATCTTATCTTCGACTATTCGTCTGAACAAGTTCTTGTCTAATGCTACATTCAAGGGCGAAGATGACTCATCCCAGACATCGGACGAAAAGGAGAAGAAAAAGGGACCAAACAGAGGTTTTCTGGTTCCTGCCCATGTGGAGAAGGCAAACATTCATTTGTTAATTGTCCTGTCCTAAATCCTGCCAAGAGACCAGATGGATGGAAGCTATCAGATGAAACTAAGACTAAGTTTGACACAGCGATGGAGAAGAGCTCGACCCTGAGAGCTGCGATGAAAAGAGCCAAAGAACGAATTTCTTCGGACCAAAAGTCAGCTGACCCTGTTGGATCAGCTGAAACATCGGACGAAAAGGGACATATGGTTGGGATGACTCTTTCATCTAAAAAGTCACCACTTGATGAGATGAAAACCCTTGCAGCGAGTCTGCCGATTTCGAACGCCACGAATCATGTGATTAGACCAAATGAGGTCTGGGCGTACGATACTGGATCAACATTGCATATCTGCAATAATATTGATCTTTTCTCCGACATTCAGCCTTATGCAGCTGATGTTTGCGTTGGAGATACGACGACACCGATAGTTGGGATCGGAACTGTTTTGGTCCGACCTACTGAATCTTTGGATGGAAAGCCACTAACCCTTCTGAAAGTGGGTTATTCCCCTGGTTTTCATCTGAACCTGATATCTGCATCGATTGCAGAACGTTCGAAATTGTTCCTGAATGGACGAAAGCGAACCCTTGAGACATCGGATGGAACGCCTGTTTGCCGTTTGAACCGAAGATCCGGTGTCTACCTGATAAGATGGGATGGAACAGCTGATGGTCTACCGTCTGACCTTTCTGCCAGCACACGAGTTGCTGTCAAACAGCTGACATGCCCTATATCCTCTGAAAAGCCCTTTCATCCGATGGAAGGCAAGAAAGACCCCATTGGTCTTAAAATTTCACATCAAAAATCGGAGGGTGCAACGATCCATGCACTTTCATCCTATTCTCGACCTGAAAAACCTACGTCACGTGATGTTTGGCACCAAAGACTTGGCCACATCGGACAAGAGACCCTTGACAAGCTTATCGGATCAACCACTGGAGTCCGGATCGATCAGAACTTGACATCAGATGAAACATGTGAAACATGTAAGTTATCTGATTCTTACCGACAGTTGTCACGTGTTCCGATCGAACGCCATGGCTATCCATTCGAAGCTATACACTGGGACTTAGTGTTTGTCAAACAAGGAATTGATGGGATGAAATATTTGTCACACTGTGTTTGCCCTGTGACGAAATACCAATTTGCGAAGGCAATCAGACGAAAGGTTGCATCACCTGACACTTTACATGAGATGATTGCACACATTGAGTTGCAATATGGGACGAAAATCAGACGAATCCACATCGACAATGATACGACGTTACCTAATTTCATCAAACACATGTCACGTGATGGGAGGGTGGTTGAATCTACCCCAATAGATCAGCCCGAACAGAACCCATATGCAGAACGCTATGGAGGCCTTATCGTCCAATTATCACGCCGTTTCATCCAATGTTCTGGGTTACCAATATCTCTTTGGCCCTATGCTGCCGCCTGCGCAGTATATGTGATGAACAGAACCCCGCGCCGCACTTTGGGATGGAAGACCCCTCATCAAACTTTGTGGGACCGATTGGACCAAAAGCCTGGTCATATGACTGAATTACCGGATTTATCCAATATCCGAGTGTTTGGGTGCAAGTGCTATGTACGGATCATCAATATTCCGCGCCTGGATAAGATGAAAGTACGAGCTCAAATTGGCTATTTGGTTGGATATGTTTCATCCAATATTTGGTTGATCTGGTTACCTCGAGGAAAAGTGATTAAAGCCCGTGATGTGGAATTCGACGAAACCTCTTTCTACAAACATCATGAAAGATGGGATGAAAAGGGTGCGCCCTTGTATGATGATTCGATGAAAGTGGTCGATTACCTGGATATCTCCGAATACACAACATTCCGGGATCAATTGGACCAAAGCGAAACATCAGATGAAAATGTGTTTGACACATTTCCAGAGAACCATGACGTTATGGGAGATCTGGACGAAAATGAGCAAGTATTGGATGAAAACAGTTCATCCGAAGAAGAGACTTGCGACGAAAAAGAAGAAGATCAGATTATTGGAGATCAACCGGATACTCCCCCGCAATCTGATAAAGAAGGATCACCTGACCCTAAGGATCCTTCTTACCCGAACTTACATCAGGCAGATAACAATTCATCTGATCTTAGACCTATGGGACGAATCGAGGTTCAGATCAATAACAATGGGATAAATCAAGATGAATATCCATTGTACGAACCACCTTATCATGACCGAGACTATGATATTGAGATGATTGACCCTGGTGCCCTGAAGAGATCTTTGGATGAAAGCCCTGATGATACACCGGATGAAAAGCGTGCTCGAATAGCAAACTTTTTACATGCCTACAATGTTGCGATGAAAAGCCAGCCAAAGAAAGTCCACGTGACAAGTGTCCCCCCCGCCGCCTGAATTTTGGCATTTGGTCGCAAGTCACCCTCATAAACGTGACTTCGAAGATGCGATGAAAGTTGAATTTGCCAAAATGAATCAGATGGAAGCCTGGGAACCAGTCAAAATTGAGATGATTACAGCCCAATGTTCAGATGAATGTGCTGAATCTGATGGACCAAAACGCTGTGCACGACATCAGATGATACCTTTGCGATGGGTCTTTGACTATAAATTGGATGAAAAAGGCTTTATTATCCGATTTAAAGCCCGATTATGCGTCCGAGGCGACATGCAACGATTGGATGATCAAGACTCAAGCACATCAACCCTTACATCCCGTTCTTTCCGATGTTTGATGGCAATCACTGCTGCGTTTGACCTGGAAACTTTTCAGATGGATGCTGTCAATGCATTCCTAAACAGCAAATTGGACGAAAAGGTTTTTGTCCAATACCCACCGATGTTCGGACGAAAAGGTTACTGTTTACGTCTGAAAAGAGCTGTCTATGGTCTGAGAATTGCAGGGAAGAAGTGGGAAGATGATGTCAAGAAGATGCTTTCCGCACTTGGCTTCATCCCATCTCCAGAGGATCCTGCACTATATTCGGATGAAAAGATGGTTATTCTTGTGTTTGTTGACGACTTTCTTGGCATTTATCCCAAGTCTGCTGCTCCACATGCAGAAAAGATGAGACGAAAGCTTAAAGAGGCTTTTGAGATGAAAGACTGTGGAGAACTCACCCAATTCATCGGAATTCGTGTGACACGTGATCGACCTACCAGACGACTTTGGATCGATCAAACATCTTACATCGAACGAATGGCTGCCCGATATGATATCCCGCAACCAAAACGACCCGCGTCGGCTCCGCTTCCGACAAACTTCAAACTTGATATTCTTCCATCTGATGTTGTTCGGTCTGATATCTCATATTGTCAGTGGTCCGGCGCGTTACGCGTGTAGATATTGGACCACTGCGGCCATATACTCTAGCTCTCACTTGCACGTGGAGATCCTTCCCTCCTCACGCTTCCTTCAATACGTGTTTCTGGCCTTCTTCACTCGTAGACATCCAAATCCAAATCCTCCAACAGGTTATGAGCCCGGCAGCACATACCTGACACCTGATACTTGATCACCGTCACGAGCGAATACAACAGAAAACACCTCGCCGGCCCTGAGCGTCGGGCCGGATCTCTTACTTTACTTCATATCACCCACCACCAAAGACACACACTCTCCGGCACGCCGACATGGCGGATCGCCACAATTTTGATGGAGACGATGATGATGCAGATGGATGGGGTGCAGAACTATTTCGGACAGCAGAAAACAGGACACAAGCGGATCGGTTGCCGACGAAGACAATCACTTATCCGAAGCTGACCACCTGTCTAAATAGCGATGAGAACTTCGAAGAATGGGACAAAGATCTTCGGCTGATTCTAGCAAAGGATGGTCTATTAGACCTGATTGACGTGAATATTCCCAGACCGACAAAAGACATTGAAAATGAGAATGCTATGAGATGGAGGGATATCTCTGCCGACATGGCTGTGTGGTTGAAAGACAACATCATCCCCGAACTATGGCAAGAACTCGAAATATTGACTACCCGTGTGAAGAGAGGCTACGCAGATACACTCTACAAAGAGATTGTGAAGCTAGTGGAGAAACATAACACACTGGCAAGAGCGAAAAGAATTAGAGCCTGCCGCCTGATGTCAAGTTCTGACTTCCCCCTAAAGTCTCACTATGTCCGTGCATACATACACAACGTTATTGAGCTCCGGAAACAAGGAATGGGGCCATCCCCATACTGGGCGTTTATTACTATGCTTGACGAGGTACCGGATAAGGTTAGAGAGAAGTGGTATGAGAAGCTAGACCAAGAGGATATCAACCCGAACGATTTCACCGATACAATGTTAATCCAACACTCAAAGAGCATTCGACAGCAGCTAAGGCTGAATGATGAAGATGGCGCTGTTCCCGCGATGCAGGCAACCGGCCGAGACCGCAAAGACAAGAATAAGGACAAGGAAAAGGATTCTAAGCCATACAGAACACCTCCAAAGGACAAGACAGAAAAAGAATGGGTCGAAATCGTCAGAAAGAGAAAAGACAACAGATCTAGAGGGTGTGGACATTGCAATCTCAAAGGCCATAAGGCCAAAACATGCTGGTATCTATATCCGTGGCTACGACGTAAAGGATGGACTCTATTGGATAAATACTGGGCTTACAAACCTGGTCTGGACTGCGAGATATGTAAACCTCTATCAGAGACTAAGTCTACAGAAGAAACTTCTCTACCACCACCCCCTACAGCAGCAACAGCCGTAGCTGCGATAGCTACAGACGCCTATCTTGATAATGTCTATAACCGCCACTACCATGCGATAGCTATTGAAACAGCTAATTTGATGATCCCTGATGATCCCTATGATGAATACATACAGTCAGTTTACAATCGTGCATGCATCTCTCAGAACGAAGAGATGTTCGATCAACAGGATGAGATTCTGGATGAAATTGCAGATATGGCTGTGGACCAAACATCCCCTTTAAAACAAGGCTTATCAAGTGATCCGGACACCGAAGAAACTCTTATTAAGATCCTAAATGAATTGGGAGCACAGCAATGGCTCCTAGACACGGGCTCAGGCAATCATTTGTGCACAAAAAGAGATTGGATATTCGATTACGTCGAGTTCAAGGATGGTATTAAATATGAATGGGAAACCTCCTGTCCGGGAAACAAAGGGACTGCATGCGGATATGGCAAAGTTAAAATCACCTTATTACAGGATGATAACAGCCTACTGGATGTCATAATTCCAGTTATGTACTCTCCAGGTATGAAATATAACCTGTTGGGAGCTTGTAAACTACGCCGTGACATGCAATTCGCCTACAACGATGACACTTACGCCCTACATGACAGAGCCTCAAAGGCAGTAGTGGGACGCGTTTTCTTTCACTCAGGAGTGCCGTTTCTCAAACACAAAGACTGTGGCTTACAACAAATTGGCCTCTCCATGGCAAGTATTTCAGCCGAAATAGCCCACCGCCGTCTTGGACATGCTGGTGCCCCGAAAATAAAGGCCACTGAGAAGGATCTTGACGTCGAAGTGGACCATTCAGAACCATTTAATTGCACCGCATGCAAGCTTGGAAAATCAAAGAAAAGAATCTCTCGCATACCACAGGTCCGTGCAACACGCCCAGGACAGATGATCCATGCAGATCTACAACAAATCCGCCCACAGGCTCTTGGTGGCTACAATTATGCTCTAATCATGACAGATGACGCTACCAGATGTCGATTTACGTGTCTTTTAAAACATAAGGATGAAGCTTCTCACGAGATGATTAAATTCGCTACGCAAATCAAGAATGACACTACCGCCTATCCGCAGGTGTGGAGATGTGATGGTGGATCAGAGTTCTATAAGTTCACAACATGGGCAAAAGAAAATGGACAACGAATTGAGCCTTCCGCCCCCTATGCACAGCAGCAGAATGGTCTTAGCGAGATATCAGGTGGCTACATCGTACAGACTGGACGGACAATGGTTATCGACGCCGAAGCCCCAGAATACATGTGGGGAGAGGCTATTTTGACAGCAACCTACATCATTAACCGGCTACGCCAAGCCCCTGGCTCACCATCTCCGGCAGAGCTATGGAATAAAGGCATAAATTGCAGAGAGCAGCCAACGTCACTAGCTCATCTCTGTGTCTGGTATTGCAAAGCTTATGTGAATATCCCTCCAGAGCGGCGTGTGAAGAGCCAAAAGATACGTCCACGTGCATGGCTAGGCCACCTCGTAGGCTATATTGGAGAGAATAGTCACCAATTCCGTATCTATGACCCCTACACAAAGAAAGTGTCAATCCACCGAGATGTTATGTTCTGGGAGACCAAATCTGATACCCTGGTAGCTGGTGTTGAGGAGATCAAGATCTCTCAGCTAGGAAATGAGCAAATCAACCGTCAAATTGTAACAGGAGCAGTGAAAGACATAGACAGAGAAGATATTGCCCGCCTGACAGAGCTCTTGAAAGGTGCTCGCAATACATACAAGTCTCTACACCGTGAGATAAGCCGCTTTTATAACAATCAAAACAAAACAAATAAGGATCTCGAAGCCGTAGCTCACATACATCAGCAACGTACAGATATGTTGGAAAGACGAATTAAAGACCTTACTAAATAGCTATAGCAGTACTATAAGGAGACACCAGCGATAGTGACATTAGAGTCCTTAACACCTGAAGTAATTGGACAATTCCCCCAAACAAATACGCCTCTTAGAGAAAAGAAAAAATTCCATAACGAAATCTCTGGAGGATTTAACGCAGACGAATATAATGATGATGACCAGACACCAACACCAACTCCACAAACAACGACTAGTCGGTCTCAGTCAACAACTAGTCAGACCCAATCAGAAACTGAGCAAGCTCCAAGACGTTCCGGACGTGTCACAAGGGAACCGAAGCGCTTTGGAAACTTCGAAAATTGGAAGGATCTTGGCAGAAGCGTCTCTCAACCACCGCAAACTGATGGTGCAGACGATTTCGACTACATTGCAGGCCTTGAAAGTGCAATTGCGATGGCAGCTTTTACAGATAATGATGATGATTATGGCGAATCAAGACCTGAGACGGCAAAGAAAAAGGACTGGCAGATTAAGCGACCTACCACCTATAAGCAGGCTATCACCACTCCAGAAGCCTCATTTTGGTAAGCTGTAATGGATGAACAAGTGTCGAAATTGGAAGCTGCAGGTGCCTGGATCGAGGTGGATGAGATAACAAAGCCAAAACATTTGCAAGTTCTACCAGGGAAATGGGTCTTTAACACCAAGACAGACAAAGATGGCTATATCACACGCTATCGAGCCAGATGGGTAATCTGTGGCAACAGACAACGTCCCAGCATTGATTTCGATGAGAATTTCGCGCCAGTAGCTGCTGACCAGACCGTGAAATTGTTGTATGCACTGATCGCTGAGAAAGGTTGGAAAGCTCGCCAATTCGACGTGATAACCGCTTATTTGAATGCGGAAATTGATAATCGACGTGTCTACATGCGCCTACCGACAGGCTTTGCGAAAGAAGGAAAAATATGCCTGATTCAGCGTGCGCTGTATGGTCTGCGACAGGCTGCACATCTCTGGTGGACGAAATTTAGCGAAATACTATGCAAATTGCAGTTCTGACGATCACAGAGCGATCCATGTCTCTATGTCCGCGGGAATTCGGCCGAAAAGACCCTTTGTATGATTGTAATCTATATGGACGACGCAAAGATGGCCAGTATGAGTGACAAGATCAATTCTAGTGTGATCAAAGAGATTGAAAGACACATCAAGATCAAAGACCTCGGTCTACCAACGAGGTTCCTAGGCTGCGACATCAGCTTCGAAAACAATGACATCTTGTTCTCTCAACATCAGTACATTGACGGTGTTATACACACTGAACATATGGCCAGTGCAAATTCAAATACAATTCCGATCGCCACAGGCTCCGACACAAGCTTACCAATGGAAAAGACTCTATCCAAGCAAGACGCTCAATCCCTTGCAGAGATCACTGGAAAGATTGGATGGATTGCAAAGAAAACACGTCCTGATATTGTATACGCTACAGGCGTCTTACAGAGGTGTAGTGCTTATCCATCCACTGAAGCCACTGCGCTTGCGAAACATATTATTCGATATCTCACAGGGACACCAAGACTAGGATTGAAATTCAGAAAGAAGGCCCCTATTGCAGTGAGTGAAAAGGTGCCGCTGAAAGGTCTAGTAGGCTTCGTCGACAGCTCTTTTAGCAATGACCCTTGGACAAAGAAATCTGTGCAAGGCTGGATATTCATGTACAACGGGACACCGATCTCTTGGTCTACAAAGCGACAATCCCTCATTGCGCCGTCGAGTATGGCAGCCGAATACATTGCATACAAACATGCATCGCAAGAGGCTTTATTGTTGAAGAATTTGCTGGTGGACATGCAGCAACTCGATCAATCCCCCGTGATAATCTACACTGATAGCGACAATGCATACACTCTTGCACACGGTATCGGCTTTAAGCCAGCGACAAAGTGGTTAGATCTACGCTATCACATCATCAAAGAGAGAATCGAACTCGGCAAGATCAAATTGGTGCTGATCGACAGCGAGGACAACGTCGCCGATGGCCTGACAAAGGCCCTGGACACCACCAAGTTCAAAGCTTTCCGGAAAGGACTATGGATGGTGGATGCATAAAGAAGAACAAAGAAAGGAAGGCAAATCATGTGATCTATTATTTCCTAATTGGGTAACTACACCTGATTTTATTTTATTGCAGAAATGGACATTTCAGGAGGTCTCGGAGGTCTCCGTGCTGCGAGAGCTACGGGGGGTGTGTCAGTGGTCCGGCGCGTTACGCGTGTAGATATTGGACCACTGCGGCCATATACTCTAGCTCTCACTTGCACGTGGAGATCCTTCCCTCCTCACGCTTCCTTCAATACGTGTTTCTGGCCTTCTTCACTCGTAGACATCCAAATCCAAATCCTCCAACACATATATTAGACAATATCAGGGGAAGAATGGATCAACCCTTTTTCCGGGTGTTTGGACGAGACCAGATATTTCTTGGTCTAACCAAGCCCTTGCCCGTGTTCTGACGAAACCAACCGAACGTCACATGACCGCTGTTGACCATTTGATCTCATATCTTGTTGCGACCAAAGATCTTGCAATTTGCTACGACGGACGAACCGATCCATCCCAACTTTTCAAGGTTTTCTCTGATGCCAGCTTTGCCGATAATTCGGACCGAAAGAGCACATCAGGATATCTTTTCACCCTGTACGGTGGCCCGTTTGATTGGTCGGCCCGGAAGCAACGAACGGTCTCAACATCAACTACCGAAGCTGAGCTTTTAGCCCTAGCTGCAGCAGGGAAACAACTTCTTTGGATCAAACGTTTCTTCCGATCAATCACCTTTGATCCGATGGTTCAGATGGAAATCTTTTGCGACAACAAGCCTACAGTTGACTTGATGATCAGATCAAAGTCTGTTTACACAACAAAATTGCGTCATGTTGACATTCATCGGCACTGGTTACGACAAGAAGTTCAGACCAAAGCACTTCGGATCAATTGGATCCCTTCATCTGAAATGCTAGCTGATGGTCTGACGAAACAATTCCTCCCACAGAAACACAGAGATTTCGTCCAAAGGTTGAACATGGAGGTTCCGCCTAGTTCTCTGACATCTATCACGGTGTGAAAGATGGGAGGGTGTGTCAGCAATTCAGGCAGATTGTGTGCCTGGATTCCTGGGATGAAAAGTGGCCCTTTTTGATCCAAAGGTTATGCTGACTAATTCATCCCGCGATCAAACATTTCCGTTGCGAAATGAATGATATGGTTTTGATCTGATCTATCAGATCAAAGATGATCTTCTCTCGTCCGAGAAGATCCGCAACCCGAGCCCCGTTGTTGGGATCAATGGTTGCAAGATGAGATGAAAGGACTCGATTATTTCGGATTCCGTAGCCCTTTCGTCCCATATCCTGAGACCTTTGGTCTCATGTTTGTTTAGTCTAAAGTTCTATAAAACCTGATCTTACCCCTTAGCTAGTTTAGCATCGAATTCAATCGTTTTTGGATCAGTTGTATCTTTGTTTGATTCTTTCCTTCCATTCCATCCTAAGTTCGGATCCAGCTTGGTCGTATGTCATTCCATCTGATCCGTGTTGTCTGATCTTTTGGTCTTATCTTTACCCTTTCCTCCGAAGGGTTCCCTGTAGCTTGGTGCCCCTGTTCAGCTGACATCCTCTGCGTGACGTCATCACCTTTGGTCCTGTCTTCCCCACGCTGAAAATATCAGTTAAGAACCGCTACCCACTCCCCCTTATCTCCGAAATCCTTAACCGACTCTAAGGGGCAAAATTCTTCTCTAAGATAGATATCCAGGATATATATTACTGTATTCATATAAAAGAGAGAGATAAATAGAAAACTACCTTCTACACCCGATATAGCCACTTTGAATATACTATAATACCTTTTGGACTCACCAATACTCCCACTACGCTCCAGAGCTATATCTATACCGCCCTCAAGGGATTACTAGATATTATCTGTATCGCCTATCTTGATAATATCCTGATTTTCTCTTATAACCGATCCTCCTATATAACGTATATCTAATAGGTCCTACAGCGTATAAGAACCACACAGCTATACACAAAACCTTCAAAATATATCTTCTTCTAATCAGAAGTTGAATTCCTTAGATTTATTATCGGTACTAAAGGTATCTCTATAGATCCAGGCCGGGTTCGGGATATATGTTACGAACTGGCTGTCAAGCAACGTGAGTATGCACTTCCAAAGCGTTACTTACCGCAAGCCGTTATCCTGCAACTGTACCGTCGCCGTCCGGGCCTTACACGGGCTAGAGTCTTTAGGGATCCTTGCACGGTAATGCTTGAATCAGGGTGTCCGCTAGCAAGTCAGTCACGAGTGAGGCTATCACGAGTGAGCTCCCAAGCTAGTTGAGGTTTGTCTTCAAGGGTCCGATTGTGATCAAGTAAACTGTCAATCTGATTCGTACTGTAGGTCTCAATAACAATAGAGTAATAATCGCGAAGAACTAAATACATGATGGGTAAAGAGTGTCCTTATATATCCAGTCCTTCCTATCATCCTGTCCTCTGACAGGACAGGTCCGTTCCTGCTGTCAGGTCCGTTCCGTCTGAACGGACAGGATCTATTGTTGGAATAGATCCGCGGTCACGTGTCATGGGGCCGGAAGTGGCCTCTCATGCACCGTCCTTCCCGTATGTGGAGTATATGTTGTAACGGTGAGTAACAGGCCATATTTGGCTCCCGTTGGCGCCTCAGGCACTATCGTAGCCCTGCGCCCCTTTTGGCCGTGCGTCCGTTATGGCTGGTCGTCCGTACTTAGCCCGACCGCCAACTGATTGGGTCATAACTGCTCCTGGGAGACCTCCCCGTAGTGGGTCCGTAACAGTAGGTCCTTGATCTATCTAGCCTGTTCTTAGAGCTTCTTATCCGATATTAAGTATAAATTAATATTAACAGACAGGGTATCTCCGGTATAGATATTATAAGAGATAGCCTATTCTGGCGGTAATTCTTTAGATAGTAATATCTTAAATATATTACTATATTTATAGATAATATTATAAATCTTCGGATCCTTATAGTCCGGTAACTCTTCTGGTAGTGCCTTTTACTTAGACTTCTCCAAAACCCAATGGACCCAAGACCCAACCCAACCCAACCCAACATTGGGTTGGGTTTGGCTCCAAAACTTAGACCCAAGCCTGGGTTTTGGGTTTTTTCCTTGGACCCAACCCAACCCATAGGTACCCAATTGGGTCCCAAACATAGCAAACATGCCAAGATTTTGCTGTAGCATAAATTATGCATCTTGGCGTTGTATTTTTGGGTATTCCCCTTACAGACCTTTGGGTACTGCGGCTACAGCTTTTTAGAAACTAGCAAAGAAAAGCGTTTTTTAACTAGCTCAATCAATTCTTAACTCAATCTCCTTAATCTACCATTCTATCCATTTTCTCGTCCTGCCTGGTCTGTCCTTTCTCTTCTACCTCCTACAAAGTAAGGTAGGATTCGTCTGAAGCATAGGGTTTTGTGCACAAAAAATAGTTTGTGGGCTGCCAATACTAGCTGTCTCCTAGGCTCCTATTAAAAACTAACAGGCTTTTGTGCACAAAATTTACCTCTGTAGCATCTGACCCTCATCCTCATTCCTCATTCTTCATGCTCATGCTCGTGCTCGTGCTCGTGCTCATCCTGAAACCTAGACCAGTAAAAACCACCCTTAATAAACACAGGGGTAACATCAAGGCCAAGCTGGGTACGCTCGAAGAAGGAGTTAGCCCCAAACGCAGCACGTTCTGTTAGAACTAGCTTCTCAAAGGCAGCAATGTATAGCTGCTGAGCGTGTTTCCGCCACCTCTGTATAAAACCCCAAGCAGCCACATCGTCATCTCCAAATAAAATGTCAAGCTCTTCTCGTACATCCACCTCGTCCCAGCGCACCTGCCCAACTAGTGCATCTGAAATTGCACCCAGCCGCCCAAGGCGTACAGTTGCTGGGAAAATCTGGTCCATACGCCCTCCAAAAGTGCTATTGGGCAAGCCTGAAGGGGTCTTAGTGCCAGAGTAAAAACTGCGGTGGCAGTGAGATAGGTCACCCCAAGTTCCTGACTCAGCCACATCTAATGTCTGGTGGTCTTCTCCAATACCCACAAACCAAGGTAGGATATTGAGGCGACGTGAAGTAGCAGGGCCAGTAGAGCCGTGTGGCAGGCCAGGTAGGCTAAGGCGCACATCTCCAATAGTACACTTCTGTTTAGACCACGTGTAGCCAAAGTGGTCCTCATCATCTTTAGTCCACATTGTAGGCTGAATCTGTTGTACATAGCCATCTTTTGTATAGCCTCGGAGACGAAGGCGGTCATTCCATTCTCTGATATCCCGATGCATACCAAGGAGCATCTCTGTACAGTTGTTGTCATCCTCCACAGATAGTGCAAGACTACCTTGTAAAGCATTCTGACCACGTCCAGTACGTACGAAATCAGCGATATTCACATCAATATGACGAAAAAACGTAGATTCCCCAGGATAGGTGCTCTTGGTGTAATAAGGAAAGGAGATTAGTCGCCAAGCATGGTCTGGCCGAAAGAACACATAGAATGCATAATAAGCAGGGTCTTGCCGGACAAGCTGCTGGACCAAGCTAAACCACATGTTCCGGGCCCAGCCAATTCGAGGTTTTCCAGGACGGGCACGGTAATGCCAGTCATACATATCAAACTCCTGTAAGATCATAGGCAGGATACCACCAGGATGCTGGCCGTCAAGGTCTTCTGTTAGCCAACTAAAGAGCCCAGTGACTACCACACTACCATCCTTCTTCATTTGCTGGTCCATATGCATAGCTTCAGGGGGCGGGGCCTTGCCAAAGCATCGTTTATATAGCTTCATAAAGGTAAAGGATGACATCTGGGTTGGTTTGGAAACCTTTGGCCTTAGTGGTAGGGCAGTGGCCTCAAAGCGCCAGCCAGACTGAAGATTTCCAATGCTGCCTTTGAACCAAGAAGGGTGCTGCTGCCTCACGGAGTCCCATGAATCTAGCTTCTTGTAAAGGTAGAGAAGCCGTCTATGAGCCTGAGTAATAGCAAAACGATGGTAGATACCTAGCTGCCTGCAGAGAGCATGTGTATGTTCGGGGCATAAGCGTAAGGTGTGGGATTCGTTAGGGCTGCTAGTTTCTCGGCCAATTTTTCTGAGAGCCTGTTTCTTCAATGTATCTGTGGGAAGTACAACATTTTTCTTAGCTGGTATTAAACGCTGGAGAGCAGCCTTTGTGAGAGGACAGCCACATGTAGACATAGGTGGTGTTGTGTGCTTAGCTCGTTTCCGTGGGTGAGGTTGAAAATCATCATCGGCATCACCACTACCTTCACTATCACCATCGCTGTTGCTATCACTATTGCTATTGCTGTCGCTGTCGCCATTTTCATCATTGCTGTTGCCACTGCTGCTGTTGTTGTGATCTTCCTTATCCTTAGCCTGGCTGCTAGAATGGCCTTCTTCTTCTTCATCATCATCATCTTCTTCTTGGCAGCTATTCTTTTGTTGTTTCTTAGGAGTAGGTGGCTGGGTAGTAGGCGCCTCAGAGACCAAGCCTAGTAAAGATTAAAGGTTAAAGGTTAAAACCACATCTTTTAGACTAGGCTCATAGGTAAGAATACATACCTATACTTGGACACACAAACCCATCTATGTCAATTCCTAGCTCCAAGCCTTGTAAGACACTATGGTCTAAGGGCGTAGTGTCTTGGCTTAAGAAGGCATTGGTTAGATCAGCCTGCATGATTCGGCTTTCTTGCCGAATTCCACGTTTGCGAGTAGACCTCCGTGCCACATATGCATTGTTGATGGATGCTCGTGTATGCTCATAGGATATGCCGCTTGTGAGGAATTTGCTGATTTTTCGCTTCATTGTGTCACCTTTGATGCGGAGAAAAAGAGCATTCGCCTGGCCCTCACCCCACTGTGTCTTCGCACGTAGCAGGAGGTTGTCGTTGAATCGGGCCACACCCTGCTGGCTTCTAACCGCGTCACGCGTGATTTTCCATGAGTCGTGGAATGCCTCCACATTCTCTTCATGCTCTCTCCAAAACTCGCCTTGTTCGATGAAATCGTGCAGCTTCTCTAGAGACTTAACTGCTTCGCTAAGGAATGAGTGGGCGTGGTCCTGGATTCTAAGCGCAGCTGGATAGACCTCTTCTGGGGCAAGCGTCTTCATTACCTCAAGAGCTTCTTCCATAGACCTTACTGGCTGTCCACAAAGATCAAGTGTGCTCTTGAATGAGACTTGGAGGGTCCCAGTTCCCTCAGCTAGGGTGTCCATTATGATAGACACAGCAGACACGATTAATATGTCCATTATGATAGACACAGCAGACACGATTAATATGATAAATGTTGAATGATAAGTGATGGAAACTGAGTAGTTAAGGAGGATGAAAAGAAAAAGAAGGGATGAGGGGTGAGGGGGAGAAGAGACTAGGAAATAACAAAGAAAGTAGACAAAGAAAGTAGTCTTTGTAAAAAGGCTAGCTAGTAGAGTAGTTAGCAAGCGGATTAAATAGATGGAATAGATGAAATAGATGAAACATTAATTAAAAAAGATCAAATGAAAGATGATTGAATGTACTTCTAAGTTAGCTTTGTGCACAAAAACATATCTCTACCATATCGTAGGTAGCTGCTTTTAGGCATAGGGGGGGGGAGGGAGCTGAGGCTCAGATGGAGAGGTGAGGTTTTGTGCACAAAGATAGCTCTACCATATCGTAGGTAGCTGCTTTTAGGCATAGGGGGGGGGGAGGGAGGTGAGGCTCAGATGGAGAGGTGAGGTTTTGTGCACAAAGATAGCTTGTAGGTGGCTTGTAGATGTAAACTTACATGTTGGTTTCATCCTCATGATGATTTATATCCTCATCCTCATGGTTGTTTTTTAAACTTAGTAATGCTCATATCCATCATCCTCCCTGTTCTTTCGCTTCCTTCCCGATGTTCGTAGCTGAGTACTCATCTCTGGTAGCTGTAGTACCTCCTCCTCCTCAGCCTCCTCCTCAGCCTCCTCCTCAGCCTCCTCCTCAGCCTCCTCCTCAGCCTCCTCCTCAGCCTCCTCACGATCACTTATACCATCTCCATCAAGCTCATCTAGCCTCTCGTCACATTGCTCCCTTTCTGCTTCAATCTCATCTAAGGAAAAGAATAGCTGAAGTTCTTTCCTCTGCTGCCCTTCAAGGTCAAACCTTGAAGCACAGAGAAACAGCATCAGCTCCTCAATTGTTTCAGACTTCATACGACCACGGCGATAATGGCAGATATCCCGGGCAGTGTTGAATAGCCGCTCTACACCAGCACCTGTTGCTGGGATTGAGAGAACATCCCGTGCAAGTGCAGAGATTATAGGGAAACGTCCTTGGTGCTCTCTCCAGAATTGAAGAGGCTCAGTCTCAACAGTGTCTAAGGTAGGGGTAGTTAGTATGTATAGATATAGGTATTATGATATTAGAATACTGATAATTCAAACATACCACCATCAAGATATTGTGTCATTTCATCTTTAGCTAGCCTTGTCTTCGGTTTGCTTTTGTTTAATATCTTATTAAGCTTTAAGCTTAGCTTTGGTGTAGGTAGGGAGCTTCCTGTGTCTGACGTATGAGAAAGATGCTCTTGGTGCTCTTGGTAGGGAGTAAGAGCTGTCTGGAATGCACTCCGGTACTTAAGTCGCCAGGACCCATCCCAGTCATCTGATTGGAAAAACTGGAACCGGCTGTCAGGAGCTAGCATTGTACCAACTGCATATATGTGCCCTGGAATACTATCTGTCTGTGTGTAGTACTCATCAAGCTTTAATCGGCTAGCTTCAAGGCACTGAAGTATGTGCCTTTTCCATGGAACCCGCTTCTGCCTAAGCTGCGCCATGGACTTTTCAAGATGCAAAAATAATGCATTATAAAGCTTGAATATAAGATGTATGGTTATATCTCGTGTCTTCGATAGCTCAGTCGTATATTCAAAGAAGGGCTCAGTAAGATAGAGCAGGTAATCGATTTGGCGCCACTCCTCTGGAGTTAAAAGCATTTCTTTACAGTCATATTCCAGGCAAAATGGGAGGAAAAAATCACGAAGCCTCTTAGCTCGGCGAAGCATTAGGAAGGTTGAATTCCACCGAGTCCGTACATCTTGTATTGGAATAACCTTTGGTTCCTCTGTTTGAAGATTGATGAATGTTTCACGGCGTTGGGGGCTTGCATGAATGTAGATTGCAAGATAGCGTACCTTATTCAAGGTAACAGAGATCTCACACTTCTGGCGCTTTAAATTATCCTTAGCAAGGGTTGATTGTTTCTCAGTCCATTTAGTTTGGGTAGTCTCATTTAAAGGGGCTGCCTTTAGGCGATCCAGAAGCTGGTTAAGGCTAAGCTGAATAACATGGGCAAGGCAAGGTATCCGGGTAATGCTAAGATTCTCAGGTAGGGCTTGTTGAATTGCATCAATCATAGTCTAATTATATAGTATATTATTAGTAGTAGCCTTAAGGATAGAGATGGAGATGGAGATGGAGATGGAGATGGAGATGGAGATGGAGATGGAGATGGAGATGGAGGGTACCTTATTATTTGATGCATTATCAGTTGTAACTCCAAGAACTCTGTCTGTAATCTGATGCTCTTGGAGTATGTTGAGAAGAACACTACTAAGACTTATACCAGAGTGTGACCCAGAGAGTGGTTTAAAACCAAGAAGCACCTCCCGATAGGTCCAATCTGCATCAATAAAATAGCCAGTAACGGCCATAAATGCTTGCGAAAACGGAGAAGTCCAGCAGTCCAGCGTAATTGAAACTTTTGAGCTGGGCGGTAGGAGGTTAAGAATGGATCTCTGGCGGTCTGCAACTAGATCTTGTAGTCGCCGACGAATTGTATTTGCAGACGGGATGGTTGGAGGTAATGGTGAAGAGCGAGCCTTATGAATCAGACTATGAAAGGTTGGATGCTCAATAAGGTGGAATGGAAGCCGGTTGATAGTAAGAAATTGTAAGATTTCTTCCTCCCAGCCTAGCTGTGAGAAAGGAGCAAGAGCAGGAGTAGTAGATGGCTCATCTTCCTAGTGAAATAAAATTAATTAAATAGTTAGTTACTGTCTTAGTAGTTAAGCTAGTTTCCTACTGCTTAAGCTTCTCTTTTGTGCACAAAATGCTATCTCAGCTAGAGTTTTTTTTTTGCGCCCAAAACACCAACTCTGTGTATCTCACCACCATTAAAACGTACCTTGCTTATAAGGAAACCAGTAATATTCTCCTTCCGCCTCATAGAGTTTTGGCATTTTGCAGTTTTTAGGTGTTTAGCCATGGTTGATGTGCCTTGGTAGCCATTTTGACAGGCAGAGTGAGCATGTTCAAGAACCTTGCTACACCGCTTACACATAACCTTTGGTGCACCATCTGTGATTTGGGCAACCTGATGGAAGTTATTCCAAATTGGGGCCTGGCGGGCTGCTTCCCAGTGGATCTTACTTTTCCTCCCATAGTCAGTTTGTAGCCACCAGTCAACCCACTCAGTATGCTCTACCATATTGTAGAGGAAATAGGATTTTCTTCGGTCGGGTCCAACGCGGATAAACGGTAGAGGAGGAGGAGGAGGTGTATCTGGCCGGAGGAATGTATGCCTATCAAAGCTTGGGAGTGTGGTCTGGGTACTAGGTAGTTAAATAGTAAGAGAGTTAGGTGGGCTTGAGATAGTCTAAAAAAAAGGGAGAATAGTAGTCTCTAACTCTTCTTCATCATAACCTAATGATGATGATAGGTAGAGAGGTGATTGGAAACTGGAATTTTGGCTTTGGGACATGAGGTTAAATGAAAATCATGAAAGAATAATAAGTGTAAGGGTAGGGTGGGAAATGTAGAAGAAGAATAGTAAGTAAGTATCAAGGGTAGGTAAATCATAAAAGAATGATAAGTGTAAGGATGAGGGTATAAAGGAGAAGGTAGGAAATATAGAAGATTAAAGATTAGAAATAAATAAATACCTAATAACACATATCTTTAATTTTAAACCTATAAAAACCCACAAAAACCCAAGAAGAGCCCAAGAAGAGCCCAAGAAGAGCCCAAGAAGAGCCCAAGAAAACCCATGAAAAACCCATGAAAACCCATGAAAACCCATGAAAACCCACAAAAACCCACGAAAGACCCACGAAAACCCATGAAAACCCAAGAATTACCCATGAAAACCCAAGAAGTACCCAATCCCAACCCAAGTCTACTAAAAGTCTTCTAAAAAATTTTACCCAGGCTTCCAGCTGCTTCCTTAGAATCCCTACTTTACCCGTTTATTTTATGAATACTATCTTCTTCAATTTAGTAAATATTAAGTTAAAATACTATAGAACTAAAGATTCAATTTAATATTAAGAAATACTAAATTAGCTTAAAAATAAAAAGTAACACTTTTGTAGGGCATACATGTAAAAGATGCACTACCTCTGCAGCATGTAAATATATATTTCCTACAACATTTACTAAATATCAATTTCTACACCCTACATCCTCCATCCATATAATATAATATTTTATAATAATTTTTCCTTCTGAATGTTAATATTATTTTCAAATAAGAAATCTATTATTATTACTAGTAATCAACTTACTCTCTAACATCTATTTCTAAGATGTAATGCTGCTACATGTAAAGGTATAGTAGCTACATGCAAGGGTATAGACTCATAGAGACTCTAACATATAAACTAAAACGAATGCAAAACACATGTAAAAAACAGTATTTTAAATTGATGACTGAGCAGAGTTATACATGCCAAGACCTCTTTTTTATGCAAAATTGGGTTTTCCTGGGTACCCAATGGGTACCCAGCTTGGGTCTTGGGTCGGGTTGGGTTTTTAGGTGCTGGACCCAAGACCCAGGTGGGTTGGGTCTTGGGTCCAACCCTTGGACCCAAATTGGGTTTTGGAGAAGTCTACCTATAGTGGGTCTGTAATACCATCCCCCTCTTTCAGGTCTTTAGTCCCTAAAGTCCTTTTAATTTATTTTTAAATGTTAAACCCCCCTTAGGTAGGTGAGGTCTTTACTTTTTCTGTATTTTCCCATGATTATTGCTGATCATGCCTTCCTCTAAGCCAGGGTCCTCTGGCATTCGTAAAATTCACCAATTAATCGAAAACAAAGGTTTCGAATCCCTTATCCCCTGCCTACGCTGCTCTTCCTTAGACAAGATCTGTGTGTTCTCTGAGCGTTCGAAACATTGCTCTGAGTATAATTGTGCAAAGGGTACTGTGCGGTGCGAGATGCTGCGGGAGACTTTTACCGATGCCGAGTGGCGTCGTCTCCTAAAGTCTCAATCCTCCCTCGATGCGGAGGAGGAGGCTTTAATCAAGGCCCAATAGGAAATATTGGCCAAATTATCTTGTCTTTACAAGCAGAAGAAATCGTTAAAGAAGCGTGCGGGTGATTTCATCGCTCGTGAGTATGAGGAAATAGCCCAACTCGAAGAGCTTAAGCGTCGTGAAAAAGAGGAGATCGAGCGTCTTAAGAAAGAACGTGTCGAGGTCGATCATTGTAAAGAATATAAAGCAGAGTCTTCTAGTGCTACTACTAGATCCGATAAGGCTGCTCTTCCGGTCATTAATAACCAGGTTCTGGCGGTAACATATGCTAGTGATGATCCTACTCTAACGCAGATGATTGTATTAGTGAATCCCGATTTTTCTTTGGACAGTATTGATTTCGACACTTTCTTGTGTTCTGTCCTGTAGGGGTTCTCTTCGCCTGTGCGTAGTACTGTCTCACTAGTTAGTAATAGCTAGTTAAGTTCTTGATAGGTTCCTATATATTTTCTGAGGTAGGATAACCTTGCTATTTCACTAGGAGTTGTTGCCAATTGTTGTGCCATCGGTCCGCTAGGATTTCTTTAACTTTATACTCTTCTTCGCTAGCGTTCTCGATTTCAACTTCTATGGTGTTTTCTACATTTTCTGGTGCTGGTTCTAATAATAAGATATAAAATACTGGGTAAACTTATTTTATACTTTCCGGTAGTTATAGTCAGTAGTTCACGAGTCCAGTTTTTTTCGTTGATGGTAAATGGTCCTAGACGTTTATAGTCCAGTTTCTTACTTAGTTGTTTTGTCTTGATATTTTGTTGTAGTAAATAGGCCTTATCACCTGGCTTTATGTCTGGTCCGGGTATATATCTCCGGTCAACATATATCTTTATCCGGTGATTAAAGAACTTGATATCTCTAACCATCTGTTGGTGTAGGTTTTTGATGTTTTCTACCTGTTCTTACGCCCCTGGCGCCACTGTGTGTTCCCTAATGGGTTCACCGATAAGTGTTGGGTTTCTCCTGTAATTTACGAAGAATAGTAATAATCCGGTAGTTGTGTATATAGTGTTGTTGTATGTGAATTGTGCGATAGGTAATAGTTCTGCCTAGTTATCTTGCTAGTAGTTCATATAGTGTCTTAAATACTGTTCCAGTGTTTGGTTAACTTGTTCGGTCTGTCTGTCAGTCTGTAGGTAGTAGGCTGTTAAAAGTCTATGATTAATACCAAGTTAGTCCGCCACTGATTACCAGAATTTTGATATAAACAGCTTGTCTTGGTCCGAGGTGATCTTTTAAGGTGTTCTGTGGTTTATAAAGATATAGTATATTAGTATCTTTGTAATCCCTTCTACTGTTATGGTTTCTGACGCGGGTAATATATATATATATATATCTAGTGAGTCGGTTAATAATAATAATAATAATCATATTATGTTACTCTCCTATCTCTGGTAGCTTAGTGATAAAGTCTATTATAATCCATTCCTATAGCTATATAGGTATTTCCTTATTTTATATTTCTCTGTACGGTAAGTATCAAGTAGGTTTGTTTTATAAATATATATTATAGTTTCTGATATAATTTCTAACCTTTTGATATATATTCGATAGATAGTAATTTCGCGAAATATATTTAATTGTTTTCTTAATACCTAGGTGTCTGTATGTCGGTAAGTTATGGTGTTTCCAGATGACTTCCTTCTATAGATCTTTTGGAATATATATAAGTCTGTGGATCTATATAAGTCTATCTTTTTGCGTTTATTTGTCTTCTGCTAACTGTATGATATTCTGTAGTTATTTATTATCTTCTGTTGATTTTCTGATTTTCTTAAGCCATTTGTTATTAATACTATATGTTATTACTATAAGTATCTAATGGTTATATATAAGGTTTCCTTCTCTATCTCTTTTTAGGATAGCTAGTATAGCTTTCTTAGTATCTTTTTTATAGTTAGGTCTTCTGCTAAGTATATCTACTATTATATTTTTTATATCTTTAGTGTGTTTAATTCTATAATCAATCTGTGATAATATTTCTGTCTATCTAACTTATTATCTTTCAGCGTGTCGGGGACAGACCAAAGGTGATGACGTCACGCAGAGGATGTCAGCTGAACAGGGGATACCAAGTTACAGGGGACTTGGGAGGAAAGGGTAAAGATAAGACCAAAAGATCAGACAACACGGATCAGATGGAATGACATACGACCAAGCTAGATCCAAACTTAGGATGGAATGGAAGGAAAGAATCAAACAAAGATACTACTGATCCCAAAAAGATTGAATTCGATGCCCAACTAACTAAGGGGTAAGATCAGGTTTTATAGAACATTAGACTAAACAGATAAACATAAGACCAAAGGTCTCAGAACATGGGATGAAAGATCCACGGAATCCGAAATGATCAAGTCTTTCATCTCATCTTGTAACCATTGGTCTCAACAACGGGGTTCGGGTTGCGAATCTTCTCGGACGAGAGACGATGATCTTTGATCTGATGGATCAGATCAAAACAATAGCCATTCATTCCGCAACAAAATGTTTGATCGCGGGATGAATTAGTCAGCACAATCTTTAGACCGAAAGAGCCACTTTTGGTCCCAGGAATTCAGGCAGAGAATCAGCCTGAATTGCTGACAAGAGTAGATATACTCTGGCTGATAACCGGATCCTAGATTTGGATAGTGTTATTGTTGGACCCTAATATAAGTTGGCTTCTATCTAGCGACCAGATAACTGACCGGACCTAACCACTATGCCCCTTAAGAATAGACACACTCTGGCCAGTTACTAGATCCTAGATCTGGACTATCTTATCATCTGACCCTAATATAAGTTAGCTTCTATCTAGCAATTATATAACCAACCGGACCTAACTACTATATCTCTTAAGAGTAGATATACTCTGGCTAGTTACTAGATCCTAGATCTAAATAGTGCTATTATTGGACCCTAATATAAGTTGGCTTCTATCTAACAACCAGATAACCAACCATACCTAACCATTATATCTTTTAAGAGTAGATATACTCTGGCCAGTAGCTAGATCCTAGATCTGGACTATCTTATTAAATAACCCTGATGTAAGTTGGCTTCTATTGTTACGAACCGGCTGTCAAGCAACGTGAGTATGCACTTCCAAAGTGTTACTTACCGCAAGCCGTTATCCTGCAACTGTACCGTCGCCGTCCGGGCCTTACACGGGCTCGAGTCTTTAGGGATCCTTGCACGGTAATGCTTGATCAGGGTGTCCGCTAGCAAGTCAGTCACGAGTGATGAAATCACGAGTGAGCTCCCAAGCTAGTTTGAGGTTGGCCTTCAAAGGTTCGACTATGATCAAAGTATCTGAATTGCTGTACTGTAGGTCTCAATAACAATAGAGTAATAATCGCGAAGAACTAAATACATGATGGGTAAAGAGTGTCCTTATATATCCAGTCCTCCTAGCCATCCTGTCCTCTCATTAGGACAGGTCCGTTCCGTCTGAACGGACAGGATCTATTGTTGGAATAGATCCGCGGTCACGTGTCATGGGGCCGGAAATGGCCTCTCATGCACCGTCCTTCCCGTATAGCCAGTATATGTTGCAATGGTAAGCAACAGGCCATATTCGGCTTCCTGTTGGTGCCTCAGGCACCACTGTAGCCCTGCGCCCCTTTGGGCCGTGTGTCCGTTATGGCTGGTCGTCCGTACTTGGCCCGACCGCCAACTGATTGGGTCATAGTTGCTCCTGGGAGATCCCTCCGTAGTGGGTCCGTAACATCTATCTAGTGACCAGATAATTAAATTAACTTATTACTATAACCCTTAAGAGTAGATATACTCTGGTTAATAGCTGGATCCTAGATCTAAATAGTGCTATTATTGGACCCTAATATAAGTCGGCTTCTATCTAGTAACTAGATAACCAACCGGATCTAGCTACTATACCCCTTAAGAGTAGATATACTCTGGCCAGTTACTAGATCCTAGATCTGGACTATCTTATTAAGTGACCCTAATATAAGTTGGCTTCTATCTGGTGACTAGGTAACCGACCAGGCCCTACTACTATACCCCTTAAGAATAGACACACTCTAGCTAATAGCTGGATCCTAGATCTAAATAGTGCTATTATTAGACCCTATTATAAGTTGGCTTCCATCTAGTAACCAGGTAATTAAATTAACTAAATCACTATACCCTATAAGAGTAGACACACTCTGGCCAGTGGCTGGATCCCAGATCCGGACAGTCTTATCAAGTAACCCTGATATAAGTTGGCTTCTATCTAGCGACTAGGTAATCAAATTAACCCAATGACTATGCCCCTTAAGGATTTAAAGAGAAGCATTCCAGTTTTCCTCTACTATCGGATGGTTTAAAACCTAATCGGGTCTATTATTTTAGAAAGCTATTCTAGTAAGGCTCTTTAATAGGCTAAAGATAAGAGGTAAGTGATATACTTATAGTGGGTTACTCTTAACTCCTGTTTTATGATATTAAATAAATCTAGTAGTATCTTTAGTTTACTCTAAGAGGCTATCCGATTTACTTTCCTCCTATTAGAAGAGAATATTATATTAGCAGTCCTCTCTATGTTAGTACTAATTTAGCGACTTACTTGTTACGGGCTGGCTGTCAAGCAACGTGAGTATGCTCTGTCCGTTGAGTTACTTACCGCAAGCCGTTATCCTGCAACTGTACCGTCGCCGTCACTGGGCCTTACACGGGCTCAAGTCTTTAGGGATCCTTGCACGGTAATGCTTGAATCAGGGAATCCGCTAGCAAGTCAGTCATGAGTGAGGCTATCACGAGTGAGCTCCCAGGCTAGTTGAGGTTTGTCTTCAAGGGTTCGATTATGATCAAGTAAACTGTCAATCTGATTCGTACTGTAGGTCTCAATAACAATAGAGTAGTAATCGCGAAGAACTAAATACATGATGGGTAAAGAGTGTCCTTATATATCCAGTCCTTCCTATTATCCTGTCCTCTGACAGGATAGGTCCGTACTTGGCTCGACCGCCAACTGATTGGGTCATAGTTGTTCCTGGGAGGCCCCCCGTGGTGGGTCCGTA